CACACAATCACGGCTACCAACGCGCACAGCTCACCCCTACACCCCCTTTCCCAACTCTCACCACACAATCACGGCTACCAACGCGCACAGCTCACTTCGTCTTGACCCGAGAGATGTGCACCTGCCTTATGATTTTTTCCCCCGTGCCTTTGTCACCTGTATCGCTTGTCTCGTTGAGTCGATCAGGCCGTTGCTCTCGATCAGAGCGGTGTGAAGGGAATATGGCGCCTAAGATATTCGCGACGAGGGGGATCTCGCTGAGCAAGATAGCCAAGAACCTGGTACACGGGAATGTCGGATCCATCGGCTTCGTACAAGTGCAGGCCATTGGTTGTCCGTCCTGATGGGACGGAGGTCAAGACGAAGTATCTCGTCACACGAGCTCAAGTGGCCTCGGCTACACCACGTCGACTCGCTCACAAGGTGTACTCCCAAATGGTCAGCCCGTCCGGCGGTCACGTCGTTTTTGTGACCAGGGCCCCGCCGGGAGCTCTTCAGGTTCGCCCGGCCCTATTCTCGAGGGCCGATGCTACCGCGGGCATTTGCAGCTCGAGTGGTCCTTCTCCTTCTCCTGGTCACTCGACGTCAAGAGTCGGAGACATGACGCTGACCGCCAACGGGACGACGAGGGCGGGAAAGTCGCTCGGGCTTGTCGTCAGGTGCTCGGAATTCTCGTCCTGCGTTCGGCTTTCTTCTGCTTATGGAGCTCGCGTCGACGGCAGCGACCGTCGATGAGCCTGAGATTGCGCTAATGCGAGCGTAAAAGGGGCGAAATGCAATTCGCGCAAAAGGGACAGCAACTCGCGGATCGGTCCTCTGATTTTTGCGGGTACCCCGCAGTCCGCTGGCCTCGCTTCTGCGTGCTACTTTAGCACTCCGATCTGAACTCCGCTCAAGCGCCACTATCTGGCGGCGGTGCGGAGCCCCGCACGAAGCTGGTCTCAGATTGCGTCGTGCGGGTGCGACGCTTGCTTTGCGATGGACGCAAGCCGCTGGATTTCGCACACGCTCATATCACTCATCTCCTCAGACACGCAACCCCGTGCTGAATCCCGTTCGTCACCGCTGCGCTACTCGGCAATCCTTCACGAGCGGCTTGACCCGTGGGTAGAAAAGCTTTTAAAGGTGGGCACGCCGAAGGGCATCCATGATGAGCCCATCAACAGCCAGCGCGCGACACGATGACTCCTCCAGCAGTAACCGTAGCAGCCAGCGAAGAGCAGGAGATCAAGCATCAGCTCGGCGGTCACTACGACGAGGTCGTGGACAGGGCTCGCCAAGCTGCACAGGACGAGAAGCGGGACCTCAGCGTCGTCGCCGCCTTCCGTACTCACTGGAAAGCCGCCCTCTTCTCCATGGGCCTGTCCTTCGCCCTTGTCATGGAAGGCTACGACGTAGTCGTCATCAATTCTTTCTACGGACAGGCGACCTTCAAGGACACGTTTGGAACTGCCATCGTTGATGGCCAGAAAGTGATCACGGCCCCGTGGCAGACCGGTTTGTCCAACTCAGCCCTCGTCGGCGAGGTCGCCGGCCTTTTCCTGAATGGCTGGCTCTCGGATAAGATTGGCTACCGTCGCACTTACATGGGGGCGATGCTCGTCATGGCCATAACCATCTTCGCGCCCGTCTTTGCGAAGACGCTGCCGCAGCTTTCCGTCGGGGAGATCCTCATGGGTGTGCCATGGGGCATATTCCAGACCTTGACGACCGCCTACGCGGCAGAGATCTGCCCTGTCATGCTGCGACCCTACTTGACATCTTTCGTGTGCTTCTGCTGGGGCCTAGGCATCTTCCTCTCCTCGATTGTCGTCCGAGCCTGTCTTCACATCGAGGGCCAATGGTCTTGGCGCCTTCCCTTTGTCCTTCAATGGGTCTGGCCTCTGCCTCTGCTGGTCGTCGCTTACTTCGCGCCAGAATCGCCCTGGTTCCTTGTGCGAAAGGAGCGCGTCGACGAGGCAGCCAAGGCATTGGAATTCCTCAAGCCTCGGAACGCTACAGTCGACCACGTCGACAATCAAATCGAGTTCATTCGCCACACGGAAGCACTTGAGAAGGCAGAGCAGAAGGGCTCGTCCTACCTCGAATGCTTCCGTGGAAGCGCTCGCCGTCGCACGGAGATCGTATGCGTCGCCTACGCCCTTCAATGGTGGTGCGGCAACCCCTTGATGTCGTTTGCGGTCACCTTCTTCGAGTCCGCAGGCCTCGACGCAACCGCTGCCTTCGACCTCAACATCGTGATGAACACGACATACATGATTGGCACCGTCTCCTCGTGGTTCCTCACAAAGCGCTTCGGCCGCCGAGGGATGTACATTGTTGGCGCTGCCCTCTGCTGTGCGCATTGCCTTGTGCTCGGGATCCTCGGTTGTTTCCGCGGCACAAATGTGTCCTGGGCAACCGGCGCCCTCCTCATCAGCTTCGCCCTCTTTTACAACTTCACCATCGGACCAATCTGCTATTGTATCGTATCGGAGATCCCTTCCGCTCGACTGCGCGCCAAGTCCATCTCCCTTGCCCGACTGGCATATGTCTTGACTGGCCTCATCACCAACACCTTGACGCCACGTATGCTATCGCCCGACGCTTGGAACTGGGGCAGCAAGGCTGGCTTCCTGTATTTGGGCACTTGCACCCTTATTCTCATTTGGTGCGTCTTCCGTTTGCCGGAGACGAAAGGACGGACGACCGCCGATCTCGACGAGCTCTTCGCCCACGGGGTCGCTGCGAGACACTTCGCCAGCACCGACGTAGACTTGTACCTTACGGCTGGTCGCGAGACTCTACAGGCGGAGTCGCCCTCTGTGGAGGACAAGAAGAGCGCTGGATTGGAGAGCCCGCCTGTCGTGCTTCTGACGCGCGACGCTTGAAAGCCTGCACCTATGCAAAGACAGTCACTGTGGGATGGTGGGGGATGATGGGAACGGCAGATGCGCAAGAGTCGTGATAGCGCTTGGCTGATTTCCGAGCTCATGCGAGCAGTGACGAGGTGGAGCTGTGGTCATATTCTCGATTCTCCTTTGGTCGTTGACGTTCCCGGCGTGTCGCAGACTAGTAGCCAATCGGAAGCTTGCGTGCGAAAGGGGGATGGTGGTTCACGTCACTCCTTCGTAGTTGTAATCTCTTACAGAAGGAGAAACTCGAGAGCGTACCGAAGATGCCCGTCACGCGAGGGCGTGGTATGAATGGAGGGGGACGACAAGGGAACGAACGCTTGAGAAGAGGGTAGAGAAGCTGCCCCTACTGCCGCTGACGAGACGTCTGGCATCGAGATTGGAGAGTGCTTATCGTGCCGGGCGACGGTGTTGTGCGGATGCTCGAGGCTATGTATTCTGTGCGCTGCGTTGGGGCCTGCTGCTGCTCTCGCTGAGAGGGGACTGCCGCCGTCGGTGCCTTTGCGATTGAGCAGAGAGGCGTAGGCGCGGCTGGCTGGATGGTTGTGCTTATTGTGGGCGTGGCTGCCTGTTACGCTGCGCGATGGGCGTGACGTAGGCAGAGGCCCCATCGGCACCTCAAATGCTGCGCATGAGGAGAAAGACGTTGTGCAGGTAGACAACCATCCTTTCCGGGACGGGGCCTACGGCTGACTTCCTCTCCTTGACGCCGACATCCTTGACATCCCCTCGCTTGCGCAGGGTAGAGTACATGCAGGGGCATGCACCTACGCTAAGGCAGCGTGAAGATGATATTCTGCGGCGCAGGGTCAAAAAATTTACGTCAGCGTCGCCGCCTCGTGAGCAGATGGGTCTGAGAATGCTCACCTGTGGATTTCCATCCTCGCTGAGGTGGTCGATCTTGACCTCCGCGACCAGCGTCTTGTCCGTTGGCATGACGAATCTGCCGTATCCGCACCAGTCGTAGGCGGTGCCCGGCAAATCCACGATGCTCCACGCCCTGCCCTGCGGACTCGGTCGTAGCCGATATCTGCAGCCTCCGTCTGCCAGCTTCACCCCCGTCCCTGCCAAGTCGTCCCACCCGTCCGTGAAGATGAGATGCTCCTTGCGCGCAATGGATGCGACGTGCGCCAAGGGGTGCATCAAAGCGCTCCACTGAGGGCCGACGTCTTCTGCCTCTGGCGCCCACATCTCGACTGCGTTGTCCTCGTTATCCACCTGCACCATGAACAACCCGAGCATGTATGAGGCCTCCGCGCTGGCCGCTCGTGGTTGCACCCTCTCCACTCCGTACCCAGCGTGGCTGAAGCGAAGGGTCGCTGGCCCATCTCGCAAATGCGTATTGAGCTTGACCTCGAAAGTCGGAAGCTCAGGCGAGACTTTCACTTTGAAGATGCCACCGTCGACCCTGCCTCCAAATCCGCCTTGCAACAGGTACTCCCACATCGTCTTCCTGTCTCCCCCGCCGAGATGTCTACCCGCCGCCAGATTGTCCTCTCGTCCTCTACGACCTCGAACGGCCTGCTCGCCGGCAGATGATCGGTATATCGCACAAAGTCGATCTCGTTGTCAACGTCGACATTGATGTTGACCTCAACTGCTTCATCCTCGTCCTCTTCGCTGTCTGCGATAGGATCAGCGGAGTCGCGAGGTCCTTGAGGGGCGTGCGCGGAGGAGCCCTCGATGGGGTCGTCGTCGTCGTCGTCTTCGTCGTGGCTCCTGGCGGCGAGGCGGTGAGCGGCGGGCGAAAAGAGGCAGGCGGTGAAGTTGGGTCTCTCTCCCTTGAGGGCCTTGTTAAAGACGGCTTACTGGTCCCTTTGCTGGGCTGCTTGTCCTCTTTCGGCAATTGATGTTTGAGGGTGCCCTCGAGGTGTCAGCGAAGCCCAGCTTCGGGGCGTACCGGTTTGCCGGCGCGAATACGCCCCCCTTCGAAGGGAGCGCCAGTGAGCGAGCGCCGCGCCCACCGGGCCCCTCGTCGCCACGATGGCCCACTAGTCCTCCACCTGCTCCTGATAGCCCCAAGAAGAGGTGGCCGCTTTGACGCTGCCGGGGTTGCTGCTCCTCTGCGCACGCTCGATGCCGCGCATCTCCTCCCCGTGCTGCTGTGTGCGCCGCGATGTCTTCGCCTTCTCCAAAGTACTTGAAGAAGGGGGAGGGGGCGGGGGCAGCAGGGTGAGGAGCTTTGCACTTGACGAAGAATCCGTAAGTGCCAGAGCAGTGTGCAAGGCGGGCGTCGAGGTCGGGGCGGGCCACGAGGAGGTCCTTGGCGTCCTCAGCGCAGCGGATGTAGTGGAGCGCCGGGCAGGCCATCCTCCAGATGATCCACAGCGCGAGCTCTCGAGTCGTCAGCGACTGGAGGAAGAGCTCCGAGTCCATGGCAGATTTTCGGCCAATATCTGCGCGGTAGACGATCTCGACTTTGGCGATATGGCAGGCCGCCTCCAAATCTGCCAAGAGCATCCTCCCACCGGGCGTGTCCAGCCTCCTCTCCAGCTCCTCGAGCGCCTCTGCCGACGGGTACTCCTCGAGGTGCGCCGACCCCCACTCGCCGGTAATCTCCTCCAGCGCTTGCCTTGAGCGCGAGTTCACCATAGCCTCGCGCAGCTCCCGGATCTTGCCAAAGTCGCGGCGAGCCTTGAAAGCCCGCGGCTGATCCGGCAGGTCGACCAAGCCGGGGGCGACTTCCTCCCAAGGCGTTGAGAAATAGGAGCGAGGAGTCGGCGTGGCCGGCGGCGTCTCCTCCACCAGGATCGATGCTGACGCCGATGCCGCGCGGCGTCCTCTGCTCTGCGCCGAGCCTGCGAAAGGGTGTGTAGATGGTCAGTAGATGTGCGAGGCGAGTAGGTGCAGAGCGTACTGACCTTCAACATCCATCTCGCGCTCTTTTCCTTTCCCGCTGCCTTGACCCCTCATTTCAACATCCTCCTCCTCATCGCCTACGCGAGCGGCTCGCTCCGCATCTGCGGCTCGCTCTCTCTCCTCCCTTTGCTCCCTCTCAACGCGTTCCTTCTCCTCCGCCGCAGCTCGCTCCTCCTCCGCTCGCTGGCTCCTCGCAATGGCGTCGCGCCTCCTCTGCTGCGGATTTTGCCATTTCCTCCTCCACCTCGCGCTCCAGCCTTTCCCGCTGCTCCCTCGCCAGCTGCTCTCGGTTGAGCTGGGAGACTGCGAAGATGTCCGCGTCTCTGAGCAGCTGCGAGCCAGGCTGAGCTCCCGCGTCTCTCCCAAAGTTGAGCCCCTGGCTCAGTGAGGCCGCCGCTGCCATAGGGCCGGGCGACGAGGACCGACGGGCTGCTGAAGAAGCCCCACGAGTGCCACTGCCAGCGGAAGTCTCTGATAGCTCGCGAGAGGCAGCGGGGGAGACGACCCGGTCCGAGCGCCGGAACATGTTGCTCCACGGAGCCTGGTCTCTGACGGACCCCACGCCTTGATGATGAGGAGGAGGAGGAGGAGATGAGGGAGGATAGAAGATGGTGGTCGATGGCGCCTGAGGTCGGCGGAAGGCAGCAGGGCGCGTCTGTTGAGGGTGCGCGGGAGGAGGCATGCGCAACACAGATGATGATGCCGCCTCCTCGCCGACGCTTTGCGCTGCTGCCTGCTCCGGCTGGCTCGGCTCAGAAGAGCCATAGGGGTGCCGCCGGACCACCTGCCAAAAGCGCTGCTCCACCACACCTGGCTGCCTGATCGGGGGAGCCAGCACACACGTCTCATTGAAGACGCCGTCGACGGACAAGGTGAGGCCATCTTCGATGCGTGGCGCGGGGGGACGCACGCGAGAAGGGAGAAAGTTGAAGATTGGCTCCTCTTCGGGAGCTGGCTCGATGAGCGCCTCCTTCATCAGCTCTTCGTAGATCACAGCTTCCTTGTGCTTGCTGGGCTGCTGCTGTCGTTGGGCCCGGGCGAGTGCGATTGCCGCGGCCAGGAGGTCGCGCGGGACCAGGGAGAGGATGGAGGCCCGTGAAACGGCCGGCGAAGAGCCTGGCGCGCGTCCTGGGGTTTGAGAGGAAGGACGACGGAATTGAGGGGGCGTCGATTTTTGCCCTCGCCTCGTCGTACCTCTCCGCCGCCTCCTCCGCCGCCACCTGCTGGAGCGCCCGCCTATCCTGCCTCTTGGCCAGCGAGCCGTGTAGCGTCTTGAAGGGCACAGCGGGCGGCGCGCTGTTGCCCCCTTCGAGCTCGCGGTGGTCAAACCAAGCCCCATTGAAGAGGTTGGTCGACGGATAGTTGCGAGCAGAAGCGACGCAACGGAAGAAGGCACACCCGATGTGCTCGTGGTACGCCTCTACCATCCTGATGAGGTACCTGCAACGGTCCTCGCCAGTCAGGCAGAGGCGGCACCCAAAGTCCTTCAAGGTGTACCCGTCCTCCAGCTCCAGCGGCCCACAGACGCGCACCAGCCACGCAGCCATCGCCTCTACGCCCAGCCCCTCCGGCCCCCTCGTCAGCACAAAGGACCATTCGCCCTCGACCTTGTGCCTGTAGAGGTCCGGTTGCTTCTAAGACTGCCTCTGGAACCTCCCCTGGTCGTCCTCCTCGCCAGCCCAGCGCAGCACAATGATCTCTCGCGCGTGCTGCTTTGAGCTCTCAGCGACCGACAGGCCGTAGGCGATGCCCACGTAGAAGACCAGCAATGAGCGGCGGCTGTCGAGAAGCGATACGTACTTGACGACGCGCAAGCAGGTCCCCGTCGAGTTGCAGGCGTGGGCATTCAGAGCCGGGCGAGCATTTAGGAGGTGCTCCGCATCCTTGGCCGATCGAATGTAGAACGGCGCGAGGCACAGCATGTAGAAGAGCGCATGCTTCCTCGTCGTGAGGGCGCGACTGAAACAGTCGAGGTCTACGCGTCTTTACCACCCGGCGTCCAGTCGTACCAATTCTGCATTGCCCGCTGGACAGTCATATTCTCGACCACGACCTGATAGTGGCGTATCATGAATGAGGCCTCAGGTGTGGCCGACCTTGGTTGGGGCGGAAGCTTCGTGTCTGGGCGGCCAAGGAGCTTCAGCCTCGCAGGTCCGTCGGCAAAGGGCACGCCGAGCTTGACCTCGAGCAAGGGCAGCGACGGGGACAGCACCACCTGCAAGCAGCCATCAACGACGTGACCCTCGAAGCCACGACGCATCTGGCGCCAGATCCCTACCCGCTCCTCTAAGCTTGGCTCAGCGAGGCGGTAGACGACCCTCTTGAGCAGGTCGAGGCCGTGACGTGCCCCTGGCTATGGCTGCGCGGAGGCGGAGGACTCGACGATGGGGAGCTCGTCGACGTACCTGACTTTGTCGACTTTGTCCTCAAACAGGATGTTCAGAGGACCTTCTGCGAAGATGGCGTCATTGTCGTCGTCGTTCGTCGGGTCGTCGGATCGTCGTCGTCGTCGGAGCTGTGCGTCGACTGGCAGAGGGCGCTGCCGGACATGCTCCTCGAGGCAGTAGTTGAGAGGGTGGCCTGGAAGGCGGAGGAAGTGGCGGCGGAGGAGCGGGAGGGACCAGCGCTCGCAAAGGGACGCTGAGTAAATAGGCTTGAAGTGACCGAGAATTTGTCGATGCCCTCGACGGCCATGTCGAAGCTGTTGAGCTTTGGTTCGGCTAGACTAGCCTGCGCTCAGACCGTGGTGATACGCCACGGTGAGGGCTGTACGAAGGTGAAGCTGTGCGCGAGCGAGGCAGGGAGGGTAGCAAGTCAGCGACACCGAAGCTTGACACGCGAGGGGAAAGACCAAGTCTACTTACCTCCATAATCCAGTGAAGGGACGCTATGATCTATGATCCGTTGTGCTACGTCCGGTAAGGTCAAGGAGGTACGAGACGAACTTCTCTCGGCCTTGACCTTGACCTTGTACCATGACGGGTAGGCTGAGGCGAAGTTCACGTGATAGTGAGGAGGGAGGATGTCAGCGACATGGGATGTCAGCGACATGGGATGGTAGCATGGGCTCGAGGCAGTATGCTCACCTCCTAATGGGTACGACACTCGCATCGATCTTGCTGAGTAGGGTACGTGTAGAACTGGACCTTGGCCGGGGTATAAGGCTTGATGATGATGATGACGACGAAGGCGCGCAGGGGGTAGGAGCATGGCCATAATGACGACGGCTAGGCTCGAGACCTGGGTGAGGCGTGTTGATGTCGATGCGGCGCGAGGGGTAGAGAGCGTTGTCGTAGACGATGACGAGTGTGGCCGAGGAGGACGAGGTGAGGTAAGAGGGTCGAGGTGGGTAGGGTGGGCTGCTTCTTGATGCGAGTCGAGGTGGGCGAGAGTAGGCTGGTTGGGTGGGTTGGTGAAGAGCTCAAGGAAGTCAAAGCTCTGAGGGATGGACAAAAAGTTCGAAGAGGGGGGGCGACGAAAAGCCTTCTTATACCATTCGTCCTCGAGGATGCGTCGACCAGAACCAGCGTCGACCCACCCTGTTTGGGGACGCTCGCTCAAACTGCTCAGCCTCATCACCGCCCAGCGGCATTGAACATCTGTATCACGATGGTCGTGTCACCATCAGTGGAAGATTAGAAGACGGCAAAGGAAGGTCTTGGCGGGCGAGTGGTGGGCGAGAGCATGATTAGATGGGTCGGCACTGTCGCTCGCTTGCTGCCTCGCTCAGCGACGCTCACCCAACATCGTCTTCGGCAGCGAGCATCCGGACCGAGCGCCACCAGCGAGACCAGGCACGGATGGGTAGTGGCTAATCGGAAGGCGGCAGAAGAGGGAGTCGGCGGGTGAGCGAGCGGGCGAGCGATGCCTGACGAGGTGATTGCGGTGGGGTGCAAGCAACAGAAAGAGGGTGCGAGCAACGCGAATGGTGATCAGGCGGAGCGAGTCTGCCGTTGCTCGCTGTTCGTTGATGTTCGATGCTCAAGGATGGTTGACTGGCGAAAGGAGCGAAGGAAAGGAGCGACTCGCCCGCTCCGCAGGAACAGAGTGGAGAGGCGTGATTGGTTTGTGTTTTTGCAGGCCCGTGCGCCGTGCGGGGCAAAGTCGTCGTCGGACCTGCAGGCACCAACCAGTCTTGCCCCCACGTACATGCGGGGCGGGGCGAAAGCGCAAAGCTAGGTACTCGTGCCCTTGGCTGCTTCTGCTTGTCTTCAATATTGCTCGGCGAGAGATGGCCGTCTTGGAGAGTAAAGTGGCAGCCATTTCACCGCACGAGTACCTAGCGAGGCGCTTCCTGCGGCGGGCGATCCTCCCCTCCAAGAGCTCACTGGTTGGCCGCTCGTCGCAATGAGCTCGAGTCTCTTACTCCGCCCTCCTTCCCCTCCTCCCCACACCATCCGCTCCTACCTCGCACTCTCTCGCCGCCTTCTCTCACGCCATGAACTTCATGATCTGGAGGATCCATTGCGCCGACGACGGCACTCGCTACTACCTGCGCTTGCCACTTGGGGAGACCCGCGCCCGCTCCGATGGTGACAACTATGTTGCAATGCTGGCAGTGATTAAGCCGGGCCGACCCTCTGATCTTGTACAGGAAGAGCTCATAGTTTTCGACTTGTTGAAGTCCTTGTGGAAGGTAGACATCTACTCGATCCCGTACTACAAGCTGGACGCCAATGCCAATGACCTACTCTTACGACGTGAGGATATCTGCTACGCGGTCGCCAAGCCAACCCTCGATCCAGCAGCCGAAGAGCAGTACTTTGCCGTCGAGGTCTGCGAGTCTCGCGTCGACCCTTCCACCGCTTTCTCTACGGCTTCGACATCCCTTTGCGACCAGCTGCAGCACCTGGAGCTCGACAGCTCTACCGCTGCTTTGCGTGAGGAGGACTGAGCGGCAAGTTAGGCAGGCAACGTCGGCGGCGTAGGGGATGGAGAGCTTGTAGAGGAAGCAGGGCGTGATGCGCAAGGCCACAAGGTGAGTCGAGGTTACCGTCATGCCTTTGCCCTACACCTGTCCATTGACCCTTGCTCCCTCTCTCGCTCTGCGCAGCATAGAAAGCATCCACAGGGGAGCAATCTCCCTTCTCTGCCTGCGTGCAGCCCTCCCTTCTCTGCCTGCATAACGCCTCCCACCCTTCAAAGCCCGCTCGCCCTTTCCCCCTCTCTCTCAAAACCCTGGCTGTATACTCGTTCACGCTTTCAATGACCATCCACATCCCTTCTACCTGCCATCGATCGAGTCCCGAGATGGAGGGAGAAGCTGAGCTTTGTCTGCGTTGAAGTGTGACAAAGCGAGTGGAGTCGAAGATGTCCAAAAAGAGAGAGAGAAAGTCGAGAGAGTATTCATCAAGGTCACAAGCTCATGCTGCGCTCCATCGTTGGCGGGCCAGCAGCAACTGACGCCTGCAGGTCAATCCTCCTCGCTGCTTGCGCCAAAATTGAGCCTCCGGGCTTGAAGAGCTCCACATCCTTGCAACCGCGGGAGAGAGCGACGAGGTTGAGGAGGAAAAAGACCATCCATTCCGGCGCAACGTCGTGTAGCCTCTTCTTGTCGCGTGACTGCGGCCCGATCGGCCTGGTAACATCGCGCGTGCGAAGAGCGTAGTAGGTCTCTTTGTACAAGGCTCGAGAAGGCTTGCCGTCCTTCTTGCGGATGCCTCCCGTCTCGTTGGCATACAAGATGATGTCGTATGGGAAGCCGTTGGGGTCTTGATGAGGGAGTTTGACCTCCGCACGCGGCCTACATTCTGCGATGAGCTGGAATGTGGCCCATTCCGCCCATGTGCACGCATCGCCTGGTACGTCGATGATGCTCCAACCCTCTCTCATGCTGTGGGTGAGCCTGCAACTGCTCCCATCCAGACGAAGACGTACGCCCATTCCAACCAGCAGACCATGGCATTCTGCGCCGACGTAGGGGAGCGGATCCTGCATCGTCTCCGAGGCTACGACTCCCAACGGCCGTAACAGGGCACTCCAGTCCTTCCCCACGTCCTCACCGACTGGGGCCCACTTGAAGCCATCTTGCGTGACCATGCTGGTGAGGAAAATGTCGTGCCGCTCCAGCATGTACGATACCTCCGCTGTGGCTGTCCTCGGCTTGGTAGGGAGAGTTTGCCAGGAGCTCAAATGGGAGAAGTGGATCTTCGTGGGCCCGTCTAAGAAGGGGACGTTGAGCTTGACCCATGTAGGCGAGAGGGAGGAAGACAGCTGTACGTGAAAAATAGCCATTCCTGACCTCGCCGAGGAATCCACCTTGGACGACGCTGCGCCACAGTGCCTCTCTTTCTGCTGCTGGGTGAGGCCTAGCCCGACGGAAGACGGCCCCCTCGCTGGCGTCTACATGGAAGAGTAGGTCCCCTGGTACTGGTAGCGCAGCCACGTAGTGGACCCTCTCGATCCGGCCCTTGTGTATCACGTTGAGGGGACCCTCCTTCGCCTCACCGTCATCCTCACGTGCGGCCTCGTGGATCGTAGCCTCTTGAAGGGGCATCGTCAGGTCGAGCTGGCCGCTAAACAGCTCAGCGGCGTCATCGTTTGTCAAAGAGGGAGAGCCCTGAGGTGAGCTTTCAGGGCTGATTGTGGGAGAGAGGGAGCGTCTAGGCGGCGAAGAGGTGATGGAGGATGGAGGTGGGCTGCGGAGGTCGAATCGAGTCGATGGCTCGTATGAGTGACCTGTAACTGATTTCGATGAAGGAGCGGGCTGTGGAACAGTGATGGTGAATCGGCGTCGAGGGAGCAGGACGCCAAACGAGGAGATTGTGACCCTCTCCGGGCTTGGGGTTGCGCCGGGAGACATGGCGTTCTGCGTGTCGGCGAAGAACAAGAGCGCAGATAAAGAGCAAGCGTAGTCTGCTGCTTAGGTGAAAAGTCAGAAGAGGAAGACGTCTTGCGCGATTCGAGCTAGGACGGACCGCTCGCCAAACAAGGATCCATCGTCAGGTACAAGGACGGCCAGACGACTTGGCAGCAAACGCCGCCCTGCCTTCTCGTCGTCTGCTGAAAATCAGATCTTCGTTTTACGCTCGCCATGTTGTTCGCTCTTCCTCAGTCGTAGTCTTTCATCCAGAGTGCTCTAAGTAGTGAGCATGGGAATAGGATCATCGTGCTAAAGGAGCGAAGGAGAAGTGGAGTCGAGTCGGCTGCATGAATCTTTCCACGCCCAGATCCTCATCCATGGGCACGAGGGCACAGAGGCACACGGCCTCGTCCCCCATGCACGACGAAGCGGCGTGCAGCTGGGTGCAGATTGTCCGCTTTGCTGAATCTCGCGCTATCCTTTGTCTCCTGCTTTCTACCTCCTTCACTCTCCTCACCTTTCATCTCGAAGCAGATCTCGCAGTGATACGCCGCATGGAGTCTGGCTGCCCCTGCCTCATCCTACAACGTTCTCAACGGCCATACTTCGCTCAGCAGAGAATGTATGACTCGCACAACGCAGTCGTCTGGATGGGGTGCGTTGCCGTGAGGGAGGGGGCCGACGCATATAATATGGGGCATCACAAACAGATGAGCATGCGGGACTCTCCAGCTTTTCTGCCCACCCAAGCAACGGCGTCGTATTCTTCTTCACTCAGTCTTGCCCCTTCGCCAATCCACTATCTGCTCGCTCATTGCCTACCGGTCGCCCACCTCTCTCTGACAGCGATTCGCGTCGCACACCTAACTTGCTCATGCGAATTACATTGGACTCGCTGGGCATCTCTACGTCTCTTGCTCGTCTGAAGGCCTCCGCATCGTAATCACTTAGCGCTATTCAGGTAGCATACACTCGCTCTCTTGCAATCATCTGGTCGTTGATCCCCCTCTCCATCCGCGTCCCCCTCTCCCTTTTCTTCGCAAACCTCGTCCTTAGCCCCATCCTAATTAGGGCCTTCAACTATTATCAAGTGCGGCGATATGCGGCCGGGCGAAGGGAAAGGACGAGGATCAGGTGCAATTGGCGGGAGGGTACCTATTGGGTTGAGATGAAGGAGGAGACGATGATGTTCGAGAGCGAGTCGTGAGACGAGCCAATCCATGCCCTACCACTACTCCACGCCACGTCGCGCCTAGCTATGCCAGCCACAACGTCGCATGACCCTCTGTGGGGTCGCCTGACCTACGCCACGTCCAATCACCTTTCGCGAGAGGATGCGCGTCTTCTCCCTCCCCTCTCGATCCGCTACGCCCCCCTGAATCCGCGGCGCAACACCAACAATTACCTGTATCGTCGCGCCGTCGCTGGACGTATCTGGTCCTTGCTCCGCCAGTCACACCCCCATCAGCGACAGCTGCCACGCATCGCCTTTCCGCAAACCTCCTGTTCAGGCGTCTCGTACGCGTACGGGTTCATCGATCTGGTCTTTCAGGACGAAGCTGCTCATCATGCCGCGTTGCATTCCCTACTCCGCTTCGAGGTGGATGTGGGTGGCAAAGTCAACTTTGAGCAGGTCATGTGGTGCGGTTCACTCCCGCGAGGCCTCTTCACGCTCGACTGTGTAGCAATGCAATGCGTCCTGCCCGTCGGCGCAGAGGCGAAGTTGAGGAGATTGGCAAGCGCCGTTGGAGTGTGCGCGGCCGTCACGCTGCTCGAGTGTAGATGCTGCACAGGCCGTCTTGCAAGCCCGACGTCCATTTTGCGTGCGTGGTTCAGGCCAGACGAGGGTGAGGGCGAGGGTGCGGAGTTGCTCAAGGGCCTGCCGCCCAACTTGGTGATCAATCGAGTGAACTACCCGCTCGTCCTCTCTGGCGTTCGAGGCATCGAGGCGCTCAGCCCTTGGATAGCTGCTACGAAGGGTGGGCAAGGCGGATGGAGGGGAGGGACGAAGCGCTGTCAAGTTTGAATGTTGTATGGAGAGCGAGCAAAGGAAGTCGACTTCGCCAAAATCAAAAAAAGGCGGGACGGACAAATCGTCGACGCTCAGCTCGCTCGCAGCGGTGTTTGAATCAAGGCACATGCAGGAGCAGAGGACGTGGGCGGGGGGAGGGACGAGCGAGATGCGGCTACTCCGCTCGGTTGGGTGCGGAGCCCCACGTTTGGAGGGTCGGAGAATAGCTGGGCGCCATGCTGCAGTTCAATCAAGACGTGCGTGATCGATTTGTGATAGATCAGTCATAGTCTGCTGCCCGCGTGCCCAGCTACCCTTCAATGTGCAATTTTTTTGAAAACGTCTTTGTGGCGGTATAAAGAGGCAGGCCCGCCCACCATGTCCTGCCACCCCTGCAACATCTCATCACGCCCACGATGCTCTCCCTCCTCGCCCTCGCCCCCCTGTACCTCGCACTTACCCCGCTCGCCGCCCTCTGCGCCACCCTCACCCCGCGCGATGCAACCTATTGCGCCAAAGGCTCACCCTGCTTCCCCTCCGCAGCCGACCTCGCCGCCTTCAACACCTCCATCTCCGGTCGACTCTATTCTGCCCGCCCAATCTCCTCCGTCTGCTATGCCAAAGACCCCTCCTTCAATCCCGTAGCGTGCGGCGAGCTTCAGGCAAACAACGGCAACGATCAGTGGCGCTCTGATCATTTCGGCGCCTTTGAACAGACACAGTGGGAAGACTGTAACAGCCAAGACCAATGTGGGAATGATGCGGCGTCCTTCGCCGCGGGACAGTGCGGGCAGGTACGTACGCGGCGCGGCGTGACTAGAATCCTGTGCGGCACGCTGACCTCCTCGCGCCTCTCGCCGCACAGGGCCGTATCCCAGACTACTTCGTCGATGCTCGCTCTCCTGCAGACATTCAGGCATGGGCTCGCTTCGTCTACCAGCACAACCTGCGCCCCACGATCAAGAATACGGGACACGACTACAAGGGTCGGTCTGCTGGGGATTCAGGCTTCGGGCTGTGGACGCACAACATCAAGGGGGCTACTCATGACACGGCCTTTGTGCCGAAAGGGTGCAAGGAAAAGTACGACGCAATTACCCTCCTCGCGGGCACGCAATGGCGGCAAGGGTATGAGTTTGCGGAGAGCGTTGGCCGCACGCTTGTTGGCGGGGATAATCCGCAGGTGGGAGCGGTAGGCGGGTGGCTGCTGGGTGGGGGACACTCTTTCCTCTCGACAGCGCATGGACTCGGAGTCGATCGCGTCGTGAGCATCGATTTGGTGAAGCCGACGGGCGAGCTCGAGACGATCACGGCCTGCTCAAACCCGGAGCTGTTCCGCTCTTTGCGCGGCGGTGGTGGTGGTACATTCGGCGTCGTGGCATCGGCGACTTACCAGAGTGAGTAACGGAGAGTGACCACGCTCCGCGCGCCGCGACGCCTACCGAAGCTAACTCTCGCTGGCTCTCACCCAACCCTCGCCGCCCCTCGTCCGCAGCGCTGCCCCGCATGCCCATCCACGCCCTCATTGCCCCCTCCCTCTCCCTCGGCGTCGGAAACCGCAAAAACAACGCAGTCCTCGCCGCTCTCGCCCGTATCACGCCAGACCTCAACGCCAACGGCATCGGCGGTGTCTGCTTCATCTCATCCAATGCATCCTTCACGCTCCTCGCCATGCCTTCCGACGTAGGCGACATGGCCAAGCTCAAGCGCCTCACCAAGCCGTACGCCGACTCACTCGTCTCGCTCGGCCTCTTGCATGGCGGGAACCTCCTCAACGGTAACGCGGGCGCGGCCCTGTACCAGACGTACTCGTCCTTCTACGACTTCTTTAGTACGACCTTTGGCACGTTCAATGAGCAAGTCGGCGCACCCATCCAAATCAGCTCGCGACTCATCCCCACCAAGTACTTCAAGTCCAACCCGCAAGGAGCAGCGGATGCAGTCCAGGCATCCCTCGACCACATCGCTTCGAGCATGAATGCCGGCGTGCAGATCCTAATGGGCCCGCCCGGCCCTCTCGCTGGCGGATTCAAGGGCGTCACGTCCGTCAATCCCGTCTGGTACGAGAGTGCGTGGCACGTCATCCCCTCTGCGACGTGGGCGCCCAATGCACCCGCGTCCGTGCAGCAGGCTACGACGCAGGCCGTGTGGGAGAGTGGGAACATGCTCCGCGCCTTTGCGCCTGATGGCGGGGCGTACCAGAATGAGGTGAGCCCCTACGAGACTGGGTACAAGCAGAGTCTGTGGGGGAGCGAGGCGAATTATCAGCGACTTGTCAAGGCAAAGAGGCAGGTGGACCCCAAGGGGCTTTGGGAGGTGTGGAACGGCGTGGGGTCCAGCGGCATCGATTCTGGGAGGTACTCGAGGTGCTACAAGCAGAACGCTCCGCGCGGGTATAGCCCATGAGGCGGCGACGTGGTGTTGGTGAGGATGATGCGTTGTTTCGACTGGAATATGATTCACGTCACACGGCAGGAGAGTCTCGAGAGAGAAAGGCTAGCGTGTTTTTGTAGACACGCCTGCTCCGCACCGCCCCGCTGCACGCCTGCACCGCCGCAAAGCCGCACCGCATCTCAATTCGCACGATCTACGATCTCGCTCCCATCGCCCCGCCCGCCGGATAAAGTCAGACCAGACCAGCGGCCGCGGCAGCGGCATGGCTCATTCACCCCCTCCCCCCAACCCTGTCGCACCTCGATCTCGACGTCCGCACCACACCAATCATCTCACCTCACACACAAATGGTCGGACTCGACATCGTAGGTCTCGGCCGCCTCACAATGACGAAGCGGGAGCTCAAGAGGATGAACGAGGAGCGATGGGCGCGAGAAAAGGAGCAGCGTGACGCAAAGTGGGCCGAGGAGCTGGCACTCCGTCGAGCGCGAGGACAGGCCGTGACGCAGTCGCCGCCGCCGCCGCAGTCGCAGGCGTCGACATCGAAGAAGGGAAAGGTGAGATGAAGCGATCGCAGCAGCGTGGCAGAACAATGTTAGCTGAACCCGTTGCAATCGCAGCCCGGCCAGGAAGCAGCACCGGTGCGACCTCTCCAGCGGATCGATACGGATCGGACATTGGTCGACTAGCTTCGCGCGTAGCCAATCAAATGATGATCTTTACTACAAAGCCAGCGAGTGCGACGTGCTCACCACGAGGATGTTCAGAGGAGAACAACGGCAATGCTCCCCAGAGCGAGGCACTTTCGAGGGCTTTGCCGAGTCGGGAAGGGGGGACGCTCATGAGAATACAACGGGAAATACTTTCCAGAGTAGAAAGGCGCGACCCTTGGCAGAGTAGAAAGAGGCACTCCCCTGAGTGGAAGGCGAGACGAGACACTTTCCTGAGTAGAGAAAAGCGCTTTACTGAGTCGAGAAGCGAGGCGGGCGAGACACTTTCCAGAGTAGCAAGAGGCACGCTTTCCAGAGTAGAACGTGAGACGCTTTCCTGACTCGAAAATGGAGGTGCTTTCCAGGGTAGAAAGTGAGGGGCTTTCCGCAATAGAAAGCGAGACGCTTTCCAGAGAAGAACGTGAGACGCTTCCCTCACTCAGAGATGGAGGCACTTTCCTGAGTAGAAAGCGAGACGCTTTTCGGAGGACGGAGCGAGTCGCTTTCCAGAGTAGAGAGGGACGCGCTGTGCTGAGTCGAAGAAGGAGATACTTTCCTGACTAGAAAGAAGGCGCGGCGCTTGCCTGACCAGGGCGCAGTCGCGACACTTTCTTGACCAGCAAGAAAGCGCGAACGCTTTCCATGGTAGAAAGAAGGAGATTCTCGGCAGCGCTTGGAGGGGAGGAAAAGAGGGAGATGTAAGGCGATGCCAGCACGCAGCGCTTCCCGTCCTCTTCTATCAAGATAGAATGCGATGAGACGACTAAGGTGAATCGATTGGTAGAAGAGCGAAGGCAACGTCCAAGTGAGCGCGCACCTCGTCTCCGCCTCTCTGCCTCTCCGCCCGGCCCCACGCCCGTCCCCCCGCCCCGCTGCACGCCTGCGTCAGTCCAGATGCAGCCCGATTCGACCGGCCTCAAGTTGAACCGGAGACCGGGCGGGCTCGGCATCTTGACTCTCTACCACACACTCCATCTCACGCCACGCCGCGCCACGCCATCTCACCCCGCACACACGCCGCACGCAATGCTCGGACTCGACCTGCTAGGCCTTGGCCGTCTCCAACTCACAAAGCGCGAGCTCAAGAAGATGAACGAGGAGCGTTGGGCGAAGGAAAAGGAGGAGCGCGATGCCAAGAGGGCAGAGGAGCGCGGCGCGACGCAGAAGGTGAGGCGAGAGCGAGGAGAGGGCGATAGACCGTTGGCTGACCTTTCGCTGCGCTCTTCCTCAGGCACCGCAGCGAGTGGACACGGAACGCACGCTGGTCAACTAGCGGGGTGTGGCTTCTACGTGCGATTATGGCAATCGAAATGATAATGAAACGCGGCGAGGGCCGTCGATGCTGCGTTACCCCCCGCTCTGCTCGCTCTAACCCCCCGCTGCTCGCTCTGCTCGCCCCACGCCGCGCTCACGCCCCGCCGCGACATTGCTCCACGAACCTCGCGAACGCCGCTTTCCACTTCTTGCCCTGCTCCAACGCAACGAGATCCCGCACAAAGTCCTGGGCGAGGGCGTCTGGGCACCCGATGCGGGGCAGATATACGCGCGTCAACCACCCACCCAGCTCCTCCGCCCCTCGCTTCGCCAGCACCCCCTTGAGCAGCTGCGAAATCTCGGTCACGACCATCTGTGACTGCGCGTCGGCGAGATCAAACGACGGCGAGGCAGGTACCGTGAACGCTAATGGCACGAGCGTGTCGTAGATCCACGTCGTAAAGTCGGGAGGAGGAGCCGCCGCCCCATTCCCCTCGCCGCCACCCCACACGCTCACCAGCCGGTGCAGGATGCCAAACGACGCGCGCTGACACGGCGGGTCGCCATTCTCGGCGTAATACACGATGCTGGCGAGCACCGCTTCGAGCTGCGCCTTGTTGCGCTCGCTCGTCAACACCCCGTCCATACCCGCGCTGCCCACCAACGAGCTCAAGAAGGAAATGTACCCGCGTTGCAGCTCCGCTCGCGCGACGGCATCGTCCGTCCCGCCGACCTCTTGGTTGAGGAAATGCCACACCCGCTCCACCAGTACGAGGAAGAGCTCGTCGATGACCCCGGCAACGGACGTGCGGTACTTGGCGACGATGAGGCCGAGGAACGAGAGAAAGTCGACCAACTCGGGCGAGGAGAGGTGGGGGAGTAGCGAGCGGATGAGCGCCGGGATGAACGGCAGCACCGTCGCGCCCGTGGTGGCCACGATGCGCGCAAAGGCCCCACGCGCGGCGTCGCGTATGATGGAGAAGCGTGTGAGAGAGGAGAGGGCGACGAGAATCTGCTCCGTGACGTGGGTGAAGACGGCGAGTGGCGGGGACGACGACGACGCCGACGCCGAGTCAGGCGAATTGTCCGGGAACCCCTTAGCTACGTTGCTGAGGGCAAGGATGAGGTCGTGGACTTGGAGCACCTCGCGCAGCGCGCCCTCGTTCCCCGCATACGCTCCCACTGCTTGATGTAATTGCGCCACGAGCGGGTCGCACACCGCCGTGAGAAGCGCCGCTTGCTGCTCGCCCGTGCCCGCGCGTGCGATGAGCGTCCCACAGGCCTCGAATAGGTGAAGCTGTGAGTCCGAGTCGCGCGACGACTGAGTGGCGGCCACGAGCGGGTCCTCGTCTTGCCCCGCCGCGGGAAGCGTTGCGTTGACGTTGAGCGCGGCCTTGAGCGCCTCCAAGACACGCTCGACGTATTGCGCCGGGAGCAGCGAGCCCGTCTCTTTGACGAAGCGAGAAAAGATGTACCACGCGCGGAGGCGAACGCTAGCCTTGGGGTTGTAGACGCCGCGCTCGTCGAGGAATGCGAATAGCGCCCCAGCGAGGTGGTCCGGTCGAGCAAAGAAAAAGGTGGCGTAGCGGTTGAGGCATTCAAAGAATTGCAGCTGGACGGCCGGATGCGGGAACGACGAGACCGATGAGGCGACGAGTGTTTCGATGAGGGAGCCGAGCGGGTTGAGAGGGAGCGTTGGGTAGACGGAGGGGGACATCCTGCGCGAGCGTGAGCGGTCGGCGCGAGTGGGGGACGAGAAGAGTCAGCGCGAGCGGGGGACGAGAAGCTCTGTTGGTGCGGGTCTCGCACACGGCACTTACTTGTTTCTCGCACGCGCCGCATCCCCCGGCAGCGTCACAAACGTATTGGCGTTGACGCCCACCTTTGGTACCCCCGGCGTCGACACCAGAACCTCGACGTAAAAGTACGCAGCGTACACCGCAACCTCGGCCCGTTGCCACGACACCCCACCCCCCGGTAGCGCCCCGAGCGTGCCTACGATGAGCGACTGCACCCTCTCTGCGAATATCGCCTCATCGATCGCGGCCACCGCCGCCAGGATGACCTGCAGGCTCTTGCGCAGCGCGATAAAGTGTGCGGTCTCGTCGTCGTCGTCGTCCTCATCGCAGTCCACGCCCTCCGCGCCGTCATCCCACTGCATCTTGCGCAAGACCACGTCCACCAGCGAGGCGAGCGCGCCGAGGTAAGGCTCGGGGAGGGCGCCAGCTTTCCTGCGCCGCTTGAGGTAGCTCAGCACCGCACTCGTGCCGCTCAGCGTGCCTTCGGTCACCTCGTCGTACTCGTCGCCAAAGAATGCGAGCACGAGTGGCAGGTGCGCGACCAACATCTCGTCCGCAGCGCGCGTCGTCTCCGCGTCCACGGCCGTGTCCTCGAACACCTTGGCTAGCTCGAGCGTGACGCCATTTGCCAGCTTGGCCAGTGACTCCCGCAGCTCTACGCCCTCATCCCCCGCGCCATCCCCGTGCCGCACAACCCGCGTCTGCGCCTCGAGCGTGGCCACGACCCGCGTCAAATCGAGGACCCGCAGTAAATCCACCTTCCCCGCGCCCTTCATCCCCTTGCCAATCACCTCGCACAGCGCCTCGGCCGCCGCCCTACGCAGCGTCACCACGCTATGCTGCAGGAGCGCAAAGAAGAGCTCCACGCTGCGCGGCGTCACCATGAGCGAAATGTCGATCCAGCTCACGTAGTCGCCCACAACGCTAATGGCCATCTCCGCCACGCCGACCCAAACACTCTGCTGTCCCTCCGCCTTGATGCGCTGTACGCTCTCCTCGACGACGCCCCACACCGCCTCTGCCACTCCAACCGCATGGCTTGCCCGTATCGAGTCGCGGATCATCGAGTCGCGCTGTAGCCTCTCCTTGGAGCGCACCGCACGCAGCGTCACGTCTGAGCCGAGGGTGATGCTCAAGTCGTGCAGGACGCGCAGCACCAGGTCCGTAGGCGTCGGGTTGAGGGGCGGCGGAGAGGACGAGGAAGACGAAGCTTGCGGGTGAGAACGAAAGAGGGAGACTAGGCGCGGGAGGAGCGTGGCGGGCTGCGTAAAGGTGTAGGACTGGAGGACCAGCTGGGTGAGGAGCTGAGCGAGCTTGTTCTTGATGTCTGTATGCGTGGGCAGCGAGGGGCGTTAGCATATATTCACCTGCCACCACGCGCCGCCACGCGCCGCCCGCTCACATGAAGCGCCGCGCTCGCCGCTGCCCGAAACGAATTCGCTGTCCAGATACGCCAGGACAGCTTCTTGAAGAAATGCTACAGCGCCAGCAGGATCTGAAGCAGCGGTGACGCTACGAGTGGGAGAGGAGCGCGGAGCGCATGGTCAGCTTGCCTCGCCTCGCCATGCCCCTGGCCTGCTCGCACGCGCGACACTCACTGATTCTCGAGAAATTCCGCAACGAGGTTAAGCCCAAACAACCTCTCTTGATCCCCGTACCGCGGCCCCGCTCCTCGCTCATCTCTCGCTGCATAGACGGCCCATCCCGCTTCCCAGCTCTCATGCGTAATCGTCTTGAGGTGCTCGAGGAAGCGCAGCGCCTCTTGTGGCAGCGCAGGGTCCGTTACCGCCGCCGGGTTCGAGGCGATCGAGACCGCCTGGACCAGCTGCTCCTCCATTTGCGGGCGGGCAGCGAGGCAGGAGAGGTCGGTCAGGATCTATGCTATGCTATGCTACGCTGAGGCGATACGATGGGAAAGAGGGGATCTCGCGCGCGTGGAGGAAGGAAGCAAAGAAAGCATCCAATCGACGCCCGCCCGGCCGCCCGCCCGCCTCGCAAGCAACACTTCGCAAAACGGGGCGGCGGGCGGCGGGCGGCGGGCGAGGCGACTCGAGCCACGTGAGCCAGTCCGACTTCGCGCGCTCCTCCCAAGTCCAGAGGGGACGGAAGCAGCTACTTTCCACGTCCAGTAGCGATAACAAGAAGCGCAACTGCAATGCCAGCCCCGCAAAGACCCAAGACAGCACGCCAAAGCCGCGCTACCATGACGCTCTGATCGATTAGTGAGGCGATCTTGCCCGAGACAATTCGGACGGTAAAGAGCACCATTAACTCGTTCCTGACCCGAAATCGAGGAGGAAGAGCTTGTCAGGCCCAAAAGAGACGAGCAGAGGTGGCTACGAGGGTAACACTTTGCAGACCCAAACGATCGCCCCTTTCCAGACCTGAATGCGCTACCATCCGTTTCCAAACCCACAAAGCAGCACGTCCTGCCCTTCCCGAGCCCACAGAAAGCGCTGGTGCAGCTTTCCAGACCCAGAATGGGTACCGACAATCCAGAGAGGGAGCTGGGATAGCTTTCCAGCCCAAAAAGCGCATGACATCCCTCCGATCACCAGAAGAGCTTTCCAAACCCACGTGAGGCACCTCCAGACCTTCCCAGACCGTAGAAGGGGCGCCCAACTCCTTTCCAAACCCTCAACAAGCACCAGCAACTCGATCAAGCCCCCGAACCGGATCTTCGTCCCCTTCCCAGATCCTGAAGAAGGGATACGAAGACTTCCCAGCCCGGAAGTAGATGCCCGAGCTACGAACACTACGCTGCAAGCCTACCGACCCTTTCCGGACCCTGAGTAGGAGGAGAGAGGAGTGGTCAAGGAGAGGTGAAGTAAGGGCCAAGGGGGGCAGCACGGCCGTAACGCTGACGCGTTACGGCGTGCGACGCAAAGGACTACGAGCTCGAAGCTGGTGGCGAGGAACGCGGTCGACGTGAATGGTGCTCGTATTCGCTGGCTGGGAACGGTGAGTGGGGGACGGACACTGAGAGAGAGGTAGAGATAGAGAAAGAGGTGGGACATTACGCTACGACTGCGCTACGCTACCACCGCGTCACCACCGCGGTACCATCGCGCTACGCCCACTTTGCGGCAGCTCGCCTCCCCATGCCAGGCCCACGCTTCTTCTGCCTCTTGGCTTGCTCGCGCTCGCGCTTCTCCTTCGCACGCCCTCGCTGCGCCTCCAACCGCTTCTTCCACGTCGCTACGCGCTCCCGCACCTTCTCCTCTGTCAACTCGCTGCGACGCCTCCGCTTGTGCCCGCGCGTAAAGACAACCTCTGCTCCACGCGCCGCGTCCTGAAACCACTTGCGCACGGGCTCCTCGATCCGCTCCTTGCGCTTCTGGCTGAGATCGCGAGCCCCACGCGCAGCATCCTGCGCCCATCTGCGGACAGGCTCCTCGATGAGCTCCTTGTGCTTCTGCGTCAGATCGCGCGCTACGCTGCTCTCGCACACGCGCGCGTACAGTACCGCAGACCCGACAGCCGCACGTCGCATGTGTAGCTGCGTGGCGCGCCGCATCTCCTCGTAGGCAGGACCGTGTTGTCGCTTGATATCCTCCCACTTGGCCGCAGCGCGGGCGTGCTGGCGTTTCGCGTCGGCGTAGAGGGACTCCAAGAACGGACGTACGACGTGCAGCCACAGCGCTTCCAGCTTTGCCTGCCAGTATGCCCACTCGTCCCGCGCCTCGGCCTGAACTCGATCCTTGCCGTACTTGAGGAAGGCAAACCCGTCCTCGACCCACTTGCCCCTCTTGCTGCTCTGCTGCTGGAGTAGCGCGCGCGGCTTGGAGAGGACCACGTCGACGTACTGGTGGTAGAGAGCCACGTCCGTTGATAGATTCTTGACCACGAGCGCTACATCTGTCGCCGTGGTGCGAGGCGTCGCCGCGGGGGGCTTGACTGCGATGGCCTTTGTTGAGGACCAGTCGGCCTTGGCGATGCGGGGAAAGGAGGCGAGGGGCGTGTTTGCGGGTGGCGTCGACGATGATGACGACGACGAGGAGGAGAACTCGCGCGCCGTGCCTTGCAAGTTGGGCAGCCCCAGCGCTGAAAGGGAGCGCGCGGCCATGAGCGGGAGAGCTGGGGTGACGAGCCAGAGTGCGCTGCCTAGCCCTACGACTGCAAAGAGCCAGCCGACGACGACAAAAAGAAGGGCCATGTTGCGCAGACGATTCTTGGGTGCGTCCGAGTGGTGTGATGCCGTACGCGATGACGGGCCAGCGTCTTGCTCTTCGTTCTCGCCACGCCTCGTCGACTGCGAGAGCCAGTGGAGGATCTTGCCGTGTACTCCAAAGTCGACGTCGGCGGTGGCGTACTTGTCGTGGAACTCGCGCTCGGGGGCGGTGGTTGCAGCAGCGAAGTCTTGGCCCGCTTGACCAGCAGCTGAGGATCCGCCATGGTAGTGTGGCGAGTCACGCGAGTCGCGCGACTCTACGGGACTCAGACCCTGGCTAGGCGGCGAGTTGGGGTCGGGAAAAGAGAAACTCGACTGCGTCATGTCGGTGAGGCGAGGCGGCGTTGTAGTCGCGGCGTCAAGCACAGCGCTTTGCGTCGTAGGGGTCTCGACCTCCTCCATGCTCAGCGTAGACTCGCCGAGGTAGCTCTGACGCAGGCGATTCACCGAGGGCGAGGTAGCGGCGGTGGCAGCCGCTACGGCGTTGTCGCGACCAGGGGTGGCCGTACCGGAGAGCCAGGACTGCGTGGCATTCGGGGCGGTCATACGTGTGTCGTCGTCACCACGACTGCTGGTCTCGCTCCCGTCGTCGCGGTCGATTAGTTCAAAGTCTTCCCCGTCGAGGCTAGAGATATCACTGAGCCCGGGATCCTCGAGGAGGGAGGGCGTCTGCGATGAAGGTGACGAGGCGAGAAGGTCGACGCCAGGCGAGAGTGGGCGACGCTGCGCATGCTGAGCGGCCATTGTTGTTAGGCTGCGCGCCGGTGCGTCGCTCTCGGGCGATGAGGAGAAGATGGACGACATCTGGGGCGCGGCGAGGATGAGGGTGAGGTGAGAGTGACGATGAGAGGGGATGAGGGGATGAGAGCGTTGCTTAGCATCCGTTTGCTGCCGGTCTCACCTTGTAGTTGCGCGCGCGATCAGATGCTAATCAAGCTGCTCAGCACCCACTGCTCTCTGGCTGGCGGCTTGCACGCCTACGCAAGGCTGAGCTGAGCGGTGTTGGTCTTGGTGTGTGTGTGTTGGACGGAAGAGCGTCGAGGGGTGCAAGAAGTAGAGAAGGAAAAGTGAGAGCCACAAGCGTATGTTCGATACGATGGTAATGGAGCAAAGTCAACCTGCGTTGCGTTGCCCGCACTCGAGCCCTCAACAAATTGCTGAGTCGCTGCTCTCGCGAGGGCGTCTCAGGACGGACGACGACGAGAGAGACAAGCGTTGGTTGCTGCCGGACCGCCTCGTCAGGCACAGGATCAGTCTGTCACGTTGCGCTCGAGCCACTTTAATTTCGCCGCCGTCATGACTACGAGGGGAGCCGGGGGCGGGGCGCGAAGCCGTGTTGCAGCAGGCACGGGAGATACCGCTCATCATTCCCGTCGAGCCACGCCATGAGAGCTAGCTATGGAGCAGCGAGCGCTCTGGGAGGGGATGACTTTAGCTTTGTCCCAATCAGAGCCTAAAAGCAAGGCTTCCAACACCAGAAAGGAGCAAAGCACCGACACTTTCCCGACTAGAGACGAAATGCAACGCTTTCCAGCCCCAGCCCGAGAGTGAAGTCCAACGCAGGTGAAGCGATGACACTTTCCCAACTAGAGTCGCGACGTAAGGCTTTCCAGGCAGGAGCCATGAGCAAAGCAGCGAAGCACTGACCGCTTCCCAACCAACGTCGAAGCCCCAAGCTCTCCACACCTCAAGTCGCGCAGACACCGATCCTTTCCAACCCACATGCGAAGAGCTGCGGTGAGTGACTGCGCACGGTATGCTAGACAAGGCACGGAGCGAAGTGAGGCTGCAGCTTCCTACATCCGCCCTCTTGCTCGCGCCGCCCTCGTGCTCGCCGCGCGGCGCTCACGCATCGACAAGCGCCCACATGTACACGCTAGCCAGACTGCGGTACGGCCTCCACGTCTCCGCAAGGCTCTCCATCTCCGCCGCGCTCAGGTAGACGTTTCCCTTTGTCTTTGTCCCATTCTTGCGCGCATTGAGCTGTGCAGATGTGAGACCGCTTGAGGCTGGCAGTGCGGGTACTGTGGGTGTCTTGCTAGGTTCTTGGGAATGCTCGTCGAGCGTGGGCAGAGCGGCCAGATCTTCGCCGCCATCGATGGGCGCCTCCCCCTCCTGTACGGCCTGCACCACCTTCTCCTCCTCCTCGGGTAGCGCCTTTGCACTCTTGATGGCGGGCCCCTCCCTTCCACTAGCCCAAAGCAGTACCATTCCCTTCTGCACCCCCAGGTCCCCCACGGGCAGCACGTCGGGGCGACGCAGTGCAAAAATGAGCAACATCTGCGCCGTCCAGACGCCTACGCCTTTAATGGCAACCAAAGTGCGGACGACGTCCTCCTCGTCCCGCATCGCCACGAGGGAGCGCACGTCCAGTCGTCCATCGGAGAAGCGACAAGCTATATCGCTCACGTAGCGCACCTTCTGCCCCGAGAGGCCCGCGCTGCGCAGAGTGGACTCGGAGGCGGAGCGTACCTGCAGTGGGGTGGGGAATGGCAACGCATCGCGAGGGAGGGTCTTGAAGTCTGGCTTTTCGGGAAGCCTGCGCGGTGAGACCAGAGAGCAGATCAAATCAGCGTACCGTTAACACGCGCCTTAATCTCTCGCGCCCCGCTACCCACTCTGGAAACCACAGGCGCGTAAACTTGTACAGAATCGCCCGCGCAGCAAGCCAGCTGACTTGCTGTCCTAGTATGCTAGTAACGAGCGTGCGGAACAGGTTGAGCTCCTTGCCGCCCTCACCTGAGATCTCCTCAAACACCTTGAGTGGAATACGCTCCACCAGCCGCTTGAAGCGCACATCTGCAGCCACGAGGTGCTCTTTGCCGTGCGCGAGGTCGAAGGGGAGAGAGGGCATGGCGATTGTTGTGCAGCGGGCGATCTCTTCTTCTGACAGCAGGGGGAGCTCCACGTCTGGCTCACTGGGCTCTGACTTGGTCTTGGTCTTGCGCGCCTTTTTTGCGGGAGACGTAGAGGCAGGTGGAGGAGGAGCAGCAGCCGCGATCGCCGCCTCCTTCTTCTTTCCCGCCACTCCACTGCTCGCGTTGGCCGCTTTGGCTGGCTGGAAGGCCTGCGAGACAGTGCGCTTCGTGCCTGCGCCTGCTGAGCGCGTGGACACCATGATGGCGGCTGTGAGTCGTGAGCGGATCGTGATGAGGGCGTGGCGTGGCGTAGCGTCTCGCGGCGTGGCAAGGATGGACGGGAAGGAAGAAAGGCAAGAAGCAAATGCCGCTGCCGCTGCTGCAGGGCGGGGCATAGACTAGCGCGGGGGCGGCCCGATGCTCGATTTGGTTGGATGCACGTCAAGCTGCACGCCCGCGCACGGTCACGCATTAACGTTGAATGCTCAAGGATACATCATCGTCGTCGTCGTCGTCATCGTCATCGTCGATCTACAAAGACAGAGCAGCGCAGGACAGCGACCATCTCGCTTGCGGCACCGCCTCAGTGCTCACTCCGCGACGTGAACCGCGTAGCAGACCCGGCCTTGGCTGCCGCGCTACGAAAAGCTGCCGATGCTGCGCCTGCAGGGAGTATGCCATTTGCGCCGCCGCCATTGAGGGCGCGGTCCTTGGCCTTGGCCGTTGGAACGATCTTGCGACGAGTAGAGGAGGCGGAGGTGCGCCCGTTTGCTGCTGCTGCTGCTGCTGAGTGCGGGCCATTCGGGTGGGCTGATGAGCCATTGGATGCAGGCACGCCGTTGGCGGCGCCTGTTTTGTGGCCATTCGTAGTTGTGGCGTGGGCTCCATTGATTGCTGGTGGGGAGCCAGCGGCGAAGAGGGAGGCGGACGGAGGAGAGGCAGATGTAGCCGCCGACGTCGGCTTCTTGGCCTTCTTCGCAGTCTTCTTGGCAGCCGCTGCAACCCCATTCCCGTCGCTCGCTCCGCTATTCGCCGCACTCTTCCTACCCGGCTTGACGGCCCCATTGCTGTTGGCCTTCGCTGGTGCTGTGCTCGCCGCCGTCCCCCTGCTAGCCGCCTTGGCACTACCCGGCCTCACCTTGCCACCAGCCTGGGCCGCACTCCTCGACTTGGAGCGCGAGCGCGAGCGCGACCCATTCTCCCGCGACTCATCAGCATCCTCCCACTCCTCCGCGTCGCCCTTGACGACCGCCAACTCATCGCGCACCTCCTCTTCCTCCTGCCTCTCTCTCTCATGCGCCGTCAATCCGGGAGTAACAGACGCGCTCCCACTCGCACTGCCGCGGCCGCTCCCGCTCCCGCTCGCACTCCCGCTCATAGGCGTCAACGAGATACCGCGAGCCATCGCATCCTCCTCGTGCTTCTTCCTCAGCCTCCTGATCCTCGCACTCTCCGCATTCTTGTCCCTGCGCATCCTCGCCTTCTCCTCCAGCTCCGCACCCGAGTAGACGTAGCGATGCTTGCTCGCCTCGTCCACATCGCGCGCGTCGATCGGTCTGCCGTCAGCGAGGAAGAACTTGGTACCGGGTGGATAGTCGCCTACGCGGATGGCGCCTCGTGCTTCGCGATTCGCAGGGTTGTAGCGCACGGGCTGGCCGTCCTTGCCTATGTCTGGCTTGCCGAGGGGCCACAGCGGGATGCCGCCTGGTCCGAGGGGCTTTGACTGGAATCTAGGGGCCGGAGCAGAGGAAAGACGGATGGACATGGGTTGCATGCGTCGGCGAGCCACGTAAGGGACCTTGCGCGTGCGTGAGAGCTTGCCCGTCGTGATCTCGGCGCCCTTGCCCTTGTCGAGGCGAGACTGCGCGTTCCCCTCGCCATCGGCCAGCTCGTCCACGTCCGAGTCATCTACGTAGCTGCGTCGAGGCTTCTGGCGCCGCGACGAGCGGCGTGCTGCGTTGGCGCTGCCATTGTTGGTGAGTACGGGCTGCACCACCACCTCGATGTCGTCTGCCTCGCCATCCGTGTTCAGATCAGAGGCCAGCTCATTCAACTCCTCGCTGTTCTCTCCGTCGTCCACCGTTACCCAACTAGTGTCCGCCTCTCTCGCAGCAAACCGCCCTCCCAGCGCCTGAGCGAGGAGACGTCCCGCCGCGTCACTCGAGAGAGGGCCGGGCATGGCTGGCAGCCCATTCGCGTGGCGTGGTTTCGATGAGGAGGGAGCAGAGGACGATGCGGTGGAAGTCGAAGACGTCGAGGCGCGGTTTTGCGCCGATGCGGCCACAGAGGAGAGGACATTGCTCGCCAGCGTGGTGTCAATGGGGGCTCCACGCCTGGCCCGGAGAGAGGGGATGGCGGGAGGGGCGAGCGGGGCTGCGATGGCTGGAAGTGCGGGCGTCGTTGCGTTTGCGCTGCTGTTGGTTGGCTTGGAAGTCGTGGCGATACTCGCGCCTGCTGTGCCGTTCGTCTTCCCTGTACCGGCCACGCCATTCGTCCGCGGGACCTTTTCACGACTCGTCGTCGCACTCTTCGCGCCCTTGCCCTGCTGCTGCTGACCGTACTGCTCCCTCTCCGCGCTCTCATCGGCCTCAGTCCTGACTCTCTTCCTCGGCGGGCTATTCGTAAGCACCACAGGCTCCTGCGAAGTAGGCTGCAAGGAGCGGCGTGGCCTGCTCTCACTAGGACCAGGTGTCGCGTCAAGCTCTGCACGTGTGCGCTTGGGCGCAGCGCTCCCCTTCGTCGTCGTCGTCGCTTTCTGACCAGCCGCCGCCGCCGCGAGACTGCTCTGTTGTGCAGCCCTGCTGGCAGTCGACTTCTTGGCGTGAATGAGCTTCTTTGCCGTAGTACGCTTGGCCAGTGAAGAGGAAGAGGAGGAAGTGGAGCGCGCAGCGGGCGCTGGACTGCTGGCTGAACTCGCAGGTCCTGAGCTGCCATTGGCGTTCTGCCCCTTCTTCCCACCGAGCACGCCGCAGCAGTTTGGCGCTCCACAGTAGCAGCGCTCCTTGATCACAGGGGCTGGTGCCGCTGCCGCCACTTGCTTGCCCATATTCGCGAATGCTGACCACCCATAGTCGTACGTCAACTCCTCGCCTGGTGCGATATCCCGCAGCGCGAAGAGCCCCACCTGGAACTCGGCCGTGCGCTCCTCGTCTGTGCCGCAGACCAGCCACTTCTCAATGTAGCAGTTTGGGTTGCACGAGTGATTGGCGAAGCGCGTGATGTTGCCGCGTAGCCCGCCGTCCAGCACCTCTCCGGCTGCGGCGTCGTAGTCGAGGAAGTAGAAGTTGCCACTGCGCGTGCGAGACGTGGTGAAGGGGAGGAGCGTCAGTCAAGCAGGCGCCGCTCGGTGTGGCCTACCCGGGGCGCCGCGCACTCACGCATCCTTGTAGTACTCATTCACACGCCTCGCCGCCTCGGCCAGATTGATGACCTCGCCACGATACTCGTCCACCAACCCACCCTCCTTGATCGCATCGAGCGTCTTCAGCCCAAAGCCGCGCTCCCCATACCAAGCCACATCGCACCTCGCGCGCGGCCTCTTGCCCAAGCTCACATTCGTGCAGCGCTCCCCGCACGGGCACACCTTTGGATTGCACACGAACTGCAAGATGCGATTCAGGCAGTCGTCCCCGCAGTTGGAGCTCGGGTCGCACTGGCAGAGGGGCAGCTCGCCGTTGAGCTTAGGACGGGAAGTGTACCTGTTGCGGTCGATCTGCCTGTAAGGGGGAGGTTTGCGCTTGGCGTCTAGGCGGGCGCGAAGGGCGGAAGACTGCTCGAGGAGGGGTGGGGGGAGGGAGAACTCGCGCGTGCCTGTGAGGAGGTCGCGACCGAAATGGACTGGTTCGGGAAAGGCGGGCTCGCTGATGGGCTCGAGGACGCCGCGAGCTGAAAGGCGACCCTGTGCACGCGGGGGGGGAATGACGATCAGCGTTGCGCTCGCCTTCTCGCACTCTCGCACAACGCTGCGCACATTCCTAATGGCGCCGTTGGAGCCGTCAATCTTGAAATCGGGCGAGTAGAGGCCGGCTGTCAAGAATACCTGCTCGCGCGGCGCGAGGGAGGAGCAATGTCAGTCGGCGACAACACTCAGTCTCTGCTCGCGAGCGCGCGCACCTTGCGCTTCCACTTGGGTACAAGAGCTGCGCGCTTCTTGCCCATGCTCTTGGCGGTAGGTGCAGCGACTGCCCTACTCGTGCTGGCAGTAGGTACTGGATCCGAGCTGGGCGCCTCGTCGTCGCTACTGTCGGTGATCTCGAGGAGGGGTGAGGAAAGGCCAGAGGAATCCGAGGTAGAGGGGGGAGGAGGTGCAATTGCAGAGACGGTTCGTTGACTGGCGCGACGTGAGTGTGCGGGCGCCGCGGGGGCGCGTGCGGTTGCGGTAGGGCTGGAGGACAATGCAGGATGCGGGATAGTAGAAGACGATGCTAGCGCTGATGCTCGTCCGCGAATAACCTTGGTCGCCGTGTGCGCAGATGAAGACGTCGATGCTGATGGGGTGGCTGCCAATGCGGAAACTCTACCTCTGGTAACGCGCGAGGGAGGTGGCATGGCGTCGACCGCCTTGCGTGCTGGCTCGCTGGCTCTGCGCTGAAGAGGAGCCGACTTCGCACTCGCTGTCGGCTTGCTCTCATCTCCTTGTATGCGTGCCAGCAGCTGGGAAGTGCGCCTCGCCCCACGCCCGCCCGTAATGATATTGTCCTCGTCTATGTCTGCGGTCGAGCCGGGAGGAGAGCACCAACGCAGCATCGTCTCTACTGTTCCGCGCTTGCGTACGAAGCGAGGCTTGGGCGGTGAGGTCGAGGGTGACGCAGACGTAGAAAGAGTGGCGGGGGCCAGCACAGAGGGTGGCTTGGTCTCTTGCTCGTCCTCCTCCTCCTCCTCTTCGTCACTGATCTCCTCGCTGCGAGACCTTTTCCTCTCCCTCTCGCTCACGCGCACCTGCACCTGCACCTGCACACGACGTCGTGATGGCGTTTGCGGAGACGCGGAGCCAGAAGGGCGTGGTTTGCGTCGATATCGCGCTTCTTGCTCATCCCCTTCGATGGCTTTTTGAGTGCGATGATCTCCGCGTTTCGGCCGGTCGACGATGAGGCTACTGCTCTGCGGTGATGCTGATGTGGCTGTTGCTGCCGTCGTCGTCGCCGTCGATGCTGGTGCTGATGCGCGAGGCTTGCGAATGTGATGCTGAGCAATGACGCCGACGCCGCCGACGCCGCCAACGCCGCTCGACGACATCGACGCTCGTGGTTGCGGTCTCATGGCAGGCGAGGCGGTGCGTATATGCCGGTCTGAGAGCCACTCAGCCTAGCCTAGCGTGGAGGGGATGCTGCTATCCTTGAGATGGCGTGCGGTGATGATGGTGATGAATTTTGGTCGAATTGATTGTGATGGTTGTCATTTCAAGAAGAGCGCGACGACAAGCGGCAAGCGGCAAGCGGCAAGACGCAAGAGGCGGACTGACGGCGCGGGTCGACGTCGAGGCGCCTCGACGGGAGGCCAGGCCAGGCACACGGGCGGGGGCGCGAGGCCACACGCACGCACGCATCGACGCGCAATCGACGACGACGACGACCAAGGCTGCACACTCTGTCTGCTCACGAGATCAGAGCCGTCCCGTGTGTGTGTGTAGCCAGCGAGACGGGCGCAGCGAGGCGAGGTGAGGTGGTATCAACGAGACGATCCCCCGACGTCGACTTGAGCTGGCATCGTTTGTGTGCTACTCTAGCGTCGATGGATCCCAGTTCCCTCTTGCTGCATCTTTGTCGCCAGCACCACGACTGCGTCTACCAAACCCCAGCATGCGATGTTGTTGCGCTCGCAACGTGCTCCATTCGTCATCTGTGACGCTTGCGAAGTCTCAAGACGGTACCTTGACGAGCACAAGCACTTGCCTTGCTAACCGCCCACTTGCGACGCGACAACCTGACAGCATCCATTGCTGACACACTAGACGAATCGATCATCACAGTGTCAAGATCACGTCGACAGTAGGGCCTTTGAAGATCCAATGCTACCTCTTCACAGCTCTCAGGCTGCCGCAGCTCGTCACCGCCTTCAAAGTTGACTCGTGTGTCGCTCAGCCCGCGTCGACACTCATCGACAAATCTCGCGCAGCCCGTTCTCCGCCATCCATTGCTCACACAGCAGCGAGCCGGAGTCATGATCGCATCCTGATCCCGCCCCTGACAGCTCACACTCCTCCGTGACAACTCTCACGCAATGCACAGAGCAATCTAGTCAAAATTGTGAGACGGCACGCCGCGTCGCAATCAAGGCAACGGCGATTCTGCGTTCACGTCTTCGTCTTCGTCTGCGTCTGCGTCTGCGTCTGCATTGTTACAAGATGCCATTGCAAAGGAGGAGAAGGAGAGTAGACCGAAATTCACACATCAATATCAATAGATAGAAGGGTGAGGTGACGACGGAGCGAACGAAGTATTGTCCTGAGCAGAAAAAGAGCAGCAAGGAGCGCGAGAGCAGAGGGAGAGCTAGAGCCGAGCGTACAGCCACTGACCACTAAGAAGCTGCTGCTGCGGCCACTGCATTCTCCTGTTGACCCTGCTGCGACTCCTCCCGTACCGCCACCACAGCTGGCAATGGTACATGCGCAGTGCCCCCCCCACCGCCGCCACCCCCACCACCGGGAAGCATCCCGTACTTCTGCTGGAAGGCAATCAGCTCGCGCGTCAAGTCGTCGAGAAGACGCATTGAGGGCGGATCGACGCTGCTGGCGTTGCCGTTGGAGTTGCTGCCGTTATCTCCAGACTGCGGAGTCGGCGTAGTACCTGGAGCTGCCTCACCATTCTGTGCAACCTCAGCAGCGCTGCCGCTCCTCTCCCCACCAGCTACCGTATCCTTGCCCGCCGCCGCCGCCGCCGCCGCACCAGCAGGGGAATCCCGCTTGGAGCTACTGGCGCTGCCACTGCCACTCCTACTCCCCCCCGCCTCGATGCCCAGCATCTTCATCCTCTTCCCCCTCTCCAGTGCCTCCAGCTGCGTACGCGTGATATAATCGCTGATCCCGCGTACGCGCTTCCTCATCTCACCCATCGTCATCCTCTTCCCCGGGAAGCGCACCTTCGTCGGCTGTTCCGGCAAGTCGAGGAGCGTAAATGCGTGCGGGGAGGGACGGGTCGCGCTACCATTATTGTCGTGCGAGTGCGGGAGGCCCTTGGTCGAGGGGAGTTGCACGCTCAGCGGTTCTGGGTGCGGGGAGGGGAGGAGATGCGCTAAGTGAGAGAGATGGTCGGGGAGACCCCACGAGGTGTTCGTCTTGCTCAGCCCTGCACCTGCGCCAGCGTGGGAGGAGGACAAGGAGGGAGTGCCAGCTCGACTGCCCGTCCCTTCGCGTAGCGTTGATCCTCCTGCCCCCGCGCCCACCGCCCTTCGCCCGCTCTTGCTCGGCGAAGGCGTCGGGGAAGAAGGGCGATTCCCGTTCGCAACGGCTGCTGCTGCTGCTAAAGCTGCGCGCTCCTTGCGGTAGGTGTATTGGTTTGGCTGTTTCGGTTTGGCTGATGGGACTTCGCCTGCTGCCTTGCCCTTGCCCGATCCCGTGGCTGCGGTATTGCCCCTACGCGTACCCTGACTTGACTCTGCGCCGCCCTCGTCTGCGGCGCGACTCGACGACATGCGACGACGCTTGCCATGCTCGGTGTTGCCTGCCTCTGGTGTAGGTGAGCGGGAGTGTGAGAGCGAGGTGGACGATCTGTGGGCCAAGGTTCGGGCCGCGCTACGTCAGCTCTATTTCACGACGGCAGCTCTGTCCTCGTCACTTACCCCTCTTGTTTGGCACCGCCACGCTTCCTCTTCCTGCCCGCCGCATCGTCCGCGTCCCACACCTCGTCCTCGTTCAGCAGTCCAGGTGGCAGAGCTTCCCACCCGCCGTACATCGAGTCGCGCGAGTTCATCGTGGAGCGACGCTTCGGGCTACTCCTTCCACGCCCCTCCCCTCGCGCTTCACCCCCCGCAGCAGCCGCAGCCTCGTCCAGAGCGTCTCCGCCAGTCCCACGCGCCGTATTGGCCACAATGGGCTCTCCTCCCAGCCTGCGACGCTCTGCATTCTGCTGCGCTAATAGCGCGACGGCCGCCTTGGCCTCGCGGAGCTCGCGCGCCGAGTCCCTGCCCGGGTTCTTGCTGTTGTGCGACTTGGATCCCTTCTTGCCGCCGTTGGACGAGGAGGAAGAGGAAGAGGGCTTGGCGGGTAGGAAGCCGAGCAGACGGAGCAGGCCGATGTGCAGCTCTGGCCTGCACTGCTCGCAGTAGTAGACGTCTGGACAGTCCTCCTCCGTATTCATGCCCATGCAGACGCAATGTTGCCAGCAACGGCAGGTCTCGCACTGGATCATGAGGCCGACATTCTCGTCTGTGCGAGAGGCATAGAGAAGCGAAAAGGTGAGCATATACGCAGACGCCTAGCGTGCGTAGCGCGACACTCACCTGAACTGCCGCAGACACAGCGCGTCACCCCTTCGATGTCCCCCTCCTCGCCCTCTTCTCCTTCTTGTCCCTCTGCGGGCTCTTCAACAGCAGGCAAGCTCGTATTTGCTGCGCTCGCATTCGCTGCGCCCGTATTCGCCGCGCTTACACTCGCCTCCACGCCAGTCTCTGCGCCAGGAGAAGTAGGAGCGGCCCTCTTGGATCTGCGCGGGGCCAGGGCCTCCCCGTCGCCCAGATTGGCCAACCCCAATCCCGCAAGCTCCTTCATCGACGAGCTACGTTGCCTGCGCTGCTGCTGCTGCTGCGAAGACTCGCCAGGTGCAGCTTCGCCGTCGTCGAGAGCGGACAAGGCAGCTGCGTCCTCTGTCTCCTCCTGCTTTGTAGTAGCGCCGGAATCGTCGGCCTCATTCTTGGCTGCTGATCGTGCTGAGCGTGAGCGGCGCGTGCCACCTTCTTCGTCTATGAGTGGAGTTTTGATGCGTGAGGTTGAGCCCGATGCTTCGTCCTCTGGCGAAGAAGACGAGGCCGAGGTGCTCGCCGTTGTCGCTGCTGCTGCTGCTGCTGCTGCTGCTGCTGTTCTGCTCGTCATGGCGGCGTGCCAGGAGGTATGTGAATGGATGGATGATAATGGATGGTGGGACAGAGCTGTTTGGCAGCCTAGTAGGCGCAGCTACGAAACGATACGATATACGATGGTGGAGATGTGAAGTGAAGTGGATTCGTGGGTTGGCAGGAAGGAGAGCAAGCAGCAAGCAGCAAGGCGGCCGCTCAACACAAGTCGATTCGCCCTCGCACTCGACGCACTCGACGCTCTCTCCGCTCTCTCCGCCCTGCTCTCGCTCTCTCTCTCGCACGCACGCCTGTCGTGGTCTGCTCTGCTCGCTCGTCCCGCCCGGCTGCTCTGTTCCTCCCGCTGCTGTTCCTGTTCCGCCACTCCCGCCGTCGCCGACTTCAGGACAGGGCAAACAGGCGCAGACGGGGCGGGGGCGATCAATCAAAGCTGGCTTGGCCATTCCTCCACTTGCACGCTCGTACGCGCCTACATCGCACACCCCACAACGACTTCGGCGGGCGCAGCAGCTGCCCTTGCCAACTTCATTTGCCTCAATGCCACCTCATGCGCCTGCCTGCGACTCGAATACGCTGACGCTGACGCTGACTTCGACTGCGACTGCGACTGCGACTGATCCACGGGCAATGATGGTCTGCGTAGCCCCGCACCTGCCGCCGCTGCTGGTCTCCTTGGCGGCGGACGCGGAAAGTCGGTCAACATCGTCCGAGAAGTGGTTCGCATCGGGATAGGCGCGTCACGATCGCTTGAGGGGCGACGAGGGAGGATAGTGGGATCGCAAGATGGCGGGCGAGGGGCACGGCGTGGTGGAGATGCAAAGTGGGTAGATCGTACGGGAAGGCCTTCACTCCCTCTTCGTTGGCCCGTCAGCGATGACACAGAGACGAGCTCAGGGCCCTGCGGTGGCTTTGACAGCGCTGCCATATGTCTGGCTTGCACCTTCCGCAGCGGACTCACGACGAAATGAGACGCAAAGTCCTCCCCGGCCCCCGACCCCGTCGCTGGTGTGATGGGGCTGCGCTCAAAGGGCGTGTCGGTGCTACTGTCCGAGCACGTCGATGCACTCCATGGCGAGTCCAATACCGCGCTCGAACGCCGTCGCTGCGGCGTCGTTGACTCCATCAGACTCTCCACCACTTCGGCACGCAGTTGCTCGTCCTCGTGATCCTCCTCCTCCCTCCCAGCCTTGGTGCGCCGCGGCGTCAGAGGTGGGGACAGGTCGAGGAAGTCGACGTAGCTTGAGGCGGAGGAGCGGCGGTGTAAGGGAGGTGGGACAAGAGTCGCTTGAGTCTTGGTCTCGCGCGTCTTGATCTCGCTCGTCTTGAGCCCGCTACTGGCGTAAGGGTGATGACGCCGTGAAGTAACCCATTGGTCCCACGACCGAGCGTACTCGCCGAGAGTGCGCTCGAAGTCTGCTCGAGATGCTGGCGTTGATTGCGGTTGCGTTCGCGCTGTAAGGGGGTCATGATTGTCGCGCAGCCGTTCTTGAGCCTCTTCGTGAGCATCGTCGTGCAAGTAGGCGACTGCAGGCCTCGCCTCGACGCACGAAGGGTCCTGCAGCTTAAACGCAGTCACTGTAGTCTGCGCACTAGGTCTCCTGTGATCGAGCGTCGTAGCGCCACTCGGCCGTCTCGAGTATGTGGCCGTGTGCGAGCTGGGGCGTCGCTCGCTCGGCCGTCGCTCCCTCGTGGTGATTTGCCAGATACGATCCGCATCCCCCAGCGCCGTGCAGAGAGAGACCTTTTCGTCTGCGAACGAAGGCGGGGATACGGGGAGCTCGCTCTCCCTGCCACTTCCTCGCGATGCCGAGGGAGGCGAGGCCAGCTTGATGAAGGAAGCGCTACCAGTCCTGAAGCGACGTTCCTCCTTGATAAGCTCGCGGACCAGGATCTGCGCAACGCGATGAACGAAGTGTCAGTCAGCGTTTGACTCCCATCTGATCGCCCCCTCCCCGCGACTCACTTGTATCGTCTTCTGCCACGCCCTCCTCTCCCCTGCGCTTCTCAGATGCACAACCCAGTCCACCTTCCTCCCCACTGCCTCAATCTGCGCACTCGTAGGCGTGAGCTGCCCCGCACCACCTCCCCTCGTCAGCTCGATCCCACCGATTTTGAGCGCCCACGTTTCTATTCCTCCCCCGCCCACCCCCACACCCCCGCTGTCCTCAGGTACGGTCGCATAGCTCTCTGGCGTGAGGACGAGTCGCTCGGACTCGTCTACGTCGTTGTGCTTGAAGGAGTGGAGCATGGAGGATGGCGAACGAAGCACCGCGGTACCGCCTGCGCCGATACGAGGCGATACGTTTGGTGATGGGACCAGATCGCTTGGCCACACGCTCGTCGAGAGGATAGAGTCGCGATGCTGCGTCGCCGTCCCCCGCCGCAGAGAGCGAGGTCCGCGCTTACGCACCGAGTCTTGCATGACCTTGAACGGATGGAGGGACTCGCGCTGGCATGGGAAGGCGGGCAATTCGTCCTCTGGCGCGGTTTGGAGTGCCTTCTCCCTCTTGGCATGCGCGACTAGCATGGCCGCTGCGGACGAGACACCGCTCTGTGCCTGCTCAGGCGAGGAGAGGCCGAGAACGCGAGCCATCTTGCCTGTTGGGACCGCTCCGGCGGGCGTCGTAGGTAGGCAGAACACCGAGGCGGCTGCACTGGGCGCAGCTGTGTCTATCACCGTCGTGGCAGGAGTGTTGGATGCTGCTCGAGAGGAGCTGGACGTCGTTCGCGAGTGGGTCCTACTTGACTTGCTTGAGACGCCGCAAGTCCAGCGATGAAGGCAGCCTGGGTCTGGGCTCCCGCTGTCAGGTAGCGCTGCGCTGTCCGCGCGATCCTGCACATCGCTGCGTCGCTGAGATTGCAGCGTTGCACGACTGGTATCGAGGGGACGTGGAGGTGGGGCCAAGGCGCGACGGGCTGCAATGCGTGACGGCTGGTGAGCGATGGGCGATCCCGCTACGCCCGAGTCCACGACTCGTACTCGTCTGGGCTGCGGCGGCTCAAGAGCACGCGTGTAGTCGAAATAGTCGAGGAGCTCTGGTGCGCTGAGCATCGGCGAGGAGCGGTTGACGTGCAGCATTGTTGGTAGCGTCATGGCGATGTGACGTCGGATGAGATGGAGCTGCGCATCGAGCTGCACATCTCCTTATAACCTGGACTGCTATCTTCAGACTCTCGCCTGCTTTGTTTGCGCCTCTCACCATCCTTGAGAAGTCACGACGTCCTGTCAGCTTTGTCTTCTTGTCGCAATCGTTCCCACAAGATCCCCGTCTTCTCGACGCCTCTTCTTAATTGGATCGGATCGACGCCTTGCGACGCCTTGCGACGCCTCTTGCATCATCGCTGCTATATCGGAGCGTAATACGGTATTCGCAAGCGGAGAAAAAATGTCAATTCTGGAAGGGAGTACAAAGGAAAGACAGGGCGCCAAGTTGAGATATCGCAGCGGCGGCTGGACCCTTCCTTTGTTCGTGGGTGGCGCCGCGTGCGAGTGGAGCAGACAAAGGCGCGCAGCTGAGCGGGAGAGTTGAGGGGCTTGCGAGGCGTGGCGCGTAGCGTGCGAAGTTGCGATGATGACGTCCCGCTCTTGCCTGTATGGCAAACAATGCAATGCGATGCGAGATGGTGATGCGGATCTGAAACGTGGTCGTGGTCGTGGTCGTGGCCATTGGTGAGGATGCCAAGAGGGCGGCGGTCACGGAAAGAGGCATGCGAGGTGATCCAGGCGGGGCGACAAGCCCAACACGCGAGGCCGCTCCTCAACTTCTTGACCACTTTGCCGCCACCACCTCGAGCGAGCTATTCAATCAGCGAGCTAGGGTTGGCAATAACGCATCTTCATGGTCAATCACACCGCTATCTCGTCTTCGAGTATCAGCAACTCATCGACGCCGTCTTCTCATCCGCAAATCGCTCGTCCCGCCCCGCACCGCCCCGTCATCGCTTTACCCCCTGAGCGAGCAGCAGCTTCCAGCGGCTTGCTCATGCGTTCGCCGCGCACCGCGCACCGCTTCACACGACGGCGGCCCGTTATGATCACGACGGGCCGCAGTCCAATGTCCGGTGAGGCACTGCGTGGGGCACTACGTGAGGCATCAGCGCAGGCACGTCGCTTCTCGAGGAGTGTGTGCCGTCATTGACGGCCATCGATGCCGCTTGCACAACCGGATCGACAGTCACATCTCCCTGGGTTCAGGGCATTCATGACGAGCGCAATCGATGCATCCACATCTTGACCTCCTTCCTTTCTCATTCGACGCTCTTTCCCACTCGCTGTCCCTCTCTCTCACTCCCCCTCTCACCCCTTCGCCCAGCGATGACCGTCTTCCTCGTCCCGCAGCCACGACTGCCAGACGCCCGCGTTGATCCCGTCACATCAATCCTGCATCAACAAGATGAACACCGCTACGTCGTCGTACCTGGCGAGAATCCGACGCCACCTCAGCGCCCCTTGCGCGCTCGCAGTCGCAGTCGCTTTCGCACGGCTTTGCGTAGCCGACCAATGACTGCGCCCTCTGACAGCGGATCCTCGTCGTCTTCTCCAAGATCTAGCTCTGGTGCGCTCATCCGCAGCGCCTCGCTGGTCCCATTGATGGGCAAGAACAAGTCAAAACCCAACTTCGTGTCGCGCTCTCTGACCACACTGGATACGAGAAGTACACCCGCTTTACGCCGCACCTCGACGTCCTTCGACGCCGACGCGGTGAACCATCGACGCAACTTTGCCCTCGTAGACGATACCTTCATCGGCACAGAGCGACACCTCGACGACCTCGTGCACACGAGTGAGGGACAGAGCATGACTTACGAAGAGCGCCTTTCCCTCGCTCGCCAAGCACTTCAGGCCAAGCTGCTCAACATCAACGTCGCTCTGGCCAACCGAGGACGGCGCAGCAGCAAGAGCAGCAGCGGCAATTCTGCCTTTGAGCGGCGTACTGGCGGCGGCGGCGGCGGTGGCGATGGCGGCGATGCGGCGTCCAAGAATTCGCAACATGACACACCACCAGTAGTCGCTGCCCAGGTAGTTGCGCGCTCCTCGTGCGACTCTGCACTGGAGTCAGGGCTGAATGGCTCACGCCTCCGCCCCCTCGCGCTGCCGCAGCGGCACCCTTTACGGCCACGCCCCATCAGCTGCTCGCCCGTCTCTACCATTCACACCAACATGTCGGCCACTCCACCGCGCCGAAGCTCTGGAGGCGTCATATGGGCAGATGCATCCACGCAGACGAGCGATCCTGGCGAAGCAGATGCACGATCCGAGCAGTACGACCTCTTTCCCGCGGACTTTGAAGCACCAGCCTCGCGCGGACTCTACGCACCTGTGGTGATTGCGCACTCTGGCTCGCCGCCTTGCATCACGACGACAACACTCGAGATCCCGCACACCATTCCAGCCAACGTCGACACTTCTCCGCTGGGCTTGACCTACGAATCCTTTCTCAGCATCGGATCGAGCACCCCAGACACGGGCAGCGGCAGTGAGAGCGACTCGCTGCCTTCGCGAAGAGGTCGGGCGTCACTGCTTCTCCCGCCGCATCCTGAGGAGGCAGACGAACAATCCCCGCCTGTCCCGCCCAAGGACTACCCACACCCGGGCACGCGTATCAGCTCGCTCGAGTCAGTCACAACGGGCGGCGTCTCCACGCTGACTCTGCCCACTGCCGTCGAATCTGCCGGTCATGGCCAGACGTTTGGGGGCAAGGCTCCATCCTCTCCACGCCAGTCGCCACGCCAAGTCATGTGGCGAGGTCTCGCTGCAGATGCGTGGGCGGCCGGACCCTTCCTACGAGGCAAACTAACATCGAGGCCCTTGTTCCGCCGCAAGAACTCTGCCGAGGGAGTGAGCCCTAGCATCTCAAGCCGCACCGAGGACAGGCCCGTACCACCTGTGCCAGCGCCCGCCTCGGAACCCAACAACACAGTCTTTGCAGGCTCGATGCTCGAGGTGAGGGCATGACGCGTGACGCGTGAGTTAATGTGACGTGACATCATCTCTAACTCTCGTTTCGCTCCGCCGTCGCCGGCACCAGTGGTTCGAGCAAGAGGAGGACAGCGACGAGGACGATCCGATTGAAGGCGAGCAAGGAGAGCCTGCCGCCCCTAATACCCCGCCAGCGCTGCGGCATGGCAGCCAGACCAAGGCATGGATCCGCAATGTTCGCGATCAGCACAGCTTCGAATACTGCATCGGCTCTCCCAATCGGCCTAGCTTTGCCAGCAGCAGCCGTGGTGGCGGCGGCAGCGAGGGCGAGACGAAGCATACTCACAGCGCGAGTGAGCCTCCGCCCCTCAAGCCCATCCTGGTCCAGCCTGCGGAGCGACCCTCAACGGGGACAGCCTCGACCGTCTCATCCTCACGACATCGTCGCAACGGCTACATACCTCCGCCGGCTGGACCACCGCTAGAGATCCCTCTCCCTGCTCTGCCCCTCGATGCGCTCCCCAAACCGCCCAGCTCGTCGTGCGACACCGCTCCGCCCATCCTGTCCGCGCGCAACTCGTTGAGCGAGAAGACCTGCTCTCCACTCTTGCACCCGCACAACTACAACAAGAAGCTGAGTCGCAGGGAAGAGGCCAAGGACGATGCGAACAAGGGCAAGGAAAAGCAGCGCGTCAGCACCGAGTCGCAGACGGATGAGCGCGGTACGCAGACTAGCAGCCAAGCCAAGCTATCCGGATCAGCGCCGCTACGTGCCTCCTCCTCGTCACACTCGCATGACAGTACTTCGACGGTGCAGGGCTACGTGCACAACGCCACGCCCTCGACGAGCTACGAGTCCACTCAGTCGTCTTCGTCGTCCAGCGAGCTGCAGCTGCAGTCGCAACGCGCCAAGAGTCCCACCACGTTGCGTCGCGCGCATGGCTTCAAGGTGCTGATGAAACTCGCACCGCCCAGCGTAGCCGCTGCCTCTGCTCTGGCCTCTACTGCTCCCACGGGGAGCGCGACGAGCACCATGCCCAACACACCAACCTCATCTACTCCGATCAATGGCAACGTCAATGGGAACAAGAAGCCGCGAGAGATCAAGAGGAGGCGATTCGGCTCTACGAGCAAGGAAAAGCCCAAGCCCAAGCCCAAGCCCAAGAAGCCAACACCGCCTCAAGCTCCCACATCAAGATTGGCCGCCGGCACGTCGTCACAAGACGCTATGCTACTGACCCTCGCTGGGCTGGGGTGAGACCCATACACCCCGCGATGACCGATGCCGTGTTCCCGCAGTCGTGCTCATTCCCCCGTCTTGCCTCCCGTAACCGTTCCGTGGTGCCGCCGTACTACAGTAGCAGAGAAAGAGAGAAGGTCCCGCGTCCACGTCCACGTCCACGTCCCAACTCCTCACCGTCACCGTCTTCAGCTAGCGAATCGACTTTCCATCCCTGAACCCGTGGCTCGCAACTCGTGGCTATGAACCCTATCCTACGATCCTTCTGTGACGCGGTGCGACGCGACGCTACGATGCCTACTTCGCAATCAAATGATTCGCATTCATTCTGCGCTACAAGACGGCAATCATCTCCTCGCTGGCGGTCCCCCCCTCGTACTCGGCTCAGGCAAGGTGACGGGGCACTTGAGTACCATGAACTTCTTGGCTTTACCCGCCCCTGCCCCGCTCCCCTTGCTCTCCTCACCTTCACCCTCCCCTCCCGCACCCCCACCCACCTGCCTATAGCGAGCCGTACACCCAATACTCTTTGCCACCTCCTTCAACTTGGGCGCAGCCATCCCCAGCTCAGCAGCCAGCACATCTACCTCGATCTGGAACCCGTCGACATGAAGACAGAGAGCCAAGATGGTAGCTAGCAGCTTCGTGTCTCCAAATGGCGTGAGACTCGCCCTCCCCTTTGCTCGATCGCGCTCACAGAACTGGGCGAGTAAAGAGTCAATAAGCGCTTCAGCTTCGGCCTCGCCGTTGTGTTGGCCAATCTTGAGCTTCTCGCGGAGGGACTTGCGATCGTTGAGGATTCGACCGCGCGATTGGGCAGAGAGGGCACGGAGGGAGGCGAGGTAGGAGATGAAGAGGAGGAGGCGCGTCTGCTGTTTTTGGTGGGTGGAGCTAGTCTTCAGAATGCCAGAGGAGGAGGAGGAGCCGCCCGCCTCGCCCCCGCTGGCGTTGTTGTTCCTCGAGGCGAGGACGCGATTCCAGATGCGGCTGGAGAGCCATTGGCTGCGTGACATGGGGGAGGGGAGAAGTCGCTTGATGTGGGCTGCATCGTTTGCTGCGAGGCAGGCAGAGGGGTTGATGTTGCTCGAGATGGACGAGGGGAAAAGCTCCGACAGCGGGTAGACGAGGTCTGGGGTAGGTGCGTCGAGGTGAGGTGTGGGGATCGGGCGAGACTCGACGTCCGTCGCGCTACTCGTCGAAGCAATTGCTGCTGCCTTCGCGGTACTCTCTGTGACGGACGTGGCAATGCCGTCCAGCACGCCTTCGGCCATTCCCGTCGTGTCGACCTTCATCCGATCCGCATTGCGCATGGCCAGCTTCTGCTTGCGATTACCAAACGCCTCGCCCAAGTCTCTACGCGCTTTCGCATAGTCTGCCCTCCCTTGGACCTGAAGCGATGAGCCCTGGATGTTGCGCGCTACATTGAGGAGCGGCGATGCGTGTAGGGTGACCTGCCCCGTCGCCGGGTCATAGAGACCTACGAGGTACTGCCCGGGGTAGCCGCGCGCGTCTGTCGCTTCTTGCTGTGTGGTCGCGGTGGCCAGATCCCAGTTCGTCGACTCGACGACGATGTTATTCTGTGCTGACGGCGGGCGAGCGGCCAGGTTGAGCGAATCGTCGATGTGCGGCGGCGTGGAGGAGGAGGGGCCGTGGTGGTAGAGACTCATGTTGTGTGGAGGAATGAAGGATGGCGAGTCGACTGAGAGCAATCAAGGACGGTTGCGTTAGTGTCACGCTAGCATATACGCACGCTGAACGCCGCGCGCCTTTGCTCACCCAAGACGGCCTCGATGGGCGCATCATCCGCACTGTGCTTCCACCTCAGCGTCACTTCCTCATTCCCACCGCTGCTGCGATGCTGCGTCTTTGCCTGTTTGTTCGCCTTCCCTCCCGACTTGTGCGCATCTGAGCTGCGCTTCTTGTGGGACGACATTGCGAGGAGAGAGATGCAGGTGTTGGTAGTCAAGGTGCTGAACGAAGTCGTAGCCGCCTGTCCGTCCAAAAAGTGCGAATCTCGAATCGGAGGGCGGAAGCTGATTACGTCAGCTCGACTGGCGCGTCCCGCGTGGCTGCTTCCGTCGTGGCTTCATGCAGGTCGACGTACCTCGAGGCGGGCAGCCGATGCAATGTTGCTGAGCTCACCACCACCACCACCATCACGACCAGCGCCTACGATTCGATACGACTACGGTGCCTCGCATACCATGCACCGGTCCAGGAGGGACATCCGCCCTGTCCCCCGCGGGATTGGCAGCAACTTGCACCGCGAAGACCTCAACGATGACGATGATGGGCCCGACGATCTTGCGGGACCATCGGATGTGAGGCGTAGATTGGCAGCAGATCGTACCGTGGGAGCATTTGAGAAGCTGCGAAGGCAGGAGCAGGCGAAACAGCGTGAGGCGGCAGAGAGGGCGCGAAAGGCCGCTCGTGAGGCCGAGCAGGACCAGTTGAGGATGAAGGCCGCAAAGAGGAAGCGTCGGGCAAGCAGCAGGCCAATCAACGTTGATGCTAGCGATGATGAGGAGGAGGCGGGACCCAGTGGTAGCAGCAAAGCAATTAAGCAAGAGCCTGGCGACGACGCAACGCAGGCCATCGTCATCAAGGACGAGTCGGATGAGGAGGACATCAAGCCGCTCATCCATGCGCCACAGCCTCTCCGCGCACCACGCACTCCATCACCCCCGCCCCGCCAATCGCACACCCACCAGGAGCAGATCATCATCGCGGCAGAAGAGCAGGATAGCCATGAGTTACCGCTGGATGTCGAGCCACGAGCCGAAGCTCACAACGCCAACTTCGCCAACACGCCCGACGCCGAGCCTCCTCCCGAAGACGCGGACGCGGGTGCCGTACCTCGCGAAGATATCCCCTGGCCCGAGCCATTTGAACGCCTTGAGGAAATCTTCAAGGCTCTCAACACAGTCTACTCCTTCTGCTCCGCCCGCAAGCACCTCGCTACCACGTTCGATACCCTCCGCAGCAGCGTCGAGAAGCTCGTTGGTCGCGAGCTCGAGGTACACCACATCGCACAGCTCAAGTCTCTCCTCCCCGACCTCATCAACTTCGCCTACGTCGACTCGGATGCCCTCGAGGTGCATTTGGACGCGCACAAGAGCGATGCATCCCGGCAGAAGCGAGCGGAACAGGATGAGATCTACGAGGAGGCGGCACGCGCTGTGAGGGAGGAAGGGTCAACGTACGAGGCCAGCCTGGCACGGCCTAGCGGGGCGGGTAGCGAGGTGCTCCCCTCCGTGGCCGCCCTGCAAGCCGAGTCGTCCCGCAGCACGCACACTCGCGGCGACGACTACGTGCTGCTATTCGAGTTCAACGATGGCACGCTACAAGGAGCAAAGGCTACGGCGCGTGGGAGGAGAAGTATCGGGATGAGACGCGGACCGAACAGGGACGCCAACAAGAAGCAACCGCTACGTCGCCTCTACGACATTCCGTCGACCTCCTCGATGAAGAGTGCGTAGCGCGCCACCACTACCCTGGACCAGCTATGATTGCTGACTGACTGCCCCCGTCACCGCCCCGCCGCGCCCCACCGCCCCACACACAGAGCTGATCGACAAGCGCAACGCCAAGTTCGAGAGTGCCGTCTGCGAGCTCCTCGCTGCCTGCCAAGCAAAAGGCGAAGACTCGGTCGATCTCCTCGTTGCCGCAGCAAACGATCACGTTCCGCTCAACCCAGAGACGGCAGAACGACCCAAGGGCGAGACGCCGAGGAAGAAGCGGATCCGACTCGACTACCTTATGAACCATCCCGATGAGCGTCCTCCCATCAAGGATGTCATCGATGAGTTTGAGGGAGAGCCGTGGTGGTGTGATCAGGTTGTGCCAGGAGGCAGGAAGACGATACCGGCGAGAGAGGCGCGATTTGATGGGTTGACGTTTGTGCTTACGCAGGAGCTGGTGAATGCGCTCTGGGCGACGAGGAAGATTGAGGAATTCTTCCTGCATCAAGCGGAGGCACTCAATTACCTGGACGAGGTGGGTGCGCTCGCACGCAACGATGGAGAGTGAAGGGCAGTGCTGACTACCCCTCGCTCCGTCCCACGCCCGCACAGGGGCTCAACGTCATCGTCTCCACATCCACCTCCTCGGGTAAATCCCTCATCTACCAAGTCCCCATCGTTCGCGCTCTCGAGACCGACCTTAACTCGACGGCCATGTTCATCTTCCCGACCAAGGCCCTCGCTCAAGACCAGAAACGTTCCCTCGAGGACCTCATCTCCTCTCACGTGGGCCTCGCAGAACAAGGCGTCATGGTCGCCACCTACGACGGGGACACGGACAAGGAGCTTCGCCTCGACATCCGGGACCGGGCCAACGTCATCTTCACCAATCCGGACATGCTGCATCAGAGCATCCTGCCCAACGAACACCACTGGCGGCGCTTCCTGCGCTCGTTGCGCTTCGTGGTAGTCGACGAGCTTCACACGTACAATGGACTCTTTGGCGCGCACGTCTCGCTAATCATGCGGAGGCTGAGGCGGATGTGCAATGCGCTGGGCAATCGTGGGGTGCAGTTCATCTCGTGCTCGGCTACGGTTGCGAATCCGCGCGAGCACATGCAGACGCTCTTCGTGAGTGCGCGCGCCTTGAACAGCACTGTTTGTCGCCTATCACTGACGCATCGCTCGCACGCAGGGAATCACCGACGTCCAAGTGGTCACAGAGGACGGCTCCCCCTGCGGCGCAAAGGAGTGGCTCATCTGGAACCCGCCTCTCATCGACGAGCAAGACCCCAAGCAAGGACGCGTTTCAGCCTACGCCGAGGTATCCAAAATCTTCCGCCACCTCGTCTCGCGCGGTGTGCGCACCATCATCTTTACCAAAGTGCGACGGACGTGCGAAATTGTCATTTCACAGATCAAGAAGGATCTCCTATTGGAGCACCGGCATGATATTGTAGAGAAGGTGGCGTCCTATCGATCTGGGTATTCGGCGCAGGATCGTAGGAAGATTGAGCAGGATATGTGGAAGGGTAAGTGCGTGCAGCGGGACGCGCAGAATGAAGCTGACTTGCGCCGCTCTCTCTCGCCCCGCGCTCTCGCCCCGCCAGGCTCGCTCCTCGGCATCGTAGCTACCTCTGCGCTCGAGCTCGGAATTGACATCGGCTCGCTGGACGCAGTCATCATGCTCGGCTTCCCCTACTCCATCTCCTCGCTCCGCCAGCAGTCCGGCCGAGCAGGTAGACGTCTCAAGGACTCGCTCACCGTCCTCTGCTGCGACCCGTTCCCCATGGACCAGCACTACGCCCGCTTCCCCGAGGACGTCTTCGAGCAGCCCGACTCGGCGCTGAGCGTCGACTTGTCCAATGACTTTGTGCTCGAGGCTCACCTGCAGTGCGCCGCCGAGGAAATGGTGAGGCGGCGAGGCACCCTTCCGCGTATAGCCACGCTGACTTGTCACCCTCTCGCCGTCGCACACGCAGCCACTCCATCTCACCGACGATGCAGCCTACTTTGGCCCTCACCTCGCCTCCCTCTGCCGCACACGCCTTGTACCCGACGACGACGGATTCTACCATTGTCGCAGCGAGCTACGCCCCAACCCAGCGCGCCAGGTGGCTATCCGCGGTGCCCGCCAGGTGACGTACAGCTACATCGATGCGACGCCCGGTCGCGGCTCGCGCGTCATGGAGGAAGTGGAGATCGATCGAGCCATCTTCGAGGCTTTCGAGGGAGCTGTCTTCATGCACCAGGGGCAAAGCTACATCTGCAAGGACATCAGTCACGACATGCGCATCGCACAGATGGTGCGAGCGGACGTCAACTTCCATACACGCCCGCGCGACCACACCGATACCGACGCGACCGAGACGCTGCGTATTCGCGCTCTGCGCGGCAGTGAGAGTCGGGCATACTTTGGGAAAGTGACGATCACGACGCACGTGTGGGGTTACTTCAAGGTGGACAAGCGAGCCAACATCCTCGATGCGGTAGATGTCGACTGCCCGCCCTTCGTGCGGCACACGCGTGGATTTTGGCTCGACGTGCCCATGTGGGTCGTGCAGTGCTTGGTTGACGAAGGCATCCAGGCAGCTGCGGCCATCCATGCGGCGGAGCATGCCCTCCTCTCCCTCACGCCCATGTTCGTCGTCTCCCTCGCCGGCGACGTGAGGACCGAGTGCAAGCTGGCGCTAAAGGAGCGTGTGCTGACGAGCACAAGGAAACGGCCTGCGCGACTCATCTTCTACGACTTGCCCGGGCAGAATGGCGGTATCTGCGAGAAGAGCTTTGAGCATTTAGACGGGCTGATCCGCATCGCCGTAGCGGTCATCGAGGCGTGTGGATGTGCAGAGGGATGTCCAGGATGCGTGACGAGCCAGACGTGCGCGTATGCCAATCAGGTCACATCCAAGGCTGGCGCCCTCGCCGTGCTGCGCGCCCTCATCGGCCTCGAGCCCTTCGTCCGCCAAGATGGCGCCGCCGCAGCCGCCGCCTCGCCCTCGAGCCCGCAGCTGGGCATCGACGAGAACCCGCTCAGCGCAACGATTGCCGAAGCCCCCGCAGTGCCATTGGCTAGCGATGCGACGCAAGAAGTGGAAGAGTACGACGAGCGACTCCCGCCGAGCTTGGAGGAGAATCTACGGCGTTTGGAAGGGTTTGCCAGGATGGCACGCGATGGAGAGGTGGATCAACGTCCGGCGATGGGCAAGAGTCTGCTTTTCAGTGAGTGAGTGAGTGATATCGTCTAATTTATTGTCATTTCCACGCGATGCGCGCGTGCGATGCGAGCGCGAAGCGAGAGGATCAGTAGCTGTGGCGGCGAGATGGTGCGAAGAGATGTCAGTGCTCGTGATCAGCCCACATGCGCACGCTACACGCACTCGTAGAAGCCCTTGCCACTCTTGCGCCCGTACCAGCCTGCATCGACCATTCGCGAGAGCAACGCCGCCGGCCTATACTTGGAGTCTCCCGTCTCACGGTGGAGCGTCTCCATGATTGAGAGGACCGTGTCGAGGCCGATTGTGTCCTGTCGCGCGGTAAAGGAGGATGAATCAGCTCGCAGCTCGCAGCTCGTAGCGTTGCTGCCTGATCGCCCCCGCGCACTCACCGCCAACTCGAGGGGCCCCTGCGGATGACGCATTGCCATCTTCATCGTCGCATCGATATCCTCCCTCGTTGCCACACTCTCATCCAGAAGCAGGATGGCCTCGTTGAGCATCGGGCAGAGCAGTCGGTTGGCGATGAATCCCGGTCGATCCTTGGATGCTACGACTCGCTTGCCCAACTGTTTCTCCACAAACTCGATGACGCGGGAGAGTACTTCGGGCGAGGTTTGGAGGGCGGGGATAACTTCTACTACTGTGGAGACGGGGACTGGCCACATGAAGTGGGCCGAGAGGACCTGGCGGCGCGAGAGATGAGAGGCACGAGGTCAGAAAGGGGGAGCTAATGCCTCGTCTCGAATCCCCTCGACGTTCTCACCCTCGCTGGTGACTCGCGGTCGCGCTCCCCTCCCTGGAACTTCTCGCGCACAGCCGCCGACGCAATCTTGGACACGCTGATACTGCTCGTGTTGGTGGCCAAGATGGTTTCCACCGGCACGATATTGGCCAACCTCTTGAACAAGTCCTGCTTTGCACCTAGATTCTCGACAATTGCCTCGCACACCATCTCAGGCGGCTTATCACCCAAGGCTTCGAGGTCCTTGATGATGCTGAGCCTCCCGCGCGCCTCGTCTGCCTGCTGCTGCGTCATCTTATTCTTCTTGACGTCCTTGGCGAGGAGAGACTCGAAGAAGGCGACGCCCTTGTCCAACGCCTTGACATTGCCGTCGTAGAGGCGGACCGAGGCTCGGGCGTTGACAGCTGCAACGTAGGCGATGCCCAGGCCCATTTGACCGGCGCCTGTCACGGCGATCTTGGTGATTGGGTTGGCCATTGTGTAGCGGAGGGGCGCGGGGCACTTGTGAGTCAGGCTTGTCTGGTAGTGATGGGAAGATGCGAGAGAGCAAACGACACGAGCAAACCGGGCTTTCCTTTCCCCACCTCCGCACTCTCTCGCACGCCGAGAGCCGGCCGACTTGCTTCAGAGGGCGGACTGAGCCACGCGGCGCGACGACGTGCATTCAATCCAACACCTCCAATCTACACGATGCCATCCTCGGTGACAATGTGCGTGCGAGAGGCGGATGGGCAGAGCTTCTTGGCGGTGGTTCGCTGACCGCTCCCTCCCCCCGCGTCGCCTGCAGAGCCCTCTTCGTCTCGCTGGGCGTCATTGCCGTCGTAGGCTATCGCATCTCGCGAGGGGGAGGAGGCCGGGGTGGTGGTGTGGGCAAGTACGACCCCAAGACGGGCATCGGCAGGGGTGCGCCAGGCTTTCGTGAGTGCGGCGAGCCACGACCGCTCTCTTGACGCATAGTGATCTGACCCATACCTTGGTGGCCTCCGCCCGCGCAGAGACCAACGTGACTCGCATCGCCGTACCAGCGCACATCGTAGCGCGCATTCGCGCTGGCGAGGACGTGTCGGCAGAGGAGATTACGGCGGCGCAGGAGGCAGAAGCCAAGAAGCAGGCAAAGTTGGCAAAGAGTGGCAAGAGTGGGAAGCCTTCTACGCCGAGGAGTGACCCGGCCAATGAGTGGATTCCAGAGGGTCACTCGACCGCACGGGGCACGAAGGGGAAGAGGATTTAGCGTGGGGAATGAAGATTGCATCGCCTTAAACGCGCTCATAATCCATCAGATCTTGTATATCCGTGTGCTTGTGCTCGTGCTCGATACCATTGCTCAATGTCGCTTTTCCTGCCTTGGTAGTGATCCCAACTCGGCGCCACGTGGTTCTCGGCCGAGGCACGCACGCACGCACGCACGCCTCGAGAAGGTCTCGTGGTTGTCCGCCCGGCCAGCCTCGAGAATACGGACCAAGATTGGAATTCGACGCCGCTTTGCAGCTCATCACCATCAACCCCACCCCGATCATCATCATGGCCGAGTACGACTTGACATCCACGCTACTCAAGTACGTGGATCGCCATCTCGGCTTTCCCTTGCTCTCACACCTCTCTTCGACGGGCTTCTTTGACGAGAAGGATATTGTGAGGGCGCAATATGAGCTTGCGAGAGGAAGTGAGTGCGGCGAGCGCGAGCACGAGCGCATACATGCACACAAAGATAGTCCAGCGAGGATGGATGCTCATCATGACTCCTTCGCCCCTTCCAGCCTCGATGGTCGACTATGCGCAGTCACTTCACGAGCAAGCATTCCCTGGCCAACAAGCGCCCGCAGAGCTCGAGGCGCAGCGAAAGGAGGCGCTGGCTCAGCACGAGAAGCTGGGATCCGAGGTAGACACCGTCCTCAACGTCATCGAGGACCCTAATGTCGCTTCTGCTCTCAAGCAGGACAAGGAGAAGAACCTCGAATGGCTCAAGCAGAACTACGACGTGCGTGCGGGGTCGAGGCGTGCAGGCCGAGGCGTGAGACCAGATGAGCGGGGACGACAGCTAACTTTGCTCCTTCTCACATGAACAGCTCGACCTGGAACAAATCAGCACCCTCTACCGCTATGGCCATTTCCAATTCTCGTGCGGAAACTACAACGAGGCATCCTCATACCTCTATCACTTCCGCATCCTCTCCATCGACCCGGTACTCACTCTCTCCTCGCACTGGGGCAAACTGGCGGCGGACGTCCTCACGGGAGAGTGGGACAGGGCATTGGAGGAGTTGAAGTTGATCCGCGAGCAGGTGGAGCGTAACGATGGAGAGTCAGCAGAGGCGCTGCTCCAGAAGAGGACATGGCTTCTTCACTGGAGTCTGTTCGTGTGGTTCAACCACCCTGAGGGCAGGCAAGGTTTGGTAGAGATGTGAGTTCGCAGCGCCCGCGCGAGCGATGTCTTTCATACCATCGCACCACACGTCATGCTGACCCTGCTTTACGGCGCTGCATCCCCGCAGGTTCCTCTCCCCACCCTATCTCAACACCATCCAAACCACGTCGTGGTGGCTGCTTCGCTACCTCGTGGCCGCCCTCATCCTGACCCGCCGCACCTCTCGCGTCTTCATGGTCCCGCAACCCACCTCCCCCGGTTCCGGCCTCCTCAACGCCAGCCCCGTATCCAAAGTCACACCCGTAGCCGCCCTCCGAGATGTATCCCGCATCATCGTATCCGAGGCAGAGTACCGTCTGCGACCGGACCCCATCGTCGACTTTGTTGCCAAGCTGTACGGCGACTTTGACTTCGAGGCCGCACAGGAAGAGCTCAAGAAGGCCGAGCAGGTGGCAGAGGGCGATTTCTTCCTCTCCGACTTTAAGGACAGTTTGATCGAGGGGGCTAGATACCTCATCTCGGAGGCGTACACTCGCGTACACCAACGTGTGGACATTGCCGACCTCTCGCAGCGTTTGAACCTGTCCAAGGACGAGGGAGAAAAGTGGATCGTCAACCTGGTACGAGACACGCGTGCAGACGCGAAGATTGACTTGAAGGCGGGCGTGGTGACGATGAACTTGCAGGCGACGCACCCGCCCATCTACCAGACGATCATCGAGCAGACTCGCGGCTTCACCTTCCGCACTGCTGCAATGGGTCAGGCCATCGATCGCAAGGCGCATCCGATTGCGCCTTCGAATGGAGCTGAGGGTGGGGCTGCGCAGGCGACGAGAGGAGGTAGGGGAGGAGGACGAGGTGGGCGTGGTGGGCGTGGAGGGCGCGAAGGAGGAGGTGGGCGTGGTGGTGCGCGAGGAGGAGGAGCGGCAGCGGGGCAGACGGCAGCGCAGGCACAGGCAGAAGGTGGTGCGCCTGTGGCACCGTCATCAGCAGCTCCGGCATCTGTATCGACCGAGGCTTGAGTAGAGTCGCGTCAATGTCATCATAGCCCTTGCGCGTACAATCCACGTGGCGTGGCGTGATGCAGTGCATCTCCGCCTGCCCGCCCGCATCGACGCCCGACTCGACTTGACCTTGTGGACCGCACAGCGTTGCAACTCCACTCCTCACCATCCCATCTCCCATCACCTCCCCCCCTTCGCCGCCCGCAATGTCAAACTATCTGGACCGCTTCCGAACAGCCGCTCAAAAAGCCGGCACCCAAGCCACCACCTTTGCCAGTCAAGCCTCCCGCCAGCTGAGCGAACAAGCCAAAATCGCCCAAGCAGGCTTCTCCCTCCCCAAGGAATGCCAGCGCGCAGCCACTATTCTTCAGGGTTTCCTCGCCGACCCTTCCCACCCGGATACGGCACTCAACGCTATCCCCAAGGCGGTGCTCAATAACGCCAAAGGGCTGGCAGTCTTCTCTGTTGCTAAGGCTGGGTTCTTGTGGAGTGGAAAGGTCGGCTCAGGGGTCGTGGTTGCTAGGCTCGAGGATGGGAGTTGGAGTGCTCCGAGTTGTATAGCTACGGGTGGTGTGGGATTCGGATTCCAGGTGAGCAGGCAAGACCCTAGAAGGCAGACTTGTTGCTATCAGGGATACTGATAAGATACTGTTTCCCCCTTGCTCTCTTGCGCCCCCGCAGATCGGCGCCGACATCTCTGAATTCGTCGTCGTCATGAACAGTCACGACGCCGTACGTTCCTTTGCGCTGGCAGGTAATCTCCAGATCGGCGGCTCTCTCAGCGCGTCAGCAGGTCCCATCGGTACAGGAGGTGCCATCCAGTCTGCCCTGGCTCATCCAGCACCCATGTTCAGCTACTCGAGGTCAAAGGGCCTCTTTGCCGGCATCTCCCTCGAGGGTACGCTCCTCGTCGAACGAAAGGACGCCAATCGCGACTTTTACGGTCAGGTGATCCCTGCCGCTGACTTGCTGGGAGGCAAAGTGCCTGCACCCGAGGCTGCGAGCGCCTTGTACGAGGTCGTCGAAGCGGCAGAGGCCATCGATGAGACTGGGCTGCCTGAGCAGGCCTTTGTGCCTCAAGCGCCGGACATGGGAGGCCAAGCAGCAGCAGCAGATACGGGGGCATATGACCTTGGTGGAAATGGCGGCGGAGGTGCAGCAGCAGCGAGCGCGGTACCGGCTGGGGCAGCCCCCACATCAACGGCAGGAGCAGCGGGAAAGAAGCAGGCGACGGTCTTTGACGCAGACGCAGCAGAGCAAGAGAAGCAGTAGGTGCGGCGCTAGAGGAAGATGCGATGACGATGTAGTGCATATGAATACTACCCTTCCCTTCGACTCTCCCGAACTTGCTATCTCCATGCGCTCCTGTACTCTGTCAACCTCTGCGTAATCCGCTTCCAGTCTGCGGCGTCGTGTGAGGGAAGCGGGATGATGCGTAACGCTGCGCCCTGCCCGCTTCCTTCTGACGTCAAGGACGCTGAGAACCCCTCCCTCTTCGGTGGCGTGACCATGACTAGCAGCCTGCACTTGCCATTCTTTCGTATCAGCTGTAGCGCCTTGTACGACTCATCGTCGTCGCCGCCGTCGTCGTCGCCGTGGTCCTCCCCTTTGCCCGCGAGCAGCTCAACGTGCGCATTACAGCCTAACGCTCTGGCCACGCTGTATGCCCCTTTGCTCGTCGAGTAGCGCAAGATGCGGCGTGTGTCGAGGCCGTCGATGGTGGATTCAGGTAGCGCCTCGAGTGTTGAGGGCAGGATGAGGTGGATGTTGTACTGCTGTGCCAGCGGGGTTACGACTTGCGTGTAGAGGTGCGAGATGGAGGAGGAAGGGAGCGAGGCTGGTACAGTGAGGGAGAGGGTCGGGCGCTGAGCAGCGACGAGCAGAGCAGAGCAAGAGGAGGGAAATCAGCATACGATCACACGTGTGTTGCCACGCCACTCGCAGGCTCACCTGAGCAAATGCCTGTGAAGAGGAAGCAGTCGATGTAGGTGCTGAGCTGGATGGATCGGCCTCTTTCTTGGACCCGCTAGCCGCCCACTGCGAGTACCAGTAATAGCCTGCTCCGACCAATGCAACAGCTGCTCCTGCTGCTCCGAAGATGGCGAGAGCGTCTGGTCGTCTTCGCCGTCGATTGGGAGGTTGCTTTGACATGGCGGCGAGGTGGATTGAGGGACAAGAAAGTGAAGCGCCGCTTCCGGCTCCTCTTGGATTCAATCGAGCCGGTCGAGTATTGAGCGGACGGAGCGAGCGGAGAGCGGCTTTGCACTCTTCGGACCGGAGAAAGGAGCACGAGCCGCCCGCACGAGCCACGTCGTCGAGGCGGGGAGGCGGGCAAAGGAGAGGAGCCAACAGCGAGAGAAACAGAGCAAACCGCTTTGCCTTGTCGATCACCACCCAGGCACGACCCCCCATCATGTCACTCGAGGACGTACACGACTTGCTTTTGCAAGCCCCACTCTCACAGGTCAACTCTGTCTTGGCAGACCTACGCGGCCTCGTCTCCTCTGGCGGCTCTTCCTCTCGTCTAGGCCGCGATTTTGAGGAATCACTCCCAGGAGCTCTACGACAACTCCATGAGGATCAGGGCAAAGTTGTCCGTCTACCAGGACTAGAGGCGGGCAGTATCCTGACAAAGGAGGCTCGCTCACACGACAAAGACGCCGAGTATCGCGACGAGGCGCAGAGTAAAGTCTTCTCCTACGACCACGCAGCAGACAAGGTAGCTTCTAGCGAGACGTATCGTGCAGTGTCATCATCGGACAATGAGCTCAAGACGGAGCTAGAGAGACAGCTAGGAGCGTACTTGCGAGACCACTACCCAGACTTGGATCCTCAGCGCACCAATGAAGGAGCATGCGGGTCTGTCCTCAGCCTGCCTACGACACGCATTCAGCGACGAGGAGGGCGTCAAGAGGCCAAGGGCAAGACCAACGTTGAGCAGGGTGCTGCAAACGAGGAAGAGGTGGAGCAGACGCCACAAGAGACGGCAATGGCAGAAAAGGCGACAGAGGATGAAAAGGAGGAGCAGAAAGCAATGGGAGAAAAGGCCGTACGCGTCGTCGACGAGGACGACGACGAGGACGATGAGGGCGAGCTGGTAGAGCTGATTGCCGACGCAGACGCCTCCTCCCCACCCTCGCACATCATCACCATTGTCTCGGGCAAGAGCAACGCCAAGAACTTCTGGTCCGGTCGCCTCCTCTCCACGTACCACTGTCATGCAGACGTAATTGAGGCGCACACGAAGCTGCAGATCCACTACTACGAGAATGGAAACGTCCAGCTGAACGCAGAGGTGCCTGCCATTATCCCACTCAACACGAGCGCCGCGCAAGCATCGGCGTCACCTGCTGCTCAGGCGAAAGCCATCATCTCGGCCATTGGGAAACACGAGCAACACCTCCAGGAGACGCAGCTGGAACGCGATGTGTACGAGGGATTGAATGAACGAGCATTCAAGGGATTGAGGAGGCAGTTGCCCGTGACGAGGCAGAAGGTAGATTGGGACAAGGTGACCAACTATAGGCTTGGGCAGGACTTGGCGGATCACAACGAGGGTGCGGCGGCGTGAGAAGAGCGCGCGCGCGTGCGTGTATGTGCACTCGTGGAGGCCAAAGCAATGCCAGCCCGACATGTAATGACATTTGTTGATGAGCAGTGACTGTCATGCCGCTGCCGCTGATGCCCTCTCCTTGCTTTGTTGACCTTCTACTCCTCGCAAGAAGTCTCTCAAATGTCCCTGCGTATCTGCGATTTGCTTTTCGAGGAACTGCGGGTGCGATGCGCCGGGTTCAAACGTCACCATGTTATCCATGGATACCAGTCAGTAATCTTCCCATCTACCTCGTTTCGCTCCTCGCGCTCGCACCTTTTGCTTCTTTCCCAGCACATCGACCTCCTCTGTGACTGCCTTCTCCTGCGATGTGAGGTTGGCTACGACGGCGGTTGGTGTTGAGGAGCAAAACCTGGCGCGGCGAGAGATGCGAGCGAGAGATGAGATTGCGCAGCGTCAGAGTCGTCGATGACTACACCCTCGCTCTCGGCCCGCACTCACATCTTGCCCACCCCTCTCCACACCTTTGCATCGGATCCCTCTGCCTCAACGGCCTGCCTCGTCAACTCGACTCCCCTGCGTTCGCGCTCCTTTGCCGTTCGCTGAGCTCGTACGAGTGACAGCTGGCGTGAGTTTTGGGCTAGTGTCACCTGTATCTGCTCAAGCATCTTGCGTAGCGCTTCATCGTTAGCGTTTGCGTTGCCCGACGACATGATGATGCGCGCGCGAAGGTGTTGGTTGCAAGACGACGAGATGGTGAATCCGCAATCGCAATCGCAATCGCAGTTCCGCGCCGCCAGTCGAGACGAGACGAGAGCAGTGGAGGCTCGATTGTCGTCCCTTTTGCGCCCTCGTTCTCACGCCTCGCACTTTTGCTCCTCACAACCACGCACGCAACATGTCTAACATCTGGATCGCAGCAAGCGAAGGGGATCAGGCCACAGTCGCCTCTCTCCTCGACTCTGAGCCCAACCTCACGCCCATCTCGCCAGATCACAATACCTACACGCCCATTCATGCTGCCGCCTCGTACGGCCACGTAGCATTGCTGCGCTTCCTCCTTTCCCACCCAAAGTGCCCTCCAAAGGCAGCAGATGTCACCGACGAGGATGGCGATTCACCGCTCTTCGTCGTTGAGGATGTAGAGACGGCAAAGGTCCTCGTCGACGAATTCGGAGCTGACCCTAAGCGCAAAAACGCAGAGGGAAGAACGGCAGCGTACGCTATGTGGGAGAGTGGTTGGCAAGAGGCGAGCGATTGGGTGCGAGAGAAGACGGGCGAGGCTGCATTCGCGGCGGATGACGAGGGCGAAGATGGTATCAAGGAGGAAGACGAGGACGATCATCAAGACGAAGACGATGAAAAGCACGATGGTGAACATACGAAACGCCTCGTCGAAGCACTCGGCGAGTACAGCAGTTGCGAGGTGCGCAGCCCACGTAGCAGCGTGTTGCCTGCCTATATGCTGACATGCTCCCTCGCACGCACGCACGCACGCACGCACGCACGTCCAGATCTCTGACGCCCTCATCAAGCTCAAGCACCCTACAGGCGGACACATCCCCTCCCTCTCCCTCGTCTCTCCTCGTGACTCGGTAACTGCCAAGCTCTGCGGTCAAGTCTTCCCCGTGCGGATGGTCGCCTCGTCGGACAAGAATGCCCCGCCCAAGCCTAGCACCCACTTCGTCGATGCAGCGCCCAAGGATAGCGTCATGCTGGTTACGGCGCCCGACAATGTGCGATCAGCCGTGTGGGGTGGGCTGATGACGGCGAGGGCTCAGGCAAAGGGAGTCAAGGGGGTTGTGCTCAATGGCAATTGCCGTGATCTTGCAGAACACTGGGAGAGTGGTGAGTGCGAGGGGCGCAGTCGACGAGCTAAGGGTTGGGTGTAGCTGACGCTCGTCCCTTCCACGCCATGCCCGTCACCAGGCATAACCATCTTTGCCAAGGGCCACTCAACGCTGGGCCAATCCCCCTTCACCCGTCCCGCTACTCTGGGCGAGCCTATTGAGATTCGCTGCGACTCCAATATCCCACCATCCGACGCAGACCCAGCCTGGCCAACAATGACCGTGCAACCCTCGGACATCCTCCTCGCAGACGTAGATGGCGTCGTCGTGGTACCGCGCAAGCAGGTTGCCGAGGTCGTCGAGCTGACAAAGAAGGGACGCGAGGTGGATGCGAGGTGCCTAGAGGACTTGAAGCAGGGCAAAGGAGTGGCAGAGACGTTCAAGAAGCATAGAGGGGCGTAGAGCGTGGGCGTGGGCGTGGGGTTGGGCGTGGGCGTGGGCGTAGGCGCGGGCGTGGGCGTAGGCGCGGGCGCAGCAGCTTTGAGGAGCGGTGCATTGGACTAGATAGAATACCATGAGGTCACGCGCCGCCGCGCGCTATAGCCACTTTGCCATGACGGTGCGAGGCGTCACCTCGTAGCCCAGGGATTCGTAAAATGCAGCCACTCCGACGTTGTTCTCGCGAATGAGGAGCTGACACTTGGCTACACCCCGCTCACGAAGCCAGGCCTGCGCTGCCTCGACCAGCTGACGACCCAGTCCCTTGCCTCGCTCGTCTGGGTGGGCAGCAACGTAGTATAGCCAGCCGCGATGGCCGTCATGACCGACCATGATGGCTCCCGTCGCGCCCTCGTCTGCGACTAGGATCGTGGATGAGGGACCACGCAGGGCTTGGTGGAAGTCCTGCACTGGATCATTGTAGCTTACCGCGAGGCCGCAAAGCTGCCAGAGCTGCACGACTGTCGCTTCGTCATCCTCCTTGGCTTCTCGTATTGATGCCATGGGCGAGTGACAAGGGTGGAAAGATTGGAGCAACGCAACGTCCGTGCGTGCCGCGGGAGATTGGGGCACTCGCGCTCGACTCGCTGCCCAGACCACGTGGTTTGCAGCAGCTGGCGGGACTGGGAAATTGATTTTTGGCTTCTCTTTTGTGGTGGTTGGCTTCTTTCCGCCTCGCGAGACCCGCCTTCTCCTCCAACTCTTCGATACCACTCGCAGCCACGCCACGCCACGCCACGCCACGCCATGGCATCGTCATTGGCTTCGCAGCTGGGAGGCATACGCTCCCTGAATGCTGCACGCCTCGCCTCGGCGTCGTCGTTGTCGTCGCATTCATCCTACCTCTTCCCACCCGCTACGGCTTCGAAGCAGGACCTCGACTCCATCTTCTCCCTCGGCCAATCAGGTTGGACCGATCTATGCTTGCACGATGCAGCACTCGAAAAGTCACTAGCAGCGCAGAGGCTCTTCTCACCCTCTTCCAAGACGACAGATCGCACTATGTTGTCCAAGGAGGACAACGCCAGCATCGACGCAGCAGTACAAGACTTCTTCGATCGAGTGGGCGCTGTGCTGTTGGGCAAGAGCGCCGCAAAATGCATCGAGTGGCTAGTACGCCGCTTTCGCATTCACGACTTCAATGCTGTCGTGGTCTTGAGGGCCTTTTTGCCATTTCACTCTACACCGCAATTCGCCCGCATGCTCAACATCCTCAGCATCTCAAAGGAGTCTCACCTGGCCTTTCTACTGCCGATCCAAAAAGCTGCGCAGCCTCTGCCGACATCCGTCTTGCTCTCTGCTCTTCTCGCACCGGCCTCCTCTTCACACTCTCTCGACGCGCTGCGCCTGGTAGGTGGCGTGCTCCCCACAGACAAGGAGCCTCATCGAGCCCAGGTCCTCTTCTGGTCCTCGACGCTGGTGCAATTCTGCGCTAGATCAGCAGGCGCAGAGGCTGGCAATGACGGGCTCGTGGGGCTGAACAGGAAAAAGGCGCGCACCAGCTCGCAATCGCGCGAGGACAACGATCAACTCGTCCTCGGTCTGCTACTCCCTACCATCGCAAACGTCATCACATCCAAGGCAATGGGCACTGAGGCTCAGTTGGCCGGCTGCCTCGTCCTGTGCTCCGTCGGCGCAAGCTTCGACCTCAGCGTCGAGGCAATTCAGAGTACCATTGCGACCATCGTACCCGCCGTCGCAGAACCAAAGGCGGACACTCGCCTGATTCAAGCCGTTGTCACGACTCTCGCTACCCTCTGCGCCAGCTCAGACGACCTGCAGCCTCTCCCTCTCGCTACAGTTCAGCAGCTTTTCAACGTTCCCAACTTCACGCAGCAGGTCCAAGCAATGAGCAGGCAGTACGACCTGCGTGCATTCGTTGGCACGCTGCTGCCGACCATGGCAAAGTCCCTCGACGACGAGCAGATGAGCGGCGGCCTTGTGGCACTGCTCGCCACTCCGTCCAGCGAGGGTGGCGTGCCTACGTCCGATGCAGTCGAAGCTTTGCGCATCATTGCCACCTCGCAATCCTCAGCTTCTGGCAGCGTCCTCTCAGACATTCGCTCACGACGATCCGATGCCTTTGACGCCTTGGTTCGCAACCTCTCGCAGAGCCAAGACACCCGCCACCTCGTTGCCTCTGTCCTCCAAGGCGCCTTCAGCGGCTCGCATGCTGGCACCGCCAACTCGACTTCGTGGCTCGCTATCAACTCGAGTGAGGCAAGTCAGCGCCTGGCATCCCTCGATGCTCTCCTCGACTCCATTGCGGCCGAGGAGATTGACGCAAAGGACTCTTTCGTGCGCGACGCCCTCTCTTCTCGCCTCCTTGACGAGGACGAGGGCGTCCTCGCCGTCCTCTATTCAACCAAGGGCACGGCGGCACTCAAGCAGTCCCTCGACGAGGCCACGATGCTGTCCAAGCTTGAAGCCGTCTTGAGCGCCACGAGCAAGCTCCCCCGCAAAGCTCTGCAAGCACACCTCGGTTTCGTCTTGACCAACGTCCTGACCCCGAAGACGGCGACTCGTATCTTGCGCAATATCCTCTGGCCCCGCTTGCTCCTCACCAAGACCAACCGCAAGGCCACCGAGGCAACGCACGAGGCATTGCAAAAGACGTCGCGCCACTCGCTCCAGCCTCTCCAGGCCCTTCTCGCTGGCATCGTCGTACAGCGCGACGAGGAGCGCACCACCACCCAGATCAACCGTGCTGCTGCCCAAGGGCTCGCCTCTGCCATGGCTGGCGTGGAAAGCGAGAGCCACTTCAATGCCCACGTCTCCTTCCTCATCGGCCAGGCCACAAGCAGAGACGGTACCGAAGCAAGCATTGCACTCGCCCTGGCTACCATCATCGAGTTGCTGCCTCTCGTCGATGCGCAGCGCTTCCAGCCTCTGGCACAGCGCTTGCTCGACGCTCTCCCTCTCGCATCTCTCGATGGTGGTGAACAAGGCGTACTTGCGTCCGATACTGGCATCAGCGACGAGCTCTGGCAGCGCGTCTATGAGCAAGCGCCTCGCTCTTCTCGCCTCCTGGCGTCGCAAACGATCCTCGCTGTAGCGCAATGCCTGCACTTCCCTACGTCATCTCTCGTCGGTCTCGATGGCGTCGATGCCACTTCGCCCATGGTCGCCCTGGCAGAGCGACTCTACGGCAGCGCCTGCTCATCGCCCGCCGGTCGCGAGCTCTTTGTCGTCCTCTTCAAGAAGCTTGGACCAAGCACGCCCACCTTCTTGGCTCGCGTCTGGACGTGCGCATCAATGGCGACCTCGATTCGAGCTACAGCCCTCCGCCACTGTCACGCCTTCCTGGCCGCTCACCGCGCGCGTGGCGGCATGGACTTCCAACTCCTCGTGCCCGCCCTGATCACACCCCTCAGCAGCGTCGAGCCCGCACTGCGATCCGAAGCTCTCAACTGCCTCGACTTCATCGCAGAATCAGCTGCTGGCGAGAGCGACTCGACGACAATCTGGGGCTACGATGCCGTCTACGGCGAGGCGTCGGAAAAGCTGCGATATCTCGACACGTCGGCGCTTCATCGCCTCGTCTCTGATCTCCTCGAGGAGCGCGAAGCCATCGTCAATGACGCAAGCTACCTCGGCGTGCTGCTCCCCACCCTCTTGACTCCGCAAAAGGGACAGGAGAAGCGCAAGGTGAACCAGCAGCGCAGTGCTACGTCGTACCTCCTCTCGCACGCTGTTGCCTGGCCGTCGTTTAGCGCCAAGCTTCTGCTTCTCCGCGCTCTGTCTGGCTTGCGAGACTCGGCCAAGCTCACGCCGTTGCTGCCGCTCCTGGACGACGTCGTTGCAGCTGGCCAAAAGCAGCCTTCGCTCGACACCTTCTTTGCCGGTCAACTCGAGGTCGATGAGCGAGACGAGTTTGCACGCCTGTTGTTCGAAGCAGTTGATAAGCGGGCCAAGACCACCATCGAGGACGCAGAGAGCGGAGCGTGGACGATGCTGGCCAAGGCACTCAGCAGCCCAGCCAACCTCGTCTCGAAACACGCGGCCCTCGCACTCAAGACGGTCTTCCCCGTCATTGCGCCCGCTCGTCGTCGCGAGGCAGTCGAAAGACTGACTGCCGCCCTCGTCGACCCAAAGGTGCAGGCACCCAAGGAATTGCGCGCCACACTCGGCCAGCTCGACATCGACGTCGACATCCTCGTCTCGATCCTCGCCTCTCTGCGTCTGGCCATCACGGAGCGCTCACTTGGCAGCCCCGCAGCAAAGAAGAGTCGCTCAGACGCGCCTCGAGACGACGAAGCTAGCTCAACCGCCAACCTCAGCGAACTCCTCGAGGCCCTATTGCAGCGGCGTCTGGCCATTTCGCCGGCCCTCATCGTGGAGCTCTTTGAAGTCTTGCGCACCGCTACCGAGCTGCACACGACGGGTCATGCCAGCGGCGACTACCTGCTCCACCTCACGCTTTCGAACCTCTACAACGTGCTGCAGGGAGCGACGCCTACGTCCGACGTCGTCGCTTCTCTGCGTGTGGACACGGTCGTCAACGTCATCAAGGCGTCCAGCAACCCGTCGACGTTCCAGCAGGCGCTCCTCTTGCTCTCCGCCATCGCAGCATTGGCGCCAGAGACGGTCTTGCACAGTGCCATGCCCATCTTTACCTTCGTCGGCTCCTCGGTCCTGCAACGCGACGATGCCTTTAGCTTCGCAGTCGTCGAGCGAGTGCTCCGCTCCATTGTCCCTCCTCTCGTCAAGTCGCTCCGAGCGCAGAGCGGCAAGGATGGCGGCTTCGCCTTGCTCAAGCTGGCTCGCCCCTTCCTCTGCATCTTCACCGATTCGGCGACGCACATCCCGCGTCATCGTCGAGCCAACTTCTTCCAGCTACTCGTCGAGACGCTCGGCCCCGTCGACTTCACGTCCGCGATTGCCATGCTGCTCGTCGACCGCTCGGCGCACAAGATCGTCCGTCAGCAGGGCCCATCCTCGCAGAGCCTGCAATTGCCCCTCTCCATCTTGGTCTCGCAGTCGGCCAGCACGCAGCTCAAGAGCTTCGTAAGCATCTACACCGAGATCGAGAGGCTACTCGCCACGCGCGACGCAGATCCCACCCAGGCAGAGCAGCAGGTCTTCCTTGACCGCCTCAGCCGAGTCAGCAGCGAGCACTCGGACAAGCAGATCGACGCCGCGGTGCAAGCTCAAGCTCTTCTTGCTCTCCTCCAAGCGGCCATCGACTCGCCACAATTCGGCCTCAAGGCCAGCCGTGCAGCTTCAGACGAGGCGAGCCGAGCGCTTTATCAGCAGATCGTCGAGGCCTCGCTGCGTGTGGGCGCCTTCGAGGACGAGGATGTGGGCAGGGCTGCCAACGCTGTCCTGTCGTCGATCATGGCTCTTGTGCCTGTCGAGACGTTTGCCTCGATTGTCACGAGGTTGACGGGAGATGCGACGAATGCAGACTTGCGAGACAGTGGCTACGACCTCATTGCTGCGCGTCTGCCCTCGCTCTCCGCCGGTGAGCGCGAGTACTTTGCCAGCTCGACGGCGAAGATTGTAGAGTCGGCTCGCAAGGTGTTGGCGGGAGGCGTCGAGTCGCTGGCTGTCCTGTCGTCGCTGCAGGCCATTGCGGCGACTTGCCTGCCCGCAGAGCACACGGCTCTCTCGTCGCTCGTACCTCAGCTGCTGGCGCTGATTGAGTCTGCGGACGCCAGCGTGGCCGCTCAGAAGGCAGCCTTCTCCATCATCCGCAGCTTGTCGGCCGTCCTGGGTCCCCGCCTCCTCTCGCACCTCAAGCGCATCGTCGATGCCGGCATCATCACGTCCAAGAAGCCTGCTTCTTCGTCGCTGCGCACCTTGGCACTCGAGACGCTCACCAAGCTCTTCACTTCGGTCTCGTCGTTTATGGAAACGCATATTCAGCCTATCATCGCCGTGTCTACCGAACCGGAGCTGCAGGCCATCCTCAATGACGACACCTCGCGAGGAGCAGGCCGAGCTGCCAACGCCCTCTTGTCCACCCTCATCAAGGTCTCGCCCAGCGACAAGGTCTTCAGCGCAACGTTCGCTGTGTGGGATGGCGCTGAGCTGACGCACACTTTCATCGGCACTCTCGACTTCCTGCAGCGAGCTCTGCGCCTTGCAGACCGCTCAGCCGTCGCTTCCAACTACAAGGCCATCTTCCGCTTCATCTTGCGTGTGCTCGATCAGCGCCGTACCACTGCGTCGTCGGACCCGGCGCGCACCATCGCCGTCGAGAACGCTGCGGTTCGCGTCTTTACGCGCCTTGTCCTTAAGCTGAACGAGACGACGTTCCGCCCGCTGTTCCTGCGCATCTATGACTGGGCTGCCCTCGACCTGGCAGAGGACGACATGCCCCTATCCGACTCCGGCCTCGTGGCCCGTCGCATCGCTTTGTTCAAGGTCAGCAATGCCTTGCACGAGCAGCTGCGCGGTCTTATTTCGCACTACTATGCCACGATGCTCGACCTGGTCATCGAGCTGTTGGAGGGCTATCGTACCAGCAAGCTCGACGATGCCGAGCTGTGGTCTGCCGTACTCACGAGTATCGACAAGTCGGCGCGCTACGATGAGGGCACCTTCTGGAACCCAAAGCGACTCGAGAAGCTCTCGCCTGCGTTTGTGGGTCAACTCTCGATGCGCAACGCCAGCCTGGTCGAGAAGGTTGGCGGAGCAGAGGCGATTCGCGATGCCGTCTCGCCCGCCGTGGTCAGCTTGGCGCGCTGCGTACCGGACGAAGGGTCGCTCAAGGTGCTCAACTCTTCGCTCCTCACTCCGTTGCGCATCGACGACGTGGCGGTGAGATCGTCTACGCTCAATGTGCTCACTGCGCTGTGGTCCGAGTCGAGCCTGTCTTCCGTCCTGCTCGGCCTAGTGCCAGAGACGGTCCCTCACATCGCCGAGTTGATGGAGAGCGACGAGCTGGAGGTGGTGGCTGCGACGCGCGAGTTCATTGCTGCGGTGGAGGGCGTGCTGGGTGAGCCCTTGGATGCGTATCTGCAGTAGCTCGGCGTGTCTGCGACGGATCTTTCGCTCCTGACTGCTCAGAATGAATGTAATGCTTGGCTGAACTGACTTCGTGCGTGCTGCGTGCGTGCGTGTGCGAATGGCCGCCTCGTGGCTGGTGTTGGTTCGACGACGACGCGCTTTCTCATCTCCAGTTCCGTCGATCCGCTCGTCCGCTCCGACTCGAGGCGAGAAAGCGGAGGGGCTCGCTGCTCATTCACGACTTGGCTTCGCTACCATTGCAGCGCCTCCCTTTTCCCTTACTCGTCGTCTCGAAGCGTGGCAAGTTGCTTCACGGACACCTTTTCCAACGACGTCTGGCCGCGTTGCCGGCGGCTGGAAATGCCCCTCATCATCACGAATTAGTGGCCACCATCGACGAGACTGCGCCAAGATCCTAACGACGAAGCGGCGGCGACAACGGCGACGGCGACGATCACGACGACGACGACGACGACGACGACATAGAGGTCAGTGAAGCGACGATCGGCCAGCGACGAGCGACGAGCGACGACGGCCTCGACGACGACGATGTCTCACAAGCCAGCATCACACATGTCAGCACGTCGAGGCGCAGACAAGCCTGACGAGCGGTGGATTGACGCCTTGGCTCCCCCTTGTTCGCCCTGCAGACGACGCAACGAAGGCCAGCCATCAAGCTTCATACGCTCTCATCGCAGCGAGAATTCTTTTGCAGGCTTCTCGGTGAGTTCAGGGCGTGGCGTAGCGTCGTCTTTCCCCCTGTATGCTATCCTTACATGCTCTGACACGCTGCACCCACGCTGCGCCCACGCAGATCGAGGCCAGCATTGGCATCGCCTCGGAATCGAGAATGCCCTCCCACATGTTCGGACGCTCCAACGGCGGTGGAGGCAGTCGCAAGCCCTCTACGTCCGTCAAGTCGCCCTACACAAATTCGTCGCCGCCCACCATTGCGACCGACAACTTCTATGGCAACAGCAGCGGCACCACGCCCCTCACCAAGCCGCCAACACTAGCATTGACCCACCAACCGCCGAGTGGCAGCAGCAGCAGCAGCAGCAGCAGCAGCAGCAGTCGACGGCCTTCTAAGCCACTGTCGGGGAGAATCTCAGGCGGGCGCTCGCAGCTAGATCCTCGTGAAGCGCAGCAACCTCGCCAACCGCAGCCTCTCGACTTTCGACCCCAGCATCGTGATGCCCGAGGACAGCACCGCCCGCAAGAGTCGCGCGGCCATGACCCTGGCTCGGCAATTACCTTTGACGACGACGATGAGAGCGAAGATGATCGCCGGGCTACCACGTCGCACGCTCATTCTGCCCCATCGTCATCTCCCTCGCTCAACCTCAAACGCAGTCGAGCTCCCGTCCACAGCCGCTTCTCAGACGACGACCAGGAGGAGGAAGAGGACCGACCGGCAAAGCGCGGCAACTTCTCTCGCTCTTCGCCCTTTGGCAGCGAGTCGAGCAGAGATCCAATGGACATTCTACCCACACCGACCGACACTCGCCCCTCCAAGCGTCGCGCCATGCTAGGCAAGGATCCAGCTTCCACCCAGCGGCGGAAAGAACCGGAGTCGCCGACGAATCCACCTCGCAGCAAGACAGTGTCCCTCTCCATCGTCGCCGTCGAAGTTGCCGGCAAGGCAACCATTCTACGCCACCAGAGTCCGAGAATCATGCGTTCCTCAGCAGACCCTTCGCTCCGTCTGACGTGGGTCGATCTCGACGGGGCAACTGTCGCCATCAACGTCGCCGACCTGTTTCGCGTCTTTGCACCTCGTCAGATGGCGACTCGAGGAGCTCCTTTTCTGGGCATACAGACTGAACCTGGGACGGCCACGACTCGCCAGCTCCAAAAGCGCCTCATCCACTACGATCCTAAGCAGTCGGGCCCACACCCGCCCATGGTCTTATGGGGCAACGAAGAGGACAGAGGCGAGTGGTATGCGCTTGGCAAGGCCATCTCCATGCAGGCCTCGAAGAGCTGCTCAGTTGAGTTCCTCGACGAGAATGCTGCGGAGCGCGCGCTGGGCACGCTAGATCAGGTACTCAGCAAAAAGGAGCAAGCGGCCAAGAATGTCGAGCAGCGCAGAGCCTCTCAGTCACCCAAGATGGCGACGAGCAAGACGTTTGCTCCGCCGGCGGACACTTCGCGTAGCAAGGCGATGCAGCCTCGTGCTCGTCCTCGTAGTCCGCGCAGCGAGAGTGTAGACTCCAATTCTCCGCCGACGGCGTTGGACTTACTCAGGAGGACGTCTGCGTCCGCGTCTGCGTCTGCGAATCGAGAGGAAGGCAGCCCTGCCGCTGGCCCTAGCAACGCAGCCACCTACGGTAGTCGGAACAGCGCACGCAGGGCATCAGCCAGGCTCGGTGGCAACTCACTCAAGCTGTCAGAGAGGGAGGAATCCCCTTCTGGCATCCTGCCAAGCCGTCCCACTCGGACCACCGACTCGATGAAGCTGCGCTACCCAATCGAGGGGCCAGGGTCGGTCTCGGTATTCGAGTCGGACTGCGACCGCCTCCTCGACGGCGAGTTCCTCAACGACACCATCGTGGAGTTTGGCCTCAAGTACCACCTCAATGCCATCAAGAAGCAACGCCCTACCCTCTTCGAGAACCTCTACGTCTTCAATTCCTTCTTCTACCGTCAGCTGCACCAGACCAAGAAGAGCGTCGCCGATTGCTACCAGCAGGTGCGCAAGTGGACGTCCAAGATCGACATCTTTGCCAAGGACTACCTCGTCATCCCGATCAATGAGAATCTGCACTGGTACTTGGCCATTGTGGTGAATCCAGGGGCTGCATTAGAAGCTCGCGACTCGTCCGCCGAGCCTCGCGAGATGACACCTCCGGCCGGAGCCACGCGGTCGAAGGCGATGTCGGGGAGGGTTTCAATCACGAGGGGTAATCGAACGATCAACTCGGACGCATCCGATGGCGAGGCAGGGCCGAGCACGAATGACGCGCGACCGAGCACCAGCAACGGCCCGAGCACCAGCGTCGGCAAAGCGACGGCCATAGACAGCAGGGCTTCCACTCCGGGCGGCGGAGGAGATGGACCGCGCTCGGAGACTGCTGCTGCAATTGCACGATCATACTCAGCGCTCACGATCGGCGGCGACCGCGACCGCGACCGCGCTGGCAGCGATGATGAGATCGAGAGCGAGCCAAGCGCGGCCGCAGCCACTCGTCTACCTTTTGCACAGGGCGAGAGCGCGGACTCCATCGAGATGACGTCGCAGGAGGGGAAACGCGGCACTGACAGCGATGAGATCCAAGACTCTCTACCGTCGAAGTTCCCCTTTGCGGGTGGCATGCTCGCGGGGCAGACGACGCTTGGCGAGCCTACCGTCCTCGACCTCGGTGCAGTCAACCATCCTGTCATTGATCTGAGCAACACGCAGGAGGGAGATGAGAGCAGTCACGATGTGGACATGGTCGACGGCTCGTCGAATATCGCCAATCGCGGGCGTGGCTCGCTAGTCGGAGGAGGAGACGCAAAGAGGCAGCCGATGAGGATTGTGCCCGGCGAGTCGATGCAGAGAGCGATGTCATTCTCGCCGCCCCTCGCGCCAGTGTCAAACCCTGTACCGAGTGGTCGTCCTCGACCTCGTCCTTCCGTCAATCACCCTGGCGCCGGATCAAGGAACAACAACGCAGCGGGCGGGGCGAGAGCCAACGCAGCCAGTGGTGCGAGAGCCAGCGCAGCGAGCAGCTCGCGCATGATCATCGACGTCGACTCGCGCGCTCGATCTCCACCAATGTCCTCGACCCCTCGCACCTCGCCCAACGTCACCAAACCTGCTCCGGCACCGCGCGGCAAGAACGCCAAACGCGCCGAGGAGGTGGCGCAACGCCTTCGCGGCCAGCTCAAGGAGGACCTCGTCGTCTTGACCTTCGACTCGCTGGGCGGTACGCACCCCTCGGTCACCAAGGCGGTCAATGAGTACCTGCGCTGTGAGGCTCTGGACAAGCGCAAGATCCACATCACACCGCAGGCCAAGGCCGTCTGCGTCGCCGTGCCGGAGCAGAGCAACTTTTCCGACTGCGGTCTATACGTGCTACTATGTGAGCATGCGTGGGGGCCGTGGAGCACCGCACACGAAGCACCGTACGCGGACTGACATATCTGACCGGTCGCACACTCCACTCCCGCGCAGACTTCGAACGCTTCTTCCGCAATCTCCAACAGTTCAAGGAGCAGATTATCCCAGAGAAGGACAAGAGCAGCGAGCTGTGGGGCGCCGAGAGTGCTTCCAAGGCCCGCAAGGAGTGGCGCAAGCGCATTGAGGAGCTTTCGGTCGAGTGGAAGAAGAAGAAGGAGGCGGACGATGCGGCTGCGGAGGCGAAGGGTGGGGAGGGGGGTGCGGAGGAAGACGACGATGATGGGTTCGAGGAGGCGGGTGCGCCGCAAGAGAGCGCAAAAGCCGGGAAGGCTGCGGATGAGAGGGCTGCGGGCGAGGAGGGCAAGGTTGAGAAGTCTACGCAAGAGGGGTCGAGCAAGGCGGCAGACGATGACGCGGGCGCGGCCCCCGCGAACGCTGAGCAAGCGGACAAGAGTGCGTCTGCGTCTGCGCCTGGCTCGTCGATCGACAGCACCCTCGAAGCCGAGCTGGCGAGGATCGAATCTGGCTAGCGGCTAGCTCGCGTATCTCCACACATCTGTACTATTACATGGTCATACGATCTTGAGTCCATTCTACGCTGACGTGGGGCCTGCCTTGGAGTGTCTCGCCTTGAAGTGAGCCTGCCACGCCCCGCGCAGACGCTGCTGCCACTCCTCTCGCGTGATCTGGTAGCACACCATGACGAGCGAGTGCTTGCCCCATTCTGCGACGACTTTGGCCTGCTCGGCGTCGAGATTGTGCTCGGTCATGGGCTTGAGGCTGAGGGGCGGGCGCTCGAGGATCCTGGGCGTGCGAGCGAACGAGACGAATCGTGTGGTCAGCGCGCCTCCCGCTGGGCGTGCGCCTCGGCCTGCTTACCCGCGCATCGCCAGGTTGCGCTCCTCTGTACCGAATTGGAACAAGGGCACGCCCATCGACTCGAAGCCAAAGTCAAGGACCGCGAGGAAGGCCTCCTTCGCGATGCCGCGCCCGGAGAAGCGCGAGTCCATCGCGACGCCCATCTGAGCCAGTAGAATCGGTCGCTCCGGCCCGGGCAGATGCTCGTGATCCGGCGAGAGCTGGAGGTAGTTGATGGCTAGCCGGCCAGGCATGTCGTCGCCCTGCCAGATGTCAAATGTCCGCCGATGGTCCCACGGCGCAATGACCTGGTCCCGCTGCATCTTCTCGATCTCCTCGTCGCTGTTGAGCGTGCGTGGCGGCAGGTACTTGGCCGTCGACTGGTCTTTGATGACGGCGCGAAAGCTCTCGACCTCGAGACGGCTCAGACCGCCCGAGCGGATGATGAAGCGGCCAGAGGGAGGTGTGATGGTCACCACGGGCCAGTATGGAGTGTATGCATTGCCATCGGCGTCGATCGGCATGGCGGAGTGATGGGGAGGAGAGAAGGAAGCGCGCGAGAGCCGGCGCTGGCGTGGAGGTAGCTTTGAGCCCGACCTAGCCGAGGATGACTCGAGCGCGGCAGGTGTGGCGGCGATGCGAGAGACCGCAGCCGACGCCCACGTAAAGGGGAAGAAGTTGTCGCTCTTTTCCACTCGCATCGCAATACAAATGAGCCTGCGGCGGCCGAACGCGGCGGCTGAAGAGCTCCGCGGGCGCCATCTAGCAGGAACATATTTACTGGAACGAGTGAGTACGCAGCGTGAGAGCGCGACTGATCTGCAGGCGATGAGCAGAAAACTTCACGGCACAAAGCACCTTGCTCAGCTCTCACCGCCGTCCAAACTATGAGCAAGCACGAATAGAGCAAAGGCTCTTTGAGGAGCAAGGAGCGCAGTGGTCAGCGAACGGCAAAGCGCACAGAAGCCCAGCTAGTCCAGGCATGCTCCTCAGCTGACATCGCCATGCTGGCCGCAGCGAGACGACGGAGAGGCGGTCAAGACGCAACGGCTACGCGGCATCAGCAATGTTTTCTGCAACGCTGACATCCGCGCTGTCTTGAGGATCGCACCGAACAAAAGGCGTCGTCCAGGCTGCGAGGATCACACGAGGCTCACATGGCTTGGATCCAAATCTTCTCCCCACACAGCGCACATACACAGCACGACGAGATTGTATCGCGAATGCTCGCCGCAGCCATGCATCTCGCAGGACCGCTGCGCATGAAACAAGACAGGATTCGATTCCACTGCGGCACGCAGTTGGACTCAGAAAAGAAGCAGCTGAATATGCAGAAGTGTGAAGGTGAAGAAGGGCATTCGCTACAAGCAGCAGAGATCGAGTCAGCGAGGCGCAGCGCGTTGAGGCAAAAGCGCGCGGGACAGTGAGCCGCGGCTGACACTGTGGTCGATAGGCCTTTGCCGCGCGTGCTGGTCTTCATCGACATCAAAGCCCATTAGACGTTGGACGTCATCATAAATCATCGAGACAAGCTCTCCGAATACTTTCACAGCGTTTGCAGAGTGTCAGATGACATCATATGACTTCGATAGCTACGCAAATTATACCTCATCGCAGGCAATTGTCTCGTCGGGGAAGCATGATGCTTGTCAGACACCTCTTCAACGCGTACGAGACACAGCTGCTCGCTGCCCGCAGCTTGCTCAGCGGCGCGCATGACGAACGAAAATTCTTGCCCGCTCAGAGCCTCGCCACAAGTCAAGACAAGCTACGAGAAGTTGTCATGAGTTTTGTTAAGCCAATGAGGCGACGTCATTGTCTTGGTCACACTATGGTGGCCGCCGAGGGAGATGCAGAGACGGTAGAGCAATCCGCGCCTTCACGGCGCAATTGTCGTCCTCCATCTGTCGTCCAGACGGCAGGTCTCGGTAACATTAATATGTTGGGCAAGTCCCATGGCCGATTTAGCCTCAGCTAGCATTGCTTCGCGTTGGTCCTTTCCTAATGAACACACTCTAGACTGGCGGAAGACGAGGTATCTGCTGCTAATTACCCCAACTCTTCACGAAAGAGGTTTCGGAAGCGAAGGGTCACTGAGATCTGGCGCCTTGCGAGGACATAAAGAATCAAGGGAAGGCTTCGAGCTTGTCTTGCTGTTCTCCTGCTTTTAGAGTGATGCTTGAATCCACGCAGTAACAAACAATGCGTAGCGCTGTGTATGTTTCTCATAGAAAGAGCGAAACGGAACCGGCCGGGTAGCTGGCTGTGTTTCTATCGCGATCGCACATCGCGAGGATGAGTCTGCGGCGTGTCGCGCTGCGGTAGCAACTTCTTCATGAAAGGATATCGTCAAGATTGTTGTCGGGCAGAGATGAACGGAGCGGCGGCGCAAAAGGAGCGATAAGAATAGGGACAAGTCGCGCAGCGCTTGCACGGCGCGCGGCGCTACGAGAACTTGAGGTTGGTGACGAGAAAGTCGATGACGACCTGCGGCGCCTTCTCGCGCAGGTCTTCGAGCGGGTAGAGGAGTTTGTGGTTGTGGCCCTTGAATTGGATCCAGGCGAGGAATTGCTTCTCCGTCGACTGCGGGAAGAGCTCGTCGAAGGTGGGTACCTCCTCGATGGGTACGATGGTGAAGATCTGCGCGGGGCGTAGGGCGTGGCGCAGCGTGAGATGGGCTAGCAGCAAGGGGGAGGCGACGCGCGGCTCACCTTGACGCCCTTGTTGCTCCACGTCTCCAGCTTGTTCATCTCGATACGTAGTGCCAGCCCGCCTCGTACGCTGGCATCTTGCACATTGGCAAGCGCTGCCACCTCCTCCTCCTCCTCCTCCTCGTCGTCTTCGTCCATGCCTTCCGTCGCCGTAGCCGTGAGCTGAGGCTTAAAGTACTTGTCCAAGCGGCCATTGCGCTGCGCCTTCCTCGCTGCTTCCAATCCTACAGCCTCGCTCGCCTCGTTGCTGCTGCTGCTATCGCTAGTCTCTCGCCGAGCCTGCGCCTGCGCCTGCTTGCCGGCCTTCCTGCGTGCTTTCCTCTCCTGCGCCTCCTTGATCCTCTCTGCCTCACGCTTCTCCGTTTGGCGCGGATGAGGCTTCGTCGCCCAAAAGGTATTGACCATGTCGTTTGCCGTCTCCCTGATGTTGGCCTGCGCGGGTCGCGGCGGGGGGTACGGACGTCAGCTCATCGTGCTCCTCGCCCATCAGTCGCATCTCTTACGCGCCCGCAGCACGCACCTCTGGCTCCCACGTATCGTCTTCCGGGCCGTAGCCCTCCCATCGTACGAGGAGCTCGTCGACGCCCGTCTTCTTGTTGTATCGATTCTTCAGGATAGCCTCGATGACGTACTCCCCCTCGCCCTCCTCGACTTCGTCGTCGTCCTCGTCGTCGTCCCCCTCCGAATCCACCTCGATGGGGTTTGTCGAGGCTGCTGGCCCACCATTGCTGCGCGATGCGCTCGCAACGGGCGGACGGCCGCGGGGCTGTTTGGACGTAGAGGCGTACGAGGTGCTCTTTGCCGGCATTGCGGGGAGGGGAGGGCTGCTGCTCCTGCTCCGCTTAGAGCTGATTGCAAGGAAGATTAGGATCGAAAGATTGGCATCGATGGAGGGCGGACGGAAAGGGGACGACGAGGCAGGCGCGCGTCGCGTGCATGCAGAGAGAGCAGCTCCACCCAAGCAGACAAGCACGGACGAGCTCCTTCCCCGTTCCACTCTCTCTGAGATCACCGCCCGCAGCGCTCGCATGGATGAGGTATGATATTCTATGATGATAGCTGAGCAACAAACAACATGAAAAGTCTATAGCGCCGTCATAGCTGCGAGAGAAACAAAAGAATGGTCTATCGCGCCGCGCCGCGCACCCTACGTCGTCTTCATCGCGTAGTGGCTCTTATTGCGCAGCCTCTGCCCCCACTTCATCGCCCCCAACGGGATGGCAATCTCGACGACGGCAACGAGCGCCAGGATCAGCGTAGCATTGCGAGGCTTGAGGTTGAGGTAGAACTGCGCGCCAAAGAGCGGGAATACGCCGATGGCTACTGATCGGATGAGCCCAATCGCAGCAAAGGCGGGCGAGGACCGAGCGAGGTACGTGTCCACGACATAGGCAAATGTGCTCAGCATGACGCTCAGAGCGCCAAAGGAGTAGACGGCTGAGCCGACAATGGGTACCATCCAGTGGATGCTCGGGAAGCTCGTGTAGCCAAACCAAAAGAGTCCAATTACCGTGAGAAAGGCACCCATGAGGCCTTGAGGCAGGCGCATCTCCGGTTGACGCTCCATGTTGGCACGCTTGAGGCGCCTGATCCAGAGGTGGAGGTCGACCGTCAAAGACCATAGACAGGCGGCCAGCATACCGACACCACAGCCAATGAACGTGAGGCCAGTCTGAAAGGCGTTGAAGCCGTGGCCGAGACCAAAGACGACGGGGAAGGCGTCGAAGAAGAGGTAGATGATGGCCATGACGGTAGTTTGCCAGAGCGAGACAAAGACGATGATGGGTTCTGATCGAAGCCTGGCGGGGTGCGGGGGAGGAGGGGCTAGACATGGTCAGGACAGCCGCGAGGACAGGAGGGAAACGTCACCACGCCGCGCACTCACATGTTGATAGCACCACCAGCCACGCTCGCCATCTTGGCTACCGTCGACATCCCATGCTTGTCAGCCTCAGTGCCATACAGAGGGGCATGCAGTGGGTCGCGCTGTCTGCGCTCCTTGACACGCCTCTGCAGCCGCTTGTTGATCAGAGTCTCGGGCGAGATGACGTAGAGGAGCGTCGAGAAGGCGCCGCTGATGATGGCTGCGTAGAAGAGCCACCTCCAGCCTGCAGTGTCGCCCTCGAGTGATCCTACGCTTGGTGCGTACGTCTGGATAGCGCCGCCAATGATGGGACCCAGCACAGGACCGAGGAAGACGACGGCAGAGTACAAGGCGATGCTGCGTGCAATGGCGAGGCCAGCAAAGATGTCGGTGTTGGTCCCCCCACCATTCGTCAAGCAAGCGCAGCCAAAGAAGCCTGCAAAGAAACGGCAGACGATCATCGTCGAGACGGATTGAGCTCGGGCGCAGCCGATGTTGAAGCATGTCCAGGCGAGAGAAGAGCCAATGTAGACGGGCTTACGACCAATGGACTCGGCGAGGGGAGCCCAGATGAGCGGACCTGGTCCCCATCCAATGACGTAGACTACGAAGCCCGTGGTGACGACCGTCTGGCTAGCGCCGAATGCTTGCTCGAGGTCGGGTGTGATGAAGAGGTAGGCGGATCCAAAGGAGCTGCGTGGGCGGAGCGCCAAGGAAAGGTCAGCCTGGTCACTCGTTGCTCGCACCCACATCTCGTTGCACGCTCGCACACTCACCTGACTATGAGTGCATTGAAAGCAACGGAAAAGCAGGCAAGAAACTTCCAAGCAAAGGGCAGATTGTGCGCATCCAACGGGTCCTTGTCGCCTTCCACCTTGACTATGTACTGCTCCGAGTCTTCAGGGTGCGTGGTAGCGCCGCTCTCCTCGCGCTTATGGATGGTAATGGTTTCCTGCGAGCGTGGTGAGCTGGGCAAATCGAGGCGTGAGAGGCTCGACGGGGCATCGTGCTCCTTGACAGCAGAGGGAGGATCAACAAGCCACTCGACGCCTTCGCCGGACAGCTTCTTGCCCTCTTCCCTAGCTTTGTAAGCGTCGACGAGGTTGCTGAGCGACGTCGAGGCACGAGGCGTGTTAAACACAGTCGATGGCTCAGTGGACAGAGTGTTGGATGCTGGCAGGTCGGTGGTGCTCGATGAAGGAATGCGGACGGTGCTCGACTCGCTCTGAGGCATCGTGTCGAGCTCGTAAGTGCTCGAGGAGCTGATGGCGGGCGGCGTATCGTGTGAGATCGGCATGAATGAGGCAAGGAGCGGTGAGAGAGGGGATGGGAACGATGAGGAGGATGGGAGTGACGAAGAGGATGGGGGAAAGGGGAGATGAGTGGTAGAAGTAGAAAAGGCGGAGGTCAGTCTCAAGTCATCTTGCCATGCTTTCGCCCGCTTAAGAAGCCAGATGTGTGTGCGACCTCCATCCTTGCTCAGCCGTCTCGCACGTCTCGCACGTCTCGCGAGCGTGCATCATCGTTCGTGTGTTGCGTTGAGTTGCTGCAATGAGTTGCTACGTCCGATTGACTGACTGATGCGTGGTGTCAGCCGCGAGGGCCAGTCGACACGACCGCCGCCGCGACTCAGGGTCCCGGTCGAAACAAAATCTCGTCGTCGTCTCCCCTGCGAGCCGGACAGCCGGCGCCCATTCGTCGATTTTTTTTTGGGCTGCCCTGCGCGATTGTGCCTTGGCATGTCAAGCCACACGCGACTCGAGCTGCTTCTTTCGGATCTTCCGTCCACCATCTCACCAGAAAAATCGGCTCAACACGGCCGACGATACGAAGGAAGCGCGAGAACGGACGAATGGATATGCGTGGCTTGAGATTGGCTCGACGAAAGGGGCTCGAGGGACAAAAGGTGACTGACGAGAAAAGCTAGAGAGCTCCTCGCGCGACGGGATTGCTCTCCCGCTCAACGACGACGCTTCGACGAACCGCGTTCTCGACGAGCAGAGATGGCCTTGGCAGCGGTGCTAATCTTCTTCTTGCTTGCTTCGGCCGTCTTGCGGGCCGAAGCAGCGCGAGCAACGGCGCTCGCCTTCTTCTTCTTGATGTCACAGCCCTTGGTGATGAATCGAGTCTTGAACTTGAGATTCTTGTTGATGTGCGCAATCATATCTTCGACGAGCGTGATCCAAGCGCGAAATTCGTCGAGTGCGTCCTTGCCACCAGCTTCAATCGTGGTAGTATGCTCCCAGGTATCGTCCTAGCGGCGTGTTAGCGAGGGTGACCAGGTCAGCTCACTGCGTCTCGGCGTCTCGTCATTGAAGCACCGCGCTCGCTCACCTCGGGAGGGTAGCCGGCCCAGCGGACGCGGAAGATGCTGTTGCTGTTGGGACGACGGTTGACAATCTTCTCAATCTCGTAGACGCCTTCGCTCTGCTCCTCGGACGCGTCTCGCTGCCCTCCACGCTGCTCCTCAGTCGAGTCTTCCTCGCATCCTCGTTGTTCCTTCAACGAGTCTCCCTCCTCCACCTTCATTTCGACTTCCATTACTTCCTCCCTTTCGCCTTCGGACGAACCTGCACCTACTGCCTTCTGTTCGGCCTCTATCTGTTCGGACCCTCCGCCCGTCTCGCCTCCGGATGGACCTGTGTCATCTGCCCCTGACTCGACCCCCATCTCTACCGCCCCTTCGGCCTCATGACCTCCCGTCTTGTCATCCTTCTGAGCTGAGCCTGCGCTTGCTGGGCCTGCGCTTGCTGCTGGCACCTCCTCGGCTGCTCTCTCGACTGCCCTCTCGACTGCCCCCTCGGCCTTCTCGGTCTCGCTCTCCTCGAAGGCAGCGATCTTGCTAGGGTCAACGGAGATGTCGGTGACTGCAGCATCGTATTCGGGATTAGCCGAGAAGGGGATGCCTTGAGCACGCTGAGCGGCCATGTAGCGATGATGCCAGCACAGGGCGTTCTGAGGAGAGCGAGCGGTCAGCAGAGCGTCCTTCCAACCGTACGACCCTCGCGCACTCACCTCAAAGTCAAGCACACGCATACCAGGCGGGATGCCAGGGCATTGAGGAGGATCCTCACCGAGGCGAGCCCAGTAGCGCCACTGATTCTCCTTGAGCCAGAGAAGCCCGGCCTCCTCCATGGCGACTGAATTGATGACAGAGTGTCCAAAGATCTTTGCGAGCGTCTCTCGAGCTCCAGGCCCGCATGAAGCCCAGTCGCGGTACTCGAGGTTGATGTGAGGGCTCTCATTGAGGTAGCAGAGTAGGCTGTGCGAGCGAGAGCGGCACGAGGAGTCAGCACTATGCGCCGCTGTACGGCCGTACTTGCACGCCACTCACTTGAGTGATAGGAAGCCGCCGAGCGTGGGAAGCGTCTGCACAAGCGCGCTGGCATCGACGATGTACTTGCACTTCTGGATCCTCTCAGCCAAGCCTACGTCGACCATGAGCTTGAGCAGGCGGAGGGAGGCGGCGTGCCCGCTCATCTTGGGAAAGACATTGGTGGGAGGAACAAGTTGGAAGCCGCTCGAGTAGATACGCCCGCCAGCCGCTACGACTGGGTCGAGGATTTTGGTGTATGCTGCGACGTCAAAGTTCTTGAGCGACGGCACTTCGCCAAGCTCCTTCTCCCATCGCGCGTAGGTCTCTGTGTTTGAAAAGACATTGTAGAGAAAGACGCGGAAGCAAATCTCGTCGTTGGACTGGTCGCCCTTGTTGATGATGTTGTCACGCACAAAGGCACTGCCACGGTCGAGCTGACGGAAGACATTGCCGTATCTGCCTTTGACGAAGAGCTGATCCTCGCTGAGCTCTGCTGCTGGAACTCCTGCCTCCTTGCGGTGGTAAATCTTGTGCCTCTCGGCGCAGTATCGGAAGAAAGCGTAGATGATCGAGTCGTTGATCTTGGCTTCAACGGCTGGGTAGGGGGCCTGAGGCTGGAGCAGGGCAGTCTCTGTATGCTTGCTCGAGGAGGCGGCCGACGACGATGATAAGCGTCGACGAGAGGAGCTGGCCATCTTGTCATTCTCCTTTTCCTCGTCGCTCTCTTGCTTCGGGCCGCCGTCAGACTCGCGCGACTCCTTGCGAGCCGCCGATCGAGCAGACTTGCGAGTGGGAGCGGGAGAAGGAGAGGCGGCCATGACGCTGAGTCGTACTGTTTCGTACGATGTGGCTTGGAGGTCAAGGCGCACTCGCACTCTCTCTCCGCTCATCTTCCGTCCGTCCGTCCGTGCGCCGCTCGCTGCAGCTTTTTTGGGACTTCAGCCAAGCGCCACGACGGCCAGTCCGCCTTCTCACGCCCGACTTCTACAACGCAGGGCCCTGGCATCTCCTGCGAGTTGCCGTGTCACTCGGACCATTGTCTTTCAATGCCGGGCAGATACATGCTCAGCCAGTCCATGATAGCCCGCATCTTACCATCCCTCTTCCTACTCCACGCCCACCCTCAAGAGCAAGCTTTCGTGCAATGACCGCTGCGCCGAGCATATAGGCCGCCGCTCATTGAGTATCATGGGTTTTCGCAACTTGAAGGAGCGAGCAGCAGTAGTGCTCTTCCTCCTTTTCCTCCATCGGCCATCTATCGGTCCACCCACCAGGTGGTCGAACCTCGCACGAGTGGACCAAGCTAGCCTATGGTGATGACGACTGGCGGCACCACGCGCCTTGCACCTCGTCGCTCGAACCTCTCTTGTCTTGGTCTGCAATCTTGGCTGCACCATCGCGACATTATCTCGCCACGGCCTTCATCACGTCAGAACTAATCGACATCTCTCCTCGCCGCCTGAGCTACGGTGGATTACCTTGTGCCCGCGCCTCGCGCTTCCATGTGAAACGCCACAAATAGCAAGAGGGTCGTCAGCCAGAGGGCGCTTTCAACTCCGACGCACCACGCGCCTGCACCCGTCGTCCCGGCAGCCCGCCTGCTTAGACCGCCGGATTCGTAGGGATACCGACCGGCCTTGGCTTCGACCACCTCACTCTCACATTCCTCCTCCACGCGTTCCCTTTTGCTCAGTCAGCTCATCTGCGAGACCAGGGTTTCTCTGCAATTGCCCGGGACCTGCGCCCAAGTCTTTGCTGCTCTTGTTGCCTGGCTGCTGCTGCTGCTCACACAGCATCCCTTTGTAGTGGGCATCGAACCCGGTTTCCAGCGGCCAAAACGACGGGCAGCGCTATCGCATCGAATCTTTCGGTGCTCAGGGGGGTCCCTTGCTTAATCGTCTGCTTAGCCTGCTCCAATTTTGGACAATGGCTGATACCGAAGAGCGATCCGGGTCGCGCCTGCTGCAAAGGCAGCGACGGCGGCCTTCATCCTCGTCGTCCATAGCTTCATCTTCATCATTGCCATCCTCTTCTCGCCGTCCTCAGCCATCCACATCTGCAAAGCAATCGGAAGCATCAGTACCACGCTATCCTGGCAACGCACCTCTCTCTCCCTCTTCGTCATCGACGGCCGCCATGGCAGGCCCACGATCACGCAAGAGCCGCGACTCCATGGGCGACGTCTTTGTCGACGACACAGAAGGGATCACGCGATCACCAACAGCCAGCCGACGACCATCCAACAAGCTCGTCGCCTTCATCGACCGTCTCAAGCCATCACGAGCCAGCAGCGGCGGGGCTGCGGCGGTGGCGGATGGAGAGGAAGAGGGCGAGGAAGAGACGTCGCCTCGAAAGTCGGGCCCAAGTCGACGCAAGTCTACTTCATCACGCCTACCAAGCGGCAAGCATACGCCCAGCGATGCAGAGGGAGATTACGGTCACTTTCTCAAAGCCGCGGAGCTTAAGGACCGACTGGAGAAGGAGAAGATCAGAGAGGCAGAAGACGAACTGCGGCTGGCAAAAGCGAATCGTAAGAGTGGCAAGGTGACAAAGGCAGGAGTCAGAAGCAAGCCAAAGACGCCCGACGAGGTCATTGAGCCGCGCGAGACGCTCGAGGCAAAGAAGGAGGTACCAGGAGGTTTTGACGATCTACAGCCGCCCACGCGATCGCCTGGTCATAGCAAAAGACATCACGCGAGGGAGCAGGATCGTATTCGCACATCGCCGCCGTCAGCATCCAAGCCCAGCTACTTTGGCATCTGCGGAGTTGACGTTTCCGATGACGAGGGCGAGGAGGGAGAGGAAGCGGATGGAGCCAGAAGTCCCACTCTGCTCCACGACGGCTTTGCGACAGAAGCCAACTCCCCCGGATCACCATCAGGCACGCACGACACGCCTGTCCTACAGGCTGCCTCATCATCATCCTCCCTCTCTTCCACGGCATCCATTCTCGACGAGGAGTTCACGCAGCCTCCTCAGAAGTCGGCGTCCACGCGATCTTTGAAGAGCTGGCGGTCAACAGATTCGCCAGGCGATCAAAGTCTGGCCAGCGGCGGCGCCAACTCGAAGCTGAGTGCTCCTCTACTCGAACTCGAGGAGCTCGAACTCAAGAGCTTCCTCAAGAACTTCAATCGTCATACGCGCGAAGTGAGAGTGCCCGCCTCGCTCCATTTTCCTCGACGCAGGATGCCGCAGTGGGAAGACTTTCGCGTACCCCCAGACGAGGCTGCCGTTGCCGCGAGGGAGGGCAAGCGCGTTACGGTTCTGACACACGTGGATCGAGGATTGCAGGCGTTGGCGCGGCAAGAGGGTCAAGGGGCCCCTCCGCCAAGAGAAGTCGCTCAACCATCGCCGAAGAAGGAGCGCAAAGGATTTCTGGGTGGCGGGGAGTCGCAGCCTATCAGCTCGCATCCGAACAGCTCGCAGGGACCGCACGTCAAGTGGTCGCCCGAGACTGGATTCGTGCCGAGAGGTCTCTCTACGGGACTGCCAGACAAGGATGAGGAGGTGCATAGTGTCGCGTCGCGAGCAGCGAGAGAAGGAAACGAGCTCTGACAATCGTTCCCGCACGCACAGATGCCACTCTTTGGTGCCCCACTGGGCCGCCGTAGCCTCACCGAGAAGAATGAGCGTCTCGCCAAGCAGCTTGACAAGCAGAAGCAGGAAGGAAATGCAGCGCCTTCTCAGCAAGCATCGGTCGGCGGCAAAGGTTCAGTCGGTGAGCTCAAGGCCGTCGCGGATCCAGTCGACAATGTACACGACGCCGAGCACGAGTACCATGGCGGGCCGAACGAGGTGGGCGCGACAGATGGAGCGTGGGAGCTCATCGACCAGTCGGGCGAGATCGAAGCGACCGTAGACCCCCGCGAGGGTGAGCGCGTTGATGGCGTTGCGTTCTGCATCGCCTACATCTTGGCGCTGGTGGAGCGGTACGCGCCCGAGGAGCTTGACAACACCACGGATCAGACGTATCGCGAGGGCAGAGCGAGGAGTCATCTCGAGAGGTACGTGTGCGCAGGGAGACGAGGAGTCTACAGCGTATGCCCTTGCTAACTGCGGCTCCTTTTTTCGCAGGCTCTACCTCATCGCGCCATTCTGGGAGAGGCTGGGCTTTGGCATCCGCCGATTGTATCGCTGGGACAACCCTCGTCGCACAGCTACGGCTGCGATGCTCTACTTTGTGCTGTGGTGGACCGATCTCCTTCCTACGGCCTTTGGACTTTCGATCATGTACTGTGAGTGCGGCTAGAGAGGGGGCGTCGTTGTACTCAGAGCTCACATCTCTTCGCCGGCCCCGCCTAGATATCCTGCAATTCCGCTTCTTCCCTCCAGAGGCATCGTACCTACATGAACAGGTACGCGCACGCATGGCTCGAGGCGTCGAGGCTGACCGTCTAGCAGAACGGCTGCGACGACGCTCGCGCTTGGACATCTTGGAGATCTACAAGCGCTTCGCCGCCAAGTACGGCTTTGCTGTGCAGCTGGCTGCGGGTGACATTGCAGACTTCCACGAAAAGGTCAAGAATCTGATTCTGTGGCGTAACCCCCAAGCTACTTGGCGGACCTTTACGCTGTTTTCGATTTTGACCGTCGTCGTGACGGTGGTGCCGGCCTACTACATTTGGAAGCTCTGGTGAGCTGGCGTCGCAGCCCGAGATGACGAGACACACCCTGACTGACCCGATTCACTACTCTGCAGGTTCTTCTTCTTGGGCTTCTCGTGAGTACGGGCAAGACGTGCCGAAGAGCCACAGCCACGACTCACTCCTCTCTCCTCCCATGCCAGCTTCTTCTGTCTCTTGCCACTACAGTCACATTACCCACGCTATCGTCGCCCTCTCTCCCCCGTCTGGTGGTCACTGTGGGGCTCGCCTACGGATGCCCAGTTCGCCATTCAGATTTTGCGACGACGACAGCTAGAGAAGGCTCAGTCTACGGGCCGCTCATCGTCCAAGAAGAAGACTCAGCGTCGCAGCGAGGCAGCGCACGCCGTAAAGGGTAAGTGCGAGAGAGTAGAAGACTCGGGACTAGCTATTGACCCTGCTTACCCATCCCCTTTTCACTCGACAGGGGGTGCGATGCGACCGATCAATGAGGAAGAGGATACGCTCTGGGGCTTGGAAGAGGAGGTTGGCGATAGTCGAGACGGCGAGAAGCAATTCAAGCCAAAGAAGCTCGGACAATTCTTCTGCCAGCATCGTGGTGTGCCCGGCCACCTTACGGTCACGACTCGTCACGTCTACTTTCGCGGCCTCGGCCAGCACAAGAGCTGCAAGACGTGAGTGCGAGGTGCGAGGTGCTAGGTGCGGGGAGCGGGGAGCGGGGAGCGAGGCGCGAGGCGCGAGGTGTGGGCTTACGTGCACGCTTGAGCTGACCTCTCTGTCCCCTTGTCACACTCGCAGACCACTTGAAGACATTGCTGGCTTGGCTAAGACCAAGTCGCTCCAGCTCCTGATCTGGAACTCTCCCGGCCTGCAGATTGCGCGCACCAACAAGTCGTCGCTCTTCTTCTCCAACGTCTTGCATCGCGATGATCTCTTCAACCTCATCCTTGCCGTCGGCTCAGAGATCTGGGCAAAGGTGTAGGCGCGAGCGGCGGGGGCGCGGGCGGCTCTGGCGGCGTTGGCGGCGTCCACGGCGAGGGCCGGCAGCGCACGCAACCTTACCCTCTCGGCGCCGTCCTCCTCCGCGCTACCCTGCTCGGCCACTCAATGCGGGTGCGCCGCGCCTTGTCTTCTTTTGGTCTGACCCGTCATATGACTCGATGGCCCCGCTTTACCTTAAATTGTATCATACCCGGGTCACATTGGCTGCTATGGCCTGGTGCGAAGTGCTTCTGACTGCTCCGACATTCGAGGCATTGATGGCGAGCGAGCTGAGCGAGGAAGATGGGGTGCCACACCCTGCTCGCTGCCGTGCTCTTGCGCTGCACCGCCCACGGGTTGCGAGCTGAGAGAGCTGGCGAGGTGCCTTCGGACCGTTTATCGGCCCGGCTGAGCTTGCGCACGGGCCCTTTTGGTCCCTTTTTCGACCTTGTTTTTGTTCTTCCGCCGCTGAGGGGTCGTCGCTGAGCGGGACCTGATTGACTCGAAAGTGGTCGTGGTGCAAGAGCGGACGAGGAGGGACGCTGTGTTTGTTCGCTCGTTGCCAGCCAAGCGAGTCAGATAGGAAGAAGGAAGAAGTGTGAGCACGAGCACGAGCGGCGAGCACGAGCACGAGCGGCGAGCTCGCCATCGGCCAGCAAGTCGCGGACTTAGGTCCGCAACGGCTCGATAATCTGCCAGCCAGCAAAAGCTTATCGTCGCCGCGATCGACGGTCCTTTCTTCTTGCTTCCCTACCATCACCACCCGCGCCTACCCTCACTATCAGCCCCGCTCACCACAAAGTAGGCCTGCGTGTCCTCACCACCTTCGGGGCAGTTATCCCTGGTGCTCCCCCCTTGCTAGCGCCGCCGCACTCCTCATCGCCGCCATCATTCCCTCGTAGAACTCTTCCACCTTTCACCATTCTCGCAATACCTCTTGACTCGCCTGCCACAATGCCAGCCCTGCCGCCGCACGATCGACCCATTCGCCCTGCCGTTGGCAGCCCACCTTCGCTTCCTCGAGGTCGATGCCGTAGCCTGAGGCCCTGCTGCGCAGACGACGATCCTCTGGCCCGCGACCTCGAGGACCTCGCCTTCGATCTGGATCGAGACGACGATGATGATCTCGATCTCGCCGACGACATCAGCGAAGACACAGCCTGTACTCCCGAGTGCGAATGCGTCGAATGGCTTCACTACGAGGATGGCAGCCAAGACCCAAGCACTACCAAACGAACTCGATTCAACGTCTGCCTCTCCTTTTGCCGTCGACCCAGCGCTACCAGTGGCTCTCCTATCCTCGCTCCGACCAAGCCTCACCACCGACTCAGCCTTCCTCGCACCTCGGGCAGCCCCATTCAGTCTCTTGTCCCCAAGTTTGGCAAGCATCAGCGTGCGAGCACGTCGAGCGCAGCCACCGCAACTGCTACGGCCGCTGAGGCCATCAGACGTATCCACCACAACAGGCGCAAGAGTGACGGCATCATCGGGCAGGCATGGGGGCAACGCAATGCGAATACAAGCATCGAGAGCCTGTCAAGCAGCTGGAAACCTCCGGCTGTCACCTCTCCGCGCCTCGACCGCAGCCCCTCGGTGACCAGCCTCACCAAGATCAACGCTCAAGGGCATCTCAGCCCTGTTCACTCGCAAGCGGCCTTCTCTACCAGGGCTCGAAGCCAGTCGGACACGCGTGGGACATCGTGGGCCTTGCTCCAGAACCTCACACCCTTGCGCACCAGCTGAGCACTCAGCCGGACACACACTTCACCAGCATTCAATCAGCATCACACTATTCGCACGGCCACTAGCACATTCATACCATCTCTTCAAGATCAATAGACTCCGCCCACGCCCAAGCCCCACCACTCTCACAACACCTCACAACACGAAGCCACGACACGCCTCTGCAACGTCCTTCGCTACCTCGCATTCGTGTATCATTAACGCGATCACATCGACAAAAAGCAAACCTTGAGTCAGCCACCCGCCGCGTCATGTCAATAGCCCAACAGCCAGCCTCGTCGAAGCGTCTGCTCTCTCAAATTCATCGTCCTCCGCCTACTTTTTACCGCCCTCCGCCTACTTTTTACCGCCTTTCTTCTGACGCTTGCTGTCACCTTCGCCTTCACCGCTCTTGCTCTTGCGCTTGGAGCCTGCTGCCGATTCCTTGGACCCCTCTCCCTCACCATTCTCGGCGTCAGCGGCGCCGATATCCTCGGCTTTGACATCCTTTGCGTCCGTCTCGTCGTTCTCATTGTCCTCGTGATCGTGGTTGTCCGTCTCGTGGGGCTCGATCTCATCCTTGTTCTCCTTGCTGACGCCGTCGAGAGCCTCGTCGGCAGGGGGAGCCTTGGCCCAATCGGGGCTGCGAGGATGGGGACGAGGGCGAGAGAAAGTGAGTATTCTGCACAACTCCTAGCCCTCCGCCTGCGCACGTACATCTTCTTGTCCTGCCTTCCCTTTTCGAACAGCGCAGGGTGAGGGATGCCATGCCCCTTTCTGAACTTGTCCTCGGCCGACCCATTCATGACCTCCTTTGCGTCACCCATCAGCTTTTGCTTGTACCCGTACCCCATGCGGTCGAGGCAATGCTGCTTCTCCTCCTTTTCGTCGAGGATAGGCGCAGGGTAGTCCTTGCCGATGATGCACTTTGCCTGCTTCTGCTCAGCGTCGGACATGAGATGAGGCGAGTAGATGTACTTCTTGGGCACGTCTTTGAGCTCGGGGCAGAACTTGCGGACGAGGTAGCCATCCTTGTCGTATTTCGCGGGGAAGGTGGCGAGGCCGTAGACGCGGAAGAATTGCGAGAAGAATGCAGTCGCGGAGAGCCACATCCAGTTGCCGGAGTTGGACGAAGGGTCCCTGCCAGCGAGGGAAGAAGGATCAGCGCTAAGGACCTGCGATGCTCTTGCCGATCGTGCTCACCAGTCGAGGAGGTACTTGGAGTACACCTCGGCGCCTCGCTCCCACGAGATGAAGCATTGAGCGCGAGTCAGGAAGGCTGCCGTGCTGTGACGGCCCAGGTGGTGCATCCCTAACGTGCAAGAGAGGGGTCAGTGGGCCGTATCGCGATGCTGCCTCTCTCGCGCGCGCGCACTCACATCCGCACTGCCTCAGCATACGCATGTTGGCGTCGATCCAAGGGAAGCCCGTAGTTCCGGACTCCCAGGCGGCCAGTCTCTTCTCACTCTCCTCGTCCCCACGCGGACGAGGCACAATCTTGTTGCCCTTGTCGTCGTACGCGTCAGGCAGATACCAGTCAAAGTATTTGGCCATCGAGTTGCCCCTCACACCATGGAAGGCGTCACCAATGGCAGCCTCGCACGCAGCGTACATGTCGCGGAATAGGAGCTGACCCTCCATCCCCTCGGGAATGTCAGTCACACCGCCACCCTTGTGCTTCTTCTTGGTCTCTTTGGTCTTGTGCCAGAAGTAGCGGATGCCAAGGCAGCCGAACTTGATGTACGGGGAGAGCAGCGTAGTTGAAGGAGCATCGGGGTCAGTCGAGGGGCTTGTCTGCGGCTTGGCAAAAGTAGCGAGGTAGGACGGATCCTTGCAGAGGTCGTCGAGGCGCTTGAGGGCTACAGAGGACCCACCGCGAATGGGCTTGCACATGTTGTCTTGGGGCTCATCCATGCCGAGCGACTTGAGAGTGGGGACTGCGAATGGATCGCTCTCCTTCTCTGCGACAGTGTCGTAGAGCGTGACGTCGCCGTGTCGCTGCCCACCGTGCTTCTCGTGATTGACGTCGACTTCGGGCGGTCCAGGATCCTTATTGAGCGGAGCGAGGTCGTCGACGAGTTGAAAGAGCTTCTTCATGTCGACCTTGTCAGAGCCGGGGGCGAGAGGGTCGGGCAGTGACTTTGGCGTCTCAGTTGGCTTAGGCACGTCCCCGAGCGACGAGATTGCCTTTTGATATGCGCTCATCGACGTCGTAGGCTTGTTGCCATTCTTCTTGAGGACCTCCTTGATCGGGTATAGGTGGTGACCTTCGCAGGAGACGATCTCAATGCCGGCCTTTTCGAGCGCCTGACGTACTTCGGCGTCACGAGTGCGGCCGTAATCGTTGTGGTCTTCCTCGAAAGCGACGTGGGTGACCTCCCACTTCTCGCAGAGTTCTTTGATGCGCCGTCGAGGGTCTCCGCGTGTGACGAGGAGCTGTGAATTCTTGTTGATCTTTCGAATCTCGTCGCTGAGGTCCTGCATCGATTCGAGCAAGAAACGAAAGCGACGAGCGCCCACTGCTTGCTCGAATGCATAGTGCGGGTCGAAGTTGAAGACGGGAAAGAAGGCTTTGGGGGAGAGGGCGAGGGCTTTGGCCAGAGCTGGTGAGTCGTGAAGACGCAGGTCGGTGCGGAACCAGTAGAGGACACGTGCGGATCCAGCTTTAGGGGCCATGATGGCTACGACTTCCTGCAGACCGTTGTCGTTGTCGTTGTTGTTGTTGTTTGGTAACGAAAGGCGGAGGCAGGAAGGAGCAGCGCTCGTTCTCCTCTGGACCCTGATCCAAGTTGCCCAAGAGCTCAATCGCTTACGGAAGCGCAGCTGCCTCAACGCACATAACCCACGCACGAGCCATCGCATTCGTCGATGTCGAGATAGGCGGAACGGAAGCAAGACAGATGGCGGGCGGGCAAGCGAAGAAGCCGCTCCTTGACGTCGTGGTGAGGCTCTCTGCATGCAGGTGCGGCATTTTAGCGCATCGAGCGGAAGGGGCAGCAGGGCACAACGGGCTGTGGTGCGAGGCAGCAATCAACGGTAGATGCTCGCCTGCTCGCTCCTCAGTCACCTTTCGACTGACTGTTTGGCCCGCACACCTCATCTTCACCACCTATCATCACCATCTCTCCCCTGTAGTCCGTGCAGCCCGCGCAAGATGAGCTACGGGATGCAACAATCTGGTCCGTATGGCCCTGGACCTCAGAACGGCTACCAACAAGGCGGCCAGCAGCAACAGTACTACCAACAACAGGCCGGCGGTCCAGGAGGCTACGACCAGAAATACAATGGCGGAGGACCCATGCCCCTCGCGCCCAATGGCTACGAGGGCGAGCGCTTCAAGCCCGCCAAAGTAAGGCTACGCGACCCCATCTTCCTCGTCCTCTGGCTCGTCGTCTTTGGTGGCTTCGTTGGCCTCAGCGTCTACTGTCTGCGAGAGTACAGCATCTCCGGTGTCCAAGGCGGCATAGGAGATTCGACTGGAGGCAGCAGTGGCACGCTCAACCAACACACTGCCATTCTGTTGACGCTCTCCTGCGCTGTAGCCTTGGTGTTCAGCATCCTCTACCTTATTCTCGTGCGCGTCGCAACACGTTTCATCCTCGAGCTCACCCTCATCCTCAGCGTCATTTTCAACATCGGTTATGCGGTGCGTGCGCGGCGCGGCACGACAGTTACGAGTCGGATCTGGTGCAGCGTTTAATGACCCTGAATTACCTTATCGTCTCTGCCAGGTATACCTCTGGATTGAGAAGTTCTGGTCGGCTGCCATGTGAGTAGCGCCCGCGAGATACGCCTTTTGAACCGCAGCTGACACCCCGCTTGCGCCCCCTCGCGCCCGCAGCATCTTCACACTCTTTGCCATCCTCTCAATCGTCTCCTACTTCTTCATGCGATCGCGCATTCCCCTCACCCGTCTTCTGCTGAAAACGGTCATCGATGCGACCAAGAGCCATCCGTCCGTCTACTTTTGGGCTCTCCTTGGCACCGTCATCCAGGCTTTCTTCTCCATCTGGACCGCATGGACTTTGGTGAGCGTTTACCAACGCTTCTCGCCCTCGGGCGCAGCCAGCAGTACGGGAGGCAACACCGGCTCAGGTGCGGTAACGGGCTTGATCGTCTTCATCGGCGTCGCCTACTACTGGACCAGCGAGCTCATCAAGGCCGTCTTCTTTACCACGATTGCGGGAACCTTTGGCGCGTGGTACTACGCGCTGCCTGGCGACAAGGCGCGGGGAGCTTCCATCAAGTCCTTTGGACGAGCCATCTCTCTCTCCCTTGGATCCCTCGCATTTGGGTCCCTCATCATCGCCCTCCTCGACCTCCTGCGCGCCGTCCTCAGTATCGTCCAGTCCAGTGAAGCGGCTGGCGGTGACATGGTAGGTGCGGCCATCGCATGCGTAGCCAACTGCTTGCTCGGATGCGTTCAATGGGCCGTCGAGCTCTTCAACAAGTATGCCTACATCAATATCGCCCTCTACGGCAACAGCTACATCAAGGCCGCCAAGGAGACGTGGAGGCTGGTCAAGGATCGTGGAATTGATGCAATTGCTCAAGACTGCCTCACGGGCATTGTCTTCTCCTTTGGCTCTGTCATCGTCGGCGTCATTACGTGGGTACAGGCGCCGAGAAGTGTATTATATCCCCTACTGACGCTCTCGCTCGCCCGCCCCCACTACACGACGCAGCGGCATCTTCGCCTACGTCTACCTCAAGCGCACGGACCCGACGTACATCAACGATCAGAGCTCCTACATCTCCGTCATCCTCCTCGTCGCCGTCGCCATGGGTATCCAGATCTGTCTCTCCCTCGGCGACGGCGCCATCAACTCGGGCACGAGCACGCTGTTCGTCGCCCTGGCCGAGGACCCATACATTCTTCAGCAGAAGGTGAGTAGTGTGGAGTGCAGGAGGACGAGCTGGTGCGCTTGCTGACTGCTTCGCCTCACAGAACCCCGAACTCTTCGAGATGATCAGGCGTACTTACCCGCGTGTGATGCAAGCGGTGGCATGATCCCCCCAAGCGTCATTACTCTCAAACATCACTACTCTATTTCTTCACCACTCTTCTCTTACCTTGACTATCACTCCATCTCTCTTGACCTCACCCCTACCATTAATTCATCCACCCGTATCGAATGTGGCCAAATCACAGAAATGCAAAGCACGATTGAGGGTACGACTATTTGTGGCCTGCCTTGGGCTCGCCCGCGCTGCCGCTGCACGACGGGACTTTGATTTGCCGCTTGTTCCGTTGCAGCGCCACTCGTGCGCACGTGGCGGCGTGAATTAGGGTCCCGCGTCTGCGCAATGAACTCATGGCTGTATGCGATGTCGTGCTTCGCGGTCGACGCTATTAGCCGGAAATTCAAAGGTAGCATTGGATGCGCTAGGCGCGTCGTGCGATGGCGACACTTGTTCGCTCTTGAACATCATTCGAGATTGGCGGTTCCTGATCCTCCCACGCCTCGACCTTCGCCTTTCAATTTGACGAGGTCTTTTCAGGAACCACACGACGCCACACGACGTCCCCGCATCGCCACGTCGCCTTCTCGACCTCACTTCACCTCACCATCCATTGTCCTACTCGCAGCATCTTTTGACGGAGTTGCGTGCGACATCATACCCAGCTCAGAGCCTTCACCAAAGGTCTCAACCTGACTGCGCTATAGATTAACTGGCTTCTGCTCGCGCAGACCAGGCTGCCCCCCCATCCACCCTCCTTCCTTCCTCCTCCTTCGCCTCCCCACTAGCATCATCACTACCATGTCGCGCCTCTTTCGCTCTCCAGCTGAAGAGGAGGACCCAGCACACTTGCCAGAGACGCAGCCGCACGGCGTCTCGTCGGTAGCTAAGGGTAGACAGTCAGCTTGGAGGTGGCTCATCGGCTACAATGACATCGAGGCACATCGCATCGGCGTGCCCATGGTCTCGTCCAAGGACTGGCTTGGAGACATCTTCAATCATCCAGGCTCCAAAGCTGCCGCCTATCTCGACTCTCTTTTCCCCTTTACGCACTGGATCACTCGCTACAACCTGCAGTGGGGTGTGGGAGACCTCATTGCCGGCATCACCGTCGCACTCGTACTGGTTCCGCAGAGTATGAGTTACGCTACACTCGCTGGCTTGCGCCCAGAATATGGCCTCTACTCGTCTTTGACGGGAGTGGTCCTTTATCCCCTCTTTGCCACATCAAAAGACGTCTCCGTAGGGCCTGTAAGTAACGAGATGTCGAGACAGAGAGGACGTGCCCCCGCTCACTCTTGACCTACGATGGCTCCGATCACGCCCAGGTTGCCGTCATGTCGCTGCAAACTAGGTAAGGACATTGCCTTTCTCTTCTGCTTAGACACGCCAAAGAGCTGACATTCGAGTCACCGCGCAGTAACGTCATCGTGAAGGTCATGTCGAGGACGGACGCATGGTCTCCTGAGGTCATCGCTTCGGCACTCGCCTTCATGTGTGGAGTCATCACGTTAGGCCTGGGTCTACTTCGTCTTGGGTGCGTCGATGCGAATGGCATTGAGCGCTGACAACGGCTGACGCTCCAATCCTCATCCCAGCTGGATCACTGAATTCATCCCATCGCCAGGCATTGCGGGTTTCACAACGGGCTCAGCCATCACCATCGCCGCCTCACAAGTCCCAAAGTTGATGGGAATCAGTGGGGTCAATACGAATGGTCAGGCGGCGTACAGGGTCATCATTGACACGCTTAAGGGCTTACCGCGCACCAAGATCGATGCCGCCTTTGGCCTCACGGCCCTCTTCTCGCTGTATGCCATCCGATCAGCGTGCGTCCACATCCCTCGGCGCTATCCCAAGGCAGCACGAGTGTGCTTCTTCATCTCGGTCTTCCGCAGCGCCTTTGTCATCATCGTCCTCACCATCGCAGCAAGGCTGTGGGTTGGGAACAATTACACGTACGCACAGCAGAAGAGCTATCCGATCAGCCTCCTCAAGACGGTTCCTCGTGGATTCCAGCACGTCGGTGTGCCCAATCTCAACACAACCCTTCTATCAGACATGGCTAGCGAGCTACCTGTGTCTGCCATCGTCCTCCTGCTCGAGCACATCGCGATTTCGCGTTCCTTTGGTCGTCAATATGGTTACCGCATCGTGCCCTCACAAGAACTCCTCGCGATCGGAGCGACGAACATCTTTGGCCCCTTTTTGGGCGGTTACGCCGCCACTGGTTCCTTCTCGCGCTCCGCCATCAAGGCCAAGTCGGGCGTCCGAACTCCTCTGGCTGGCTGGGTCACTGCAGTGCTTGTCGTCATTGCACTCTACGCCTTGAATGGAGTCTTCTACTGGTGAGTACAGCTCCCGTTGTCCCCCGGTACCAGCGTGCCTCTACTAACCCTCGCGCATCACCTGTTCTACCCTCAGGATCCCATCGGCAGCCCTTTCAGCGATCATCATTCACGCGTAAGTACCTCACCAACCAAGTCTTGACGCCTCGCTTGCTGCTGACGCTGACCGGACCACGCTGTATACTTCCTGCTCTCAGGGTCATCGACCTTCTCGCCTCACCCCGCGCGGTGTACCGCTTCTGGCTCATCTCACCCTTCGAGATGCTCATCTTCCTAGCCGCCGTCTTCGTCAGCGTCTTCAGCAGCCTCGAGAATGGCGTCTACACATCGATTGGTGCATCATTGGTCCTACTCCTTGTACGCATCGCCAAGCCACGCGCAAGCTTCCTCGGAACGGTAGACATTCGGCACGACGATTCGCCGGAGGCAACACAGACCGACAATGCGCCAAGTCGGGTCGCCTTTGTCCCCCTCGATGATCGCGGCGGGCTTCGCGATCCAAGTGTCAAGGTCACACCTCCTCCGCCTGGCGTCTTGATGCTGCGTTTCGAAGAGGTGAGTGCCGCCAGTCAGCTTCACAAATCCCAACGTACTCACAATCGTCTTCGCTCTCCGCCAGGCCTTCACGTACCCCAACGCTTCTGCCCTCGGCGACTTCATCATCCAGCACGTCAAGACGGTGACCCGACCTGGCCGAGCTTCTGCCTATGCTCGACCCGGCGATCGTCCTTGGAACGATCCTGGTCCGATCAATCCTCTGTTGGCCAAGGTTTTGCGCCCCTTTACGTTCTCAAAGGCCAAGCGCAATCTCGACGCCAAGATAGGCGAGGCTGTTGGCGGCGGTTTCCAGGAGGACCCACGCCCAGTTCTGCGCGCCTTCATTTTCGACTTTAGCAGCGTAGCCAACGTCGACACGACGTCGGTCCAAACGCTGGTCGATGTTCGTGCCGCTCTCGAACGCTACGCGGGGCAGCCGATCGAGTTTCATTTCGCAACCCTCCTCTCGCCTTGGGTACGCCGAGCTCTCCTGGCTGGTGGGTTTGGCACTGGCTCAACGCAGGGCCATGTCATCGAGATTGCACCCGTCGTATCGACGCGCAATGCTCTCGGGCCGCAGGAGCAAGCGCTACGTCGCATCGAGGAGCACACGAGGAGAAGAAGGCAAGAGCAGGCCGAGGACAAGGGCAGTGGTTCCTCCTCGGCAGACCGTGTCGATGACGTCGATGTCCTCGACTCGGGCGCGGCAGCTTCGACATCTCGGCCTACCTCCTCTGTTTCTTCAACAAACAAGGACCGCCTCGCTGAGGAAGGTGCCATCAGCCGCAACGACGAAGACGACGACGCTGGGTCTGCAGCTTCAGTGGCCGTCTTGTGGGGCGCAGATCTCTGCCCGGCGTTCCATCTTGATCTGTCTGCTGCCTTGGCAGCTGCTACTGCCGCAGCGAAGAAGTAGCACGAGGAGCGAGTCTCAGGCCGTGTTCTCCCTCGTTGCTTTCAAGCCCCTTTGTATTATCAAGCGACTTTGTCTCATAGAAAGTACGTTCTCATGATTCGTGTGTGCGACAATGAGGCGTGGCGAGCTGCGAAACCGCGTCGATTGCAGAATGCTTCCAGACGGGGGCCATCTCGAACGAGGTGGTGAGGCCGCGATGGTGGGCTGCGGATTGCAGAGTCTTCGAGGCCTACCTCAGCAGGTGGTGGGTTGGTCCAGTTGACTTCAAGATGAAGGCCCAAAATTGGAGCGCATTGAGCTCACCGACGCGCCCGCACCTCGGCCCAGCCGGCTTCTCTTTCACACCCGCCTCGATCGTGGAGGCGGAAAGCCTCGCATTGATTGCCGGAGGTCAGCCAAGATTGCGAGGCGATCCTGGCATCTTCTCATCCTCAACTCAACCACAACTTCCAATCATCATGCTCGCCGCAACTGCTCGCACTCGTCTAGCCTTGGCGCCCACCGCCTCCTCATCGGCCTTGCGCGCCTTTTCCACCTCACCAGCCGTGGCCCGCGATGTCAAGAACGTGACCGTCTTCGGCGCCGGGTTGATGGGTGCCGGGATCGCTCAGATCCTCGCACACAAGGGAGGGTACAATGTCACCCTCACCGACGTTACGGACAAGGCTGTTGCGAACGGGCAGAAGATCATCTCCAAGTCTTTGACCCGCATCGCAAAGAAGAAGATGGCGGACAAAGGGGAGGAGGAGCAGGCCAAGTTCGTCAAGGGAATCGTTGACTCCATCAATGTCACGACGGACGCTGGTAAGGCGGTGGAGAGCACCGATCTGGTGAGTCCGAGCTTGCCGGATCTTGTGAAAAGATCCGCCTACTGATCTCCTCACCCCGCCACCCCCAGGTCATCGAAGCCATCATCGAGAACGTGGGCATCAAGCAGGAGCTCTTCAAGTTCCTCGACCAGAAGGCGCCAAAGGAGGCCATCTTTGCGAGCAACACGAGCTCATTGAGCATCACAGACATCGCCAAGAGCGTCCAGAGGAAGGAGCTCTTTGGAGGTGAGTGCTGCGCGACAAGGGCAGAGTCTTGAACCTGCGTATTGAATTTCCACCCGCACAGGCTTCCACGCCTTCAACCCCGCCCCTCAGATGCCGTTGGTGGAGATTGTCCGCACCAAGGAGACGACGGATGATGTGCGTACCTGTCATGCCACGTCTGCCTTGCCTGCATTGGCTAATCCTGACGCTCTCCTTCGCGCACGCTCAGGCTTTCAACTCCCTGATGGACGTCGCTCGCAAGTCTGGCAAGACGCCTGTAGCCTGCGTCGACTCACCAGGCTTCATCGTCAACCGCTTGCTCGTCCCGTACATGCTCGAGGCCATTCGACTCGTTGAGCGAGGAGAGGCCACCCCCAAGGATGTGGATACGGCAATGAAGCTCGGTGCTGGATGTGAGTGCGCCTGACGTCATGGGCTACCACAGAATGTCACTAACCACCGTCTTCTATTGCACGCACCCGCAGACCCTATGGGTCCATTCGAGCTCTCGGACCTCGTCGGACTCGACACACTCTCGCACATCGCCAAGGGTTGGAGGGATTCGCGCGTCGCTACGGGTGAAATCTCTGCTGAGATGGTCGCGGAGACTCCTCTGCTAGAGAAGTTGGTCAGCGAGGGCAGACTTGGCAAGAAGAGCGAGAAGGGCGGATTCTACCCAAACAACTAGACGGTCAGGTTGCTGTAATGCTATCGTGATGTTTTGCCTTGACCTGCTGGGCTGGAGGAGGTGCTGAGCGACCGAGTTCACGTGGTGGCGGCTTCTTCCCTTGCTCCATTATCGTTCACGTGTCGAGGGGCAGACATACGGGTGCTCCTTACATTTGGGTGACGCGAAGCTCTCGATCTCCTGGACGGTTGCTTCCATCAGCCTTTGCACCACTCATGCGAGGAGCAAGACGGCTCGATGAGAGCCAGGCGCGCATCGTTGAGCCTTTCTGCGCCTTGCTGCGTGGGCGACGTCAGCCCGGCAGCCTCAAGTTGCTCTTCGAGGTGGAGGTTGCCCACTGCAACGCACGGACGCGAAGGCTCGTCGTCGTGTCGCGCCTCAGCGAGCGGCGGGGCGAATCGAGGAAGCCAGCGCGAGTGCGAGTGCGTCGCATTCGTCCTCCCTCTTTACGCGGCTCGCCCTTCCCACTGATTCCTTCTTAATCCGCTCCTATCCCGCATAATCCCCCCATTCCCCTCCTTCTCAGCCACATCAACCCACAAATAATCACCACCCACAAGATGGCCAAGACAACCACTCCTTACACCCCTGACGAGGGCCCAGCTGCCGCTGCCAAGGAGACGCAGCGCCCTGCTGCCGAGAAGGCTCAGCAGAGCGCTACCAAGGAGCTCCTCGAGGAGGCCGACGATGACGATGAGGAGGAGGACGAGGACTTTGAGGAGGGAGATGACGACGAGGAGGGAGACGATGATGATGATGACGACGATGAGGAAGGTGGAGACGACGACGATGACGAAGAGGAGGAAGAGGAAGAGGAGGAGGACGAAGATGACGAGGATGAGAAGTGAGTACGCGCTTCGTTCCTCTCATCATCCACCCCAGCTAACCATACTCTCCTCCCTCGCGTATAGAGCCGGCGCCGGATCGAAGCGCAAGGCTGGTGAGCAGGGCGGCGCGTCCAACTCCAAGGCCAAGAAGGGCGACGATGATGATGAGGAGGAGGGGGATGAAGAGGAGGAGGAGGAGGTCGCAGACGACGGCGAGCCGGACGCCGCTGCCGCCGATGATGGTGAAGAGGCCGACCAAGACGACGCTGACCCGGATGACGAGTAGACGGTCAAACATTGGTCCCACGCACTCAAGGGAGGGAAATGGCAATGGTATTCGCACACGCTCCACGGGCCATTCACGCCCACAAATTCATATGCTGCCTCGCATGCTCGAACGCTCGTCCACCTTTTGGCTTGTTCTTCTCCAAGACGTCTGCAATCTCCTTGAGATCTTCCTGCGTCAGCTTCACTTCAGCCGCCGCTGCATTCTCAATGGCACGGTCCGGCTGCCTCGTACCGGGGATAGCCGTCATGATTGGGCTTCGAGCGAGGATCCAGGCCAAAGCCAGCTGCGAGGCGGTGACGCCCTTCTCCGTGGCAATGGATTTGAGTTTGTCGGCGACGTCAACGTTGTGCTGGAAGTTCTCTTCGGCGTATTGGTCCATGCGAAGGCGGAGGTCCCCCTCTGGGATCTCGGAGCGTGACGTGATGGTGCCCGTGAGGAAGCCCTGGGCGCGGTGCTGGGAGGTCAGCCTGTGTACACGAGAGAGTACGTCACGGTCCAGCGCCGCGCCTTACCTTGCCTACGGGCGAGTACGCGAGAATGGGAATCTTGAACTCCTCGCAAGCAGCGAGCACACCCTGCTCCTCTGCCTCGAGGCAAAAGGCGCTGTATTCGATCTCAATCGCAGCTACGCCGCCCTTGCTTGCCTCCCACGCTTCGCGAATCGTCTTGCCTCCAACCTCGCTCAATGCGAGCCCCCTGAACAGTCCCTCATCGCGCAATGCAATGTGCTTGCGTGTCATCTCGCCTACATCGACGTTCTTAGGGTATCGTGCGGGCTCCCACAGATCGATATCCTTGCCTCCCGCGTCGCTCCCGAGCTCCTGACGAATGAGCTTGACGCTCTCGCGCAGCTTGTCTAGGTCGGTGAGCGGGTTCATCCCTGCAAATCCCTTCTCTGCATATCCGCCGGGAGAGAAGAGGTCGAAGCCTCCCTTGACGCAGAGGAGAACCTTGTCCTTGTCGTCTGGGTACTTGTCAAAGTAGCGCTTGACGAGCTTAAGGTTGGCGTGTGGGTCAGATTGCGGACCGTAAAATTGGCCTGCGTCGAGGAGAGTGACACCACCTTCGTGAATGGAGCGGCGAATGACGGCAAAGGCTTGGTCGTCTGGAGTGAACTGCGAAGGGTCAGTCCAGGTCATACCCATGAGGCCCAGGGAGATGCGCGAGACTCCCAGCCCGGCAGCGGCCGACGTGGCAGGGTTGCCTGGGAGCGGGATCTGCTGTTGCTGCTTGATGGCGGGAGCGGACATGATTGCGAGATGATCGAGTGATGAGGTCGAAACAATGGCAATACAAGGCGTTATGTATTTGTTGCAGCGCCCGGGAAGGTAAGCTCACCTCGATGGCGGGAACCTCGGACCGCCTCCACGCGGAGACGGCATTCGCGGCAGCCACAGACCAAAGAGGTGGAGACGAGCCCCACTGCCCGATTGATTTTTCAGATCCAGGCTCAGCGGTGGTACAAAGAGACATATTACTGAGCTAACCCGAGCGTACTCATCGGCGTGCGATGAATCGTCGGAATGCATTGGCATAGCAGCGTGATGTCAAATATAATGCTACGCATGCTGCGCGCCCTTGTTGCTGCGCATCTGCTATCTCAGCTTTGCTCTACGGCTATGTCCACCCCTACGCCCGCCGCCCCTCCCACTGCCTGATGTAATCGATGCCAGCCTCTTTGGGTGTCCTAGCCTCTCCTTCTGCCACCTTGTAGCGCTTCTTTGCACGGCCGCTGCGGGTGCGCTTAGGTTTCGCGGCTGCCTCCTGTCCCTGCTCCTCCTCCCCCTCGTCCTCGTCATCCTCGTCATCAGGCGATCCATCCACCTCTTGAGTTGCCGTTCTGCGCTGCTGCTGCTGCTCTCCCTGCTGCTTTGCGGCTTCTCTTCTCTGCCTCTCCCTATTCTTTTCCACCGCGATTGCCTGCTTCTCGATCCTTGCCTGACGTTTCAGCTCATTCAAGTCGGCGGCGGCTGCGCTGCTCTTGCCAGCTTGAGCGCTCGACTCTGCGGCCGAGGATCGTTGCTTGCGTTGCCTCTCCTTGAGCGTGGGGCGCTTATACAGCTTTGCTGCTTTGCCCATTGTGAGGGCTAGAGGAGTGATGGTTGATCGATGATGCGGATGATTGGGAGCGGGAAGAGGAAAAAGGAAGCATGCGATGCAACGTCGCGCTTCCCGTCCACTCCATCCACCCCACGTCGCGTCACGCGCTTGTCCCCCTTCATCGCGGTGGGGTCGATGACGACGAGGACGGCGGCGGCTTGACAGGGAGCCCTGCACTCGCTGGTGCCCTCTTCAACGCCGATGAGGATGACGATTTCGGCGACGACTCTTCTGCTTCGCCCCCACCTCCCGCCTTCTTCTGTCTCAAAGCAGCCAACTTTGCCTCCATAGCTGCAATCTTTGCGTCTGCTCCTCCTTTGACCTGCCTGGCGTTCTTGACCAGACTCAATGTCGTCGGTCTCAATTCATCGTCGTCATGGCGACGTCGCACGGCTTTTCCAGTCCCACCGCCTGTCGCCTCGTCGACCTGGTTGGCGAAATTGACGCTGAGCGTCCTCCCCGCTTTGAAAGGCTTGCCATCGAGCTCGACCTTTGCCCTGAGCGAGTCCTCCCTCTTGCTGAATTCTACGAATGCAAATCCTTTTGGCTTGCCCCGTAGCGGTCCGCTGCGGTGAAAGACGACGTCGAGCTTGGTAAGGTGGCCGTATGGCTGGAAGAGTTGGACGAGGTCGTAGTCGCTGACAGAGGGGTGTAGATTGCCAACAAAGAGACGGGTCGAAGATGCCGAGGATGGAGGGGTTGGCATGCTGCGAGAAAAGGGGGCTGAATGAAGGAGTGAGGAGTGTGGATTCAGAGGATTCTAGGGCAAGAGACATCAATGGCCGAGGTTCCAAGACCCTTTTTGCTCTCAGTCCGCCGCTCAACTCGACGCCTCCACGCTCGCTCGCCTCTTCCGCTGCCGCTCCTTTGCAACTCTGCCATCCCTACCATCTCGCTCTGACTCTCGCGCATGGCATCGATAGCCCAGCCGGCCAACGTCTCTACAGCCATTGGTCCCCGCAAGACTGGCAACGATGCTGAGTCATTGCGGGCACAGAGCAAGGCCGCTGGATTCGGAAATGGTGAGTGCCATCGCTGTCGTCACCTCTTGTTCCGCATCGCTCATCATCAGCCTTGTGCTCCTCTCCCCGCAGAGACTGTCAATTCTTTCTTGGACCGCCAGCCGCAACAAACCCTCGTACGCCTCTATCAACGTCCCAGCAATGCACTCGCAGTCTTCCGCCTCTTGCCACCAATGGCTCGCCAGCTCGTAATGCACCTCCTCTTCCTCGACGGCCCGCTCAGCACAGCAGACTACATGACTTGGATTCGCCGCGGAGAAGGCAAAAGGCAGCACGAGGCAGCTGTCCAACGTCTAGGCCGCTTACACATCTTGCGCGAGCAACAGGGCAAGCTGATGTTGAGCAATGTCTTCCAGGACAAGATGCAGCGCGCCTTGATGGGCGGCGGGGACCATCAATCCTTTGGCGTGCCAGCGGCCGACACAGACGGCGAAGCACCAGTCGATGTCGCCTTTTTAGACGACTACGCACGCAGCAGCTGGGAAGGCATACTGCACTATATGGTCGGATCAGAGGGGGCCACCACACCGCGAGAAGCTGTCCTCTTCCTCCTTCGTCACTCGGACTTGATGCAGCCTCTTGACGATGGAACGATCCAGCGCAGAAACGGAGCGACTGGGCCGCTGGGCATCACGTCGCGCGGGTTTCAATTCTTGCTCGAAGACGTCAACACACAACTGTGGGACTTACTGCTCCAATACCTAAGCTTGGCGTCGGAACGCCGCATGGACCTCGTAGAGGTGCTCTCCTTCCTCTTCATGCTGGGAAGTCTGACCGTGGGCCAGGCTTACTCCACGGCCGATCTGCCAGAGTCGTGAGTGCGACGGCCACAGAAATCAATCACATGCGTCGTTCCCGCTGACCTTTTGTGGCCCTATCAGGCAATTACACTGCCTGCAAGACTTCCGGGACTATGGACTCGTGTACCAGCCACAGCGCTCCGCACGCTCCCCAGCCCCGTCGTATTTCTACCCAACCCGCCTCGCTACGACCCTCACAAGCACAGCTGCCTCCTCGACAGGCGCTTCCACCCTGCCCTCGAGCAACAGTGATGAAGCAGAAGAGCGGGGCTTCATCATCCTCGAAACCAACTACCGCCTCTACGCCTACACCTCCAATCCTTTACGAATCGCCGTACTGCAACTCTTCACGCATGTCCGCTCACGGTTTCCAAACCTGATCATCGGGGTCATTACGCGGGAGAGCATCAAGGCGGCCCTGGCAAAGGGCATCTCGGCCGAGCAGATTATTACGTACCTGAGCCATCATGCTCACGCGCAGATGTACCGCAATGTACGTGCCCCACCGCTCAACCTGATCACCACGGCACACTCGCTGACATAGCTCCTACTCCCTCGCTGGTAGGACCCTCTCCTGCCCATCACCGTGACCGATCAAATCCGCCTCTGGGAGCGCGAAAAGAATCGCCTCGTCTCCCACCCAGGCTACCTCTACGCCGACTTCTCCTCTCACGCTGACTTTGCCCTCGTGCGGGACTACGCCAAGAGCTTGAGCGTGCTGGTTTGGGAGAAGGAGGAGAAGAGGGTATGCTTTGTGCGCGAGGAGGGGCATGAGGCTGTCAAGGACTTTATTAGGAGGAGATTGATGCCGTAGTCGCACGGAAGGGAGGCCAGCCTGATCTTCAATGCGCAATCACTACATCGACGGCAAGCCAGCGTGCTAAAATGCCTCTTCGTCGTAACGGCGAGGCTCAAGTCAATCTCGCACCCGCTCCTCCTTCCTATCACGACTCTGCCCTCAAGTGCAGCTATGCCTGAAGATCCGGCAGTCCTGGGCACAACACGTCGTCGGCGAATGACGTCAAAGTCTACTGAGACTCAGAAGAGCAGGCAGCAGGAGCAGAGGAGTCGCACGACTCGTCAATCTGGCGGGAGCAAGGAGAAGAGACAAGACGTATCAATCTTGCTACACAACGTCGATCTCGGCCTCGCGGCATCGCATGGTTCGGATTATGTGCTGATCGTGAGGGGAAATCGAGTCAGGGGAAAAGGGAAGATAGAGTGAATACAAGCCTTCACTGGGCCTTTACGTGCCAGTCATGACCGCCGTATCTGCGCGTGACGCCTCGCTGCTGTTGCGTAGGCGACTGTCAATCCGGCACCTATCCCCCTCTCCCTGCAATCGGCCGACCCAGATTCGTAGTCGCCCCCACTGCACCGTTTCGTTGTCCCTCCTCCCCGCCTGCCTCCTGTGTCGCGCTACCCTCGGCCATCGCAGCTGCAGCCTGCCCCTTGACTCCCACATTGACAGCCCCGGTCCCTTGCCTCTCTGGAGCTCCACCACCTCTCGGCGGCACTCCCGCCTCGAGTTGTCTCCAGCTCTCAGGCCTCATCCTCAACCATCTCATCCTGGGTCCACTCTTGGCCTGCTCTGATACGCGGAACCCATAGATGCGCGGTGTGTACAGTCGAGCTTGCGGTTCCTTAGATCCGACAAGATGAGGCTTGAGCGCGGTTGCGGAAGAGGGGCCGCTTCGACGAGGAGCTGCGTTGCTAGGCTGCGATGCATTGTCGTCTTCGCTGTCACTGCTGCTGCTGCTGCTGCTCGACGACCCTGATGACCCCGCTGCCGCTGCAGCGTGTTGCTCATGCTCCCCACCCTTGGCCGTCGTGCTCCACAGATTGAGCGAGTTTGCGTTGCTCCCCTGCGGCGCAATGATGCTCGGCGCCAGCTCCCTATAGCACTGGAAGAGGAGGTGAGGGAACGTTGTGCCAAAGAATGCCCCGTCGACGCCGTGGAAGCGGGATGAGGGCGGTGCGTAGCAGTCGATGCAGTTGGCGCAGTAGAGCTTGACCGTGTCTAAGCCTGGCAGATCGGAGCGTCCGCAGGGAAGGACTGGATGGGAGTGACAGAAGACACGCGGGCAGTACCCAAAATGGCCAGCATCGTACTTCTCGACCTGCACGCGTGAAGCCGAGTGAGGCGATGATGTTAGCTTGGACACGCGGATGGCCTCCTGGCCGCTACCGCCCCACGCGCACTCACCATCTGCTGCAGCCCTTGCTTCGTAAGAATATACCTCTGATGAATCAATCCATACAACAGCTCCGCACTCGATTCCACGATGCTGACGTCGGGAATCTTGAGGCTGTCCTCCTGCGGCTCAACGTCCAAGATCATTTCCAGCGCCTCTTTATAGAACGGAACCAACGCATTGAGGCCCGTCAGGTTGAAGTCGTCTTCGATGAAATCTTCGGACACTTCTGCAAAATACTCATGTCCTGGTAGGGAACAGAACCAGGAGATCCAGGTGAGTGAGTCCGTCCCACTGTCTGAGATTGAGTCTGAGCCTGTGCCGGGGACGCGGGGTGAGTGTGAGTGTGAGTGATGTTTTAGCATACAGAGACTTGATTTGCTCCTTCCCAAGCTCGCTCGCTCACCATATACATCTTGCGCCAACAAGTCTTCGCCCTGAGCGAGTTCCTCCTCATCAAACTCCTCCTCTTCCTCTTCCTCCTCTTCCTCTTCCTCCTCTGCTGGATCTCCTACTTGAGCTGCTGCATCTGCGGGCTGCACAGGCATGCCATCATCGTCGTACTGGATGTTTTGTCCCCTTGACGATTGTCCTTGCTGTGATGTGGAGCGATGTGATGCCATGCGTCGTGATATTTGGCGGGTGAGAGGGGACACGAGGATCGAGATGAAGTTGCGAAGTTGAAGTTGAGATGCACGACGGCGGGCAGAGGGCAAAGCGGGGCGGAGAGACGAGAGAGACAAAGGCGTCTCGAGACGGACGACTCGAATCGCAGGCCGCGTGCAGCAGAGGCGACGACGGACAGGCGGAGAGGAAAGCAACCTGCCTTACTACGATCACCCACAGCCAAAGATCGACGATGGCGACAAGAGCATCGACGGCCCTCAGAATAGCAAGAGCGACGGCATCGAGGCCAGCAGTATGGTCATCATGTCGTCGCTATGCTACTGAGTCGGCCACTGCAGCCAAACAGAGCAAGAAGCTGGCCGATCTCATCTCCGACTCGATCAAGGTCAGCGCCAGAGCATCACCGAGCTCCACTTCACACCCGTAGCGAGTGTATGCTGACTCCTCCAATCACGTCGCATCCAGGCAGCTGGTCCCATATCGGTAGCTACCTTCATGCGCACCTGCCTACTCGATCCAGCTCAAGGATACTATGCATCAGCCAACGCCCCTGGCCAGCAAGAGGCGCTCGAGGAGCATGGTGGGAGGGATGTGCTCGGTGCGAGGGGAGACTTTATCACTAGCCCAGAGATCAGTCAGGTCTTTGGAGAGGTGAGATGGTCAGACTCGTGAAGACTCAGAGTGCTGTTTATTCACTCCACCCGTCCCCCGCGCTCGCAGCTCCTCGCCGTCTACTTTGTCTCAAGATGGCAGGCCTCCTCCTCCCCAACGTCGCTGCGCCTCATCGAGTTTGGACCGGGAAAGGGAACTCTCCTCGCAGATATGATCAGAGTGAGCCCAGCGCGCATGTCGATTTCTCCTCTAGTCCATTCCTGACAGACTCCTCCCCGCGGCACGCCCAGACCTTCTCCCGTTTTCCACTCCTCTCACACCTCAAGACAATTCACCTCGTCGAGACTTCCGAGGGGCTGATGCGCCTCCAACTCTCTGCCATCGAATCAGCTCTCGCCGCAGCAGGTAAGCGCATCGCCATGCCTCGAAATGATGGCAGCTCTCAAGCCGCAGATGAGGTGCACGTCGAGTACTTCCCTCACGTCGATGCCGTGCCTATCGACCCGAGCCAGTGGACGATGCTGGTTGCGCATGAATTCTTTGACGCTCTACCAATTCACATCTTTGAGAGGACTGTGAGCGGATTCAGGGAGCTCTTGGTCGATGTACAGCATCAGCAGCGTCAGGCTGCCAGTGGTGGCGTGCAAGAGCAGAGGCAGTCCGGCGTGACGACGATCAAGGTGTCCGACCTGAGGAGCAGCAGCAGCAGCAGCAGCAATAGCAGCAAAGAGGGTGGTAAGGACGCCACCGCTGCCGCCTCGTCATCCACCTCTACGCCCTCATCTCCCGCCTTTCGCTACGTGCTCAGCCCCACGGAGACCCCTTGGACAAAGCTCCTCGCCTCCTCCAACCCACGCTTCCAACGCCTTCAACCAGGGCAGCGCGTCGAAATCTCACCAGAATCGTGGGCTACGGCAAGAAGGATCGGCGAGCTTGTGGCGGGAAAGAAGGCAAAGCCGGCGCCAGGTCAAGAGTCGGACGCAGCACCATCAAAGGAGCCGGACGAGTCCGCATCCTCAGGCCCCTCCCAGGGCGGCGCAGGCTTAATTGTCGACTACGGCGACAGCAAAGCCTTTGGGGGGTCTTTCCGTGCCTTCAAATCGCACAAAATCGTCGATCCTCTCACCAATCCGGGAACCGCCGACCTCACAGCGAATGTGGACTTCTCTTACCTCTCCACCGCGCTCGCCACTACCGAGGCAAAGGGCATGGGCCCCATGTTCCAAGCTCATTTCCTTGCCAGCTTGGGACTCGAGCCTCGCGTGGGGGCATTGATGAATGCCGTGGGAGACAATGACGAGAGGAAGAAGGTCATCGAGGGAGCGGCTAAGCGACTGGTGGACCCAACGGGGATGGGAGCGCAGTACAAGGTCTTGGGAGTACATGCGAATGCAGAGGGGCGTGAAGGGGAAGACGGCGAGGTGTACCCGTTCGACTCATTCCCTAGCAGCGATGGGCGGGCAGCTAATCCGCCAACGAAGGGACAGGAGGCAGCAGCATCGTCACCACCACCAGGAAGCGGCAAGACATAGGCGAATAAATAAATCGTAATTTTAACACATCGTCGTCGCCCGCGTGCTCACGGGCAGTAGGTGATCGTAAAGGTCGTCCCAAGCGGGCTATTCCGGTCAGCCTCAGAGTCATAGGGCTGATTGTAGCTCTGACTTGGGTCGCAAGACACGGACTTGCAGACGACCGTCTGTCCTTTGTTGTCTGTGATGGACTGGCCGACATTGATGCTCGAGTCGACGTGTGAGAGGTCCCAGGCGATGCGTTCGCCGCCATACTGGGTGCCGAAGTCGCCGTACCCAAATTCGGCGTATTGCACGCTGCGGGGCGAAAAACACAGCGCACCGTTGAAGCAGTTAGTGAGATGAAGTGTAGTCAGAGCTGTCACACCTCACTCACGCAGCTTGCAGGCCACCATCAGTGCACAGCCTCCCTCCGACGCATCCGCCCGTCTGGCAGCCCGTTCCATCAGCCTTGCAGCCCGTCCTGGGCCAAGCTCGCACGCCCGTCAAATGGTCGTCGACACCCACTGACCCTGTTCCCCCATTCGCGCCGAGCTCGCGCGCCTCGTGGTAGTTGGGGTCTGGCTGGCCATTGGGAGCGCGGGCTACGCCTACAAGGAGGGGTTGGGGGCAGCGATTTACGAAGTTAAGAGTGAAGGCAGAGCAGGTGCTGCTGAGGGCCGCTAAGACGGTGAGAAGGAGGGAAAATGAGAGTCTGAGCATGGCGAAGGCAACTTCGAGCAAGTGATGGGTATGTCGATGAAACAAGAAACGAGAAGGGGTCCTGCGCTGGCCTTTTAACTCTTTCGAGTCAGCAAAACACATTGGGCTTGATCCAGCGACTTTTGTGCTTCAGCAGGACGACGCTTGCGCTCTGGCCCGTACTCTCCGGATGACAAGGGCATGCAGCAAGAATGAGCTTCAGAGTGCTGGCACGACTTGGTGCTTGAGCATGAGTTAACTTGCGACCCCAGGTCTTCCACCGCGGACCTCGTTCCTCGTTCCTCGGCGTACCCGCACCTCGTCTCTTCTTCTTTGGCGATCCGGCGGTCCTGAAACATATGAGCTTCACTTTGTATTATTGGCGAGCTCAGGTCCATTCATCTTGCCCTTCTCGGACGTTGCTGGTACCTACATCGTAATGAATCGCAATGAATCGCAAGGTCGCGAGGTCTATCACCGCTCGAATCGTCCGACTCGACGCCTCGGGCATTAATGAACCATCGGACGCGGCTGCGACCAGTGGGCGTCTTTCGACTCCGACGGGGCGGCGCGGGAGTGCGGCGTCTTGCTGCCCTGGATCGCATTAAGACGCCAAAGTGACGCCACAGCTGCCCCGCATCCACCAAGCGTGTTTCGGACCGCTCGCACGGCAAGGGTCGCTGTCACAGTCGAGGGTGACAAGCTTTCTCTTTCTACGCAAGGTTCACCGACGAAGATGTTGCTCTCAAGTCTCATGGACAACGCTGTCGGTCGATCAGGCGTGGAGGTGAGCAAATGCATGGCAGGCAATGTAATGGGTAGGCGACCTCCGAAACCGCAAGCAGGGGTGCCGTTCGCTGGATCTTGAGGTGCAGAGCGACGCTGAGCGTAGCGAGCGGCCACCGATGGCGTAAGGGCCACTGCGAGCCAGCCTCAATGTGGTGAACTCTCGTTCGAATCGCCCGAGCAAAAATGCGTGCGAGTGAGTGTGGGTGGAGGAGAGAGACTCGCGCGTCCTCTCATAGTAGGAGGGGATTTGGAACTCCTGGTACCATCTGGGGTCGACGACTCAGCGTCGACAAGGATACATAAGACCAGCCTTATCGAGCTGCTGCTCATTCAGCCCCCACCAACAAGCAAACTTGATCAACAGCCCGATTACCACTCGCTACGGCCAAGATGTACACTCTCGCATTCATCTTCACTCTCCTCTTCGCTACCGTCTCCTTCGCCGGCACGCACCAAGTCGTCTTCAATTCTAACTGCCCCACTTCCTACCTTCAAATTCCCGGTCATGGCAACTACAAGCCCGGCACGTACACCTTCAACGGCGACGTCTCTGCTGCCATCGCTTCTGCTGGGCCCAGCTGCAGCGTGGATGGCAACAACTGCGCTTCAGTTGAGTTCACGCTCAACAGCGCTGGCACTAGCACGGGCGATATCACTCTCATCCCTCGTGAGTGCGGCATAGGTGCCAGCGGATGCTTCAGGCTTTGAGTGAGGCTGACCTACTGCTCCTCCCTTGTCATCGCACGCGCAGCCCACAAGTCTACGAGCCAGGTCAACTTCCACATGACGCCCGGCGGCTCGGGCGCTTCGTGCAACGACCAGAACTGCGGCAAAGACAATGCCTTCTACCAGCCCACAGATTACAGTGCTCAGCGTTACGAGTCTAGCCCCGACAGTGGGATCGTCATCAATTTCACCTGCTAAGAAGGGCGCACGCGCCTATCAGCTCTTTCACTATCCGTGTTTCTACCTCGTTGGCGTCGAGCACCGTGAGCTATCACTTCGGCGTGTGTCGTGTCCATGCATTTTTGTCAACGGCTACTGCGCTACTTCTCGATAGCCTCGAAACCCAATCGAATCAATCGACTTTTGACGTGCGCGTACGGTACCGGCCTGCACTGTCCGCCATCATAGAGATGTCGAGTGGAATCGAGCGAGTGTCGCTCTGCCTGAGTGTTGGTTGGACTGGCCGCCGCCTAATCCGCTGTGTTGCGCGTTCCGTCTCGTGGCTCTGGGCTCTCCGCGTGCTGCTTGGCTGGCGGGAGTGGGGGGGCGGCGCGGGCGTAGCAGCGCTGGGCGGGCTTCATCTGGTTGTGCTGCAAGGGAGAGGCAAGCAGCGGCGGCGGCGCGAGCGACTCGAGGCAAGCAAGGCAGGCGTCGGTGGTCACTCGAGTGAGTGGAAATGCAGAGGTGTCGTCGTCATCGATGGCTGCTTCCTTCTGCCACCCAACACATCACTATCACCTCGCGATTTGATCAAGAAGAGGCGGGTAGCAGTACAGTAGTCATCGCTTTCTAGACTGGACCTCTTTAGCTTTACGACTCGACACACCTCTGCCTCTTAACCACCTGGACTCGACTGGACCTCTTTCGCGCGTGCGCCACTGGATCACGACCTCATCTCGACAATTACGACGGCTACCGCGGCAATCGGTTTAGCATTACCTCCCCTGCTTCTTCTTCTTCTCCACTCACGTCGCCATGACACAGAAGTCAGAGATCTACCAGAAGGCCTTTGGCCAGATTGCCAACCGCCACACGGCGCCAGCACCGGAGATCGACTTCACCATCCACACGCAAGATGACGGCACCACAGTCTCGACGCAGGAGCGAGTCATCAAGGACGTGCAAGCACCTGCTTTTCGAAAGCCTACAGACGAGGAGTTCTTTTCCCAGCAAGACCCCACAAAGCCGGACATTGCCTTTTTGAAGAACCACTTCTATCGCGAGGGGAGGCTCACAGATGAGCAGGCGACGTTCATTCTGCGTAGGGCGACGGAGATCCTCAAGCAGGAGCCCAATGTCCTCGAGGTCGATGCTCCCATCACGGTTTGCGGTGATATCCATGGACAGTATTTTGACTTAATGAAGCTCTTCGAGGTCGGTGGTAACCCGGCGGACACACGATACCTCTTTCTCGGCGATTACGTTGATCGTGGATACTTTTCGATTGAGGTGAGCGTGTGGAGGAGCAGCTTTCATCCTCGAGATAGATGGCCTACTGACTTAGTCTCTTGATGCTCTTCGTGCTCGCAGTGCGTCCTGTACCTCTGGGCGCTCAAGATCTGGTACCCAGACACCCTCTTCCTCCTCCGCGGCAACCACGAGTGCCGCCACTTGACCGACTACTTTACCTTCAAGCTCGAGTGCAAGCACAAGTACTCGGAGCAGATCTATGACGAGTGTATGGAGTCCTTCTGCACGCTGCCCCTCGCTGCCGTCATGAACAAGCAGTTCCTCTGCATTCATGGCGGCCTGAGCCCGGAGCTTCAGGTGAGCGAGGGCGAGGGGTGCACGATGTGGAACGCCGCACTGACTGATGGACATCCATTCTCCTCACCTCCCTCCCGCAGACACTTGACGACCTTCGTGCAGTCAATCGATTCCGCGAACCTCCAACACACGGCCTCATGTGCGACGTCCTCTGGGCAGACCCACTCGAGGACTTTGGCACAGAGAAGACCAACGAGAGTTTCGTCCACAATCACGTCCGCGGCTGCTCCTACTTCTTCACATACCAGTGCGTAGCGGGCGTGAGAACTGCCATTGAGCTTCCCCACTCCTGACCACCTGCTCTCCCCTCCGCCACACGCGCAGAGCCGCATGCCAATTCCTCGAGCGCAACAACCTCCTCTCCATCATTCGAGCCCACGAAGCCCAAGACGCCGGCTACAGGATGTATCGCAAGACAAAGACTACGGGCTTCCCTTCGGTCATGACCATCTTCTCAGCTCCCAACTACCTCGATGTCTACAACAACAAGGCCGCAGTCCTCAAGTACGAGAACAACGTCATGAATATTCGCCAGTTCAACTGTACGCCTCACCCGTATTACCTGCCCAACTTCATGGACGTCTTCACCTGGAGTCTGCCCTTTGTCGGTGAGAAGATCACGGACATGCTCATCTCGATTCTCAACGTCTGCAGCAAGGAGGAGCTCGACGAGGAAGAGGCCGAGGAGGAGGCAGAAGAGCAAGCAGCGCTCGCCGCCGAGCAAGAAGCAGCAGCAGCAGCAGCCGCAGCAGCAGCAGCATCTCAAGCTCAGGCCTCATCCTCAGCAGCAAACGCAGGCGACGACTCTATGATGGAAGACGTGGACGGCGTCATCCCCAGCGGCGAGGCAGAGGACGGCTCGGAGGAGCGTCGCGCCGTCGTCAAGCAGAAGATCCTCGCCGTCGGCCGCATGTCCCGCGTCTTTGCTCTTCTCCGTGAAGAGGCCGAGCGAGTGTCCGAGCTCAAGAGCGTTGCCCCCTCCGGCAAGCTCCCCTATGGCAGCCTGGCATCGGGAGCAGAGGGCATCAAGGAGGCCATCACGAACTTTGACGATGCGCGCAAGGTGGACATCGAGAACGAGCGCCTGCCCCCTGATCTCATCGATGCGGACGAGGCGAGCTTGGCGTCGATCGAGGGACGAGGCAGCAGCAGCTTCGATGAGTCGCGTTCTGGTGGTGGAATGACCGAGGCTAGCGCTCCTACGACTCCTGGCTCGCCGGGAGGCCCTTCCCCATCATCGCCTGGCGCTCCAGCCGTCTCCGCCGGAGGAGGCTACGTCCCCACCAACCGCCCAGGTCATCGTCGCGGACACTCGCGCACCTCTTCGCTCGGTACGACGAACACCTCTTCGCCCTCGAATCGCCGTCGCTCGTTGGAGTCTACGGTTAACATGATCCGTGAAGCTCTTGCAGGAGAGGAGGGAATCGATGAGAGTTCATTTGAGAAGTTGGCAGACTCTGTGGCTAGCCCAGCGAGTCCCAAGGTTGGCGGAGGGGAGGGCTCGAGGAGGAGCGGGAGCATCAAGAGGGCACAGCAGGCTGGGGCTGGCGTTGGGGGAGGAGGGATGTATCAGCAGCAGAATAGCGGATTGCCGAGGGGTGGAGGAGCGCCAACTTCAGGTGGCGGTGGTGGTGGGGCGTGAGGGCAGTAGCCAGCCCACGTCTCAGAACCACGACTCTTCCTCATTACCAACTCTGCTCCGCTCAAACCAACACTTTCTCTTTTTGTACCATTCCTTTGCTTCTCATGTTTCTCTCTCTTGCGCCCACTCTCTACGCTCCTTACAAAGCCATTCTATGGTCTTTTCGACTCATTGCAAGTGGTCGCTACTCCGGGGACGAGGTGCAGACTGGAGAGGAGCAGAGGATGATGGGTGCATGTTATTGAGTAGACTAGCGAGAGCGAGCGACAAGCTAAGGAGCGCGCCAAGGGTTGTGTGTCAAGAGCGGGAAGACAAGAGCAGGTCCGCCGTCGAGACGGGAATGGGGATGTGGTGTGCGTAGAAAAACATTGAGCGGATCGACGAGGGCGGCCGAGGTAAGGAGATGGCCCGGTCGGGCGTCCAGATTGCGGAGACAAGGGGCTTGCAAAAGATCAGGGCTGCTGCTGCTAATGCTTTCTGTCGTCAGCTGCAGCGGGGACATTGACATTGACCTGGCTGGCGTGCGCAGGTGCTGATCCTGATTGTGGCGCTCCGTTTGCCATAGTCGTGGCCTGAGCCGGGGCCGCCGAGGGCGTCGAGCCAGGAGCAGGAGATGCGCTCAGCTTGCCACCTTCTTGAGCAGCCTGAGGAGCTGGAGGAGCCTGGGCAGGAGCAGCCGGCGTAGACGTGTCAGGTCCCACAACCAGCCCGAGCCCCGCATTGCTTGGTCCCTCAGCCCCAGTCAGGACTGCCTTCCCCTCTTCCAGCCCATCACCACTTCCCTTCTCTTTCTCAACCGCACCTTTCCCATTCTCCACCTCCTCGCTCCCACTCCTGCTAGCCCCGCCAGAGCCAGGCGAAGCAGGTAGTACGACGCTTGACCCACTGAGCGGGGAGCGAGCATTCCCCAAGCTGGTCGTGGCGGCAGGAGTGCTTGGGTGCTCGGCACTTAGTCCGCCTCCAGCTGCTGACAGTGAGGCTGCCCCGCCGGTTGTGCCACCTTCGACGCTCGTTGCCGAATTTCCACTGATCGACCCTGCGTGCCTCCTGATAGGGAACGAGCCCATCGGCGTGCTCCCCTTGCCCAGGAGCATGGCGGGCGGAGGAGATCCGTTCGAGGCTGACGATCCAGAGGAAGAGCCGGAGGAGTTGCGTTGGTGCTGGCCAGGTGGCAGAGCAATGGAAGGTGGAGGCGTGGAGCGGGACAGCATCGTGCGGGCACCTCCTTCGTTGCTTGCGGTGGTGGAGTCCAGGGTAAGGGAAGGGTCGGGACGACGCTCGGTCTGGCCGCGAGGAAAGGGAAGGGCTACAGGTGCCGAGCTGTTTGTGTTGCCAGAGGGCGACATGCTAGGTAGACCCTGTCCTCGTCCTTGCGCTTGAGCTTGAGCCTTTGCGGTCCCCGCGGCGATATGATCACGGGAGAAGGGCGAATTGACGTGCCTGTCCGGAGACGAGGGTACGGGTGGGCGTGTGGCCGACGACGATGAGGAAGAAGCGGCAGCGATGCTGGGTCCACGAGGCTGGGCAACAGGTACGAGGCCGGCCGTATTGTCGGGTGCGGGGCCCGGAGCTGGCTGAGGAGCACGCCCACTGTTGCCTTCGCTCATGTTGGTGGAAGGCTGTGGGAATGAGGGACGAGGTGATGCCCCTGCGAGTGCTGGTTGTGATCTTGCTTGATATGCCGTGCTAGTTGATGGATAATGGAACGGGGCAGGGTAAGCCTGATATTGAGGTTGAGGATAGCGATGTTGTTGTTGTTGCTGCTGCTGCTGGTGTTGATGAGGATAGTGCTGCTGATAGGATTGTTGATAAACACCTGCAGGATAGCCTGGCGGCTGCGGATGGCCGGCGGCGATCGATGAAGGCGAGGAGTGGTGGTGGTAAGGAAATGAAGAGGGATGGGCGGGTGGAGCGGCAAAAGGCCTGTGATCAATGTTGTGACCGGGTTGCCCTGGCACTTGGCCATGCGCTTGCCCTGGCGGGAAGCCGCTTTGCTGCTGCTGGGCTTGCTGACTCCAAGTGTGAGGCGGATGTGCGGGCGGGAAAGCGAGTTGAGGCGCGGATCCAGGAGCGGGTGCAGGCAATGACGCCCCCGGTGCAGCAAAAGGACGGGGCGCGCCTGTGTGAGGCTGAGGCGCCTGTTGAGCTTGAGGCGATGACGCCGCCACCTTCGTCCTCGCCGCCGTCGCCGCTGCCGCCGCAGTTGCTGCCTCTGCCTTGAATCGTCGATACGCCTCTTGCTGAGCAGCGACCACCTTTCTCACTTGTTCCGCCTCACCAGCATCGCCCTTTGCCAGGCCCAGCTGGCAGTCAGAGCAAAAGAAGTCCTCCGACTCCCAATCCCTCTGCGGCGGTACCGTAGACGTCGCTTTGCTGCCTTTGCGCCATGCATCAAACGAGTCCCAACACTTGGTGTGCTGCCAAACCAAACAAGACTCACAGCAGACGATCTGCTCGTCCTGGTCCAGCTCAGGATTGCGCGCTTGCTTCAAGCAGACCTCGCAGGCCAGATCCCAATCCTCATCCTCGTTATTCTCAGTTCCACCACTCTGAGCTCCCTTTGCAGCCGTAGGGTCCAGCTCGCCCGCTGCGATCATCTCGCGCTTCTTGGCTCGCATCTCGCGCATCTTCTCGCGACGCTCTCGCTCTTCCATTTCCATGATCGCTTTGCGCTCTGCCTCCATCTCGCGTGCCTTGATACGGTCCTCGCGTTCGCGAAGGCGATCCTCCCTGCGCTTCTCTTCTTGCCGCGCCTCCTCCTCTCTTCTGGCTGCTGCCTCTTCCTCATTGCGAATGCGCTTCATCCTCTCTTCCATCGCGGCACGAGCCTCCAATTGCTTCTGCTCCGCCTCTCGCTCTGCCTCCTTGGTGGCGATGCGAGACGAGCGCTTGCGAGAGGCAAGAGCGGCTTCCATTGCTGCTTGCTTTTCAGCTTCGGCAATATCGGCCAGGATGCGTGGACAGAGGTCCGTGGTCAGGAGTTTGTGAAAAGCCTTTTCGTCTGGGTGCTTGGACTTGGCGAAGCGGGTTTGCATGGCTTCCCATTCGGAGCGTGTGACGGCGATGGCTTCGAATTCGATCCAGGAGGGCTCGGCGTCGTTGGGTTCGGCTTTGCTGTTGCCGCTGCTGCCGCCTGCCGCTGCGTCATCCTGCTCCACGAGCGTCGAGTCGTCCAAGTCCATTGTGTCGCCCTCTACTGTCTCGTCGGCGGCATCGTCCTGCTTTGTCACCTCCTCCAGCTCTTCATCCTGAGACGGCGGCTCTGACAGCTCCGAGTCGTCATCGTCGTCCTCGTGCTTGCCCACCCCATTGCTGCCCAATCCAGAGTCTAGCAGCTCAGGCGGAATTTGCTCCCATCCATCATCATCGGCGTTGCCACGTAATCTGCGCGAGGATCGAGAGCCGCGTGGCGACGAGGCAGCCGGGGCAGGGGCGGCATTTGATCTCGAGGTTCTTGGCCTTTTGGCTGGCGGAGGCTGCGGCTGCGGCTGCGTCCGACGGGAAGTCCTGTTGCCGTTCGCCGCCGGCTTTGCTACTGCTTTGGCTTTGTCTGCTGCCCTCTTCGCTGCCGCAGCCTCGGCACGAGCCCTCTTCGACCCCTTCTTTGGGGGCGGCCTGGCCTTGGGCGGGGGTGGGGGAGGTGGATGCTGCACCCAGAGTCGATTGTCGTCGAAGAGCCAATAGGTGTTGTCTTGTCCATCGTAGCCAACCGGGTAGATGCGCCAATTTTCTGCGTCCTCATCTGATCGAAGCAGCTTGCGAAAGCGTTCTGCGTCGACCCACTGCCATTCGCATAGGTCATGGATGCTGCGAACCTTTGTGGCGAGGGGGAGCGTTTCCCAATTGGTGGGCTCCTCTTCGCTACCCAGAGGGTTGGGACCGTCTTCTTCTGGCGATGTCCGGCGCGCGTATTGGATTCGCAAACGGTCCTGCCAGTTGTCTATCGAGACGCTCTTGTCGAGGGTAAGGGTGTAGAGGAGGCGACGCATGAGGTTAGGGACCGTTTCGTACGTGGATGCTGCGAGGTCGTGTTCGAGGGACTGCCGGGCGAGGAGCGTGATGTGTCAATCAAAGGTCACCGCGTCCGTTCGTCCTCACCCACTCACATCAGTCTTGAATCCGCTCATCCCGAAAGCCTCCTCGAATGTGACGAGGAATTGACAGACTGCAGCAAACCTCCAATCTCTGCGCAGCTGACCGATAGCGCTGAGGAAGGGGTCATTCGACGACGACGCATGTGAAGTCGAGGGTTGTGCCATCGTCGCCGTTGCCGCTGGTTGCGGGAGCGATCTACGCGGCATCGTCAGCGTCGTCGTCGTCGTCGTCGAGGAGGAAGTGATGGGATGTCACACGCGCACGGGGTCGATGATGAGAACGCAACGCGGGTCGAAGCTGCGAAGTCAGGTCGGAAGGAGCGTCGCGAGGGGCGGCAGCCACAGGCCCAAAGTCGAAGGCGATGCGGGCGAGCGGGCGAGAGGGCAGTCGGGCCGCGCGCAGTGAGAAAGGTCGAGGCGGACAGAGGCGAAGGCGTGGCTGCTTCTCACCATTCACTCGCATACAATCAGCTATGACGCCTGCTAGAAGAAGCACAGCAGAGCTGCTTGCCAATATGGCAAGGCTCACACTTGCACAGTCACCTGCTACGAGATCAGCCGCTGTCACGGCAGCAGCTTGTCTCACTGCACCTTCCTGCTCGACTTCCTCCTCCTTTGCTTCCTCTTCTCGCCGCTTCACCACCTCAGCTCCCGCCACGCTCGCAGCTCCTGTCACAGAGCCGACCGCATCATCATCATCATCATCACCCGCTACCAGCCCCGCGCAATGGACGCCAACCTCACGACGAGTCGGTCTGCTCGCCAGAAAACGCGGCATGCTCACCTACTTCCTCGCAACGGGCCAAGCCATCCCCTGTACGGTCCTGCAAGTCGATGCCAACCAGATTTCGGCTCAGATCGGCTTCGAGCCTGCCACCCCGCACCCCACACATGACCCTGCCACGGGAGCACCAATCCGCGTACCGCAAGTGGCTCCCTACCTCGCCTTGCAGGTAGCAGCGACCGATACCCATAGTAGAAACCACGGCAGCAACCGCTCACGCAAGGGGCATTTGGCCAAAGCCGGTATCAAGGCAGGGAAGAAGGTGCTCAAGGAATTCAAGATCAGTGCAGACGCCGTCCTGCCGCTCGGCACGCACCTCTCGGCCTCGCACTTCGTTCCTGGACAGCACGTAGACGTCTCTGCCACTTCGCGCGGCCGCGGCTTCGCAGGCGCAATGAAGAGGCACGGCTTCCACGGTCTACGAGCGAGTCATGGTGTCTCCATCTCACATCGCTCGCATGGCTCTACTGGACAGCACCAGGATCCTGGTAGGGTGTTTCCGGGCAAGCGAATGGCGGGAAGGATGGGGGGAAAGAGAGCTACGGTTCACAGTTTGCGGGTGCTGCGGGTGGATCTGGACCGTCAGCTCGTACTGGTGCAGGGAAACGTACCGGGCGCAGACGGCGGGTTGGTAGAGGTGACGGACGCGCGAAGGGAACTCATCTGGAAGGCCGAGACGAAGCAGCGCAAGGCGGGAATTCAGGGCAAGGAGGCGTTGCCCGTAGGTATCGAGGCCTTGCCATTCCCAGCAGGTACGAGGGAGATGGAAGGCGGAATGCCGAGGATAATCGAGTGGAACGGTGGCGTCGAAGAGGAGGCAGCAGCAGCCTAGGGTGCAGCGAATGACCGTGGGGGTGTGTGCTTCGGTAGCGAAGCTCACTCTCTTGTCCCGTCTCAAAGGCAATTCATTCTTTTTCTGACTTCCATCCGATTACCTGCTTTCGCCTTTTCACACTTCTCACCTTGCTCCTGACCGTGGCGCAATGGCACGCATCAGCGCGTCAGGCAAGGTCCGGTCGCATCACTCGATCGTCGCCGCCGCTGCGGCTGCTTCAAAGAGGCGACTCGAGCGCCGAGAGGAGCGCGACTAATGGCGCGATTCGATTGCATGAGGTAGCACTGTGTGGCTGCGTTGGCTACAGATGGTATGAATGGAGGTGACATGCCTACTTCCGCGTCGGCTTCTCCGCGTTGACGGCAGAGGGAAGAGGCCACTGGATGTAGCTGCGAGGGGCAGCTACATCGCGAGGCGGCGTGGTCGCGTGGGTGGTGGCGAGGCGAGGTTGGCTGTCGCTCCGAGGAATAGCTGCATCGTGAGCTTTGAGGTGGTCGAGGATTGAGCCATTTACATCTTTGTAGCCGCGTGTGGGGAGTTCGTATCCCAGGCTGTACAGACTCTCGAGCACGATCCAGACGGGAATGACGCTGCTGCAGCACGGGCAGCGCACCAGCTCATCCCCGGCAGCCAGCTCCTCCGAGGCCTTATCGACCAGGTGGCCAAGGATGATGTGCCTGCACGCGCTGGCGTGGTCCGGAAATCGATGGCAGCGGTCGGCGGGGGCCTCCGTCTCATCCACGAGGCAGAATGGGCACTGTTCCGTCGGCAATTCCACCTCTCCCTCCGCCAACGACGTCCCCACCGATTGCCATGCTGCTGGCTCTCACGAAGCGTCGAGTTGACTCCCTCGTCCCTCCCTACAGGCGCCGGCGACCAGTCACAGCCGAATACCGGGCAGCCGAATTTCTCCATCAGCGCTGCGAAGCCCTCCTGCAAGCCATGCTCGATCGCCTTGCTGCTGCAGGCGATATGATGGGACTTGCGCTGGCGCTTGCCCTGGCCACCGAAGTCTTCCCTGCAGAAAGAGCATTCTGCGGCGGTGACAACAGCCTCCAAAGCGGACTCGGACGTGAAGACGTCGTAAGCCTCCGAGAAGGGCAGCTTTTCTTGGCCACTCTTCAGCAGAGTCTCGCGGTCTTGCTGAGCTTCGAGGCACATCGCGCGCGCCTCCTCCTTCAAAGCGATGAGGGCTCGAGCTCGAGCGTCATCCTCGTCCGCAGTGATGGCCAATAGGCGCTCCAGTGGGGTCTGGCGATGAGGATGCGTGGCACCGACGCTGCATTCCTGCCGAGCCGATGAAGTCGACGAGGAAGAGGAGGGCTGGTGCGCGTCAAGGCTGCGAAGGTGAGCCTGGAGTCGCGGTACGAGGCTCTCGTCTCGAGCATCGGAAGTATCATCTTCTCGAGCATCATGAGGCTCTCGACGCCGTGGGTCTCGTCGTGACAGTGCCGAGAGAGCGCTGCCGAGCGGTGCCCGGCTTCGCCTTCGTCGGCCTCTTTCCTCTTCACGTTGATGACGTTCGTTCGCGAGGAGAGAGACGAAGCGATTTCGGATGTGACGCAGCTCGACGGCCTCCGGCGACTTTGAGTCCTCACCAATTGCCTTCAGTGTGGCAAAACTTGTATCCTGTCGGCGGCGGGCTTGAGCATCGCCGGTTGGGGACGCAGCTCGAGCTCCTCGGCCGGCGTTAGCGTGTCGATGGGTGGCTGCGAGTTGTCAGGCCATGCGGAGAATCGTCGCCCTTTTCTGCCGTGGCGAGAGAGGCACATGAGGTCGGGATGTTCTTAAAAAGGTAGAGCTTTTCCCATTGCTTGGTTGGTCGCAGTATGACGGAAGCCGCTCCTCGAATCCTCTGACGTGATGTCGGGCCGGTTGAGGAGCAGCACTGCGCGTCTACGGAAGTCATACGCGACTAGTGTAGGTGAGGCGAGGCAGCGCGACTTGTTGAACTGGTAACGCATGCCGTCAGCCGTGAGGGGCTCGCCTGAGGCCTGCCTGCCCTTTATTTTGGAGAAGACCCGCACCTCTAGCATGCTTGTCTTGACGGGTCCGAGCTGAAGGCGGTGAGAGATTTCGGTGAAATTCAACGCTACCAGGCCGTCGCCGTCGAGGTGCTGAGTCGAGATGCCCTCCAGCGCGCCGTCCTCCATTGCCATCGAAAAGAGAAGGATGGCCGGATCCAAAGCAGGAAAGAAGTCATCACGAGACACGGAGCTGACCTTTCGCCACTCGCTCTGCTTCTCTTTGTGACACTTGAGGTTGCGGATTGTGACCTCGACGGCGAGGCGGGCGACGCCGTCCTCGCACAACAGGAAGAAGAATTGAAGATCCTTGTACTGCAGTGCGTAATTTGCGTCCTTGTAGTCCTCGGCGATGAGGAAGTCTCCGGGACGCGCAGCGGAGAAGAAGCTGAATGAGCAGAATGCGAGGAGCTGGTTGCGCTCTCTTGCGCGTCTCATGAGCGTAGTAGCCTTCACGAGCACTGCTTCGGCCATTTGGTAGAGGTTGTCATAGGATGCAAAATGCTTGCGGGCGTCCTTCGATGGCTGGAGCTCGTACTTGGTCACGTTCTCTCTGCTGGTGATGAGGCTGCGGTGGCTGAAGAGACGAACTCGCGCGCGACCTTGGCATCGACCAGGCGCATGCGATTGTGCGCGCCCACACAGTGTGCAAAGCGATTCAGTGCAGTTTGCTGGGCAATAGGGCAATAAGTCTGGAACGAGGCGCAGCAGCCGCGTCAGCATGAGCAACTGCTGACGTGTCTGCCTACATTGTTGTACGCTCACCTTTGTCCTTGGTGTGAGCTACGCCGGCCACTCCCCACCTCTCAATTGGGCGGCTGACCATCCGCGCCAGGCAATGCCAGAGAGCAAGAGGGAAGACGAAGTCGGTGTCCGGTGCGTTTCAAGAGTTTTGGAGACTCCTCTGCCGTCGTGGGCTGGGCGTGTGAGCCATTTGTCGGCGACACCAGAGAATCACGATTCCCAAGAGCTATGTGTCGTGACCGTGGAAGGGGCCAGTGTGCGTGAGAAGTCCTCAGAGGCGGGTGTGCATTCATCGTGAAGCGTAGCGTTGCCGATATGAGCTCGCGCTCGCTCGACGGCGTGTCGCTCGCTGCTTGTCGACGAGAGATGGCGAAGCCATGGCGGTGGTGTTGCGGCGGACCTTGTTGAAGGGTGAGGTAAGCGATGGCGACAGCTTCTGCTGTCACAGGGCGTGGAGGGCGAGACGATGGTGGCAGAGGCAGGCATGGATCCACGTGGCTAAGGCGCACCTGCCCCACATGTCATCGAATGGATCCTCAGTGTGGTTGGGCAAGGTAACACGCTTCGCGCACTGCTGGGGGTGCAGAGGGGACGATGCCCCCCTGCGCTGCTCGGCGGCAGGGCAGGAGGGCGAATGGGCGAATCAAGGTGGGGACTGCTGGTAGTGATGGGGAGGGGGTGGGCGGGGGAGGAACGGGGATCGTTAGTGTGTGGTGTCAAGGCAAGCAGTGACGGCGATAGGGTCAGCTCTCGACGAGGCGGCGTGCGCTGGCAGCTCGCTCTCGCTCAGGGCGAGATGAGCCACTCGATCTGCCCGCCGCTGCCGCCGCCGCCGCTCACGGAGCTGAATGGTTGCTACCTAATCTTTGCACCTCGCTCGTCGGCTCCTCCTTTGCGTGCTAAGGCCGATGGGCTGCCTAGGATTGTCGTTCTGTGTTGCGATCATCGGACTGCTTGCTACCAATGATTCCGTGCTTGAGGCAGGGTCGACCTCAGGGCTTCCTCATCCTCGCCTGCCCATCGACCTCCGTATGGTACACCGTCCACCTAGGTCGCGCATGACGCCGCTGGGCGGCCGATGCCTCGCCCTCGCCTCGCGAGAGCCTGGAGCGGGGCGGCTCTGCCTGCTGCCTGCTCCAAATTTGGGCTGAACATCCGTGAGCGAGCTCACTCGAGCGAACTCAGTACCGAACAGCCAAGACTTCAATGCTGTACGACTTGAGGGTTGTCAGGTAACGAGCGATTCTAATGCCCACGAGCGAGTCGGCTTGCCAGGCCGACGCCCAGCATCAACTTCGGACCGTGCAATGGACCCTCGTAGCTCATCACTCGCTTCAGCCGAGCGTGGCACAGGTCTGCCATCTCTCTCAGTGACACAAAGTCCTCGTAGTGGTCAAAAGCACGACTTGCCCGCCCTCTTGTTTCTTCCCATCTCACATGACAAGCGCTTCTCGACGCCAGCCCAAGCCCTCCTGGCCACCAACGTGATGATCACGGACCACCGTTTCCTTTGCTTGGCCGTGGCCCATCTCGCCCTCCGTGCCTCGGCCCATCCTCGCGCTTGTCTCGGCCGCGGGTCCTGTCCGTCGAAATCTGGCTTGAGTCGCCTTCTGGCCTTTGAGGCATATCAGCCGAGCCCACTTGTTGCCTCGCCTCATATAAGTTCGAGGTCGTAGCGTAAAGCAGCATGGTACTTCTCTTCACAGCTAGCACTTGTTTGCACTTCGAGAGCGACGTCACCTTCTTCCCTTCGCTCAACGATTGACATCCCTCATCCTTCTGCTCCTCACTTGGAGTTCTCATCACTCGCACCCGCGCTCTCCCCGCACCTCACGCTCCACGCCCACCATGACCAATGACAACGCCTCTGGCTCAGGGCCCGGCGCTGCCCCGCCCAAGGATACCTTTGGTCAGGCCTCTAACTCAACCCCTGCCTCCCAACAGAAGCCCTCAGCGCGCCAGCGTCTAGCCGGCCTTGCGAGTCACCTTTTGCCGCAAGGCAATACCGAGTTCGACTACATTATCGTAGGAGGCGGTACAGCAGGCGCCGTACTCGCTGACCGTCTCACGGAGAACGCCAACGTCAGCGTAGCGGTCATCGAGGGTGGCCCAAGCGATGTAGGCCAGGACCGTGTCTTGGACCTCAAGCGCTGGCTGGAGCTCATGGGCTCTGATCTCGACTACGACTACCCGACCGTCGAGCAGCCAATGGGCAACTCGCACATCCGTCACAGCCGTGCCAAGGTGCTGGGTGGCTGCTCCTCGCACAACACTCTCATCTCCTTCCGCCCCTTCAACGAGGATCTCGACCACTGGGCAAACCACTACGGCTGCCCCGAGTGGAGCGCAGCGCGTATCCAGCCCTACGGCGACCGACTCAAGGTCAATGCAGTCCCCGTTCAGCCGCAGCACCGCAACCAGGTTGCAAAGGATTGGGTCAAAGCCTCTTCGCTCGCCACTGGCGCACCTATCATCGACGACTTCAACGCGCAGATTGCACACCGCAACGGGTTTGACAAGGCCGTGGGCTTCTTCAATATCTCCTACGACCCGCACTCCGGGTACCGCTCCAGTGCTTCTGTAGCTTACATGCACCCGATCATGCCTCACGGCCCGTACAGGCGTAACAACCTGCACCTGTTCCTCGAGACATGGGCTCGCCACTTGGTATACGACGAGCAGTCTCCTCTCACGGTCAAGGGTGTAGCCGTCCGAACCAAGGCTGGCCTCCTCAAGACTCTCACCGCTCGCAAGGAGGTGATCCTCTGTGCCGGCGCAATCGACACTCCTCGCCTTCTTCTTCACTCAGAAGTTGGTCCGCGCTCAGACCTGGAGGCATTGGGCATGCCCTGCCGCCACGACCTGCCTGGCGTAGGCTCCAACCTGCGAGACCACCCGGAATCCATCATCATGTGGGAGACGCGCGACACCCCGACCGTCGAGACGACAATGCAGTCCGACGCTGGCCTCTTCCTTCGCGTCCTGCCGCCCAACGCCGAGCCTCACCCTCATGCCGGGCCGGACCTCATGTTCCACATCTACCAGTGCGTCTTTGACACCAACCTTGAGCGCCAGGGCTTCCGCAGGCCGAACCACGCAATCTGCATGACGCCCAACATTCCTCGCTCGCAGTCGAGTGGCAAGCTCTCCCTCGCCTCGTCGAATCCGGAGGACAAGCCTCTGTTGGACTTCAAGTACTTCGAGGACCCGAATGGCTACGACGCACGTATCCTCGTCGAAGGCATGAAGTGGGCACGCAAGGTTGCGCAACAGTCCCCCTTTAAGGAGCACCTGCTCGAGGAGATCGCCCCCGGCCCGTCGGTGCAGAGTGACGAGGAGCTCTCCGCATACGCCCGCAAGGTCGCGCACACGGTGTACCACCCGATGGGCACGACGAAGATGGGTGACCCGAGTCAGGACAGGATGGCCGTCGTGGACCAGAAGGACATGAGGATCGTCGGGATGAAGGGCGTGAGGGTGTGCGATGCAGGCGTCTTCCCGTCTGTGCCTACGGTCAACCCTATGCTTACCGTGCTCATGTGCGCGGAGAGGTGTGCGGACTTGATCAAGGGCGTCAATGTCTGAGCGAGAAGAGCCATGATACTCACATCTCGAAATGCATTGTGCTCCGTCTTTGTTCATTAATACAATTTTAATCATATTCGCAGCATCACTCCGTACCACCCCTCGCTCCCTTCGTTGTCTTGTTGCGTCCAATTTTGGCCCACCCGCCCGCCTCCACCGGCGAGGCCGGCTCGGCTCGAGCGTCTGACAAGTGCTTTTTCCGACTTCGACGGCAATGCGGCTTTTGCTTTCGTCCTTCGATCCTCATTCATCCCAATGTCAATACCGTCGACGGCAGGGACGGCAGCATCGGTGGCCTGGCGAGGATGCTTGCGACGCAAAGCAATCTTGAGGCAGGCGACGGCCTCTAGGCGCAACATCTCCTCATCGCAGGCCTTGAGACACAGCAACAGCAGCAACTCAGAGAAGTCGAGCGACTATGCCGAATCATCTTCATCCTCATCGGCCTCCTCCTTTTCATCTTCATCTTCGACGCCCAGCAGCTTCTATTCACCCTCAGCCTCCAGCAGCGCATCTCTGCCCCACTCGAACAAGACTCGCTCCTTCCCTCCGCCCGCCTTTCCTCCCAACTTTGGATCCAACCAAGTTCTCCCCGTAGCTCCCGCTTCTCAGCAACGCCTCTCCCGCATCATCTCTTCCTTCCACTCTCCGATCCGTTTCGCCTTTGCGTATGGATCGGGCGTCTTCTCGCAGACGGAGGCGGGTCCCGAGCATAGTAGGAAGCCCAAGGTCAAGGATGAGCAGACGGGAGAGGAAAAGAAGATGGTGGATCTCGTCCTGGCGGTTGGGCATCCGGAGCATTGGCATGGCTTGAATCGTGGACAGTTTCCCAAGCATTACTCATGGCTGGCGAGGCTGACGGGGGCGGAGGTATTAACGGGCCGGATACAGAGAGCAGTGCGTAGGAGCGAGGCTCGCTCTCTCAGCATGTACGCTGACTGGCAATCCTGTTTCTCTACGCTAGGGCGCTGGACTCTGGTACCATCCATACGTCAACATCAACGACGAGATGGTCAAGTACGGTATCATAGACATCGACACCCTCTGCGCAGACTTACTCGACTGGGACACGTTGTACGTCTCCGGTCGTATGCACAAGCCAGTGGCCATGCTCGTTGCCGACCCGCGCGTAAGGGTAGCGCAACAGGTCAACCTCACCTCTGCTCTGAGGGTGGCACTCCTGTTGCTGCCGGAGACGTTCAGTGAGGTCGAGCTGTACACCCGCATTGCGAGCCTGTCGTACACAGGAGACTTTAGGATGAGTGTCCCGGGCGGGGAGAACGAGAACAAGTGAGGACGTACGAGCACGGGCTCCTCTTCCTACTCATTGCTGACCACTTTGTCGTCATTTCTTCTCGCCCAGAGTCCGCAATATCGTCCTCTCGCAACGCTCGCAATTTCGCCGCTTGTACGCCGGCCTTCTCCAATCCCTGGGCACAGTCTCTGTGCACGAGCATAGAGAGGATCGCTTCGCCATGAGGCAGGATGTCTCTCCCGAAACCAGGGCAGGGTACGCAGCAAGGTTGCCCCTGAGGCTGAGGGAGAGATTGATGGACCATTATGCGCGCAACCCTCAGCTGGACCCGGCATTTGCGGCAGTCTCACTTGCCAGGGGCGAGCCAGAGATCAGAAGACGGCCAACCAGCGGGGAGATGCATCCGGGCACAGGGGAGAAGGGGAAGCCCAAGTCAAAGCATGAGGGCGTCCCTGCTGAGCATCTGTCGGCCTTCTGGCTCGCAGCGGTGCAACGCGACGATTTCCGCACGATCCTCCTACAGCAGATCGCGGATACGGTCAAAGGCCCTGCGTGGGCTCAAAGTCTCAAGGGAGTGTACACGGCCGGGTTGGGTAGGACGGCCAAGTATGTTCTGGCAAAGGCGGGCAAGTGGTGGGAGGGGAGAAAGGGCTAGGTTTGCGACGTAGAGAGAGCGTAGGTGGCGGAGGAAGGTCATGATGGTCTCGTGTCATTGTGTGTGTGTGTTCTATGGTACATTGTGGGCGCGTGGACTGCCACGCTACAGATCAAAAGCAAATCGTCTAGAAGCTACTTCTCCGCCAAAGGCCCGCCCGAAGCCACTCTCCTGCCCTGCGCCCTCCGGCGTCGGCCAGAACGATGCTGCGGCCCTCGTCTCCGCTGGCTCGCCTGCCAACTCATTGGCCTCGGCGTTTCCTCCCTGACCCTCGCCCTTGCTCGCTGCTCCGAGTCCCTTCAGCCGCAGGAACTCAGCGACCGCCCTGCGATCGTACTCGGGGACGCGAAAGTGTCGCTTGCCCGCGAGCTCCTCGAAGCCTACATGCGTCTCGGCTTCCTCCGCGATCGCGTCGGACTGCTGCGCTGCTGGAGTCGAGAAAGTAGCGGTAGGGGCAGTGGAAGGAAGAGCAGGGTGCGCAGGGCGGGCAGTACTGGCCAGACGATCCATAATCGACATTTCTGCCGGTTCAGGGATGCTCAATCCCTCCTCACCCTGCTCATCCTTCTCTACATCATGCTGCTGCTGACCCGCAGCCGCAACACCGCTGGCCGTGCCTTTATCCGTCCACGCCCCGATCCCCGCTAGTCTCAACGCACGCATCGCATCGGGTGGATTGCGGAACACGGAGCGAGCGCGAGAGAGCTCGCCGCCGTATTCTTTCCACGTAAGATTGTCGGGAGGCGAGAAGGTCTTGGCGGAGGTGCTGCTGCCGCTCGACGATGAAGAAGTAGGCAACGTCGGCGGGGACGTAGAATGACTGGAACTGCTAGCCGCCTCTTCCCTCTCTGCGCTAGAGGATGTCGCGGTAAAGCCTTCAGCACCAGCAGCATTGAGCGCCCCTGTCCCCTTCAGCACGCCTCTGATTGTCCCACCATGCTCCCGCAGCAGCTTCAAAGCCCCGCGCGGACCCAGGCCAGTGATGGTGCGATTGTAGTCCGTGCCGCAGAGGAGGGCAAACTCGAGCATTGCGTATCTGGAGAGCTTGTCTGCGCGAGCGAGGGCAGCGTTGTCGGGCGAATCCGAGGATGTCGGTTGATCTTGGATTTGGTCTTGAGTAGGCGCCAGCCCATCCTGCGCAGCGCCGCCTTTTCTGGTCGCCTTCCTCGGCGCCTCGACCTTCGGCGGAAACAGCCCTCTTCTAGCTCCCCTCGAATCGACAAGCTCCATGCCGCGCTTACTTCCTGTCAAGCCCCTCAATAATGGCACTTCAGCCAGCAACACATCAGAGTCCTCGGTAGCAACCACGTCTGCCTGGCCCTGCAATACCAGACTAGCGGCCAGGGCCTCGGCCTCACCTTTGGCCCCGCCGTGTGGATTCCCCGAGCCGGTCCATAGGACTGGCACGCGGAGCAGGGTGCAGAGATGGGCGCAGTCATCGAAAATTGTAGTCGGGAGAGGGGAGGAGGAGCGGACGTAGGACTGGCGCAGCGCATGAGCGCGGGACGAGATGGCGTCGAGGTCGGTTCGTGTGAGCGGCGTTCGAGCAGCAGGGGCGGACTGCATTGCTGGAGGTATGGTCACCTCTGCGGCTGCCTCCTGCTGCTCATCCCGCGCACCTATCGCATCCTGAATCGACTCCATAGTCGCAGCTGCGGGGTCCACCAGCTCGCTGTGCGCCAGATACTCGTACAGCCTCGATTCAAAGTCGTCCATCTTGAGCTGAGCAGGTGTGGAGGCTTGTAGCGCAACCGACGACACGGATGAGCTGCTGAAGGACGAACGCCAGAAATCTTGCTGAAGCCATTCGAATTGGACGGCCAGGTCTTGAGGTGTTGGAGGGGGTGAAGCGCCAGGTGAACCGAGGCCGAGGGCAGTCGAGCGAGCTTGAGCCGTCTCTTCGGCTTCATAAAAGAAAAGAGAGGGCGTCACGGCTCCCGTGTCTTCGCCCTCCTTGCTTGCTGCTTCGAGTAGCCGGGCGTTGCGCTCAGTCAAGGTCTGGAGGGACTGGCCTGACTCCACGAGCGAAGGGGCGGCTTGCACCTCTTCAAGCAGAGCGCGATTGGCCGCCTCGTCCACGAGCTCGTCGCTCACTAGGCCTGAGCCATCACCCACATCGATCTGTCTGGCTTGCCTCAACATCCTCCTGACCTCACTGCGTCCCTCCTCGTCCAACTTGCCCAACTCCCCCACCCACCGTCTCAAGCCGTCCAATCTCTCCCTTCTCCTTTCCTCCACCCTCATTCTCCTCCTCGTCAAACGCCTCATTTCGCGCCTCTTATCTGCCTCCCTTGCCTTGGCCGCCAGTCGTGATGTCAGGTGATCGAAGACGAAGATGGGAAACACGTCATTGTTGCGGAGTGAGGTGATGAGCCGGTGGAACCCGATCAAGTGGCGGGCAGGATGCGGGTCGTGAGCCGTGAAGTGGAAGCGTTGCACGAGGAGGGTGGCATCAATCGCGAGACGGGTGCCGGAGAGAGCAAAGAGGGAGGGGAGCGGGTGAAAGACTTGAGGGCTGCGTAGCAAGAACGAGGACGAGGACGCGTACGAGGTCAGCTTGCGTGTGGCAGGTGCCAGACTGGCAAGGGGAACAAGCTCACCACTCCTTCTTCAGCAGAGGGAAGATCCCCTTGATCCCTCCACACGATAATGTGGGCCTCATGTCTGGCGGCCGATGTTGAGGGTCAGCATATGCTCATATCGTGGTGAGGAGAGGCAAGGCAAGAAGGCGAGGCGGCTCGAGCTTTGGGGACTCGCGCAAGTCAATGCAAGTGGCGCCAAAGCACAGGGCGGACTGAGCCACGCGAGCGCCAAGCGCAAGCGTGCGTGCGTTCACGATCGTCTACGAAACGGGTATTACTTGCTTCGTCTTCTCTTCTCTATATACAAGGTGCTCCCCTCTTAAGCTCAAAACAACTTCCCCAACTTATCCCTCGCCGCACTCTTGACCAGGCCCGCTTTCGTCTCCTTCAACCAATTATTCGCCGAAGTCTCCAGCGAGCTCAGTGAATTCTCCAGACCCTGCATGGCTTCGCCTCTGGCTTTGGCAAGGTCCATGTTCGCCCACATTGTAGACGCGGCCGATTGACTCTCGGCCAAAGTAGCTGCACTGGCGTGGGGTTGGCGTGGACGCGCGGATGACGAGGAGGGAGCGCCGGCGCCAGCAGGGGCAGGAGAATCGCTGTTGCGCAGGGGGACTTCCTGAAGACCAGGCGTGATGCTCGCCACGAAATCTTCCTTCGTCTTCACTGGCGGCAAAGTAATCGCAGGTCCAGCTGCCCTGCTCGGTCCCGCCAACACATCATCCAGCGCGCTTGTAGTCGCAGCCTTGGTGCTGAACCAGCTTGTAATCGACCCGACAGCTCCCGCGCTCGGATGAGCAGGCAAGGCTTTGCCTTGCACCCAAAGCAAAAGAGAGGGCTGAGCAGCGCGAGGCGCATGACCCATGAATGTCCAGAGCCGCACGTCAAGCGTGGACAAGCGCTCCAGCCATGCGCCGGCTGGTCCGGCATCAATACTCGCCGAGCTGGTAGACGTCGGCGAGGACTCCGAGTGGTCGTGATAGTGGCGCTGCACCCTAGTGATTAGCTCCAAGCGAGGGGCCGAGTAGATTCGCACGCTCGTCTTGCTGACAGCTACCACTACTCTGTCCCCGTGTCGCTCCACAATGCTCGCAGCAAGGATTGGCTCAGTAGTATCCACGTGACCGACGACCGATCCGCCCAACAGACCCGCGGTGACGAAGAGCTTCTTGCCCGTCCAGCCAAGAAGGAGGGGCAGGTCGGACTCCAGTGCTTCCTCTGTCCCAGTGGAGCGAGAGAAGTCGCGAATGGAGCGCTGCAGCTCTGCAGGGTTAGCAGGGGCAACATTGCCCGCGACGTCGAGGACAGAGAGGCTCGATGCGGCTAGACTGCCGTGGCTGTCCAGGTCGTCAATCTTTGTCGCTCCAGTACGCTCTGGAATCCACATCTCCAGCGTGTGGACGAGAGTCCAGACTGTCAGCGTGCCATTGGCCCTCGCCACGACGAGGCGCGGCGCCAGCCCGGCATGTGTAGAAGGCTGAGCTCCAGCCAGACGGCAGACTGTCCACGTCAAACCTGTTACTGGCGCGCTGCTCTCCGCCTCGAGAAGCTTGCGTTCTGCCCTTCTCGCCCTCATGCCACTCTTCCCTTGGCTTGTGGGCGGTCCGACGCTGAAATCTCCTCCCATTCCCTCGCTCATCAGTACCTCTGGGCCACGAAGATCAACAATTGCCAGCCCAGCCCCGCAGGCAAGAGCGAGGAAGCCGATGTTGCTATGCGCGAGGCAGGTAACGTCTCCACGACCGAGGTCGAGCAAGTGCGTGGCCTTGAATCCGCTGAGTGACCAGTCGTTCGTAGCGTCCAGGCTTGTAAACTCGTCGCCGAAGTGCGAAGATGAGATAGACGCGGCGTCCGAGCTGCCTGTGGGCGGGAAAAGCTGCGTTGCGTGCGATGGCGGAGGTGAAGAGACCGAGGCCCGTGGGGACCCCTCCGAACCTGCAGCACTCGATCGCTTACTGCCCCCCAGTCGACTCATGATGCTACCGCGATTAGGATCACGCTTCGGCCTTGGAGGTGGCGGGCCACCGATTGACCCCGAGGAGGTCGAGGTGGGCATCCCAGGCGGGGGCATGGGCGTAGTACTGGGAGGTCGAGATCCAAGGTCGAGATCACGCATAGCCCTCTGCATGTCATTCTCCAACATTGCCCCAACTTCTACGTCCTGCTTTTCGGCGTAGAGCTGCGCTTCTGCGTTGTTGGACTGCGGCGACGAGATCGACACTCTATGGGGAGCATCTTGCCTGACATGAGTAAACGCAGCGGCCTCTGCCCCCTCACGCTCGCGCTGCATCTCCTCGCTGATCTCGGCTTGTACCTCGCTCGACTGGCTGAATTTGGCCAGACCATACCTGTAATGCAAGACGAGCCCACCTGCAAGAATCGCGCTGACTTCGAGGACTTCGGATGCAAAGTGCACCTCACGGACGCGCAGCTGTCGCGGATCGGAGAGGAGGCGTGTTGCGCGTGGGTGGTGCGCCATTGAAGGATGGCTCAGCGTCTGCTGCGGGGAGATTGTCAGGTGCGGCAATGGCATAGGGAAAGGTCGATCCAAGAACGCAGGGGGAGGAGGACCAGTCGGTTGGCCCGCTTCGTTCGTGGGCTGCTGAGGAGGGCCAGTAGAGGGGAGAAGCACAAGGTGCTGGCTCGCATCGGCAAAGCGAATCGACCCATCCAGATGCTGCGTGATGAGGAGGCGGAATGAGCCAGGCGTGCGGGCCAAGGCCTCCGGCGTGAGGTTGCCAATAGTCGCTGCGGCTGCTGCACCGCCTTTGAGGGGAAGGGAGGGCGCACCACTGGAACCATCTGGGCTACCTTCCTGGCCATCTGCTACGCTGACGAGCTTGCGATAGCTATGCACCGGGAGGTTGACGAGCTGAGCGCTCAGAACAGCCCCCGCACCTGTGCATGCCAATGCGAAAGGCAAGGTGAGCAACTTGGGCGCCACGAGATCGGGAGCGATGGCAGGCGTAGGGCCGGCGACTGCCTGGGAAGGCGAGGTTCCGTCGGCAGGCCGCGGTATCAAGCCAGGGGAGCGTGGTCCTGAGGAGGCGCGATGAGCTCCTGGCGAGGGTAGAGGCGGGAAGGGCGTTGCGACCAAGCCACGCTGAGCAGCTGGAGGCGCAAGAGGAGGCAGGCCGTGCGGTACGTCGACGAGCATGAGGATGGCCATCGGATCGTACGCCATGCTGTAGTGCGGAGAGGAGCGGGGCAGCAGAATGAAGTCTTGTACTGTCGCATTAGAGAGGACGCGAGTTTCGCGCGTGGACGTGAGACTGGCTCGCAGCCCTGGTCGAGCCTTATGCGCCACCTCGTGTGCAGGCTGGGCTGCTGAGCCCCAGAACGACGCCGTCGTGGTCGCAGACGAGGGCGCTGTGGCTACATAGGGTGGGAAGTGCAGCGTCATGACACCAGGAGGGTCGTGATTGGGAACCGCTCCGCCCAGAACGGTGAGGATCGTTGAGCCTCCTTCAACATCGGCGGCTGACATTTGCTCGTCCGCCTTGCCGCCCGAGAGTGCATCCAGCCATCTCTTCCCAGGAAATCCAGACCATGCAAGCTTGAAGATGGGCTCGCGCGGCGGGCGGCCGGGCAGCTCATCTACCGTAGGTCTATCGAGGTCGAGCTCAGCGAGGGAACGGACAAGGAGCGGCTTGGAATCGTCGGCTGCTGACCAAAAGGAAATCAATCCATCCTCATGACCCATCGCAAAGATTTGTCCATCTGGTCTCCAAGCAACACAGGTGACTGGCGAGCCGCGCTCGGTCCAAATGGCCTCAGGCGCGATGCCACCTGCACCGGGAGCGCCGGGGAGTAGGCGTAGCTGGAAGCTTGCCAGGACCGATCGTTCTTTGATGTCGAGCAGGCATGCACCGCCCTCGTAGGCGAGGAGAAGGATGTTGAGATCTTTGGGCGAGATGGCGATGTCCACCACGAGGGGCACGTGCCGCCTACGAGGCGCATCTGGGACCCCAGAACGGCGAAGGAGCTCCTCCTCCTCGAGCCAGCAGTTGGGAATGCGATACGGCGAAGAACAGAGCCGGTCTAGATCGTATGTATCTACTGTTCCGTCTCGCAAGCCGATGAAGAGATGCGCATGAGACGGGCTGAGCGTAAGAGTGGTAATCGAGTTGCGAGCCGTAAGAGCTGCGACTCTCGTTGGGGTATCAGGATGAGGCTGTAGTAGATTGCCAGCCTGAGACAGGCTGCCCCTACGATTATTGGCGTGCGACTTGGCTTGAGCGGCGGGATCTGGGCGTGAGAGATCGTAAATGGAGACATTCTCCTTTGCATCGGCGCACACAAGTAACGGTGTTCCGGGCTTGAATAGCAGAAACTTGACTGGCTGGCAGGGCCGAAGGGTCCAGGACAAGCTGACTGCAGGAGATCCAAAGAGATGTACCGACCCGGAGAGGGTGCCCACTGCCATGTAGCCCTGGATGGGGTCGAAGGCTAGTGTCGAGACCTCGCCGGGAAGGACGATGTTATCGAGGAGAGCTTCAGAGAAGAGGGATTGAGCTGTTGGGACTGAAGCAAGGTCGCGCGACCAATCTATCCCTTCGATCTGTGACGAGGGGGATCGATGGTGCCCGCCTGCTGCATTGCGCAGAAGAGATGGCCAATGGCCGCTCCCTGATGACATTGCGGCGCAGCAGTGGTGGTAGTGGTGGTGGTGGTTGCAGGGGGAAGAAGGCACTCTTGAATGGCTGTGCGCCAGCTGCCGCCGCCGCTTCTTGCGCCCCTCGAGCGTCGTGCATCGTCGTCCAAGGCCTCGTGCAGCTCCGCTCCGTCGTCTCTCCACACTCGACGCGTCGAGACTGGGTCTCTCAGTCCGCCTTCGACGAGGGCTGAGCTGCAGGTCTAAGTCGACTCGAGACTCGAAGCGCCCTCCTTCCGTCCTCGCCATCCTCCTCCCACCGCCGCCGCCAAGTACAAGCTCACCGCACCTTCGTCGCAGCGATCGCTACCTACTCGGGATGGCGACGCTGGACAAGCTCGCCATTCGTGGCATCCGGTCGTTTGTGAGCGCTCGCGCCGCCCTTGGAAGCTTGGCCTCGCTCACCCTGTTCCTCCCCACTCCTCGCTCGCACGACAGGACGACAAGTCTGTGAACATCATCCAGTTTCAGACGCCCATCACTGTCATCGTCGGCTACAATGGTAGTGGTAAGACGTCAATGTAAGTGCGAGACTGGGATCGACTCACATTGCTCCGATTTGGTCTCAACGACCTGTCTCACTGCGCCCCGCTCAGCCTTGAGTCCATCCTCTACGCTACTACCGGAGACATGCCACCCAACACTAAGGGTGGTGCCTTCATCCACGACCCAAAAATTGCCGGATCGAAGGAAGTCAAAGCTCAAGTCCGTCTGCGATTCTGTGAGTGCGGCTCCCCTGCCATCTCGGCGGCTCATCGTTGACTCTCACTACTTGTTCCACGCGGGCAGATAACCAATCGCAAACTCGCATGAATGTCGTCCGCAACGTCCAGGTCTCACAGAAGAAGACAGGAAACTCGACCGCTCTCACTCTCAAGACGCTAGAAGGCCTTCTCCAAGTTGACGACCCCGAAGTTGCAAAGAACAAGCGCGCCACCCTATCAACCAAGTGCGCCGAACTCGACGAAGAGGTGCCAAATCAGCTGGGCGTCTCACGATCCATCCTGCAGAACGTCGTGTTCTGCCATCAGGAAGACTCCAATTGGCCTCTGAGCGAGGCTTCCGTCCTCAAGAAGAAGTTCGACGACATCTTTGATGCAACCAAGTGGACCAAGGCGATTGATAACATCAAGGTCATCAGGAAGGAGCGTACGAATGACCTGAAGGTCTCCAAGGCAGAGCTGGAGGCGCTGAAGACGGATAGGGATAGGAGTGAGCAATTGAAGGCGAAAAAGGCGAAGCTTGGGGACAGTCTCGCAGAGAAGTACGTACGCTTGCCATCTCATCACGCTCGACCGTAATGCTGATGGACTTCTCACCCCGCCCGTGCACAGGAAGGAGCGTTACGAGACGCTCGGCACAGAGATTCGCCGAGTCACCAAGGAGAACAAGCAATTCTATGACTCGGCTGTCAAGTTCCGCGAGATCGTCAACCAAGCAGAGACCCTCGAAGAGAAGAGGCGCTTGCACCAGCAGAATCGAGAGTCGCTCCGTATCTCGATGACGGAGCTGCAGGAGTCTGACGACGAGTTGCAGCGTCGCAAGGATAGCTTTCAGGATCATCTATCCCGTCAGCGTGGCCGTCGTGACGATTTTGCCAAGCGCATCGACAAGAAGCGATCAGAGATTGAGCAGATCGAGCGCCAGTACTCGACCAAGCTGAGCGAGAAGGGTGCCCTCGAATCTGACAAGAAGCATCACGAACGAGCCATCAGCAAGCGCGAAGAAGAGGTTCGAGCCATCTCCCTCGAGCTCGGCATCCGCGGCTTCGACGTTGCCGGCCTGAGCGATGCCCAAATCGCTGATTTCAAGCATCGTCTCGATGAGAGCGTCAGGGCTGCCGAAAATGCGCTCAAGGACTTTCGAGCCAAAAGCGGGGAGAAAGAGCAGGACTTCTCCAACAAGTACCAAGAGCTGAGGACGGAGCGCTCAAGCAAGGTCTCTTCTCGCGACACGACTTCAGTCAACGCCAAGCGTATTAAGGAGCGCATGAAGCAGGCCACGGACGAGCTCGAGGACGTCAACATCAACGAGTCGGACATTAGTCACGCAAGGGAGACGTTAGAGGATGACGAGAAGAAGCTGAGGCGTATCCGAAAGGAACTCGAAGATGCCAATTACGACGAGCAGCTCTCCAAAAAGAATGGCGAAATCCGACAGCTCGATGAACGTCGCGAGGAGCTGACGCTGCAGCTCAATGAGCTGAATCGCTACGCTGAGTTCCGCGCTAAGCTCGACCTCAAGAGGAGGGAGAGCGAGGAGAAGAAAGGAGCAGCCGACGATCTGGTGAAGCGCCATGCTGCAGCGTACAAGACACACACAGGGCAGGAGGCCAAAGTAGAGAGCTTCGATCGCCTCCTCACTACCTCGATCAGCTCCAAGGATCGCGACGTGGCTGCAGCCGAGCGTGAAGAAGCCGAAAAGACGAGGTCGGTCCAGCATCTCGAGTCAGCCTTGTCCATCGCGCGCGGCCAGCTTAGCAGCAAGCGTAACCAGCTAAGCCAGCTGCAAACTGAGGTAAAGGCGTTCCTCAAGGACGAAGACGACGCCAATAGTGTGGACGATGTCATCACAGCGGCTGAAGAAGAGGTACGAATTCGCTCCGACGAGCTCTCCTCGGATGCGCAAGCGCAAGACTTCTTCCAACGCATCCTCAAGGTCGGCCAGTCGCAGCACGAATGCCAGGGTTGCGGCCGAGGGATCAAAGACAACGAGCTGCCTGCCTTTGAGAAGTATGTGCTCAAGAAGATCAACCAACTGAGTGCTGATGGACGCAAGCAGAATGAGCAGGATTTGCAGGAGTGGAAGGGCGTTCTGGCAAAGGCGCGCGGCCTGCTGCCGAAGGAGGCGACCGCCAAGACTTTGCAGGAGGTGGAAATCCCCAAGCTGGAAAAAGAAATCGAGGGCCAGTCCGCCGAGCTGGGCAAGAAAAGCGATGAAGCTGAGCATGCCTCGAGCGTCGTGCGTGACCTGCGCGAGCAGCAGCAGCAGATTGCAGCGTTGAAGCGTGCGGCGCAGGATATCTCGCGCCTGGTGGGGGAGGCAGAGACACTGCGCAAGGAAGCGGCTACGCTGGAGAGTGACCTTTCCAGCTCTGGCTCGACGCAGACTGGTGATCAGGTGCAGAGTGCTATCGGTGATATGGCGGACAGTATTCGCACTTTAAAGCGCGAAGCGAACATAATCGCCGCCAATCGCGACAGCAAGCGCAACGAGCTCAACAATACTGAGCGTCAATTCTTCCGCAGCCAGCAGGCTGTTGCACAGAAGGAGCAGGAGCTTGGACGCAAGGCTAGCCTGCAGAAGAGAGTCGACGAGCTAAAGGGCGAGTGGGAGGAGCTGAAGGAGGCGGAACGTCGACTGGAGGATGAGATCGAGGGGCTTGCGCCGCGCATCAGGAAGACGAAGGACGAGCTAGAGGCGGTCAAGGAAGAGCATGCGCGAGAGGATGAGAAATTGAGCGGGGAGCTGAGCGGGCTGCAAAGCAAAGCTCGTGAGCTCCAAGAGACGAGCGACCGAGTGAAGCGATACATTGATGGGCGTGGGGAGCAGCGGCTGCAAGATTGTGAGCGACGGCCGTGGAGTGTGAGGCGAAGTGCGCCTCGGTAGCTGACGCTTGTGCTTCTCCGCTCTCAGGCATCGACAAGATCAAAGACCTGCAGTCCCAAACCTCCTCCGTTCAAGCCGAGATCAAGGAGATTGAGGCCCAGATCTCCACCGTGGACAAAGACCTCAACGAATCCAATGCCACAGAGCGCAACATTCTCGACAACCTGCATTACCGGCAACTCGGGCGCGATCTGCTCCACATCGAGGAAGACCTCAACAAGCTCGACCTCGATGCCGCCTCCAAAGCCCGCAGGGACTTCGAATCCAAGTACCATGACCAGAAGCAGATCGAGAACTCCCTGAACGGGGAAGCGCAGCATCTCTCTGGGGAGATCAAGTCGCTTGATGAGCAGATCAGGACGCGTGACGAGGAGCTGAAGACGGACTATAAGGACATCCACACGCGCTTCTCGAAGAAGCTGGTTGAGGTCAAGACGAGCGAGCTGGCAAATGCGGACCTCGAGCGATACGGGAAGGCACTGGAGCAGAGCGTGCTCAAGTATCATGGTTACAAGATGGCGGAAGTCAATGAATCGCGAGTAGAAGGATGGAGGGAGGGCTGGATCTCGTAGCTTACATTGAGCCTCATTTTCGCGCCGCAGCATCCGTCTCCTTTGGGCTCGCACCTATCAAGGCAGCGACATCGACTCGATCTCGATCGAGAGCGACAACGAGAAGGTCGGAAATCGCTCTTACAACTACAGGGTCACCATGATGAAGTGCGTGCGATCTCAAAACCGCGGCTCTTCTGTTACTGACCCCTGCTATCCCTCTCGCCCTCTCATCCCTCTCCCGCCGGGCCGCAGGGACAACGTCAAGCTCGATATGCGAGGTCGTTGCTCGGCCGGCCAGAAAGTCCTGGCTTCTACGCTGATCCGTCTCGCGCTCGCCGACTCATTCGGTTGTCGCTTCCTCGCCCTCGACGAGCCTACCCTCTGTCTGGACCATGAAACCGTCTCTGCCCTGGCATCCTCGCTGGGTGAATTGATCAAGGAACGACCCAAGATGCAGCTCTTAATCGTGACCCATGACTCGGACTTCTTGAGCATGCTCAGTCAGTCGATTCATATTGATTCGTGAGTACACATACGCAAAGAAGTAAGAAGAGACGGGCATAGTGGACGCTGACTTTAGCTCTTCGTTGACGCCTGCAGGTACTACCGCGTCTCTCGTGACAATGCGGGCAAGTCGCTCGTTGAGAAGATGCGCATCCGATGAGCGGCCTACGACTCACCGCTCTCTACCCTTACTTTTTTCCTGTCTCGTCATCATCTGTATTCTCATCATCATCTCGATCGCGATTCATATCCCTCTTCTTCGCTTCGTGTATGATGCCCACCGTAGCCTAGGGCCTTAGGCTGCGGGTCTCGCGGGCTGGCTTGAGCGCAACTGAGACGCAGCGTCGGGGCCCAGACCTCCACAGCGGGCGGACCGCCAGCGACGGCGCGATGTTGGGAGGGGCCGAGAGCAACTCCATGCCCACATACACTCATCCTCCCTACCAACGCGTACAATTGACTCTTGCCCTCTTCATCACCAACAGCATGTCACAGTCCTTTCCATACCTCGCCACAGCTGCGAAGAAGTATCGCTCCCCTCATGCAGAGGATCTCTCCTTTCCCAAGGGAGCGAGTATCCGTGTCCTAAGCATCGCGCCAAGATCAACACAGGGGCAAGAAGATGACGACGACGACGACGATGAGGACGAGGATGTGTGGCTGGTAGGAGAGATGAAGGACGGGACTGCAAAGGGGACGTTCCCTGCTAATTGCGTCGTCAAGGCGGAAGAGCAGGACGATGAGGAGGAGCAAAAGGCGGAGGGAGGTGCAACGTCGGTGGTGCCTGCAGCATCAGCAACTGCGACGCAGGATGAAAGCAGCTCAGCAAAGGCAGCAGCGGGAACCAAAGACGTCGAGGTACCCTCCGTTTCCAAGGCGGCAAGTATTGTAGCCAAATCGGATGAGCCACCAGCAGCAGCACAACCTTCAGCTCAGACGGCGCCAGCAGCCGAGCCCGCAGTCAAGGGAATCGAAGAGCCTGCGCCTACACCTGCTGCCAAGGACACTGCCACCTCAGCAGACGATGCTCCTGTCCCCATCGAGGCGTCAGCATCCCCGTCAGCCACCACAGCACCCGCAGCAAAATCTGGCCCTCCTCCACCGAAACCCAAGCCCTCTGGCCTTGCAGCGCGGATCGCAGCCTTCAACCAGCCGCAAGCGCAGCAATCAGCCCCACCACCACTTCCTCGCGGGGGCAAGCCGGCCGGGTCGGGCGGTGGATGGAAGCGACCTGCGCCAAAAGAGGGGGAGAAGCCTGTCCTGCCTGGCCAACCGCCGGCTGTTGCTGCGAAACCAGTCCCAGCACCCGCAGCAGCGCCGCCCTCAGATGCGCCTATAGCAGAGTCATCCGCAGCTAGCGATGTGCACAATGCTTCACAGGGCGGACGAACAAATGACGGCTTTTCAGCAGCGGACGCCGCTTCATCTATCAAAATGTCGCTCAAAGAACGCATGGCAGCTCTTCAACGTGGAGGGGGGGAGAGTGGTGGGTCAGATGCTCCCGCAGCAGCAAAGAGCCCGCCCCCACTTGCTGCAAAGCCGGGCAGACTGACGAAAGAGCGCTCTGCGGCCGCGCTGGTTGGTGTAGGTGGCCCAGCTGGGCAGAGCGCTGAAAGCTTGACTACAGGCGCTGGTGAGAAGGGAGCCGACAGCGTCAAGAGCCCTGCTCCCTCTGCTTCTGAGCTTCCAGCTGGCGATGAAGACGTGAACTCGTTGCGAAGCGTCACTGAGGGCGACGAACAAGATAAGGCAGAGGACGCCGCCCCATCCGCCCTAGAGGACGAGCCCTCCACAGAGCCTACTGAAGAGGAATCAGAAGCACAGCGACGTGCTGCAATCGCCCAACGTATGGCTCGACTTGGCGGGCAGAGATTCGGCGGGCCTGGACCAGCAATGTTCGGTGCTCCTAAGCCGCCTGCAAAGAAGGCCAGCACGAGCAGTGCTAGCACGACGGGGGACGCGGTGCCGCAGGTCAAGACAGAAGAGGAGCAGCCAGCTCTTGTAGAAGCTGCGCCTCAGACGAGAGATGAGCCTGCTGCAGGCGAGCCGACAGCTTCTGCAGAGGAGGAGCAGCCCAAGACGCTCAATGTTCCGAGAAGGACGGCTCCCCCTAGAAGGAAGCGTAGCGCTTTGCCCTCGCCCGGTGCTGAAGGTGAAGGACAGGCTAGCAGTCCTGCCGCCGACTCCGCAGCGGCTGCACCAGCGGCCGCTCAGGACGCAGGCGAAGGCGAATCCCACTCCGCAGGAGAATCAACTAGCAAGGAGGATGCGAAGGAAGCAGCCCTCTCTTCTGCCGCGCAGCGCGAAGTCGATTCGGCGCCAGTATCGCAGGATGCCATTCACGATGCCCCATCGGCTGACTTGCCAGACGAGGACCCCAGAGAAGAGGCCGAGCTCGTGTCCGGCGCCCCACCAAAGGAGCAAGCTGTCCATACGGAGAAGGTCGCTATTGAGGTGGGCAGTGCGGAGCGAGCACAGCAGCTTGACGAGCAAGGAGAGGAAGACACTACCAAAGGCACGGAGGTGCACGAAGAGCCAGAAGACGATCAAGACGACGCAGCGCTTCGCCGCCAATCTGAGCAGCTCAACTCTTTCCTCCGAGACCCTAGCAGGCAGCAAAGCAGCTCGAGTATCGCTGCATCATCGCTGAAGGTGCCAAGCCGTGGTGCAACAGGAGCAGAAGCCGATGAGTCGGGTAGCGAAAGTGGAGCCATTCCAGCGGCGCTGGCGCAGCAGCTGGGGCTGGAGATGACCAGCAAGGCAAACGAAGATCGTGGGGAGACGAGTGAGGAGCCTGAGGAGCTCGGCGATGAAACGGCGATGCAGAGGGATCAAGACGAGAATGCGGAAGCCGCCGAATCCGAAGAAGAGCAGCCGGTACATTCCACCTCGCCACCCCCTCGTCCAATCTCTACCTCGTCGACATCGGCCGTAAATCGCCCGCCAATCCCCACGGGATCAGGCAACAGGACCTCCATCCCCCCGCCCGCACGTACCGCTCCGACGCCCACCCCTTCGGCGGGTGGCGTCGAGCGTAGCGACTCTCGCGCCTCCTCTACCCGGCCCCCTGTGCCGCGCAGCCCGCCTCCACCACCTCGATCTCCGGGTATGACTGGGTCTGGATCGGGATCAGGGCACGGAATTTCGGAGGTTCTGCAGCGGGCTGACCAAGAGGACAACACCAAGGCATCAGTTGTGAGCGGTGCAGCCCCCCTCGCCGCCCCAAGGCCCAGACATGCCATGCCCGCTGCTGAAGAGGACGACGACGACGACGACGACGACGACGAAGACAACGCCACCGCACCAGCAGCGGCTACACGATCGACTGCTATTGAGGGAAAAGACGCCGCCGTAGCTCCTACCACGGACGAGCCTGGTGAGGAGCAAGCAGAGGAAGCCGAGCCCGAGCTCACCGAGGAAGAGCAAGAAGCAGCCCGTCGTGCCGCCATCGCCAAACGCATGGCTGCTTTGGGAGGGCAACGTATGGGAGGCTTGCCACCAATCATGGGCGCGCCCATGCCCCCTAGGCGCAAGCAGACGAGCGATGCGGCGCAGGATGATGCTGATGAGACCGCTGCCGGTGCTGGCCAGGCTGAAGAGGAGCAGCCCGCACCTTCACCTGCTCAGCGCAAGCCTGGAGCCCCGCCTCGAGGTGGGATGGCTATTCCCGGGATGACTAGGCCAGAGACACTTCATCAGGAGGGATACGAGGCAGAGCCTTCTGCTTCGCAACAGTCCGAGGACGAAGGGATCGAGCCACACGGGGAAGAGGACGAAATGGGCGAGCCCTCAGCCGCCGACGAGGACGACGATGAACCCTCGGCGCCGATCAAGCCCCTCAGTCCTCCTCCCGTCTCTCTGCCAACAATGATGGCAGCAGCAGCCCCTCGTCCCCCTACTCTCCCCAGCAGCCCGCCCCCACGCGCTCCAATGAGCCCGCCACCTCGTCCACCCAGCGGGACTGCTCCTGCGCCTCCTGACGCTTCTCTCGAGCGACGTCGCTCAGCAGGTCGCCCACCTATCCCGCAAGCTCAGGCTCCGCAGCCGCAGCAGCAGCAGAGGAGGCAGCCATCGATTGAGGAATCGTTGAGTGGTACAGGGGGGTATGAAGAAGATGATGAGGACCAAGTCCCGCCTGGTCAAGCGCCGGCCTCACCGCCACAAAGATTGGCTTCGCCACCGCCTCCACCCAGGGCTCCGCCTAGGGTCCCGCCTGCTGCTCCTGGTGCCCCAGCGGCTGGAGTAGCGCAATCCGGCTCGGCCTCATCTCTCGACGCTGCCCATCCGACGAGCTTCGCTGCTCCTGCTTCCCAAGCACAGTCCTCCTCCCCGCAGGACCTCGACCTCCTCCCGCACACCGCCTGGTGGCGTTCTTCGCCACTCACACTCCCGCCCACCATCACGTCCAGACCGGATACGACCGTACTCTTGATCGACCATCCGATGCAAGACATCCTGCGGGTCGTCCTCCTCTTCGAGGACAACTCGACAACGACGATTCGGGTGACGATGCGCGGCGATGCGCAGCAGGATCAGCTGGAGCAAATCCACTCGGCCCCTCCCGCCATGCCCGGCTCAGAGGAAGAAGCAAAAAAGTGGAGCGGAACCGTAGGGGTCGGTGTGGCCAAAGAGGCCCTCCTTTCTCTCCAGTCCCGCTCGACCCAGCCTCAAACCTCGTACGGCTTTCTCGCTTCTCTCCTCCTCACCCTCTCACGTCGCACTACCACGCCGGCATCTCATAGGCCCTTACCGCCTGTCTCCCCCTCCAGCTTGGACAGTTCAGCCACGCCCTACGGGGTGACCGTCCTCTCCCAAGTTGGGGGCACCGTGCTCGAACGAGGTCCCGATGCTACGCCGAGGCCGGGAGACGTCGTCGTACTCGCTCAAGGGGCCGAGTTCCGAGGCAAAAAGAGTGGCGTCCTAGCAGGAACGTACACTGATGCGTACCCAGGAACGTGCGCTGCAATCGTTGTAGAGTGGGAGGCAAAGAAACATAGGTGCAAGGTTGTGGGGGTGTTGCCGAAGGCTGGCGCGAATGGCGGTTCAGTGGAGGAGACGACGTTGCGATTTGATGATCTTAAGGCTGGCGTGCTGAGGGTGGTCAGGTTGCCTCCTGTGAAGTGGGTGGGGATTGAGTGATTCGCGCGGAAACGTACATATACTGTAGGAAGAGAGAGAGAGATGAACAATAATGATGCTTCTAATGATCTCACTTCATTCCGCGGAGGAAATCATTGAGACCACGCCAACGCCCTTCCCGCAGTCTGTGCCCATCCGCTCGCCGTAGCAGCCCAGCGACGAGGTGCAGACATTACATCTCCTGATCGACCGGATGCCCCGCCTCGCCTGCTCGCTGTCGACGCTCTTGACGCCGATGTCGGTCCCGCGAGATCGAAAAGCCCTAAAGCAACCGCAGCAGCCCCTCCGCCTACGATGACGATGCCAAAGGCCACAAGCAGGGCACGACGACGACGCTGTCTTTGCATCTCCATCACCGCTGCTGCGCGCTGCTGATGCTTTGCGCTCTTCCTTCGACCGCTACTGCTTGGTTTTGAACCTTGCTGCGAGCTACGGCGACTACGCCTTCTGTTGCCGCCTGTCGAGAGCTTGCCCGCCACGCCTGAGGAGGTGGCTGATGAGGAGAGGGATTCGGGTGATTCCTCGCCCTGCGAAGAGGCGTCATCATCCTCATCACCCGAACCGTCATCTCCGTCCTCGGCGTCGAGACCGCCCTTTTCTCCTTCACTCGACGAGCCCGTCCCGCCTAGCCCTACAAGTCCCGCAAGCCAGGAGCCCCAGCCACGTCCCGCCCCTCGACGGTCATGAGCAGCCTTCAGTCCTGGGACAGCTGCATTTCCTCTCGGATCTTGCGCGATAGCGCAAGCGACGGCGAGGAGCTGGGTGATCGAGGTGGTCGTAGCCGCTGGATTTCCAGTAGGCGCAATTGAAGCGCTCGACGCACTCGCACCCAGCTCTATACTGTCTCCAAGCATGCCTCCGACTGTACTCCCAGCCACCCCTGTCCCCGCATTCCCACCGACACAAATCCAGACAGGGCTCCATCTCTCGACGCCTAACCTGCGCACGTACACCTCGGGCTGAACTTCATGGCGCTGCTGCGCAGTCTCTTGATCCGCCTTTGTTGCGACGAAGAGTGTCGGGCAGCTCCCAAGTGAGGAAGCGTAGCGCTGCCGGAGGTTGGAAAGGTAGGAGAACGATGTGCTGTCGCTGCTGTCGTAGAGAAGGAGGACTAGATCCGCGCTGTTGAGGGCCTGACGGGCGGCGCTCGATTCGGTGAGCGGGAGAGGGGAGGAGTCGGAAGAGCTGGACTTATTGCCTTGCTTCGCCGCTGAGTCGGTGGGGAACTCCTGCAGCACAAGGTAGCGCTCATACCCGCCCGTAGACCCGACGACCAATGGCGGACCCCGCTGCCCGTCGTGTGTGGTCGAGTAGTAGAGGTGAGGTTCTACAGCCGACACGACACTACGCGCCTCGTTGGTCACCCCTTCATCCGAGTCGAATCGCTTGCCCAATGCCGCATTGAGGAGCGAGGACTTGCCTGCACCAGGCGCACCGAGCACGTAGGCAAGAAAGACGGAACGCTCCGAGGGGTCGCCCTTTTTCTTCTTGGTCTTTTTGCTAGAAGAGCCGGGCTCTCCACCTGCCGCTGACCCGCTTTTCTGAGATGGTGGCGATTGATAGCTTGCACTACTGCCTCCGGTGTAGCTACTCCATGCCGAAGAGAACAAGCTGCGAGTGTTCCTACGCGTAAGCTTTAGAGCCGTGCCCGTCGGTGGAGGGCCAGGTTTGCCTCCATCCCGCTTGACACCTTCGGCTCCCCACTTCGCTCGCCCGGGATACCCCAAGTAGGCCAGGTACCTCAACGTGAGCCGATAGTCAAGCAGCGTAGTCATGCTCCACTGCGCCAACCACCCTTGTAGCGTCACTGCCCCGTTTTCGTCGGTCGTGGTAGTTCTGTCGGGGAACCCGCTCCCAACCCAAGGATGGCGCCCCTCCCCTGGCGGAGGCACTGTCGCAAAGAGAGCTTCAAGCTCAGCGGTGCAAAGCGCACCATCCCTGTCAGCGTCGTGTTGCTCAAAGACGTCGGTAAGGAACGAGTAGCCGTAAGGGCTGAGCTCGACGGCACAATCCGATGGCACGTGGAAGGTGGGCGGGTTGAGGTAGTCGGGAGATAGCTGTAAGTGAGGGCCAATGTACCCATAGGAATGAAGGACGGACCAAGTCGTTTCAAGGCGGCCGCGCTGGATGAAGAGGGTGTGCAGATGCAGCCAGCCTGAGAGGGTGAGATGGCCTGAGGGAGAGAGATTCGGGTGCGAATAGTGGGAGGCGCTGCTTGCGTCTGCGTGATGTCCGTTTGAGCTGCTCGACGCTCCGGTGCTACTCCTTGGTCGCGATGGGCCAGGCCCATAATATGGCGTGGCAACGACCAGATCTTTGATCGCCTCCAACTCCTGCTGGCTCAACGGGCTCCCAAAGCATCTTCGCTGGAAATCCTGCAGCTCCTCATCGCTCAGCAGCGAGTCCTTATCGTGGTCGCAGAGCAGGAAGATACGCTTGAGCGCTGCGATGCATGAGGGCTTGAGGGAGTGCGTCTTGCCGTCGTAGAGGGGCGAGGAAGGGTAGAGGACGGCCTGTGCGCGCGCGGAAGCGATGGAGAGATCAGCACTCGATCACAGCAGCAGAGGTGCTACGTATCTACGTACCTTCTGCGCATAATAGAACACCTCGCTGACGTTGACGCCCTCTTTTACACTCGTCTCAATACAGCTCTCCACCTCGCCGAACTCTGCCATGACGGGTGCGAGCTCCTCTTCCAGTTGCTGCTGATCATTTGCTCCTCCTGCCTCGCTGCGAGTATCAATCTTGTTCCCGACAAGAATGACAGGTACGTGCCTTGACGAGCCAATAAGGGTGCGCAAGTAGGGCAGCCAGTAGGTTGGGATACGGTCGAAGGTCGTTGGGCGCGAAATGTCATAGACGAGCAAGAGGACATCGGCCGTGCGAACAGAGGCTTCGAGGTGGGCACGACGATCCTTGCCGCTCTGGCCCGTTGCTGCATCCTTTGATGAGCCTGGGTCTTGTGACCCATCCGATCCTCCCGTGCCTTTTTGACTTGAAGCGGTGTCCACTATCCTGGTCGTGACGCCCGCATCCGTCACATCCAGAGGCAGGAGGATTTCGGGTACCACGGGCTGGACGCGGGGGGAGAAGGAGTCTTTCACTAGCGAGGTGACCAGAGATGACTTGCCCACGGAGGCGTCGCCCAGGAGGACGATTTTGATGTCGCGCATCGCAGGCGCAGAAGAGGAGAATTCAGAGTCCCGGCTGAGGAGGGAATGGAGGAAGCGGCGAGGAAGGGAGACAAAGTGGAAATGGGAAATGGACTGAGCTTTGGGCGTCGAGAATGCCTCTCAGTCCGCCAGTTGACCCACTCCACGTGGATGCGCGGGAGCAGCACGGGCCACCACCGCGTCGAGTTGCCGCCGACAGGACAAGGACAAGGGACCTCTTTCGCTCGCTCCTCTCTTTCCTCTCCTCTAATCATCATCCCCCTTCCCCTGAAACCTCGTACAGCATGGACGATCTCTTCTCATCCTCGACCACATCATCAGACCCGCAAGTCATCTATTCCTCCACCCTCTTTCAATCCCGCCTCGTCTACGTGTATCGCCTCCCTCCGCGCTCCTCGACCACCTCGGGGTACAAAGCAAATGACTGGGCGGACCCCAAGACGGGGGACTTGGCTAGTACAGCGATATGGAAGGGGAGACTGAGAGTCGTAGAGATGGAAGTAGGCAGCGAAGAGGAGGAGGGAGGACAGAGAAAAGGGATCTGTGAGATCAGGTTGGAGGACGGGGAGACGGGTGGGTACCGGCGTGGCGATCAGGCGACTTCACTTCTCTCCCTTACTGACTACGCTAGACATGGTTACACTCATTCTATCTCTCTGCAGGAGAGCTCTTCGCGCTTTGCCCCTACACTCCTACCACCTCTCACGAAGCAGTCGAACCAGTAACGGACTCTTCGCGCTACTTTGTTCTGCGCGTCGAGTCACCCAACCCGAACGGTGGACCGCCAAGGCGAGCATACATAGGCATGGGCTTCGAGGATCGTGATATGAGTTTCGATTTCAATGTCGCTCTCAGCTCCTGGGTCAAGAGACAGAAGAATGCCGCAGCTGGTGGAGGTGGTCGAGGAGAGGCGGGAGAAGCGGGGGCAGACGAAGGGCCTAGCCCTCATTTGCCAAAGGAAGGGGCAAAGGACTTGAGCTTGAAGCAGGGCCAGACTTTTGCTGTCAAGATTCCGGGAGCAGGAGGGAGGAAGATTAGGGAGGGTGGAGCGTCACTGCTGGGGGGAGGAGGTGGTGGTGGTGGTGGAGGGGGCCCGCTCTTGCCGCCGCCGCCTAGCCGAAAGAGATGAGCGAGCAGGAAAGGGTAGACGTGCGGAATGGAATGTGATGAGAAAACGTTTAGATTCAGGACTGTCTATTGTACAATGCGAGAGGAAGAGCGGCGTCGATGCATGATGCGTGATGCGTCCTACGCGGCCGCCTGAGCCCCCGCTTGAGCCTGGCGCTGTTGCTCCTGTTGTTGAATCTTGAGGATCTGCGGGACGAGCATTCGCAGGGATGGGGTAGGTGAGCTCAGCGTCATGAGTTCATTATGGCTCCTTGCCATCCCGCGCTCTTGCACTCACCTCGCCCCTGACCTTCTCTCCTTCCTTTGCACTCTCGCCGATCTGACCCTCAACCCTCTTGATTTCCCCACGTATAAACTCAAGTCTCCTCCCTACATCTGCTTTGGCCTCTTGGATCTCCTGCTTCAACAAGACCCCTCCCACAAGCTTGTATACCACCTCCTCTTCGGGATTGGCGTTGGAAGAGGGCAAGTCCTTTTCGACTTGAAGGTTCTCGGACAGCTGAGAGTCCAGGCGTTGCCTGGCTTCGATGAGAGATTGAAGGGTGGATTGATGCTTGGAGTAAGCGGCACTCAATGTGTCGAGAGAGGCCATCTTGCTGCGATCCCAAATTTTGGAGATTGTGACCAGTTGGAAGGAAAGAAAGAAATCTGCGCTTGAGAGTCGACAACGCACGGCGCACGGACGGAGACGAGAAGACGAGAGACGATGGCGGCAACACACGGACGGGCACTTGAGGCGCGCACTGCAGCTTTCCTTCGTACTCATTGAGCTCCTCGCATTGGATCCAGCATGTCGATACGGCCGCCGACCCACCTCGCTGGGCGTAGCCTCCGCCTCTCGCCCTCCTCTACACCATCATCATCATCAGCACCTCTCATCCGCCGGCAAGCAAGCACAACCACCCACGCGCAGCTGTACCCAAGCGGAGCCCGCCTCGCCATTCCCTCTTCCGCATCATCATCCAGCTCCTCACCTCGTCCCCTCTCCTTTCCCCTCGGCACAACGCTCGGCTTTCTCCTCGGATTCAGCTTCTGCACCACCCTGGGCTACATGTACTTCCTACCACAGGCTCAAGAGCGCTCAGATGCGGACCTGGCTGTTCAGCTAGGTCTGGTCCAGTCTACAGCGGGAGAGATTGGAAGACTCGTGGAGGAGCTCAAAGCCATGGAAGTGCAGGCGGGAAAGGTCGAGGAGGCCACAAGGGTGACACAGAGAGCAAGTGTTGAGTTGAGGGATATTAGGGAAAGGGCGGCTGCGGCGTTGCGGAGGGTGGAGGGATTGGAGGAGGAAGGAAGGGAGTTGCGGACACGTATCAATAGGCTAGGTGAGGACCTCACCAGTGAAACCGAAGGGCACAACTGATGGCTGACTGACTTCCATTTACTACGCTCATACAGAGGGCAAGGCTACCTCCGCTGGCACGAAGAGGAGGGCAGCGGCTGCATTGGCTGCTGGCCGGCCGGGCGCAGACCCGGACGAAGACGTAGCATCAACGGGCAGGAGAGGGTCAGGCGGCATCCTCTGGACAGGACGCAGCAATCCGGGAACAAGGCTGGTATAAATGAAAAGAAGAGAGAATGCAACGCGACTGGCCCCCTCTGACGTCCTATGTAGGCACACAGGCTACACTCTCACCAACCTTGCAACAACCTCCCTCTCCGTCCCACCCGAAATGCTACGAACGATGAGGCGGGCCGACTCCCACTGCTCGACGCCGTTGCTCCCCTCAGAGTCCACAGTGTCCTGCCAGATTGAATTGAGGCCTTGCTCCGCGAGGCCGATGAGTCCCCTCATCTTCTTGAGGCGCTTCTTCTCCGCAGGGACATCAGTTTCGTCTCCCTCACCCTCTCCCTTTCCTACCTCTGTCGCGAAAGGAGTAGCCCTGCTGGTTTGCCCAGCTGAGCTGTGAGAGGAAGCAACTGCCCACACCCACGCACTTGCGCTGCAAAGAGCCATGCCCGTGCTCCTACCCCGCGTGAGGGAGAAGCGACCGCTGGTGAGGGCGCCGATGGGCTGTCTTTTTCCCCTCATCGCCTTCCCGTTGCTACCTTGCATCGCCCCCGCGTAGGGAAGAAGATGCAACTCGTCGCCTTCACTGAGAGCGCCACCTGTGCCTGGTAGTGTCTCGAGGTTGACAAGAACGAGGGCGTGGGAAGTATCGCGCTTGGTGGGCTTACTTGAGCTTGCGGCTGAGGTCGAGGAGGAGCAGGAGTGAAGTAGGAGGGAGCGAGCACGGCCCAGCAGGAGCTGATGAGCGGAGGGAGGGACAACGGTGGTTGTCGCGAGAAGCTGGCGCAACCAGAAGATCTGCGCGCGTAATAGCAACGTGGAGCCGTGCAAATGGAGGCCATGTCCAGCATCCTTGTCGGCGCGCTCGGTCGTGATTCTCTCATCGGGCTTCGCCTTGCCGCTGCTCTGGCCAAGCTTTAGTAGCTCCTCGCGAAGCACCCCTTCCCCAGTCCGCGCACAGCTCATCCACATCTCAACGCCTCCAAAAGGCCAACTGACACCCAGCTTCTCATAATTGATCCTCTTGGCCTTCGGCCTCCTTGCCCACTCCTCCTCGCGCTTCGCCGCAGCAAAAGAGACGGAGCGTTGCCATGCTGTCGCCTGACCTCCTTGCCTCTTCTCCTTCCCCCTCCCCTTCGAGGCCACCGCCGGAGCGTAGGGCCACTCTCCCGGGAAGCTAGCCCTGCCCGTCTCCCGTTGAAGAGCCCTCCATCCTCCCAAGCCTAGCGGTCTAACCTCACCGCTACCCGTGCCAGGAATGGCCTTACTGCCCAGTAAGGCGTGCCAGAAGGGTCTTCCCCAGCCTTGCGGCACCAACAAGGTGAAGCCCTGCACCCCGTCCGCTCTAGGTACGATCACGACAGGGATCACATCGTCCTTGCTTGTCGGTTCGAGCAACGAGTTGGTCGTTCGGGCACGACCTCGCTTCTTGGAGGTGGCGGCGAGGCCAGAGGCGAGAAGAGCGGAGCGACGTGAGTCTAGGTCGCCTTGTGTCTGTGAAGGGTAGGGGTAGCCGTTTGTGAGGAGGTGCGGATGGCGAGTGGTGGGAACGAACCGATCCTCGGTCTTGGCGGTGGTATGAGGGACGTTCTGCTCGCCTTCCAAGGTGCGCGCAGCCTTGCTTGGCGGGCCCTCTGCGTCTGCTGAGAGATCAGAGTCGGTCAGCTTGCGCTTCCCTGCGCTCGTAGCGGGTGCTGCTTGGTTCGACGACGCCTCCTTCGCTGCAGAAGGGGACAGTGCGGCGGGTCCTTGCTTGCTCTGCCCTTGCTTTCCCTTCTGAGCGCCGCCTTTTCTACCGGGAGCTCTCGTGGTAGGCCCACGTCGCAGCCCCAACCTTGGGTCGTGCACTCTGACGCTTAGACAAGCAATCCCCTCGCCCGAGCTATCTTTTGGTCTGACCGCCTCAGTGTCGTCAACCTTCCTCTTGCCATCGCCTGTCGGCTTCGCCGTCATCTCCTCCCACCTTCTCCTCGTCTCCTCATTCGTCCCCTTTGCACTCAACTGCAACACCCTTCCCAGCACTTCCCCGCTCTTCGGCCCGTAGAGCTCAAAGGTGCAGAACGCGCGATTGCGCAGCTCTGACTGGCGGAGGAGGGATAGGCGATGCTTCAGATGAGAAGAGAGATGGGTCTGGGCTAGTTTTGCACTTGAGGAGCAGGGGTCCGCGTCAAGGCCCGATGATGCCGAGGTTGCTCCTTTGCGGCTGGGTGACCGCTGTGCCGCATCGTCGCCCACGACAATGTCTGCTGGCGGGCCTTCAAGACGCTGCACCACGAAATGGGCTCTCTCCTCCTCCTTCTCTGTGGCCTCCTTAGCTACCCTGATGACAGCAGCCTGAAGGGCACGGTGCAGGGTGTCGACCGCGGCCGGGTGGGTGCGCACGAGCAGCTCTGCATCTGGGTTGATCTCGCTTTGTTGCGGCGGTGGAGGAAGGAGCCGCAGTAGCCGTCGAAGGCGGCGTGCTTGAGCCGCTTGGGGTGGATTGGCTGGTTGAGCCGGTGCGGTGGAGGATGAGGAAGAAGGGCCGGCCGTCGGGGTCGTGTCATTGGATCTTGCGACAGGCTCCGACCTGGTCGGCAGCACGAGGTATAGCTTTGCCGGGCAAAGAGCTCGATCTGAATTGGTGTTCTCGATGCCGCCATGGAGCGTTGCGCTGAAGGCAGTGATCCGCGACGTCGATGCGCTGAGGCGTAGAGCCTCGCCGCTGGCTGACCCTCCAGCAACAAGTCGAGCAACCATCGTCAGCTTTTCCAGCAGCTGAACAGCTTCCTCCTGTTGCAGCGTGCCTCTCGCAGCCCCGAAATCGCCATCGACATCCATCTCTCTCTCCTTTCCCTTGGCGCTCTTCGGCAGCTTGACCCCCACACGCACCCATTGCTCCCAGCTCGCATCCCAAATGGCACACCCGCCGTTGGTCGCCCTCCAATCTGTCTTTTCTCCCTTCATGTAGGGCTCTTCAGGTAAAACGTACCCCCATCTATCCCCATCAAACTCCTCTCTACTCATGCGAAAGCGCTTCGCGAGCCAGAGGTGTGTCTCTAACCACCTTGCTTCTGGCCGCGCTGCACGACCCCTCAGCTCCAGCTTACGGGCTTCCGCCTTGGCCATTGGATGGTTTGGAAGTCTTTTCCTGATTTGACTTCGCGCCTTAGCCAGAGTAGTAGAGGAGCGCAGTTCTGCCAGCCCCTTGGCTCGAAGGCGGGAGGGCAAACGGAGGACATTATGGCTGGCAGCACGACGTCGTGCATGACGAGGGAGAAGCTGCCACGCTCGAGTGGCGGATGAAGAGCGAGACGTCTTGATTGCCTTGCGAAGGGCAGCGATCTCGAAGCGGCGGGAGAGGAGATAGGGCTCTACGTCCAGTTGAGGAGCGAGGGTGGATGAGGTCGAGGAAGAGGTAGATGCTTGCGGCTGGGTAGGGATCGTACGGGCTTGCCGACGCTGCGCTATTCGCTGCTCTTTGCGTGTTGACGAAGAGAGGTCCGCATTTTTGCCAGCCCTGGCTTTGCCCTTGTCATTGCGAGCCGCAGAAGCAGGAGGAGGTGCCATTGGAAGAAGTGAGTGGAGCAAAGGACAGAACTCAACGTCAACGGAAGTGCGAACCTCGTCTGATTCCGTCTCGCAGCCAAGGCCAATTTTGGGAGTCGGCCCGCCAATCGTCCGAGACAGACGAGACGGACGGATTCAAGGCAGCCGAGGGAGATTCACGACTCGCATTCTCGTCGTCCTAACCATCACAGCTATGCCGACCGCAATACCCAATCCCTCTTCAGCCCTTCCACCTAGGCGTGGACCTGCTCCACCGCCGAGGCAAAGGCAAGCAGCAGCAGGCCCTCCAGCTCAGCAGCAGCAGCAGCAGCAGCAGCAGCAGCCACCATCTTCCACTTCGGCCTCATCCTCGTCGCGCCTCCCTGCTGCGCCCTCATCGCTGCGCGTCCAACTTCCTCACGGCACAGCTGCATCATCCTCCCGATCACCACCACCACCAGCCCGTCGATCAAGCGCTCAAAGTACCACCGCGTCAGACGATCTCCTCACCTCCGTCCTCTCAAGGCGTCGCGTCACGCCCACCGCTCCACCCGCGCCGGCCGAAGCACCTACGCCACCATCGACCGTTCCATCAGACGTATCCCTCCTCGCCTCATCGCTCCTACAGCAACGCGCCAAGTCGCAAGCAATAGTTGCAGCGCAGGAAGCTTTGATCTTCCCTCCTCCTTCCTCCAGCGGCAGGCGAGCCCGAACTCGCCAAGAGCTCAAACGCTCTCTCACCCGTCTCGGCTCCCCGCATTGGTTGCAAGTCAATCAGGAGCGGGCACTCGCCGGGTTGTGTGGATATCCTTGCTGCTCTCAGCCCTTGCCGCGGCGACGGCCAACCCCTGGTGGAGGTGCGCGGCTGCGCATCTCAGTGGCGCGAGGGGTCATTGAAAGGGATACGCGCGATGAGCCGGGAGGGAGGAATTGGTTCTGCTCTGATGTTTGCCACGCCAGAGCAGAGTGGGTCAGGCGATGGGTGTTGGCTGATACGGGTGAAGATGATGGTGAGGGAGAGGAGCAGAACAGACGGTCAGGTATCGGACAGGGTGACGAGGAGAATCCCTCTTCATCCTTCTTCGCGGGCGACGACCTAGTCGATGGGCTACGCGCATCCATTGCTTCTTCCTCGACCAGCTCCGACCGTAATGGTGGCGGGCTACGTGCGCTGGGAAGTGCATCAGCTTTGCAAGGCGGTAAATGGGAGGCCTTGACGCGGAGGAAGGAGGAGGACTGGCGAGATATCGAGCTGCTCGAGGACCTGCAGGAGCGTGGGGATCTGGAGGGATGGGAGGGATTCGAGGCCGAGGATGAGCGGGAACACGAGGAAGAGGCGCAGGCGACATTTCGACCCCCGGCTGCGGCTGCGGCTGAGGCTTCACGTTCAGCCCCGACCACCTCGGCTCAAGCCCCAAACAAAGAAGAGGCAGATCTTGCCGCTCTCGCCTCTGCCGCCCCTACATCATCCACACTCGGCTTCGAGGACCTCGTCATTTCGGAGCGTGGGCGCGGAGCAGCTGCACTCGCCCAGGATGTTGCCAAGACTGCAGAGGAGGAGAGGATCGCCGCCGTTGCGGCTGCAAGGCCGTCTTACGGCGAAGAGCAGGAAGGCGAAGAAGCGGGGGAGATGGAAGGAGAAGAGGACGAGGAGGACGAGGACGGGCAAGAGGAACCAAGCGAGGAGGAGAAGATGATTGAGGATGCTATGCGGCTGCGTGAGGCCATGATTGGGCGAGGGGAGTGGGAGGAGTGATTGCGAGGTGAATGTTGAAGAATGAATGATGTTGTACAGTATCAAGGTACGGCAATGCTTAGCACGCTTCTTTGCAGAGAGAATCGTCCAGCTCCCCCCTTTGGTGGCTCTTCAGCTCGACCGCTGCCTCTCATCAACCAGGTCCAACACCTCGCTCAAGCTCACCACCCTCTTTACCCCTTCCATCTTCCCGTCGCCCCTGCCCTTTTCTTCTCGATCAAGCCAGACCCCAGTGATGCCCGTGCCACTGTCCCTCGCAGCGACAGCGTCCTCATGTAGATCGTCGCCCACGTACAATACTTCTTCGCCCTTGATTGCTGCCTCATTTCCTTCACCTCCTCCGGCTAGACGAAGGGCTTCGGAAAAGAAGGAGGCTGAGGGCTTGCAATGACCCAGGTCGTAGCTGAGCAGGGCCCCGTCCCTATCCCTGCCTCTGTCCTCGACGCTGCTGACTCCCACGCCCGCATGAGCAATGTGCCGATTGGGTCTGCAGCTGAGCGCTCTTGCCCACTCCTGCCCTCCTTCGCCCAACCCAAGCGCAGCACAAGCGTCCAATATGCGCTCATCTGAGTTGCTCGCCAGCACGATGCGCACTTCTCTCCCACCCTTGGCCTTCGCATTGCGCTCGGCCAGGCCGCGCAGAAAGGGCTCCACATCCTCGAGCAATTCGTACGCTTGCCCCCCCTTCCCGAATCTCAGGAGGATCTCCTCACAAATCCCTCTGCGCTCGGCTGGTGCCCACAGCTCCTTTGCTCTCTTTTTACTGCACTTTCCCTCGCTATAGACAGACAGGGCGTCCACGATCGTTTCTTTGATCACCAAGCGCCACCAACGATCCGCGGCTGCTTCGCCATCCGGCAAAGGGGGGAGCGTGTCACGACCATAGTTTGGGTGAAGGGCGAGCTGCTTCTTCATGGCCGCTTTGAATGCGAGAGAGACCGGTTCGTCCTTGAGGAGATGGCCAGGTAGACTGAAACGTCCGTGACGGGCAATCTTGGCGTATTGATGCGCGGGTGGTGGATTGGGGCGGAGTAGGGTGTTGAAGATGTCGATTAGAATGAGGCGGATTGGCGGCTGAGGGCTCGAGACGCCGGGGATAGAAGAGGGGGAGGATGTGCTGTTGCTGCGCGGCTGCTGCATGCGATCGAAGGCACGTCCCGGTGACAGCCTCTGGGCCATCGGGAATGGCTGGTTCGCCCTCGTGATGCTCCTCGGCCTAGTGACGGTTCGAGGGCTGCTTCTCCGTATTGCCTGAGGAAGCACGAGAGAAGATGTCGTCTCTCAGCTCGTTGCTCCAGATCTTTTTGAATGCATTTATGCTCGGCCGCAGCGTCATGATCCAGCACTGCCCAGCGCGAGCGTAAAGTAGCGGACTTCGCCGCCGCCTTCATCCCAATCCAGCCACAATGTCCCTTCATCATCGCACATCCTCCTAAGCGCGTTCCTGGCTCGCTGCCTCGCCCACCTCCCTTTCACCGGCGCCTGACTTCTGGCAGCCATCAGAGTCTCCTCCGTCAGGTAGGCAAATCCAGACGCCACGTCACGAGGGCAGTCGGGTGAGGCGAGGAGGGAGAGGAGGAGCGTCGAGTCCAGGTCGAGGGCGCCGGGGAGAGAGCGAACCAACTTGGCGCCACGAACGCCAGGTGTGGTAGGCGATGAGAGGTCGACTATTGTGTAACCACATCCTAGAGGCTGTAGCGTCTTGATCGCACGAGCAACGTCGTCGTGGCTGATGGCGGACGGCGTTGTGGCAGCTGGAGTCGCGGTACCGCGCCCTCGCACCGCGGCCCCGCTCCTCAGCCGTTGCACCCTCGCGATGAGGTCATCGACATCGATGAGGCCGCCATTGACGTCCCGCGTGCTCAAACACACGTCAACGATCTGCACCGCCAGCTCGTAATAGTAATCTCCCAGACCGAGCATATTATTCCACATCCCTTTGACTCCACGTACCTTCTCCTGCCCACTCGCGCCCACGGGATCAACGCCAATTTGAGCGCACATGCGTTGAAACTCTTCGCGAAATGCCGGATCCTTGAGGATATCGCTACGATGCTGTGAGGCGAAGTTGCGGAGAGCAGATGCGAAGGTGTCCAATTGGGAGCGCAGGTCTGTCAACTGCTGCGTGGATAGTTGGGTGGAGAGCGTCGAGTAGGCCGCCGAGGAGGCCGAATGGCGCGAGAGGAAGGTGAGGCCAGGCCCGCGAATGTTGGACATGGCGGGTGGTGTGGCGTGGCGTGGCGTGGCGTGGCTTGGAGGGAGGTGGGAGAGGGAGGAGGTGATGGTGTGGAGGAGAAAGGAAGAGAGCTAAGGCGGACTGGCACATCGATGTCTCGAGCGTCTCGCCAGCCTCGCGAGTCTCAACTCAACCGAGCCCCGCCTTTCCCGCCACGCGAGCAAGAGACGCCTCGAGTCGGGCGGACAGAAAGGCGAGTCCGACATCAGCTTGGCCCTTCGTCCTCTCGATCCATCACTCCTTCGAGCGGCTGCTGCGCCTGCTTGCCCGCCCACGATGATCACCATCACACCTTTGGGGCAGAAGACGGCATCGGATGTCGCATCGCAGGCATCCACCTCATCTTCAGCCGCACCACCACCTCGAGCTCTGTCCTACCTGGTGCAAATCGACTCAGCCTACCTTCTATTGGATTGCGGCGCCCCAGAAGACTTGCGATTCCCTGCAAGCTCGCCGTCAGCAACGACGGAGCATGACGCTGCGGAATACACATTGCCAGACGGCTCTCTCGATGCGGCAGCTCTCTCCTCCCTCCCTCTGGACGAAGCTCTCAGCATTGCGGCCCCACGCATCCAGCTCGTCCTCCTCTCCCACTCGACGATGCACAATGTCGGGCTGTACGCCTATGCGAGGGCGCGACTGGGTCTCACATGTCCAGCGTACGCTACTCTTCCCACAGCAAGTATGGCTCGCCTCGTCACGCTCGAAGCCAGCCTGACCCTCGCTAGCGAATGCGACGTGGCTGCCCTAGAGAAGCGGCCCACAAGGGCGCAGAGGGAGGCGAGCGCCAAGGCGAAGAGAGATGTAGAGGGGAGTAAGGTGGTCAAGAAGGAGGAGGACGAAGACAGAGAAGACGAGCAGCGAGACCGCTGCGTCCCCACTCGCGCCGAGATCGACGAAGCATTCGAGAGCATTCGGACACTACGCTACCTCCAGCCTACGGTGCTGGATGGGTCGGGCCTGTCGTCTCTTTCGCTCACAGCGCACTCCGCCGGTCACACGCTCGGTGGTACCGTGTGGAAGCTGCGTAGCCCTACATCCGGGACTGTGGTGCTTGCAATCGACTGGAACCACGTTCGCGAGAGGCACATAGACGGGTCTGGCGTGATCGAGGGGGCGAGTGCTGTTGCCGGTGGTGCTGGGGCTTTGCCGACTGCAAGCAGAGCAGGAGAGGAGGCCGCAGGAACGAAGAGGGCCGAGATGCTTGTCACGTCTGGCGCCAGGCTGGCGAAACAGAATGCGAGGAGAAAAGATAAAGACAAGGTCAGCGGCGCGCGGCATGAAGTCTCTGCATGGATGGAAGCTGATCTCACACCCTGTCACGCTCGCAGTCCCTGCTCGACCTCATACACCACACACTCACCGTCTCCAAATCGACCCTTCACCTCCCTCTAGACGCCTCCCCCCGCCTCCTCGAAGTCCTCCTTCTCCTCGACCGACATTGGGCCTACGCCTACCCGAATGCCCGTTTCCCGCTCTGCCTCGTGAGCCGCACGGGCAAAGAAGTAATCGAGCGCGCCCGCACCATGCGCGAATGGATGGGCAAGAGTCTACAGGGAGAAGAAGGCAACGCCGGTGGAGCAGACAAGGGGCGAGGTAGGCGAGGAGAAGTGGAGCAACACGGTCCGCTCGAGCTGCGCTTCTTGCGTATCTTCACGAGTCTGTCAGCTCTGAGTGCAGCTGTGCCGCGCGAGGCAGCAAAAGTGGTCATTACCGTCGGTCCTTCTCTCCTCTATGGGCCTTCACTCCGCTTTTTCCGCGAGCATGTGGCTGGCTCACGTGAGAACACGCTTGTCCTCACTACCGAGAGGGAAATGGAGCGCGGCTCTCCCTCTTCGGAGCTCAAGGCCTGGTGGCTTTCCGGACAGGACGGAGGATGGACCGAGCGTGAGGTCGGCAAACCGGTAGAGGGTAAAGGTAGAGGCCTGGCCGGTGTAGAGGTGCGAGAGCGACGAGCGCTCGAGGGGCAAGAGCTGGAGGCATTCAGAGAAAGGGAACGCGAAGAGAAGGAGCGCGAGGAGAGAAAGAAGGCTATGCTCAAGAGGAGCAGAAAGAGGTTGGAGGCTGATGAAGAGGATGAGGATGACGACGAGGGAGAGGAAGATGAGGAGGACAGCAGTGATGATGAGGATGAGGATGACGACGAGATGGGAGCTGGAGGGCTCAAGCGCAAGCGCGCAGGCATGATGGATAGCGAGGCCGGCGGTACGAGCTCGCTCAAGAAGCGCAAGTCCACCGCTGCCGCGGATGCTGGATCGGCAGGCAAGGACGGCGATGCAGCGGGCGAGGACACGGATCTCCTCCTCTCCCACGACGTCTACCTTCGCGGATCAGCAGCACGGACGGCCGCCAACTTCTTCAATGCCGGCCAGCAGCAACAGCGCATGCAAAAAGGGCCATCGTCTTCCAAAATCACGGCAGAGCAACGTCTTCGCGAAGCCCGTGACCGCCATGCGGTAGGTGCGCGGTTCCGCTCCTTCCCCGTCATTGAGCGTCGACGCCGCATAGACGCCTTCGGCGAAGTGATCGACGTCTCCCGCTGGCTGTCCCGTGGTCGTAAAGAGGAGGAAGAACGTCAACGCCTCGAAGCGGGCGCGGGGGCTCAACAGCTCGGCGCCTCAGGCACGCCAATGGTCGCCACCTCTACAAGTCGCAATGCTGCCGCTTTGGCAGAGCAGCGTGAGCAGGAAGAGGACGAGCTGCAGGGCGCTCCGAGCAAGTTTGTGCATTTGAGCAACGTCAAGGTTGAGGTGCATTGCAGGATTCATTTCCTCGACTTGGACGGGCTCATCGATGGACGAGCACTGAGTATCGTCCTGCCGCAGCTGGCGCCGCGTAGGCTGGTGCTCGTCGACACACCGCAACCTCAGCCTACCAGCGCCCTCGTACATCACGGCGGCGAGGATGAGGGAGCATTGACCTGGTGGTCCAACCCTAAAGGAGGGGAGACCCCAACGACGCGGTTCGTCGCCTCACTCCTCTCGCTCCGCGACTTTACGCGAGACGTCTTTGCGCCTCCATTGGGTGGAACAGTCCGCGTTGGTGGGCAGGTGCAGAGCTTCGATGTTCGCCTGGGCGAAGGAGTGCTCGAGGGAGTGGAGATGGGAACGTACGAGGAGTGGGCGCTGGGCTGGGTTGAGGGGGTGGTCAAGGGTGAGCAGGGCGATGAAGAGAAGGAGTCAGGGGTGGTGATTCTCGAACGCCGTTCTGTTGAGGAGCTGAGCGCTGAGGATCAAGAGGATGACGAGGCTGTAGCTGCCGCCGCTGCAGAGGTGGCTGCAGGGCCAAACGCCTCACATCCGGATCGACTGGCGTATACCCCGCACGCCGCCCGTCCAGCCACCACGCTCTTCATCGGCTCCGTCCGTCTCTCCACGCTCAAGACGCTCCTCTCCACGGGCTCAGCGCGCATACCCGCTGAGTTTGGTGGTAGTGGTACCCTCGTCTGCGGTACCGCTGCGCTGGCCAGCGTGCAGGGCAACGCGGCTACGACTGGTGGGCAGGCGAGTGCGGCGTGTACGGTGGAGAAGAGCGGGGAGCGTATCACGGTCGAGGGTAATGCTGGAAGGACGTTTGTGAGGGTGAGGGATGCGGTATACAAGCTCCATGCTAGAGTGGGAGGCGGCATCGGGCAGGTGTAGTCACGATGTCGATGTTGGATTTTATTTGTCCTGATCGCAACCAGCCAGTCTGCTTCGGTCTGCTCGTCTGAGGTCTCAGCACGTGTAGCTCTCACAGCGACGACAGACCAGGAATGCACCCTGACGAGTGAAGAAAGGTATGGCTATTTCGGATTCACGAGGGAGGAGAGACTTCGACTTGCTCCAGTCAGAGCAGCGAAGTGTTCACAGCTTGGTAGAGGGGAAGAGTTACAAGGGTAGGAGAAAGAGAGGAGGGGCGGGATTGACTGAAGGGGTCATGGAGGCACTGGTGCTGACCGTCATGCCGAATTTTCGCACGGGTTTCGATGACCTCTCAATGGCAAAGTGGCCCAAGGGCGAAGAGTCGGACAGAGATGCGGCACAGGCTCTCTTGACTAGGAAGGTAGTGAGCTGCGCGACGGGTAGCGAACGGCCGCTGGTCGTTGAGGTAGTGGGGTGCTTCGGTAAAGATGGCGCGCCGAAGTTGGAGAGTGGTTGTGGGCTCAATGGACAAGTCTGATGTACTGGAACCGTCGGTGCGGGTGCCACTTTTCGTCGAGCTGTTGGCAACGAAAGCTACTCCTCGCTAGACCTCTTGCGCTTTGATGGACCCGCCGCAGAGCCGCCCAAAGGCCTCGTTGTGACCTTCTCCCCGCCACGCTCAAAGATGTCTTGCGACTCGATGTTCTGGGGTCGGAGAGTGCTGCCGGCGTACTGGAGTGTGTACGAGAGTCCTGCGAGCTTGAATCGCGTGGGCAAGCGCTTGATGAAGTCTGCGTGAGGTAGACTGAGGCTCTCTTGAGACAGGCGAACATAGGCTCGAACAATGCCGGTGTACTTGTCCTCGACACGCGTGGACCATGAGCTCGCGACAACCTTGGCCAAGCCGAGCAAGTGACCGACGCGTGACACAGCCAAGTCAAGCCCCTTTGCAATATCCTTGACATCTAGGCGGTCAAGGGGCAGCCCGAGACACTCGACGACAAAAATTTCGCCCGGTAAAGTGTTTGAGCAGCAAAGGTAAACGTAGCGTTGCTGTTCCTGGTCTGGAGACTCGATTAGGATCTCCTTCAGTGATTTGACGACAGCCGTCAGCGTCGAAGCGGATGTGAAGACGAGGTCGATAAATGCACTGCCGCTGCGGCTATACGCTGAATGCTGGTCAAAGCATACTTCAGGGAGATCGACGCCTCTGTCGCGGGAGAGATGGCGGACATAGCGCCAGATTCTCTCCCGAACATCCCTTTGGACGAAATCGCTCTTGGTGAGTTTGCTTCCAGAAGAGTCATATCGGATGGTGAGAGCCCTCAAGCTTCGAATGTCCTCTCGCACTCGAGCACTGTTGGTCCAGTAGGGATTTTCCTTAGGGACCTGGCCATAGATTTGAACGCGAGCGAGCGAGGAGAGGTCCCTCGAGCCATTGGTATACACGGTCAGCACACCGTCTTCAATAAGCTCCTTGCTGGAGTCAGGCTTGACGTGGTCGCCTGAATACACGCTGAGCAGCGAAGTGCAAGCACTGTCTTGCTCGCAATCTGAGCTAGAGGACGGCATGCTGACTCGAAGGGATGAGTTGGCGGAGGGAAGCCAATGACGCTGGCTGAGAAGCGGGGAACAGCTGTCACCCCAGCTTGGTGCAGACGAGATCCAGTGCAGCTGCGTGGTGTGAGGCTGGGCGTGCTGGCTGTGGTGATGCGCTAGGAACGGTCGAGGAAGAAATGATGTGATGGGACAAGGAAGTGATGGTAAGGACGGAAGGAAAAGAGCTCAGCTGCGCTTCCGTGCTGCTGAAAGTCGCGTCACCCGTCTTCCGTCTACTCGTGGCGGTGCGTAAGGGACGCCAACTCGACCGGGAGCTGGCTCAGTCGATCCAAAGGGTGCTCAAGGGTGACATGATTTCAGAAGAATAGAACGAACTGAGGTACAGGGAGAGTGCTTTCACTCGCCTTTTTTTGGAACGCGACAAGAATCAGAGAAAGCCAGCTCGTCTGCCGGGCTCGTGAGGGAGGAGCGAGATTGGCGACGTAGAAGTGAGCTGGCGGCGCAGTGTAGCTACATGATGATGCGTAAAGCCAGATGGAGCTCTGGGGAGCAGCAAGCTCGACCTGGCGTGGGCTTTTGGAAAGAATGAAGAGACTAGAGATCAAGGTAAGCCGTAGTCTTCCAGGCGTTGCCTGCGTGACGGCCCATGCTTGATGATGTGAAGACTCGGAAGGATGTGGTTGACGTGAGAGCAAGACGCTCGAGGGCAGTGATACCACGGCCTGCTGGGCGTATGATTGAAGCCGCTGCGAGGCCGAACGAGAGCGTATCGTAATGGCCTCGCCTACTTGGTCTTCCTCGACTTCTTCTTCGCGGCGGTTGAGCTCGAAGATTCGCCCTTTGCGCTGGTTCGAGGGCGCTTCTTCTTTGTCGCTCCTTGCTTGTCCTGCTTGACGAGCACTTGCGAGACGTGAGCCACCTTGTGCTCTTCGTGCAAACCTCTGCCGGGGTACACAAGGGTGTAGGCGACTCCGCCGACGTCGATGTGAGTTGGCAGGGATCGTGCCAAGTCGACAAAGGGAAGCAGCATGCCCTCCCGATTGAGCTCGATGGAGCCGCGGATGATACCTGTGTAGGTTTCCTTGTCCCACTTCTTCGAATAGGCCATGATCTTAGCGATACCAGTGACGGATCCAATGTCTGATGCGATGCTGGTCAAGCCTTCGACAACGGCGGAGAAGTCGGTGGTGTCCACAGGTAGACCTTCGATGTCGAACTGCATGATATCTCCGGCCAAGGACCCTGTAGCGCAGAGCTGCGTAAAGTCGCCTGCAGCATTGCCCCTGAAGCTCTCGATCTGGATCTCCGCGATGCCCTTCATCACGCCTTGAAGCACGTTGGGGCATTCAAAGATCAGATCGATATACTCGACGCCGGGATCTTCGTCGTGCGGGTCTGAGTGGAAGACAATGTCTGGAAGAGTGTGGGCTGTCGAGACTTTGGGCAGAATGCGGTGGACTTTGTCCCAGATTGCGTCGCGTATTGTGGTTTGGACTCGGGATGGACAGATCTGTCCTTCGCTCTTTGCTTGGGCTGTGAAGCGGAGCGTGAGAGGGCGCAGGGGTCGAAGGTCCTGATCGATGTGCGTGCTGTCTAGCCACAGTGGCTGCTCTTGAAGGTAGTCGCCTTCGAGCTCAACTGCAGTGTATGCCCAGTCCCCTCCGGCATCGAGCGAGCTGCCGATCTTGAGAATGTCACTTTCGGCGTGTTCTTTGATGTCTGGCTCTGTGGTGGCGCTGCCTGCAGAAGTGTGAGAAGACTCGGGAGCCATGCTGAGCCGAGGGTGTAACGGATGGTTGACCGATAGTCAGCAAGTGCTATCAGCAATGTGGGCGAGGGGGCCTGAGTCGCGTGCAGTACCTTGCGACTGTGGCCCAAAGCTCGCTGTGTGAAGTGATGAGCCGATGTGTCGGCAGCTCAGGCCGGACAGAAGGGATAATAGGAAGCGGAAGTCTGGGTCGTGACGATGAACGGCACTTGGTGATATGCGAGCGGACGTGTGAGTGGTTGTGAAGGAAGGAAGGAAGGTGCTGGCAAGGAAGGCAAAGAAGCGGGGCGTAGCGCGTTCGCGACTCGAGCTCATCCCCGTTGGCGCGGTCGGGAAGAGATGGCGGACGGAGGGGGCGGGAAGTGGGAGCAAAGACGCTACGGGCGGCGATGCCACACACAAGCAACCGTATACAACTGGTAGACGACTCTTGATGGGACTTCAAAGAATCATCGCCGAGCATGAGAGGATGTGAGGCTCGTACGCTCGATCGTGACAAGGTGCAAACGGGAGAGGGTGCGCACCAAGGGTGAGGAGCAGGATTGCTGACTCGCGCGGCGTACCGTGGGGTCGCCCCTGTAGCGAGAGCAGAGAGTTCAGTATCACACGATCAGGTAAAAGGCTTCTGGGCAAGTGAGGTGAATGGATTTTGAGATTCGAGACAGGGAGCAACAGAATCAAGATCGAGTGGGTGGCTCATTGTGGAGCGAGGGAGAAGATTACTGAGATGCGGGCTCTCGCTCGATCGGGAGAGAGAGAACAGTGTTGCTGTTCGGAGAGTGGTGTTCGAAGGAAGTAAGAGAGAGGTCAGAAAGAAGCTTGGAGATCAGAGTATCGTGCGATACGACTGGATCCACGACGAGGGTGAGGTCGGCGGATAAGCAGCCGATGCAGGTGCCATGTGAGAATGTTGGCGTAGCTGACGAAGCTGCTTGGTCTGACGCTTGCCGCCTTGATGATCCGACGACAGGAGTAACGAGATGAGGAGGTCTTGACAATGTGGGCGAGCAGCGGACAGTCAAAGGCCAGATGAGGCGACTGTGTGCAAGGCCTCCTCTTGAGTTCACTGCAAGTGGGGATCGTTGCGCTCGAAATGGTCGCCCTTTCATTGCTGTCGGATCAAGTCTGCCTTTTTCCTTTGCCCTCATTCGCTGCGCTTGCGCTTGTTTGTGGCCTCTGGGGTGCTCACTTCTGTGCTGGGTTGGCTGCTAGCGTCGTCAGGAGAGAGGGTCGGATCACCGTCTTCCGTTTCGACCACTTCCTCAATTGGAAAAGCTTGCGAGTGAAGCGCGACCTTATGCAGAGGTCGACCAGGGTACCACATGCTGTACAGCTCTCCCCTCCATCGAAAATGGGTGGGAATGCGGTCCACTAAGGCGTGAAAGGGCAGAGCCATGCTTGCCGCGTTGAGTTCGACGTAGCCGCGCACAGTCATCGTGCTCAAGAAGGGGGCGTCGTGCGACTGAGCAATCTCCTGTCGACCGACACCAAGGACCAAACCCACGCCTGACAGCATGACTTTGAGACTGCCCAAAAGAGACTCGCTCTCTGAAGAGCTGACGGAAAGTCTGAGCAGATCGAAAGGCATCACATTGGGCGGCAGGCTGTTCGTCCAATTGACACGGGCGAAGAAGCATGACGAACAGCTGGCGGATTCGATTTTGATGCTCTTGAGATTGTTGATCACGATGATAAAAGCCAATGCGCTCGGACATATGAGGTCATTGCACGCAGCGTCCTTGGAGTCATCGAGTGTGTCCTGCTCGAAGATGACGGCGGGCATCGTCTGCAGCTTGCGTGCCTCAAAGTGTGGCCTCAGGTGATGACGGACGGCGCGGTGGATGTCATCCTGTCGAAACGGGTTGATAGAGGCATTCTTCGATTGAGCCTGGTATCTGACGGTGAAAGGTCTCAGATCACGACGGTCAATGGTCTCTTGCGTCGTCAAAGGCCACTGAGGTTCGTCTGGTGGGCACAATCCTGCGATGGGCACGACTCGACGTAAAAGGGCAGGAGCTTCCCGGTTGACATCGAAGTTCAATTGCAGCTGCCCGTTGACTATGGCGCCATGACTGGGCAGTCCATTTGTGGGACTGACTGGGGCAGTCATCCTGAGCAAGGGAAAGTACGCAAGCGCGCACGGTGATCAGCTTTCAATCGAAGGCTCCGCGGCATCTCGACCACTGCTCCACTCACCCTGTCAACCCGATCAGGGAGGCGCTGTCAAGTCGTGAAGAGGAGGTCGTGGTAGTGAGATGATTGTCGCGCCTCGTCGAGCAAAGTGATGGCAGGGAAGCCAAGATGAGAGGCAGACACCGACAACGGAAGTGCGGCATCGAGACGCGCCCGAGCGGAGGCAGGACAAGAGCAAGAGCCAAGAGCTACGGTTCGCGAGCCGTTTGATTAGCGAGAAAGTTGCAGAGAATTTTACGATTGACAAGGAGGACTCGATGACGAGCGGTGAGAGTGTGACTCAGCACGATACGGGCTAATGAGAAGAGCGAAGAAGGTGCAGAAGGCGTGGACGAGCTACGGAGAGGAGATGGGCTGTGATGATGATTACGAGGTTCAGAGAGACTCGTTGACAACTGATTGCACATGAGTCAATGAGCCGCCGAGAAGGCAAGACTCTGCGCATGGGCAGCTGTTGCTGCAAGACACGGGATCCATACGCTGCGCCAATTGTGTACCGAGCCAACCACTCTCTCTAGCTCTTCTTGCGCTTGTTGGGAGGGTGTGAGCCTTGCAGTACGGTGCTGGAGCGGCTTCTCGAAGTGGAAGAGCTTGCTCGGCTATCATCCTCATCCACGATGACCTCGATCGGGTAGTCGATACTGGGCGATGCAGTCTTGTGAAGAGCTCGACCAGGATACCAAAGGGTGAAAGGTACTCCTCGCCACTTGCATGCAGTAGGCAGCCTCTCTACCAGGGCTGCAAACGGCAAAGTCATGCTCGCAGGCCAAAGCTTGATCCAACCGCGAATCTTGTCCGAGATGACTTGCGGAGGATTGAACGAACTCTCGATGATCTCATGCTTAGCGATACCGATGACAGAACCCACGCCTGATGCCATATCGTCGAGACTGCGCAGGATATCCTTGGCGTTGTGCACGGTCACGGGCAGTCGAAGCACATCGAATGGCATGATGTCGCCTCTCAAGCTGTTGGACATGTCCGTGCGAGTCAGAACGATGACGGCGCCACATGGTAGAACCAGCCTGATGCTGCTGAGACGGCCCAGCAATCGGGCAAACGCTGTTTCAGATGAGAAGGTGATGTCCACATACCCGCCCTCCTGAGCCTTTACCAGAGGATCTCGATCAATCAAGATAGTCGACCTTCTATCCTTCAATCCACAGTCGCCCATCTGCTGCGACAACTTCTCCCAAATGCATCGTCGCACATCATTGTGCTGCTCAAACAGACGGTCAAAGGCCGTTGGAGACTGCGACACGAATCTCATAGTCAAAGGCTTCATCAGCCTACGGTCGCTGCTTGCCCGCGTGAAGTCGGTCCAGTTAGGATCATCGAGGAGCTCTTGACCCTCAATGGCAGTGATCCTGAGCTGAGAAGTTGTCGGCAAGCTTGAGGGAGACTTGATTGTGACCTGGAGCTGACTGTGAGCAGTCTCGCTCTGCAGGGAGGGCTTTGGGCTACCTGAGGCTGAGTCCGGCGCAGCCATGCTGACGATGACAGAGGATGAGTACGATGGCCTGCTCGGCTCAACAGCGAGAGTCTGCAATCAGCTTGAAACGTGATGAGGAGTAGGCGTGATGAGGCGTGAGATGGAAAAGAAGCCAGGATTCAATTTGGAGAGATTGGGAACGCAAGTGCCGCTCGGCGCGGCGCGAGACGAAGGCGGCCCCAATGGTGCGGCAGGTAATGATGAGAGGAAGCGACGAAACGTTTGCAGAGGTAAAAGCGAGAGCGAGCAAGCAGAAGCGACCCATCTCAGCTTGAAGCTGATCTCTGGCTCAATCAAGGACAACATGTTCGCCGTAGTGGGCTCTGCTCAAATTGGTCAAAGAGGGTCCAGAGAGAGGCGCACGGCCGAACGCTTTGTGCCAGATGGATTGAGATTGGGGTTCAGTTAAGACACGAGAGGGGGAGCTTGACACATTTCAAGCACGGGCACGCTTGTCTTTGACCCAGGGAGCCAGCGCTGAAGAAGAATGGCGCGACTTCGCGCCTTACCATCGTAAGCTGCTTAACTTGCGCGATCTCTTGAGTGTGAGTCTTTGCAGGGGCTTCCGTACTGTAGATTGCCTTCGGTGGGCTGGTGAAGATGCTGAGCTTGTCATGCTAGCCTGAACGCGACCAGGACCTGACGGTTGTGGAGGTGAATGGGACGAAGGTGGTGCTGGTAAGGTCGTGATTGTGGCCCATGGCATGGTGCTTGCGGCTGCTCGAGGCGCGCGCTCATCGTAGCGGCAGTGGCCACACTCTTCAGCTGCGACTTCGCTTCCTCACATTGTCCCTTGGATCTTCGTCTTCGCTGGATCCCTTTGACTCAGGAGACAAGATCGAGGCGGTACTTTTGAGCTGGTCGTGACTAGCGTCTCCTCCTAGCGGGTAGCTCTGGCTAAACGCGGCTTCCTTGTGAAGGTCTCGCCCAGAGTACTGCAGTGTGTACGGCGCACCATGCCAAAGAAAATGGGTAGGCAGGTAGCTGATGAAGGTTGAGAAGGGCATGCTCAGGCTCTTTGGGTGAAGCTTGATGTATCCACGTACGGTGCCTGTGGACTTGTCGGTAAGTTCGAACTCGGAGCCCTTGAGCTCAACGTGACCGAGACCGAGCATGGTCCCAATGTCGGAAGCCATAGTCTTGAAGCTATCGAGCACTGCTTCGCTGTCAGCTGGCGTCACGGGAAGCTTGAGGCAGTCAAAGATGAAGACAGAGCCTGGTAGTGTGCCGGTCCAGCCTGCGCTGCGGTATTGCAGCCTGGTTCCGGTAGTGTCTGCGAGGGTGAAGCAGTGTAGCCGGTATCGCATCAAGTCGAGCGCTTTAGGTGACCGAAAGACTAGGTCAATGCATCCTTTGCCCTCCCCAAACGACTCTGGTGCCTCATCGAAGACAATGGCCGGCAGCTCGCATTGCTTCTTTGCGACAGTCGCGAGCCTCTGAACTTCGGTCCAGATTGTTCGTCGAATTTGGTCTTGTGCACTGCTCTGCCAAGCCGTGGGACTGCGACCCTGGGCTTTGAAGCGCAATGTAAGGGGTCCAAGGAGTCGTCGATCATACCGCGCCATGGTGGAGGAAGTTCGAAGAGGTAAGTCGGGGGGGCAAACGCCTGCAAAGGGAAGCAAGACGCGCGACATCATATTGCTGTTCGAGTGCAACGTCAAGACGGTCGAATCGCTGTCGTGAGGGACGCTGTCTGTCGAGGCATCGCCGACACCGGGCTCAGCGGTGGGCGTTGTGCCCGACATTGGCGAGCTGCGGTGGAAGAAGGAGGGCCGGGAAGCTGCAGAAACCTTCGATGTTGAGGAGACGAGACTGATCAAGAGGTAGACCAGTCCTTGTCGTGGTTAACAGTGGATTGAAGCGATGAGAAAAGAAAGCAGAGTAGCGAGGCATGCAATTGGGAGGGAAAGGAAGGAGCGTGACGACTCGGCGGAAGTGAGCAGCTGCTCAGCCTGCGCGGCCGGGCTCGCTCGCCTGCACATTCACCACCTACGATGCGGTTGCTCGCTCAAGCACAGCGAGATGCTGCGCGAGTGAGAATCAAGTGGCCACAGAGTAGCAAAGCTGAGCATCAGTGACGGACGAAGTGAGCGTCGTCATCATCAGACGTCGCAAAAAGTAGAGAAATGACTGCGAGATTTGGCGAGGCGGGGAGTTCGTGGGGAGAACATTGGATTGATGGCTAGAAAGGTTACTGAATGACATGGAGAAAACAAAAGTAGGCTCTTCGTTTGCGCCTTGGTTCTGGCGGCATCAAGGCCGGTCGCCTTCGAGGCTAAAGCAACACGGGCTGGACAGCTGTCGTGATGGTGTTGGACGCGCGACGAGAGACCATTCGAAAGTGGGAGAGGCTACCATTGAGCGTCGAGTGGCAAATTGCGAAGGGAAAGGAGCCTGAATGATGGGGACCAAAAGCCAAGATTCAGGAGGATCCCTGGGCCAAGGAGTCGATGTGAGCGGGAAAAGGCTGCTTGATGATGGCCAAGAAGAGCGGCTCCCCACTACGGTCACACCGTCCCGACTTGCCCCGCTCAACTCTGCCTTCTCTTCTTCGTAGCAGATGCCTGGTCTATCTCCGTCTTCGGGGCACTCGTTGCTGGACTGACAGTAGCGGAGGTTGAGCTGCGATTGTCCTGGAAGCTGGCGTGGATCGGAAATTTGGCCGAGTACGTTGGAATCGTTTGCAGCTCTCGTCCTGTGTAGTACAGATTGTAGTCAACCCCCTGCCAGTTGAAATGCGTGGGGAGATGCAGGACCAGGCTACTCAAGGGCGTCGTCCTGCTCGCTTGCGTCAACTTGACGTACACTCTCGCGATGCCCTCTGACTCGTCGGCCAACTTGAACTCTGTCGTCCTCATTACAAGCTTGCCTACTCCGATCACTTTCCCAATGCTCGCCACGACTGTGTCAAAGCTTTGCATGACGGCTTCGCCGTTGTTGGCAGAGACAGGCAGTTTGATGCAGTCGATGATGAAGTCATCGCCCGAAAGGGAGTTGGTCCAGGTCCAGAGGCTCCAGATGCGGGGATCGCCACCTTCGAGCTGGATGGACACCAAGTAGGGTGCAATGGCCAAAAAAGCAGCTGGCGAGTCGAAGACAAGGTCGATGGTCTCCCAGCCAGCTGAAGACCCTCCCGTCGCTTTGTCAAAGGTGATGCTCGGGAGGACAAGCGAGGGATTGACTTTGTTGAGCAGAGGCTGGATCTGACGCCAGAGACCCCGTCGGATGTGATCGTGCAACGCAGTGTCTCCGATAGGCTCGAGGTTCATTGTGGCCTTGAAACGGAGGGTGAGAGGACCGAGAAGTCGTCGGTCTACCTGCGTTCGTGTGTAAGACTCTCGAGCGGGCTCGTCAAGCGGGCATTGGCAGGCGAATGGCACGACCTTGCGTGCAAAGGGGGCCTCGAGACCACTTGGAACGAAGATGCGCGCCCTCTTGTCGCTGGTGAGCTTGAAGGCGTCATTCGTCCCACCAGTCTGTGTGTTGCTTGTTGGCGGTGCCATGATGAGAAGACAGGAGAGATGGCAGATTTGATGTGGCGGTCGAGTGAGATTGCGAGGCGAGAGCGTCTTGCCCTCCGTCTAGCCATAGCAGTCGTTGAGCAGCGGCCGGGTGTGCTAGACACGATCGTGCTACAGTAAGATCCGTGGCTCTAGCCTGAGCTTGCTGAGTGATGAAGACGTCGGAGGGAGAGTGCGGTCAGATTGATCACTTGAAAGGGAGAAAGGGAGTTGATGAAGCGGAGTGCAAGTCGAGGAGCGGTAGGTACAGTACTGTATAGCGGACCTCGTGTGGGCGGGGTACGGAAGTGGGCGCGTTCAAACTGGCGTCCCGTTTGAGAGTGCGGCCACGAATTACGGTCGGAAGGCGTGCCTCGATCAAAGCGAGCGAAGCCACACACCTCTTCCAAATGAGGAGAGTGAGAGCTCTGATGGCTTCCCCCCTCCTGCTCGATAGAGATCCTACTGTCAGGTCGCCCAACACTGCGCACGCAAAAGATTTGTCCCGCTCTTGAAGGCGCTGAACGATGCAGAGCTACAGTAGCTTGTGGAGACTCGCTCACTCTTCCCCAGCTTTGTGCCAGATCAAGCGCGGTAATGAGGATGAATATGATTTCATTGAGACCTTGAGACGGAAGTCAGAGCGGAGGAGGACAACGATGGCTGAAGGGCCTCACCATCCCAAGGCTGTGCTCACAGCGAGCTTTGAGCTGTGCTTGGGGACGAGAGGAGAAAAGAGAGAACGGCGACTGACGAGCCTTTTAGAGGCGATGGCTGCATCTTGTGTTCAAGAGCTGCACGCCGGCAAGGCCTGTTCGACGACAAGGGAGATCGATTGTATGAAGATACTGCTGTGAAGGGTAGGAAGAGGCGCAAACGTCGGGCTTGGAGGGATTTTTGGATCGGCTGCTAAGAAGGCGAGGTTTCAGCACGAGCTGTTGATCCTGCCTACTGCGTTGACTATTGTGCTCCTGGTCGGCGACGTTGTCGATGCTTGACCCTCTCTTGCGAGCAACGAACGCAAATTTGGCTGGCTGTGTCACTGGCTGAGTGGCGTGTCCCGTCGCGACTGGCTAGGCTACGGGCATCGTTGTGGCTTGCTGGGCCGCCTTCTTTGGGCGACGCTCTTCGGGATACTCAACGCTGGCACTGTGCCTCTGGCGAAGAGTGCGCCCGGGGTGAAGCATGGAGAATTCGACTCCCTTCCAGCGGAAGAAGGAGGGTACAGACTCTACGAGGTCCGTGAAGTTGAGTTTCATCCCGCCTGCCGAAAGGCGTATGTAGGCGCGGATGACATTCGCCGATGTCGTCGTGTCGTCGGTCTGCCAGGGTTTGAACTGGACGCGGCCCACGCCGATAGTGACTCCGATATCAGACACGGCATCATCGAGAGCCTGCTGGAATTCAGTGAGGCAAGAGTCATCGAGTGGCAGGCGGGGGAAGTCAATGGGGAAGATGTCGCCTGGAAGCGTGTTGGACCAGCAGTGAAGCTCGTAAACGTCGGCTTGCTGAGAATCTTCCTGGTGCTCAATCTTGGTGATGCCGTTGCGCGTGACGACGAAGGACTCGACGGTGGAGCAGACAATATTGATGCAGGGAAGGATATTGCCATCTTTCGAAGTGCAGTCTTCGTCGAAAGCGATGGCCGGACGAATGCTTTGAGGTGAATGGCTGGGCATGAGCTGCTTCAAGCGCATCCAGATGGCCTCAGTGATCTGATTTTGCGCCTTAGCGTCGATGATGAGGTCGTTGCCCTTGGTCGACCTGTAACGGAGAGTAAGTGGGCCCAGCATGCGGCGATCGACGTCCGAAGTAGCTGCGTCCTGCTCAAGGGGCTCATCTCGAGGGCAGTTCCCGTGAAGACTGATAAGGGTACGTTCCAGCTTGGGCGCACTCTGGCCAGCCTCGATGTGCAGCACCTTCATCTTGGCAGCTGCCTTGGCGGCGGCATCCGCGGCGGCAGCGGCTGCGATAGGGTGCTTGACACTGCTCTGCTTTTGCGTCTCCGTCGTGGGCGTGACAGAGGGCAAAGAAGCAATGCTGAGCTGCTCAAGTGCGGCTGAGTCGGGCGAGTCGGTCATGGTTGGGTGAGGAGACGTCAGACGGGACAGCTACCGGTGTGGGTGGGTGATGAGCCGGGAGGCAGGACGGCGGCTGTTGAGATCAGACGGCTGAAAATTGAGGGAGTGCACGTGGTCCGTAGCAGCACCGGCAGATGGCGAGGTTACGGTAGAGGATGAGGCTGGAGAGTGAGTGGAGCGGAGGGGAAAGATAAACACGCCTTACTCGGGGCCTTCCGTCCCCTCTTTCTGCCTCGAGTGAGACTGACGCGCGTCTCACTTCCCGAGACACGAGGTCGTGGCGGGACGTTCCAGCTAGACTACAGTGGGCAATGAAGAGGCGCTGGCGTAGCAACAAGAATATCACGCGATCGAGATTCAGCAAGTTCATAGGGTATTGGGTACTATCGGTAGCAGCATGAGGCAAAGCGAGGTGGGTGGACTTCGGCAACCAGCGGCGAGAGAGAGCGCTGCCGCGAGAGACAAACAGTAAGCACGGACGATTCGAGTGGGTGGATGCATATAAGAGGCGCAGCCCATCAAGAAGGCGAAAGCGAGCTATTCTGTAGGAGGCTGAAGCTTCTTGTCGAGCTGTGCCGCCAGAGAGAATGACGCAGAGAGCCGTCCACTGCGCCTGCGTTGAGCCCGAAAGCAGGCATCTTTGCATCATGAGGACAATCGTGCTCGCAGCGCAGCGAACAGGTTTCTCTTCAGAAGCCTAGCGCCAGAATTGCTCCCATGATGACCAGCCACGGCGCATAGCCCCAGTGATTGCCCTGCCCGGAGCCAACCAAGGCATAGCACGCCCATCCGTCAACGGCAGCCACGCTGGCAGCTGCGAGCATGATCAGGCCGAGCGACTGAACGGTGCCACAGTAGGCCGCTGCAAAGATGGAGAGTCCCATAAAGACATCGCGATAGCCATAGGCGGCGAGCAAGACGTCGGCGAGCTTGCGCTGCGAGGCCAAGGTTGGGTAGGTGAGCTCAAAGAATGAAAGTGCACTTTCAGGTCGGAGCATGGCGTTGATTCCAAAGGCGATGAAGAGGGAGCCAAAGCCAGCGCAGATGTGGCGCATAAAAGGCTTCTGGGAAAGCGGCATGATTGGCGAGTGGATTGTGCTCGAGATTTGACTTATCGCGGTGATGTTGTTGAAGGGGAGAGAGGATGCAAGCAAAGGCGCGGGCTCGAGCGCACGGACGGACGTGCGAACCTGCGACACTTTCGAGCTCCGCGACGCCCAGACCAGTTGAATCTCGCTCGCCTATCGCACATTGCTTCAAGCCGCGCCGCCGCCTGAATGAGTGGAAGGATGGACCGCGGGCGTCTACGCGTAAACGGTCATACCGGTGGCCCACAGTCACGCGCTGCGGCGGGCAATGACGAGCAGATATACCAATGTATTGCGACGCCTAAAGTGAGTTGAACAGATCATTGCTCGGCGCTCGAGGGTGAAATTGTGGCGAGATACGAGCTCGGCGATTCGGCGAATGGTGCGAGGTGTGAGAAAGTGGGAGAAGAGGGTCAAGGGTGGGCGGTAGGATTGATGAAGGGAGGAAGCGGGTATCGCTGAGTGGACCGATGCGAAGGCACATGATACTGTAATAGAGTGTGAGGCGAGATAGCGGCGATGCCTCGCAGACTTGGAGCCAGCGTACCCGCTTCAGGTTGCAGACTCCCGTGCAGCAGAGCGAAAGGCAGTCCCTTGAGCCTGTCCCGTCGAGGTTGAGGGTGACGCGTTGCGTGAAAGTTGCCCCTTCTTCCTCTTTGCGGATGTTGAGGGAGAAGTGGCTGAGGCCAAGTGAGGATCGCCTGCGCGTTTCACCGTCGGGCTGGTGGTGTGCGTGTCACCATTACCTGTACTGGGCTCCACGCGAGGGCCGCTGCCATTGCCGTTGCCTACACCGCTACCGCTCGCCTCACCTGGCTCATCATCGATCGTGATGACCTCGCGCGAAACCAGCTCCCGCAATTCGAACACCTTTCTCTCCTCATCGGCCCCTGCAGCCATGGCTCCCTCGCCTACGTGCACGCTCCCCTCCTTCCACAGCCTCGTCTGCCTGGCAAGAGAGCGCCCATTGTACTCGAGCGGATACTCCCTCCCGCCATGCCACAAATGAGTCGGTAGTTGGGCCAGAAAGTCTTCGAAGCGCTGCTCCATGCTTGCCTTGGTCAGAGTGATATACGCCGTCACCATACCGATGGGACGCTGCACGCAGAGAGAGGGGCATACGGCGTGGTTGCTTACGACGCACAGCGTCTCACCGACGATGCTTCCAATTCGCTGCAGGTCCGCCACAAGGATGTCCTTGTCGAACTGCTCTCCTTGTAAGCCGAGGCAATGCAGCAGCAGCATGGTAGGCTGCATCGTAGACGAGTAGAGGAGTCGGTAGCGAATGTCCCCGCTGTCGCTCACGCCCGCCAAAGTGAAGCCGGGCAGAATCTTGCGCAAGTGGTCATGCACCGCAGCATCCCGGCATTGCAGGTCGATGAAGCGGGAGAGGCGCCCGTAAGGCTCGCCATCTTGCGGTAGATAGATGGAGGGCAAGTCGACGCTGAGCATTTGGGCTTGCTCTGTAAGAATAGTCCAAATCTGGCAGCACACGTTGAGGTGAACGCGCCAGAGCGTCAGAGGTTGGCTTGTGTCCGCTACGTAGCGGAGGGCGATGGGTGGGAGCGAGCGAAAGTCGACAGGTGGGCAGGCTAGGGAGAAGACGCAATTGCTGGGCAGAGAACCGAAGAGGATGGACATGGTGCCTGTGCAACTGAGCGAGAGGGAGGTGGCGTGTAGAGAAGGTGGTGCTCCGCCGCCGCCGCCGCCGCCGCCGCTGCGTGGGCTTACGACGCCGTGTGAGGTGGCTGCGCGAGAGGACGCCGTGTGCGAAGCCGCAGTGAGAGGTCGAGCCGCAGTAAGAGGCCGAGTCCCAGCTGCGGTGGATTGTGTATTGGCGTTGGCCGGGACAAGGGAGAGGATACCAGGCTGACGACTGCTGTTGCCGTTGGACCCAGACGACATCGTTACTGCGGGTGCAGGTTGAGAAGCCAAGGTGTGAGCTGGCAGGCGAGTGGGCGAGTGGGCGAGCGAACAAGGCGTGGAAATTCGCCAGAAGGCCGGCCGGCATAGTGCTCGATGTACATTCCAATCGATGATGTGCTTGCGGATGAATTGATCGTAGAGTGGGTGGGCAAGATGGGCGTTGAACATTCACCCGCCTCTGGCACTACCGAGCCGCCGCTGCAGCGCGTCGAGCGGGCCGACCAGAGAGCAAAGAGCGCGCTGAGCTCGCCCACTGGCGTAGCCCGCCGCCGCTTGTTCAGCATTTCGCCCTTACCACCATTGCAATCCAGCGAGCTCGTCACGTCGGGCCACCATCGAGCTGTACCAAGAGCGACAACAGAACATTAGCACCGTCAACGGCCAGAGAGTTTCGTGTGGGAAAGCATCCGTGCAGCCGCTGAGGACTTCGCAGCGAAAATGCAGCGTTTAAAGAAGCACAGAAGTAGCTGCTAATGCGATGCTGATTCCAAGATGTGAAGTCGCGCGCAGTGTGAACGAGGCCGAACCAGAAAGGGTAGGATATAGAGGATCGGGGAACGAGACGAGAGAGGGAGATTAGAGAACAAGGGAAATAATGATCGACACGAGAGCTTCGCGAGGAGTCTCTCCTGTCGCATCTAGTAGGGACGCTCGCTGAGGGGCTGCTGAGCGAGGCTGGGCGCCATAGTGGAGGGCTGCGTGTTGACCGTACCGTAGGGGTCGTGCTGCGGCGCAGCCTGGTGCATAGGCTGCTGCGACCCGACAGTGCCGTAGGGGTCTACGTTTCCATAGCCATGCCCAGCAGCGTCAGCGTCGTACGAGCCACGCACACGCTGGCGGGCCGCCTCCGGGTCCTCGCCATGCTTCTTGGCCTCCTTGACAGCCATCTCCTCCTGCTTGCCCTCGTAGTTCCTGGGCCAGAGATCGACCGTCATGCTGGCCCAGAAGAACGTAAGCAAGAAGCCACAGATCCACTCGCACGCCGCAGCCCCGCTGACAACGTGGTCGCAATGGGTGTTCGTGGCGAATGTAGGGGCGTCGCCACGGCACTCCGCGTAGAGGCCGACAAAAACGACCAGGACGACGAAGGCAGCAATTAGGAGAGTGGCCTTGAAGACTGCGGCCCACTTGAGGTGCCTGATACTGTTCGGCTGGTGGTGCGCAAGGGAGAAGAGTTCCAGGATCTGGAAGAGAACAGCGAGGCCGGTGCAGACAATGAATAGCAGGGCGCAGCTCCAATGTATCTGAGGGTAGTCTGTAAAGCATCGCGGAGGAGGCACATTGGGTCAGTTTCTGTCGATACCCTTGCCAGCTACTTCCTCCTCCATCGCTTCACTCACCCTGGTCGTTGAATCCCGAGAGAAGGCCGAGGAAGAGAGCTCCGAGCACGGCAAAGAAGACGCAGAAGATATCGTAGATGGTCTGTCGCTTCTTGATTGACCCTGGGATCCTCCTCGTTGACCGGAGGTATCTTTCGGTCGCCATCGTGGCGATGAAGAAAACCCCCGTGAGGACGGAGAAGATGATGAACCACGTGTTGTGGACGGCGCCGACGTCGGAGATGAAGACGAAGGAAGCATCGCTTTCGACGTACTGTGGGAATCCATCGCGAGACCAGAGGACGAGGAGGCCGATGATGTCTACGAGCCATACGGCCGTCGTGATGACGGGCAGGAGGAAGGCCCAGTAGTGGATCCAGAGCATGGCGGGCGCGGAGGTGATGGGGTGGATGGGCGATGAGGAGAAATCTAAGTCTAGATGATGCTTGTGAAGATGGACGGAGTAGGTGGCCTGACGATGCCGTGTAAGTGAGGGTGGGGAGGAAAGAAGAAAAGGAAGAGCGGGGGGCAAGGGTCTTGTAGAAGGAGGGAGTGGAGAATCGTTTCCGCGAGCACGGCGCGGCGCGGCGCGGCGCGGCGTCTTTCCCGCTCTTCGAAACCAGGATCGTGAGCGCAGCAAGGAGGGGCTGGCCAGGGCAGGCTTTGGACGTGAATCTCACCAACGTCACCGCTGCATACGGCCGGTCGGCCTACGCTTTTTCGCCTTCTCCTTGATCGAGTTGGAATTGACCCGCCTGCTGCGTCAGAGCGATGAGTGAATGCGGTGCGGTGCTGCCTGCAATCAGGGTCCAAATTTCGCAGGCAGCGCGAAGTCTGCCGAGCGAGGCCCGCGGTGAGTTGACGTCACGCCTGGCTAGCGGAGAATCGCGCAAAACCACGTGGCGACCGGCATTGACGGCGACGGGCTGAGGTTGAGGTCGAGTCGAGGTGAGGGAGGTTGCCGGCGGGGAAAGGGCGGGGAGAGAGAGCTTGGCGTCGAGCTTCCTAGTCCAACACTACCATCTCGCACGTAGCAGCTCATCATGTCCGGTCTGCTGGGAAGAGGCGCCGGCTTAGCTGCCCAGCGCAGCTGGAGCAGAACAACATCGTCACCTGCGCTCCCACGCCGTTGCCTAGCCGTAGCCTCGCCCGGCTCCCTCCCCGGCGCAGCGCAGCAAGAAGTCGATGGCCCCTTTGTCAAGATCGTAGAGGTGTCGCCGCGTGATGGTCTGCAGAACGAGAAAGCGGCTGTGAGCGTCGAGACAAAGGTGGAGCTCATCCGTCGCTTGCAGGATGCGGGTGTCTGCGCTATTGAGGCGGGCAGCTTCGTGAGCCCCAAGTGGGTGCCGCAGGTGAGTCGGCGAGACGGGCGAGGTAGCATGTAGGGTGGTGCGACTCGTCCACTGACATTCCCTGTCTCTGTCTCTCGCTCAACCAGATGGCAGACACGGCTCGCGTCCTCACCTCCATGCCTCTCAAGTCCGGCATATCGTACCCCGTTCTCGTCCCAAATGCCCGCGGGCTGGACGACCTCCTCTCACTGTTGGACTCGCACCCGAACCAGCCCCTCACCGACGAGATCGCAATCTTCACCGCCGCAACAGAGTCCTTCACCCGCAAGAACACCAACGTCTCCATCACCGAGTCCCTCGACCGCTTGTCCGCTGTAACGCAGAAGGCGAAAGCCAAAGGCCTCAAAGTACGCGGCTACATCAGCGTCGTTGCTGGCTGCCCTTACGAGGGGGCGGTGGATGCGAAAGTGGTTGGGGACATCTCGAACAAGCTGTTTCAAATGGGATGCTACGAAGTTTCACTGGGAGACACGGTCGGCGTGGGCAACCCGAGCTCGATGCTGTCCGTCCTCAACGAGTGCGCCCGCTTCAATCCGCCGGACTTCTTTGCTGCTCATTGTCACGACACATTCGGCACTGGTCTCGCAAATGTGCTGGCCATGGTCGGAGCCGGAGTGCGGGTGGTTGACACGGCTGTTGGCGGGCTGGGTGGATGCCCATACTCACCGGGTGCGACGGGCAACATCGATACAGAGAGTGTCGTATATGCGCTGCATAGCGAAGGATTCAACACAGGCATCGATCTAGTCAAGGCGGCAGAGGCGGGGGAGTGGATCGCTCAGGCTGTTGGCAAGGGCACCAACAGCTCGGCGGGCAGGGCGCTGCTTGCAAGGCAGAGGATGGCGGGGAAGCAGCAGGCGCGGGGGTACCACACTCGAACGGGCAGGGCAGCCTCGAGCCCTGCGGAAGGGATACGCTCTGCCTCCTCCTCGTCAAGAAGAGACGCATCAGCCGTGACGCACAACCAGCCAGGTCCGACACCCCCACCACCCACCATCCCCGCGGACTCATCGCCTCCGCAAGTCCTGCGTCATCCCAGCGTTCCAGATCTGGAGATAGCCCTGCATCCGACCTCTATCTCCATTACCTGCCCCTCACACTCCATCAACGAAGCCTTCGAGCTCGACCACACGTGGTTGCGTGACGTGTGCCCGGAGGTGGGCTCGTCCATTCAGGCTGGGACGGGACAGAAGTTGTTCGGGACTACGGACGTGCCGCTGGCCGAGAATGGAGCAGGTCTGCTGGACCCTGAGCACCCACCGCGATTTGAGCAGGGAGCAAATGAGGAGCCGGTTCTGGTCCTGACCTACTCAACATCAGCACCAGTCCTCAACGCCTTCTCCACTACCTTCTCTCCTTCCCCGCCTCAACCACCAAAGGAGGCCCACGTCTCTCGTGTCCCTTTGCGCACTCTCCTCCTCCATGCCAGTGAGACCCTCTACCGCAGCGAGTGGCATCTCGATCCCGCAGGTGTAGCAGAGCCCTGGGTCGCTGCAGACTTGACCAAGCTGCCTGCCGGCAAGAAAGGAGAGAAGCCCTCTGCGGCAGGGGAGGTACAACCAACGAAGCTGGACGAGGGGCTGGCTCAGTCTAGACCAGCAATGGTAGACTATGGCGCCCTCCACCCGCAAGCTCCGCAGGCGCGGCAGGCTCTTTGGAGTCTAGCAAACTCGCTCGTTAGAGACGGCCTCACCTTTGTGCGTGGCTTGCCCACAGACGTCAAGAGCGGCACCTCACTCGAGGGTGAGCGTGTGCCCGAGCTGGCGAAGCTGGCGGATATGCTCGGAGAGGTGCGCAACACCTTCTACGGCCCTCTCTGGGATGTCAGGAGCTTGCCTGCGAAGGAAAGCAGGAATATTGCGTACACGAATGTGGATTTGGGGTTGCACATGGACCTGTGAGTGCGACCGAGCGCTAGTCTGTAGTTCAACTCATCACAAGGCGTACTGACCTCTCCTGCGACCCCGCCCATCACAGCCTCTACTTCCAAAATCCTCCCCGTTTCCAGTTCCTTCACATGCTCCGAAACGATGTGCTCGGCGGCTCATCAATCTTCGTCGATTCCTTCGCCATAGCTGCGCGCATCCACGCCGAGTCACCGGAGACGTTCCACCTTCTTACACAGGTGCCCATCGCATACCAATACGACAATGACGGCAATTACTATCGGTACACGCACCCGCTCTTTGAGCTGAGCAGTGCAGGAGGGCAAGGGCACGAGGGTCCGCCGTTGCATGCTGCGAATGGGGCAAAGGGGAATGGGATGCCTAGACTGGTGGCGGTCAACTACTCGCCCCCCTTCCAGGCTCCGCTACCTCTCGTCGCACACCCGCTGTTGCGCGATCCTACGACACGCGCCCGCTTCTACTCCGGGCTCAAGCGATTCGCCGACCTGACGCTCCTCCCGGAGTTCAGGGTGGAGCGTCAGCTCGAAGAGGGGGAGGTGGTCCTCTTTGACAACCGTAGAGTCTTGCACAGCAGGAAGGGATTCGAGTTTACGGAGACGGGAGGTGAAGGGGAGGAAAAGTACAAGAGATGGCTGAAGGGTTGCTACGTTGATGGTGATGCGATTTGGAGTCGGTGGAGGGTCGTTGAGAGGGAGAGGAGGGCAAGACTACAGCAAGAAAAGAAGTAGATAGCCTACTGTACTGCACCTATGCAACTCAGTCAGGCCTTCGATGCTGCTTTCGCTCGATCAGACTGATCTCGCCGCGCTCATGGGAAAAGTCTCGCTTTTGGATTGGTTCAAAGACGGGACACAAAATGGTACAAGAAGGAGAGAAAGCGTGTGCAAGTGCTGATGATGTGCGTCACATCCCTCCCCTTCGCCCTCTACGAGCGAGGGTAGGTGCGCGTGGTGTTTGGTCGTGTTCGATGATGATTACCGCGATTATGCCTCACGCGACTCCTTCTGGCGACGACGCTGGTCGCGCTCCTCAGCAATGGAGAGCTTGATTCCTCCACCCTTGGGGATCGAGATCCACGGCTTCGAGTCCTGGGGCGCAATGGCGAAGATGTTGCTCATCCTCGTCGAGAAGTCCCTTCCCAGCGCATCACGGACGTGTCCAATGTCGAAGCCACCAATGTGCTTCTCACGGCCGACGAGGGTGCCCACACGACCCTGGTTACGACCGCCAGTGACCATGCAGGTGATGCCGGTGTCGAGGTGGATGTGCTCCTCGAGCTTGCCAGTCTCGATGTTGTAGCGGACAGTGTCACCGACGCGGATGACGGGGTCAGGGTAGCGGATGGTGCGGCCGTCGTGGGTAGCGATGAAGGGGACGCCCTTGGCACCGAGCTGCGCCTTCTTGACCTTGAGGAGCTTGTAAGATGCCTCCTCGGGGGTGATGCGGTGGACAACGAAGCGACCCTTGACGTCGTAGAGGATACGGAAGTGCTCGCCCGACTTCTCGATGGAGACGACGTCCTGGAAGCCGGTGGGGTAGGTGGGCTCAGTGCGGACCTTGCCGTCGACCTTGATGAGACGCTGGGCGGTGATGGCAATGACCTCACGGCCAGTAAGAGCGTACTTCAGGCGGTTACGGAGGAGGACGATCATGGGGAGCGACTCGCGCAGCTTGTGCGGGCCGGGCGCGGGCCTGGGGGCGTAGGTGCCGCCGAGCTTGGCAAGCATCCAAGACGAGGGGGCGGCAAGCCGCTTCATGTGCTTCCTGGGACCGCGAACCTGAGAGCGAGGAGGGAGGAGGGAGAGCGAAGATGGGTTAGTAGCTGCGCAAAGAGGCATCGTCGACATGCTTTGCCGTCGCGCAAATGCCTGCCAGCCGTCGTCGTCGTCGTCGTCGTTGGCCAAGTCCGCTTCGCGGCACCTCTCCCACAATTAGCCAGCTAATCTACCCCTGCTGAGCTCTTTGTTCTTCGTTGTGGCAGACAGATCCTGCGAGCTATCTCCAATAGCCCTCTGTCCGCCGCTGGTGCCAGATACACCATCGCCCGTTCAGCTGCCTCCCCTCTCCAGCTTCACCGACAAGCATTTTCACCCATGCCTCGACGACGGTGACAAGTGACGACGACGACGAAGGCTTTGGCGACGGCAGAGTATTGGCGTGGCGTTATCTCTGCACGACGCTCACCATATTGACGAGGGGATGAGGAAGAGGAAGGTGGTAGTGATGGAGAGTTCGAAGAAGTGCAAGTCAACCGACGCCAGCCTTGGTTCACTGTCCAGGCCGCCTCGCCGCCAGTCTCGCTCGCGCCCTTTGGCTCTCGTCGACCCGCCCTCTCTCGCTCGTTCCAAGTCTCGACGAGAGTCCGCCCTATGCGCGGCTCCGAGGCTTTGACTTTTTCGTCGCGTTCGACCGCAGACCCGCAGGCGCAGAGCGGTAGAGGACGCCCACGTGGTCAACGGGGCGCGGCCAACCGCGATGGGCGAGGCGGGAGGACAGACACAGGCAAGCGGGGCGGGCGAGAGCTGGAGCTACAACGACGTCGAATTGCAGGTCTGGTCTCCTTCTCGTCGATCCATATCACCATCCTCATTCCCCTTCTCACCCTCTTTCACAGCAAGGTTGGTATCAGCGTATGGCAACGCAGTGAGCAGGTCATGATGGATACAGGGGGCAAATGCTCAGGATAGTCGGAGGAGGGGAAGATGGGACTGGCTGGCCACTCGAGGTTGGCTGCGAAGATGGACGAAGCTCCGAGCGTCTGAGAGATGCTGGACGGGCGAGGAGCGAGGCGGGAACAGGGATCGGGAAGATGGATCACGCAGTCGTCACCACGAGCACGCAGCTGGATGCTGACTTCCATCATCACTGTCGTCTCGCTCGCACAGACTATGGCCCGCAACTCGGACATCGCTCCCTACGTCGGACGACTGAGCCGATCGGCGGTGAGCACCAAGAGCGATGCTGGATAGAGGGTAGTGCTGGAAGCTGATGACGTTCCTCCCCCTCGCCCACCCGCTAGGCCTTCGGCAAGAAGGGCGGCTACAAGACCGTTGCCGCTCGCAAGCCCGTCGCTCCCAAGAGCGAGGAGGTTGCCGAGACCAAGTCCAAGGACCTCAAGAAGGGCGGCTCTCGCTCCATCCCCGTCACCAAGGCCTCTCGCTACTACCCCGCCGAGGACGTCAAGAAGCCCAAGGCTTCGCGCAAGGTCTCTCGCCCCGCCACGCTCCGCAAGAACATCCAGCCCGGAACTGTCCTCATCCTCCTCGCCGGCCGCTTCAGGGGAAAGCGTGTCGTCTTCCTCAAGCAGCTCGAGAGCGGCCTCCTCCTCGTCACTGGCCCCTTCAAGGTCAACGGCGTCCCCATCCGTCGCGTCAACCAGGCCTACGTCATCGCCACCTCGACCAAGGTGGACCTCTCGGGCGTCTCGGTCGACGAGAAGCTCAACGACGCTTACTTCCGCCGCGAGAAGACTGCTGGTGCCAAGCCGGAGGCAAGCTTCTTCGCTGACCCGAAGAACAAGCAGCCCCACCCTTCCAACAAGGTCGCTGACCAGAAGGCTCTGGACAAGGCTGTCATTGCCGCCGTCAAGAAGAGCGGACCCGTCATGGCCAAGTACCTTGCGGCCACCTTCTCGCTCAGCAACGGTGACAAGCCCCACGCTATGCGCTTCTAAGCGGGCGTGGTGCAGAGAATCGTAGCAGTTGAGATGGTTGGGTAGAGCGATGGGTAGTTAGGCAGACGATGACGATGATGGCAGGCGGGGCCAGCAGACGAGCGAGCTAAAGACGGCGTGCGTGTATTCCCCCACACCTCTTGGACGCTCAGACAGTAGCGTAGCAGCGGCATGATGAGTGCTGGGCTCGCTGCACACACACACAGCAGCAGCATTGGAGGGGGCGAGAGAGAGAGAGGGTGACACCAGCGTGCCCTTCTCTTCTCTCCCTCTCCACTTTGTACCAATTCTATTCTCTTTTCCGCCACGAGCGTGCGTGTTGTGTGCGGCGTGCGATGTGGGGGTGACGAACAGCATAAGTCTCCACCATGCGCGCCTGTGATGCTCAGAGCGTGCGTGCGCTTCTCGTAGGTGCAGCGATGCTCGCAGATTGCTCGCAGCCTTGCCCCACCTCCCGCCTTGCTCGCTCGCGTGGCTATCCGGGACATCTCGGACCGGACCGAGCTCTTGATCGTCGTCTCGTCTCGTCATTGGCCCAAGAGTCGCTGCTGCCTCTCGGCTGGCGAGGGAAGTTGAATTGGGGCGGCGACTGACTGGCCGAGCGAGTCGAGTCGTGACCTTCTCACGCAGCGCAACGGCCAACTCCCATCTTGCTCTCTTTCTCCACCACCCTCATCCCTTCATCTCATCAGTCATGTTCGCAGCTCGCAACGCCCTCCGCGCTGGCCTTCGCCAGGCTCAGCAGCCTCGCATGTTCTCGACTTCGGCCGTCAACAACAAGAATGTTGCCGTCCTTGGTGCTTCGGGTGGAATTGGCCAACCTGTGAGTATCCGACTATGAAGCCTGACTATATGCTACTTCTCTCTCCACCTCAAAGCTCCCGGCTGACCACCTCCTTTCTCGCCTGTGTCCTCACGCAGCTCTCCCTCCTCCTGAAGAACGACCCCCTCGTTACTCAGCTCCGCCTCTTCGACGTCCGCCTCGCCCCCGGTGTTGCGGCAGACATTGGCCACATCAACACCCCCGCAGTCACCACCGGCTACTCGCCCGATGGAGCTGAGGGTGGGCTCGAGAAGTGCCTCGAGGGAGCTGAGGTTATTGTCATCCCTGCCGGTGTGCCGAGGAAGCCCGGAATGACCCGTGACGACCTCTTCAACGTGAGTGCCACGAGTGAGAGAGTGTAGCGATCTGAGCTCTGCTGCGCAGGCTGAGCAAGCAGGGAGAGCTGAGACTGACATCGCGCTTCGCCTCCGCTCGCAGACCAACGCCTCCATCGTCCGTGACCTTGCCAAGGCTGCGGCCAAGGTCGCCCCCAAGGCGCACATGCTCATCATCTCGAACCCGGTCAACTCGACTGTCCCCATCGTCCGTGAGGTCTTCAAGAAGGCCGGTGTCTACGATGCCAAGAAGTGAGTGCGCCTCGTAACGAGAAGCTGCTGCCCCCCTCATAGCGCTGACCATGTCACATCTCGCGCTGCCCCTGCCAGGCTCTTCGGTGTCACCACCCTCGACGTCACCCGCGCTTCCACCTTCCTCTCCGGCATCTCCGGTGCTGCTCCCTCGGAGACGATCGTCCCCGTCGTCGGTGGCCACTCTGGCGTGACCATCGTCCCTCTCCTCTCTCAGGCTGCCCAGTCTTCGTCCGTCAAGGCTGGCGAGCAGTACGAGAAGCTCGTCCACCGCATCCAATTCGGCGGTGACGAGGTCGTCAAGGCCAAGGACGGTGCCGGCTCCGCTACCCTCTCCATGGCTTACGCCGCCGCCGTCTTCACCAACTCGCTGCTCCGCGCCCTTAAGGGCGAGAAGGGCATCAAGGAGTGCGCGTACGTCGACTCGCCCCTCTACAAGGACCAGGGCGTCGACTTCTTCGCCTCGGCCGTCGAGCTTGGCCCTGAGGGTGTCAAGGAGATCAACCCTATTGGCAACATCAGCAAGGAAGAGGAGAAGCTCCTCGAGGCTGCCGTTCCTGAGCTGGCCAAGAATGTGCAGAAGGGCATCAAGTGGGTTGGTGAGAACCCTTAAAAGCGGGTGGGGGAGAAGAAGGTGTGGAAACATATCAGTAGACGCCCGATGAGGAGCCGTTGCGTGGGAGGGAGAGGAGACGATGACACTTGGGAGTCGTAGTCCTCTTCTGCCCACTCCTCGTTTTTAATTCAATATCGTCCCCTGTTTCAGGTGCAACACAACGACAACGATGCAGCGAGCGTGATGTAGCAAGACGATCCTCGGTGTGAGCGCACAATGGCGGCGTGAGTACGAGCACGAAACAAAGTGAGAGAAGGGTAGCCGTGAGGTCGACGGCAAAAAGGGACGATGATCGCGGGCGCCTTCGTAGAGCTCGTCAATCATGCACGAGTACCCACAACTGTAGGAGCTGCCTTCACGCCTGCTCTCACCCGTCACGCTCCACAGCAGCAATCAGTATCACTCAGCCTCGTTCGGTCCCTTTCCATCTTCAGTGAATGGGCGTCATATTGACTCTCTGAGACGACGATCGCAGTCGTGCGATGGTCTCTCATGTGATGGTGTGATGGTGCGAATGGTACAAAAAGAGGGAGAACAACTGAACAGCACGCCTGGGTTGGCGGCGCCGCACTTAGTGACCAGTACGCCTCTGCTCAGCGACGACGTTGGTGAGGTACTCCATCTTGCCCTTGGCGCGACGCAACGTGCCCAGGCGGGCCTTGAGGAACTTGCGGCCCTTCTTGTCCTGTGAAGAGGGGAGGGGTGGGGCGGTGTGAGTGATATTGTTCGTCAAAGTACGTGTGAGACGAGTCGAAGGATGAGTTTGGCGAGAAACGCAAGCCAGAGGAAGCCATTGCCGTATGAGGCCCAGCCATCCCGCAGGCAGGGATGGAAGAGGTTCTGCGATCGTCCTCGAGTCCACCCTGCATCTATGACTGTAGCATCCAGTCTCGCTGACAGTGACGGCAAGAGCAGATCACCGTGTGCATTGCCCCAGACTGCCATGGCCTGCTGAGCATGGCAGAGTCTGCCCGTGCGAGCCCCTTCATCTCGCTCTGACATCGCACTGCCAGCCTATCCGCATCCCCGTCTGTATGCTGCGACGACCAGCGCCTATTCTTTCCGATCTTCATCCTGCCCTCCTTCAATCATTGCTCATACCCAGCACTGCCTTCGCTCCGGACGTTCGCACTGCTACACTGCTCTGCCATCGCTGAAACTAACCTTGGAGTTCCTGATCAGCTCGAGAGCACGACGCTCGTAAGGGGCGAAGCCGGCGACCTCACGGACGACGGACTTGACGAGAGTGTTCCTCTGGCTGGAACGGCCCTTCCTTCGCGAGGGACGCTCAGCGACGTTGCGCTGCTCGGTCTGGTGTCCGCGCTTGATACCGAGGGCGAGGCCTGTGAGAGGGAGGGTGGTGGCAGGATAGGACGAGAGAGGTCAGAGACTAGGACTAGGAGCGAAGCAGTTTGTGCGCCGCCACGCACCGTTACGGTTGACGCCGGTGATCGAGCGCCTGTGGTCGGGGTTGCTGGACTTTGTCGACATGGTTGATGAGGAGGGAAGACGGGGGGGATGGAGTGGTAACAACGAAGGACGTCCGATGTTCGACTGTCGACTAGGCGGCGGGCGGGTCGAGCGTGGCCTTGGAATTCTAGCTCTGGCTCTGGCTCTGGCTCTGGCTGTCCCGCCCGCCCCGTCGTTCGTCGCTGCCGTCGTCGAGTCGAGTTGCGTTCGGCCGAGGTCATTTTGCTGCGCGCACTCGCTCCCTCGCTCACTCACTTGACCCGCGACTGGCTGCGAGGCCCACAGACAGAATTCGTGAGGCGGGCGGGCGGGCGGGGGCGATGCGAGAGAGGACTTTGACTCGATTGACCTCTCTCTCTCTCCCTTACGCTTTCGTCACCAACTCACCCTCCCTCATCCTCAACGCCTCATCAACATGGTTAGTTGAACTTCAACGACATACGGCGACGCTATGGCGACGTCGACACCATCCTCTCCTATCAACCCACCTCACTCTGCTCTGTTATCTCGTGCTCGCACGATGGCAGGCTGAGCAAGTCGAGCGAGCTTTGGCCAACTGGTTGCCGCTCGCACATCCCCGTCGAGGACGTCGAGCTGCATCTGCTGCACTCGCTCTGATGACACGGACGATGACCAATGGGGAGCTCTCGTTGCGATTCTCTCACTGCCCAGCAGTTGACGTCCTTCGATCTCGTTTAGGGCTCCGAGGCTTGTGTCGTCGTCGTCTCTACGTCGTCGTCCGCTCTCGTCCCAATGACCCACCGTGCTGACATAGCCATTCTCCTTTCTCCCCTCCCTTCTTCTGCACAGCCCAAGGCCACCACCACCAAGAAGGCAGCCCCCGCCCCTTACTCTAAGGGTGGCAAGAACGCCGCTAAGGCTCCCAAGGACGCCCGCTTCGAGAAGCGCTCGCGCAACTTCGGCATTGGCCAGGACATCCAGCCCCCTCGTGACCTGACTCGCTTCGTCAAGTGGCCCGAATACGTCCGCCTCCAGCGCCAGAAGGTCATCCTCAACCAGCGCCTCAAGGTCCCGCCTGCTATCGCCCAGTTCTCCCACACCGTCGACAAGAACACTGCCACCAACCTGTTCAAGCTCCTCAACAAGTACAGGCCCGAGTCCCGCCAGGAGAAGAAGGCACGTCTCGACGCTGCCGCCAAGGAGGTCGCCGACGGCAAGAAGGCCGACGCCAAGGCTGGCCCCAAGCCCATCCACGCCAAGTACGGTCTCAACCACGTCACTGCCCTCATCGAGGCCAAGAAGGCAAAGTTCGTTGCCATCGCCGACGACGTTGACCCGATTGAGCTCGTCGTCTTCCTCCCCGCTCTCTGCACCAAGATGGGCGTCCCCTACGTCATCGTCAAGGGCGGCAAGTCCCGCATGGGCACCGTCGCCCACAAGAAGACGTGCGCCGTCATGGCCATCACCGAGGTCAAGTCCGAGGACGAGCGCGACCTCGCTGCCCTCGTCTCGAGCGCAAAGGCAAACTACCTCGACAAGGCTTCCGAGCTCAGGAGGTCGTGGGGTGGAGGTGTCCGCGGTGGCAAGTCGACTGTCAAGATGGAGAAGAAGGCAAAGCAGGCCGGTACCACCGTCGCTGCTATCACCGCTCAGTAAGCGCAGCGCGTTTAGCGACTTCTCTCTGCTTCTTTGTATCACCACAGTCGGCGAGAGAGAGCGTAACCCGCTCCTCTTCCACACCGTCAATGACACGCATCCATTTTCACGTCATTCGCTGCCGCTGCTGCTGCTGCTCGAGTCTGATACCATTCGTTGCGACGTCATGCAAACTAGATGATCGCCCTTCAGTCCTGAATCTCCCTCACGATCCGTTCATGCCCCATCTTGACCCTCTTCCCCCTGCCCCTCCGCACCATCCCCATCCCCGGCCGTCCCCTCCAGAAGCGAAAACTGCTTCAACAACTCCCCCTCCCCTCCCTTCTCCAGATCAATCCCATAGACATAGAAGTAACCCTCGCTCGTAGCCACGAACACCTGTGGACTTGTCCCGCTCACCGCCACTACCGAGCTAGCACCCGGGGTGGGAAGGCGGAGAGATGCAAAGTCTCGTTGTGGTGTCCAGAGGGAGGAGAGGGATGAAGGTAGGTAGGCGCTCGTTGAGCTGCTAGTGGACGAGGCGAGGCGAGAGGCAAGAGCAGAGGTGCGTCGTGTGAGGGAGCCACGGAATCCTCCGCCTCCCGCAGAGGACTTGGACGATGGTGGAGCCGTTGCACCTGCTTGGCTACCATTCTCGCTACTCCCATCCTCACTCCCCAAACTGGGCGAATCGAGCGTACCCGCCCCTCCAAAGCCACCTCCTGGCGATTTTGCTCCTCCTCCTCCTGCCTTTGCCCCTGCACCTGCCAGCTTGAAAATATGCACCGTCTCCGTATCACTGCTGACGCAGAGGAGACTGCTGACCGCGTTGAATTGCATACTGTAGATCCTAGCCGGGTAGGCGCCGCGCCTATACTGGCCTACAAGCTGGGCACCGGGAACGGAGAAGACGCGCAGGACGGTCCCCTTATCCGAGGCTGTGGCTAGCAAGGTGCCCGTGGAATTGAGGGAGAGATGCGCGATGGGCGACTTGTGGGCTTGGATTATGTTGGAGACTTGGAGGTGGAGGAGATCGAAGATTAGGACATCGCCCGGTGTTGATGAGCCGGAGCTGGACGATGAGGCCCCTTTTGATCCCGCACCGTTCCCTCCTTCCCCACCGCTGCCTCCCGCAAACGGCGACGTAGGGCTAGGCACTGGGCTTGGGTAGGCCAGGAAGCACGGGTCGCTCGAGGGTGAAAGGGCGCAGATTGCGTTGGGATTTGGGCTCGTCTCGATGGTGTGGAGGAGCTTCATGTTGCTGATGTCGTAGATGTAGATCTCGTCCTCCAGGACCACGACTAGCCTGCGACGGTTGAGTTTGACGGCGAGGATCGTCGTGGGGAAGAGAAGCTCGCAGATTGTTGATTGGCGCTGCGCAGCAGGAGGGCGAGGAGCGAAGTGAGTATTTAGAAGGGCGCAGGGGAGAGTACGGCGCTGCGCAAACTCACCTTGGTGTTGACGATCTGCAGTCGTCGCGGCGAGGCGCTGGGTCCAGAATCTGCCGTACCTACGATGGCGACGAGAGAGGTACAGAAGAGCATCTCTACGATGGAGACTGGGCCGACATCTGTGAAACGAGGGGGCGAGAGAGTCAGCATACAGGCACGCCTCATGGTCTCCTGAGCCTCGTCTCTCGCCGCGATACGCACTCTTCGAGTACACCTTGCCAAACGGCTCGCAATTGGTGATCGAGTATCCCGTCCTCGTCCCTACTGCTACACAGCTAGCATCCTGATTGAAGTTGACCGACAGCAAGTCACTCGAGGCCTTGTGGGCATTGGTCCCTCCAAGAAGGCGTGACATCGTGGTCGTGACCGCCCTCGACTTATCTCTATTTTAGCTCTGTCTGGCTCGCTATCAGAATCGTCGCCGACTGCCAGCACGAAAAGCGGCCTGCGTAGCCGCTGCGATCCTGTGATCTCTACGGTTGATGCCGGAGGAGACGAGGGCGATTGCAGCGCACGAGGCGAGGAAGGCGATGAAACGGAAGAAGGCTTTGCGGGAAAGGGCTCGCTCTTCGAGGGGCGTGCGAGAGGAAGAGAAGATGCGACGGAGGTTCGGGAGGGCCATGCAGCACCAAGGGCTGCGATGGTACTTGGTAACGAGGGCGAAGGGGAGATGCGGTGGAGTGGATGCGGAGTCAAGTGTTGGACGGGCCACGCAGCGAGGCGAGGTGCGAGGGATGGGCCCGGGCATCAGCCACGTGGAGAGCGGGAGTGTGAACCGTGCACCAACGCCGAGCTTTGCGGGGAAGCAAGCCGCCGAAGGCGGCGAATGGCGGCAAAGACGTGGGGGAGTCAGTCGTCGCCGACCTCTTTGACTTCCTTACCTTCCAGCCACGCACTCCTGCTCACCCCACCATCCCTTCTTCGCCAACATGCCCCCTTCCAGCATCACCCGCCTCCACCCCACCCGCACAGCGCTCTTCCTCTGCGATGTTCAGTCTCGCTTCGCCTCGGCCATTCACCAATGGCCCTCCGTCGTAGCCACATCGGCCAAGATGCTCAAAGCGGCCTCTATCCTCTCCTTGCCCGTCTACGCAACCGAACAGGCCCCGAAAGCGCTCGGCAATACCGTCAGCCCCCTCTCTGAGCTGCTGGGTGCCCTTCCAGCTCCAAGCACCAAGACGGCCTTGCCCAAGACGCGATTCAGCATGGTCCTGCCGGAGGAGACGGACAAGTGGATGAAGGAGGCCGGCAACCCAAGCAATGTCATCATCGTCGGTATTGAGTCGCATGTCTGTGTTCTCCAGACTACCTTGGACCTTCTCGAGCGCGGCATCGCGGTGCACGTATTGGCCGACGGCGTCAGCAGCTGTAATGCGGGAGAGAGGAGGGTGGCGCTCGAACGTATGCGACAGGCGGGCGCAATCATTACTACGTCCGAGTCTGTTTTGTTCCAACTCATCGAGGACGCATCTCATCCCAACTTCAAGGCTATCAGCGGGCTCATCAAGGAGGAGAAGGAGCCGACCAAGACGGCTGTGCGAGACTTGGCGGAGCACCTCTAATGCGAGAAAGACGGGATTCATGCGAGGATGTGGGAGGTCAAACCGGAAGGAAACGAGAGTAGGAGGAAGCGGAAGGCATCAGGCATCAAGACAAACTCATTAGCGTGCGTGCCGGTTGTATCACGACGAATGGAATTCGCGACGCAAGGCTGCGAGGTGTGCGTGTCTCTCTGCGCCTCTGCTGTGCGCTGCATTCTCGTCTGGACCTCCTCGGAGCCCCCTCTACGCCAGATATTGCAGCGTGTCCCTACTCCCTTCCTGTCTCTCAAGATACTCCTTCTCGATCAAACTCTCGATTGCCCTCTTCACCGCAGGGACATCAGGCTGGAACCTGCTTCCCACCTGACTCACAACCTCCTGCACCAGCTGCGCATGCTTGAGCGTCTTGCGCGCCTTCATGATTCTCACCACTGTGGCCTGGAGGAGCAAGCGGCGATCCTCGTCCACCGTCTTGAGGACGTCAACCGTCTCTGCTTTCGTCTCGGAGCGCATGGGGATGTTGAGATTCATGCGAAGCTTCTTGAACTTGGCGGCCATGTTGAGGGAGTACGACGTTGACGCGCCAGCTGAAGAGGACGACCCCTCACCATTCGCCCCTCCGCTTGCCTTCTCGAGGAGCACCTTCGACTTGATCAAGGCCCCTAATGCTCCCTTGAGGGCCTGCTCGTTCAGACCCGTCGAGTCGTACAGCTCCTTCATCGTCAAGGTGTCGTTGCTGTTGTACTGTAGGAGGACGGCGGCCTGGTACGCCGAAGTGGTGAAGATGTGCTTGTGCCCCAGGTAGCTGGTGGAGAGATCTGTCTTGCCTAACTGCCAGAGCCAGGTGAGCTTACGTCCAGAGTGCTTGGCGCCGTAGAAGCGCTCAAAGCGGGTGTACATTGGGAGGAGCTCGGTGGGGATGGAGAAGTCCGAGGTAGGTGCGGAGAGGGGCCAGAATCCATTGGCGAGGACGAGGGCGTAGAAGTCCATGAGTTCGGACTTGTCGTACTGCTGGTTCATTTGCTCCTTGAAGCTGTCGTTCAGCTCTTTGGAGAGACCCATGTCGGTGAACATGCGCTGGAGCTTGTTGGTGTACTCGAAGCCGCATCTGTGCGGGCGAAGAGTAGAAGCAAACGTCAATACGGTGCTCCTCGCCTCGTAGCTATCGCGCGCCATACGCACGTCTCCTTCAGCTTCGAAATCATGCTCGCCTCCGCATCATCCGACGCGCTCGCAAAGTTGACCAGTCTCTTGGCGAGCATCTTGCTGTAGAACTTCTGGAAGACGTCCTTGTCCTCGATGTACTTGAATACGACCATGACCTGGTTGAGGTCTTCCTCGAGGCTCGCCTCCTCTGCGCTCTTGTTGGACTTCTTGAGTAGGCCATCCGTGTGCTTTGCGAGGAGCTCGGGGGATTTCGAGGTGGAATCGCCGGTTGCTCTGCGAAAGCGCGCGCGAGAGGAGAGGGAAAATGTCAGCTCACACGCTGCGCGTCAGCTTTGGGGTCGAAACGCACTTGTTCTTGTTCATGAAGACGCGACAAGCCTTGTCGAGGGCAGCAAGAAAGCCCGCTTCCGATCTGAAAGCGCTGGTGATGACGCCGACAAACTTGGAGTGGACGCCAAGCAGCGCCGAGACGTATGCGGCAGGCTCCATAGCATCGACGTTACTCCCCGCTTCGCGCTCCACCGCTGCTGCTCCCTTGCGCTTGACATGCTCCTCGAAGCCGCGGCGGAGTGGCTCGAGACCGTCGGGTATGCGCGAAAGGAGGGTGTACATGCGATAGAGGTCTGTTGGTGGCGGCGAGGAGGTCGGCGGTCAGCGATTGGGAGCCGCCATGCTGCACCTCGGAGACCAGAGGACTCACCGTCACCCTTGTCCGCCTCCAACAACTTGTCAAATTCGTCCCACAGGAGCTGCGCATGCGCACCGATCAGTGCATTCTCGCACTTCTTAATCAACCTGGCCCTCGTAGCAGGGTGGAGGTACATCTCCACGCGGTCCTCCTCCTCCTTCAGCCGTGTCTCCGCCTTCCTCATGTAGTCAGTCACTGAGTTGGCCGCGACGAAAGCAGCGCTCTCTGTGCGGTAGTAGAGTTCCGTGGCTGAGATGAAGGCAGACTCGAATTCAGCCTTGTAGAGGTCGATGTTGGATCTGCGTGCGCAGGGGCGAGGCAGGCGGGGTCAGAGGTGGCGCAGGAGCGAGCTGAGGAGCATGACTGGACTCACTGGACAGAGTCGTTCTCGTCCAGGCCGAGGGAGACTGAGCGAGAGAGGTACACAGGAGGTCAGCCTACGTCGCACGCCCAATTCGTACGCCGCCACGCCGCCTCACCGAAGCTGTCAATGACCTTCTTAACCAGCCCCGTATCAATCGTCTCTCCGTTCCTCTGACTCTGGATCTGCTTGAGTACCGCGTCTGTGATACGATTCTTTGCCTGCGTCTGTCGGAACATATAGTCGCGCCATTGGACGAGGGCGAGCTGAGCGGGTGGCGTGCACCGAGTCAGTTGAGCATCGTTCAGGCTGCTGGTGATGAGGAAGCTCGCGGGAAGCTCACTGTGTAGACGGTGTAGACATTCTTCTTGCCCTCATCCTTCTCGCGCTTGACCCAATGGCGATTGAGGTAGACGAAGAGGCGATGGACGTAGTTTGCTCCTTGAGTGTATTGAGTCCACTCGCCTGCGTAGTAGCGGAGGAGCGTCTCGTCGGAGAGGTCCGTGGCTCCCTGAGCGAGGGTGTGGGGACGACAACATCAGCATCCGATTGAGGTGATGAGCTCGTCCTTCGCGTGCGCCCACCTTGCGCAGGTGCTCTGAATGCTGCCTGAAGTACTGCTTGATTCTCTCGTAGAGGTCTGCGCCCACCAGATTGGCGCCCATGCTCTTGTTGAAGCTTGCGCCGAGGGCCATCTTCCCTGAGCTGCTCATCCTGCTTGACGTGCAGTAGTCGTATGCCTGTGAGCGAGGAGGGAGCCAATTGCGGTGAGTGGAATGCGCAGCAAGGCTGTGACGAATGAGGGCGGCGTACATACAACGGTGTAGAGCTTCATGTAGCGCGGGTAGTCCATGCCTTGAGTCAGCCTGACACGAATTGAAGAGAAGAGTTAGCCTACACCTCATCATACTTCATGCTCTCCGCCACGCACTTGCTCATCATGACCTCGATCCCATCAAGGAGGAACCTCCAAGTGGCCTCGAGGTCATCGGGCGGAGGCAGATCCGATCCCTTGCCGACTGGAGGCATGGCTGTCGACGGCGGCAAGGGCTGCGGGAAAGAAGAGGGGGAGCAGCTCTAGTAGTGTGAGTCAGGCGCTGTTGTCTTGCTGTGCGCTGTCGAGTGATCAAGAAGTGAGATGAGGATGACGAACGGACAGCGGGCGGGTAAGTCGAGAAGTCAATCTCGTGGAGGACGTCGAGTGGTGTCGGACGGAAGGCGGCGGCGTCGACGACACGCCACGCGACCTGGCAATTCAGCCTCGTGAAGTGCAGCCGGCGGCATTTTGTCCACCTTCCACCATCACGACGATGACGAGGACGACCTCCAGTGCTCCTTGATAGTCACTGTCGCGGGCCAGTCAACGCAAACAGCACAGCAGCAAGGGACCGACCTCCTTTGCCGAATCTCTCTTCTCCTCTTCTTGAACTCGTTGCCCCTCAGTCGCCGCTCATCACGGTGCGCCAAAGCTCGTAAAGGGGGCAAGCAATGGAGCTCAGCTCAGCTTCCTGAAGCTGTCAAGACAAGTCGAGGTGAGAGAACACGATTGAAGTGGATATGGTGGTCTAGTGGGCAGCAGCTGACCTCAGCCACATCTCCGCGTCAGCTCGTCTCGAGACTCGAGGCGGCGGCGGTCATCGCTCAGCATTTGTGCACCGTCGCATCTCGCCAAGCAGTCATGGATCCGCTATCCCTGTCTTTAACGGCCATCGCCGGCGACACGTCCGCTATCACTGCCGCCAGGGCAATTTGTTCGACGGCGGTGCCTGACCGGAAACTCGACGCCGCCTTCGCCCCCAAAAGCCCTGACGACGAGCGGCGGCGACGATCGGCGGCGACGCGCTGGCACCGCTCTCATCTCCTCTACCACCTCCTCGCCCGCCGTCTATGCTGCTCACCAACAGCCACTCTTATCAGCCACACCCGCGACTCAGCAAGTCGATTCAAAGGGACAGATCAAGGAGAGGAAGCTGAAGGAGACATTGTCCACATCTTCGTCGTGAGATAGCCTCGAGCACAAAGAAGGAACAAAGAAACGTCAGCCTCAACCTGAGCAAGACCTTCAAGGCGCTTTTGACGGTCAGTGATCAGCCTGACTCTGCCACCGACCTCTTCATTAGTCTCGACCTCAGCAAGACTTACAAGGCGCTTTTAACGGTCAGCAACGAGCCGGACTCCCAACTCGACCTCTTCATCTCCCTCTCCCCATTCCTTGCTGCTCTGATGCGTGGCATCAGCCTCGACCTCAGCAAGTCTTACAAGGCGCTCCTCACGGTCAGCGACGAGCCCGATTCGCAAATCGACCTCTTTGTCTCCCTTTCTCCCTCCTTGGCTTCCCTTCTGTGTGGCATCAGCATCTCGCTGAGCCAAGAAAAGGACGACGGATCGACCACCGTCGTCATGTGGCAGGAGAATCAATGGCCTCTCAAGGCGAAGTACCTCAAGTTGGTCGACTTCGTCTTGAGCGTGCTCACGCGGGAGGAGAAAGCGCCGAGGCTGCGCCGGGCAGCGGCAGCTGCGGCAGCAGAGGAGGGGCGCCGCCGCGCTCTGGCCACCCCACTGAGCCTCGATGGTCAGGCAGCTGCGGCTGGCCTGATGGTCATCACCCACGGGGCTACACGGATCAAGCTGCCAAACGGCGATCACCCCGTCCTCGTGCAGCCCTCCGGCAAGAATCTGGCGGGGGAGCGTCAGAGGATTTATGGAGCGCTCGGCATCGCCGACCACTGGAGCGAGTTCGAGAACGCGTACGAGATCATGTGGCCCAACATCCTCGCGCGCATCGACCTCAGCGCATCCGATGGCAGCTTCCGCCCGCCCCACAACACGGGCATCACTTCTGCTCGTCCGTCCCTCGCAGCGATGCAATGCGCAGAGTTGCAGGTGGTGGCATTTGGTGGCCGCGGCTGGACCAGGTACCCGGGTTTCATCACGTCGCAAGCGGGTCTGGAGCCTCTCTGGGACCTCATCGACGAGATGTACGACCTTTGGCCAGAACCGGTCAAAGCCCTCGTGCGTCTTCTTGCGGAAGATGAGCCGCCGGAGTTCGAGGCGGTGTGGAGGAAGCTGTCTGGGAAGGAGGCCAAGTTCTCCTACAAGGTGAGCTCGCCAGCCCCTCTTTGTGCAAGCCGCTTTGACTGCCTACTGACCTCCCCGTCCCATGACTCCGCCGCACAGGCTCGCTACGTCGCCGGGCAGAAGACCATGGCAGGTGCAACCACCGCCATGCGCAAGCACCTCTTCCCGGGATGGGAGATGGGGGAGACCGGGAGCTTTACGCGTGGGCGAAGGAGTTCGGGAGCGGTGTGAAGAACTTCGCCGACTTCCGCATCGGCGTGTCCGTCGACCTCGTCAACTGAGTCTTCGTCAAGCACGTCGCCACCCTTGAGAAGGCCTGGCGCCTTTTCAAGCAGTGGCGTATGGACGACGGCAAGACGTGGTGGAACGAAGCCACCACCGTCCAATCATTCGTAGCTATTGACCGATAGCTATTGAGCGAGCGAGCGAACGAAAGAACATGTAGAACTTTAACATGTACCATTCTGCTTGCGTTGAAACGCTAGAATACACTAGCTTTTCTTGCCTCCAATGCCGTCTGCTCTGCCTTTTGCGTCTTCTTCTCCCTCTTCCCGCTCCTCACCGAGGCCACGAACATCAAGTCACGCATGCGCTCAGCATCAGTAAGAGGTAACCATGGATTATGTGTATATGCGCGCGCACGCGTGTGTGTTTGTGTGTGTGCTACAAGAGCGAGAAAAAGGTATATATCAGATCCATCTTTCCGAGCTTTCTTCGACGATGGGCTACTCTTCCCCCGCCCCATCCTCCTCCTTCTTCCCAGCTCCACCACCAGCCTTTGGCTTCTTGGCATTCCTCGGCTTCAGCAAGGGCAACAAGTCCTCGCGTCCCCTCGCGAACTTCGGATGAAGGAAACTGGAATGAGCGCCATAGAGTTGCTGCGCCGTCGTCTTGTTCACATCACCCTGCACGGTATCAACGCCAGGGAGCCCTTGCGCCCTTGCTGCATCCATCTCCTCGCGATCCAGAATGCGGGAGGAGGGCAAGCGTTGGAAGCCGTACAGGTTCATTTGACGGATGAAGGAAGAGTAGTTTGCGTGGTTCCAGAGACGCGGGAGAACTTCAGATGCAAACTCGTTGCTCAGGTCCGGGTCGGTCGATAGAATGACCGTAGAGCCCGTGGCGTTCCAGTGGATGTAGCGCCCGTAGCGTTGAGGTCGAGTGACGAGGAACCATAGCTTGGCAATGAAGGCTGCGCAGTTCGCTGCTCCGCCCAGTCTGTCCCTGATCGCGGTGACCTCGACCATCTCGTCGGGTGGCGGACCCGTCCCATCATCCTCCGTGGTAGCAGGAGCTGGTGCGGGGTCAGGAACTGCAGGGATCGAGTCTCGGACGTCGGGGCGACGAGAGATGCTCCGGCTTGCACGGATGGTGCCACCGGCCGAGGTGCTGGTGGTCATGATCATCTCGTCGTCCGTGGCATCGTCATCTTCCTCCTCCTCCTCAGCTTCCTCACCCTCCTCACCATCTTCGTCCGCCTCCTCATCGGCAAAGGCGGCCGCAGGCTCTGGACCACGAGGCACGCCCCACCTCTGCCTTGAGCGCGACCTCTCTCGGCGGGAGGGCATCTCGACGGCGAATGCTGAGGGCACGCGTCCTCCACTGGGCGTGCCGTAGGGCGAGGGCCGGGTGAACGACATTCCGCTTGCGCCGGGGCTGCGTCCGTATGGGCTGTTGCCCGATGGGCTGCGTGAGAAGAGGGTGGCACTGCCGAACGTGGCAGCTCCTCCCGCACCAGCACCTCCGCTCGTGGAGGCAATGGAGTAGGCGCTCACTGAAGAGGGAGGCATGATGGGTCTGCCCAGACGACCAGAGGACAGACGTCGTGCTTGAAGACCCTGATTGGCGGAAGGTAGCGATCGACTGTATGCTGAGGGTGCTGCGCCGTTGGTAAAGGAGGCGTGGTGAATGTGCGATGGTCTCCTTCTTGATGCGCCGACACCGCCGCCGCCGACGCCGCTGCCACTGCCACCACCACCGTTGCTGCCCTGCGATGGCGAGTGGCTCATCTCGACGCCACCGCCAAGTGAGAGCTTCTGGAGAGAGCGAGCCGTAATGCTGGGAGAAAGGACACGGTCAACTGGTGCACCGGAGGTGCTGGTGGCATGAGCTGCGACTGGCGCAAAGGGCGGAGAAGGTGGTAGAGCAGGAACCGAGTCGTCGACGGACTGTGGACGAAGGTAGGGGCTCGAGAAGCTGAACACGCCGGCTGCGTCGCCCTCGCCGTCCATCTCATCCATGGCTGCAGTCCCACCCCTTGTGCCGCGGCGACGCGCGTAAGCCGGCGAATCCTGCAGACCAAGCTGCGATGCCGTGTGGCCAAAGACATCCTCGTCGATGTCATCTTCATCGTCCATTGCTGATCCCGAGCGCTCAGCTGACGTCTTGAATGAGGTGCTGAGATAGGGCTTGACGCTCGAGTACGGGTAGCTCGCCCCGCCGTTGCTGTAGATGTGGCGGTCGGTGTTGGGAGGCGACCAGTGGTTGCTGACCTGCGAGCCTACACGAGGGGAGCCTCGGTAGCTGGGGCTGACGCTGGGTAGACGAATGGCGGAGGAGAGGGAAGATGAAGCGGCTGGCGTCTTGGTGACAGAGGGACGACGCAGCATATGGTCCGGTGGCGTGGCCACGTCGCTTGGCGTGTGTGAGGCCGTGGTACCGCCTACTGATCTGGGCTCGTAGTAGGTGCGTGGAATGGGAAGCGGGCGGATGGACGCCGAGGGCTGCTGTGCGACGAGGCGTAGAGGCGTAAGTGTGAGCCACTGCTGCACAGCAACGCGGCTGCTCGCGCTAATACGCACCTCATTGCCATCGATCATCTCTGTATCGCCGTCATCGCCCACGACTTCCGCCTTGAGCGACAGCGTACCGTTGGAAGACATGCCGACTGCGTGTTCTCGCAAGGTGACTGTGCTTCCTGTGCTGTTCCTCGATCTGCTGAGGTAGTGTTGATTTGGGTTGGCGAGTGTGTTCTCGTTGGCCGCGATGCTGAAGCCGTTCTGGCGGAGTGGCGACCTCAGACGCGCGTCGCCGGCAGAGGATGAGCTGGGAGTGGATCCAGCCATAGGTGGTGGGGTTACGTGAATGATGGGGAGCGAGGAGCGATAGGGTGGTATAGCGTTGAGAGTAAGTAAGAAGAAGTCGACAGGGGCGGGACCGAGTCCAATCGAGTCGAGTCGCGGGTGGCGGGGCGGTGCTCAGTCGAGTCGATGGGGCCAACGCGCTCGCTTCGAGCTGAGATAACGCGGCGAGTAGGGGTGCGAGATGCAGCTGTTGATGCCGCTGCGAATGCTGATGTGGTGTCGATGCTGCTGCTACTCGCGACTATGCTCTTTGTTGGTGACGGTATCGCTGTAAAATGGGTGTCAATCGCGATGGTTAGGACAGGAAGAAGCAATGGTCTGAGAGAGCTTCGTGATGGATGGAATCGATTAGGCGGGGCGGGGCGAGGCGAGCGAGGCCGGGCGGCATCGACGGCGGCAGGCGAGTCGAAAGTGAGCGGAACCCTTGACCGGCCCGCTGCTTCCCTTGGCTCCTGACTGAGCCAACGGGCGATGCGCTCGTGCGTGCGTGCGTGCAGCGTCGCGCTTGTTCGCGCCGCCCGCCCGCGTCATCTCAGCCAGCCACAGCCCGCCTTCGACGCATCCAGGCCAACGACGAAGGCACTGCGCCACTCTGAGTCCCCGTGGAGTCACACGCTTCAATGACTCAAATGCCCGCAGACGCGGTCGCGATGATTGCATTGCGGGGGAAAGGAAAGCAGGGGTTGAGAGAGAGAGCAGCTTTTGGTTCATGGGGAACAGGCGATTGCGTGTCATTGTGCGTGTGTCGTCAGACCTCAAGAATCATCTTGTTGACTCTCGAGTGCTGCAAGGGCAGCCAACACCGTCCGCCTTCGCCCCTCGCGATGGTGACGGGCTTAGTCTCGCGCAGGTCACGCTGTTCATGCAGGAGGCGGGAAGTCAATCTGAACAGCGTCGTCGTCGCCGTCGCAGCGGGGTGCCGCCAAGGAGACCAAAGTAGCTTTGTGGGTCGAGGCCGCATTCAGAGACTCGCCTCTGCATGAGCCATCGACGATGAGAGCTCGACGCGCTACTCACAAGTAATAAAGCGTGTCGAGAAGAGGATAACATGATGATTGAAGTGATTGCGATCGAGACGTGGATATGATGATGATGATGAATGGTATGAAGCTGATGATGACCTCCCCGCCCTTCTGCCCCGCTCCGACCCCACCCATGCCTCCCTTCACCTCCTCCTGCCCATGCTCTGCTCGTCTTCCTGACCAATCGCCCGCCCTACTGGATGAGGATTGCCCCGCCTCCCCCCTTCTTCGCAGCCGCCGCAGCTCTGATAGCCGCTGACCTCACGACCGCATCCCTCGGCTCGTCCTTGTCAATGGCGATGCCCTTGTAGGCAGGGAATCGAGGAGCGCCCGAGGGGTAAAGCTCCTGGAAGGAGTACTTGACGATGCTGCCCAATGGAGGCGGGTATTCGCGGTCGTGGTCTGACAAACCAGTTCCGCAGTCAAAGACCAGGCCGCACGCCATCTCCACCTTGATCGCTCCAACGCGGCCCTCGTTGCGGCCGGTACCGGCCTTGTAGCCGATGACCGTGCCCTCCGCGTCGTAGAAGGTCTTGACTTTCAAGACGTCATTGCTGCGGCCCTTCTTGTAGTATGATGCCGAGCGGCGGAGCATCAACCTGCGAGCGGTGAGCAGGCAGCGGCTGAGGTCAGCGAAAGCTTGTATCATGAAGCGATGGCAGCTCGCACTCACCCTTCTCCCCCCAAGCTCTCAACATTGGCCAGCATCCCCTCCATCTGCTCCATCGACGTGATCTTGACCTGCTCCAGGAAGGCGATACATGGCCTCCCTCTCTTGATGAGCTGGTCAACGCTCATCTCCCCATCCACGCACACCTTACGCGCTACTGCCCACCTCTCCTCGAGCGTCTTCTCGAAGTCTACGACATCGAAGACCGCATACGACATCTTGCTCCAATCGCCCCCGCCCCTAACCTCCCCCGAAGTCGTGTCGAAGTAGTCCCTCTTGATGAACAACTCCCCGTCCAGACGCACGTTCTTCGGTAGCCTCTTGGTCCACCAGTCCGGAGCGAGGTACTTCTTCTGGTTTCGCGACCAGAGACTCTTTCCGTCCCAGTATGCGCGGACGCCGTCGAGCTTCTCGCTCGCCCACATGCCCACAGGAGACTTGCTGCCCTTCAGGTCGAAGGTGTGAGCAAGCATGACCTCAATGGGGCCGCTGCTGGTCCAAGGGCCATAAGAAGAACCGGACGAGGACGAAGATTTGTTCGCCGCTGGCGGCGAGGCGACCCTCTTTCGCTTTGCAGCGAGCAAGGTTGAGGACGAGGAGGAGGTTTGGCTCGTGGCTCCGGGCTTTTGAGGCGACATTGTGAGCTGCAGGGGCAGCTTCACCCGAGCTTCCTCGTACACCTCGCCAAGGAGGTCTTTGAGGTGGCGGCAGGTCCTCGGCGCGTTGGGCGAGGTTACGAGGGTGCCACCAGCGCAGCCGCATTGATATGTCGGACAAGTACATCTGTACTCGTCTCGACCGGCGAGCCGTTTCACCTTGTAGGGAGCCTTTCCCGAGCTGGGTACCTGTGATGGAGGGTTGTGAAATGTGAGCTACGGGCAGGTACATCGTCGTCGTCTCGTCGTCTCACCTCTACAACTTCTCCTGGTTGCAGCAGGCGCTTCGGCAAGATGCCATTGACGGCACCGGTCAGCGGGTCTATGACCGCGGGGATCATGCTGAATGGGCTGATAATCTCGAGGTCTTGGCCTTGTAACCTCTTTGGGGTACCGACTCTATGGGGTTACCGATAAGCGCCGAACGAGGGACAGTGAGTGTGAGCGAGTAGTAGTAAAGTGGGACGGACAAGACGACACTCTCGAGCCCACTTTGGCTCGGTCCGCCCTCGGTCAACTCGAGTCGCGTCGCCGCCGCCGACCCTTGTTCTGCTTCCGGTCCTCTGCTCTCGTGCCATTGCATCCCGCCTCTCCACCCACACGTCCACAGCGACGAGTAAACGAGCGGTTGAACGCGAAAGGCTCGATGATGCCGAGGAGGAGCGAGGGGAATGAGCATGGTGACAAGCTGAGCAAGGGCAGAGACGGCGATGATTCATGACATGCTGCTGTATGGAGTATGGCGGCTCCACAATGATCCTTGAAGCGGGCTCCACTCATTGTGAAAATGCTCAAGAGATGAGCTCGAGCCTCAATCTCAGGCCGTGTCAGCAAGCCCGCTCAGCCGGAGTGCTCGAGAGAGATGACAGTTTCGTTGGCGTCCGGTGGTGCCTCTTGTCTTTCTCCCTTCCCTCACATCTTCTCGATCCTGGATAATTCTCCCCTCCTTTCCCTCCTTCTCATCCCCACCCCCTTTACACGCATCGTCATGAGGTACCAACGCCTCCTCCTCGCTCCCTTTGAACTCCTGCTTGCCACCACCCTCCTCGGTCTTTTACTCACAACTTGCGCCTCCGCTTCCCGACACGCTGGTCTCAATCGTCAGGGCGACGGTGCTTGGGCTTTCGCCGATGACGCAGATGACTTCTCGTCCTATGATATCCCGGACTTTACGCCCTGGTCACGTCCAGTCCAGTCTGCTTCGCACACTACCGCATCCAGCGCCTCGGCGACCAGCCATCACCTGAATGCGACGTCAGCATCGCCTATTACACCTTTTCCTCAGCCGACATCTCATACCGCCTACGATCCCCCCTCGTCGCCTTCAGACAATGGTGCACTCCTGTCGCCGCCTGACTTCCCCGAACAGCAGCACACCATGACGGCGGAGCAGCTGGCAGCAGATAGGTGGTCTACGACACTAAAGCTCTCGAGCTCGCAGATCGACTTCAGTACGCTGACAGGCGATCTGCTCCCGATGATTCTGGCAGCGGTCAGTGCCGCAGATGCTGCGGTGTAAGAGTACTGCCGCTGACCATATGCACCCTCTCATACGCCCAGTTCTCGATTCCAGCGTCAGTCTGGCTCAATCTCCACAGAGCCAACACCAAGCAGCCTCAGTCACTCTTCAATTCACACCTGCCCATCTTTGGCTCGATCCTCTTCGGCCTAGGCGCTCTCGTTCAACAACTTCGCGGCCCTCAGCAGCTCGAGTACCATGCCAACCTGACGAGCACCTCAGCGGCTCTGAGCTACCTCACTGCCGTTCTCACCGGCTCCGCCTGCTTGCCTATTCTCCTGTGGCTGGTCCTCTTCCATCCGGCGCCCACTGCAGCAATGATCCTCGTCAAGCAAGGCAGTAGGCTGCCTCTCAACTTCACGTGGCTTTCCAGTCTCGGCCGTCGGCCACTCACCATGGCGTGGAAGACGACTCATCAGTGGCGTTCGCCTGCCTTTGACCCGACACGCGCTGGTCTCCTTTTACTCGCTGTCTTGGTTCCCGTTCTCGAGGTGGCATGGCGCTGCGCCTTCGTCCATCATTATCAGCAAGGCCTTCGACTCCAGCATGCCAGCGCTATCATGCAACTGCTCTTTGCAGCAGTCCGGAGCTTCACGCTCTTCGTTGACGCGCGCAAGGCTCTGCCTCGTGGCGGTACGCTGAAGGCGCGACTGTTGGCCATCGCGGCCGTCGAAATGTCGCTGCTGCACTCACTAGGTGAGTGCGAACCGCTAGCAGGGGCTCACTGGTGGTAGGCATCGAGCTGACGAAATTCACTGCTGCCCTCTGGTAAAACACTGTAGTGAGCAATATCGTTAGCCTCTGCATCCCGGTCAGCATAGAGGCACCCTTCTTCCGCAACCTTCGCGCTTTGGAGTACGTGAGTGCCAGCAACAGGCGCCACTGCACTCTCGCTGCAAGCATCTCTGACCCCTCTCCCTCGCCCAGCTCGGCTACCTCTTCGCCTCTCTGCTACTACACCACGCCTGTCTCCGCTTGGATTGCGAGCCCATCCGCCCACCCACAACGCAGCGGCGCAGTCCATCCGCTGGCCAGCCGTGGCCGAACCTCGAATCACCAGCACTCAGCACTCCCTCTTCAGCTGGATCTCTGCAGGTGCCGTTCTCTCGCTACCACCACCACAATGCTGCGAGCGGAGGCACGCTCAATCAAGCTGGTCCGCAAGACGTGCGAAGGTTATCAAAGCGAATTCAGCCACCTGGACTCCTGGACCATGTACAGATCCGTGGAACTACGGAAATTAGGATCTCATCTTCCTCTTCGAGGCCGGCTGCACCGATTGCCTTGGAGGAAAGCACAGCGGACGGAGCCATCTCGCCTCCTTTCGACTTCGACGAAGATCACGATGACAGCTTTCCCGAGCAGATGCTTTCCCCCGTCTCAACGGCAACAGCTCTACGTCCCGCTGACAAGAGCAGCAATGAGCCCCTCACGCCCCAACCGGGCATCCCTCTCCCGCCTCTGCCTAACACGGTACGTCGCAAACCTGCGCCCGCCTTCCCCTACCCTCCGGCCGCAGCACGCCGAAAGCCCTGGGCCACCCCGCGTCTAGCCTCTCTCGTTCGACCTGCCTCCACTCCGAGCTCTCGGGACTCATCGGGCTCTGCACTTCTGATGCAAGACCTCGACGCCTTCCCGAAACCTCCTGTCACGTCGGCTCCCTGGTCCAAACGCCTCGCACGCAACCTCTCAGCTGCTGCCACGGCTCGACGTCGTAACAAGAGCAAGACGAGTCAGCACAGCGACATCGACGCAGTTGCCGCTGCGGCGCTCTCCTCTACTTCCATCTTGGGACAGCGCGAACAGGCGGAAGGAGTCAGCACAGTACCCACTTCGTGGGCTGCATCTGAGGCTCGTCCGGAGACGGCAGACACCCATCGAACGCACGTCACGGTCACTAGCTTCTTCAATTGGCAGCAGGCCCATCAGCACCTGGCTCAGCAGACTCAGCAACAGCCGCGCAAAAGCGGGGACACTGGCCAGAGCACAATCAATTTGAGATCATCCAACGGCTTTCCCGCTGTACCTGGCCGCGCCTTCTTTGGCCACAGCAACAGCAACGGTACCACTAGCTCCCCGCCTCGCCTTTCTGCCGCAAGCCCGTCTTGCCAACAGCGAGGTGGACACAGTTCCGCTTCTGGTGACTGTGGCGAGCGATCCACTTCACACTTTCCCTGGCGCGACTCTGCTCTCCTACGCAACAGAGCAGGTGGTGGAGCAAGCAAGGCGGGAGAGAACCCCTTTACCGCTGCAGCGGACAGCGACAACGAAGAAGAGGCTCAGCTCGACGTTCAAGCCGACCCAACATCCTCATCTGCCCTGCCAACTCCTCTCCTCACCCCAGACAGCGAAGAGAGAGCTGATCCTGTCCTCTCTCTCGCCAGCAAGAGTCGCAACCGCAGCAGCACGCGCACCAGCGTCGCGACTACCACTACGTCCCTCTCGCTCGGATCGCTCGCCCGCACCCTGTCCCCGGCAATTCCGAGCTCAGTCTGTGCCACCAGCACAACGCTGCAGAATTGCGCTGCTGCTCGAGGTTCCGCTGTGGAGAGTGATACGCACACTCGAAGAGATGGCCAGGAAGTTACGGCGGGCCAGGACGTGCAAGAGGAAGTGGATGAGGCATTCGTGACGCCAGCAACGAAGCCGGCTACGCCTGCTGAAAGAGGATGAACGCTGCTCAGGTCACCGTGACATCACGATACGACACTGTGGCACCCGTGATCGTATCACCTCTTCGGGCGCCTCAAGGCACAGCAGCCCCTTTCATGGCCAACCGAGACACGACGGCCTTCTTCCACGTCACTGTCACACTACGCCCCCTTCGATACAATGGCATCGTCCCACTACGCAGCTATTCACGTTCTACTCCGACTCTCCCACACCCCTGTTCTACAGCTGCATCGTAACCCCCTCACCGCCCATCCCCCTCTCCTCCCGCAACCACACGACATCGCGATACCGTACCTTCCACTCCTTTCAGTAATCTCTCGCCGCTCACTCTTTCCCCCTCTCTTTCTCGTGTCTCGATAGAGCTAATCTACTCAATGTCACCGTCATCACATTACTTTGGGCGTGAGTATGGGTTGTGAGGGCGGCGTGCCGGCAAGGAGCAAAGACGACTTGATGCGCCGTCAGGAGGATCATGGTGTGGGCAGGCGAAGAGGTGAGGGAGTTGAAGAGCAAGGCCGGAGGTACGACGGCAGGGCGAGACGGGAGACTCCGCCAGCGATGCGGGCGAGGAGAGGTGGGACGCAGAACGAGACGGTACTGAGCGGACGACGGTGAGATGAGGGCGTGACGCCTGTCGACCGACGCCAGTCTCTGACGACAAGAGCCGTGAAAGCCCAGCCCAGATCCTTCCAAGGGGCTGCTCGTTCCCCTCCTTTCCGCGGATGCTCTTATGCCTCGTACCCTTCGTCTCCACCCTCCGCCTCAAGCATTGCGTCTGCACCACGGCTGTTCTGACGCCCTGGCTGTCCGTGGCGTCAACGACTTCAAGGCCCGAAATCAGTCCAATGGCGTGGGTCATCTCCTATATTCGAACGAGATTGTCATGTCTTCGCCACAACACCTTGAGCTGGGTGGGGAGGTGGGGAAGGGGGCGAGAAAGAGAGGGAGAGATAAACGAACGACCGACGACTAACCTGGACCAAGATGTGGATGTCCCGCCCTATTGTCTTCTCTGAACGGTTACTTGCGGCCAAGTGGGATGACCACGGTAGCGACGAATCAAGCTCATTCCCCTGCTTCTCCTCCTCCTGCGCCTACCCCTCTTCTACTGTCGGTGATGCGGCTACGGCTGCTGCAATCACCCATTTAGACGCGTCGCTTGAGGTTGGTGCTGAGCCACTCGAGACCCTCGTAGAGACCGTCTCCAGAGGTGGCGCACGTTGCTTGGATGAACCTACGGCGGCGCGGAGCAATGTAAAGGGATGTCAGTAGCTGCCAGTACCAGGCTTGTCCTTGACGCTCCACGCCCGCCACTCACCATTGACGCTGCCTCAGCGAGTGCAGACCCAGCTTGTCGGTGATCTCCGCGGCGTTCATTGCGTTGGGCAAGTCCTGCTTGTTGGCGAAAACAAGGAGGAGAGCATCACGAAGCTCGTCCTCGTTGAGCATTCGCTGCAGCTCTTCGCGAGCCTCGGAAACACGCTCTCGGTCGTTGGAGTCGACGACGAAGATGATTCCCTGCGTGTTTTGGAAGTCTGCGCAGCGAGAGATGAAGGGCGTTAGGAAGGAGATCACAGCAAGAGGAAAGCGCCACGCTGCGGTCGTGCACTCACAGTGCCTCCAAAGGGGACGAATCTTGTCCTGTCCTCCGACGTCCCACACGGTGAACGAAATGTTCTTGTACTCGACCGTCTCGACGTTGAAGCCGATGGTGGGGATGGTGGTGACAATCTCTCCCAGCTTGAGCTTGTAGAGGATTGTCGTCTTACCGGCGGCGTCGAGTCCGACCATCAAGATCCCTGCAAGTGCGGGGAGGAGCGAGAAGGATGGTGAGTCGGCGACGAGAGGGATGAGTCTGAACTCTAGGGGTGGGAGCACGGGCACGCACTCATCTCCTTCTTGCCAAAGAGGCCCGACAACAGGCGTGAGACCGAGAGACCCACTGTGAGCGAGGAGGGATACTGTGGGATCAGTACAACATTCGTGGCGGGGTACGCAGCTGATTGTATGCGGTAGAGACGCACTGTTGTATTAGTACTCTGATGGTGGTGATGAGGAGAGGGAGGAGAAGGCGCGAAGATCGTGTGAGCAGATGAGATGACGCAGATTGAGTCCTGTTGGAAGAAGGGTCGGTCTACCTCGAACTTCGAGATGTACCAGGCCGCTTGAATCGAAGGAATCGCGACACCCACTTTGCTGTGCGCTTCGTGTGCGGTGGATAAGGAAAACAGAAGAGCCAAAGAGGAGAAGGGTAGTCCAGCGCAGTACTCGTCGACGATGCTTGCTAAGAGTGGCGGCGAGGTGGTGGAGTACGGTAGGAGTGGGAAGGTAGTGAGCAAGGCAGCGTCCCTCGTCGTCGTCGTCGTCGTCGTCACCTCGTCGTGGTCCGCGAGTCGATGCGTGTGCCGTGTGTCTCTCTGGCCCTCGCCCCTCGTCTCCCTCTCTCGTGCGTGCGTGCAGCTGGCCGCCCGACCTCAACCTCGACCTCGACGAAGCCCGCCCCGCCTCACTTGACCCCCCTTGGCTGAGCTCGAGCGAGGCGGGCTCGCCACGTCGAAAGCTCTCGCGCACCAGGCAGGCCGGAACGGAGCGGGCGGAAATTCAGCTACGAGGAGGCTGTCACCACCATCGTCATGATCCGAGGCTAGGCAGAATGAATCAAGGGGAGCGAGAGCATCAGAGCGAGGTGTAAAGACCCATGGCGACATGCAGCATCCTTCTCAGCTGCCACGACAGTGTCAAACAAGCAGAGATGCTCGCGCGTCCTCGTTCTGCCACAGCCGCTGGCTGTCACGCTCACATCCCGATGTCCTCATTTCAGTGCAGGACGATGAACGGTGGAAGCAAGGCAGCGGACACAATGAGAACGGCGTGGAATCAGTGTCACTCAATCGTAGAGGCTACTATGCTGATGATCGACATTGACAGCATACACCCGCCCTGACAGATCCTCTGGCCCGCTCTAGCCACCCATCGCCGGATCCCACTGCCTGCTGCTGCGTGCTGGTAAGTGGGCTCTCAAGGAGAGCTGATGGGGAGCTACCGCCTCCATCTCCTCGTAGCTTAGCAGCTGCCATTGCTGCAGCATCCCCCTCGCCTGGATGTCGGAACAAAGCGAAGCGTCGAGCCGGTATAGCTCGAAAGCGCCAATGCTCGACGCATTATAAAGTCCCTTCAACTTCTTCATCTAGGACCCACTCCATGAACTAGACGAGCACATGATACCGCCCTGAGGCGACACCGCTCGAAGCCCTTGGTAATCGGGGTCCGAGAGTTTGAAGAAGAAGAGGCAAAGGAGAGCGCTGCGAGCGCGAGTTGGAGGAAATATTTCGCAGCTTGGCCTTGAACCAACACCTCGGAGTCACGTGGCTGAAGGAGGTTGGGCCGACCCCCTTGCACGCTCAACCGCGACTCGAGGCGCCTACGCCGCGCCGCCTTCATTCCTCGAGGCGTTGCGCAGAATCGGACCCTGCATCTACGCCATCCAATGGAAGCGACACATCACCTCGCGGCCCACGACGACGAGCTTGCTTGCTTGCTTGCTTTGCTTTGGCCGGCCGCGAGCAGCGTGCAGCAGGTTGCATCGTAATGTTTGTACGACGAGGACGACGATGAGAAGGCAGTTGCCTGCTTCGACAGGTCAATCAGCGGCTAGCCAGCCAGCCAGTCAGCACTAGCCTCGACAGGTGCCAACGCCGGGGCAAAAGGCCAGGCCGGACTTGCTCGCTCGACAACACCGGCCGCCTCTCTCAGCCTCTCCACTCGCTCGCCCGCATTGTCCTCTGGCATGAGCATTGCCTAGCCTTGAACACGACGGCGGGAGGCCAACCGTATCAGGCAAGGCAGGTGCAAGCCAGGCGTGGCTGGCATACAAGCGTGCTCCCTCGCTCGTTCCACGGGTCCAGCCCTCGCCGCCTTCCACCCACCCAGAAGAAGCAAGACAGCCGTCCTTCTTGGTGCGAGCCAGTGAGCGAGGCGAGCATAGCATAGCGCTGAGACTTGAGCTTGAGCATAGAGGAGCGTTGAGGCGTCAAAGCGTTGAGCCGTCGAGCGTCGGGCCATTGTGCGCCCGCCTACTCGCCTCCGCCAACTCGCTCGCATACCCGTTGTGTGTTGCTGATTACCGCCTCGGCTCCCGATTCGTCTCCTCATCTCGACCCACTCCCTCCTCCTTCCCTTCTCTCCATCTCACCATCTCCATTCGCACTCTCCCCTCCCCGCGCTTCCCTCTGCTGCTGCTCCTCGTGCTCTTGCCCCTGCTACACTCACAAGGCCACCAACCTCGACACCACCACCACCAACAACGTCGTCGAATGCCTTGAGTTGTAACCCTCTCTCAACCCACAACCTGTTCTTGTCCAACCAACCCACAGTCTTTACCTCAAACCACGCTCTTTGAACACCACCGCCCTTCGGCACTCAACAACAACAACGCACACACACACACACACCTACACACACACACACACACACACACACACGTACACACACAAACACTTTCTCCCTCTTCTCTCTCACCGACACCTGCTCAACCTTTCCAACAATGCAATCCTCCAGCTCCTTCGAACTCGCCCGCAACGGCCGCTCTAGGCCGAGCAATCTCCTGGCCACACGCTCCAACAGCTACGAGCTCGCCTGGCCCTCTTCACCCTCACTCAACCCTGACCAGCACGCCGGGACGAGCGCCAATAAGCTGCGCAGCCCTCTCATCGTCGACGGTCTCCCACCTACGCCCATCACTGCCGGCCTTCCCATCGAGACGTCGGCCCCTTCTTCCTCATCCTCGACCGCGGCCTCAGCCCCCTCACCGGTCCGCCTCCCCTCGATCAACGCCATGCTCGCATCAGCCTCAACGGCCGCAGCTTCCCCATCTCTGCTCACCCCTCCCTCCAGCGCCGAGATCCAGACCACCATGCTTCCCCCTGCCCCGCCCACTCTCGGAGCCCACGACGTCGAGGCAGACGAGGGTCGCTTCGCTGGGCCTCGCCCGCAGTGGGTGCAGGATGCGGAGAAGGCTACCTTTGTTGGTGTGCGTGCCCCCATCTCGAACGCCACGGTCACTGCCTCCCCTCAGAGTGACATTCGCTTGTCATCGCGAGCATTCAATGACGCTACTCAGCCTCATGATACGCAGATGGACGGCACTCCTGTCGTTGGGCTAGGCTTCGCCCCCTGCCAACAGACGCCTCGCATGGACCGCCGTTACGAGGAGGCAGGGCTCAGCACCCCCACCCAGTCCTCCTACTCGGCACACAGACGCCCGGCTCCCGCAGCAACGCCTCGCGCTCCCTCCGTGGCACAGCACGGCATTTTCCCAGCCACCCAACCGTGCTCACCAGTCAACCCACCCCTCAGCGCCAGCAGGTGGAACACCGACCTCCGAACCCGCTCCGGTCTCACCCCGCAGCGCTTCTCACGAACGCGTGGGCCGTTCTCCTCTACGGCCATGCAGAGGGAGAAGGCCGTACAGCTCGAGCCCATGTCCGCTGAGCAGCAGGCTCTTTTCCCCACTCAGGCGGGCGTGTATGGACTGGGCATTGCACTTGACGGCAGCGAGGTGGGAATGAGCAATGTAGGCGCTTCCACGTCCGCTTCACGAGTCCACGTAGACGAGGACATCACCGGCATTCAGGCAGCTCGTGCCCTGCCCACTGGCTCGGCCTCAACTGGTCTCACCCCTTCCCTCCACGCTACTCGCATTCTCGCTGACGCAAGCGCTATGGCTGCACCAGCGAGCCCGAGCCCTAGCTTGCGTACAAAGAGTAAGCAGCGCTCTGATCTCGTCAGGAGGCAGGCAGAAGCTGCTGCTGCCGCCGGTACGAAGAGGAGATCGATGGACGAGGTGGAACCAAAGAGGTCGGAGGTGGCAGGAGAGGGAGAGGGACAGGTTGAACCGGCACTCGCCGCTGCGGGCCCTAGCAGCAACACGACGAAGAAGACCAACACCAGCTCCTCGTCCTCTTCCTCATCGACCAAGAAGAACCCAAGCAGCAAGACTCGCTCCTCCTCCCACGCGACATTCAAAGCCACCCCTCCCTCCTCAATTTCTACACCCTCACGCTCAACCACCTCAGCACTATCTCAGCGTGACTCCAACCGCTCAACTGCCACTTCATCGCCGTGGGGCGTCTTCCGCGTCAAGTCCCACGGGGAATGGAAGCCTCTCGCCCCACCAGGAGGAGGAGCGGGAGCCGCCTCCAATGCAGCTGGTGTGTCCAAGAAGCTCAAGAGGTCGACCCCTGCGCCCGGGAGCACGGCGACTGGTGGGCAAGGGGCAGGAGCCGTGTCAGGGAAGGTGGGCTACGAACCCACTCGTCGACCTACGTCCGCGCATGGGAGTGGACAAGACGATAAGGAGAATGTGGCGCCAGCGCGAAGGGGAGGGGATGTATTCGGTGGAAGTGCGCAGGGGACGCGTCGCCCTACGAGTAGTCATGGCTCGAGACCGGGGAGTGCGCATGGGGTGAAGAAGAGGACTGTGGTCGGGGGATTGAGGTAAATGAGCGTTGGGGGGGCAGGCAGCTTCTTCACGCATACGTGCAGCCATTACGTCTTTACTCCTGCTCCATCCATCCAGCCTAGAGCTCGCTCCCTGCCCGTAGCATAGCCTCCATGTTCTTGCTCCGCATGGCTTCCGTACCATGCGACCCTTCGGCATCTCTCTCTCGGACTTGCAATGGACAAAGCAATGCTTCTTGCACTGAAAGCAAAAGATCGTTCTCTTTTTTGGTGTAAAATCTTTTTACATATACAACACAGAAGACGAAAGAGGACAAGAGAGGAGGATAAGTGTGTGTGTGTGGGAGAGTTTGAGCGAGAAAAGGTTGAGCAACTGAACCAATCGTAAATGTTCCCTCCCTCCCCATTTGGCCCCTCTTCAATCATGTACAGTTCAATCGAATGTATCTACATCCCCCCTTCTAGCTACCCTGTCCTCCATTCCCTCCAGCAGCGCCACCGCCACTCTGGTGCTGCTGCTGAGCCTGCGCCACCCTCCCCGGTGGCAACTTCAGCTGCATTGCCGCATTGCCGCCATTCTGACTCATGCTCTGCGCCAAGGCAGCCTTCATCGCCATCAGCTGCGCTGGGGAGGGACCGTTCCCGTTACCTGCCCCGGCATTAGCCTGGACTCCATTCTGTCCGTTGGCTTGCTGCCCGCCGCCGTTGTTGTTCTGGGCAAGTGCAGCCGCCGCGGCCTGTGCCTGCGCTTGAGCTTGGGCGGCTTGCATTGCGACGAGTTGCTGTTGCAGGTGGATGAGATTCGGCTGCTGCTGCTGTTGTTGTTGCTGGCCGTTGGAACCATTTGCCTGCTGCCACGCCATGCGCTGCTGCTGCTGCTGCTGACCATTGGCATGAGGGCCAGAGACACCCCCGATCGAGGGGGAGCGCGACGGCTGTTGCGCGTGGCCCATCATGGGCGAAGAACCTTGCGGCGGGACGGGTGATGACGAGGGGCGCGTACCAGCACCGTTGGCAGGGAAGCGCTGTTGTTGCGGGGGCGAAGAGGCTTGCCCACCGGCGTGATTGAGCTGAGCCGCAGCCGCAGCCGCAGCGTTAGCCATGGCGTTGTAGTTGTTTCCTCCCTGCTGGCCCTGCTGACCTTGCCCACCTGCAGCGGCTGCGGCCATCAGCTTGGCCCTAGCAGCTGCAGCCGCCGCCTGCACCTGAGCGTTACGCTGCTGCTGTTGCTGAAGAGCGAGCTGGACTTGCGCCTGATGAAGCTGATGCTGTTGCTGGAGCGTGGTGAGAGGCCCGCCCACATTGGTCTGTGCTGCTCGGGCGGCTACTGCGCCTGTGGAGCTCTGGTTGGTCGGAGGGACAGCGCCGAGTGGTGAAGGGACGCTCGGTGCGCCGAGAGCCGCAGCGGGGTTGTTGCCAGCGGCCACGGCGGCTGCGATGGCTGCTGCTTGTTGCTTGCGGAATTGATGCGCTTGTGCTGCTGCTTGGGCTTGCGCTGCAGCGTGGGCTTGTGCCTGAGCCTGAGCGTGTGCCTGCGCCTGAGCTTGCGCTTGTGCATCGCCACCTCCGTTGACTCGAGCAGCTGCTGCCGCCGCTGCTTGTGCTTGGCCAGCCATTGTCGGCCCAATGACCTGGAACTGCGGCGTCGGCGGCGGGCAGTCAAGCGCAGCTTGCGCCTGCATGATGTGCGTCCAGTCCGTCGACAGCTTGAGGAGGTCCTCTTGCTCCAGCAAGCCAATGCGATATCGCATGAAGCGCTGGTCAAAGTCGTCTAGCACAGCCTCTTGATCGTCCTCCATGCCGCCCAGACCGCAGAGCCCCAGCCCTGCCCAGCGACCAGACTCGTCGTCGTACCGCCAGCGCTCCCGAAAGGCACGAAGACGCTCTTCGACTTCAGCTTCATCCTCCTCGTCATCAGAGCTGTCCGAGTCGGAGTCGTCGTCGTGACGCTGAGATTCGTGCTGGTCTGTGCGTTCGTTGGTGCCATGCTCGCCGCCTTTGGTCGTAGTACGCATCGTCTCGTCCATGTCCTCGGCCTCGGTAGGAATGGTGCTGGCTGAGGACGCCGCGGAGGAACTTGAAGACGAAGAAGCAGTGGACGAGGCCACAGACTCGGAGTCGGTCGAGTGATCCGCAGAGGCGCCCATAGGCATGAAGCTCCTGTTCGACGATGCGTTGCTGCTGGCGGAAGTATCGTTCAGCAGGCTTGGCCTGAGGTTCGAGGCGTAAGCGAATGGCCCACTGAGAGCATCCGCCTTTTGCTGCGCTGTCCTGCCCTGCTGCAAGTACGATGGCAACGGCGTACGCTCTGGGCGCTGCTCCTCCCTCTCTTCATGCCGCCTCACACCGCTTTGGTGCTTCGGCCAATCAGCCAAGCTAGCCGGGACCGGGCTTGGAGCCAGCAATCTGCGATCGAGAAAGACACGCCCGCCTCTACCCATGCGACGTCGAAAGGACGGGGGACGCCCAGCGCGCAGGCCGTTGGTAGAGGGCGTATCTGATGAATCTGCCTGGACAGGGCGAAAGCTGCGAAGGTTGAGCGGTGCTGGGACGGGTTGATAGGCAGTATCGCTGTTCTCTTCCCAGCCGACATCCGTCTCTGCTTTGCGCATGCATTCTCGCTCGATGTAGGCTTGAACGGCCGAAGCCCGCTCCATGATCGCTTGGCCGAGAGATTGTGTCGTGGCGGCTGCGGGTGTGGCTGTGACGTTGGCAGCATTGGCGGAGGCATTGGCGGCTGCTGAGGGCTCGACGCTCGTTCTTGCCTTCTTTGCTGCAAGCTTGGCGGCTGAAGGTAGCGAGACGGTGGTAGACTCCTCGCCTCTCTTCTTCTTGCGCGGCACTGCAGCAACGCCATAGCCTGCCTCCTCTCTGCGCTCGCCAGAGATGATCTCCTCGTCTTCTTGCCCGGAGTTGGGCCCCACAATGCCCCATGAGCGCTTGAGCTCTTGCAGATCCTTGACCGTCTCGAACCAGGCTCGATCTTGTGCGACGCTCGCTCGCTTCGTCTTCTCGCGCTGTGCGAGACCTTCGAGCATGGCAGTAGCACGGTCCATCTCTGACTTGAGGCGGATGAGCTTCTCGAGGTGGAGCACATCCGTCTTACGAGTCTTGCGGGTGAGCTTGACTTCTCGTCGTCGAAAGCAGACGTACGGATCTGAGTCGTTAGATTCGTCGAAGTTGAGGAGTGGGACGATGGCCTTGCCGCTCGTGTCTTCACGCCTCTCCTTCCACCATGGGTAGACGAGAGAAGCAATGGGCTTGAGCGCTGCCAGGTTGTGCCACGGGTTGAGCTTCGACCACTTGAGCGATGAAGAAGACGCGGCCGCATCGTCTGTCTCCCACGGTAGTGTGGGCAGCTCTGGCAAGGCTTGCGCTGAGAGGAAGGACTTGGGGTCGAAGGCTCCGAGCAGATCGTCGAGGGACGGGAGATTCTTTGCCGGGTCGAGGTGTGCGAAGGGCACCTTGTCGTTAGTGTATTGCTCAAAGACGGTGAGTACCATCTCGAGTTCGTCCTCGGTGATGGTAGTGGTCACCGGGACTTGCTGCGATGCTTTGTGATTTTTACGTGCTTGTGCTGCGGCCACCTCTGCTTCTTGCGCTGCAGCATTGTGTCTCTGCAGCCACTCATTGTCGTCCTCGTCGAGGTTGTACGAGGGACCCTGGCAGTGGGCAGAGGGGAGAGATGATCCTCGTCAGTGATGCTCGCACATTCGTTCGGAGGCGCACCATGCACCCACTTTGATGGCATCCTCGAGCGTGCTTGACGAGCGGACATAGGAGATGGGATCTTGGTATGTGCCAGGTGGATAGAGACGAGCGTACTCCTTGGTCTGGAGCACTTGCTTGCTCTCCGGTGTCGGGATGTGGTATGCTGGCTTGGCCGAGATAACCTTGTCTCCTTCTGCTGCTAGCTGCGTGGACGAGAGCGCTGCTTGCAGGTGGTGTTCCTGCGCACAAAGAGGTAAGGGATTAAGGATAAGCTTGGTGCGGGACCATGGCATCGTCGACGCGACAGGCTCACGGTGACCTCGGAGAGATCAACTCCTAAGTTGGGAGCCTCGTTCTCCTCGATACCCTCGATGTCGACATTGTGGGCAGACTGTTGAAGGTTGCCACGATGAACGATGACCGACGCCTAGAGGGCGCGCGCAGAGTGACAAGGAAGCGTTTGAGTGAGATGGTCAGTCAGATGTTCACTCGGCGCAATCTACGTGCAACGCGTACACACTTTGTACGATAGCTTCTTGAACCTCGTCCGCGAATTGGTAGCAATGGGCATCGCAGCAGCAAGCTACAGCGACGGCGGTACTACACCGCCAGTCGCGATGACGACGACGACGACAGCGACGATGCCGAGGCCGACGCGGTCAAGGCCGGCGATATCAGCACCGACGGGCCGTGGTAGCGCCGAGCTCAGTCAAGCGTGATCGTGATGCTGAGCCTGGGCCGGGTTGCCACGCGTGACCGGGTGGTGGTGAAAAAAACCAGCCGCGCGGTCTGCCAGCGAGACCAATGGGGGCGGGGCGGACGAGCTGAGCTGAGCGGGGCGAGGAGGCGCGAGGGTGGCAACGACGGCCAAGACAACACGCTCGCTCGTCGGCCTGTCTAAGTGAGGGTGGTGACGAAGGCTCTAATGAAAGGCTCGTCTCGATGGAAAAATGAAGTTGAGGTCTTCGCGCCTCGTAGCTGTCCTTCGAAAGCTGTTGTTGACAACGTCCAAGGGCGGATGCGTGGGGCGTGAGGGGAGGGGGGGGGTGATTTGTGAGGGGGGCGGTTCGGATTGGGTGAGGGTAGACTGAGCAAAAGGGGGGGGTCGCCGCGAGCAAAACCGGGTGGCGAGGACACGGCGCGGACCTCGCTGACGAGGGGCGGCACAAGAGCAGAGGGCGGCGAGCGGGGCCAGAGTGCAGACCAAAGTAGCGAAAGCACAGAGGGAAGGGGCGAGAGTGACGAGAACTAAGCACATCGGAACGGAACACACGACCATATACGAGAGGATCAAGGGTCCAGCAACAGGCAGCGACGGCCAAGCCAAGGCAGACTACGATGGTAACAATGGCGAAGATGGCGAGGATGCATGTGCTGCATGGAGAGCGCCGCGAGCTGGCGCATGGTCACCTGCGCTGCCTCTTGCTTCGATCGTTGGGCTTCCTCGTCTTGGCCTTAGAGTGACCTCTGCCTCCCGAAGCCGCCTTGACTTGGTGCTGTGGGGGTGAGAGTAGACGAGAGAATGGTCAGCTCAGCACGAGCAGCCACTTGATCCCAGCTTTCTCGCGCACTCACCTCCCCATATTTCCTCTTGGCATATGCCGATGCCTGCGCATCCTTGACCAGCTCCTCGACGACCGTCCTACCCCTCTCGGCCTTGGACAGCGTCTGACGAGGCTCGAGAGGTGATGAGATAATGCGGCCAAGTTGAGCGTACTTGGGCATGCCCTTGTCCTTGTTGCCTCCTTTGTAGAAGCGCTTCGGGTCTAGAGCGTTGCGTAGACGGATAGCTTGGACCTCTCTACGCATCTCCTCAGCGGTCGGGCCTCTAGCTGAAGAGGAGTAGCGCGAAGATGCTGACGTGCTGGGCCCTGCTTTTGGATCTGTGGGGAAGGCGGGCATGTCGTACCATGAGGAGCCGGCAGTCTTTGCGCGCTCCTGCGGAAAGGATTGGGGTCAAAGCTGCGAGTGAGTGAGACGTATCAGCGACGGCTTCGCCAGCTCTGCTCACCTCTTGCCTTCTCTTGATCATTGCTCTCTGTCCCACCGGCCTTAGCTCAGCCAGCGAGTCACGACTGCTGAGCTTGTCGAGCTGACTATCCACAGCCTTTCCTTTTCCCTTGGTGTCCGATGCTGCGGGCAGCTTCGACGGCTTGCGTGGCGTGGCGTCGTCTCTTATCGCCCTTGATCGCTTCTCGGTGTCGTTACCATCGAGCAGGATGACATCGTCGTCTTCTGCGAAATCTTGTCTGTCCTTCTCCCCCGCGGGCATCGAGGTGTATGCCTGGATCGAAGCCTGGAAGAGTGCATCGAGGTCTTCCTCGCCGTCGCTGCTGCTGCTGCTGCTGCTTGCGACTGAAGATGCTCTGCTGGTGCTCTCAGCCGGTGCTGAGGCCTTTGCAGCCGCCGGTGCTCTTCTGGCCATCTTCGGACAGCGCGAGATTGTTTAGAGAGTGAGAGTAGATGGATGGGTCGCGGGCGGGCTGAGCGAGATTTCCAACTTTGGCGCCTCGCAGCTGCCAGTCCGCCTTGGCTTTCCCGTCTCCGTCTCCGTCTCCGTCCTGTCGCCTGACGCCGCCGATGATGCGCCTCAGGGCCAAAAATTCGAGTCGCCCTCACCGTCGAGGGAGGCGGAATGAGAGACGACGCCGAGCCTCAACGACGTTCAGCTCATCATCAGCTGCCACTGCTTCTAACCACTCCCCACTACCTCTAGCTCTCCCTCACAGCCATGGCCAAGGGCAAGGGAAGCAAGAGCGGCTCGAGTGGTCTGCCAGCCTCATCCGCGACTCTGAATCGATGGAATACGGCAGACGACATCCCCTCGGACGACGAGGAGCGCTTCCACCACAATCGAGATCAGGTGCTGCTGAATGGCGATGATGGCGACAATGACCAGCCTGGTGAGGACAGCAGCGTGCAGATTCCATGATTCTCCGCGCGCCATTCCTCTGACACGCTCTCCCCTCCCACTCTTCAGACGCATTTGCCAATCAGCGCGAGGTGCTTGGTCTCGATGAATCAGAGGCGGACGACTCCTCAGCAGACGAAGGCCACGATGGTGCGAGCAATGATGACACTACCGCCGCACCCACTCGCAAATCCAAGCAATTCAAGCGCCTTGACAAGACAGCGGCCACTGCAGAGCCCCTCTCTGACTCAGACGTGGACGTTTCTTCAGACGAAGAGGAGGACATTTCGCGATGGGGCTCCAATAAGCGCTCCTACTACAACACAAATGACCTCGACCGCATGGACTCAGACTCGGAGATCGACGAGGAGCAGGCACGCGAGCTTGAACTCAATGAGGTCAAGCGATTGCAAGCTAAGTCTAGGAAGGGAATGGAGGATGCGGACTTTGGGCTCGGAGAGGCGGATGAGTTGGGTGGAGCGGAGCAGGGTGGCAAGGGGGTGAGGGAGAGGGAGAGAAGGAGGGCAGAGCTTGATGAGGCACAACCCGCAGTCAAGGCGACATCAATAGCAGCAGCTGCAGGCAAGACTGCTTCCGCCGCTGCTGCTCTGCCCACCGACCCGGTGGCTCGCGCCTCTCTCCTCGTCCAACTTCAAAAGGACTCGCCCGAGACCGTCGCGCTCGCTGGCGACTTTGCGGATGCCGTCGATCAGCTCATCAAGACCGAGTCACTGCTCAAATCCAAGGACAGCCAGAGCCCAGACTTCATGGACGCTTTCGGGATGCACCACATGCACTACCAGGCCCTTTTGGCCTACGTGACCACCCTCGCCTATTACTTCAGGCTGCGCTCTCTTCATGCGTCCGAGCCCCATCGGCTGCGCGACCATCCCGTGCTGGCGAGATTGCTCAAGCTGAAGGAGGGCCTGTCGATGATGGAAAGCCTGGACTTCGCTGTGCCGCTGGACGAGGAGGAGGACGGGGAAGAGGAGGAAGAGGTTGAGGCCGATCTCGAGGGCGGGTTGGATGATCTTCAAGAGCAGATGCCCTTCCTCTACGGGAGCGAAGAGGACGAAGACATGGGTGAATTGGACGATGATGAGCTGGCAGGTCTCATCGCAGACGAGAAAGAGAACGCCGGCGAGCAGCAGGCAAAGGCAGTAAAGACAGCTAAGGCTAAGAAGCCCAAGACATCCAAACGAGCGCGAGACGCAGCTGCTCCAACACCAGTCCCAGTTCCAGCTCCTCTCGCTGGCCTGGCCGACGCAGACGACAGTCTGCTCCTCGCTTCATCATCCCGCGGCTCAGCATCCCGGAAGTCCAAGCCAACTCTCATCGACGACGGCGACGCTTATGGTGAGGCTACTTCCCTCACTGCCTCTGAGCTAGCGGACAAAGCTGCGAAGAAGAAGTCGCTGCGTTTCTACACTGGCCAGATGGATGCGAAGGAAGCACGTCGTGGGCAGGCTGCGCGCGACCGCATGGGTGGAGATGCTGATATCCCGTATAGGGATAGAGAGCGTAGCAGACAGGGCGTAGAGCAGGCCAAGGCGGCGAGGGAAGGAAAGACCAATGGCAAAGCGGACGCTGCTTTGGACGGGGAGGACTGGGGTGAGGGAGACAGCCGTGATTGGAGGGAGGTGATGGGGCAGAAGGGCGCTAGCGATGCAGGGACTACGGCAGGTGCGGCTGGCGACGATGACGACGATGATTACTACGACCTCATCACGTCAAGCCGTCGCGAAGCCAAGCGCGCAAAGAAGGAGTCACACGACGCCGAGCGCGACGCCTCCCGCATCGTAGATGATCCTGACCTCGTCGAGGGCGAAGATGGCTCACACCGCGCCATCAATCGCCAGATCGCGAACAACAAGGGTCTCACCCGACATCGCAAGCAGGATCGCAATCTGCGAGTCAAGAAGCGCAAGAAGTACGAGAAGGCGCAGAAGAAGCTCAGCAGCACGCGCGCGGTGTATAAGGGTGGGCAGGGAGCATTGCAGGGTGGTTATCAGGGTGAGGCAAGCGGTATCAATACGGGCGTGGCTAAGAGTAGGAGGTTTGCGAATTAGGCGCGAGGGAGATCCAGGATGGAGGAGGGAAGGATTGGGCGTAGTCGGACCGGAGTCCGGGCCATCCGGTCAAGGCAAATGGAGAGAAAGCGGATGGCATCATAGACGTGGTACTGCATCGATATCGATCTACGATTCAATGCAGTCTATTCTCACGCAGATCGTCGAGAGAGCTCCCTTTTCAGATCGAGCAGAGAGGTCGCGGCGGAGGAAGTCGGGCCCTTGCTCACGCGACGCTCCACGGCTGGGCCATTGGCGTGTGAGAAGTGTCACAGTGGAAGCGAAGGCGTGCTCGGAATTCGCCTGGCCTGTGCTGCGAGAAGCATTGGACCTCTGTTGATCTCTTCGAGGAGTCAAGAAGGAGCCCCGCAAAGGGGGCGCACAGCTTCATGACAGTTAGTGGGGGCGATGAATGAGAGCTCTCGTAGGAGTAGAAAGCAGCAGAGCAGCGTGCTTGTTGCAATGTCTTGCTATTGCTGCTGGTCATGGCTCGCTGCGTCGCTGAGATGTGTTCTTCTCTGGTGCCGGCGGTCCCGCCCTCCCACCTCCAACTTTCAAGGAAGTGTGTGGCCTAGTGCGGGCGCGGGCGGAGGCGGTGACGGATTCCAAATGCTCTCAAGTCTACTTTGCCGGTGTGAGCAAGTGCAATCCATTCTTCCCTCCCTACCAATCCCTCCCCCGTTTCCATTGCATCCCGCACATGATGACATCCCCTCGAAAGAGCTACGAGATCAGCGAGACGGCGGGCGCCCGCTTCGACCTCAGCCAGAGGAAGAAGAGCATGACTGCCAGGGAGAAGCCTCCTCAGGTGAGGTTGAGTGCTGCAGCGACAGACTCAGCTTGTGAGCGCTCACTGATAGCACCACCACCACCCTTCTCGCCCGCCTCTAGCCCACCCCTGATGACAAGGTGAGCCTTACCAGGCCTACCCACGTCCCACCCATCAATCGCTCATCGCTCCCGTCTTCCCCCGCACTCTTTCAGACAACCGATGAGCCCACGAACTCGTCCATCCACTACGCTGTGACCACGCACACAGGCTTTGCCTCTCTGCGAGACACCTTTGGTGAGTGCTAGCCCGGCCCCCAACAACGTCTCGTTGCTACGAAGATGCCCGAAAGCCCAACAACCACAAGAGGCAGCCTCCTACTCGCCATCCCACTACGCTCCACAAAGCTCCATGAGCCCAAACCCCACACGCCGAACGAGTCCAAGCTTGGCTTGCCCTTGCTCTCTCTCGCGGCCCCTCTCGCTGCGCCTTGCCTGGCAGCAGCTGCCTGCCTGCCTGGCTTGGCTTGCCGCGGAGCTTGGGGGACGGACAGTCGAGCCGTCGGATCTGCGTCTGCGTCTGCTTCTGCGTCTGCGTCTGCATCTGCCGCACGCCGCTCGCCGTCGAGATTTTGGACTTTGACTCGCTCTCGGCTTTTGTTCGTTTCACGCACGGACTGGCTCTCGAGTCGGGTCCAATTCTTCTTGCCTTCTTGCTTTTCCATCGTTCACTCCTCACGACCATCGCACTCGAGATGGCATTGGCAGGGTCACGCACAGCGGCGGGCGTACGCTTTGCGCTGCCTCGAAGTCGCTCAGTCGCAGCATCAGCCACAGCATCCTCCTCCTCCTCGCTCCCCTCCTCTTCATCATGGCGCATCTCACACCGCTGCTCCTCATCAAGCTCAAATACTGACTACCACAACCCCTACCTCGCCATGGCCGCGAATGCTGCAGCCAACATGGACACCGCCTTTGACCCTGAGCTGCGAGAGAAGATGGGCCTGCGCGGCTTGCTGCCCCCTGCTCAACAGAGCATGGCTACCCAGATCCAACGTTGCCTGTACCAGTTGAGGCGCAAGAAGACGCAGCTTGGCAAGCACGTCTACCTGTCATCGCTGCGTCAGACCAACACGCGCCTATTCTACGCGGTCATCATGAGCGAGGCCGAGGAGGTCAGTGCGGGCGGCGAGGAGGGCAGCAGACCGAATCATCTACTGACGTTTGTCCTCTGTTCCCCTCTCGGCAGTGCCTTCCGCTCATCTATACCCCGGTCGTCGGCGAAGCGTGCCAAAACTTTTCCAAGATCTACCGTCGTCCCGAAGGTCTCACCCTCACCATCGAGGACAAGGGCCAAGTCGCCAAGGTCCTCAATAACGTACCCCTCCCCGCCGGAGGCCCGCGCATTGCCGTTCTGACCGACGGAAGCCGTATCCTCGGCATCGGCGACCAAGGCTGGGACGGCCTTGGCATCAGCATCGGAAAGCTCTGCCTCTACGTAGCCGCAGCCGGCATCCACCCTCGCGCCACGCTCCCCATCGTCGTCGACCTGGGCACCAACAGCCAGGAGAAGCTCGAGGACCCCATGTACCTCGGTCTCCGCCAGAAGCGCGCAAGCGACGACGAGTACCGCGAGTTCCTTGATGAGGTCATGGATGCTCTGAACAAGAAGTTCCCCAACTTGATCATCCAGTTCGAGGACTTCACCAGTGACCATGCGTTTGAATTCCTCGCGCGATACCAGGACAAGTACCCGATGTTCAACGACGACATTCAGGGGACTGGTTGTGTCGTGCTGGGCACATTCGTTGCTGCTGCTCGTCTGAGCTCCAAGGCGTCGGGCAAGCCGCTCTCCGAGCACAGGATCCTGCTCACGGGTGCTGGATCTGGAGCCGGCGTCGGCAAGCAGCTCCTCTCCTTCTTTACGCAGCAGGGCTTCACAGAGGAGGAGGCGCGCAAGAAGATTTGGATGGTCGACTCGAAGGGCCTGATCACCAAGGACCGTGGAGACAAGTGAGCCGCGCCTTCTTCGACATACCTTTGGCGTGCAGAAGCTGACTATTGCCTTTTCCCTTGTCCACGCCAGGCTCGCCCCTCAAAAGCAAGAGTGGGCTCGAGATGACAACAATGGCCAGCAATTCCAATCGCTCGAGGACATCATCGACTACGCCAAGCCGACCGCCCTCATTGGCCTCTCCACCGTCCCCAACACCTTCACCCCGTCCGTGCTCCGCAAGATGGCCGACCTCAACAAGCGACCCATCATCATGCCCCTCTCGAACCCCTCTTCCAAGTCGGAATGCAACCACCAGCAGGCGATTGAGGGAACAGATGGCCGCGCAATCTTCGCTGCCGGCTCGCCCTTCGGCGACGTAGAGTATGACGGCAAGACGTTCAAGGCCAGTCAGGCGAACAACTTCCTCGTCTTCCCCGGCATCGGTCTGGCAGGGGCCTTGACGAAGGTTTCGCGCATCACGCCCTCGATGATTACAACTGCGGCCGTCTCTCTCGCCAACTGCTTGACCGAGGAGGAGGAGAAGGAGGGTCGTGTCCTACCCGACATCGCCCGCATCAGGGAGGTCTCGCGCGATGTTGCCACAGCAGTCATTCAACAGATCAACAAGGAGGGGTACGCGAGGGATGGAGGGTACACGGCTGGATTTATGGAGGAAAATCTCAAGGAGTGGGTCGAGGGAGAGATGTGGTCGCCGAGCTACGAGAAGCTGCACACTTGAGCGTGGCTCCGCGTCGCCTTGCTCATACGCTTTCGTCTTTGCATCTCGCCTTTTCTCTACTGTACATCTAGGTGGTGCGACACTAGAATCGATCCATCCTTCGTATCTTCCAAGCTCGAGGTTAAGGGTCGTTGCGAGGTGCTGCAAGGCTCGTAGACTAGCGGCTGCTGCACGCACGCGTCTGCCGCGGGCCGAGTGGTCTCGAGAAAGTCGTTGCAGCCCGGGCTCCTCCAAGTCGATTGATTGGGTGAGGGCCTTTCCGTGCTTCGCTTTAGTCATCGAATCGCTCCACCATTGTCTCCTCCTTTCATAACCTCTCGCCACGAACCAACACATCAATGCTTCCTCGCAGATAGATTGCAGTAACTTCACCCTTTTCCCTTGCCCCTCTCGCTGCTCACTCCTCCCCTACCGCCACTCAGCGCCATGCTGACATCAGGGCTGCGGGCCGGCGTGGCAACCGCAGCCACAGCATCGGCGCCTACCTTACGACCAGAGGCGGCAAAGGCCTTGTCCACAACACCGAGCGTTTTCACTATCCTAGCACCACCAGCCACCCCGCCACTTGCACGACCCTTCACGACAAGACGCTCCACCCGCCGCGGCGTGCATATAGACTCGACGACCGCCTCGTCCTACCCTCAATACCAGCACTACCAACCAGCATCGCAGGCTGCAGAAGCCTCTTCGTCATCCTCCTCAACAACAACGCCCTTCTACTCGCCACGCCCTTCCTCGTCATCTGCATCCTCTCCTCGCGCACGCTACCTTCTGCGCTACCTAGACGAGGACGTGGACGTCAATGGCCACTTTGCCTCGTACGCCGCCCCACCTCCGCCCTCACCCGAGGAGCTCGAGCAAGAGGCTCAGCAACAGCAGCCTCATCGCTATGCAGCTGAGCAGCAAGAGGCGAAGGAGAGTCATCGGCATCACTTGGACTCCCTCTCCGATGAGGAGCTGGTTGCTCACGCCGAGCAACTGGGCCGGGAGCAGCTGAGCGAGGAGGCGGCAAGGTTGCTGGATTATTTGGGGACGCACGGAGGAGGTGGAAGGAGGTTGGCAAGACGAAACTTTGTCAGCCGGGTGATGCAAGTCTGGAGGGGAAACGAGAGTGATTTGGAGAGAAGAAGGAGAGCTCTGCAGGGATTGCTGAGAGGAGCTGCTGAGGCCGAACTCGGCGGTCGAGGGGAGGGCATCACGAGCCTTGTCTCTCCCCACGAGATGCTGCGCGTCTACGCCATCCTAGTTGAGGTCGGACAAGGGCGGGCAGTGGCGCAGCAGCAGGCCACTGGCCAAGATACCCAGAGCAGCGCTACGGGCCCCTTCTCCTTCCTCTCCTCGCAAGCATGCAATCGCCTAGCGCGCAAGATTCTGCGCTCTGCCCACCCGACCCTCTTTCCCGTCTTTGTGGCTCTCTTCGAGGACTTGCAAGAGCGAGGACCGTCCCACGAGGAGCAAGAAGAGCGTACATCTCCAGTCCTCACGACAAATACAACCATCGGCGCCTTTCTTTACGCCCTCCAGCCACGTGTCTGGCAGCCGCAAGGTGGACACAGCTTTGCCAGACGGATAGTCAACGCTTTGTTGCAGCAAGAGCAGCAGACTCGCCGATACGATGGCAGTGTCGGGGCGAGGGAGGCGGCTCAGGTGCGCGGAGCAGGACAGGATACTAGGGCCTGGCTCGCAGCATTGGATGGAGCTGCCGCAGCGGCAGAAGAGGGACATCCGACCTCAGCGAAGGCAAAAGAGCAAAAGGACGCTCTCATCTTCGAGCTGTTCTGCCGCTTGCTGCTCGTACGACTCTCCCTACAGCAGGGCACGAAAGACGGCGGGCAAATCATCAAGGAGCAGCTGAAGACCCTTGTTGAACATTTGCCGCGTCAGCTGCTCGACGTGAAGGTGCAGCCTGTGTCGGATCTGTCGGCTCCTTCTGCGCCGGTTGATGTCATCGCGGCACAGTACGCTCTCGATACGATTGAGAACATCCTCCAGCACGGACAAGGAACGGAGGCGCCCATTCAGCTGGCTGCGGAGCTTGCTAGGGAACACGCGAGTCTCATCGCGAAGAGGGCGATCGCGATGCAGACTGGCGAAGATTCAAACAGCACATTGAGCTCAATGGGGCCGCTCCTTCTAGAAGAGCTCTGCAAACGCAGCCTCGAAGTCAGGCGACCTATGCTCGCCATCCGGGCCCTTCTCGCAGTCAAACGTGCGAGCCCGTCTGGCTCGGCATCGCCTCTCCCTTCACTCGCCCGAGCAGACACGCTCATCTCCCTCATCTCGACCATGCGCCTCACAGAGCGACAAGGCTTCGCCCAAGCTCAGCTGCACGAGCTGTTAGGTTGGCGCGAGCATGCTGTGCGAGAACCCTCCATTCTCAACCTCCCCACCCCGCAACGCCCATCCATGCTGCGCGCTCTCGCCTTCTCCCGGCTCAAAGGCCCGCTTGCCTACCTCTGGATGAGGTGGACTGACAATGGTTCAGCAGGAGATGGTCTGCTCTCCGCTCATACGATAGCCGCAGATACGGCTCTCATGAAGTTGCTGGTCAAGACGTTCGTACCGGGCCACAACGTCGGTGTCTCGCCTCAGGGAAAGCAAGAGCTCCTCGTCCCCGAGGAAGGGGCTCGGAGCGACGTCACTCTGCCTCTGCAAACACGTGAAGACGAGATGGCATTTGCGACTCACGTCCTGCAGTCCTTTCACCAAGCTCGAACCTCCCCTCCTACCTCGTCGTCGGCCAGTGGCTTCGAAGAGGACATCTCATCTCCGCAGCTATATGACCACTACGACCTCACATCCCTCGCCTCCGCCTACCTCGACCTAGGCCGCGAGAAGGCTTGCTTTAAGATCTTTGGCGAGTTGCTACATCGCCGCGAGGTGCCAGATGAGACGGACTTGCTAGTGCTACTCTATGCTGTTGCGCGACGTGGCTCGCGAGACGAGGATGAGGCGAGACACGCCAGGGCTTCGGCTCGTGTTGGGGTCCGAAGGGCGGTCAAGCTTTACGAGCGTTATTGCCTCACCCCATCGGACAAGAAGGGCGACGACGAGAATCGAGTGCACAAGCAGCTGCGAGCCACTCCCAAGATTCATGCGACCTTGCTCCGTTTGGCTTTGAGGGCAGGAGAGGTGGACGTGGCTCACAAGCTGGCCCTCTCGGCGATGCGTTTTCGGTTCCTCGCTCCGGAGCACGACGCGATCCACACGGAAGAGGATCAGGACGGCCCTCTCGCTCGACGTGGGGAGGCGCAGACGATCAACACGCTCCTGCTTGCTGGACGAGCATTCAGTCCCGCCTTGATTGGGGCTGACCACCGAGCTAGAGCAGGGCGGCGCAAATGGGTCGCAAACGTCTGGGAGGATGTGGCGAAGATGGCTATTAAGAAGGTCAAGGCGAGAGCATGGCAGCCTGACGCTGAGCTGTTGCAGCATTTTGCGCGGGCGGCGTTGCGGGGTCAGGTTTCGCTCGGTGAAGCACGCGCGAGGCAGCAAGAGGCGGATGAGCAGCAGCAGGTTCAGCAGGCAGCACGTCGCGAGACGGTGGAGAGGGAGGTCCGTCCACTACCACCACACCTCGCCGGGCAGCGCCAGCACCCTCTCACTGTCAACGATACTCCACGCCGCCCTCGCCTCACCGACGCCTCTCTGCGCTCCGCCCTCACCTTCCTCGAGCTCGCTAGCCTGCAAACCCGCAACCTCGACGTGGAGCTCGTGCAAGAAGCCTTGCTGGCTTTGCAGAATCGCGTGGCGAGGCTGTCGACTTCTAGGCGCGAGAAGGTGCACAGGGTCGAGTGGGTGCAGGTGCTGGATGGATTCGTCGCGAGATGTCTGAGGAGGGTCGAGGGTGGCAGGGACAGGGCGACTCAGGCAGGGGAGAATGAGCACGTGGAGTCGGTCAACGAAGATGACCTTGCCGAGCAGGAAGAGGCGACGCTCTCGGCTCAACCCCAGTCGTCCTCGTCCGCCACACCGCGCACCTACTACCACCCCATCCTCACCACCAAGACGCTCCGCCTCGTAGCGGGTACCTACGCCGAGTTGCGTGACCGTTCGGGAGCGTACCAGGTAGCTGCCTGGATGCACGAGCGAGGAATGGCCCCACCAGCTCAGACCGCGGGGTCGCCACGCCGTCAAGTTGTCGCCCTCCTCGGACCTAACCTGCGCCGCCGCCTCTCGGACCTTGCGAGGGGTGATCAGAAGAAGGCCGAGGTGGCGCAGAAGCTCGATGCGAAGGATGATGGAGGCGAGAAGGAGGGCCTGCGCATTGCGAAGGATCCAAGTCGGGAGAGAGATATCGATTGCTGGGTTGACGAGGAGAAGTGGCGCAAGGACAAGCCGTGGTGGAAGAGCGACGTTTGGGATGTGTGACTTTACGCTCGCTGAAAGGAGCAACGCATCAGGGATAGCGAGTAATATTCCACGCTCAACAAATGCTATCTAGTCACTTGCCTGAGCAAATGTGCCCTCCACTTGCGCGTGCTCTCCCACACCTTCTCGCTCTACATCTCCCACCAGTCCCCCCGCTCGCATTCCCTACTATGCAGCTTCTTCCAGCTCCGAGGAGTCCTTCGCGTCATCATACGTTGCATTGAGGCTCTCAAAGACGCCCTAGAGAAGAAACGCATGATCAGTCAGAGCCATCGAGCGTTGCTTCTCTTCCTGCGGCAACTCACAAAGCGGACGGAGACCGCGTCGGCGGGGAGACGCATTGTCGCGAAACTCTGTAGACTGGCTTGGGGAGCTTTGCAGCCATTCATTAGGTCACAACAGCACTCGTCCATTTTTGAACAGTTGTTCTTCAGGTTTGTGGCGCAGGAGGGCGTAGGCGGGTTGGTGCAGGAGGGCATAGGCGCCGGTGGTACCAATCAGCCTAGAAGACGCAATCTGTCTCGATTCTGACCTACGTGACAACAGCAGTAGCTTGTAGTAGTCCCCTCGCTACAGCTGTAATTTTCGTAGCTGTGTGCGACAGAGCGGCTGATGGTCAGCTTCAACCTCACGATCCATTGATCCGAGAGGCCACAACCCGCAGCTGTGCTGACCAGCGGCTCGTATTTGGTTGAGAACAGCACACGTAGCCCAGAGCGATGCCAAATAATGTACCAGAGAGGCCGAGCGTCAGTAGGAGGTGATGGGCACGCATGGTAATGTAGATCACGAGCTCTGGTGGGAGGAGGAGGAGCAGAGGCTCATAGTTGCCAAGGCGGCGCTGGCTATGCCTCGGCCAGTCTACGGCTTGCGCGCGTGCTCACGAACTGACCGGGTGCTTTCCAGCCGATGAGTGATGCAAAGGAGTTAAGGAGTTACGGAGTGCGGTGGGCAGACAAATGAGAGAGCTGGGCGAGCGCGCGTACACGGGCAATCGAGTGCCTTGAATTTGCCCTGATCTTGCGCAGCGATGACTTCTTCGCTCTGATCACCATACGGAGTCAGTGCGGTTCTCGAATTGTCCCTGTGAAGACAAGGAGCCACGGCGCATCAGCCACGACTCGACTACCGGCGCTTCTGCACGTTCGGTGAGTTCACCATGTGGACAGATACCGCATCTGGGGGCAACAGTCTAGCCAGAGGGTGGAAACTGGTGGCGCTAGAGGCCTTGCATCCCGGTTTGCGCTGTTGAAAATCACAACAGCAGGCGTCCTTCATTTTGCACGAGTTATGGCAACAGCATGACTTGACAACGGGATCCTTGGAGAAGCAGTGAGTATTTTCGTAGCTGCGAGAAACCGCGCCAAGTGCTCCGAGTCAGTGGAATGTCCGTACGCCTCGCTGGCACCTCGTTCTCTCACCATCTGCTGTAGGCTGGCTGTTCACAACACTTGTACTGGGTCGCGAGGGCGAGGGAGACGACGAGAGCGAGCAGGCTGAGAAGAGAAACAGCGCGCATCTTCGTGGCTGACTTTAGCTGATGGAAGGCGCGACTGGGTATGATGGCAAGGAGGAAAGGCTTTGGTCAAGGTTGGCTACGTATGGATCTCCTCCGCGCTTACCCTAGCGCCACTCCCAAACCGTCGCCCACATGAGGGTCACATCGGACGAACTCCACGGAGAGGCTGACGTGACTCAAGAGAAATGGCACGTCTGAACGCCTCGAAGATCAAGCATAAATGGAAGCGACAATGAGCGCAAGACGCTGTTGATTGATCATGAAGAAGGTGGGCGGTGGATGGAACGTTGTGGTGGAAAGGACGGAACGCGAAACAGGATCGAGCGCATGATTGCTCGCGCGCCGCGCCTGGCCTCGCTCGCCCGTTTGCCGAGATCAACGAGATCAACACCCACGCTAGTCGAGCCCGCTTCTCTTCTCACTTTCCTACCCTCCGCATCATCCTGCCACCCTGGCTCAACAAGTCATCGAGAAGAATCAAGAGAGGCAAGGCTTCTTCCTCCACCTCTTTCTCCTAGAGCTCAGAGGCTTTCTTGGTGACTCCCTGAAATCATCAACAGGCGTATCAATGGGTCAGAATCGTGCAAGGAGCTGTAATCAAGGCGACTCACGAAGCGAGTGACCAGAGCGTCGTCTGGAAGGAGCAGCATCTGTTCATTCGCGCAACCCTCCTTGTAGAGGCAGCAGCACGCCGCATTGTCACATTTCTTGTACTGGCAGCAGCAGTCGTCGACCTGCGTATCTTTCCCAAAGCACGTGGGGTTCTGATAACCTTTAACAGAGGTGTCAAAGGTGCCGAGATAATCAGTACGGGTGCCAAACGGAAGGCATCCATCGGGCAGACACGTCGCGGAACCTACTGACATGAACTAGAGGACTTTTCCTGACAGCAGATGTACTTCTTTGGCTTGTCTCTTGAAGCAATCTGCCATGAGCAGAGAGGGCAACGGTCATTTTCCTCATCGACCGCGGGCTCCAACTCGATGCTACTCACGCGGTCTACTGCTTCCATGCCCAGGGCGTTGGCGGCTGACATACCCAAGAGGGCAGAGAAGATGAAGATGATCAGCAGGAGAGGTTGGGCGCGCATGTTCGTCGTAAGATGTGACGAAAATGAAGAAGGCAAACGGGCTCGACATTAGTCAGGACAACGTCTCTTGCAGTCCGTACGTTTCCAGTCGCTACCTCTCCCTTTGGCCTCCTGGCCCAATACGGGCTCAACCCTCGTCACTTCTCTGCCGCGATGGGCAAGCGGCCATGTGAGTCAAGCTTCGGGCAGCTCTTGGGGCTTGCTCGCTCGTAGTCAGCCATTGATTGCCTGAAAAGTGCGGGAGGAAGGGGGAAGCGACGGGCCGCCATGAGAGCGAGCTGCTACAACTCCGCTCCGTCGTACTCGCCGGCCCTGTCAATCTTCGACGCACTCAGCAGCGGTTCGAATGCTCTGCCCGCCCCTGTACTTGCAAATGCTTCCTCCTGACCTCGTGAGCATAAAGCTGCTACGGAGAGGCAAGGCCTATGCCTCCTCCTCTTCCTCCCCTTTGAGCTCGGAGGCCTTCTTGCTGACTCCCTAAAATCATGGCCAGGCACGTCAGAGGGTCAGCTGCGTCGTACAGAAGGCTCGGGCAGAGTCAGCTTACGAAGCGAGTAACCATGGCCTCGTCCGGGAGCAGCATCATCTGCTCGTTCTTGCAACCCCTCTTCAAGCGACAGCAGCAATGGACCCCTTTAGGACAAGATTTGGTACGATAGCAGCAGCAGTCCGCTACCTTCTCATCCTTGGAGAAGCAATACTCGTTCTGGTAACCTGAAAGAAGGAGTCAAAGTCGCGGGAAGATGAGTATGGGTGCCTGTGAAAGGGCGTTGGTCTGCAGACGGGTCGTTCGAGACCTACAACTCGATGTGGCACGAAGAAGGCAGCAAATGTACGCTTTCTGCCTCGAACCGAGCTGCCGTCACGAAAACGGACGTTCAGCGCTTATTATGAGCCTTGGAGACCAACTCAAGTTGACCTACGCGATTTTGACCATCGACGCCGTGAGCAGTGGCGGCCACCACACCCAGCAGGCTAGCGAGGACGAGAGTGATCAGTAGGGACAGTTGGGCCCACATGTTCGTCGCGAAATGCAGTGATGGTCAGAGCGGCAAGGGATGCGAAGCCAATCAGCATCATCTTGACTTCTTCCTGATCGCTACCTCACCTCGGGGTATCGGCCGCTCTACCATCTTCCCCGTCACCGGACGCGGGCCCTTCGCCCCCCCCCCCCTCCTCTGCTGCGATTAGTGAACGCCCCGCCACCAAAGGATCCGTCTGAGCCAATCTCTGCGCAATCAGCAGAGCTTGCTCGGTCGTCGTGAGCCATACATTGCGTCGAGCTCGATCTTCCTCGCAACCGCGAGGGGAGCCGAGCGAAGACCGGCAAAACTCCAGTGAAGGGCGTACGGGGTAGGTCATGTATCAAGCAGCTGCGGTGTAGTCGGCGAGACAGGCTGGAGATTGGTGGCTGCGAGGCAGGCAGAGTGGTGGAGGACGCTGAGAAAGAGAAGAGAAGAGGTGGGTCAAGTGGGAGGGACGGCTCTGAAGGAGCCGAAGAAGGGGCGACCGCAGCCGTGAGCATGAGCATGACCAACGGGATGTTGAGAAGTGGGAGGCCCATGCCGGGACTAGCGGCGAGGGCGCTGTCAGCGAAGGAAGTAGGGGGGATTGCGAAGTGGCGCCTACGAAAGCAAGCTCGACATCCCGCTGCAGCAGAAGGTCTGCGGCTACTTGGAGACGCGCCACAGGCAGCAAACCGTCGCCCTTGGCTCTTGCCGCCTGTCTTATTCATCTCATGGCTGTAAGATGCCGGGCAGCCTGATCACATACTGCTCTTTCCTGCCTCAACGGCCTGCAAAATCGTATCTGTGTATCATTGCCGCCCATCTGCTCACGTACATCTCGCCTAGTCGACGACGTGGTACCTCCCATTCTTCCTCAGCGGCGTTCCGCTCGTCTCTACGGGCTGCTCAAACCTCAAATGGCTCCTGTACCTCCTGAGGTACACAATGGCCACATCCTCAATCTTATCCGGCGTCATACCCAGATCCGCCCAGCTCTTTGTCCCCGCCTCATCGGGAAGGTCATCGACCATCCTCCTGTCCACCTCATCTGCGCTGAGCATACCCCACCATGCCGCCTTGTCCGTGATCGAAGCGGCGAGGCGAAGTGCCCAGTGTGGGACGTTGAGACCAGGGCGGAGCGTCTTTTCGAAGGTGAGGGACTCGACGAGGGTGAGAAGCTCGGTGATGGTGTACGTCTTGGGGCCGCCGAGCGAGAAGGTTGCGCCAGTCGAGGTGACTTCGGCGTCCATCATGAGCTCGAGAGCGCGGGCCAGGTCGATGCTGTGTGTAGGGCGCAGCTTCGTGCGGCCGTAGTTTACGTGCCAGGTGATAGGCCAGCCTGGAGAGGGAGAGCGAGCGAGGTCAGCGAGGGCCGTTCCATAACGCCGATGCGCGCCGCACTCACGAGCCATCTGGTTGAGGAAACGGTCTTCATGTCCGTAGAGGCTGCCCGGCCTGACGATCGTAGCCCCATCAAAGGCCTGCTTGACGAGCTTCTCCCCCTCAGCCTTTGAGCGTAGGAACTTCGACGGCGAGTCCTCGCGGGCATTGAGGTGGGAGACGTGAATGAAGCGCGAGACACCGGCGTCAGCTGCGATGGCTGCGATGCGAGCTGCGCCCGTTGCGTGGACGTCGTTGAAGGTGAAGTTCCTAACGCGATGTTGAGGGGAAGGAGGGGTGAGCGAGGGGACAGGGCGGCATGCCCGTTTTGGCGCTCACTTGGTCTCGTAGTTCCTGCCCGTCAAATTGTATACCACATCCGAGTGTCGCAAGCACTCCCTGATCTGATCATCATTCTTCAAATCCCACTCGAGGGGCACAATCTGTCCCAGATCACCAAGAGGCTTGAGGTGACGCTTCTCGTCCTCATCTCTGTAGGGCACAATGACCTGCGTACCCTTTTGTCCCAGCTTGTCGACGAGGTAGCGACCCAGGAAGCCCGTGCAGCCAAAGACGGTAGCTACATGGCCTGAGACAGCAGAACGTCCACCGCCAATGGGGCCGGCGCGTTGGATGGGGAGGCCAGTCTTGCGCTTGATGACGAGGTCGTGCGCATAGCGGCGTGCAGAGGGGACGGAGGAGGAGGAGGCAAGGCCACTGCGATGGCAGAAGGCGGCTGCCCGTGTGGCCGAGGCGAGAGGGAGGGTGGCCATGCTGGAGATGGTAGGTGATGGTGAGGTTCTTTGAAATCGGAAGCCGCCGCCGTCGTCGCCGTCCAGCTCGAGGCTCGGCGGCGACGCTTCGTCTCTCCCCGCCTTGCGCCGCGTGGCAGGCAGCAAGCAGCCAGACGAGGATCCGCGCCGGTCCGACTCTGACGCCTCTCTGTGGGCGTTACGGAAGGGCTGCAGCCAAGGCGGGCGGAAAGGAATCGCGAGGGAGGCGGCCATCGAGACGACTTCTTTTCGACGCTTGGGATCACGGCAGCAGCATCGCTTCTTTCTCTCCATCCCAATCGGCCGTCGCGCAATGCTGCGAGCCTCTCGTGCTTCGGCACACGTCGTCGTGGCTTCGACATCCGCGGCGCCCTTGGCCTCGACCGCACGAGTCGTAGTGAGGAAATCCGCAGCTGCGCCTCCGTCCTCCTCGAGAACCTTTAGCTGCAGTGCACATGTCCACCAGGCGACTGAGCAGGGGCAGAGCAGTGGTAGCAGCGGCAAAGGCAAGGGCAAGGCTAGCGACGGCAATTCAGCTTCATCGTCGTCATCGTCGCAGTCGTCTCCGCGCTGGTTCGATTCGATCAAAAAGAAGGCGAGCAGCGTGCTCAGATTCAACAAGCAGCAGCAGGAGCAGCAGGCGGCAGCCACATCGTCACAGTCTCAAAGGAGTGCAGCCAGCAACAATCCATCCGCCCAGAATGCTCCATCATCCTCCTCCTCCTCGGACGCCCAGAGCGCTCGCGACGATCCACAATTCGTCGCAGCACTGAATGCCACAGCGCAGGCTCTGCGAGCGAGAAAGAGTCGAAAGTTATCAAAAAGACAGAGACAGGCCAAGAAAGCAGCAGAAGCAGCAGCTCGTGCGGATGGGACGCAGCAACAGTCGTCAAAGCCATCAACCTCAGCCCCGGATCCAGTAGTTGCGGCTGCCGAGATCAATCAAGGCGGCCCGGCAACGATGAAGGAGGCAGCGGAGGCCTCGTCTGGTGATTCTGGCCCATCACAGAAGCAGTCAGCGCCTGCCGCTGCCACGTCGACGACCAAGCAGCAGGCGAGAGGCAAAGGAGCCACACTACGTAGGCAGAGGCAGCGACGTCGCAGAGTCGCAGCCCGAAAGGCTGCTGCGACGCCGCCAGCCAAGGCCAAGAAGCAAGAGGAGAAGGCTGCCACACCGCAGCAGCAGAATGATGTAAAGGACAAGGGAAAGCAGCAGCAGCAGGCATCTGGCGCTAAGTCGCCGCGCCTTCCTCATCAATGGCAACAAGACGCCATCCCACAAGTAACACAAAGCGAGCGGCTTGCGGCGCAAGAGCAGGCTCGCCGGGAGGCAGACGAGGCCTCGATGGCAGAGGCAGCAGCGGCAGGGGGGCACCAGCCATCATCGGGCCCCTCCGCTTCAGATGCCCCACTCGAAGATACTCGCGCCCCGCGGCGACGTCGTCCTCCTCCGCACCTCAATGCAGGCAAGAGCGGCCCGGCTATGCGGCTAGTCGATGGCCCAGAGATGGAGGCATTGCGCAACATCTCTTCCTCGCTCTACACGCCAGACGAGGAGTGGGAAGCGATCCCCTTCGAACAGCGCGAAAAGAATGGCGGGGCCGACCTGCTTCGGCGCGGCGGCATCCTACGCGCGGCCGACGTCCCCGTAGAAGGGATCGACGGTCTTCGCGAGATGAAGGTGGCCACGCTGGCCCATGGCCTGGATCGTGTCCTCTTCAACCCCGGTGTCCACCAGCTTCGCGACCCGCGCTCAGGAATCTACAATTACCCGCCTCACCTCCGTCAGATACCCGACGTGGACCTCTTTGACTACGGTGCCCTGCCAGCGTACGTGACCTCTTCTGCCGATATGGAGCTCATCGAGATTGCCCAGAAGCAGGGAGCGAAGTGGTGCGGCTCCACCTCCAGTCTTACTAGCATCTTCAGCCACGCCTACTTCCTCCTCTCAGGCTGGAAGGCGCCCGAGTCCAAGGACTTTACCAGCGAGTTTCGAGGAGATGCGGTGCCCAAGGGGTTCAGCTTTGCGGCGAAGCTACCAGCGACGATCAACTTCACGCCTAGGATCACGCCCGGGAATCCGAGACCCGTATATGCTATCGACTCGAACTCGTCGGATAGCGGCGAGGATGCGAACAGCAACTACGTGCTGCTGCAGTTGGGCAAGGCAATGGAGAAGATGCTTACCGTAGATCGCGGGGAGTTTGACAGCTTTCTGCGCGTCAACAGACCGGATGATGCCTCCGCGGGCGAAGATGGGGCCGAATCGACGTCCGCACAAGCAGCGCCAGAGCCAGAAGCCTACTACTACTCTCGCGCCGGTTCCAGCTTCGTCATGCGTTCCCAGCTCGACTGCCACGACTCGCGCCTACCACGCAAGACGTTCGACCTCAAGTCTCGCGCGTGCGTCTCCATCCGCTACGATAGAGCCAACTGGGTTGAGGCCTCCGGCTACCAGATCAAGCACCTGCATGGACTGTGGGAGAGCTTTGAGCGTGAGCGCTACGATATGACGCGCAGTGCGTTCTTGAAGTACTATTTCCAGGGAAGGATCGGGAATATGGACGGCATCTTCGTGGCGTACCATAATGCGGCCAAGTTCTTCGGATTTGAGGTGAGCAGTCGAGCAGTGAAGTGAACGAGCGCGACTAACCTCACCCTCTCTACCCTGCCCACCCAACAGTACTTCCCCCTCGAGGAGATGGCGAAGCAGCTCTTCGGCAGCGCAGAGATGGCCGAGCAATCCTTCAAGCTCTGCATCTCCCTCACCGAACGCGTCCTCGGCCGTGCCGCAGAGCTCTACCCGGGGAAGCCATTGCGCCTCACATTCGAGACAGTCGAGCCGTATCGCAACTCCTCCTCGCCCTCCTCACAGTCTCCTCCCTCCGACGGCCCAGCAGCAGCACCCGCTCCACCAGACACGATGCGCGTCTGGATTCGACCGCGAGATGAAGAGGGCAAGCCCGTGCAGGGCGAGATCACCCAGCTAGACGTTACGGTGGATCGATACATCTTTGGTCGACTGGTGCAGGGTCCGGTGGATTTCAATGCAATCGATGGGGAGATAAGCGTTAGTCAAGCGAAGGAGAAGGCGGAGGAACAGCTCGAAACAGAGACGGCCTTCGAGCGCGATGCGCACAAGAACAGAGACAGTTCCGCAGCCGCAGCGTCAGGCAACGATGGATTCAAGCGCCCTGTCGATTGGCACGTCGAGTACTCCCTCGTCGCTCGTACGGACTTGTCCGAAGGCGAGGCGCGGGCCAATCTGGACTCAGCGCTGGATCGAGCCAAGCAGCTTGCCTCCCTCGTCACGCCGAACGTGGACGCCATCAACGAGCGTGAGCGTAACCTGGAGGCAGAGCTTGCGCGCAACCCTGCTGCGTTGCTCAAGTACAAGCGCGATAAGCAGAGCGGGGTGGCAGCGGGGATGCCCAAGGCTAGGGGCCAGGTGGAACTCTTTGGCTTGGGTGAAGAGGAGATCGAGGTTGATGAGCAGGCGCACACGGATGTCAGGCCAGCAGCGGAAGAGCCCAAACCGTTCGGCCCACCACTGGAGGAGGCCACCGCTGCTATGCCTTCGACGTCGGGCAAGGAGCAGATTGAGGAAATGGCGCGAGTGGTGAATGCGGAGCGGAAGAAGTCTTCACTTGGCGAAGGAGAGGATGGCGATGGATTGTGGCGACCCCCTACGATGCTCATATCTGCTATGAGGGTCAAGAGCAGGCAGGGTGCCAAGGAGGCAAAGGAGTTGGAGGCGAGGGACGAGTTGGTGGAGTTTAGATCGACGAGCGAGGGGCCGAGGAGGTGAGGCGAGGCGAACGAGCCAGGAGACAGACAGGGCTATCATAGATTTGGATCTGCAATTGTACCACACCAACACCACCACGCATTCATCATTCACGCCCCTTCGTCCTCCCCGCCGTCGTGTCACTCTCACCTGGCCCGCACTTTTTTTGCGTCCGTGCACAATCGTCTCTGTCCGTCTCGCGATCGGCGACGCCGCGATGAGGCTGAGACAAGGGTCGATTTGGGGGGCGGAGTTGGGTTCTGTTGGCCCTGCATGACGGAAGAGAGCCAGGCTCGACGAGCAAATGCTGCCTTGTCTCCTTTCCCTTAGCTTTCGACGACACGACAACGACCTGCGATTGACGACCTCTTTATAGTAGCGAGCTAGCGAGCAAGCGCTCAGAATACCCTTGTACCCGTACCACTACTCACGACCTCGTCCGAGACCATGGACCACCCCGGCGGCAACAGCAGCAGCGGCGGCGGCGGCGTCTATGGGATGTTCGGCTCAGCGGCGCAACACCTCGCCTCATCCCCCTCAACCTCAAGATCGCAGCATGGTGACCCTTACACGTCCTCATCTGGCGGCCCATCAGCGCCCTGCTCAGCCGCCGCCTTCGACTGGGACGACATGACCGGCGCCGGGTCTAGCAGTGGCGGCTCGAGCAAAGCTTTGGACTTGGTATTTGTGATGGACTGCACAGGGTCGATGGGAAGCTACATTGCCTCTGCGACCAATCATATCGAGACGATATGCGATAACATCAAGCAGAGCGAGCAACTGTCTGCGCCTGGAGCCTTGCGAGTGGTAAGTGACGTGACGCCGTGCGAGCTACCAGCCGAGACTCGGTCCCAACGTGCTGACCACCCTGTCTGACCCGATGCGTTCACTCGCAGGGACTCGTAGCCTTCCGCGACCACCCACCGCAAGACTACAGCTATGTGACTCGCTCTTCACCCTTTACCTCAGAGGTGTCCGTAATCAAAGAGAGGCTACGCGAGCTTTACGCCTCTGGCGGTGGAGATGGGCCTGAAGCCGTAACCGCAGCGCTGAAAGCCGTGCTGGACATGGCCTGGCGTCCCTCAGCTACGCGGCTGGCAGTCGTTATCACAGATGCTCCGCCGCATAGCATTGGAGAATATGGGGACGGCTTCCCGAATGGAGATCCTTCCGGAGAGGACCCGCTTGTGCTCGCAAGGCAGATGGCGGAGATGGGGATTTCATTGTTCATGGTTGCCTGCGAGCCGGCGCTGGCTGGTGAGTAGCAGTGGAAACATGCGTTGCCGCGCATGCATAGTTCACTGACCTCCACCTCCTCTTGTATCACACCGCTGCTAGCTTACACTAATGCAGTCGACTTCTACCAGGGCTTGGTCCGGATCACCTCCGGCCTTATGGTGCCTCTCACAACGGCCTCGCTGCTGACATACGTCATCATCGCTGCGGCAGGAGAAGCCATGGCCCTCGATCGTCTGCACCGCGAGATAGGCGATGAGGTCGCAGAACGGCTACGCTCGCTCAGCCTCGCGGGCGCCGGCGCCGACCCATCAGCCCAAGCTGCAGCTCCGCCTCCTCCTTCCGACCTACTGATGGACGAAGTAGCGCGCGACCTCCATCAACGCCTTCTCTTGCGCAACGAGTCCACGAAGCAGATCGTCATCGAGAGCATCTACCGTGAGACGGAAGATTCGCGCAATAATGTCGAGGTGTGGAGCACAGCGCCCGACGTGGGGGCGGCGCGACCTCATGTGACCAAGGTGTATGGGTCACGACTCAATGACCGGTATTTGTCAACAAGGAGAGCGAATGCCAGCTTGGCAAGTAGAGGATCGGCCCCTTTTCCTGGCTCTGGAGCAGGCGGAAGGTCAGGAGGCTCAACTGGGTCGTGGAGCACGGTGGGGGCTGGAGGTAGGGTGGTGCCTGGCGCACTTGGTGGCAGCAGCAGCGGCAGCAGCAGCATCACTGGTGGGAACGAGCGCAGCGGCTCATCACGCCAGGTCGTCTCCGACTTCTCTGCCTTCAGCGCTTCAGGCTCGCTCAGCTTCGGCTCACCACCACAAGCAGACTCGCCAGCGCGCTTTGGTGGGAATAATGCGACATGGACGGGCGGAGGCGCAATGCGTGGGAACCAGGCGCGCGGAATGGACGATGATGATGACGATGATGCAGCGGGGCAGGAGGATAAGCCCTTGCCCGTGGCGGTTGAGTCGGAGGAAGGCGGGATGGAGGTAGCGGGCGATGATGGGTCGCGGCTGAAGTTCAGAATGGGGGCGATCAGCTTGGATCAGGCAAAGAGGCTCGCGAGGCAGAGCGCGTATAGGCGGGCATGAGGTGGTGTCGCATTCACTGTGTGCTCATGGCAGGCATACATTCACCCAATTGCATTCAATGGATCACCTCCGCCATCCTCACCACTCGCGTCATCGGTGTTGCCGCCGATTACGTACATGGAAGCCAACAACGGGCAAGAAATGGATTGCTGTCGCTCTTGCCAGGGGTTGATTAGCACGCCCAAACAAATGTGATCTTCCAGTGGCTCGATTGATTTCAAGGTACCAGTACTGGCATCTCGGCGGGCTGGCTGTGCCGTGACTGTTTACACATCACATTGTCGACATGTGCTTTGCTCTCGTCCATCTCGCAACGCTATTCTGCTTCCTTTTCTCCATCTCTCACCAGCCTCTAACGCTACAGACCGCCATGCAGCCGAGAGATTCACATCTTGAGCATTGCGATCGAGGTCCAATATGGGAGGAGCTGGACGAGGATGATGCTTTGCTGAGGACTCCAGTGAGTAGTCGCTCTTCGTCACAGCAGCTCGTCATCAGCGTGCGATTCTCACCTCGCTCCTCTCATCGCCGTCAGAGAGGCACGCCCGCCCCTCTGCCCACCGCCAGACAGCCTCGTCCCTCACTTCAGCGCGACTCCACGCTCTCCACCAATCGATACAGCCACGTCTCCTCCATCCGGCACAGCGTCGCCACCTTCCTCAGCTACGACTCGACCGACTGGGCCGTCCTCGCACGCGCCTCTCCTCCCCCACTAGACTCGTCCGACCCCAATGAACCAGAAGAAGATGACTGGCTACACGACCCTCACCTCTTCGCCAAGCACAAGAAGTGGACAAGACGCAGTCGCTGGTTCTCTACACGAGCAATCGTTGATTTCGGTGTCCTCTTGCTCCTCTTCGCCGGAATAGTCTTCATCTTTCTTGGCTATCCGGTCCTTACTGCACTCTTCCTCTCCCCTACCTCGAAGCTGGGCGGCTTTGGGCTTGGGGGGACGAATGGGAGTGGTCAAGTGCCGGAGGGACCGCTCAATAGAGATGGGCTGATCGATCGGGATACGCCGAAGAGCGCTTATTGGCGGAGAGGGATTGATGATCCGAGTAAGAGGTATAGGCTGGTGTACAGTGACGAATTTGAGACAGACGGGAGAAGCTTCTGGCCGGGAGACGATCCGTTCTGGGAGGCGTTGGATCTGCATTACTGGGCTACGGGGAATTACGAGTGGTGAGTGCCGCAGTCGCCGAGTGACGCAGCCTTCACTGCTGCTGACCGCCCCCTTTGCCCTCTCAAAGGTACTCACCTGATGCCATCACAACTCGTGAGGGGGCACTACAGATCACGCTTAGCGAGCATGTCAGCCACAACCTCAACTTTCGCGGAGGAATGCTGCAGTCATGGAACAAATTCTGCTTCACCGGCGGGTACGTGGCCGCCTCCGTACGTCTACCCGGCACAGCCTCGCGGGGCGGTACGTGGCCTGCGGTCTGGGCGATGGGGAACTTGGGGAGGGCGGGGTACGGCGCCACTTTGGAGGGAACATGGCCATACGCGTATGAGGGGTGCGATGTTGGGACCCTGCCTAATCAGACGACCTGGGACGGGAAGCCCACCGCAGCGCTCACGGGAGGCAGCGTGACCTTCAACAAGAAGCACAAGAGCAACGCCTTATCCTTCTTACCTGGGCAGCGTCTCTCCGCCTGCACGTGCCCCAACGATGATCACCCCGGCCCGCGCCTCAAAGACGGCTCGTGGCGTGGCCGCTCAGCACCAGAGATCGACGTCTTCGAAGCGCAGGTGTCCAGCAGCAGGCTGCAGGTCTCCCAATCAGGGCAGTTTGCCCCCTTTAACATGTACTACGAGCCAACCAATACCACCGCACCTGCGTGGCGCTTCTGGCAGCAAGGCGCAAGGGTCAACTCGTACACGGGCGAGGTCAACCAGCAGTCCATGAGCGGGGTGACTCCCGCCGTACAGGAGGCAGTGCAGCGTGGCGGCGATGGGAGCTTTGCAGAGTACGGCTTTGAATATCGGCCAGGGAGCGACGGCTATATCACCTGGACCTCCGGCGGTAAGCCCTCCTGGTCTCTCCTCCCGCAAGCCCTCGCGCCGGACACGGTAGCGAATATCTCGGCTCGTTCGGTGAGCCAGGAGCCCATGTACCTCATCTTGAACTTGGGACTGAGCGACTCTTTTGGAAAGATCGACTGGGACGGCATGGAGTTTCCCTATGTGATGAGCGTGGACTGGGTCAGGGTATACCAGGAGGAAGGGAAGGAGAATGTGGGGTGTGATCCGAAGGACTGGCCGACGAAGGTGAGCGGACGCCAGGACGCCAGATTGTGAGCCCATACCGACTGACGCCTACCTGTCCCTCTTCTGTGCTAGGGATACATTCAGCGCCACTACGCAGCGTATACGAATCCCAATCTTACCATCTGGGGCTCGACGTCCTCGAAAGGAGGATACGGCGCTGATTGGCCGCGTAACCGCTTACAGCCTGGGGGCTGCTCTGCACCCGTGAGCAAGTTGCCTGGCTCGCCGACTCATCCCATAGGCAAGGCGCCGATCAGGAGCACAGATGTTGCTGCAAATTGGGAGAAGCCGGCGTGAGGCTGCTGGGCATGAAAGTAGGGGCGGGTAAGGTGATGAGGCTGAAAGATCTGTCGTGTTGCGGCGCTGGCCGAATGCTGCATTTGATTGGTGTCCCTGCTCGTGACATTCCTCGCTATCCCTTCTTGTTTCTTCTGCCGGCCCTTTGCTACTCCTCGACCACCATTGCCACTACGATGCTGATATCGTCAATCTTCCCACCCGGGAAGCGTATGCGATAGCGTTCCGCCTCTGCCTCAAATGGCGATCGCTTCTTCTCGGAGAATTGGCAGAGGAGCGTGTACTGCAAGGCACTGTGAGAGGGAGCGGCCAGTCAGCTCTTCTGTCATCCCATCTCGACGCACTCGCACACTCACTTGTACGCAATCACCTCCACGAGCGTCTTCTCCTCCTCCCACTTCTCCGTCGTCTCCCCTTCGCCCTTGCCAGCCTGTGCAGCCTCCTCTGCCTCCTTCTTCTTGAAATGCTCCCTGTGCCTTTGCGTCAGGTACTTGACCAAGCCGACCCATTCCTTGCCCCAGACGTTGTCCCATACCCCGTCCGAGGCGACGACGATGATGTCCCCCTTTTGCAATCGAACGCTCCACTCGTTTGCAGTGCGCGGATTGGAGTCGTCGCCAAAGTCCGGTTCGCGGCCGCCGTTGTTGCGACGCATTTCTGCTAGCATGGAGTCGGGGTACTTCGAGAGCTGATTGGGGGCGTTGAAGGCCTGCCGAGCGCGTGCAGGACGGAGTGGACGTCAGTCGGCGGCGAAGTAAGTCGAACCTGTTGAGGCTGCACCACGCTTACTCACCCACTGCTGCGGCGAAGACCTGTAAAGCGTCCCCGGCAAAGGCCGCTTACCAGGCACGCCCCTCCCTCTCCCCAGGTCGTCGCCTTCTTCCACCACGCCGGCATATGGCGGCCTAGCCTTGGCCTCATCCCTCAGGACCATGAAACCCGAGTCGCCCAAATTAGCACTACGCAGCACACCTGTCTCTCCCTCCAACGTGAGTACAGTAGCCGTCGAACTGCCGGCGGGCACGCCCTTCTCACTCATCACCTCCCTGTACGCTCGCTCCAGCAGCTTCGTCGGCCTGGCCCCTTCGTCCGCTGCTCCCCCTTCAGCGGCCGCGAAAGCTTGCGAGGCATGGTACATGAGCGCTTGTGAGAACAAAGCTGGGTCCACGCCATTCTGTGACCACGACCCCACCCCGTCCGCCACGCCAAGCGCCACGTCCCCGGGGTAGGCGTCGTTGCGCACTACCATTAGAGAGTCTTCACCTGCTGAACCGTCGGGCCCGAGCAGGGTGGTCAGCCATTGCCCTATTGGAGTGGACGGAGGCCATCCAATTTGCTTCGGCGGCGCGGTAGTAGAGGAAGGGGATGCTGATGCTGAGGAAGAAGAGGACGAGCCGGGACGATTGGCATCGTCATCATCGTCGTCTCGGCCGGATTGTGAGGGCTCGGGATCTGGTGGCTTGCCTTGAAAGGAGTGGGAGATGAGGAAGGAGAAGCGATGCGTGCGAGGTGTCGAGTGGATGCTACGTCGTTGCCGTGGGGATGATGAGGATGACGATGAGGATGACGATGAGGGGCCGCATGAATAGGACGGCGTGGAGGTTACTCGCAGAGAAGTGCGCAGCAGTGATGTCGAACCTCGCGCCGCCCGAGCCGGCCGTGCGACGGCTGCTGCTGCGAATGTCATTGACATGGTGAGTGCAGGCGCGTCGGGATCTATCCCTCCTCGCTACGGCTATGCTGCAGGATGGGTTCCTGGTCGTGGCGCAGGTGTTGGTTTGGATTCCGAGAAGTCACAAAGTCAACGTCGACGTCAGATCTCGAGTAGCCCACTCGCTTGGTCCGCCCTCTGCCGCTTCCGCCTTTATTCCTCATCTCAATGCTCGCGTGTCGTCGCCCCCTCTCCGCGGATATTGGGGGGCGTCGCCGGCGCTCCGCTCCATCCCGCTGCAAGCACGTCGACGTCGATAGCGACTCGAAGTCGACACGCGGTCCACTCTGTTCCTTCTCGTCCTTCAAAAGGGACAGGCAGCGATAGCGACCTCTCCCGCCCGATCCTCTTTGCCTTCTTACTTTACCTCCGACTAGCATACCCACCCAAGCCCCCACCAAGATGTCCCACGCGCAACACCACGCCTCGTCTTCCTCCGCTTCCTCCGCCTCGTCAGCTCCACAACCGCCCCGCACTCCCTACCATGTCCTGCAGCAGACCTTCCTAATCGACTCCGCCTACTCCATCTCTAAGGAACTCGGGCAAGGGGCCTATGGCTGCGTCGCTGCTGCGACGCACAACGCGACGGGAGAGAGCGTCGCCATCAAGAAGATTACCAATGTCTTTTCGAAGAGGATACTGACAAAGAGGGCGCTGAGGGAGATTAAGTTGTTGAGGCACTTCAGGGGGCACAAGAATATCACCTGCCTCTATGACATGGACATCATCGACCCGTATCATTTCAATGTGAGGCAGTGTGGACGAGAAGAGGAGTGAGGGGCCATATAAGCTGACCTGATGCTACGCTGCGCACCCGCAGGAAGTCTACCTCTACGAAGAGCTCATGGAGGCCGATCTCCACGCGATCGTGAGTGCGACCTTCCCCTCTCTTTGATTGCTCAGCTCGATCCCTGCTCACCTGATTGCACCTCCGCAGATCCGCTCCGGCCAACCGCTCAGCGACGCGCACTTCCAGTCCTTCATCTACCAGACGCTCTGTGGCCTCAAGTACATTCACTCGGCCAGCGTACTGCATCGCGACTTGAAGCCCGGCAACCTGCTCGTCAACGCAGACTGTGAGCTCAAGATTTGCGACTTTGGGTTGGCGAGGGGATTCGAGACGGATCCAGAGCAGTGAGTAGCGCGGGGCACGGGGCGACGATGAGGACAGTAGCAGCTGATTATTTGCATTCATTCCGCCGCGACAGGGCATCAAAAGCTGGCGCCGGGGGGTTCATGACCGAGTATGTTGCGACGAGGTGGTATCGAGCTCCAGAGATTATGTACGTGCCCGCGCTCCACCGTCAGCCGCCTCATCGCCCTACCGGCTGACCTGCCCTACCTCGCCTCGCACCAGGCTCTCCTTCCAAAACTACACGACAGCCATCGACATCTGGTCGGTCGGCTGCATTCTCGCCGAGCTCCTGGGCGGCAAGCCCATCTTCAAAGGGCGGGACTACGTCGACCAGCTGAACCAGATCCTTCACCACCTGGGCACCCCTTCCGAAGAGACTCTGCGAAGAGTCGGCAGCCCGAGGGCACAGGAGTACATCCGATCCCTCCCTTATACTCCGCGCATACCCTTCTCTCACCTCTACCCTACTGCTAATCCTCTGGCCCTGGACCTCCTAGAGCGCATGCTGGCCTTCGACCCCGCGAGGAGGATAACGTGCGAGGAGGCTTTGCTTCATCCCTACCTCGCCGTGTGGCACGACGCGGCTGATGAGCCGCTCTGCCCGCGCAAGTTTGACTTTGGATTCGAGGCGGTGGACGATACGGAGGGGATGAAGGCGCTGATCCTGGACGAGGTGCGCAGTTTCAGAGGCGAGGTGAGGGGGGAGGCGCTACGCAATCAGCAAGCAGCTCAGCAGCAGCAGCAACAGGAGATGGCCGCTCAACAGCAGCAGCAGTACTATCAACAGCAGCAGCATCAGCAAGCATACTATCAGCAGCAGCAGCAACAGCAGCAGCAGCAAGCTCCCCCGCCCAACGCTCAATCCTCTGCCTCCTCGGCACGTCGACAAGACTCCCTTCCCATTCCCACGCGCGAGGAGATCAGGCGCGCTTCACCGACCGAAGCAGTCGCCGGGCATGTTCAGGGTCACGGTGGCGCTGGCGTCGTAGGGGCTAGTACGGGACTCGTGAATGAGGGCGGCATCGAGATGGTCGAGGAGCCCAATGAGTTGGAGAGGGAGTTGAGTGGCGCCCAGAGGGGATGAGCCTCCCTCCCCGGACTAATGCTGTGGCAAGCCGTATTGACAAATGACGCTCCTCTGTTATATTCCGACCCTCTTTCTTTTGTTTCCTACTATTACTACCACTACTATACGACGAAGACGATTTCGATGATGTTTTGCGTGCAATGTGGGCTGACGCGTGAAGACTGGGCCCCGGGGCAGCAAGTGGAGAGGAGCAAGGCCCAAGAATTGGCCGTGGGCGGGAGTCGAGGCTGATGCGCGAGCTGCAGGCAGGCGGATTCAATGAATCGATCTGCATCGCGGGGCGAGACTTGAGTGTTCCTTCCTTCTCCTCATCACCATCGCCAGCCTCACCCCGCTTTCTCGTCTTCTCTTGTCACATCCAGATCGCGACGCCGCCTCTCTTGCGCGACACGACACGATGAAAGACTGGATTCGCAGCCCAGAGCCAGAGGACCCGGATGAGGTCGCCGCAAGACATAGGAGATATGAGGAGGAGGAGCTCCAGCGGGCAGCAGGGAATGCGGAAGCATCGAGCTCGAGATTGGACTCGCCGCAATTGACGACAGGGACAAAGCTAGTCAAAGGCAAGAGGAGACGCAGTAGCGCTTCTAATTCGGAGCAGGACGGCCCATCATCATCACCACCACCAAGGCGAAGCCCCCGCACTCGACTTGCGGCACTCGCCTCCCCAGAAGAGGAATGGCGCCCGCTTCCCGCTACTACAACCGTCGTCGTATCGCCTCGCTCCTCATTATCAGCAGCAGCGGCTGCCGCGGCCATTGGAGGACGAGGCGGTCCATTACCTGGCTCAACGTGGGGGATGCAGACAAACGGCGAAGATGAGGATGGGGATCCGGCGCGCCCGCTCAAGTGTCCGAGGAGAGGGGGTAAGACGCCCCGCCTCATGAGTTTGGCAGACATGTCTTTCAGAAGTGAGCCTCTTTGTGCTCGTAGTGATGCTCCTTCTTGTGAAGCTGACTCGTCTACCCTCCCTCCGCTCTCACGCCAGCCGTTCTAACGCACCTCCCCTCCCTCACGGCGCCAGAGGTCCGAGATATTGTTCAGCCCTGCCTCTCCTCCCTCTCATCTCGCTTCTCCAACCCCCTCTCTCAAGCGTGCGAGGGTCACTTGGACCACCTGGCGCGGCTCAGCCGGGCTAAAGAAGCGGCATTGAGAGCGAGAGAGGAGGCGCGGCAGGGTAGGAGGACTAGTGTGGCCATCGAGCCTGCGGCGGGGAGAGGTGGTATTGGTGCAGTAGGGAGAGGGAGAGCGATAGGGTTGATGAGTGCTGCGAAGCCCAAGGTTGAGAAGAGTAAAGGTGGACAGAAGATTTGGAAGAAAGCGCGAATGGCTGCTGGGCCGGGGATTGGGATGAGGAGGTAGGCGCTGAGGCTGGTGGCGGCATCAGATCTTCAGCAATGCATGATGCTACATACCCTGCTCAGCTATTCGCGATGATCTCGCTTGAATGCCTGACCGATTGCTGAGCTTTTGAGGCGCATCATGATGCTCGATGACCCACGGAAGCGCTGCCAGTCCGCCATGCGCGTCCTCCCGTCCGTCCGACGACGAGATGAGCGGAGGCGGCCTTGCTTGCTTGCTTGCTTGTTCCGTCTGTTCCTTCCCTACCATCTCCGCAAAGACATCAGCAACAAGGAGATATCTTGAGCATCATGGTGAGTTGCAGAATGACAAAGAGCCGTGAGAAATTGCGACTCGGTCGGGAGACGAGAGTCTGTGGGGATTTTGCAGCGACAGAAGCCGTTGGAGGTGCTTGTGCCACGACGTCGTGCGACTCTCATCTACAGTGATGGGCGGCTGGCGAATGGCAGCTCGAATATCCGACTCTCTTGCCCCTCTATCTCTTGCTCCCTTCTGTCCCTCCTCCATCACGTACTGACTCCCCCTCTCCCCTCCTCCCTCCATCTCAGCTCATCTTCTCCTTCTTCAAGACCCTCACAGGCCACCCGGTCACCATCGAGCTCAAGAATGATGTAGCCATCACAGGCACGCTCAAATCGGTCGACCAGTTCCTCAACTTCCGCATCGAGAACCTCAGAGTAGTGGGCAATGAGGAGGCAGAGGACGCTGCCGCTGCTGCTGCGGGTGTTGGGATGAATGGGGAGGGAGCGGAGAATGGGACAGGTGCCGTGGGAGAGGCGATCAAGGGGGCTAGGTGGCCTCATCTTGTGAGTACGAATGCGAGAGGCCAGAAGGTGGATGGAGAGAGAGGTGCTGACATGCATCATATCGCCCGCGCAAACAGCTCTCCCTCAAGTCGGCCTTCATTCGTGGGTCCGTGGTGCGCTATGTTCATATCCCGGCGGGGGCCGTCGATACGCAGCTCTTGGAGGACGCCACGAGGAGAGGTGAGTGTGTGCGGTGTGAAAGGGAGAGATGGAGCGGTCGAGACGCTGACGTTTCTTCTCCTTGCGTCGACAGAGGCTGCTGGTGGGAAGAAGTAGGCGAGGGGAGGGCACGAAAGAGGACCTTTTGCGGCGATGACAATGCATCATCATGCAATGGCAGATTGACTCTGGCCCAAGCCCCAGGCTCGCACGACGACCTGCCGGTCGAACCCACAAGAAGAGAAACATGACTTGATGGGCAAGACTGGCCAGACACTAGTACAACAGACGCAGACGGAGCAAGGCATGCGCTACTCCTTTGAGAAGAAGGCGCGAATGTCGCGACCCTGCGGCGATCCGCTACCTCCTCCACCCCCTCTCTTCTTGGGTGTCGTCGTCGTCGAGCGTGTGGGAGAGCCTGCCGATCGAGAGGCACCGCCCGGCTTGCTGTTCGGCGTGGTCGCCTTACCCGGAGACGATCCTTTGCCCGACGAGATCGCCTGCCCATCCTGCTCCCCTCCCTCATCACCTCTCTGCTCCCCCATTTCATTCTCCTCCCAATCCTTCACAGCCTCTTCAACCTCCTGCTTCACCTTCTGCCTCTTAAACGCCCCCTCCAATCGCGCCTCCTCCCCACCCGGTGGACTCTCGCCTCGTTTCTTCCCCACTGAATGCCCTGGACCAGTGACTTTACCGTACTTGGTTAGACCCGAGTCGGGATATTCTGCACTGCTGTACCCTCCATTAGGTCGTGGTGGGGAGACGGGAGGGTTGAAAGGATCGGGAGAGAAGCGGGATGACGGTTGGCGCGATGAAGAGGCCTGCGGTTCTTCCTTGACGGCGGAGGAGGTGGTGGGAGGCGGAGCGTTGGAATCGCCTACGTCCTGCTTGTCTGCCGCTCTGCTGGGGAGGGATTCCTTCTTCACCGACGAGGACGATGCCGAGGATCCAATGGCGAGGTCCTGCTCCGGATCCCGGCTCGTCTCTGACTTCACTGCCTTGTTGCGATCAGCACGCCCTCCATCATCGCCCTCCTTCTTCGACGCCCGACCGAACGCGGCCATGATGCCATCCTTTCTCGTCTCGACCGGCTGAATGAAGGCCTCATCATCGTTGCCCACCTTGCCCACCTCCTTCGGCACCTTGTACCACTCCAGCGCGCCCTCGCCATCAAAGGGGTGGACGAGCTTGCGCACGTCGTCAAGTGGGGAGCTCGGATTAAGCCATGTAGCGATGGCCTCGGCAGAGGGAAGGATGAGGGGTTGACGATCGTGCAGGAAGGAGAGAGAGGGACAAACGTCCGTCGTGATGATGGTAAATGTGTCTGCGCGCACACGGGGCAAGTAGGTCAGCTAAGCCATCCCATCGCCCATCGCAGCACGCACTCACATCTCGGCTCCTCCTCCCCCTCAATCTTGCATCTCTCCCACAGCCCAGCCAATGGCATCAATCCATGTTCTTCCCCATCCTTGCCCTTCCTCCCCACTCCCTCACCCTTCATCCCAACGAAATGCGGCATCTTGCCGCTGCTCGTCTTCTGCCACTCATAGAAGCCCTGCGTGAAGACGACGCATCGCTGCCCCTTATTAAAAGGTCGAGACCAGAGCGGAGAGCCCGAGAGAAGGACATCGGCGCGGGCGTTGATGGTATTCATCGTGTCCTTGTATTGCGGGACGGACTTGGTGTAAGGGGGCAGGAGACCCCAGCGCATCGATTGGACCAGGAGCAGCGGAGCAGCATCGTCTTGCTGTTGCTCCTCGACCTCGCCCTCACCATCGCGCAGCCCAACGATTCCCTCGAGCTTCTCTTCTTTCGCCTGACATCTCACGACGGCCACGTTGGAGTTGGGCGCCACATTGTACGATGGACGATAGTTGTCCGCGTCCCTCGTGCCGCGTGGGCGTTGGCCGCGGGGCAGTTGCGGTGCCACCGATTGGCGAAAGGGCTGGTAGGCGAGACTTTGCGGGCTATCGACGGGGGGAGCAAAGGTGGTCAGAGGCTAAGCATTATCCTACGTTCGCTGCCTTGGTGGCTCACAAGCGCCCACACATGAGTGATGGCAGAGGTGAGTGGAGTGGAGTTGGGATGTGGGGCAACGAAGTCAGGGCGGAAAGGGAGACGTGCGAGGGAGACGTGCTCGCGCGTCAATTTCAGGGTCCACGCCGCGACTCGACTCCACACGAGGGACAAGTCCAAAGGTGCGATGGACTGAGCATCTTGCCTCCTCCGCACTCCCTATCCTCTCGCTCGTATCTTCCGCAATGCTACTCATCCGCTCTACACGTTCTGAGCTCAAGCTCGGTACTTGACCTACCCGCAGCTCTTCATCTCGATGCTGGCTAACGAGACCCGCTACGCCAACTCAGGCCGCGCCGGGTGGTGCGCAGCAGCTCAAGCTCGCGAAGCCTCGATGTGACGCGTAACGAACGAGAATGCCGCGAGATATTGGATGGTCGTGAGGGCGACGGGCCGGCCAAGAGGTGGCTGCAATCATCTTCCACATCATCAATGGCAACGCCAAGTACGAAGCAAATTACCAACCGTCCTGCCAGCCGCGCCGCTGGATAGCGGGCCGATGTTGCTCGAGATGAGCAACGCCGCCTGGGTGGATCGACAATGTCCGCCATCCTCCAACGCCCTTCAGATCTTACCATTTCAAACCACCTCTTCGAGTCCCCAGCATGATCGCCACAATCTTCGCCCTCTTTCTAGCCCTCGCTACAATCCCCATCGCTCGGGCAGACGATGTCATCATAGGCTCGTGTTACGGCGGGTGAGTGTACGCGCGCAGGCGCCTCGTCTTCTTGGGCGGCGAGCTTACGACTCCACATCGATCGCAGCCGTGCCTGCACTCAACATCCTCGCGGTCCATACGGCTACCCCGTCCGTGCGCCCCTCAGCAACTTCTCCCCCCTCACCCTCCCCGCTGGGTGCCTCAGCTTTCACCCTCAGAGCACTGCGGGCTTGCTCAGCGTTACGGCTTGCGGTGGAGCCGACTGCAAGGGAGAATGTCAGAAGATGACGCCCGATGGCGAGAAGGAGGACGACGTGTGCTTCACGCCCGAGAGGAGGGACGCCAGTGTTGAGTCGCTGTGCATGCAGTGGGTCTACTGACGAGGACAGGAGTGGCAGTCAAGGGGAGGAAGAAGACTTGCAACGTCAACCTTCGATCGCGACGTAGCCAGGATTCCCTATATCTCGACTCAAGCCGCGCAAAGCTCACTCTATTTTGCTTCAGACTGGGCTACGTACAAGAGCGGGCCCCACCAATATCACGAAACTTTCCTCCTCGCAGTTCCCGCCAGCCCCAAGACTGCTTCATAGCCTCGCTGCCCAGCCCTCACATCGCCGCCGGCGCAATGCGTGCCCGTACCCAACGTGGCCCGTAGTCCGAGGGAATGTGGGCCTAGGACAAGAACCTTTACATTTTCCCCTCGGCCATCGCAAATATTATGCCGAGTCTACTCTTGCTCCGATGGGTAATGCCCGCGTGCGAAAGCTGACGGGCTGCGCGAGTGCTCGCATTCAAAGGCGCCGACATATTATCCCCTTGCCGTGAGAGGGTCGCGGGCGCAAGCACGAGCGAGCAAGGTAGACGTCGCTGCTTGAGACGGCCACATCGTGGCAGCAGATGCTCCCCCATCTTTGGTCTCAGTGGCCAGCTACAGTACCTCCTACGCCTTACTCGCTCAAAAGCACTGACGACATGACCAAGCTCTCACCTACTCTCGCCGCACTCGCTGCCTTTCTCGCCATGGCAGCTCTCACTACCGTGGTCTCCGCTGACAAGGTCAAGCTAGGCTGGTGCTACACAACGGCGTGGGTACTACGAGCGGTGCATCCATCTCTTCGCTGACTTCTGATGTCTTCCCCCTCCTCGCTGAACGTTGATGCCTCACCACTGCCAGCGACTGCTCCAACGGAGAATTCTTCAAGGTTGAGGGCCAGCGCAACATCAAGACGACGGACATCTCGAAGTCCATTCGCGACTGCAAGTCCTTCCTCGCCCAGCCTGACCCGATGGCGGAGGTCTTTGCCTGCCAGGTGAGTACCGACACGCGCACCTCCCGAATGAGACTGACGACCAGACGCGTATGCCTTGCTCAGGGAGGATGCGACAAGGACTGCAACTCCGCCGCCTTTGGCAAGTGCCTCTACCTCAACCCAGGGAGCAGCGCCAATGCGCGATACAACTGCATCAAGCGGTGGTGATGGCGTGCGGGATCAATTGTGGGCGCGAGCGCGCACCGTGAGGGCCGACTTGGGCACTGCTGCAAGACGCCAATATCGACGCTGATTTCCCTCATGCGCCCGTGAGGTCTCTCTGAGCACTTTACCACCAGCGTAATACCGTACCTCTGGTCGCATTGTCTGCCAAAGACTGGCGGCACGACGCACGTTCCCCATCACTGAGATGCCGTTGCTCGCGCCCCCGAAGGCGAATCCTCTCAGGACTTGCCGTGCCCTCCTGATACCTGCGAGTCGCTGCCCGCGGCTTGAAATGACTGGACAAGCCGCGCTGAGATTGCCGCCAGACGCTCGGTGGTGTAAAGTGCCGAGCAGCTCTTCGAGGATCTTGCTCTCCTAACCATCACTCCGTCTACCCAACATGACCAAGCTCCACGCCACGCTGCTTGCCTTTGTCATCGCCTCCTTCGTCAGTCGTACCCTGGCGGAGCAAGTCGCCCTCGGCACCTGCTACTCTACGGCGTGAGCTCACTCTGCTCGTGGCACGAGAATGACTTTAGCACGCCACTGACATGCGACTCGCATTCCCACATGCCTAGCAACTGCCTCTACGGACAGCATGGCGTCGTCTACGATGAGAGCGGCGCGAAGACGACCAACATCGAGAATAGTAATCCCATCTGCAAGGGCTTCGTTGTCAATCCCTTAATCACCAAAACGACGTATGCCTGCAAGGTACGTCGCCGAGCCGTTGTGAGCATCACCTGCCTGCCACGCTGACCCGCCTACCCAACCCGTTCGCACTCGGATATCGCAGGGTGGCTGCAACAACGACTGCGTGCGAGCCCCTGCGACCCTGTGCGCCTCTGTGGGTATCGGTAGTCCTGCTAGCGCCCATTTCAACTGCATCAAGCGAGAGTAGGGGCCCTTTCGAGCGCGAAGTGCCTTTGCTTTCTTCGATTTGTGCGCCAGCTCTCTCTATCTCCAGCGACAAGAGATACGAGCGTCGTACACTGTCCCTCCTCAGCCATTCTGTTCGTCGTGTGCGTCGCTTAAGGCGGTCGTAACACGGCCCGCTACAGATGTGATGCCCGTACTCACCGGCCCGTAGCCAACGCCCGAATATGTGCGGCTTGTCTCGCCTGGAGGCACTGGTGCACTCCTGGGCAACAGCCGCTTTGCTGTGTGCCGTCGACATCCAACGCTGCGTGTAATGGCGTGAGACCACGCTCGCGCTGCTTCACCAGCCGACTCCGTCTTCGCTCAAACCGAATATGCTCAGTGCTGCACTCACCGTCCTCTTTGATGTCCTCTTTGCCACGCACTTCATGGCTGAACGCATCTCGCCGGGAGCCTGCTACAGCACGGAGTGAGTGCAGGCGAGTGCAGGCGAGTGCCGCTCGTCCCAAGCCCCATAACCTGCTGAAGCACCACCGAGTCCATCATACGTCTCGACAGCAACTGCCTCAACGGACAGCAGGCCATCGTCTACGGCGAGCGCAAGGAATTGGCGACGGATATCTCGAAGAGCGTGACCTTCTGCAGGCGCTTCATCGTCCGCCCGGAAATCAAGGAGACAACGTATGCCTGTCAGGTGAGCGTGATACGATGGAGGTGGATGCCTGGCTGAAATGAGCTGATCGCCTGCCTTTGCGCGCCCACGACGACGTAGGGCGGCTGCGGCCACTTCTGCAATCGAGCCCATACGGGTCTCTTCTTGATGTTCAACCCAGGCAGCAGCGCTACCGCCCGATACAACTGCATCATTCGACAGTGAGGGAGGGAGCAAGTGCCTTCGCTTCTCAACCAGTGACGTGGATGGCCTTCTCTTCGGCTCGCGAGGCGATGATGTGTGAATTGAAAGAGGGAATGGGAGAAGGGAATCAAGGCGGACCAAGTCGGTTTGGTGTTGATCTCGAGGGGCGGACAGACAAGAGACCACGCGGCTTTTTTCCCGAGGCCAATCTGTGTTGGACACTTCGGGCGCGAAGTCCGAGTCCGTGCGTCTCCGCTGCTCAGCAGCGATGCAATAATCCACACCTTGCTTCCTTTCGCCCCTCATCATCGTAATACCATCAGCATCCTCAGATCGACAAGTGATCTCGCTCCGTCTTCTTCACGCAGTGCGCTAGCCTCACCTCACTACTCTGCTGCCCCTCCGCCGCCACGACGCTTGTCTCAACTTCAATCTTGCGCCGAAACGTCGTTACAGCCCGGTCAGCATTCTGCTCACCACAGAAGGACGACGGACCGTGCCGCCCCTACGCCTGGGCACCATGGTTGCATCCACTTCTTCGAGCTGATAAGAGGCCGTGTTACGGCCGCAGATAGCCTGCAAAGTTGACACAGCGCAGCGACAACATAGCCAACGTTTTTCAACGGCAAACGAGTCAAGATGGGCGGGGGCTGCGAAGCTTACGGCTCGCAATGAGTACACTTGAGAGCGGCGGCTCGTTGCAGCGCAATGTCCGGGAGCGCAGCCAGCAAGTCTATAAGATAACGAGATAGGCCTGCCGCCAGCGTGTACCATCTCTCACAGAAGCAACACCGCGCCTACCATGACTAAGATCGCCTCCATCCTTGCAACCATCACTGCCTCAGCTCTGCTACTCGCCACGCAGGCTACAGCTCAGCAGATCGACCTCGGTCTCTGCTACTCCACGGCGTGAGTGTGCGAAGGGAGGCTTGCTCGACTCTCTCCCCGACTCTGACTCACTCCTACCTGCAGCAACTGCATGGGCGGCGCCGAGCCGCTCACTGCCTTTGGGGACAAGAGCCAGAAAATCACGCCCATCGGGAGCCTGGCCTACTGCAAGGGATTCAAGCTTGACAGCAACGTCGAGAATCAGGCCTATGCCTGCCAGGTACGTGTCCGCGGCGCGGCATACCCGCCTGAACGAGGCTGATGCTCGCTCTGCCTCTATTCGTCCACTCAAACCTTCGCACAGGGAGGCTGCGCTCCCGGCGGAGGTAAGGACTGCACCAGGGCTGACCCCGGTTCATGCACCCAGCTCAAACCAGGAAGCAACGCTGGAGCTCGTTTCAATTGCATCGTCCGAGTGGGCCCCCCCTAAAGTGATGCGAGGCCTATCGGCGTCGAAGTCAAGCGCAAGCATATCATGTCTCCTCGACTTGTAGCCTGCGCCAACGACAAAGGCAGTCAATGTGAATGTGTTCAAGATCTCACGAGAGCACACGCTATCCGTCATGCCGCGTGAAGGCGCAGAACGATTCGGGTGAGGTCATCGCTCGAACGGAGGTCGCGGCGCCATAGTGAAGCCGCGTGCGCTTGCCCGCTGCCCAGAGGGTCGTCATCATGGCAGCGGCCGGCTCTTGTCGAGCAGCTTGTCCTCCCTCATACTGACTGCTCGCAATTACCCACCAACCAGTGCGCTGCGCCAGCATGATCGTCAGCCCCGCCGCGCTAGTCACCTCTGTCGCTCTGCTCCTCTCATCTCGCGTTGCTGCCGACGACAAGATCGAGCTAGGCTTGTGCTATCCATCGGCGTGAGCGTCAAGGGGAATTGTCTGTCTGCGCACGTCACGCCGGCTCGAGCAGCTGATGTAGCCCCTCTCTCTCGCCGGCAGCGACTGCTTCACCGGCCAAACCATCACTGTCTACGGCAAGAAGAACGACACGCAGACGCCCATTGGCAGTCTGTCCTACTGCAAGGGCTTTCAAGTTGATCCGGACGTTGGCAAGCAAGTCTGGGCTTGTCAGGTACGTCAGAGCGTGGTCAGCACACCCGCCAGCCGTGTACTGATCTTCAACATGACGCCGCACAGGGAGGATGTGGCGTGCAGTGTAACCGCGCCGATAATGGAGTGTGCACCAAGCTCAACCCTGGTTCCAGCGCTGCTGCCCGCTTCACCTGTATTGTCCATGTTGGGCCTGGTCCGGCGGCGGTGAGAGGCGCTACAGTGGGAGACGCGTAGACACGCTAGCATCACCGCGAGACTCGAGCTAGGATGATGCGGGGCTTTCGTCCCAGTCCTCATTCTGGTGATGGTAATGCGGTCTCCTCGCTACCAAAAGAGAGCGTGACACGCAAAAAAATTTCGCCGACAGCAAGCGGGTTCGAACCGCTGAGCGCAGAGCGCATCAGATGAGACTGCGTAGCAAATTCAAGTCTGACTCCTTAACCACTCGGACATGCTGCCATGACTGTGTCCAGAGTAGCGCGCGGCCTGCAACAAAATATATATACAGCTTGCAGCTCAGACGCACCGGCTCATCGCCCGCCTCGACCGCGTGGTCGACGGGACGGCGCAGGCGACGAAATCGGTGGAGCGTGTCCGTCTTTCGCTTTCCTCGTCGTCATCGAGCACCCACTGCCGTGAACCACCACTACCCTCTCTTCACCGCACACACACACACACACACTCCTCGCCATGGTCAGACTCGAAGAGGTTCGCGATGCGGATGCCGCTCAGCAGCAACGACGTGGGGCGAGGATGGAAGACGACAGCTCGTCGGTCAATGACAGCGATTGGGAGGTGAGCATGGCGTGGGAGGCGAGCAGCTCGCAGCGTTGAGGACTTGGATTGACATGCTGACAATGTTTCCTTCTGCCGCGCACCCGCAGTCCTCCTCCGAGCCATCCGACGACTCGGACGACGAGTACCTCTCCAACGAAAAGTCCTTGGGCGTGTACCGCGAGCCCCTCTCTTCGCGCATCGCCGCTCTGGCGGACATTGTTCCTCCTTCTACCCGTCGCTCCATCTCATCGGCAGCTAGCAAGGCATACGGAGTCGCCTCCCTCGGTGGGCGTTTCGCGGGAAAGGCCATGTGGGTCGTAGCGACTACGGCGCTGCTGGTGGGACTGCCGTACAGTTTGGCTGTCGAGGACGAGGCGAGGTTTGTACAGCAGGAGAGGGAGTTCCAGCAACAGCAGAGTGGGGCGCAAATGCTTGGTGGGACTGTGGGGCAGCCGCAGGGACAGGGTCAGCAGGGCGGTGGTGGGCAGGGTGGTGAGATCAGGCCTCCTGGATTCTAAGCGGGCGACGATTGCCGCCACTTCGCTGTACTCGACGCGGTACAATTTCACATCCATGCACCACTTCACGCGCGTCGTTTCTCGAGATGATGATGCGATTCAATGCCTCCTCGCGCCGCGCCTCCGCACCGCCTACTCCGCCTCCTTCCACACCTTGATCGACTTGTCACAGCATCCCGTAAGCAACCTCGTCCCCGTACGGTCAAACGTCGATGCCATGATGCCCGCTTCAGCGTCGAGCGATCCGGGCTGAGGCTTGTCCTCGACCGACTGGAATGGAATACCCGAGGCGTAGTCGAAGAACTGTTTGCGCACCACGAGAAGAGCGTCAGCGAGTCGCAAACAGTCTGCCTTCCCCGCCGCATCGCGCACTCACCCTCATCGACCCATTGTCCGCCCCCGAGAACATCACGCCATCCGCATTAACGCTCAGCGTGTTCACGATCCCCTCGTGAGCCATATTGCCCCAAAGCGTCCCCTCCGGACAGACCCAAGTCTTGACGTTATTCCCACCACCCGCAGCCCCACTCGCAAAGCTGTACTTTGTCGGATGCACGCCAATGGCTCGCACGCTCTTCTTGTGATGCGTGAGCGTAGTGGCCGTCTTGCCCGCCGCCAGGTCCCACAAACGCACTGTGGAGTCCATCGAACCGGTGACGACCTGCGGGTCAGAGGACTGACAGCGTACCGAGGCAATCGTCCCTGTATGCCCGGAGAGGACGTGGATTTGCGCCTTGGTACGCATGTCCCACACGCGAGCACTCGCATCTCGCCCTGCCGTCACCAGCACATCGAGCGTCGGGTGCAAGTCCATCGAGTAGATGCCCGAGAGATGCCCGTGGTATTGGCGGATGACCTTGTTCTGCTCGAGGTCCCAGCACTTGACCATCTTGTCTTCGCCGCACGAGAAGAGGTAAGGGTGGCGGTCTGAGATTGCTACTCCGCGGACAGTACTGATGTGGCCGGTGAGGGTGAGTTTGAGCTCGCCGGATGCGAGATCCCAGATCTGCGTGGGCGTTGCGAGTGGTGAAAGGTGTCAGCGCGGCGAAAGCCTATCGAGCGCAGCGTGCTGCTTTACCCACCTTGATGAGCCGATCGCCCGCACCCGTAGCAAACCACTGATTATTGGGATCCACAGCAATGCATCGCACCCAGCCCAGATGCCCAGCGATCACTCTGCTCAGCTTCCATCGCGGATGATACGTCTCCGGCTGAGCAGTGGCGTCCATCTGGCGACGCTTGAGCTGAAGAGCCGTGGAGAGGGAGGAGGAGGGGTCGTGGCTACCGACTGGCCTAGAAGCTGCTTCTGGCCGTCTGATGAGAGCACCGCTCGCCGTTGGGTCTGAAGATGACGAGGCTACGCTACCATTTGCTCGCCGCGCCTGCACATCCGCAATCCATTCGCCTCCCACCGACTCGCCCCCAGGCGGCGGCGGCTTTGGTCCTGCTCCCTTTGCCCGCTCCTGCTGGCTCTGAACGGCAGGATGCAAGCTCGTCGCATCTGCCCATTCGCTGCTGATCTTGCTCGCCAGGTGTGCCTTGCTGGATGGCTCGAATGCTGCGTTCATTGAAGAGGACGAGGCGGAGGAGGAGGAAGAAGCGACTGCGAATGGTTGGGAGGAGGAGGAAAAGAGGGAGTGGACGGGATTGGACGAGGTGCTCAACAGTGAGGAGAGTGAGGAAGGCGCGGGTGCTTCAAAGGTCGCCGTCGATGTCGACGGGCCATTGGCTGCTTGCCTTCTCGTCGTGGCGGCCATGGTCGTCTCGCGGTTTGGATGGGATGGAAACGACGCCGAGAAGTTGTGAGCGATTTGGCGTCGTGCGAGGGGAACGGAAGCGCGGGCGGCGGACACGGAGAGGCGCGACTGCTGCCAGACTGTCGAGTCGAGCGAGCGGCATTCATTGTCATTCTCACTTCCCAACCAACGCCAAGGAATTCGACTCAAGATGGCCGCCACTCTTCCCGGCCCATCATCACATGCCTTGCCCCCTATCACTACACCTCGCAACAATGCAGGACCATCGCAGCCACCCTCCTCGTCTACGCTCATCACCCCGCATACCCTCGCCCTCTCCCTCCCGCATCCCCCTCACGCCGACCCACTCGTAGATGCGCTACCTTATCAGCTCCTGCTGGCAGAGATGCCCGCTACTCTTCGCCATTCTGCGCGCAGAGCTATCAGGAGACGAAAGGCGCTGCTGAGGGATATGGAGGAGGCGGGGCTGGCTGTCGAGGCGGAAGAGAGCAGTGGGGCAGCAGCGATGGCTAAAGAGGAGGAGGCTGAGCTCGAGGCGAGGATGGAGAGTGTGGGTGCGAGCGTGGGTGCGAATCTGGCAGAGAGGTGAGCGTGCGATGCGAGCCATGCCATTCCGACTCTCCTTCGTCATCGCTGATCCCTCCCTCCCCTCCCGTCTCGCCGCCAGATTGTCTCGCGATCGCCCACCCCTCAACTCTACGCTCGACGTCCTCAAATTCCTCTGCAAAGACTTCTGGATCGCCCTCTGGGAGAAACAAGTCGACGGTCTTCGCACAAATCACCGCGGCGTCTACGTTTTGCAGGACCACCACTTCAAGCCCTTGCTGCGCATCTCCACCCCACACGGCACCGCCAGCGCAGCAGCGATAGCCAAGGTGTATCTGCCGCATTCTGTAGGGCTGCTGAGAGGAGCATTGGCGAGGCTGGGAGTGCAGGCGACGGTCGTGGCTGAGAGTGGGGGACAGGCGGGAGCTACTGGTGCGAGCGTTGCGGCGACTACCTTCCATGTGAGGGTGGCTTCGGCGGGCACGCCTGCGGGCAGTGGGTCGAGCGCTGCGAATCTTGGCGCCAACGTCTCGTGAATACCATATTTGTGTCAATCCTCTCCTGTCATCGCGCAAGCCATCACAATCTTCTCGGCCGCCTCGCACGATTGACACAGGCTAGAGGCCCGGCCTCCGGATGACGCGGAGTCGAGATGCACCCGGGGCCCCCACACCTGACCGCGTTGCCGAATGAGCCGGCTTGCCCTCTTTTGTGCTCCTCCGTCGTCCTCACTTCTCACTTCCCCTTCCCCTCCACCCATCTCCACCACCTCTACCCCTCGTACCGCCATGACCACACCCACGCAACGCATCACTCAACTAGCCTCGCACCTCGACCCGCGCACCTGGTCGGGCAAAGGCCTCGCAGCCGTCTCGACCAAAAATGACAGCGACGTCGTCGTCGTGGCGCTGGGTCGCACGCCGCAATGCAAGGCGGGAAAGGGCGGCCTCAAGGACACGCCATTCGACGTCCTCGTCCACCAAACCCTCAAGGGAGTCCTCGGTCGAGTCCCGCAACTGGATCCCGCCCTCATCCAAGACGTCGTCGTGGGTAACGTCCGCAACGAGAATGCAGCCTACTACGTGCGCGCCGCTGCCCTCGCTGCCGGCATCCCCAGGGAGTGCCCCTCCCTCGTCGTAAACCGCTTCTGCTCCTCGGGCCTAATGGCCATTCGCACCGTAGCGAACCAGATCCAATCCGGCGAGATCTCCTGCGGTCTCGCGGCAGGCGTCGAGCACATGAGCTCCCACGCCAAGTCGGCCCCTCATATCCACGACGACTTGGCAAAGGCGAGCCAGGAGGCCAAAGATTGCGAGCTGCCCATGGGTGCTACGAGCGAGTTTGTCAGCCAAGACTTCAACGTCAGCCGCGCAGACCAAGATGCTTACGCTGCACGCAGTCACCAAAGAGCGAGCGCAGCGCAGAAGGCAGGCTACTTTGACGAAGAGATCTTCCCCGTCCAAGCGCACGTCAAGGAAGGAGACGCCACATCGTACAAGGTATTGACGCAGGACGACGGCATCCGCCACGATACTACAGCCGAGAAGTTGGCAAAGATTCGTCCAGCCTTCCCCGAGTACGCAAAAGAGGGCGGAGAGGCGGCCACGACGGGTGGGAATGCGAGCCAGCTCACCGACGGCGGAGCGGCCATGATCCTCATGACGCGTCGCATGGCAAATGAGCTTCAGCTACCCATTGTAGCAAAGTACGTCGCAACCGCCGTAGCTGGTTTAGCGCCAAGGATCATGGGTATTGGACCTTCCATCGCTATTCCCAAGCTTCTCGATCTCACCGGCGTCAAGAAGGAGGAAGTCGACGAATTCGTCGTCAATGAGGCTTTCAGCTCCATGGCCGTCTACGTGCAGCGTCAACTCGGCATCCCCGATGAGAAGTACAATACGACAGGTGGAAGCTGTGCCCTTGGTCATCCTCTCGGGGCCACCGCTTTAAGATTAGTCGTGCAGGGGCTCAACAACATGAAGCGTACGGGAGGCAAGGTCGTGGTGATCAGCATGTGTGTGGGCACGGGACAAGGCGCGGCAGGTCTCTTCATCAGCGAGCAGTAGGGAGCACAAAAAGAGGGACAGCGGCGTTGCTCCTCCCCACACTTCCCCGCCTTGTGTTGATATTCTCGATCAATGAGATTCACAGCCCTGAATACAAGTACTCGATCTGCTTCCAGGCGTCGCCACCAACGCCGGCAACGACTACGACTGCTACGCCCCTCAGCCGAAGAAGCCTCCCTGTCCGCGCGCGCACTTGCTTCCGCACACTCTGCTCGCTCCTTCACATCCACCAGGTTAGCTGGCAGCCGTTGGCGGAGTGATGAGTAGACCGAGCCAGCAGTTCAGGCTCGAAAGCGAACACGAGGAGTAGGCAGCGCTCTAGTACGAGTCGCACGAGAGAGAGAGCGTCGGAGTGAAATAAGGTCGTGTATTCCTCTTTATGAGAAGATAAGAGATTGATACACAGGGTTGACGATGCTAGACATGGTATGGATGTCCACTTCGGGCCGCTCTCTTTCTGGCGAGCCGCATCCTGAATGCTACTGGCGCCGTTTCGTGTCTTGCTTTCCTCCCACGGCCCGGTTGGTAATCTCCTCGTCGCTTGCCCACCCGCCATCGTCGTCGTTGTTCTCGTCCATGACTTGCGTCTTGATGGCGCCAATTTCCTCTTCGAGCGCCTCGCGGCTCTCTGCGAGTTGTGCCGCCGATGTTGTGACTGCTGATGGCGCCTCTTCTGGGCATTGGAGGAGAGCCAGTATGGTGCTGAGGCCGCCAAAGAGCTGCCTCAATTCGTACAGCATTGTCCTTGCAACGATATTCTGAAGATTGGCCCCACGGTGATCGCTGATTTGACCTCCTCCGTGTCTTCGTCGTCGTCGGTATCGTCAGCCGCGTCTCGAGGTCCTCGGTAGGGCTTCTCGAACGGGATCTTGACGTTGCCGCCGTCGCCCTTGACGATCGGAAGCCCAGCCGTAGCGCGATCATGCAGGAAATCCTTGTTGACTGCGTGACGTAAAGACGGAGCCAAGAAAGGCGGCCTTCGTCAGATCTGCTCTTGTCGCTCATAATCTCGCTGTTGTGCTCACGCTGCCAGGTTCCCAAGACGATGGCCACGTAGAGCTCGGCCACGGCAGTCGCATCGTGCTGCAACTGGCTCGCCGTGTCCGTGGTGGCGGTGATGATGGCGGGGATGCAGATGAAGTGGCCACCCACGTCAAGGACTTGCCGGATGATCTGGTATAGGAGGTAGTTCTTGCCTGTTGTACGGTAGGTGCAAATGGTCAGATGCGAGGTATAGCGCGTCATCGTCTTGCTCACTCACCTTCGGGCTTGTCGGCCTCCGATACGTGCGTGACAAGTCTTCCGTAAAGGAAGACCGATCGACCATCGAAGTTCATAACGCATTTCTGGGCCAGAAATGCCTCCACAAGGTATACCCCTTCGGCTTGCGTCCTGGGGAAGCTTGGCTCCATGCCAGGGCGCGAATCGAACTTCGTGGTGGCATTCTCATCCCACCACTCCTCTTTCTCCAGCTCTGAAGCTCCCTGTCTTTCCATTACGCTCTCAAAAGCCTGCCATAAATCGGTTCGACCCGCCTCGACAATGGCTCTGATTTGTTGCAGGATGTCTCTGCAACGAAGGACCCAAGGCTGGCTGGCATCGAACCAGGCGCAGTGACCGGCAAAGGCGCGCTGGATAATGCTCCATGCTCGGTCGGCGATTGGTAGCTGTGAGGGCGATGGGGATGGCTGTGGACGCAGGCGATAAAGATCCCGCTGAGCTCTACGTGCAAGTCGTCCAAGAGCGACTCGCGCGTTTTGTCGTGTGACTGTGGTGGGGAGGTCTTCTGAGAAGACGGCATTCTCGGTTGATTCTAGTGCCGTCAGCGTCGGGCTGACTAGCAGGACGGAGGCGGCGAATTCGAGATCTGAGTCCGAGGAGTCCATTGTGGGTGTGTGCGTTTTTGGTGGTGTACACAAGTGATGATGGACGCGATTGAGAGCGCAGGGAAGAGAAGACGCACGGAAAGGCCTCCTCAAGCGCCACTATGAAGGCATGTGAGTGCGCTGAGCGCCCGCTCCCGGCTGGAGGTGTGAGGAGCTTCGTCGATCGTGGTTCTCTCCGAGGCGAGGGCTTGGTGCGCTTGTCTCTTGACCCTGTCGACGGCGAGCTCCCCAACATGGACTCGGTAGGCAAGTTAAGGCGGCCAAAGGCGACCTCCTTCTGCTTGCGCTTGCTCAGCTTGTTGCCCTTGACAAAGGCGTCGTCCGCGTATGGGTCCTCCGGCGAATGGAAGACCTTGAACGTGACGACGGGCACTGCCTTGTTTGCCGGCTTGAAATCCCGCCCTTCATAGCGAGCTCCGCCCAAGTCCTTATTCTCTGGTCTCTGATGAGCAATGATCGGACCGGTCAAAGGCAGAGAAGCACCGATCCAGGGAGGCAACTCGAGAAGAGGTTCACCTTAAGGCATGGCTGCCGTTGGAGCCAAGAGGCTACGATGCATCGGCATTCGCCTGTGTATCTGATTACTTTTGGACTAGCCATCGACAAACACCTCGACCAGGGAGGATTGTGAGGGGAAGGAAGGGACTAGCCCTGCGCCTATGCGCCTGACGCTATGAATGAGATGATGATGAGAGGGAGAATGATGAGGACGAGAGGAGTTGATGGAGAGGACGGAGGGAGGAGTGGAGAGAGATCGGTCGAGCGGAGCGACTTGCCGCCCGCTGCACGTCCGCTGGCGTGCATGAGCAGACGACCACGTGGAGTGGGACAAAGGAGTACGGTGGCACGCGACCCTAAACGGCCGTGACCTCCTCGTCTGCTCACTAAATCCGTCCTCATCAACCCAGTCTGACGTCGAATACGATGAGTAACACAGCTTGTAGACAGGAGATGGGATCCGCAAACTCCAGCTCAGCCTCCTTGACAGCAAAGCATGCGAGGCACGACGACGTCTGTCACATTACGGGCAGAGAACAGAATCGTTTTGAGTGATAGAGATCTACGTGTACACAGTGTGGGTGGTAGAAGGGTAGAGGGACGAAGGCGAGTGGTGGGGCAGAGAGGGGGATGAGGGACGAAGCAGACGCACTGGGCGCCTGGGCTGAGGTCGCTATGTGTTTTTGTGTCTTCTTTTTGGTGGCGTGGTCGAGTGGCGAGGTCGACGTAGGGAGGGAGAAGGGATGGACGTGCTCGTGTGACTGGCGGTAGGAGGACCGCTCTGATGGATGTTGCCGATTCTCCTTCGTCTTCGTGGCCGTCGGAGCGCCTTCTCGGGAGACATGCATGCCGCTGCGTCTTGCTCTAAGCACGCCGCATCAAGGCTTGCGGTAGTCGAGCAGCACCGGCCAGATATTCTTGTACGCCGTATAAATCTCCTCTCTCACCTTGGCGCCCGTGAGTACAATCTTGCCCGACACAAAGATCAGCAGCACCACCTTGGGCTTGACCATCCTGTAGATCAAGCCCGGGAAGAGTTCCGGCTCGTACGACGAGTAGATACCGTGCCCATACGCCAGTCCTTCGAGACGAATGGGGAAACGGACATCGCAGGAGCCTACGATGTTCTGAATCTTGAACTCGGTGAACTTGGCTTCGAAGCCTAGTTTCTGGATGATGCGAGCGTACTTGCGGCTGGCAAGACGAGAGTCATCCTCGCTCTTGGCGCCCGTGACGACCATCTTGCCTGAGGCAAAGATGAGGGCCGTAGTCTTGGGCTCACGGATACGCATAATCACGGCGGCGAAGCGCTGCGCGAGTGGGCAAATGCAGGGGAGAATGGCAGTGTTAGTACGGCGATGAAAGGACGGATGTCAACCCGCTAAGTCGGCGCCGCACCTTCGGATTGTACTCGGCATTACGAGCGTGCAGCGCAATCGTCTTGAGGTCGAGTCGAACGTCCAAATTGACGGTAGCAACGATGTTCTGCAGCACAGGCAGCGGCAAGTCCTGCGCTCGGAGGGCCTGCTCAGCCTCTGAAGTAGCCGCTCCACCAGCTTTCCCTCCCTTTGCTTCCTCCCCCGCCGAGGGACCAGGCGTCTCACTGCTTCCCTTCCCAACCTTTCCCCTTCCCGCATCTACAGCGCCGTTGCCATTTGCGTACTCGGTAGCATTGGATGCTGAGCCGTTTGCGGATGGGAGGGCTAGGCCGGCCATGCCAGGCAAAGAGGACAAGTAGGACGAGAGTGCGTCGGCGTCGGCGTCGGCGTCGACGTTGGTGCGGGTGCGGCGGAGATGCCCACGATGCTACGCCTTCACGGAGAGAGAAAAAATAAGAAGTGAACCGTTATTGCAGCGAGTAGCAGCGGTGTGCAAGAGATGGTATTGTATTTGAGTGGGTTTGAGCTGCAGCTTGGCCCCCGAGATGCCCTCTTGTTTTGGTCGTCGTTCGTCGACGTCGAGATGTCGCAGTGAAGCGGTCTCGTCCAGAAGAAGAGCGTGCGAGGTGTTAGCTGCGATGAGCTGATGCGCTGCGCTGTATTCACGGCGGATGCTGCTGCTCGCGGTAACGGCGGCGAGGATAGCGGTGAAGGTGAGGAGGGCAAAAGAGAGGGCGAGGGGGGGAGGCCACTTGGAGTCACCCCGCTGGGTCGCGGGGTTTTTATACCTACCGCGCGGACGTGGCCGGATCCCACTCGAGCCCATCCTCTAGGCCAGTGCCAAAACCAAGACGCGGCGCGGCGTCAAAAGGTCCAAGACCAAGACCAAGATGAGACGATGACGATGACGAGGAGCGGCAGAAACAAGAGGTGAAAAAGGTGAGCTCTGACGAGCAGCGTTCATCGTTTAAGCTCAAAGGCCTCGAGCGCAAAAAAGACCTAAGCGTCGTGGAGCCTACGCCCGCCAAGTCACGGTCACGGCCGTTGAACGAGCGTGGCGGCAGCTGGCGGTGATCACTAAAGCCAGGCACACGAAGAAATCATAACGATATAGCAATGCTGATGCAACAAGAGCCTGCAACGCTGCTCACTCCCGCCCGCCTCAGCGCTTCCTCTCCTTGCCAAACTTGTAGACGACCTTCTCCTTCTTCTTCTTCCCACCTCTCTCGTCCTCTTCATCCTCGTCACTATCCTCCGTCCCAGGCAGAGCAAGTCCATTCTTGGTGTACTTGCCCTTAGCCACCATATCCGTAACCTGCTGCTTCTTGGCATCTATCTTCCTCACCGAGCTCCCCCCCTTGTTAGCCATCAGCGCCCGCACGAGCCCCAGCCGCTCGGAGGCGGTAGTGAGAGCTTCGAGACGTTTTTGTCGGGCACGAAGGAGTGAGAGGAGGTAGGACCAGTGTCTCTCTGCTCGCCGACGTCGACGAGCAGTCTGCTCTTCATCGTCTTGCGCAAGATGGACAGGGGCAAGTTCGCCATCCTCATCGTCGTCCAGGTCGGTGAGTTGGCCTTCGTTGAGGAGAAGCTCGTCGTCCAAGTCCTCGAGATCATAGTCCTCGATCGAGCGCGGCATAGTCGGGGCTTGCAACGCTGAGCGTGAGGAAGAAGCTGTCGCTGATGTAGACGCTGAGGCGGGGGCGTAAGAACGGACACCATCCGCCCCGCCGTCGCACCAGATCGTCCTCTTTCCCTGTGATCCCACTTTGCCGTCTCCCTTATCCTCACTTAGCTCCAACCTGCCCTTGCCCTTGCCTTTGCCCTTCTTGTCATCCGCCAAGAGACCCGAAGCGCGCAGAGCCTCCATCCTACTGCTCTTCTCCTCGAGCCACTCGACGCGCATCTCTGGTACGTTGGGGGCCAGCTGAGCGACGAGACTCTCGATGCGCTTGCGCTCTGAGGTCACCTGACGTCGCACGTAGCCTGCGTCTTGCGTCTTGAGCAAAGAGACGATAGAAGAGGAGAGAGGCTCGTTGCCTCGGGATGAGTAGTGGACACCTTTCTGTGAGGGGACCAAGGAGGGGGCGAAGATTCAGTCAGTTACCCCACCCCTATAAGGTATCCTCAATCACAAGGCATCGCCACACTCACCTCCACTCTCCCCTTGATCATCCCAAAGTAAAACTCATCCTTGTTCCTGTCAAGCGCCTTCTCCCTCAATCGCTTAATCCTATCGCGCTTCGAGTGGTGGTCCTTTGCTCGAAGCACATAGTCCTTGTGCTTCTCGAGGAGGCCGAGCTTCTTGCGGTGGGTAAGCTGCGAGCGCTCTTTATGGTTGCGGCGATGGATGAAGTTGCGAAGAGCCATTATGGCCAAGAAATAAGGTGGCGAGGTGTAATGTTGGGTGGGGAGAGAAGGCGGAGCTGTCAAGGGACGGACGAGGCAGCCGACGGGACGAGACCAAATTTCAAGCGGGGGATTTCGAGCTCGAGGGCGGACTGGCAGCAAAGGCGCAGCGGGACGTGGAGCACAGGCGCTTCTACGAGAGATTGAGGATGGTCACTGTAAGCTTGCCTCTTTTAGAAAGGGGCGAGAAGGGACCTCTAGTTCATTACACGGGGTGATCCTCAATTCATTCTCCCTCTTCCACCGCATCTATCCTTCGGCATCCCGCGCCTACGTCCACTTCTGCTGCACGACGGCGTTCAACAGCCCGGCCTCCTTGATCGTCTGCGCCTCATCCTCGACGGGCTTGGGCGGGAAGCTAGTCTGCAGGGCGTAGCTGCGCGCCGCCATACCAGGCTGAGAAGCGTTGATGAAGGAGCGGATGTCGGCGACGGTGTGCGTGTGGTTGAAACGGCCTACCAGCCTTGTCCCATCAGCGAGGCGGATTTGCACCGAGGTAGTAGGGGCAGAGGAGTCGACGGTGAAATTGGAGGGGGCTGACGTGCCAGTGGAAGGAGGAGCCGCCGCTGGGGTGGCAGACGTGGATGAGCTTGCTCCCATAGCTGGCGCAGGGCTACCCAATCTGTTGCCTTCGCCGCCGAATGCCTTCATCGGCCCAGGAGCGGGCGGTGAGTACTTCTCATTGAGCCTCTTGGCCACGCGAAGCTCGACACGCTGCCCAAATTTGATGTTGAATGCGCCGGGAGGAGCAGACTGATTCTCGATGGCCTGGAGGAGGGCCTGGCTTTGCGGATCCTCGTAGCGTTGCAGGGGCCCATCCTCGATGGAGAAGCCGTCCTGCCAGAAGTTGAGGTGACGAATCGCTACGGAGTCGAAGTCTTCATCATCGCCGCCAGCTGCTGCTTCTTGCTGAGGAATGCTGCCTGTCGCTGGCGTCTCGGTGGCTGCCGGCCCATCATCCCCAATTGTCCTACCCGCTCCACCGAAGCTTGACGCAGCGGTACCCGCAGAAGGAGCAATAGCTCCCTCGTCATCGCCCGGCCCTCCCTCACCAGGGAAACCACCGGGGCCGCGGCCACGAGCATTCTGAGCTGCCTGCCTCAAGATCTCCTTCACCGCGTCCGGCTGGTTCCTGCCCCTCCTGAGATCAGGGTTCTGCACGCTCAGCCCAGATCGTTCGCCACCAGTGAAGAGGTTCTCCGGTCCACGGTCGTCGTCGTCATCGTCGTCATCATCATCGTCACCGCCGCGTCCGCGGGGGCCGTCGTCACTGCCTGCTAGGTCGCGAAAAGTGCGGATGCCCCCGCCTGAGGAGAAGCCGCCGGCTCCTCCGGGAGGGCGTCGTGCTGAGGAGGACGAGGCGGAGGATCCCCAGCCCGGGGGCAGGGGCTCTGCCGGTGCGCCAGAGAGAGTGCGAGGACCGCTGGAGGGTGCGGTTGCTGCTGCGGGTGCAGGTGTGGTTGGCGCTGTGAGGATGAAGGATGATCAGCGTGAACGCGGGGGGCCGTGTGTTGAGGCAGGGAGACAAGCTACTCACCGGCACTCTCAGTGGTCGGTCCACCCGTCTCAGCTGTCGATGTCGCCTCGTCAGCGCCTACATCTCCACTCTCGAAGAAGGTAGCGATCGCGGTCTCGACATCGCCGCCAGAAGAGGAGAGGAAAAATCTGAGCGAGAGAAGCATGAGGAAGCAGCGAGGGAGGTCAGTCCATGCCGGGCTTGACATGGCGTGCTGGCGTAATTTAGCACTCACTTGGCTCGATCAGCTGATGCACCAGTAATGCTGGTAAATTGCGAGATCTTGGCGTCTTCGTCCATCGTGGTCAAGGTTGCGAGTGATGTTGGTGATGATGGTAGGAAAGCAAGACGGATCCAAGCATTGCTCAACACTTGGCTCGAGCGCCGCGCGTCGAGCTCCACACGGGCGGCGAGGCGGGCGGCGAGGCGGGAAGAGGGCGGATCGTTGGTCAAAGCAGGGCTCACTCACGCCCATGGTGTCGATGAGCCATCACTCGAGACATTGAAGGGGAATTGCTAATATTACAAGAATCTCACAATGCTTCATCGGGATCGCGACCTCACATCCTGCTCTCAGCCCAAGCAGACCTCCCACTCTGTACCTCAGCCTCGCTCTGCTTCCACCCAGCCAACGCCTTGATTCCCTGCGTGTCGACGACGCCCTCGAGCCCGTCCCTCATTATTGCCTCACTCACAGCCTTGGCCACCGTATCGATATGCAGCGGGCTGAGGGTGAGTAGCCTCGCCAGAGGTTGCTGACCTAGAACACCCGCCAGGACGCTCGCAGGCGTGGCGGGTAGGAGGCTAGCGAGCCGCGAGGAGTGGACGGCGCAGGACAGGTCCAGGAGAGCGGCAGGTAAGGTGGAGAGGGGGCGAGTATGCGGGTGATACATGAGACCCGGACGGATTGCGATGCTGCGGAAGACCTGACGGCGTGATTGACGGAGCTCGTCGTCCAGGCCAGCACCATCCGCGTCTGCCGTGCCCGGTGAGGAGGAGGGGGAGCTAGCCGCCTCCTGCTGTGTGACCCAGCTGAGCTCTCGTAGCCCTTGTTCTGCTTGTCGCTTGGTGAGGATGTATCTTTCATCGACAATGGGACGAAAGATATCCTCCGCAGAGATGAAGACGAAGGGTGGGAGGGGCTGCGAGCTAGTTGCGCTGCTCAAGACTTCTCGCCACGTCGAGGCGACTGAGAGGGCTGCATCCCTGTTCATCTGCTCATACGTCGGCCCGCCTCCACCCTGACCCTCTTCTTGCAGCGGATTACTTCCTCCCACGCCCCAACCCTTCATTAGCGCCTTTGCAGTCCCCTCTAAGCTGGAAGACGACCCCTTGTAATTTCCCTCGAGGAGGATGCCCATCGTGGACACAATTGCGGAGACGGGTGGAACTCCAGTCTCTTCGCCTGCCAGGATGGAACGATACGACTGCGGGCTATGAGCATCTGCCGCTCTCCATTTCAGCCGCGGTGATGTCGACCATGCTGGGCGATGACCTGAGGGTGTGAGGAAGGGCCGGCCTGACCGTGAGATGGAGGTGACTGTGTGGCCTTGAGAAACGAGGCGTTTGGTAATTGCGGAGCCTGTGTGAGGGGCAGGAGACAGGTCAGCCTGTCGTACCCCGCCATTCAGCCCAAAACTTCCTCTGCTCACCAAGAAAGCCTGCCCCTCCTACGACCAATGCATGCTTGCTGGTCGAAGCCTGCGCCGCTGCTGCCATTTCATCGAGGATGTGGTAAGGAATCTCAATCAAAAAGTCATCGAGGCTGCGAAGCCAGTTCCGCTCCGCATCGATGCACTTGTCTCGACTGGGCGCGCGTGGTCTGGCCGCCGTCCGTCGATCCATCCGCTCGAGCCAATGCGCCGCCGTCGCTTCCTCGTTCCCTTTGTTCCCTTTGTCTCGTCGCGCCAACATCATCACAATGGCAGACGTCGACGTCGAGGCTCCAATGGCGCCGCCACCGACGGTCACGATGCCGCCAGACGTGACAACAGAAGCACTCCAAGCGGCCATCCAGGCCCATGCCTCGCCATCACCTGCGATGCCTTTCGACCTCGTCAACCCTTCGCCGGAGCTCGTCACCGCGATCTACTCAGCCCTTGGCGCGCTGTCCTCCAAGTACGAGGCAGAAGTAGCCGCTCGTGAAGCGCGCGAGGCAGACGTCGAATCACAGCTCAACGAAGCCAATGCAAGGCAGGCAGACGCCGAGCAGCGGGCAGCCACATCTGCGAGCGAGGCCCAGGCTGCTCAGGCTGAAAAGACGACCGCTCAGTCTAGCCTTGCAGAGGTACAGGCAGAGCTAGCAGCCATCAAGTCCGACCTTGAGAGCGGCAACTCTGCCAGTCTCGAAGTCAAGGCTGTCCTCGAGAAGGAACAAAGAGAAAAGCGCGAGATCCTCGAGATTCTCGACCGCGAGCGCGCAGAAGTCAGCCGTAGCGCGCAGGAGGCCGACTCACTCAAGGCCACCGTCCGTGATCTGCGCAAGGAGAATGGACAGCTTAGCGCCGAGGTACAAGAAGTCAAGGCAACGGAGAGCACTGCGAGGTTCAAGGTTCAGTCTCTTACGCAGGAGTTGGAGCTCGCACAGAAGGATGCCAAGTGGGCGCATGCCGAGCTATCGAAGCTCAATACTGAGCAGACAGCTTTCCGCTCGAGCAAGCATTCAGAGGTCGTCAGACTGCAGAGCGAGCTCGATGCTGCTACCGCGTCCTTGAGTGCTCTGGAGTCCAAGGCAGAAATGCTCCAGTCTGCCGTCGACCAGAACACTCGTAGACTCAATGAGGCGGCGAACGAAAAGGAAGAGCTGGCTGCGAGAGTAGCGAGCCAGGAGGAGGGCTTCAGAAGGGAGATGGAGACCAAGGATCGCCTGACGTCGCTGCTTCAGCGCAGGGCGGACGATTCTGCTCGCCGAGTCCAGCAGGTTGAAGAGGCTTGGGAGAAAGTCCTCGAGGAGTGCAGGGAGCGTGAAGAAGAGCTCAGAGCAGAGATGCAATCCGGTCGCGCAGACGTAGACCGCCTTGAGCAAGAGAAGCAAGACCTCAAGATCGCCTTAGACCGACTGGCAGAAAGCGTCGGCATCGACACTGGCTCAGCACCGCGTGCCTCTACCCCGTCTACGCCCCTCATCCGCCCTTTCAATGGCTCCATTGGCTCCGTCGGTCTCGGTATGTCCCCTACAGCGTCCATGGCCGCCTCGATGCAGCGTTCCGGCAAGACATTCACCGAAGTGTACACCTCCCTCGCTAAGACCGAGGAAGAGCTCCGTCGCGAGAAGCTGGAGACAAGCCGCCTTACTCAGATCCTTGAGACGGTCATGACCGACCTGCAGGAGCGAGCGCCGGCACTGCAGGCTCAGAGAGAGGAGACGGAGAGACTAGGCGCTGCACTCGAGGAGTTGAGCGCAGACTTTGCGAAGGCGTGTGAGGACAGGGATGTTGCAGAACGCGTATCGAAGCAGAACCAGGCACAAAGGGCGGCTTTGGAGCGTGAGAATGGACTGCTGGGCCAGCAGCTGGCCGATCTGGGCCGCCAAGTTCGCACTCTTACGCGCGAGATCATTCTACGTGACGATCCCTCGGCTGCGGACCGACTTCAAGACGACGGCAGTGACCTGAATGGCGTCAGCGAAAATGAAGGCGACACCAACAATGTCATCACTACACAACTCGTCACCTTCGATTCCCTCACCTCCCTCGTCGCTCAAAATGGCCGCTTGCTCCGCGTAGCGCGCGAGCTTGGCGCACGCATGGAGGAGGAGGAATCACGATGGCGCGAGCGCAACGGTCGCGAGGAGAGCGAGGCTGTTCAAGAGGCCGTGCGCACCATTGAGAGGCTGGAGAGCGAGATTCACTCGGCACGCGCCAGGATCGAGGCCGTCAGGAGAGAGAGGGACATGTTCCGCTCCATGCTTGCGACGGGGGCGAGAGGCGGAGGCATTGTTCCTGCAGCCGCATCAGCCAGCAGCTCAGGCGTCGACTCTGGCGTACATGCAGCCCTCGCCAACCAATACTCCACCCTCCAAGGCCAATTCGATGCATTCCGTGAGGAGACGGCGCGAGACGCCGATGCGCTGAAGGAGGAGGCACGTCACGCCCGCGATGAAGCCGGTCGAAGCGCCCTCACCGCCGCGAGGGAGAAGGCCGGTCGCGAAGCCACCGATCAACGTCTCCGTACCCTCCAGCAGACCTTCGAGTTGCAACGCAGCGAGCTGGCCGAGGTCACAAAACGCCTCCGCCCTCAACAAGAGCAGATTGCCCGCCTTGAGACATCATCCCAGACCCTTTCTGAGGAGCTCCTTTCCAGCCGCAAAGAGCTCGACCGCCTTCGCAACGAAAGCGCAAATCTGCGCGCTGAGCGTGACTTGGCCAAGGCGGCCGAGCAGCGTCTTGTGGATGAAGTAGGGTCGATGGTCAAGGAGAAGGCAAGCTTGAATGAGCTGCTGCGCAATGTGCAGACGATGCAGAATGAGCTGGACCGCTCCGCTGGGGAGACGAGGCGTAGGCTGGAGGGACAGGTGGAGAAGCTCGAACAGGCAGAGAGGGAGACAAGAGAGCGCTTGCAGCGAGAGGAGAAGGCAAGAAGGGAAGCTGACCTCAGGCGTGAGGTCGAGAGTAACAGCCTGCAGGGCCGCGTGGAGAAGGCTACGGCTGAGCTCGCTGAGGCGAGGCAGCAGCTCGCAGTCGCAAGGACCAATGTCGAGCATGTCACTCGCCGCGCTGAGGACTTGCAGAAGCAGGTCGACACCAAGGAGGAGAAGCTAGCCGTTTACGAGCGTCGAGCAGGCGGAGGCGGCGCAACTTCTTCGCAATCAAGCACCGGCACCGGCGGCAACGAGCAACAATTGCAAATCGAGCTGGCCGAGCTTCGTGGTGAGCTCCGCAGTGCGCAAGTGGAAGCAGAGCAGTCGCGCTCGCACGTTGAGCAATTCAAGGCCATCTCTCAGGCCAGCGAGGAGGCTCTCTCTCAGCTGCAGGCCACCTACGAGGAATACAAGACGTCCACTGAAGCCAGCGTTGCGCAGAAGGACTCGGAGATCACCCATCTCAGAGAGCGACTGGAATCAGTCGCCACAGAGATCACAACTCTGCAGAACGAGGCCTCCTCTGCGCGCCAGGCGCTCGAGGCACAGCGCAGCGAATTTGCGGCCGAGAAGCGTTCCCTTGAGGACGCTCTCGCCGACCTGGGCAGCGTAGAAGAGCGGGCCCGCGCAGAGCAGCAAGGCGTGCGTGCGGACGTGGAGCAACATGCCCGCCTCGCTAGGGAAGCCCACGCCAAGTACGAACAAGAGCTCGTCGCGCACGCCGACGACATCCGCGCTCTGTCCACCGTCAAGGAGGATCTGGAGCGCACCCGCACTGAAGCGCGCGAAGCGCAGCGTAATGCTGAGGTGGCGCAAGCCAACGCTAGCTCGTCGCAGGTCAGCTGGGAGGCTCAGCGCGAACTGTTGGTAAAAGAAAGGGATGCTGTGCAGGCGAGATTGGGCGAGGTGACTGAGCAGAACAAGATTCTTCATGAGCATCTGGAGAAGCTCACGGAGCAAGTGGGGCAAATTCGTGGGGCGCGTAGCACCGACTCTGCCGTGGGACCATCAAGCGCGATCGCCGCGGCTGTGGACGGCGACGCTTCCTTCAGTGCCTCACCTCCCGACGAGCTGCACGAAGTGGTTCGCTATCTCCGCCGCGAAAAGGAGATTGCCGACCTTCAGCTCGACCTCAATAAGCAGGAAGCAACGCGACTGCGGCTCAACCTCGAGCACACCAATCGAGCCCTGGAGGAGACCAAGGTCCAGCTGGCCGAGGAGCGACAATCCAACGCCGCCGGTTCTACGGCCGGCGAAGGGCCGGCTGCACGCCAACACGACGATCTCATGGAAAAGATCAACCAGCTCTCGATCCTACGCGAGTCCAACTCTACCCTTCGTGACGAGGCGGAACGCTCGGCACGCAAGTGCAACCTCTTGCAGACACAACTGGACAGCACCCGCTCCGAGCTTGACCCTCTACGCGAGCAACTTCGCACTGCCCAATCCGAGCTCAGCGCTGCGCAGGGCCAATTGAGCATCGTCCAGGAAGACAACAAGCGCTGGCAGGCTCGCGCGCAGAGCATCCTCGCGCAATACGATCGAGTTGATCCCGAAGAGGTGAAGAGGCACGAGGAGAGAGCAAAGGAGCTGCAGATCCAGCTAGAGCAGGCGCAGAAGCAGACGGCTAGCTCAAAGGAGCAGTTTGAAAAGCTGAGGGCACAGGCGAGCGCTACAATTGGGAGATTGAAGGGCGAGATCCAGGGGTTGAAGGACGAGAAGGAGGCGCTGATCAAGGAGAAGGATGAGTTGAAGGCCGGAAAGGAGGCCGGTGATGAGGAGCACAAGAGCGCATCAGAGCGAGCGGCGGAGGAGGCGAAAGCAGCTGCTGCGACTGCGCAACAGAAGATTGATGAGCTCCAAGCTCAAGTCGCACAGCTGGAGGCCGCAGCCCAAGAAGCCGCATCCAGCGCTGTCAACACAGCCAATGATGAGTCGTCCGCCGCTGCCAAGGCCGACAATGCCGATGGAGCCCCAGCAGCAGCCTCTCCCCCACCTACCTCCTCATCAGCAGCCGATGTGGCTACTGCTCTCGCTGAAGCCCGCGCAGCTTGGGACGCAGAGAAAGCAGAATTGGAAACCTCGAAGGCCGCTCTTGCGACCAGGGAGAAGACACACCATCAGAAGGCCCGAGAATTCCTGCAGCAGGCGCGCCAGGCGATGAAGGAGAAGGACGAGGCGATCAAGGAGAGGGACGAGTTGAAGACGAAGCTGGAGCAAGGGAGTGGTGGGCAGGATGGAGTGAAGCAAGAGACAGATGGTGAAAAGCCTGCTGAGTCAAGTAGCTCCATCACGCCCGACCTTGCTGCCCTTCAAGCCGAGGGCGAGACTCTCAAGGCCCGCATCACCGAGCTGGAAGCTGCCCTAGAGCAAGCCAACGCGAGGATCGCCGAGCTGGAGGCTCAGCTCACCTCTTCAACAACAGAATCCGGCGAAGCCACGTCGTCCGACGATACGGCATCGCAAATCGCCGCCCTCAAGTCCGCCCACGCCGAGGAACTCAAAGCGCAGCAAGCCACTCTCGCCAAGAGACAGAGTATGGCCATCGATGTTGCCGTCAAGAAGGCTCAGTCCGCTGCCTCTGGCGGTGGTGCAGAGGTCGAGGGGCTCAAGCAGCACCTTGCAGAAAAGGAGAAGGAGCTCGCCCAGTTGCGCGAGGAGCGCGACGCTCTCAAAGCTTCTGCAGCCTCATCTTCAACGCCGGCCACGCCAGCCGCTGGCGCGTCAAGCAGCACCGACTCAGAGGACCCGGTCCACAAGGCTCGATACGAGGCGGGCTACGCGGCTGGCAAGAACGAGGCGACGTTGCGCAATCAGCTGTTGATCAAGCAAAAAGACGGGAAAATCGCCAAGCTGACGGCAGAGATCGCTGAGCTGCGTGGCCAAGCAAGCGGCTCTACTGCTAGCCCCAATGCGGCGACGCCTACTGCTCCTGCTGGACCTTCTGCCGCTGGTGCAGGTGCAGGAGCAGCCAGAGGAGGACGAGGGGGAGGGACGACTGCCAACCTTCCTACTCGACCTGGAGCCGCGGGCGCTGCTGCTGCAGGAGCTCGCGGAGGGGCAGCAGCAGCAGGAGCAGGAGCCGCTCGTGGTGGTCTGAGCCTTCGTGGAGCAGGTGGTCTGCGCGGCCGTGGTGGAGCTAGAGGCGGCGCTATTGGTGGCGCTGGTCAGAAGCGTAAAGCCTCGGAAAGTGGGGCAAGTGGCGGACCCGCAGCAGCGGGTAATGCTGCTGGTGGGGCAGGGGGAGGAGCTGAGGGGGAGAATGCAGCTAAGAAGGCTAAGCCTGGAGGGGAGTGAAGCAATTAGTCGGGGGCTGTATCCGTTGAAGAAACAAATTGAAGTTAGCGAACATCAGAATGTATCAGACCTCAACTTGATAGTCCAGCCCGGCCGTCGTTGCGAGTGCTGGGAATATCTCGTGTGGATTGAAGCGAGGAGGAACATTATGGAGGACGTCGGTCGAGCGATGGCGTGACACTCTTGGACAGCCCTGACTCAAGTCGGGTGAATGAATGCTCCCCGAAGCATTGCATGCTTCGACTCATTCACCTGTTTCTCGCAATGATCCTCCTTCTCTGGAGCCACCAGCTCCTGCTCATCATGTCGTCTTGATCGCTTCCAACCCTTCTACTGAGCTGACGCTATTTCCTCTTACGACCTGCGGGTGCGCGGACGGACAAGGCGAAAGAAAGTGAGTCAGTGATTGACTACTTCCCTTCTTCGAGTAGCAGCAGGCCTCGCAAGTCTACGCATTCATCGCGCCCACTCACCACCATGCCCAATCTGTCCCCATCCTGCCACACGTTCCTATTCTCCTGTACCCTCCCATCCGCATTAGCCTGCGCACCCGCTACAGGTGGGTGAATCTGCTCTGTGGCCTCATCGATGACCATGTTCATAAAGATGTCAAACCCAGAGCAGAGGCCGACAATACGGCGCCCGCCTTGGAGATTGACACAGACGCGCTTGTTTAGGTAGCGCTTCAGCTCGGGTTGGGCGACTGCGCAGGGAGCGAGAGGGGGGGAGACAAACAGTCTGGTCAGTGCCACTGTAGAGCGTCGCATCATAAGCTTCAGGGGCGAGCAAGCTCACCTTTGGCCATGGCTGAAGACTGCTATCGCTGAATGGCTGCGCGGTTTGTGCGGATGCGAAGGGACGGACGATGCGACGTCGTACGATTGCGAGGTGCGAAGTTGGCTTCGGAACTGGGAGCGAACCACGTGGAGCGGAGAGCGAGCGAGAGGGCGGAGACGAGGCATCGATCGGGCCCTTGAGGCCGTCAACGAAACGCAGCATCCTACATTACCATCCAAAGATGCCGCCGAGGAAGACCAGAGCTGCGAAGAAGGTGGACAAGCAGGATGCAGCAGAGACTTCAGAGGCTGCTGCTTCGTCCTTGCCTCCAGCGGCCGCCAGCAGTGTGAAGGGCAAAGCAAAGGAGCAGGACGATGCAGACGAGGTGGAGCAACATGCTGAGCAACACGATGGCGACGAAGAGCAGGGACACGGAGAACCTGTGGATGCTCCTGCTGCCTCTTCCTCCTCAACCTCCACCACGACAATGGAAGACCGCAAAGCGCGCCTCCTCTCCCTCAAGCAACGCCTCTCCGCCTCCTCTCAAGCGAACCGCAAAGACCTTGTCCTCGATAAAGCCCCCGCCCACGCGCCGGGCTCCTCGACCCGCAAGAACCCGGGTAAAGCGCACAAGCTAGCAAAAGCTGCTGCTACTCTGGACAAGCGCGATGCAGAGGAGTCTGGGAAGGACTGGGAGCGTGTACGTAATTGGGGGTATTCGATGGAGGACCAGGAACGTTGGGAGGAGAAGTTGAGGGAGAAGGAGGAGAAGAGGGATAAAGGATTGATCGACGCTAATGGGTTGGCGGCGAGGAGTTATGCGAGAGGTGTAGAGGGGATGAAGCCTGATTTGAAGGCTTATCAGGCCGAGAGTCGGGGCAAGGAAAAGGGTAGGGATGCGAGGGGTGCAGAAGGGAGCTCAGCACTCGTCGTTCGCGACGCAGCTACTGGTGCAGTGGTGCCATCATCAGCATCCTCACCCTCCGGCTCTCTTTCCTACGGCAGTCATCGCCCCAGCGACAACGCAGTGGACCGTGTCATTGGCCACCTCAACATGGAAGCCGACGCCCGCTCCAAACGCTCACGCAAGAGGCCCGCGGGAGAAGACGAGGGCGAGGTCACGTACATCAACGAGAAGAACGCCCACTTCAACCGCAAGATCAATCGCTTCTTCGATGAGCATACGACGGAGATTAGGGAGAACTTTGAGAGGGGCACCGCGTGAGTAGCCGCGAGGTTGACGGCTCAGGTTGATATGAATGATCGGCAGCTGACCCTCTTCCTCTTCCTTCCCCTCCATCATAGGCTGTGACCTATTGTACCCTTGCTTCCCCTCATCCTGTCCTGATCTCATTTCTTTCGACTCCATCACGCATTCACAACGCCTTGTTGCCAGTTACATCATGTATTCTCTCTCACCCAGCCTTACAACGCCAGGTAATCCCGAATCTCATCCTCGGTCAACTTCCTGAACACAGGCATAGTCTTGACCGCCTCACCGCCTCCAACCTGAGCTGTCGTGCTCGTCCCGATGATGCCAATCTCAATAGTCTTCTCCGTCATTTGGCCCTCGAACGACTCCTTGAGCGTGAGGATAGAGGTGTGGATCGCATCCTCCAATGAGAGCTCGGAGGAGTACCTCTTCTCCAGGAATACCTTGCCGTTGACACCGTTCTTGCCGATGGCGCTAGCCTTCCACATGAAATAGCTTCCAGAGGGGTCGACCTGGTAGAGGGAGGGGCCGCGGTGCGAGTCGTAGCCTGCTACGAGTAGGGAGACGCCAAAGGGACGGACGCCGCTGGAAAGGGAGCAAACAGCGGGATTGTCAGTCAAGAAGGCAAGGATGATGCTGGGTGCTTGACGGCGCACGACTCACCCCCTCTGCGTCGCCTCCTGCATAATAGCCGCCACCTCCTGTACCAGCACCCTCGTAGGCGGGTATTCCCCGTAGATCTTCCAGTACGCCTGAGCACTTTTCCTCGCCCTTGCTACCAGAACTCGGAAGTCAGGCCCCATGCCAGAGTAGACGATGCCGATGTTGGGGCAGACGATTGCCAACTTTTCGAGGCCAGTGGTGTCGACGAGGGGGGAAGGTGGGGCTTTCTCTACTGCGAGGACGATGGCATTTTGTGCTTTGATGCCTAGGCAGGTTGCGCCTGAGTTGACGGCTGCGAGGGCGTGTTCGATTTGGACGAGCTGCGGGTGCGACGAGGGGACAAGGCGGCAAGGCATGTTGGTGAGCATCACTCGAGAGGGGGCAGCAGGGTATATGCCGTGGCCCGCTCGCAACGGCTGCCGCTCTCACCTTTCCACTCGGCGAAAAGGTTGTGAGGGAGAAGCTGTACGCGCTCTCGCCCCTGCCCGCCATCTTTGCTGATGCTGGTGGTGGTGAGCTTTGAGGATGGGTGACGAGTCTGAGGAGTCTACGGTCGAAGCGTGCTCGTCGCCTATCCGCGCTCAGGCCAATCTGAAGCGCTGACGACGACGACGACGACGGATATCTAACCACGTGGCACTTCGGTGCCGCCCTCTCCACTCAGCGCTCAGGCAGAGATGGGACCGGCCTTCGCGGGGCGGGCGAGACGCCGCCGATGTGCCTCTGTGCGTGCCGCTGCCTGGCCCACGACTACGATTTCAGATAGGCCCATCTGATCAGAGGACCAGAGCTGCGATCCTCTTTCCCTTCCTCACCATCACCATCAACTACATCCACCACACCACCGAAACAACACAATGATCCGCAACACACTCCGCACAGCCACTACCGCTGGCGCCTCGTCATCACGCATGGCCCTCAGCTCTGCGGCCCGCCCAGCCCTCGTCGCCACACCGCGAGTGGCAACCTCCTCGCCCTTCTCCACCAGCCAGTCACGAGGCTACCACGAGAAGGTCATTGACCACTACGAGAACCCTCGCAACGTCGGTTCTTTCCTCAAGTCGGACAAGAACATCGGCATCGGTCTCGTTGGCGCACCGGCCTGCGGTGATGTCATGAAGCTGTCCATCAAGGTGGGCGAGAGTGGGATTATCGAGGATGTTAGGTTCAAGACTTTCGGGTGCGGATCGGCCATTGCTTCGAGTTCGTTGGCCACGGAGAAGCTCAAGGGGCTGACGCTGGAGGAGGCAGGAAGGATCAACAACACTGAGATTGCCAAGGAGCTCAGTCTGCCCCCTGTTAAGGTGAGCAAAGAATCTGCGAAGTCCGTCTGCGAGTATCATTACTCACGCACCCACTTCTACCATCTCCCCCTCTCTCTCACACGCTCTTTGCGCTCGCCCGCTCGTAGCTGCACTGCTCTATGCTGGCCGAGGACGCAATCAAGGCCGCCATCCGCGACTACGAGGCTAGATGGAAGAGCAGCGGCAAGAAGGGCGCAGGGCACATCGATGTCAGCCAGTCGGTTGGCTCAGGCGAGACCAAGGCCACTGCACATGTGCCAGGCAGCGCCTGATTGATGGCGATTTTTCAGATCAGTCTCAGCCTTGTCTGTAGGGCGCCCGCTGGGTTCACCACGATCCGTGTCGTGTGACATACGCGCAGCATGTCATCATCATGCTCGAATCCTCGGCTTCTGCCAAATGTGTCTCCTGTTTTCAACGATGCCTTCTGGATCTACTTTACGCTCGCTTTCTTGTACAACGATTCCAATGACCATGGCTCTTTTGCATTGTGATGCCACCGTCTGACCGCGAGCCTGGGCGATGATGAGTTAAGACAGGCTACCTTGACGGCCATGTAACAGCCAGAATGAAAGAGCTCGAGGGGAAATGGCTGCTCGCGTCTCAGCAGATCGATGTTGTATGCAGCTGCGTCATTGCGTGTGGAAGGTGGACAGAGTGCGGCACGGAGCGATGGACGTCTGGCGTTACCGTACGCACCGCGACGAGGGGCGCCGATAGCGAGCAGGGCAAGGAGACGATGTCGGCCACCCTCTCTCTAAAAAATCATTCGAGAAGCAACGACGACCACCGAAAGCTGGAGCTGACCGTTGCAAAGCCTTGAGCTGTCACGCCCTCAGCCTACGCCGTTAGGGATCCGCCCATCCTCACTCTCAGTCGTCGAACCGCCTTCACGACGCCACGCAATATCCTCTGACAATAATCTATTGCTTCCTTTCAGCGTAGCGTGTGTGATGGCGCACGCTTAGAGGTCATCCAGATCATCGTCGTCGTCATCGTCGCCCGAGTCCTCCTCGAACTGTACCTCGCCACCCTCATCGTCTCCAGCTTCGGCCTCGTTGATCTTTGCCGTTGCGGGGATCTCTCCATGCTTGATCAGGTCTGCGAGTGAGAGCAGCGACAGCGAGCAATCGCGGAGTCAATATTGCGCTCCTTTGGCAGTCATGATCGCTGCCCTTGCCACTTGGGGCTTTCCGCAGAACCACTCACCTCTCGCCTCATCAGGCGTGTACTTCTGGATCACATCGGCCTTCTCATCTTGGAACTCTCGCAGTGACAGCAAAATGATATCACCGTTGTTGATCCAAACTTTCTTCCTCATCTTTCCTCGGATCAAGGCAAGACGCTTCTCACCGTCGAAGCATTGTGCCTCGAGACGGCCATTACCGAGCATGCGGAGGACTTGTGCGTACTCTGCGGACGAGGGAGGAGCAAGCAACACGCGTGAAGAAAAATCAGCTTGTGCAGCAGTACACCAAGCTACCAGCGATGGCAGTACACACCTTGTCCCTCCTCCTTGAAGATGAGTTCTCTCTTCTCGGACTCATTTTCGTTCTTTCCCCTTCTGCGGTTCTTGCCGCCCTTTCCTTTGTTCTAGGCGCAGCGGAGTGGATGACAACACCATGTCGTGTCAGCATTTGGGTAGTCTTGATCACCATGACGTCTTCGTCCCGGCCTCACCTTGGGCATCTTGGTATGATCTATAGGGTGGAGTTGATGGTGGGACGGACAAGAAGGAGTTCGACGTCGTCGTCAAGTCGCTGCAGACGATTTCTGGCCCGCGTGGATGCGTGCAGTGCAGCCCCGCCGCCCGCTCCGCTCCCTCTTGCCCTGACGCCGATCCGCCTCGTCTGCGTCGTCGCCGCCTCGCCTCGTCTCCGACCAAAGTCGAGGGCGGACAGAGAGGAAAAGTGAGGGGCGTGTGCAGAGGCGGCTGTGATGTCGAGTGTCGGATGTCAATTCACTTCTTCTTTCCCTCCAATCAACATCATAGAGGCACAGAGAGGCCAGCATGTCGCTATGGGGGTTGCGAGACAATGTGCCCGAGGCTGGGCCATCGACTTCGCGGCTCACACCTTCTGAGAGTCCACAGAAGAAGCGCCCGCGCTCATCCGACCCGCTCAATGGCAGGAAGCAGCAGCAGCAGCAACACAAGAAAGCAAAGCCGGCGCCCTTTGCCAACCGGCCTGCAGTTGCACACACACACGCCAATGGCGGTACATCCTCATCATCGGCGCAGTCTTCGCCCTCTGCGCGATCTCATCCTCTGCCCACTACATCCAACAAGGCCGGCCCTTCCTCCTCCTCCTCAGGTCCACCGAACAAGCTTCTCTCAATCCGACAGCGCCTCCCGATCTGGTCCTCTCGCGACCGCATCGTCGACGAGATCCGCAGCAATGAAACAACGATCCTCGTCGCGGACACTGGATCAGGCAAGTCTACTCAAGTCCCTCAGTTCCTCCACTCCTGCTCCGACGGATACTTCACTTCGGGGCACAGACTGGTGGGCATCACCCAGCCAAGAAGAATGGCAGCCATCTCCCTCTCCAAGCGTGTGGCCCTCGAAATGGCGCACACAGACGGCGAGGCCTCGCCGCTCGTGGGATATGCGATCAGATTCCAGGACAAGACGACTCGACGTACCAGGATAAAATTCATGACTGACGGCTGGCTCCTCCGAGAGTTTGTGAGGGGAGCTGCTCAGCTGGTGGCAGAGGGGAAGGACATCGACGACGTGCACGACGCGGGCCATGCGGGACTGCTTCCGCAGTACTCGTGCTTGATTATCGATGAGGCGCACGAGCGCAGCGTGCGGACAGACCTCCTGCTCGGCCTGGCGAAGAGGGTGCAACGCAGACGACGGGAGCTCAGGAGGGAGTGGGAGCAGAGAGGGAAGAAACAGGGCAAGGAGCCGCAGCTTCTCCACATCGTAGTCATGTCCGCTACTTTGGATGCGGACCTGTTCTCGCGCTTCTTCGCTAGCGAGGAAGGGAAGCCCGCACCAGTCCTCTACGTGCAAGGCCGCACCCACGAAGTGACCGTCAACCACCTAATCGAGGCGGAGCCCGACTGGCTCGACGCGGCTAAGCGGCAAGTCCTTCAGTTGCACGTATCCCGTCCCCTACCTGGTGATATCTTGGTCTTTGGAACAGGCGCAGAGGAGATCGAGTCGCTGTGCTCCTCACTCCGTCATCTCTCAAACCACCTTCCACAGTGGGCCGAAGATAGGCAGAGAGCCACGGGCCAAAAGACGGCCGTCGGTGCCCTGCATGTCGTGCCTCTGTACGCCGCGCTGGGCAATAAGGCTGTAGCGGAGGTTTATCGCCCCACTCCGGTCGGTTGTCGCAAGGTGGTCGTAGCGACGAACATCGCAGAGACGTCCGTCACCATCCCTGGCGTGCGATACGTGGTGGACTGCGGGCTGGCCAAGGAAAAGATGCACGTCTCTGCGAGCGGGATCGCCTCAATAGCAGCGGCCAACGGTAATGCTGCCTCGGAGCAGGCACATCAACAGCAACAAGGTATCGAAACCCTCACTACACGCGCCATTTCCCAATCGGCAGCAGCGCAGCGAGCAGGTCGTGCAGGTCGTGAAGCCGCTGGAGAATGCTACCGACTATACCCTCGTGTGGAGCTCGAGAGGATGGACGCTACGACCATGCCGGAGATTCATCGTGCTGAGCTCTCCTCTGTGGCTCTGGACTGCTTTGCGGCTGGAGTGGACCCACGCGAAGTAGACTGGGTAGACGCGCCAAGAGAGGGCAAGTTGGAAGGGGCGGTGATGGAGCTGGCAGGCCTTGGCGCCGTGGAGCGCAGGGGGCGAGTCAAGGCGAAGGGTGAGGAGAGGAATGGGACGACACAGAATGGGACAGACGATACGAAGGAGGGCAAGCTAGTCCTCACGGAGATGGGTCAACGCATGGCTCTGCTCCCTCTCCCGCCTCGCTTCTCCCACTTACTCCTCACGGCAGCCAACACCGCCTCTCCAGCCGTCGTCCATCAAGCTCGAGACTTGGTCGCCATCCTCTCCTCGGAGCGAGACATCTTTCTCGAACCATCGGCAGCGGCTGTTCGGTCTTCTGACCAGGATAAGGGCAAGCGACGACCCGCAGGAAAGGATGGAGAAGAGGAGGACGGGGACCTTTCAGAGCGACTGGAGGTAAAACGAGCTGAAGCGAATAAGGCAAGGAGCGCCTTCCGACACTGGAGCGGAGACCATGTTACTATGCTCCGGGCATTCTATGCATACCTGAAGACGAAGAGGAGCGCTTCCACTTTTACGTCAAGTCAGAATGGCCAGCCAAATCACAATGTGGGGAAGAGCAAAGGCAAGGACAAGGCTGCCTCTGCTGCCGCTCTGCAAGAGGTCAAGACCTGGTGCAACGCCCACTACCTCTCCCTTCGGGCGCTAAGGGAGATCGAGGAGATCAGGGACCAGATTGACGGCATTTGTAGGAAGGCTGGTATTTTGCCGCGCCATGACGAGAAAGACGACGCTGGCGATACCAACGGCAGCCTCACGAAAAGGCAAGGCAAGGGAGGGGAGGACAGCAGTGATGGCAGTGACGAGGAAGGCGTCGACGCTGAAGAGGATAGCGACGACTCTGACGCTCCACTGCGAGTGATCAAACGCTCCGATCGCGTCAAGATGCAAGAGGAGGACGATTTCACGTCCAATCTCCTCGACGACGCCAACGAGGACTACGCCTCTCTGCGTAAATGCCTCGTAACGGGTCGCTCCACCTCTCACCTCGCCATGCGTCTCGGTGGAGACTCCTCCTCATCCTCTGGCAACGCCCCTCCAGGCCAAGCAGGCTCCTATCGCGTCCTCTGTGGCCCCGAGGTCTTCAAACTTCACCCTGCCTCCTCGTTGCACCCGCAACGCTCTGCCGGGGTCAGTGGAGGCGTGAGCTTGCCGCGCATGCTGGTGTTTGAGGAGCTGATGTATACTAGTCAGCTCTTTGTAAGGTGCGCGAGTGCGATTGATGTTGAGTGGGTGAGGGAGGGGATGATGAAGGAAGGTGGAGGGATGTAGATCTAGAGGGAGGGGAGTGCTTCAGTTTAATGCATGTTTGCTGTAGACCCTTACGACTCGAAGAGGGCATGCGTGATGGGGCTCTGCAGAGACATCGTCGAGTCTGGGCACGAGGGTGCAGGCCGACCAAAAATGGTACAAGTACTTCTATTGTGGAGCGTGCGTCACTATGGGTCACTTGAAATCCTTCTTGCTTCATCAAAGCTCCAATCACGCTCAAATGAGACCCTCGAGCCAATCCTTCTTCGCCGGCTTCGGAGTTGAGGCCGGGCTGGGAGATGCCGGGCTCTTCTGGTAATCGGCGACCGCATCCGCGACTGACGACGACGACGTCGGTGCGGGAGCTACGGCTGGTGCAGCTCGCGACGCTCCCACCTTGGAGTTCAATGCCAGCCCGCCCAGAATGGCCGCCCTCAGCTCCCTCGCTTCCAGCGGCGCCGCCGACTTCCCACCACTGCTCTTACCACCATCAGGGCTCGCAGTTCCACCCGTCGTCTTGCCTCCCGACCCGCCAGCCGCTCCTGGAGCCGCAGCTCCTCCAAGATCCGCAATGCTCGCCGGCTTGCTCGTAGCTGTCCCAGCAGGCTGCTCTGCCTTGCCCAAGTAAACGAGCACGTCACCCTTCGTCACCAAGCCGCGCCTGCCCGTGCCCTTGATGTTCTTCTTCGCGTCCTCCGCTGAGACATTGTTCTCGCCCAGAAGACGGAGCACGGAGGGGAAGAGGATGGGCCAGGATGCGTGGACGGGCTGGTGGGAGGTGGAGGAGGGGAACTCGGCAGCCTCACCCGGGGAGGAGTAGTCGCTGCGGGTGGTAGAGGTGGAGGATTCTGATCCTGATCCTGATCCGGAGGATGAGGGGGGGGACGAGGACGAAGAAGACGAGGGAGAGGCGCTGCCGCTGCCCTCCTTGTCAACATGGCTTGCCGCTTCAGAAAGGTCGTCGCCCTCTTCAGCAAGGATGGCAATCGTCTTGCCGACCTGAACATTCTTTGCTCCTTCCCCTACTACAATCTTGCCCATGACGCCGTCATCTTGCGCTTCGACGTCCATTGTGGCTTTGTCCGTTTCCTAGGCGCGAACGAAAGGAGACGAGCACTGTCAGCAAGGCCACGGCCGGGGGGGATTCCAAGGGAACCGCGAGCTCACAATCTCGAGCAACACATCTCCGGCGCTGAAGCTTTGCCCCTCCTTGACCTTCCAGGTAGCGAGTCCACCCTCTGTCATCGTAGGACTCATGGCGGGCATTGCAAATTTGGAAAAGGCGTGAGCTGAGGCGGTAGTGTGCAGGGCTGGTGTAGAGAGTGTATTAGCTCGAGGTCCTGACTGTATGCCGAGTTCCTTGTCAACTTACCCCTCGAGCTCGAAGGAGCGACTGCGCCTCTCAGCGCCCTAGTGACGACTGTCCTCATTGCCGCCGTTGACATTGCGACGAGATGTAGTGTTTGGTGGTTCAGAAGTCGAGCAACACTTGACTTTCTCACCACCATCGGACATCGAGGAGTCCTTCCGCCCTCCTCGCCGCCCCAGCCAACTTGAGACGAGCCTAAGCGACGGAACGGAAGATGTCGGTCCGAAAGAGCAACAGCAACGAGGACCAAGCGAGTCGAATGTCGATGTGCGATGTGGAGCCAGCCAAGGCGAGACGGGGCACAAAGGGGCAGGCGGCCCTGAGTCGGAGCGACGCCAGGGCGAGATGCGATGCGTCTTGAATGGGATTGCTTCGCTCCGCTCCACCGACTACCATCCACCAGACAGCATGGCAGTAGAGACAGCGACCACAACGACAGCATCGCCTCAAGGCCCAATGGGCAGCGGCGCTGGCAATGAGCAGCAGTCGGGCTCCAAGTTCAAGCGCTTCCTTCGTAAGTTTGGTCGAAAGCCAAGCGATGATGCCGAGGGGCAAGTTGGCGGCGATGCCAATGAGCATCAGCGTCACCACCACGAGGGCAACGGCTCAGCTGCTCCAACTTCTGCTAGCAATGTCACTGGCACTGGCACCAACGGCAGCTTAGCAGCGCCTGGCTCGGATGCCAAGAGCCGCAGAGCGAGCAAGCAACGAGGCAACAGCTTGCTCGGCAAGGCAAGCTTGCGATCAAAGACGCCTCAAGGTAGCAACGCGGGAGGCAATGGTATCGCTACTAAGCCACAAGCTCCATCCACTCCACGAGGCCCAGCCCCAAATACCACCGCTACCGGCGCGCCGACGCCCAACTTTGCCGGCTCGAGCGGACAGGGCCTCGCTGATACCCTCGTAGTTGCTGAGCCGCCTCCTCAGCTCTCTACGCCTGAGCGCCTCGCACCCATCAATCCCATCGACGTAGCTGCTGCTGCCCCTGTCGCCGCTGTTCCGAGCAATGGCGGCGCTATTCCTTCGTCGACAACGACGGCCACACCACCTCGCCCTGTAGTCATGAGCGAGTCGTCTGGCAGCCCAGCTCGCTCGCGAGACGACAACTCCTTTGATATCGACTCGACTGAGGGATTCCGCAAGCGTGATTCTGTGGACAATAGGACGGTGAGCAGGGTGGAGAGAGAGAGAGCGAATCGAATTGTACCGAGCTCATGCGACGTCTTCCCCCCTTGGCCCTCGCAGATGGACACAGGCAAAAGCACCAAGCCTACGACGCTCATGTCTCTGGACCGCGAGCCCTCCTCTCAAATGGCACATATCGCCCAATATAGGCATGGAGAATACCCCTCTTCCTCATCGGCAGCAGCAGCTGCTTCCTCCTCTTCCTCTGCCCCTCTCCCTTCCGGGAACCTCAGCAACAACCCCACCCGCTCCCCTTCCTCGGTCCAATTCGTCCCGGCGTCGTCCGGCCCAGCAACCAATACCATTCCGGCTAGTCCCTCAACAACATATGACAGCGCAGTTCACCCCTCCTCCACGGGCAATGGAGGCCACTCAGTCTACATGAATGCTCCTACCCTTTCGCGCCCTCATCCTGCCAACAACCCGCATCCTACAGCTTACCCACCGGATAATGCCAGTGTTCTCACCCTCGCCAGCTCAACGGCAGCGCAGAGCATTGCGGGTGGAGCCACTTCCTCTTCCTCTCGAGGGCATGGAGGCGCGGGACAGCATGGTCAAACCCCCTCGCTGAGCGGGGGTGGCAGGGCCAGGTCTCTTGTGGGAAGCTTGATGGGGGAGAGAAGGAATAGCTCTGATACCTATGCGAGCGTCAAGGCTTTGCCGCCTCTCAGTCGTAGGGGGTCGGATGACAGTACGAGGACGAGCGGGAGGGAATCTGTGGGTGCCGCCTCCAGCTTGGCGGGCGGTGGATTCCCTGCAAGTGGGTCGTCGACGAACGTGGCTACGGCTGGGATGGGAAGTGGAGCGGCGGGCGTCGTAGGAGCACCGGGCGCTCCACACGACAGATTGAGCATCGTGAGGACCCCCTCGCAGAGGACTGTCGCGACACAGCTGTCCATTCCGCTCTCGGGATCGTCCCAGATCCTCAGCGGCGGCGGCAGTGCTCCGGGAGGGGCGGATCGTCGTGCCTCGTCGGGGTCTGCGCACCTACTCCAGCAGCAAACCACAGCCGCCTCCTCAGCCGCGACCACTTCGGCCGCATCCGCCTCTACCGCAGGCGCCGGAGCGACGCCTACGAGCAGTATCGCCCCGCACGCAGGCAATGAAAGTGTGGAGATCGACGCGGATGACGACTTGCACATCCCCGGTGGGGACCTGAGCATGGCGAGTGCCGATGTGACCACTGGTGGGCTCAGCGTACCGGAGATCACGCAAACTAGGCCGAGCCCGTCGCCTACGGATGAAGGAGCTGAGAGACAGTTGGGGATGGGAGGGATTCCGGCGGGAGCTCAGGTAGTTGGAGAGAAGACGCCAGCTGTAAGCGCTGGGTCTGCTTTGTGACGTTGGAGCGATGCGATACGACAGCTTAACAACATATCACCTGAAATGAAATGGGCATCCGGTTGATTCGAGTGGAGCTCAATGCTCTCGATCATACTTTTACGTCGAGCCTTGTCAGTCTCTTCTCTTCTTCCTCCGGCCCCACCAGTACCTGTCGTAGGAAGTTGCGCAGCCGTGACGCCCTCGACTCTCCCATTGATCCACTAGCACCCTGCTCGAACAGTCGCGCCTTGACATCACCCAGACTTCGTCCACCGCAACGCCCTCGTGAGACTTGACTGCCCTTCCTCTACTCTGCCTGTCGTCTGCCGCGCTCTGCGATGCACGCCCGCTTCTCCGCATTTGCTGCCTGCAGCGAACGAGCGAAGAGGCCAGTGTCTCGGCCTGCGCCGCCGTCGTCAATTTGCTTGTGCGGGGATCGAGTAGGGCACTTCGCCTGAGCCCTCGCGAGTCGAGGGCCTCGTCTCGTCTCTCTCTCCGCTCGTCTCTTCACACCTATCACGGCCACCGCTGCTCCTCAACCCCGCACGCTGCTCTCTTCATCTCATCCTCTTCGTCCACTTCAATTTCTACCCATCCCTTTGGTGTAACCTTCATCTTCTCCAAGGCCAGTTCTACTGCCTCTCTACGAGACTTGTAGCCACTCGGTACCATCAAACCGCATCCATCCACTTGTCTTCCTTCGCGGCCAGCCCCCCTTTTCCCTCTCTCACTCGCCTCGCCACCACCACCAACACACCCATCATGCGACTTCAAGGCCTCGTCGCCCTCCTCGCCTTCACGGCAGTAGGCGTAACAGCGCAGAACAATTCATCCACTGCAGCAGCGCCAGCCTCCTCCTCCTCATCAGCCTCGCGATCCAGCGCCTCCTCCGCCGCTCCCTCGTCATCACCGGCAGCCTCTGCCTCATCCAACTTCACCCTTCCAGGAGGCGCAGCCACGGCTTCTTGGCCTTCTGGTCTCGTACTTCAATCATCCGTCCCTTATGCATTCCCGCCTACACTCGACGTGTCAAGTTTGGGCGAAGCGACCATCAACTACCGTCTGACAAACATGTCCCAGAGCGAGAGGCAGAGCATCTGTGATCGTCAGACCAAGTGGTGCGCCACGGCTGGATGTGAGGAGGCAGGTGCGAAGATCAACCAGAACTTCTGCAACGTTGAGACGTAAGTGTGTGCGCTCTCTCTGCTTGTGACCACCACATACTGACCCTCGATCCTCATCATCCTCCCGCTGCACAGCCTCGCAACGCGCTGCACCTGCACACGCGGGTCGGCCGCCCTCTCCCAATACCAATGGCCAGTCCAGATGGCCGACTGCCAGAATCGAGCCTCTGCCTGCACTCAGTCCTGCTGGAATCCTGCAGAGACCTCGATCCAGGATAGGCAGGCATGTTTGAAGACGTGCAGCCAGACGTTGAGGGATAGCTGCTCGACTCCGGGACAGGTGGCGGCGAATTATGCTGTTAGCAAGGAGGGACAGAAGCCCAACTATGATATTGTGCAGGGCGGGAGTGCCAGTGGGGCTATGGGTCTGGTGGCGGGCAAGGGGGTCACTGCCGCTGTTGCGATCATGGCTGCGGTTGTGTTGGTCCTGGCGTAAGAGGCGGGGAGAAAGGCCTTATACCAGATTCGGCGGATGGTCATTGCCCCCCGACCTTCAGCAAGGCATGAAAGGAGACGCCTGGCTGCCAATCTTACGGCACACGAAGCTTACACCGTCTTTCCACTCTCGCCCGTTCTTCGTCTTCGATTCTCGACTCCCTTCTCTTCGTTCTGCGTTGTACTATCCTTGCTCGGCCAGACGGACTCTTCTGCTACCGTGCTCTCGGCCTCGTTGTCAAATGCGATAATTGTCTCTATGCTGTTGTGTACCTCCATGAGATGCACCACCTTCTACGCCTCCCCCGCTTGCATCTCCTTCACCTCTCCCTCCCACCTTTCCCACCGCTTCGCAAGGGCTTCAGCACTCAATCTGCTCCCCACCTTTCCATCGGCCAGCGCAGCGTCCGGCAGCCTGACAATCTTGCCCTGCCTGTAGAGCCTGCCCGGTTGAATACCTCTCCAGCTCCCCTCTGCATCCCCTTCCTCGGGCAAGACCTCCAACCCAGCCACTCCCTGTTCCACGCCAGTGAGCGCCAATATGCTCCTTCCCCCACCCTCCGCATCCAGCGGAGCCACACATCCCCAGAGGATCTCGTCTGCAGCGGCTTTGGGGCTTTTCGCAAAGACGAGGGCGAGCGGCCAACAGAGCAGGACGGCTGCTTTTCTGACTGCTGAGGCCAGCTTGAGTGGCAATGCCGTCGATGAAGAGGAGGAACCTAGCCAAGCCCAACTCCACACTTCTCCTACGCGCTCGAAGCCTGGGCAGATCGGGATGAGGCTCACGTTGGGCCAATGTCGTGATTGCGAACGTTTGTGATCCTTGTCGTCGAGAATGCCTGGCAGAGGGTTGCGGGGTCGCGGGTCGGCTTCGGCCAGGAGGATGAGACGGCGTTGTAGCTCTAGGTAGGTGAGGAGGGAGGAAAGGGTGAGGGAGCCGGAGGTCGTTACGCTGAGCGGGTGCGATGAATTGCTGGACGCTGTTGCAACTGGAGCGGGGTCAACGGGCGTAGCCTTGCTCTTGCGCTTTTTGGCTTGCGCCTTGGACCCATTGACCGATGTTGAGATCCCGTCTGCACTTGAATCTCCAGCCGTGCTCGTCTCTCGCCTCCTCTCCTCCTCTTCAAACCTCCTCACACCGGCAGCATACCATGGGCTGACCCACATCACGATCCTGATATCCCTCTGCGGTGGAAGCACGAGTAGTGACGCCAGGAGGGAGTTGACGAGGTGGAAGCGTCCGGCGTGCTCGCGTTTCAGTGACTCGTAGCTCCCACCGTGCTCCCCCTGGAGACTGTAAGGCAGCAGCACCAGCCCGTCACATCTCCTCGCCGTCTTGCCACCTGGAGCAGGTACGTCCTGACCATCGCCACCTCCGAGAGCCCCACCGCCCGCCGCGCCAGGGTTGAGCAGACCGCTCGCTGCTCGCCCACCAGCAGGCCCAGCTCCGAGACCACCGACATCACTGCTGCCACCCTCCCCTTCTGCCCATTTGGTCACAAAGCGATCCACACAGCCTACGTCGCGCAGATCGCATTCTTCTGCAAATATCAGCTCATTGTTCGCCCCGTCTCTCAGGAGCTGCAAGAGCTGAAGAGCGGCAGGACGTGGCAGGCGCACTTCCTTTTCGTCTTCATCGACGAGGGTCTCAAAGTGCGTCGAGGGGAGCAGGACGACCAATTGGGCGCCTCGACTTGCCAGTCCAGCTAAGACGAGTAGAGATGAAGGGCTGGCTGGTGAGCCCATTAGACTAGCACTGACGAGCCAGGTAGTCCCGTGGAGATCGCGTTCTGCCGCTCCGCCCTTGCTCGGGATCCCCACCTCGTCTTGTCCACCTTTCCCCTTCTTCCCCCTCGCCAGCTTTTCGGCCTTTTTAGCCCTCTCGTCGAGTTCTTGTTGTCGTATGTGCAGGCGAGCGAGTAGGTCTACCCCGTTGCTCCATCGTCGGAGGATGATGAGGACGAGGATGGATGAGACGAGGAGGACGGCATTTGGGTGGATGAGGGAGATGGAGGACCCCGAGGAGACGAGGTAAGGGAGGAGGTGCACGGGCATTGCTGCGGGTGCACTCAATGTCAGTCAGCTATTCTGCAGCTCGAGCTTGCTGCGGACTAATGCTGTGCCGCCTTGAGAGAAAGGGGCTGTGATGTCGAGAAGGGCGATGTGGGAAGAAAAGAAAAGCGCGGACCGAAGCACAGCCTGCATCAAAACGCCGAGACTTTTGCGCACCAGCCACCCGCCAAACGCAACCCACGCAATCGAGTCGCAAGGCTCCAGGGTCCAGGGAAGTCATCGTCGTGTATTTCATAAGAATGCTAGACGGTCAAATCACAGAATCGTCAAGGGCCAAATTAGAAGCAAAGCACAGAGAGTATGATACCAAGCCAAAGCCACGTCTAGGCCTAGAAAGCTGCGAATCCTTCGCCGACCAATTCTGGAGACGATTCTCGCCATACGTCGTCCTCGTTCCCTCCCACAACGTTTCATTTCGTTCGTGCCGCCTTCGCGCCATGCCCGCCCGCGAGCTGAACACAGCTCATCGCAGCAGCTGGCCCTGCTCCACCCTCTGCCCGAAGAACTTGCTGAGCTTCTGCGCCTTGGCTGCTCGACGGCGGCGCGCTTCGTGCTCGTCGTTTTTCTCCAGGTCATCGTTGCCGTTGTCGTTCCTGTCGTCCTCTTGGTCCAAGTCATCATTACCATCGTCCTCGCTCGTCATACTACTCGCGCTGCTTCTGCCGTCCATCCCAGCCCGCATTCTCCTCTGCTCGCCCTGTCGCAACGCGATCGCAGGAGCGAGACCCAGTTGATTCTGCATCTCCTTCGCAAGATTTGCATCCCCTCCCCTTCCCACTCGGAGCGAACCCCTTCGCCCTGACTTGAGCATCTCCATCTGCACCTGCGCCTGCGCAAATCCCGCCCCCTCTCCCAGGAGCTGCTCAAGCTTGTTGGCCCTCCTTACCCTCTCAAATCGTTCCCTCGAGCTCAGTACCGTCTCCTGCCCATTCTCGGCCAGCATTGGCAGCAAGCCCGCAGGAGCAGAGCTCGTCCTCCCCATCGTAGCACTCATGCTCAACGGTCTCCTCTTGGCCTTTGGCTTAGCGTTGATGGTCTCGAACACCGAAGCGGAGAGGGGTGCCTCATCGTACATGTAGGCTGGAGCGTCGTTTGACCCGTCTGGGGCGACTAGATGCGCTGGAACAGGGTTGCCAAGCCAGCGAGTCATCTTGTCCACTCGACGACGGCGCTCTGCGCGAGCCGGATTTGGCGAGGTTTGAGCGGCATCGCCACCGTCATCGTGCGAGGCTGGGATGAGGTCGGTGCTGGTGCGTTCGGCGGAAGAGCCGTTGTCGATCTCATCGGCGTCGAGGGTGCGCTCCAGGTCCAGCCAGGATTCGTGAGCCGCAGCAAACTCGCCCAACGGAACATGCTCCGATTGAGCACGAGCGTGGTGTTTGGCTTCGTTGGCGTTGCCGCTCAGGCGCAACGGCAAAGTTCCCAACACGTCGCGGCTGAGGGAACAGGAGTCGCGCGACTGCAAGCTGTCCAGGCTGCGTCGTGGTCGAGCCGGGTCCACGCCTGTTGTCGTAGTGATGGAGGAGGAGGATGACGAGCCAGTCGACTCCTCGGAGGGTCGATAGTCGAGAGCCGGTCCAGATGTAGCGGCCGCTGAGGGCGATGAGGCCACGCCCAAGATGGCTGCAGCCTTTGCGCTGACTTGAGGAGGAAGAGGGGTCGATGGAGACGACGAAGGGCCGACAGCGCTACGACGGCGAAGCAGAAGCGGGGAGCAAGTCGACAACGATGCTGCATCGTCGTCCCCCTCCTGTCCAAGTAGCGGCGATTCAAGCCGAGGCTGACTCGTCCTCAGCGCCTCCTCCTCCTTCTGAGATCTTGTCGCTGCCTTTGCCGGCGATAACGACCTGGAAGCAGCTCTCGCGTGGTGACTTCCCTCTCTGACCACCTCATCACCCAGCAGTCTAGTCAGCTTCCGATTGCGACGAACGAGGTCCATACGCTCTTCTGCTGTCATCTGCGAGCTGTCCAGGCGCTGATGATGGCGCTCCATGCGAGGCGAGGTCGAGGATCCCTTGTCAGATCGATTCGAGGGCGGAGATGAGGCGTGGGCTGTTGTCGAAGAAGCAGCTGGCGAGCTCCGAGCTCCTTGCGAAGTTGCGTGGTTGGTCATGGCGTAGCAGAAGGGAGAGACGTGGATGATGGAGGGCGGGATTCAGTGTGCCTCTTGAAGCATTCGTGACGAGGTCGTTGGATCAATTCAGTGCAACCTTTTGTCGCTGCGTAGTAGTGTTGCGCAATGTAATGTAGAAGATGTCGTCAACGTCTGGAATGAAGGTAGCCAAGAAGAGGAAGATGAAGCGAAGTGAGGGAAAGGGGGAGGACAAAGCGAGGAGCCGCCGACGAGATCGAGTCGTCTCCAAGGGGCCCCCTGGTCGCCTCGTCTGGCCATCTCGCTGAAACCGGCGAGCTGCAGGGCTCTGATTGGGCGTCATGACGCCGCTCATCTCCCCGCCTTGCTCCGCTCAGTTGCTCTCTCTCTCGGCCGGCGTCTGCTATCCTTTGTCCTCTCAACTCTCTCAATTTGGCTCCATCTCACATGCGCGCGACACACACAAAGCAAGTCAGGGTCAGACTTCAACTGGCTTGAGGGAAAAGCGTCTGTGTCATTCTGATCTTGGGAATGAACATGAGAGGGTTGTCTCGTCTCGCGGTCCTGCAGCTGGAACAGCTGGACCTGCGAACGGGCACGGAGAGCGAAGAGGAGGATAGCGAGAATAGATAATGGAGGAAAGAGAGTGCGAAGTGCGAGCTGAGCGGGCTGAGCGAGGCGAGAGAGAGACAGAGCTAGCTACCAGGCTACAGAAAAGGTGAAAGCACAAGGCTCGAAGCGAGCGTCTTTCGCGGCAGGGTGTGGGAGAGCGGGGGCTGAGAGGGGCTTGAGGTGGGGAGCGAATAGATAGGAAAAGGAACGTGGTTAGGTGGGGCAGAAGAGTGACGTAGGCTCTTGAGCGTCGGTCGCATCAGCAATGATGATGATGATGCTGCTGCTGTTGGTGATGCTCATGCGGCTGAGCATAAGGCTGGCCTTGGAGCTGATGCCCCTGCTGGTGCTGCTGCTGAGACGCCTGCATTACCTGCATCGCCATGGGAAGCGGGCCCCGATGCTCTGCGGCAGCAGCCAAGCTCCCGTGCAGACTTCCTAGGGTCAAGAAGTGGGAACGAGGGATTATGTCGTTCTCCGACTCGTTCAAAAATTGCAGCACCACATCCAAGGATTGCCGAGCTTGATCAAGGGAGACGGCATCCTCGCCGTCAAGACCACCGTGCCCGCCACCGCCGCCACTCCCACCGCTGGCGTGGCTGCTGCCAATGCTGCTGGAGTGAGCATGACCGCTACCGTCGAGAATCCGGGTGGCTGGAGAGCGAGATTGGGGAGATCCAGCGCTGCCAGGGTCGCCAGCGTCGGTGCGAGTATTGGTCTCGAGCATCATACGACGTATGGCGGTGGAACGAGGGCTCATGCGACGAAGACCTTCTGCTCCTGCTACTGCCGCTCCTCCTGATCCGAGGCTGCGCGTATGCTGCATAGCCTGCGATGAAGTTGAGGGGTCAAGCCCACTGCTTGCGAGGAGGGAGTCGTGGCTCATGTCTCCAAAGCCACTATCGTCGCCGATGCCGGAGTTGGACGCTTTGCGGGCCACGCTGCCTTGTTGGTGGCCGAAGCCAGGCGAGGTGTTGCTGCGTCCCAGATCGGAGAGGCGAAGTGGCCTCAGTGGGGAAGTAGGAGAGGGACGCCATCCCTGGCCATGATGCTGCTGGAGATGGTGCTGCTCAACGCTACCGCCAACGGTAGGCGCGACTGGTTGCTCGGGAGAGGACGAAGGAAAATCGGCGCTCACTCCCATGAAGCGTGCTGCCAGACCTTCTTGCGAACCCGCTCCTCCGAGGCCGTGCTGCCTGTGCTGTTGATGATGCTGCTGTCGAGAAGCCCTGACCATCTCAGGAAAAGGGGAGCCCAGCCCATTACCATCATCCTCGTTGTTGACACTGCCTCGCCTTCTCTTGGACTCGTGGTGCATCTCATAGCCGATGCTGCCTCCGCTGTTTTGTGAGTCGTGATCATGGTCAAAGGAGGACAGAGATGACGACGCTGCGGCAGCGGCCGTCCGTTGATCGGGAGCAATGGCATCGTAATGGCGCTTTTGCTTCGAGGTGGGTGTGGTGCGAATGCCCATGGCAATGTCGCTGTCCGAGGAGAGCATGGCATTGTTGCTACTGTCCATGGGCGGAGAGGCAGGGCGTACGGTAGGCATGGCCGCCATTGTTGCTGGTGGCATGGGAGCCGCCTCGAGGCGACCGTGCGAGGTAGTGGGCATCGAGTGGCAAAAGCGTGGCATCATGTAGTCTGGCGCCGTAGAAGAGAAGGTACTCGAGAGCGTTGATGGCAATGACGAAGTCGGGGCGCCATCAAATGGCGAGCTCATGATCATCTCTTGACTGCTGCTTCCTGGAATCTGCTTGCGAAGCCCGCTCCTCGTTCTAAACTTGTCCACCCAGCCGCCCGAGGCTTTGAACTTCTCAGTGGGCCCGCCAATGGCTTTAGCGATTTCGAGGGCGCGATTCTTGATTGATGTGTCGGTGAGCGTCTGGCCAGCAGCCTGCGCCGAGTGAGCCCACATGCTGAGCTGTCGCTCGAGCTCGGGGAAGCGGGCTTGGCGATGCTTGACAATCTTGGAGTCGACGCTGCCCTCTTCGACGGCGAGCCAACGCTCCTTGTCCTTGAGCACTTTGCTCACCGTGCTGCGCTCGACGCCGAAAAGATTTGCAAGGTCCTGGTGTAAGGGGAGGGAAGAACGATGTCAGTGTCGGCCGCGGCAGAATCCTCTTGATCGCACCCCTCGCACTCACCTCCTGCTTCAGCTTCGGATTGGCCTCGTGCTGCTCGCAGATGCGCTTGCGATCGATGTTGAGCAGCTTGACCTTCTTCTTGCCGCTTGACTTTGCCACGCCGCGACTGTCGACCGAGAGCCACTCCTCGGAGAGAGACGCAGAGAGGGACGAAGCCCGCGAGTCGTTGAAGCTGTCCATGGACGTGTCTCGCGAGTCCATTGACGAAGACGTACCGCCAGAGACGTAGCGCATCGAGTCGCTGGTTGCGGTGGATGAGCCGACAGGTGAGAAACCTTGTGCGCCCGTAAAACTGACGGGCGAGTTGAAGGAGGTAGAGGCCCCTGCGGAGCTGGTGCCGCCTGGCGAGGAGGACCGAACGCTCTGCGCAAAGGCGCTGCTATTGGTGGATATGGCCATGTTGGCCATGTTGGGCGTGGTTCCGGTGCGAGTGATTCGGCCAGGTGCCACGCCGGGTAACGGCGAGGAGGGGCCCATTCGCATGGGAGTATACGGAGACTGGCGCTGAGCTTGCGCGAGGGCGCCCATCTGGCCGAGGCTCGAATGGCGGTGGTGCGCAGAAGGCAGCTGACGGCCATTTGAGGTGAGACCAAGGCCCAAAGCTGCGCCGGCAGAGTGAGGTGGCTGCTGGCCGAGCTCATGTCCAGGGCTTGGAGTCATGTGAATCGCGCTATTGCCGTGACCCATCACATCGTGTGGGGAGGCCGTGGCAGGGTGAGCGTTCATCTCTCCGTAGAAGGCCGACCCGCCATCGTTGCTGGCCGATGTACTAAAGTTTGGCATCGTCGGCATGTCGGTTTGGGATCCCATCGGTGAGACGAAGACGTCTTGACGCGGTGTCTGCTGGACATGAGGATGGTGCTGCTGCAGACGATGCTGCTGCTGCTGCTGCTGCTGCTGCTGCTGCTGCTGCTGCTGCGAATGCTGATAGAGGTCCAGGCCGTCGTGCGCCTGCGGCCAGGCCGGCGAACCGCTGTGCTGGCCGTCGAAGGGCATCTGTGAGCTGTCGACGAGCTGCTGCTGCGAGACGAAGCCTTGTGGCTGCGAATGCGCATGCGAGTGCGGGTGGTCCTGAACTAGGTCGGCCGCTTGCTGGCGAGTCAAGGGCATGGTGCGTCAATGCGAGTGAATCGCCGGGTATCTGGACACGTTCAAGGATGCGAAGGAAGTCAGCTCCGGGCTACTTTTCGAATGCATGCTGCGCCTGCTCACCCTCTGACGCTGAGGGATGTATGTCCGCGATTACCAAGCAGTTTGAGTTGCGAATGAGAAACGAATGAATGGGGTCCGTGATTGATCGTGGCTACTTGAAGGCGCCGACCAATGATAGGGAGGGATGCTGAAGCTTGATGGAAGAAATGGACAAGTGTGTATGAAGTGGTATCTGACTAAATGGATCGAGGCAAAAGTGGGGACAGTATGTAGGCGAGGTGGTAGTCGGTACGATGGGTGGTGCGCGTCTTGCGTGCGCTTTTGAAGGTGTCGACTTCTGTGTACGGCTCTGCTTCTTCGCCGGCGCTGCTACGGTTGCTGATCTGCTGCTTGCTGAATACGAGTGCGTCTGGTTGCGCGACAAGGCGCAAGTCTCTGAAAACCAAAGGCGTTGTTAGACGCAGGCTTTTCGCGTTGCGATCGGCGGTATGCTGCTGGCGGGTGAGTCCAGCTGGTATAGGTGGGTGGGTCGGGGAAGGGCGGGCGTAGGTAGGCACTTGAGACGACGAGGGATGAGCTACGAGCTGTAGGTAATCGAGGTCCTCGCAGAGAATGCTCAGTAAAGAGGTCTCTACGTGGGAGCGGCGACGTAGCAGCTCGCGTACGCTACCGCCAAGTCGAAGGTATCGGTGCGGGGTCAGAGAGCGTCGCAGGGGTGGGGATCGGGGGAGGGCGGGGGGAAGAACGGGGCCGGGATAAGGGGGTTGGGGGATGATAGAGAAACGGGGGCCGAGTCGTAGATTGAGATGATCCTCTCCTTACCTCTGAACAGAGGTAGAAGGAGGGAGCGGGGGGTATGGAGAAGAGAGAAAGGATCGAGGCGTAGGCGTTGGCAATCTCTGTTCTCCCTCTTCTCTCAGCCTTCGCAGATTCAGCTTCGCGGCCTCGCAGCACCGCTCGCCTCTCCTCGACTCTCGACACTGACCTCGCGAGCGGCAGAAGGCGCACAAGCGGCGCGGGCGGCGGCGCAGGCGGCGGAAGGCGCAGAGGCCCGTGTCCCTTTCGATCCGTCCTGAGGTCGACGAGAGCGGGCCGTCGATTTCAAGCCAAGCGGGGCAAATCGAATCGATTGTTTCCAAGTTGGTAGGGGCTCGCTCGTCAAGCGGGCTCGTCGAGCGGATTCTTCGCCTTGTTCCTTGCTCGTTTGCGCCAACGACGAGGCGATGCCGCGACCCGCAGTGGGGACAACTATACGAGTAGGCTAGCGTGGGCCAAGCACCACGGCCGCGGCGAGCGAGGAACGACGGGCCACGACGAATGGTCACGAGTGAAGCGCTGCTACGATTCGATTCAGGGCCCGCGGAGGGCGGTGTAGGCCGTGGTAGCGCAGAATTTAAGATCGTCGCCGAGAAGATGCTCGCTGCTCGCGCTGGATGCTATCAGTAGGGTTCCAATGTAACGATGCCGTGGAGCCGACTCGATGCGACTCGTTTCGTCGCAAAGCCCTACCTGACTTTTCAGCCCGTTTGCTGCTGCCGGCCCGCTTATTAGGCCAATCTTGTCAGTGGTGACCCGTGCATCGTGCCTCGAGCTTGTCAAGACGGGAACGACGTCGTCCGTACGGGCGGTGCGGCATCTCCCTTCTGTCGTACGTCGTCGTTGTCCGACACAGTGGACAAGTGACGGCGGGACAGCGAAAGCTCATCTCGGACACTCGGAGGTTCGTAGGCTAGCGCACTTGCCCGTCACTCGGCCCAGCAACGGGAAGCTGGGCGCCAAGCTCTGGTGCGAACACGCGCAGCGGCGACTTCGGTCCAGCGCGAAGAGGGCCAACGAAGATGTACGCCCTCTTGTGACGACGACCCCACCGCGACGCTAGCGTCTGATGCAGGCACCATGTCGCACCAGCGCCCACACGGTCCGGTCAAGCGCAGGTTCATCTTGTCGATCGCTTCTCATGACCCGCCTCACTCGTACGCATCGCCTCGTCACTCACGATTTCGGCGCGGGCGACGGAGTCGAAATCCTAGCATCGCCGCGATGATGGACCCCAGATGACTCTCGCTGCTCCGCTTGTGCTGATCTAGCCCTTCTCTACCTCCTCTCTTCACTCTTTTCCCTCGCTCGCTCGCTCACCCCTCGCTCCACCGGGCCCTTTCACCCCGTGATCACTCACGCTCATGCTCCCGCTCACTCATCCAATGTCGGCGTCACTCGGCGTCGTCCAACACTTTTGCGCGGAGCGCGAAAGAGACGCGGGAGGAACGCGTGCGACACGTGGTTGTGGTAGTGGAGCAGGACGAGCTGAGCGAGAAGCGGGGAGCGAGGAGAAGCGGTCGATAGCTCGCTCATAGCGTTCGCTCACTGCAATGCCACGCCTATTGATTGTATTAAAGAGAGGGTATCATAATGGCAACGAGCAAGAGAGCATATGTGCAAGACAGTGGCATCGTCAAGATGACGGGGATTCGGGGACAGAGAGAGCCAGAAAGTCGTCATCCTGGTCCAGACGGAGGTAAGGTGTGAAGTGGAAGGGAGTGAAGTGGTCCGAGGGCGGTGGACATCGTGATCTTCACCAGGCATGCACCTTGCGCTCCCCGAATCGATTCCTCTTGGCCGCCGACGGCTCCTGCCATGGTAGCATCGCTGCCACCTCTGGATCTGGGGTCACCTCGAATCGACACGGCGAGGCCTTCATCACTGCCCAGGCGTCTGGCTGAACGTAGCATGACTCAATCTTGATGGATCTCAGCGCCTCGCACGGGCCCCACGCCTTGTCGGGCGGCGCCGATACCTTCACTCGCTTTGCGGCGGGAGCGCCACGAGAGAAGGCTGAAGGAACGGGATCCGGAGCCTTGCCGCTTGCGGAATTGTTGATGGCGGGCAGACCTTTCGAGACACGACGACGCTCTGCCTCCATTCGAGCGAGCCGTGAGGCATCTATAACGCTGTGCTGCCAATCTTCTCGGAATTTGGGCTGGGGAATTGGCTTTGAGTAGATGTCGAATGGACTGGCCTCGTCCCCTTCGCTGTAGATTTCGTCTCGAGTGAGGACGGAAAAGGCCGTAAGCTGCGGACAGATGATCCTGCCTGCGCGACTGGGTATCAGAACGTCGATCAATTCATTGAAGTCCTCGGTGCCTACATTACGCTCGAGTAGCTCCAGCGTAATCTCTTCGGGAGTGTTGTCGTCATCAAGCGAGAGCAGCCATGACTTGATCTGCGAGAGGAGGTCTGTCTCTTCGTTGAATCGCAGATGCAAGACGACGCGTGCAGGAACCCTGTGCATTGACTCGACGACGTTGATCGGAGCTTCGATGACCTTGAGATTGGGCAGCGCCAGCTCGTGAAAGTCGGGAACATCCTCGTCTACAAAGTCGGCGAAGGGCACATGTCGCAGCCGCCGTAAACGGGGGAGGGCAGACAGCCCTTCTGCTTTCGCTCTGGTGAAGAGGCTTTTGAAAGCGCTGGTCTCGAGCTCGACGAGAGATTGAGCGCATCTGACCAATAGGTCGCGAGGAAATGTATGTTCCGTCCCAAGCTCGGCCTCATCGAACAGGGCTCTGTCACTAGCGGTGTAGATGTCCAAGAGAGTCAGTTGTTCGAGTTGCGAGCAGCGATGCAGGAAAAGCTCGCGCGTTCGCCTCGCTCGCCGAATACTGAGGTCGCTTAGGTCGTTGTATTTGAGTGTTCTCAGTGAGGCCGGCAGGGGGTCCAGATGTTTGACCTCGTCTTCCAGCTGCTTGAGTTCGCGACCGTGAATCGATTTGGGGCTGAGCTCCAGATAGGTCAGGCGAGGACAGCGTAATGCTAGGCTCAAGCTCCCCGGGATTGGGTCGTCATCCTTGTCGTTGTTGATGATGGACAATGCAACCAGCGTAGCTGCAGAGCCCTGGGCTACATGTAGTAGTGCCGCAGCCATGTCAAGATCTCCGCTGAGCGTGTGGAACTCGAAGTGGGTGAGCGTATTGTTTGACAGCTCTGCGCAATGCTTGATCAGTCTCAAATGATTGCCAGCTCGAGCATGACAGAACTGGGCGACTGGATGGGTTGAAGATGAGGAGAAGCAGGGGGGCCTGCGGAGCTCGACGCTCAAGTTAGGTGTGAATGTTGATAGTTTGGTCGGTACCCGCAGGATGCGAAGATCTCTCCATAGACTTTGTGTGATTTTTGCAATGCTGCGCCAGCGTCGGCAGACGTGCGGCAGCTGGAAGGGTGAAGGTAATCGTTGCCAGTCTGCGTACACGTGTTCAAAGATGGTCGCCAGAATTTCGTTGGGCAGCATGTCGAACGGCCGTAGACGATTTGCGAGGGTGGAGAGGGCGGCGCAAATCTCGCTCGTCGTACCTTCGATATTGGCGGCGCCCTCTGCCTGCTCAAAGGCTCTCGAGGCCTTGTCGGGGAAGCCGCTGTCTAGGAGCGTCTCGGCAGCTCTAATCAGGTACTGGGAGCAAGGCGTCAGCGTGGGCAGCGACCGGAAATGTAGCCGTACATGAGGCATTCTCACCTCTATGTTCGCTGGGAAAAGGGCCAAAGCACGCTTGGCATCCTGCAGCGCTCCGACTCGATCTCCCCGCATTGACCTGAGTCGGCTGCGCTCCAGCAACGTCTGACTCTGCTCCCACAGCTTCTCCTGCGAAGCCGCGAGGCGGCGAGTCAAGACCCTCTCGCGCTCTTCTTGCGCCGTTGTCGAGCTGGATGGGATGGGTCCCCTCGCCATGACGATGGAAGGGGAAGACGCGCGTGGTGGGTAGAGGAAGGAAAGCAAGACGCGAAGCTGCACAGCCCAACCTTGACTTCTCGTTCCGCCCGTCCAACCGTCCAACACCAACGCCACGTGGGTTTAGCGCCTCGATGCAACAAGGTCGTGGTGGAGCAACCTCTCGAGGACTTCTTCTGGCAGACGTTCGAAAGGTGGCAATAGACGTTTGTTGAGGGTTGCAAAAGGCGTCACGAATTTGAGCCTATCGGCGGGGCTGCTGTCGTTGGCAAAGCCCCCCTTCGCTCACTTGAAGGCGATGGTTGCCTTTTGGATATTGCCGCATGCCAGGAGAGCTTCCGTCGTTAGAATGAGACGATGTGAAGAAGGCTCGACAAGTCAAAGTCTACGATCACGACTTCGTTCGTCGCACTCAGACGCACCTCTAGAGACGCAGGGCAGAGAGCCAAGGCACACTCTGCGTCTTGCAAGGCTTCGTCCATCTTGCCCCTCGCCACCCTGACCTTGCTGCGCTCGAGCAGAGTATCAACATAGTCCTTGAGCGTGGCTTTTGAAGCATCGATATCACGTGTCAGAATGTCCTCCTTCTGGGTCAGCGCCTCATCTGACGAGGCGCTCTTCGCCATGACGAGGATGATGGTCCGTCTCGACTCGCGCGTGTTGGTTGGACCGGAAAGCAAAGTCGCGAGGAGTTGAGACTGGCGCTTCCGCTCGTCCAACACCTCGACCCGCGCCTCGTCCACGTGGAGGCGGCTCAATGGCCGGCTTAATCACCCTCGCGCCTGGCTTGGCTTGGCTTGCCGGCAAAGTCGCGGGGACGACGAGGACGGGACCAAGCAGCGGCTGACGGCGACGGAGGGCGGCGGCGGCGTCGCGGCAAGAGACGGCAAGGAATGGCTCCTCAGCCCTTAGCATCCACACCCATCTCTGCACGCCCCCGCTTTCTCTCTCTAGTGGTGCTGCTGTGCTGCTCAGCCTAAGAGACAAAGTAGCAGCCGCCCTTACCCCTGCGCCGTCGGGGCTCTTAGCCGTCGAAGGAGTGTTGAGCGCCTTCTTTCACTCCTGACCTCAACCCATCCGCGACGACATGCCATCGCCGTACCTGCCGGGACCATTTCTCGAGCTATCCACGGAGAGCTTGGCCTCTGGTGGCGAGCTCAACGTCGATCAGCTCGCAGCGCTTTGGAATGGTGAGCGTGCGAGAGAGGCGAGCCAGAATCACCGCCAACACTCACTGACCTCTCGTCCGCCCGCAGTCTTCACCAAGGTGGGCGACTCACTGCACAAAGGTCGCCGCCTCGAGAACTTTGCGTGGAGAGCATGGCATCGAGAAGCTCACCTTGTGAGCAGCAGACCGCGAAGCTCACCCAGACAGCGCCTCGCTCATCCTCAGCTCCCCTTGCGCTCGCTCGCACGCAGCTGCCGCCCGATGCCTCATGGTCCGACTTTGCAGATTCGACGCCCCTCGAAACGCCAGCGCTAAGCAGAGCGGGAAGCATCTCACAGAGCTTCAGCCGCAAGCCGTCCATCCTTGCTGCACAGTGGCCATCCACCGTCAACGAGGATGAAAATGCGCCATCTGACCCAGAGGACGGCGACGAGTGGAGCAGTGACAGCAGCGCAGAAGAGGACGATGTGCAGCAGCCAGAAGCTGGGCCGTCACGCGGCAGAACAGCATCGCCACCTCGGAGTAGCAGGCCAGCAAATACGAGTACACTAGTCACCTCGCCGCCATCCGGTTCTCAAGCGGATGAGGGCTCATATCGCAGACGTACTACGTCCTCGTCATCCGCCTTTGGCAGCCGCGCGAGGGTCCGCTTTTCCAACCTCAAGAAGTCCAATCGCCGCCGCCCGCTCAGCTTCCAGGCCGCTCTGCGCAGCTTGGCATCGACGGACGAATCGGATGACCTCGCCACTTTGGCGCGAGAACATCGACGTCAAGGTCTGCCAGCGGGGCAGCAACGCAGATCGTTCCAAGGGGCGCCAGGGGCGATTGACATGGCTTCTCGTACAGACGGCGCAGAGGTGCTAGAGGCCATAGCTGCCTCTCATTCAAGCGCTCCTGCTGCGGCGGAAAGGAGTGAGGGCATGCCATCGAGCTCGAGCACAAAAGCAATGCCTCCTCCCTCTGGTCCCATCGAACCCAAACCAGCAGCATCAGCCATCAAAGAAGCCACACGACCATCGCCTGCTCAGCCAGTCCCTCGCACCGAGAGCTCACAACGAGCCGATGACAGCAAGAAGGCCAAGTTCTTCCTCTCCACAAGCGTCAGCAGGAGCTTTGAGGACGGCGCCGAGTCTCCTATCCCTCCTCCGCCGGTGGCCCGCGAAGCACCACCGCAACCGGCACCGGCGCCTGTAGCTCCGGCCGCGCCACCCCCCGCTCAGGCACAGGTGCATGCTCCGCCTCTCAAGCCCAACAAGAGCAAGACGGACTTGGCACGCGGCGGCGCTCATCATCGTTCCGCCACAAACCTTCACAAGAGCGGGGGTGGGAGCGGAGCCGGTGGCAAAGGCAAGCATGGTGGTGGCAAGGGTAGCTCTGGTCGCCTCTCTGCGCTGCATGGCCTCACGATGACCAAGACTCAGCATCCGGCACCAGCTGCAGGACCGTCCAAGAAGGCAGGTAAGGCGACCGGAAAGCCGGTCAAGTTCGCGCTTGGCGGCGATGATGACGACGAGTTCACGGACGAAGAAGAGGAGCCGCCGAAGCCAGCTGCCGCGCCTGCGCCAACCTCAAAAGCAACGCAGCTTTCTCCTGGCCCCGCTGAGGAGGAGGTAGTCGAAGAAGACGATGAGGAAGGCTGGTCGAGCGACACTTCCGCCGAAGCAGAAGAAGAGCGTCGAAAGGTACAAGAAGCGGCAGAGCGACGTCGCCGTAATGAACAGGAACGACAGCAAGAGATGTTCAAGAAGATCCCTCTCCGCTCAAAAAGTGCAGCAGACGTGCGAATGCTCGGCGAGCACGGCCGGTCATCCTCTGACGTTGGTCCTCGCAGCGGCACAACCACGCCTCGATACGACGAAGAGCCGCAGCCACAGCAGGTGCCCGTGCGAGGTCTGCTCAGCTCTCTTTTCCATCCGGAACAGGAGCCACACTCACCGCCGGGCCAGCTGCACGGACGTCCGCACGCTAGCGCTGCGGATCTGCGCCATGCTCATCAGGCTCAGCACGGCCAGCAGCATCAGCACAAAGCTCACGCTGCGCAACACAGCTCGCACCATCATCATCAGGCACCGCGTACGCGGGAAGGCTCGAAGTCTGGCGACCAAGCCAAGAGGCAATCTCAGTATCAGCATCATCGTCCTCCCTCGCTCATCCTCGGTACGCCAAGCAATGACAATGGCGGTCCACTTCGACCAAGCAAGAGCGCGGCTGCCTTACCCGTTCTCAACGTCGCCGCAACCACCCCAACGGCAGCCACAGCTGCGTCAACCGGCAGTCAGGAGGAGAGCTCTGACGTCTTTGAGAGCGGCAGTCTGATTCAGCAGCGAGGCCTCGAAGGGGGAGAGCGATCAGGTCGCCAGGATGGTGGCCCACCGTCGTCGTCGTCATCTCGCGCAAAGTCCAAGTCGAAGTCGCGCGAGCGGATGAGAGACGAATCTTCTGCCACCGTAGACGCCCCCGCCGTTGCGCCACATCGCGCTGCACCCATGGCGGCGCCTATTGCTCCACAGACCCCACGCACGACACGCCGCAATATGCTGCGCGACGAGCTGTCTGAGAGCTTGAGGCAGAATCTCCTCTGGGAGCGTCAGTCTCGCAATCGTATGCTGGGCATCGGTGCCACAGCTGCGAGGGAGCAGTCCGCGCCTGCGCCCCAGCCGCAGCAGCAGCAGAGGGAAGGCACATCGAGACCTCATCGACGAGAGACCGTCCTAGGGGGAAACACGCTGCGCCCGCTCACTCAGACACAAGGAGCTGGGGCGGGGCCAAGTCAGCAGCAGCAGCATCAGCAAAACCAGCACTCACGTCAGAACTCGAATGCATCGGGTCGAAGCGAGTCCTCGCATCGCCAGAACCATCACTCGCGCAGCACCTCCTCCCTGCCACGCATGAGCGCCGAAGCCGCCGCACGTCAGAGCAATGCGCATGCCGCAGCGGCCACTGGGACCCAGCAGTTGAGCAGTGCCGAGACGTCAGACGAGGAGGACGAGCATCGTCATCGCGGAGAGGACGCCCATCACGGCCTGGGCCACAGTCATAGCCATACCAGTAGTAGTGGAGGGACGACCGTAGGTGGCAGTGCGGGGACCAGCTCTGGGTCTGGTGCGCATCATCGCGACCGAGACAGGGATAGGGACGGGCCGAAGAAGAAGGTCATGTGGCCTGGTGGGTTCCCCAACTATCATCAGCATGGGTGGTAGTCGCGGGGAAGCCGCTGCGGAGGGCGACCAGGAGAAGAGAGGGGGGAAGTTAAGGCGCGACGTTGCTGTCATTTTCGTGTTTCTCTTGTTCATTTTTTCTTCCATCTGTACCATCTCATCTCATCTGTCGCGCATCAATTGACGCACGGTGCTCGTAATACATGGAGCGGCCGGCCTTCTTCTGGCCTCGATTCCTCAACCAGCCTGAGCCTGAGGGAATCGCCTGGCCGAGCGTTGATTTCTAGCGTAGCGCGACCGGCGTCTTTTTTTCGGCGTCTTCCTTGCTCGCCACCCTCCCCCGCACCAGCTTCAGCTCCAGTAAAAGCAGGTCCGCTGCAAGTCCGGCTGACTCGCCTCGCCCCACTACCCCGCGCTGTCCCAGCACTATGAGCGAGCTCTTTTCGACCGTGGATTGACGTCAGTCAGAGTCAGGCAGCGCTGGGAGCGCTCTTCCCACGCCCGATGGGCTTTGACTTTTTACTACCCCGCTGGACACTGAGATCGCGATCTGCGCGCAAGTCAGTGATCAACAATCAGGACGGCAAGGCGCGCGTTGCGAGTGAAAGCAGTGGGGCTCAATGCCAGAAGAGGGAAGAAGTGGCCGCTGGAGGGGGCGAGAGGGCAAGGCAGTGAAATGCCAGAATGGCTCGGCCGCCGCCCTCGAGACGATGCTCCACAAAGTCCAGTGTTGAGACTGATCCAGGCAGTCATAGAGTTGTCGAGGCTCTCCCGGATATATAGCAGCGTCTCTATCATCCCTCTCGTCTCTTTGCCCAACATTGACTACGTTCGCTTCACTCCGCACCACATCTGACCAATACCAACATGCCTCGCCACTACCATTCCGGCAGCAATGCTTCCTCTACATCCTCCCACTCGTACAACACCCGCTCCACCCGCTCCTCCTCGGGCGGCTCCTACAACGGCCCAGCCCTAAGTAACGGACCCTCCCAGCACAAGGCGGGGGGCACCAGTTGGTCGGACCATAAGGGGGAGCATGACAGGCCTGAGAGTGAGTTGCACCCGCGCCCACCTGTGTGAGCCCTTCGACTGCGAGAAGACGCTGATCAACAGAGACTCTGCTCTGCCCATCTCGCCGCCACGCTCAGCCGTCCCTCCGAAAGATCCCGCCAACCTGGAGAAGATGTACGACTCGTGCTCCAAAGCAGCAAAGAGCGGTGGTGGTCACGGTGGACATCATGAAGGGGAGAGTGGAGGGGTGCTGGACAAGGTGAAGAATATCATCAAGAAGTAAGCTGGCCTCCCGTGGGGGTCGTGGAGAAGCTGAGCGCAGAGTATGTCTGTATTAAGAGGATACCAATGACTTGATGAGTATCGACGATGATCTGGCCTCGAGCTGTGATGTGCGTGTGTGCTACCAGCGTGGCCTGATCGATCAGAAGATCAGAGCGACCTGGTTTCTCGAGAGCGCCCTTCGTCCCTCACGTCGCCAGAAGGCCTCCGTCCTCTCGTTTGAAGGGACATCGAGGTTGGGCTCGAGCTCGCATTCCTTGCTCCTGTCCATTGTCGACGACTGCACCGCATTGCCACTGGTGCCAGGCTGCTCCACGCCTGCGAACCTGCCAAGCCCACCACTCCTGATCCACGCAGCCACATTCTTCTGGTATCGCGCGTGCTCCAATACCCCAACCGCTTGCAGGAGGACCGTGTCCACTTGCTCCAACCCTTCGTCTTCCTCATCACTGTCCACCTTCCGACCGCCAGCGCTTTTCCCCTTCGCTTTCTTGTTGTCCTGTCGAGCTTGATTGCGGTATGCTTCAGCAGCCGAGGCTCGAGGCCCGTCGAACTCGGGCACCAGGAGGTGGTTGTAAGGCTGAAGGCGGGCCTTACTGGGAGAATCATCGAGCAGGAGGGTATTGTGCGCTCCGTACAGGCACGGCACCATCGTGTCGTCCCTCTCAGTCGTCGAAACCCCCGATTGCCTGTCCTCCCTATCCCTCACCTCAGCCATGACCCTCCTCTCCCCGTTCTTATCTCCGGCAAGTGCATCCCAAATAATCTCCAAATCTTTGACGCTAGGCGCCTTTGTATTGTAGAACCTCATGGGGACCAGAGTGTCCCGCCCCCAACAGCGGACGAGCTGCTCTGCCTGCTGAGGGTGGAGCATGCTGCGCACCATGCTGTCGACGTTTTGTGGCTGAGCCGAGGACCAGACGAGGAGGCGGAAGGAGGAGTTTGGGTGAGATGGCGGGAGTGTAGAGGCGAAGGTGGAAGGAGAAGAGGATGAGGCCCAAAAGTGAGAGCCATGAGGTCGAGGAGCAGATCTGTTCTGCTCCTCGCGGGGCAGCATTGCCCTGCACTTCCACTCTGAGCGTCTCTGGTTGGCCGCAGCCTCATCATGGTCCAGGCTGTCAGGCGCGTAGCTTGCGTCCTCGAACCCGAGACAGTACGCGAGGAAACTCGACAGGTACGGCCTGCGTGAGGGCGCATTATTGTTGGACCGAGAAGCCCCTCGGAAGACGAGAGTGCCGTTGAGGTCTAAGACAAGCAGGGGAGGTGGGCCTGGTGGGTCCATGTCTAACAGGTGAGAAGTTGGAGATTGCGACGAGAGCTCCGCGTACGACTGTCGAGGCTCTGCGCGGACGGCTAGTGGGCGTGGTCGATTGTAGGCGCTGGGTGAGCCTTGCCGCGGTGGAGACCGCTGGGGGGTAGGTGAAGGGCCGGAGGAGAAGTGGTACGAGCGACTGCCTCGTGGGCTTCCAGGTGGGCGTGGTGGCAGAGAGTGAGGCTGTTGCTGTGGATTAGGTTGGCGCTGATGAGGAGGTCGATACAGCTGTTGTTGTTGGTGCGGTCGATTGGGATGCTGAGATTGCTCTGAGTGATGATAGGGATGCTGAGATTGATCTTGCTGATATTGCGAGTACTGCTGCCGCCTCATCTCGTTGGCCTCTCGTTCATGCTGCTCCCTCTTCTGCCTTTCCTTTCTCTTCTTGAACGTCGAAACGTATCCACTGCCGCCTGCATTGCGAGATTGACTCATCTCGGGTCGATACCAGTCTTGTCTCTCCGTCTCGTGCTGAACCCACCTGCGCGGCGCTTCGTACCTGGATGCAGATGGAGGCGGCGGCGGAGGAGGACCGGGCGGTGGGGGTCCACCAGGCGGATAGCTACCAGCCAGAGGAGGACGAGGTGGCAGAGCTGCCCCTCTTCGAGGATATGGCTGCTCGTTGTAGCCCCAAGGAAGTGTCTCGTTGCGGGTGAAGAATTGCGGTGTCAGTCGCTCGCGTTGGTGCGACATCGACGAGCCAGACGAGGACGAAGATGGACCTTCGCCGCCCTGATTCTGCTGCGACGGTGTAGCTGCCCGTCGAAAGGAGGGGCGAAGCAGACGAGAGCCACTGTCGAGAAGAGATCCAGATGGCCGCGCTGGCATGCGCAATCAAAGAGAAAAAAGATGGAGGTGAGATGGTATGTAGGCGTGGAGGCAAGGCAGGAAAGCAACACTTTCGCGGCCATAAATTGGCTGAGCGACTTCGACGCCGCCATCCCAGCCTCAGCCTCAGCTCCGCTCGCCCTCTCTCTTCTTCCGTCCGCTCGTCCCAGTCGCTGTCTCCGTTCCGGTTCTCCGCTCCCGGCTCAATCCAGTCGATCTCTCGACGAAGCTGCAAGCCACTCGAAAAAGGGCGCCACCTCGAAAAAGACATCAAGTGCGCCGCCCCCCATTGCACCCCTCTGTGTCTCAAGCCACCGACGTCGTCGTCATCGTGGTTTGATTGACAAGGGGCCGACAAAAGTCGTACGACAGAGCACGCTGCCCGGGTGCCATCATGGCCGCCATTCCGAGTGTTTTCTCTTCTTGCACTAGGCCGAAGGTGGACGTCCACTGGCGGTGCTCTGATGATTGGTGATTGAGCAGGCAGAAGAAATGCATCGCGGGCCCATGAGTCCAGACTGTCAAGGCGCCCTCGCGTAGACAAGCAGGCGAGCAGCAGGCAAGCAGCAGCAAGAAGCAGCGGCGGCGGAGCGGGCGGGCGGGCGGGCAGGCAAGCGGCAGGTCCCCGATGATCTCGAGTGTCGACTCTGCAAGTGGTGGGCCCTTCTGAGCTTGATCCAAAACTCGTCGCCCTCGGTCGTCCAATTGAACCCCTTCTGCTCGGTGACGCGAGCTGATACAGACGATTGATTGTACCCTTCTTGACCCCATCCCATCCCATCCGTCATCAACTGTGATCCACGCAGGGACGCGAGTCTCTTGTCGCTCCTTCACGTTCTCACACTCCTGTCATTTCGACTTCTTCTTTCTCACCCTCACACCAACTACTCTAGTGTCGTCACACTCTCAGAGGGAGCGGTCCCTCGCCACCACCATCGCAACCTCATCTCTCATCCTCACCTCCCGCTTCCTTACATCTTCGCACAACTGCGGCTCGCACCGCCCTCGCAACGATGCCACAACGCAACATGATGAGCTATGAGGAGCTCTCCACCATCATCCACTTTGCGCCAATGTGCCTCGTGGTGCTCGACCGGAATCGCAATCTGCGCAGAGTCAACAAGATGGCAGAGTCGGTGCGTTGGCCGCTGGAAACCACGCAGCTGTGTATATAGCGTACTGACATGCCCTCCTCCTCCTCCTCCGCCGCCGCTCCCTCTCTGCGCAGCTCCTCGGCCTCGATCCACGCTTCTGCACCGGCCAGTCTATCCTCAACTGGGTTCCCGACACGTCCCACAGCGTCGTAACGCGCGTCCTCAATCTAGCCGCTGAAGTCGCCTGGTCACAAGCTCCCAACAGTGCCAACAGCGCCAGCTCGCCCCCGGCACAGACGACCATCTCTCTTCATACCCGTCGTAGCGAGCACGATGATCCTGGACGCCCCTTCTGGGCCGAGATCAGCTGCGGAAGCTATTTCGAGGACCCCAAAGCCCCCTTGCACGAGGCGTCGTACATTCTGACAATTGTGCCCTACAACAATCACCGCGCAAAGACGATGGACAAACTCAGGGAATCTTCTACTTCGAATGAGGACAGCCTCGCCAAGTCACCAGCCTCTTCCATTGCGTCGACCTCCAGTCACCCGCTCACTGCAGAGCACATAGCAACAAATGACATCAACTTCACGCCGCTCACGTCCACGAAGAAAGCTGCGACAGCCACCACCGTTGCTGAAACGAGTGATGCCTCGAAGCGACCAGAGAGCAGCACCGTTGCCCCTTCCATCGCGGACGCATCGGAATGTGCCTCCTCCGAGGTCAGCACCGTCGACCCTCGCGCAGCAGAGAACCTGCTCAAATCCATCGTCTATGGCTTCGACTTCCCCGTGATCGCCATGACAAAGGACGGGCGCACCATCATCCGCAACGATGCAATGGACAAGACCCTGTTAGACATCTGCGCTATACCCGAAGAGCGTCCTTGGGGTGAAAAGGGGGCTATGAGCGCAGATATGCTGAGCGACAAGGCAGTAGACGTATCGTGGCTCTTTTCCTTCTTTCGCCTCTACGACACATCATTCACCTACGAGATGCCAGAGTCAGCCTACCCGCTCTACCGCGCCGCCATCTTGGGAGAGCGCTTCAAACACACGCGCTTTGGCTGCCTGGTGAGCGAATCAGGGAGGCGTGTTATAGAGTCAGAAGGGTGGCCGCTCTACGCCGACGAAGGCAAAGGCGAGTTTGTGAGTATCCGCGCGAGGGGCCAGGAAGAATCTCTGATCCCCTGTTGCTGACATTCCTGCCGTCTCTCCGCTTCGGCCCTCCGCAGATAGGCGGCGTGGTCATACTCAAGGACGTCACAAAAGTGCAGGGCGGCGAGCTGAGTTCACTAGAAGACGTCGCCAATCTCCCAACACCCTCAGCACTTGCCATCTCTGGGGATGAACCGGCATACGCCTACTACCGCAATCTTTGCCAAGAGCTTCCAGACATAGCCTGGATCGCTCGCGGGGACGGCTACCTCGAATGGTACAATAGCCGCTGGTACGAGTACACGGGCCACACTCCAGAAGAGTCCGTAGGCGCAGGCTGGACAGCTCTGGTCCACGAGGACGATTTCCCCGCCGTATCCAAGGCTTGGAGCAATGCGCTTCGTACCTCGAGCCGCTATGAGGTCCAGGAGAGGATTCGTGGCACCGACGGCCAGTATCGCTGGATGCTCTGCCGTGCACACCCTTTCTGCAATGCCGATGGCAACGTCATCAAATGGTTCGGCTACCTGACCGATATTCACCAGACACTTGAGACACTCGCCGCCAACCGCGAGTCGAAGGAGCACCTTACCGAAGCGGTGCGCGTGGCAGACATCACGCTTTGGTCGATCGACACGCAGGGCATCTTCACGCTCGCCGAGGGTAATCTCTCGGGCATTGATCCGAACACGAGCAACAGCTCCCTCACCGGCTCACAGGCTTCAGACGACGGGCGCGGCGAAAAGGACAGGGACCATCACATCCGCCTGTTGCCCCCTACCCAGGCTCCCATTGTGGGGAAGAGCATCTACACTGAGTGGGGCGAGACGACTCGTCGCGCCATTCAGCGGGCACTAGCGGGCGAGACTGTTGTGGAAGAGACAACGATCAAGGGCAGGACGTACCGCACTCACTACAAGACTAGAAGGGCGAGGATGTCCTCCCCTACCAGCTTCTTGTTCTCGGAGAGGCTGAATCCGGAGGATGCGCCTATTGTTGGGGTGACGGGCATGAGCATGGATATTACGGAGAGGCTGGACCTGGAAAAGAAGATGGCAGAGGGTATCAGGGAAGTGGCAAGGGCGGAGGCGGCCGAGGCGGCTGCTACTGAGGCAAGCAGGATGAAGGTGAGCAGGCTGCGTGAGAGGGCATTGACGGTGGTTGTATCGCTGACACTTACTCGTCTATTCCCGCTGCTGCGCAGTCCCAATTCCTCGCCGTCATCTCTCACGAGATCCGCACACCCTTGAATGGTGTGGTCGGCCTCTCCGAGCTCCTTTTGGACATCGAGTCCCTCCCCCTCGAAGCCAGCGACCTAGTCAATTCGATCCTCCGCTCAGCTGGCGCCCTCCTCACGGTAATCAACGACGTCCTCGACTTCTCCAAGGTCGAGGCAGGCAGGCTCGACTTGGTCTCTCTGCCGTTCTCGCTCAGGTTGACATGCGAGGACTCGGTGCGCGATTTCAAGAGGCTGATGGCGCAGAAGGGGCTGACGCTCGTGAAGGACATTCAGCTGCCGGATGAGATGGTCATGGGTGACGCGGGCAGAATCACACAGGTACTCAACAATTTGATGGGGAATGCGGGCAAGTTTACGGAGGAGGTGAGAGCTTGCGAGAGCACGTTCATAGCAGGCTGAGCCTTCCTCGCTGACTTCCTGTCATCCTCACGCTCGTGACCAGGGTTCTGTTTCTCTCCGTGCACGCAAGACTGCGGAATCCCCGCTGGGCTCGCACTACACATTCACCGTATCTGACACAGGCTGCGGTGTCCCAGCCAGCAAGATTGGCCTCCTCTTCCAGCCCTTCCGTCAAGCCGACCCTTCCACTTCGCGACGCTACGGAGGCTCAGGGCTGGGTCTCGCAATCTGCAAGAATCTGATCGAGCTGATGGGTGGGCAGATCAGCTTGAGGTCGGAGGAGGGCAAGGGGACCACGGTATCCTTTACGATCCCCTTCAAGCCGGCAGAAAAGCCCCTCAGGACCCCAACGGAGGAAGCTGTGGGCGGTTTCAAGTTGACAGAGGTCATGCTGAGCCCGAAACAGCAGCGCGAGCCGCAGGGCCAGCAGAGCCAGCAGCAGGCAATGAGACCGAGCCTCTCTGCCGCAAGTGGATCGAGCGCCACAGACTGGATTGCAGGTGCGGAGCGACGCATCTCAACTACAGCGATGAGCGGTGGGCCTGACTACCAGGGCTTGTGCCTGCGACGCTCCTCTATTGTGGATGTGGCTGCGGGCGTAGGGCCGAATAGTAGTGTCCTGCCATCCAAGGCGGCCAAGCCAAACTTTTCGTCTCCCTTCGCGATAGAAGCGCAGCAGCCAGAAGCGACTGGCTCCTCTTCCACCTCGCCTCAGCCCCCCCTCTCTCCCCAACAGCAACCCCAACAAGCGCGGCCGCGCGTTCTTTTGGCGGAAGACAATCCAATCAACTCACAGATCGCAATCAAGACGCTCAACAAGCTAGGCTACGATGTCGACCACGTCGAGAATGGAGAGCTGGTCCTACTGGCACTTGAATCCTCCCTTGCCTCAACTCCCCCTGGCGCGGGTCACTACTACGATCTCGTATTGATGGACTGCATGATGCCCACCATGGACGGGTACCAAGCAACGCGCAAGATGCGTGCCTCACAGCACTTGGAGCGAATGAGGAAGATCCCAGTCATCGCGCTGACTGCCGCAGCGATCCAGGGACAGCGGACCTGCTTCGCGGCGGGCATGACGGACTACCTCTCCAAGCCAGTGCGACGCGCCACACTCGGTGCAATGCTGGTCAAATGGCTGGGCAGGGAGCATCCACAAAACGCAATGGGGTTGCCCTGCATGCTCGAGGATAGGGAAGAGGCTCTTGGCAGGGGTGGATCTGTGAAGCCAGGTCTGGAGGACGGTGTGCCGGCGATCGAGTTTGGAGAGGGGGGCCTGGTGGTTGCCGGGTCATCGAACTCGGCCTTGACCAGTGTAATGGGCTTCGGCGGGGCGGGACAGGAGGGTAGTACAACCACGACCACTACTACGCGCAGGGGCTCGGGCGGGGCAACCACCACCGTTGTCACCACCTCACGGGTGGTGATGTGAGCGAGCGAGGGTCGAGAGAGTGGAGCAGCCAGCGCGGCTAGAGTTACGACGAAGACGAAGACGATGACGACGCTCTCACGATGGGCCCGTACAACATTAGACACGACAGATATTGGCCCGTCACACTACTTGTACTTTTTAGCACGGCATCATTTCGTTACACTAGGCTCATTAGATCCTTATTTCACGACTCGCCCGCCCGTCTAGTCCTCCTCGTCAACAATGAGCGTCTTGACGCTGAACTGACTGCGGTCCGCCGAATGCTCTACAGCCTCCTTTGCCCTCTCGAGCGGGAAGGTATGTGTGACCAGCTTCTTGAGGTTGGGCATCTTGCCGCTCGCCACGATACGGATAGCGCGGGGCCATGTGTCCTTGTAGCGGAAGACCCACCTGACATCAATCTCGTTTGTGCTGAGGTGCATGAAGGGAATAGTCTGGTATGCCTTGCCCACACCGGTGATGACGATACGACCTTGCGGGCGGGTGGAGAAGGAGGCAACGGCAATGGATGACTCGACACCCGTGCACTCGATGGTGACCGAGGGCATGACCTCGCCCTTGGGGCCTGAACCGCCCACACCGTTGCTCAGCTTGGTGAAGAGGGAGATGATCTGTTGCGCCGTCTGCTCCGGGGTGAGGGAGGTGTTCACTTGGAAGGTCGAGACTTCAGGACAAAGCTGCTTGGCAAAGTCAAGGCGCTGAGGCTGCAGATCGGCAATGACGATGGGGTTGGCACCGGAGGCGGCTGCGCAGAGGAGCTGTACTGCTCCAATGGGGCCGGCACCTAGAATGAGGGTCGGGGAGCCTAGCTCGATGCCTGCCCTCTCTGTAGCACGCAAGCAGACGCTCAAGGGCTCGAGGAGGGCAATTTCAGGGAAGCTCATGGTGTCAGGCACCTTGTGCAGCCATGCTGCTGGGTGGGTATGGTATCGCGTGAGAGTTCCATCCATGGGTGGGACCGAGTAGAAGTCTACCTGCGGGCACAGATTGTAGTTTCCTGAACGGCAGAAATGGCACGTCACCTTTGAGCAGGGGACTCCAGGCTCAATGGCTACCCTGTCGCCGACTTTGAGGCCAGTGGACTCCGTGTTGGGACCCAGAGCAATCACTACGCCTCCGGACTCGTGGCCGAGAGCAGTCTTGTCTGTGATTTGCCAGGGGCCAAGGCCGGCATGTTGCCAGAAGTGGACGTCGGATCCGCAGACACTGCGCGAGCACGAGGAGCAGACACGGTAAGCAGCAGGATCCAAGTCAATGTTGCTTCCTTCTGTCTGCGCCGCGACTCACCCAGTAGCCTTCACGTGCACCAAGGCCTGACCAGGTCCAGGAGGCTTAGCTTGGCTCTTGATGAGCTCGAGCTTCTTCTCGTGGGTGGCCTTGAGGGTTAGGTTCTCTTTGAGCGAGGGAGGCGCCGCGGTCGAGGTGGTAGTAGGTGACATGACTGAAGAGTGGATGACGAGTGAAGGAAAGAACGAAGATGGGGAAGAAAGGGGGCGAAGAGGAGCTGAAGAGGTGGCAGACGACATTTCATTTATTTGCCCCGCTTTTTGAGCTCGGCCTTGGTTCCCGGCGCTGTGGAGCTGCACGAAGTCGGCAATCTGTTCTCGGAGAACCAGCGGCAAGCCCAACGAGGGCCACCCGAGATGCTCGCATGGTCAATGTTCGGCCATGTGGTTGTCGTGGATGCGTTGGGAGACCGGCGACGAGCGGGATGCCTTGCTACATTTTTCTGTACGACGTCTGTCGAGGATGCGAGAGGGTCCCACAATCGGGTGTGTCGACGTTGGTGGGCAAGAAGGCGCGGCTCGGGGGATGAGGCGGGGTCGGCGACTTAGAGAGCAACGAGCGAGCAAGTGAAGCTTCAATCTCGGACCGGAAGCGCGTCAAGTGGTGCTTCGCGTGTCGCTTTCCGTCGAAGGCAGGCTTGCCTTTGCTCCATTCGCATCCTCTCGACCCTCGCATTTACTCAGATACCCACTCGCTGCTACACGGCTGCTTAGCGCGTCAGCGACCATGTCGTTGCCGACTGCCTCTTACAGTCAGGCCCTTCTACCCACCTCACCCTCCCATGCTGTGTCATGCAACCTCAGCCCGACCGGCGGACACCTCGTCACAGCCCGCGATGATACGCTCCAAGTCTGGCAGGTCACGCCCAAAGGCAAGCTGCACCATCTCCTTACTCAGACCTTCTTCGGAACCATCACTGGCCTCCTCGCTATGCAAACCCTCGAATCAGAGTCGGACGGATGTCATCGTCTCATCGTCTCATTCAAGTACGCCAAGCTCGCCCTCCTCGAGTGGAACGACGAGGCTCAGGAGCTCGAGACGGTCAGCATTCATACGTATGAGCGCACGCCTCAAGTTGCACAGGGGCTGCCAAACCATTTCAGGCCCATCTTGAGTCAAGATCCGGAGGGAAGATGCGCCACGCTTCTCCTTCCACAGGATAGTCTGGCTGTACTGCCCCTCATTTCTTCCAGCGATCTGGCGCTGCTGGATGATGAGGACGATTTGTACAACGACGGGCCCAACGGCAACGGGTACGGCGCCAATGCGAGCGGACCAAGCTACCGCAATAGCAACAGCAGCGAAGAGCGTCGTCGCCTGCCCTACACCCCATCCTTCGTCCTTCCCCTCTCCGAGGTCGACCCTTCAATACGCAACGTGAGGGACGTGGCCCTCCTCCCGAACTTCCAAAAGCCAACCATCGCCGTTCTCTGCGAGCCGCAGGAGCAAGCATGGACGGGATCACTGGGAGTGAAGAGTGATACGATGCACGTCTTCATCTTCACGCTCGACCTCTCTTCCACGACACACCCGGTCCTCTCACAGGTGGCAGATCTACCCTACGATGCCATGTACCTTGTGGCTTCCCCGCCTAGCCTGGGAGGCGTATTCGTGGTCACGCCCAGCAGTTTGTTTCATGTGGATCAGAGCGGGCGATTGGTGGGACTCAGGGTCAATGGATGGGCGGAGATGACTACCATGAATAGCGAAGTGCGAAGATTTCCGCTGCACAGCGAGAGGGAGGGCGGGCAGCAGCTTGATCTATGTGACTCGCATATCGCATGGAGCGAGGGGATGGAGCTGACGCTGCTCGACAGCGAGGCTAGAGGGGGCAAAACGAAGCCGTCTGCGGGAAGCGGGTTCTTGGTTCTCAAGGACGGTCAGGTTTTCGGCATCAGGTGCGCCTTGGATGGACGTACGTTGTCGGGCCTCTCGCTTCACCCGGTTAATCAGGTGCCGCCATTAGCCCCGCCGAGTGCCGTGCTGTCGCTCTCACATTGCGAGGGTCTTTTCGTGGCCTCGATGCTCGGAGAGTCCAGCCTCGTAGGCATAGGAGCGCGACGAGCAACGGTGGGGCAGAAGGAAGAGGATGAGACAGACAGCAAAGCAAAGCAGCAACAGCAATCAGCAATGGACCTAGACGAGGAGGATGACGCCCTCTACGGGGACTCTGCTGTTCCTTCCACATCCACAGCTGCTGCGACAGCAGCTGCCACCTCATCAAGCAGCACCCACTTAGACTACACCCTCTCCCTCCTCGACACCCTTCCCGGCCTCGGGCCCCTCTCTGACCTCACTCTGTCGGTACTTCCCTCGTCGGACGGGTCAGGGGACGATATAGTCAAGCTGGTAGCCACGCACGGGGTAGCCCCGCATGGTGGACTGGTGCACATTGAGGACGTCCTTCAGCCGCGCAAGCGAAGAGCGGTTGTGCTGCATAGCAGGCAGCGCCAGCACGAGGGCATGACCATTCCGGCGCTGGATAATGTGAGGCGGGTGGCGCCGGGCCGCTACTTGGGTGTCAACCCGCTCGTGGGGACGCCGACCCTTTATGCCATCGAGGGGGAAGGGAGGGCGGAAGTGCTCATGGAGTTTTGGAACGAGAAGGTCAAGGCCGTCGGTTGGCTCGGTCTTTCCGATGCAGGCAGAGAGAGATATCTCGTCGTCTCTGAGTCGAGCATCGTCGTCAGGAGCATTGCAATGGACGGCGAGGATGATCAGGCGCAAGATCGGGAGGACGCCGCACGCCAGACCGACTTAGCGGGTACGGCCCGGCAGGTCGTTCTGGGTTTGGATGAGAGCAACGATGGGATCGTGAGCACTATCGCCGCTCGTCTCGAGGATGGACGTGCGCAGATCCTTGTGGTCGACGCGGCAGGCAAAGCGCATCAGATCGCCCTACTGGACAGCCAGGCCTACACGCGCATCGCCCTCTTCACCGACGAGACTAGCACTTTCTCCCGCTCAGCAGCAGCAACATCAGGGCCTTCCTCGTCCGACCTTACCTCTCGACGTCAAGCAATGGATGAGGACGAAGTAGATTATGGAGACGAGGACCTGCCCAACGTAGCTACTTCAGCGCCCGTTGCGCTGCCCGAGCCCACTCATCACCTCGCCCTCATTTCCTCCTCGGGCGGGCTAGAGCTGTTCACACTTTCTAGCAAAGAAGGCGCTCAAAGGCAATGGCGCTCCAACTCGATCATGGACCTGCCGGCACAGCTTGAGCCGCTCAGCGGCAGTGAGGAGGACGAGCCTGTCATTACCTGCTCTGAGACGGTCGACGTACAAGAGGACGTCGATGACCTGTGGGTGGGCGTCGTCGGGGATATAGAAGAGGAAGAAGGTGGAGCGCTCAGCTCTCTTTGCGTCGCTCTAGCGGAGCGCAGCGGCCTCCTCAACGTCTGGGTCGCACGCAAGACCTCGTCCGGCAGCTTCGTCTTCAACAAGAAGCTCGCACGACAACTCTCCGGCTTAGACGACTCCGAAGACTCTGAAGGCGGTGCTGCAAGCACTATGCTCCCCCCAGATGGAGAGATTGCATCTCGCATCCCACATCGGATCATCGAGACTACGACCCCCGGCACGGCAGGTGGCCGTCGTCTTTTCGTCACCGGCCCAAGCAAGACGGGCTGGTTGGTGAAGCCCCGCAAGGGCAAGCTGCAATTCTTTGCAAGCGCTCATCGCCGCGTTCGCGGTTTGGCCCCTTTCGACGACGTGGCCGACGAAGACGAGGAGTACGATCCCGACCCCGAGCGTGTTGCTTCTCCAACAAGGCCGACGTATATTATTTCCGACACACACGGCCTCTCCCTTTGTCGCTTCCCACCTTCAGACCTGCGGTACGACCTCGACCTGCCTTACACGCTTCACAGCACTGGAAGACAATACACCCACGTCAGGCCCTTCCCCACACTCCGCGCCCTAGTGACCGCAAGTGTCAATCGCACTCAGTTTGTGCAATTCGACACCGAGGATATGAGTATCGTCCGACCACTCGAGTACGACCCTACGCCAGCCTACTCCACACGTGGCGCCCTCGAGCTCTTCAGAGGGGACATGGGCGCTCCAGTTGACGGGTATGAGTTTGAACAGAACGAGACCATTACCGCTCTCGAGCTGGTCACTCTTCATTCGTCCTCTACCGCCACGGGACTGAAGGACTTTATTGCCGTGGGCACGTCGGTCTTCAACGGGGAGGATCGACCCACGAGGGGCGGGATGTACATCTTTGATGTAGTGGAAACGGTCTCCGATCCCTCTGACCCGGTAGTCGGGAGCAACGCTAGGTTGAAAATGCTGGTGAAAGACGACGCCAAAGGCCCCGTCACAGCTTGTGGTGACATATCGGGCTACTTTGTTGTCTCCATCGGGCAGAGACTTTTCGTCCGCGCGTTGGAGAAGGAGGAAGTGCTGATTAATGTCGCATTCCTCGACGTCGGGTTCCTCTCAACATCGCTCCGCCGGCTGGGTAGCACTCTCCTCATCGCCGACGTCAGGCGAGCGGTGCTCTTCGCCGGCTTCCAGGAGGACCCCTTCAGGTTGACGGTCTTCGCTCGTCAGTTCCCCGGAGTGGAGGCGGAGATGGCTGGTGGTGGGTATGCCACCGCAGCGGAGTATCTGGTCAGTGAGGAGGGACTAGGCTTCGTGGCTGCGGACTGGCGTGGTGTGTTGCGCTTGCTCGAGTACCCAGCTGCGAAGGCTGTTGCGGAGGCTAGTGGTGAGGGAGGAGCACCACCCGCGACTGCCGCTGATGGAGGTGGAGGGAGCAGCAGCTCTAGTCGGCTGCATGTCAGGACCGAGTTCCAGACGAGCGCGACGGAGTTTACCGGCTCGCTCAGCCGGGCTCCTGCTGCCCTCGTTTACGGTGGTGGGCGCGACGCCGCTGAGACAGGGGCGGACGGCTCAGCCTCAAGCTCAGCAATCGCCCTGCGCAACGAAGTCGTATTGGCTACCTCCTCCGGATCCCTGGTCATCGTCCGGCCACTCACCCACCACGGCCAGTCTTTATCCCATCCATCGGCGGCGTTGGCCGCCTCCCTCAGCAACAGCATGCAACGTCTTGTCCCGCACGCTGCCGCCTTACCACCGCGTGGGGCGCGCTTGGTAGCCGGAAAGGTCAGCGGGGCTGCCAGGCCGTTGAATAGGGGCATGCTCGATGGAGGGGTACTGGAGGGGGAGTGGTTGATGATGTGCAGTAGGGTGAAGAGGGAGGAGTTGGCGGGCGTGGTGAGGGGGACGATTGCTGGGCAAGGTAATCAAGAAACGGAGGCGGGAGAAGGAGGAGTCAGTGAGGAGAGATTGAGGAGGGCAATTGCGGGCTTGTTCGCGTAGTGTAGCACGGCATGGCGCGACAGAAGAGCATGGATAGCATCAAAGTCAATGGTACAATAGCGCTACATCTCAGCTCTGTCTGCCTGTCCCATTTCTCTTCCCACGTCAACCTCATCTCACAACCTCGCCCTCCCTCTTGACAACCCAAACCCTTGTGGCGCCCAACGTCCCACTCTTGGGCACGTCTACCATGATCCGCCTGTATTGCCATGTATCATTGCTTCCGACATTGCGCACCATCTCCACGTGCGCCTCGCCGGTTGCGAATGTGCCTGGCTCCCTGCGATTGGCCTTGCCGGAGGAGGAAGACGACTTCGAGGCCGGCAGGAAGGAGAGGGACGAGAGGATTCGTCCAACGACTGACGGTCCGGAGGAAGAAGCCGAGGCCTGACCACGGGCTTCAGCTTCTGCTCTGCTCATCTCCTCGTGGTGGTGCTGCTGCTGCGCCCCTCCCTCGACACCCTCAGTCAAGCTCTCCCAGGCCTCACCCAATTGCGTCCTCATCCACTCCCATCCATCCCTTACGCCTTGCCTGCCCTTCTCAGCATAAGTCCAATCGCGCTCCTTGTCCCTCGCTTCGATGTAGAACCTCATATGCAAGACCTCCTTGCCCGTCCGCTCCTCCCTTACCACGCGCGTGGGAGGGAGGTGTGAGCCTCGGTGCGTCGAGCCGCTCCCGCCGCCGAGGGCGCCGATGATGGGGTTGGTGGGATTTGGGGAGGAGGTGAAGGAGGGTGTGGGGTGCAGATGGAAGCGAAGAGGGGGTAGAAGGTGGTGGTAGATCTGTAGGAGCGAAGGCGGGCGAGGAATGGTCAGCTTTTGACTGTACATGTAGACATCACGATGGCCGACCACGCGCTCACCTCTTCACAACGCTCCACCCGTCCACACGCGTCCTTGAAGATGACGCTCGGCGAGTTTGGAGCGAACATGTCGCTCAACAGCGCCCAAAGCACTGCAGCTGTGAGCGCCGTGCCCAAGACCACCACGGTGAGCTGTCCTCCTTTCTCTCCTGTGCGAAAGACCTTCTGCACTGGGTGCAGTTGAGACCAGGAGAGCCCATCACCGGTGAGCTTGTAGATCGTCCCTCGACGTCGCGGTGGGCGAGGAGGGGGAGCTGTTGGGGAGGTATTGGGAGTCATGGAGGCGGTGTTGAAGGAGGAAGGGGAAGGGGGCGGTTGTGGAGGACGGGTGGAGTAGGCGCGCTGCTTTGAAAAGTGGCTACAATGCGTTGCTCGAGAGGAGAAGGCGCGCATTTGCTGGCCAATCAGGGTGGCGGAACTGCTCGACGCTATGCTCGCTGTCGCTGCCGTTGTCCTACTCCTCTGCTGTTGGCTCTGAGCTTGCAGTATCCTGCTTTGCCCGCTCGACGTCGCCGCTGCAATTCCGCCGTTGTCATGCGAGACGAAGCGCAAGAGGGGCATCTCCCCCTTTGGCCTGCCGTAGCCTCTCCACCAATCACGCAGGGTGGCCTGTTCTGCCTTGCCTGCACACATCAATCGTCTGACGGCCAGCAACCCTACCTCTCCTTCCTGTCTGACGGTCGTCTTTACGTAGATGATTTCCCGCTCACCGGCGTGCGGGGATGTTGGCGCAAATACCGCAGTTCCACTTGGGTACTGCGGGTTGTCTCGCAGCACCTTGGCACGCTCCGGAAGGCTGGCTGTGGAGGGTACGTGGTGTACGTCGAGGAGGAGGGTGCGTACGGCTTGCGGAGAGTCGGAGCGGTGGAGGTACGTGTAGAGGTTGATCTGTAAGGGACAGGCAAGGCAGAAGTTCTCAGCATACAGGTTCTTTAAGTTGGGCGGCTTTCATGCATGCGGCACCCACCTGATGTCCAAATCCGCGATGCCTCGCCTCGATTTCCTTTGCGCTCATGGCCTGCCAGTCCACACGGCCATGCTCCGCCTTGATCTTGGGCGCAAGTGTAGCCTTTGCCCCATCTTGAGGATCAGCAGTTGCATGCCTCTGCGGCAAGCTAGCAAGCGTATCGACGAGAAGCTCACTCGACGCCTGTGCAAGCAAGCGCTCCACCTCGGCGTATGCCACCCTACGCCCGCCCTCAATGGGCAGGTCCACCTTCTCCTGCGCCAAAAGATCCCCTTGGTCAAACGTTTCACGGCCCAGCTGCTGTATCGATACCCCCGTCTTCTCGTATCCGCGAGCGATCGCCCACTGAATGGGCGCTGCGCCGCGCAAGTCCGGGAGCAGGGAAGGGTGGACGTTAAGGGTCAAGGAGGGAGAAGGATAGAGATCGAGCAGCCAGGCAGGGACAAGTTTGCCGAAGGAGGCGGTCACCAAGAGAGGGGATGAGCTGGAGCCGGGAAGGGGCAGGTCATCATTCTTGAAGTCAGTCACCCTAATCGCCGGCAAGTCGTGACGATGCGCATAATCCAGCACGGGCGGCTGTGTGACTGCGCTGGCCGCTGCCCTTCTCCTGCTGCCCTCCCTGGTTGCACTGTGATATTTCTGCTCAGCAGGTACAGCAACGGTGATCGAGTGCGCAATTGATGGGGAGCGATGCAGTCCTTGCAGGATGGTGGCTGCGAACGAGTCGGTCCCGCAGAAGAGGACATTGTATGGCGGCGGGGGCGGAGTGCGACTTGTCGAGGAGGATCGTGATCGGGCGGTGATGTAGCCGCTGCGATGACTAGCTGAAGACGCTAGTCGTGAGCAGCGAATAGGCGCCGCCCTCAGTGATATGAGGGTGGCCATGGTCGATGAGGTTGTTGATATGAAAGGAAAGGAAGGCAAGATAGAATCGCGATTCTCATTTCTCGAGGCAAAAGGCAAAAAGCAACGGGCTCGAGCGCAGCGCGGCGGCGCGGACATGGCGGCACGACTCCACTTTCGCCTCCTTCTCCGTAACCTCCTCCTTCTCTGCTGCCCTTCCCCTTAAGCCAGCTTGTTCAAAGCGATAGCAGACGAGATGAAGATCTTGAACAGTATGCCGATTCCGCCAACGAAGACGACTGAGCGGGCGTTGGCTGCGAGTGGGAGGCGATAGGAATTAGAGTATTAGCGCTGTCATTGGCGTACGTGCATGATCGCTGACGGGTTCAAGCACTCACATAGCGACTCAGACGTCGTGTTGATGTAGAGGAGGTTGTAGACTACTCGCGAGATCAAGTAGAGGAGAGCCCATGAATTAAGCTCTGCGACCGGAAGCTGTGACAGTGGGAGGAAAAAGGGATAGGACAAGTGGATGCTGGTCAGCGATGCTCAGCGGGTGTGCAGATAGCAGCCCTCTCCTGGTCATAGCGATGAGCAGTAGCAGTAGCATGCTCTTTTCCGCCGCCGCCTCGTGTCGACTCACCTTGGCAACAATGCCCGCTACAAAAGCGGCTGCAGCGAAGGGCAAGTTCTCAAACCCATTCTGTTGCGCCGCTTCGGCCCTAATGAACTTCAGATCCGTAGACGTCTTCTTCTCCTTCTTCTGGATGCTGCTCAGGTAGTCTCGTGGAGACGAGTTGGTGAATCGACCCCGCGTGAGAGAGACGGCGTAGAAGTGGGCTGCGATGCTGTTGACCCAGAGAGCGGGAACGACGAGGAGGGAGATGTTGCGCAGCCCTGTGAGGGAGACGAGTGTGGATTGGAGGGAGTCCATGATGGTGGTGATGATAGGCAGGTAAAAAGGGGAGGTGACTTGTCTGATATGAGTGGTAGAGAGAGAGAGCGCAGTGAGGACAAGAAGGACGCGACGGAGGGATGGATTGGAAGCTGCACGTCATTGGGCCCGGCATTTGGCCGCTCTTCAATCAACGGGGAGGTGGAGGCCGCATCAACTCTACCCATTCACTTACGCTCACCGCCCCCTCCACGATCCTCAAGTCAAGACAATGCAATGGATTGTTCGAGGGGTGAGACAAAGAGTGTGGAATGAATATCGAGTATAATGCGCTCCTCTTGCTTGGTTGCTGTTCCTTCTAAGATCACGATGATGACGATGACGACTTGAAGCGATACTGCCCCGACAGGGCCTGCATCCTCGCTCCCTGCCCGTCAGAGAAGTAGTCCATGCACGAGTCGTACGAGTAGTCCATGTAGCTGTGGGTGAAGCGGTGGGTGAGCTGCTGCACTTCATACCAGCCTGCTCGATCAGGCGACATGCTCACTTGTGGATAGGATCCGGGAGATTATCGCCTGAGCACGAGTCACGCGAGGATGGACAGCCGTTGGTAGGGCTCTTCTGCGGCGCAGTGTCGTCTACGTAGTCTCCTGGAGAAGCGCAACCTCCTTGAAAGGTGTGGAGGAGACCGAGCCAGTGCCCGACCTCATGAGTCAGGGTGCGGCCGCCATTGTAGTTCTTGAGCGAGCCGCCAGGGAGGGTGTTGTATTGGAAGACGACGCCATCGACGCCAGGGCTGCGTGAAGGTGGGAAGGCACAATGGTAGTCAGGGGATAGTAAACAACGGTCACTTGAGCCAGTGTGGCGAACGTGCGCTCACTCGTTCTGGTAGTCCCATGGGAAGGTCGAGTAGCCCAACGTCCCGTCACCGAAATCGAGCGTGTAGAGATTGAGGGCGTTGGCACCGCCTTGACGAAGTGACGTCTTCATCTCATCGCCGAGCTCACTGTCCGCGCCCGCGTTCTGGTACCAATCGGCGTTGCTTACGCGGCTTGTGTTGGCTAGCTTGAATTCGAAGCCCCAGGGAGAATCTGCGTAAGGGAGGGGTAAGTTGAGGGAATCAGAGGTCGATGGCGTTGGTTAGCTTGATGCTCGCTACTCGACCGCGTGCTGCTATCTTTGCTGCTCACAGTCCTGATTGATGACCTGGAGCTGCTTTGCAATCATGGCGTCGCTGACGTCCCCCTTCCCATCATCGTTGATGACATTGAAGTACACGGGCACCTCGACAGGCGTCTGTGCGGCGACCTTGATGTGTGACGCCGCGCCCTTGAGACTTTGCAGCTTGCGCTGATGGCCTCGAATGAGGGCGCGGTTCTTGGCCTCGAGGGCGTCATTCACCTTGTATTGCACGGCGCAGCGGTCCTTGGTCGATTCTGACGAGGATACAGCGGGATTTGCTGTCGAGGCAGCAGAGGAGGCTGAGGAGGGGGTGGACGTCGGAGGGGAGATGGTGCCCACCGTCGAGGTGGTGTTCTCGTCCACTACAACTACGACGACCTCGATGACTCGCGATTCTCCATCCTCGTCGGGCGAACTGGCGGCGACTTGCGTGTTCTTGGGCTTCTTGGCATCCTTACTCGAGCAAGTTGCCTTGCTTGCGGCGACGGCTTGCGAGGAGGAGCTGCTACTGAGCGACGATTGCGACTGTACGGAGGATGATGAGAGTGCAGAGACCTCGCCGGGGTAGAGAACCATCGGTCGCTGCTGCATCGGAGCGCCATGAGCTGAAGCGGCGTACGAAGCTAGGAGAATGGACGAGGAGAGGGACAGGGCGAGAAACTTCATGGCGGGCAGGTGGGCAAGGATGAGGATGGCGTTTGTCTTACGTGAGTATCAGGATGAAGCAATGGTCGAGGGAAATACGGGTGCTGCCAGAGCGCGAGAAGGTGGTGAAGAGGTAGCGGAGGGAGAGTGGATTATAGGAGCGATGTTCGACCAGCGAACCGGGGTGGATAGCAAGGGGGCAAGGGTAGGATGGGAGGGATGGGAAGAAAGACAAGATGTGAGCGCGAGAGTCATGAAGCCTTTCATTGCGTGTGCGTGTGTGTCGGGCGAGTTCTTGGCCGCCATCTTCGTCGTGCTCAATGAGAGTCGACGACTTTGCTTGCCAAGATGGATCGGCCGACCGATGAGTAGCAAATGTCATTCCTCGCGTCGAGGAGAAAGACGCGAGCCGCTGCTGCCGCCCAGCTCAACTCGACTCGACTGAGCCGCCGCCCGCACGGCGAGTGTTCTGCCGCGAACTCGACGCAACGCTCAAGGGTCCAAAAAGCTGGACGGACGCCTGCTTGCTCGTGTTGGACTGCATCTGCAAGCGAGATCTGCTTGAGAGGATGAGCAACAAGGAGGCAGCGGGGTGGCAGCGATGGGCGAATAGCTACGATGGAGAAGAGGTAGGCTAGGCTAGGCTGAGCTGCGCTCAATCGAATCGACGGCATCGTCGCCGTCCGCTTAAGTTGCGAGATTTGCCGGAGCTTGGCGCCGGGGCTGACCTGATCCCCTCTTGCGAGGTGAGGGCCACGCCGTTGCTACCACGAACGATTAGCAGCGAGGACAACTTCAAACGCTGCCGCAAACACAAGATGAATCCACAGCAGCGGGTTGCTGCAAGCATCCACGTCCTGATCGATTGCAAGCCCGCACCCAGCTCGTGTCTCGTAAATGGAACTCGACGACCGCGGGGTGCTGTGCGGCTGCCGCTGCCTCTTTGCAGTCACTTGGATGGGCTAGGATGACTCGGCCGCGGGGCGATGGGCGGACGGTCATTGGCTTCGAGAGTGCGGATGCTGGCAAGGCGTCGGCGGCGTAGCGGTGCGTGGCAGTTAATTGCCTGGCGGGCTCATCGCCGCCTCTTGTCAGTCCACACAAAGTGGCTTCTCGCCGCGCGCTCGATGTTGTCGTGCTTTTGGCGTCGTCACGTTGGCGCCGCCACTGGCTGCTCGAATCACTCATTCAAGCTCGTCTTGCCCTCCACGACTCGTCATCTCTTCTTCATTTTACTTTCCACACCTCCCATCTCCAGGTCGCGACGATCATCGTTTACGCTACAGTGCGGACGCACGCCGCACTCCATGGCGACAACGACGACAATCCTCCGAGCAAAGACTCCCACCTTCGTTCAGCACCCTTATTCTCGTAGCCACACGGCACCTCCCTGTCGCCCGCTTCGCGTCGTCAAGAAGAGCTCCCAAAACCAAGTCGACAAGTCCAGCCCTATTCATACGCCAAATCAGACTCGTAGCAGCTCCCCCGTCCACTTCAACAAGCAGCGCGCTGGAGAGCAAGAGCGAGAGCGTGAACGCGACCGCAAGGCCGGAGCTCCGACCGGCCTTCCTCCTCGACCTCTAGTCAAGGCTGCCTCCTTTGAACTCATCTCATCGAGCCGACCACTCGCAGTAGAGAAGGTGAGGGCAGCAAGAGTAAGAACGTCTGCTCAACTGCGATGCTGACCGACTCTGCAGCCCGCTCCTGGCCAGCATCAACCTGAGAAGCCCAAGATCCAGATTGCCCCTACACCGAAGGTCGAGATCAACATCGTCGACAAGTCCACAGTTGTTCCCATGACGTTGATGTCCAAGCCCAAGACTCGGGCGCTGGCCAGGATCAAGAAGACCTTGAATGCCGTCGATCTCACGAAATGGGAAAGTGAGCATCACGGCTGGGTGAGCACCTGATCAACAGCATGTATGCTGACACCTTCTTGACTCATCGCTCTTCGCAGGTGAGCTGTCCCCCAGTAACATGATTCAGGAGCACGAGGCCGCAGCCGCTGCGGCCGCTGTCGCTGCCGCCACTACGCCAAAGAGCAAGAGCGCCAGCCCCGAGTCCCTCATTCCCATCGTCAACGTGGGACGTGGACGCACCCGCGAGCCAATCAAGGTCGCCCTGACGCGCACGAACTTCTTTCAAATGGCAGAGATACAAGAGACGCCTGTCAAGTTCAAAGGCCTGCCCATCTCACCGCCCATGCCGGTCAACACTGGACTTGAGCGTCTTGCTCGCAGCCGTGAGGTCATGGCAGGAGCGACGCTCGGCATCGCTATGGCTCATCATCTCTCGTCACCTCCCCTCGCGGCAGTAGCCACCGCATCAACAGTAGGAACATTCCCGCCTCCACGTCCTCGACGACCGCCTCCCCGTCGAGAGACTCTGCCCCACGCTCAGCCCCAGCAACAATTCCAGGAGCAACACTACACCATGCCCACGGCCATGCAGCGCACCGCTCGAAGCAAAGACAGCGCTGAACACTTTGAGCGCCGCCGTCGCCTCAGCGAGGCGTACTGTGACCTCGATATGGACGTCGAGGTGCTGATCAATGAGATTCAAATGCATGAGGGACGCAAGGGAAAGGCCGGGGGCTACCGCGAGGCGCACCGTGATGTCTGAGTGTGGGCGGGGCCTACAGTACTCTCAGCCGTTCGGAATAGCACCAGAGCCTCAAAATCAATCGGACCCACTACTACCGCTAGAGCCAGCGACAAGGCAGCCCCACACCTCCCTCCCGCCGACAACTGCGCCTCGATGGCACTATTCGCTTCACTCGACCAGCTTCAAGCCACTCTGTTGTCACACACTCTTCTTCACATGTATGCGACTAGCCCAAGACGGCAGCAGCTCGCAGGCAATCTTAGCAGTCATCCTCTATGCGATTATTCGAATGACATATCTTCGGTGTCCGCCTTCTTTGCCTTTGCCCCTTTGCGTCTCAATACGCCAAAGGCCCTCCGTCATCTCTCAACAATGACATTCCCACTCTCCCTCGCCAACCTCTGCCGTTCCCTCTTAACCCACAGATCCCTTCCACCTTCAAAGATGCCCCACCCAATGGCGCTGCTCAGAGCCTTGCGTGCGCATCGCAAACCCAGCCCGTCGAAGAAGAGGGAGGAGAGCGGCGGGCGCGCGCCTCCCGTCGATGCTCCTGCACCAGTCAGCACAGCTCGTATACCGAGGAGGGCTGCTGAAGCCCCTTCCGCCCCTTCTTGCCTAACTCGCTGCGTCTGCACTCTCGTCTTGATGATATCAAACGGGTGCGTAGCAAAAGTAGCGAGCGTCCCCGCGCACAACCCCGCGACCATACGACTTTGGGTCGTTTCTGCCTTCGCATCTCCCTCTTCCCCTGCCTCACCTAGCGCCGGTGCCAGCCCCACCTTGAGCGCCTCGTAGAACATGAGGTACAACCCAGCGTATGGCGCATCGCGTAATGCTGTTGCCGAGAAGCCTCTGAACAAGCCCTTGACCCCACCTTCGGCGTAGATGGAGCGCAGAGAGAGGGCCAACGTCCTGTTCTCAGAGGGTGCAAAGTTGGAAGACTCAAAGCGTGCCTTTACTACGGTGATTGGACAAAGGATGAATCCCACCACGACACGCGCCGTTGCGCCTGCGAGGAGATTGCCAGTTGAGGTTGGGGTCGCAGCCGATGAGGATGAGGATGAGGATGAAGCCGCATTGGCTGTAGATAGATAGGCAACCGGCCTGCTCCCTAGCGCTCTTCTCAGCTCGGTCACCGAATAGAAGTATGCTGCCACCCCCGGCACATTGCGCAGGATCGTAGGCACTGTGCCTCTCCAGAGTCCCTTGACTCCATCTTTCTCCACCACGCCTTCTATCGTCCGTAGTAGCCGCCGAGTCTTGCCGCCAAAGGGAGCATGGGAGCCGTGTGCCTGCTGCAGGCGCGTCTTGAGCAAGTCGAGCGGCTGAAGTAGGACGCAAGACGTCAGGCCGGAGAGGGCGCCGGAGAGGAGGGTGGCGTAGGGTGGGGGACGGAGGGGCTGCGCGGCAGGATTTATCTGTGAGATCGAGGATGAGGAGGACGAAGACGAAGACGATGGCGAAGGCTGCGAAAGCCTCGCCTGTGCTGCCATGGAAGTGTTGGCAGCCGCAACGAGAAGCGACAGTGGTGTGCGGGCGAACGAATGGTAATGAGGAGAACTTATCAACGCAGCAAAATCTCGGGTCTGTGCGTCCCGTCGATCCACCATCGGACTGAGCTTCGCCCGGTGGTTTGCTGACTAAGGCCTCTCTCAGGGCCGGCAAGTGAGGGTCCGGCGCGGGTCCATCTGGCAGCGGCTCTCAGCTCGCGGCTCGCGGCTCGTGTCGTGTCGAGTTGAGCGAGAAGAACACGACGAGGCGAAGACGCAAGGGCGGGATTCGAGAGTGGTCAGGCCAGCGCACGGCCGATGCTAATCTTTGACTTGTCACTTCTTCCCCTTCTTCTTCATCCGCTTCGACGACGAAGATGGACGGTCAAACGCCAGGTATCGAGGGTCTCAGCGACTTCCTTGCTGCCAAGGCTGCCACCTCTGATGGCGGCCTCGACAACATTCCAGCTGGCACCGCTCCCGTCTCAAACGCAAACGCAAACGCATCCAATGCTGCCGCTGCCGCTGCTCCCTCGACTACCGCCGCTCCTCTAGCTGCCGCTACTGGCCTCGGTGCTGCGAGCGCTCCCGCGGCCCCTCCTACCGCTGCCGCCGCAGCAACGGGGAAGCCCACCTCGACCGCGGGCGAGCCCGTTAACATTGCCCCTACGGGTCTCGAGGGTCCAGCAAAGGACATTATCAACAAGATGGCCAATGGGGGCTTTGCTCCTGGCCCTGCGGACAGCAAGAAGGTTCGATTGACCAACTACGTGGGTATCTTCTCCTCCTCCTGCCCCTTATGCCATGCTAAATCCCCCTCCTCTGACCCCGCTCGCAGCCCTCGATCGCAAACGCTCTCCTCCCAGCGGAAGGCTCCGGCCAATTCTCAAACCTGCACCTCGCAATCCTCGTCCTCCTTGCACCCGCCGTCCTCACCCGCATCGTCCCCTTCTTCAAGTCCTCTTGGGTACCATGGTGGCTCTACTTCACCTTGGCCGCACTCCTCGGTACGCCCGTAGCAGTCACCTACTGGTACGTCATGTCGCGCATCGGTTCCCGCAAGAACACACGCGTGACCATGCCCGGACGACCCATTACCGACTACCTCGTCTTCAACGACCCTCAGCTTAAGCGCGAGTATGCCGACAAGCCCGGAAAGAAGATCCCAATGAACGTATTTTCGGAGGCCTACTTTGACAAGAAGATCGACATTGTTGGCGGGGATGCTAAGATGCTTGAGGTGCTCGAGTATAGGATGGACTGGGCCGATATGGTCTTCACGCCCGAGCTCTTCAAGTTTGTCCTCACTACTCTCGTGCCAGATGTGTTGAGCCACTCGGCGCGACAGGACGAGGAGCAGGTGCGCGACCACTACGACCGAGGGAATGATTTCTACGAGTGCGTAGATGCGCCCCATGCGAGGGAGAGCGAAGTTGCGACAGTGACATTACTAACACTCTCTTGCTGCTCTGGCTCGCACGCAGATGGTTCCTCGGCCCGCAAATGATCTACACCTCGGGCGTCATCTCTGACCCCACCCGCAAAGAGACCCTCGAAGAGCTCCAAGACAACAAGCTCGCCCTCGTCTGCTCCAAGCTCAACCTTCAACCCACAGACAAGCTCCTCGACATCGGCTGCGGGTGGGGAACACTGACCGCCTTCGCAGCAAAGAACTTTGGGTGTGATGCGACGGGTGTGACTTTGGCTAGGGAGCAGACCAGGTTCGGCAACGAGAGGATCCGGAAGAACGGCATTGATGAGAAGAAGGCGAGGATTCTCTGCATGGACTACCGTGATATCCCTGTGGAAGCCGGCTACTACGTGGGTACGACGCGGCTTCGCGCCTTTCTCACCTATCGCTGACCTCGCCCTTTCCCGCCTCCCCACTTGTCCTCCTCGCTACACAGGACAAGATCGTCTCCCTCGAAATGGCCGAACACGTCGGTATCCGCCACTACTCCAAGTTCCTCCGCGACGTCTACTCTCGCCTTTCGGACGAGGGAGTCTTCCTCTTCCAAGTCGCCGGTCTGCGCCCCCAGTGGCAATACTGGGACCTCATTTGGGGCCTCTTCATGAACAAGTACATCTTCCGCGGTGCAGACGCCTCGCTACACGTGGGCTGGGTCATCACCCAGCTCGAGAAGGCGGGTTTCGAGGTGCGCTCCTGCGATGTCCTTGGAGTGCACTACAGCGCCACGATTCACAGGTGGTTGGAGAACTGGTACAGCAATGAGGACAAGGTACGCGCAAAGTACGGGGACAGGCTATGGAGGATTTGGGTCTACTTCCTTGCTTCGTCGACGATTATTGCCAGGGAGGGAGGAAGCTCCGTCTTCCAGATTGCGCTGCACAAGAACTTGAACGCGACACACCGCGTTGAGAGTGTTTTCGGTCATGGAAACATTCACCCGAAGCCGGCGAGGGAGGTCAGGAGCGTTTGGAGGGATGGGCAGACGGAGATGGGCAAGTAGGGTGCGTGCCGTGTGGTGATGAAGGAAGGCTAGGTCGCGAGGGGAAGAGGGAGAAGAAGAAAGCGATGAGAGGAGCAGCACGATCTCATTTCAATGGATCCGCAACGACGGTAGCGCATCGCAACAAGAGCTGCCATCGGAATTGAATGGTGGTATTACAAATGCAAATTAGAAAGGCCTCGTCTCTTCACCTGGCTGCGTCACCCTTTGCCCCGCCTCGCGCTAAGGCCGCATCCAATCTACTGAGCGTCCTCTCCCTGCCCATGACCTCCATGATGTCCACAAGCGTAGGCCCAGCCTTACGCCCCGTCAGAGCAACACGCGTAGCCCTTAGAGCGACCTTGCGCGAGGGAGCGTGAGCCGCCGTGGCATCCAGAGCACCTTGCAGTGATGCTGCCTGCCATGAAGAAGATGGGAGCATGGCGAGAGCTTCGTGAGCGGTACGCAACACAGCGACGTCGCGCTCCTCGAAACTTGCAGGCCATTTCGGCAGTGCATCGTCCGCAATGAGCAGATAGTCAGCCTCTGCCGGCACCTCGCACAACTTCTCGGCCCGCTCGGATACGATATTCAGCACTTTTGCCAGGTACTCGTCACTCCACCTCGCCCCTCCATCCTGCTTCTCCAATATCTCCCGCAAACGCGGCACCAAGTCGCTCCTAGCCTTCTGAGCCGCAGGAGCGAAGAGGTGTCTCCTGTTGAGAAAGGCCAACTTCCCGGCATCGGGTGTGGCGCGACTGTGCGATATCCGCTTGGGGTCGAAGGAGGCTATGAGATCTTGCATGCTGAGCACCTCGCCATCCTCGTTCCTGTTCCCCTCTAAGCGCGCCGGTCCTTGCCCATGGTGGTTGTACCCGAGAAGGGCGACCCAGTTGACTAGGGCTTCGGGCTCCCAACCCGCAGCACGGTAGGCGGCGACGTGCACGTCCCCACTGCGTTTGGAGAGCTTGGAGCCGTCCTTGTTCACAAGCAAGGGTAGGTGCGCGAAAACGGGCGGGGCGAGTCCGAGGGCCTCGTACAGGGCCAGATGCTTGGGCACAGAGGGAAGCCACTCTTCTCCGCGTAGGACGTGCGTTACACCCATGAGATGGTCGTCGACCACGTTTGCGAGGTGGTATGTTGGCCAACCGTCGGATTTGAGGAGGATCGGATCACTTGCACCCACGTCGGCTGGGAAGTTGAGAGGACCGTAGACCAGGTCGCTGTGCGTCAAAGGTGCGGACGGCATCTATATGCGCGCGAGAAGTGGGAACGTCAGCCTGTGGACGAGGGGTAGAGAAGGTGTCGCATCTGCTTGCTCACCTTGAATCGTACAACAAAGCTGCGCCCGTCTCGTATCAGCGCTCGAGCTTCATCTTCATCTGGCGGCACGTAGTCGTCTGCTGCAACGATGCGTGGCCCCCTTCCTCTCTGCCTACTAGGTCCAGCAGCATCACTCCCAGCCGAGTCGGCGAATCCTTCGGTCCTGAAATCTCGATATGCCTTTCCCGTCGCAATAAGCTTTTCAGCGTACTGTCTATGGATTTCTAGCCTCTCACTCTGAATCCACGGCCCACAGCTTCCACCTGTGCGTCCGGGTCCTTCGTCCCAATCCAACCCACACCACTCCAAGACCTCCTGCAACGCATCCGTCGCACCAGGGACCAAGCGAGACTGGTCCGTATCCTCTATGCGGAGTATCCAGGAGCCATTGTAGCGCCGTGCGAAGAGGTGATTGAAGAGGGCAGTACGGAGTCCACCGAGGTGCAGGTGGCCTGTGGGTGAGGGGGCGAAGCGGAGCCGCGGGGCGATTGGCGTTGCAGACGAGGAGAGCGTTGGGGATGATGCTGATGCTGATGCGTGGTTCGCGGTGGTGGTGAGCAAGCAACGTCGTGAACCGGCGACGAAGCGTGAGAGACGTGGCCGTGCGAGGCAAGCTGGGAAGGACATGAGCGAGCGTGACGAGATTATAAAGCGGCACGAAGGAAAGCAAGAAGTCTCGATGACGGAAAGGGCTTTGCAGCTCCACAAGACGGGCGGCGCGAGCGAGCGAAGACAATGACAACTAACAACAAACAACGACAAAGCCAGCACCAGCCAGCCGGTGCAAAGAACAACCCCAAACATCGACTTGAGCAAAAAGGAAACGTCCACGAGCGTCTCGCTCGCAATCTACCCGTCTCCCGTCGTCCCACCACCATCTCTGATCCGCATCGCTACCACTATCTCTCTGATCTGACTTACCTCAAAAGTTGTCCTCCCGCGCTGCTATGGACACATTCTCCGAGGGGGAGTCGAACCCCCGACCCCCGTATGTAAATTCGGCCATGCCGATCTCAGCATGAACGCTGCATGGCTTAGTGCGCCCGCGTGCGAAGCATAAGTACGATGCTCGACCAACAGAGCTTCCGGAGACCGCTTGGCAAAAGGCGCAAAGGCTGGTTTGAGGGGGCGGCGCGAAGAGATGTGCGAATATATACACCGCAAGCCGATACGCATGGAACAGAAGAGCGTGGATAAGATGAGAAGAGGGGCACGTCGAGACACAGCTTCACACTTCAAAGAGAGGTCCAATGAGACAAATGTGCAAGCGTGTCCGTTGGTATTTCACAATCTCCAACTCTATCATTCTTCACTACTCGTCTTCAACCTTTCCCTCTCCCTGCGTATCTTACCCTCCACCTCGAGCATCTCCCTCACCAAGGTCGCCAAGCCTGCTCTTACGGCTGCGCTCTCTGCTTCCCCCTGCCCATTCTGCTTCTTCTTCGCTTCCTCAGCCGCAACGACGCGCAGCGCCTCTCCAAAGCTGGTGGCGGCGCGTCGTACACTCGGTGAGGGTAGGGAGGCAAAGCGATGTAGCGAGGAGAGGGGAGCGGGACGCGACTTGGATGAGCGCGTCTCGTCGTCGTCGTCGTCGTCGTCCTTGCCCAGCTTGCCCGTCTTCTCATCCTCTACCACGCCAGGCTCGGCAGTCCTCGTAGTAGTCGCCCTGCCTTTGCGCCTTTGTCTCAATCCCTGCTTCTCCTCGCCTCCCTTCTTCTCTCCCGCAAGCTGCTCCACCACCTCCTGACCCTCATCCTCCGCCTCCCAACCTCTCGCTTCCCTCGCCTGTAGCCTTCCCTCAACGTCAACGACAGTCTCCGCCCTCCTCTGCCCGTCTATTAGCCCCCTGACTTGCTCCTCCCACCGCGTCACGCTAGTCGTGCTGCTCATCCGCCCTTTGCTGAGCGCGAGGAAGCCCGTGGTGAGGTGTGTGGTGAGCTGGGTCTGGAGGCGTTGGTAGGCGTCGATTTTTGTCAGGTAGAGGAGAAGGAGCTCGTCCAGGTGAGAGCGGGGGTGGGCAGGGGCCGCAAGTGCTGGGCTGTCTTGCTCTGACCGCACATCATTCTCTGAAGCGAACGCCGCTGGAGTAGACCCGGCATGTGTCCCCTCTGAGGGCTCGGCCGTCGCCTTCTCCTTCTTTGCCTCGTCCTCGCCGTCGTCATCAATCCCATCCGGCACCTCAAAGGGCATGATCACCTGCTCCTCTCTATCGCCTCGCAACAACTTGCGCTCTACCTCCTCCCTCTCTTCCTCCTCCCTCATCCTCCTAGCTCTCTGCGTTCGGCCCAGCTCCATCGGTATCCCATTCGCAGTGCTGCTACCCGCACTCGAGCCCTGCTTTTGCTGAGCAAACCTCGCGGCGTAGTGCGCGGCAAGAACAGCGGTAAAGCAGAGCATGCTAGCATCGTAGCAGACGTACGGCCTGCGCGCTCCTCGGAGCAGGACGCTGCCTGCGAGCCAGGCGAACGACCCCGGTACGGCGTACCTTCCCAGCGCATAGGCCAATCTACCCATCCTCGCCCCAGAATCGCCAATCCCTCCAAGCTCAAACTTTCTTCCCGTCGCAGCAATTTGCACTACGCCCAGCACAGGCAGTATGCGCCACAGATCGTGGTCTTCCCCAAACTGCAGCCCCGCACCCCCGGGAAAGGAGGGCGTGAAATACCCAGCGAGGAAGTTGCGAGCGAATACGAGGAGGGTGGCCGCCTTGAGCGGCAAGAGCAAGAGGAGGTGGAGGAGAAGGGTGACTTGCTGCACGAAGCGAGTGTGAGAGTGACCATCCTTGCTGGTGGCCGTGGCAGCTGAGCGTGCGGAGCGGACGACATTGATGATCTGTACGAGGGTGCATGCGAGGAAGACAAACTGGTAGGGAAGGGCGAGCTTGATGGCGATGCAGAGGAGCCCTATTCCCACCAGCGTGCTTCTTCGCGCCGTCATCGCAGTCTTGGAGTTGCCAGAGGAGGAGGGGAAGACTAGCCGCTGCCCGAAGGGGAGTCGCGTGACTAGCCAGCTTGCTCCGCCGATGATGAGAATCAGGGCGGTGAGGATGCCAAAGGTGAGAATGAGGAGGGCGCTACTTGCCAGCACGGTGAGGCGGACATTGTTTCGCACGCCGAGCAGTCGCTCTGGGGCGATGAGCGCGACAAGCGCCGCGCAGCCGTACAGAACAGCAAGGGATTGCATGCTTAATGAGGCCAAGTCGGAGGGGCTCTTCGCCTTCTCTGGCCGAGCATGGGCAAGGATGAGGACCAGGGCGAAGGGCGCAAAGCACCACGCGTACGCTGCCCATCTGAATCTCGAGACCCACAAGCCTACACTAGCCGACCAGCGCGGTTGCAGTGTGACATTGGTGAAGCGACACCCATCCGAGTAGATGTCCAACTTCATAGGCTGGTCCCCATCGTCGGCGAAGTGCATGTGCAGGCTCTGCGTCTGAGCGGGGTCGGCGGGCATCCATCTTCCGTCGCCTGAGCGCAAAGAGTAGAAGTGGGCGAAGGGCGCGAATGCTGGATTTGGCGTGCAGGTAGAGGACAAGGTAACGTCGTAGACGAAGAGGGTGGAATGCGAGCCTGAGGACGAAGGGGAAAGGTCGTAGCTTTGCACCAGCGGCGGAGCAGCGCTTTGGTCTTTCGGGCGTACCCATGCCGCGCGCCAGAAGCCCATCTGCTTGCCCGCGGGTCGCACGACCTTGATGCTCGTGTATTCGCCCATCTCCTCCGCCCGTAGACGCAAGAGACGCGCAGCATTCCCTGGCTGGTCATAAAGTGCTTCCGCCATGGGGAAAAAGTTGCCAGCAGACTTGGTTGGGACTATGTCGAAGCTCCAGGGTGGGAGGGGACGACAGCCCGCCTTGTCGCTGTCCTTGATGTCCACGCAGGCAAAGACGTGCAACTCCGTCTGATGTTCCACTGGGGCTGGTGCAACGGTGTAGTCCTTTCCCAAGGCGAGGTCCGTGAGTAGCTGGAACTCCTCGTGTCCCTGTTGCAGAGGGAAGTCGTGCACCTGCTCGCCCCTCTCGATCTCAATGATCGGCGCTCCCTTGATCAATTCCCCTAGACTAGGTCGCCCTACCCCTCTAAGCCCCAGCGCTCTCGCCCACGTCTTCTTCCTCATCTCCACCCTCCCCGCCTGTTTGTCCTTTTGCGCAAGCTGCACCTCATTACCCATCGTCCAGCTCAACCTCCTTCTCAACTGATCACACCACATCATCGCCAGATGATCGACAGAGCTCCACAGCCCCGGCAGGTCGGCCGTGAAACCTTGCAGGACGGACATGTTGCTGGCAGAGGTGAAGTGATAGGGGAGGACGGCTAGCTCGGAAGGGAGTTGGGTGTCGAGGAGACCGCCAGAGAGGGAGATGAGAAGTGTGTCCCCGTCTCGAGGGTGGGGAGTATTGATCAGAGAATAAATGGACTCGAGGCCAGACTCGATTGGTGCAGGCGGAGCAGCATGGGGCGTGCTGAGAGTCAGGATGGTCTTGATGTACGGTGAAGCGGTAGGAAGTCGAGTCGCCAGCCGCGCAACTATTCCTCCCATAGAATGAGCGAGGAGAGGAATCGAGTCCATCCCCTCATCCTGATAATACGACTCGAGGTACCTCAGCACCTCGTTAAGGTAGATAGCTTGCGACTCGAGCGTGGCAGAATGGAGGGCCGAGAAGTCCTGACTCAACGATGAAGACGAGCGCGGCGTGTCAGCTCAGCCACAGTTTTCAACTCCTCACTACTCCTCTTGCTCACCTCATTGAAATCAATCGTCCACCAATCCGTCTCCCACACCCCGTGCATATCCCACTCAAACCGACTCCAGCTCGCCAAGCTCCTAATCTGTCCATAGCTTCCCGCATTCCCCGGCACGAATACAGCGGGTCGTCTCCTCTGGTGCAACTTGGGATCCGGAATGAAGGGATTATCTTCGCGATACATGTAGAGGGAATATTTGCGGCCGAGTCCCGAAGGAGAGAAGGGTTGATGAAGGACATAAGACGGGTACATGCGGGACATGCGGCATTCTTGGTGGAGGTTGAGTACGGTAGGGAGAGAGGAGTAGGAGCGGGAGATGACGAGGGTGAGGACAAGGGAGAGGAGAAATAGGACGAGGGCTATGAAGAGGGGCCGTCTTTCCCGCTGTCGTTGCTGGACCGGAAGAGGCTTGGGTATGGCGTCCATGTCGTCTGCAGCGGCGACGGGCAGGTATGTATCGCCCGATGAGCCTCGCATGTCATTGCGTTGCGGTGTTGCGTTGCGGAATGGTTCGAAGGATCGATCCAAAGCTGCGCATCTTGCTCCGTTGGCCTGAGCGTCCCCTTTCCGTGCGTGCCCCTTCAGCCCTCGGCTTACGTCAGCGAGGCGGACCAAGATTGTGTGAGCGAAAGCGAGAAGGGGGCGGACTGCCGGCCGCCTCCGCTTCTTGATGCTAACTTCCTCCTACGTTCTCGCCTCTCGTCGTTCAACCTCACTTGCAATGCTCCGCACGGGCGCCTCCTCGCTCGGCCGCTCGCTGCGCTTGTCCCCGTCCCCGTTGCAGGCGGCAAGATGTTATAGCAATGGTGGCGCGACTGGCGAGTCCTCCCCGGGACCCTCGTCATCCTCCTCGAGATCGGGCGGTAACAGCAGCAGCAGCAGCAACAATGACCCGGAAACGCACTTTGGCTTCCAATCAGTGCCCGAGGCCCTCAAAGAGTCGATGGTCGGTGGTGTCTTCTCGTCCGTCTCGTCTTCTTACGATGTCATGAATGACGCGAGTGAGTACGAACAAGATTGCAGCATAATACACCCATGCGCTCACTACCTTGTCTCGCTCGCACAGTGTCCCTCGGTATCCATCGTCTGTGGAAGAACCATTTCGTCTCAACGGTCCTCGACCCTCGTGGCGGGATCAACTGTCTAGACGTGGCAGGCGGGACGGGAGACATTGCCTTGCGTATCCTGGACCATGCGCGTACCGCCCACGCAGACCGGGAGACGCGGGTGAGCATGCTGGACATCAATGCGGACATGTTGCGTGAAGGGATGGTGAGGTGCAAGAGGGAGAGCATGTACTGGGGAACGGATCAGCTGGGTTTCCAGCTGGGAAATGCAGAGAGACTAGGGGAAAGAATGGTGGTGCCTCCGCCGACGAGTAAGAAGGCCATCTACAGGCAGCTCCCGGAGCTCAAGAGCGAGCCAGTGCCGGATAGCAGTGTGGATCTCTACACGATTGCCTTTGGGATCAGGAACTGCACGCATATTGACCAAGTGCTCAAGGAAGCATATAGGGTCTTGAAGCCCGGTGGGGTCTTTGGATGCCTTGAGTTCGGCAAGGTGGGGAATCCCTACTTTGCAGAGTGAGTAGCGTGGGCGAGCTGGAAAGAGACACTGTGGTGGACTGTCACTGACAGATTGGAACCCTTTGCTCCTTCACCAGGCTCTACCGTCAATACTCCTTCCGCATCCTCCCCTCCCTCGGGCATCTTCTCGCCTCTGACAGTGCCTCCTACCAATACCTAGTGGAGAGCATCGAGCGATTCCCCTCACAGCCGGACTTTGCGCAGATGATCCGCGAAGCCGGCTTCTGCACACCAGGTGTAGGCCAGGGATCGCAAATCATCGAAGAGGCAGGGCTAGGACAGGAGTACTGGGCCAAGGCAGGCGGAAAGGATTGGGAGGACCTCAGTGGGGGTATTGCGTCTATTTGGGTTGGGGTGAAGTTGTAGTAGATGGGGCACAGAAGATCACCAACGAGCGCAGGGCTAGGCGAGAGGAGGACGACCTGTGGGCGTGATCCTCTTGCCTCCCCCGGCTGCGTCACCCAATCCAAGACCATCGACGTTGCCGCTCGCCTGCATGCTTTCCACCGTTGCCTTGACCTTTGTGATGTCCGGGCGAGAGGAGCCTGCAGACTCTTGGCCATCATCGCCCTCATCGTCGAAGGACTGCACCGTAACTGTCAATCCTTCCTGGCCATCTTCCTGTCCACTGCGCATCACAACCTTCACCTCGCCCGGCCTCGGGCCGTTCGTCGAACCCGTCGAGCCCCCACTTCCTGCCTGCGCTTGCGCTTGCGCCTTCGTCTCGCTCTGCTCCTCTTCCTTGTCTTCGTCCTCCCTCGCCCCACCGCTTAACCTTTTGAGCGCCTCGATCAGATCACCAGCCAGTGTCTCTCTATTCGGCGGGTCCTCCCTCATCGGCTCCCACCCAATAGGCGGAGACCCTGGTGGCGAGATGAGGAAATTGCGATCCGTATTCGGTGGCTGAAGATGGTCCGTCGGAGCAAAGGCGGAACGCTGAGGAGCCCCGTCTCTCGATGAAGTTGCAGGATCCGTCAATCCGCGCGGGAGCAGGGAGTCGACGTCGATCCCGTGGGCAAGGACTGTAGCGCTCAAACGTGGCGGTTCTTCGCCTGCGGCCACTCCTTCGACCTCCAATTGCAGGCCGTCCAGCACTTCCTGAACCCGCGATAAGTCGTCTTCCACCCTTCGTGCGGCAGAGCGACGGTTGTCGAATACAATGCGCATGGTGCCTTCGGCCGGGGAAGGGTCCCATCCCACCACTGGAGCGTATGCGTCAAGGAGGGCGAGGAGGGAGGAGAGGAGCGGGGCCTGGAAGAGAGAGGGATAGGGCTGCGGCTGGGTGCGGAGAAGAAGTAGGTTGGACGAGCGCGAGAGGCCGGACTGCGAGTCGTCGTCGTCGTTGGCCGAGGGAGCGTCGGTACTACCGCCAAGCATTGCCTCGAATCGATCAAGATGGGCCTGCGCGAGCGAGCGAGCGGGCAAGGCAGTATACATGCATTTGTCAGCCTGAGAATGGCGAGGATGTAGCACTGATATCCCTCCCCCATGCCCTCTTTTCCGCCTCTGAGCCTAGTAGGGCCTATATCTCGGGTCCTCTCTCTCGCTTCTCACCCTTCCAGCTTCGCTGAGCTCCTGCTGCTCCCCATCTGCACCGCCATTGACATCGTCGAATTGCCCTGCCACGCCTCCTGTCAGACCGGTCCCGAATGGACCCATGCCCGCGAATGGATTGCCACCATCGTCGTCTTCACCGTCGCCATCTTGGATCGAGGGGTGGAGGGAGGCGCAGTGCGAGAGGGATTGGAAGAGGGGGTCGACTGCCGCAAAGAGGGGAGGGCGAGGAGGGGTCAGCTCTGCGAGAGACCGATGGGAATCTGAGCTCGCATAATTACCATCCGCATCACTCTCCGGTACGATCCACATCTCCCTCAACCCGTCTGCCTCATCTTCGTCCCCTTCCTCGTCTTCTCCACTTTGCCGCTCGATTTGGCAGTAGATGGAGCGTCGCGCTGAAGATGAGCCTGAGGAGGCGATCGCAGCGGGCACTGAGGCAGAGACAGCATGGAGAACGATGAGCGGGTAAGGAAGGGAGAAGCCTTGGCCTGAGGAAGGGAGGAAGGAGAGGGACCTGTGCGCACGACCTAGATGTCAGTTGTGGCTCTCACCTGTGGCTCTAAGGACCGGGACTTACGACTCAGTGGCCCACATCTCTCCCCTCTGTACACCATCAATTTTGACTTCTCCCTGCACCAAGGCTGGCTCCACCGCAATGGTCACATTCTGCAATCCGAGAACAAGACGAGGTGGGATATCCGCGAATGAAGCGGGGGTGGCACTGGTCGCTGCATCGTGCTCTTGTGCTGACAGGTGGGGAGGGGCAACGTTGAGTGGTTGGATTTGCGGCGCTTCTGCTGATGATGATGAGGAGGAGCCGAACATGCTGGTCAGGAGAGAGGGCAGGTGTTGGTTGTTTGTGGTGGAGAAGTGACAAGAGAGTCAAGAAGGACTGCGCGTCCGGGACAATCCAGAGAGGGCCATTCTACTTCCGTCCTCTCCTCGAGTTGATTGTGGATGCGAGTCGAGTCGAGTCGAGTTGCTCGCTCTCTCGTTTGATTGCTTCTTCTCCGTCCGTCCCCAATACCCACAAATCGACCAGCCAGCCAAATCAGCCAAGCCCCGTATCATCTGTGAACCGTAGACAGCAGCCGCTTTCCCTCGCTTTCCTCGACAAAGCGTGCGAGGCCTCCCTGCCCGCAGGACGGACAATGTCAGCGGCGTCGCAGTCGACGAACCCTTCGCTCGGCCTCTACCTTTCACAACGCGTCCTCCTCCTCACACAAGACGGGCGAGTCCTCCTCGGTGTACTACAGGGGTTCGATAATGTCGGGAGTGTCATATTGAGCGATACCAAGGAGAGGGTGTTTACTGCTAGTGATGAGGAGGAGGGAACGCAGGGTGGGGTGGAGGAGGTGGATCTGGGGTTGTACGTGATGAGAGGGGATGCGATGTGAGTGCGAGGAGGCCAAGAATGTCATGGCGAACGATGTAAGCTAACGAGCTTCAATTCCCGTCTTCGCGTGCCGCAGCTGTCTCATTGGGGAGGTGGATACAGCAAAGGACGCAAGCATCGATTGGCAGACGGTGGACGTAGAAGGCATCCCAGAGGTCAGACATTCATAGCCGCGGATGACGAGGCGCGCGCGCTAATGAAAACAAAAGGGAATGCTCAAAGCCATCTAATGATAGAGGGTCTTACAATGCTACTACAGCTCCTTCTTCTTCCCTTTGCCTTTCCTCTTCCCCTTAGCCTTTTCTTCCTCCTTCTCCTCGGCCTTCTTCGCCTCACTCCCCGTCACCCGCCATTCCTCTACGCCCATCCTCTGCAGCTTCAGGCTCTGTGGCAGGATGAAGACGACTAGGAGCACTAGCCCTACGACTACGCAGGCGGTCGAAGTAGCGTAGTAGCCGTCTCTCGTTGTGACGCACGATCCGGATGAGGCCAGGCAAGCAGTACGCGCTGCGTCCTCCGTTGCGCACGCTGATGCTGCGGGCAGGAGAACGTACGGCTGCGTAGCTGCCGCTGACGTCGACCCATTGCTCGGCGCCTTGCTGAGCTGCTCCAGTAGTGCCTCACTACTCCCTGCTGCCGCCCTTACCACGTCAGGCGGCACACTGCCCATCCCCTTCTTCCCTCTACTCGCAGCGTCTGCCACTTCCTGCGGAACCCTACACTCGCTCGTGGTCCATGCGTCCACTGCCTTCAACACAAAATAGCGCGGCCAAGTCCCGCCCAAGTTCGAGACCGTATTGAGCAGGGTCATGTAGGTGCCGCCGATCAAGGGATCGGCAATCTGAGTATGGAAGGCTGAGATGCCCACGAATTGTACCGTCGAAGCAAAGCTGCCAGCGACGGTTGAGAGGATGATGAGTGCAAAGTAGGCGAGGCCGATCCCGCCGCTGGCTCCCCCTCCTCCAGTGCCCTGCTGTGCTCCGAGTCCGGCCACAATCCCCATCGATACGACCGCGAAGCCCAGTCTTGCGACGTAGCCCCACAGCCAGGGTGTGAGCGCCTTCTCGCCCCTCGACCAGCGGGCTGCCAAGTAGCCCAGGACGATCTGAAATGGAAAGTCGATGAGCACTGTAAGGGCCAGATCCTCTTTGCTGAAGCCCTTTTCTACGAGCTTGAGGCCGGTGACTGCTTCGTTTGCTTGAAAGCCAATTTTGGCTACGAGGTGGATGAGGAGGAAGATTTGCACGTCTGCAAAGGGGGGTGAGAGCTGGGACATGTGAGCTCGCAGATCGAAATCGGTGTCTCGCTCGCTCAGTGAAACGCACGCTTGAGCTTGCAGATCTTCCACATAACCTCATACGCGCCCTTGAGCCCCATCTCGTCCTCCAACGACGCTTCTGCGTCATCGTTCTTCTTCTCTTTCTTCTCCGCCTCCTCATCCTGGAACAAGGCCAGCCAAGTCGTCACAGCCACGAAAGCCACAGCTGCCACCTTGAGGTATGCGCTCAGTGAAAGCACAGGGTAGTCCAGCGAACGAGTCCTGAGGTATTTGTTGCTGAACTCGACGGAGTTGAGGGCGAGGAATACAGTGAAGCTCATGAAGTACCCAATGTTGAGACCAACAGTCTGTGCCGTGCTCGCGTAGCTTAGGTTCTCTTGTGAGAGGAGCGTCAGAGCCCAACCATCGACAGCTATGTCCTGCGTAGCGGCGAAGAGGACCAGCACGAAAAACAAGGCCGTAATCAGGTTGACTGGAGGCTTGTCTGCCAGCAGAAGGCCGTCCACATTCGTCGACAAGAACCAGAGAATCCCGCCCACGATGAGCTGGACAGGGACGATCCAGCTTTTTCTCCTTCCGAGGCCTATGCGGCCGAAGAGGGGCAGCGTGAGGTGAGAGGTCCACCATGAGTCGACGATGGGAGACCAAGCGAGTTTGAGGGAGTATGGGTAGGTGGAGAGGGCGAATGTGCCGATCTCTGCGTAGGAGAGCTTGGACTTGAGCAGGAAGGGCATCGTGCCGAAGGCGAGGCCTACTGGAATGCCTGTGAGCGTCGTCAAGGGGGTAAGGGGGATTGCTGAGCTGAAGTTGACACGACTGGGTAGAAGTAGGAGACGAGACTCACCTTGCAGTAGGTAGAGGATGACCAGCAACACAATGGCCCTCACATCCCCCTTGGCCAAGCTGGAAGGAGGCTCAGCGTCTTCATCCTCAGCGGTCAAGGCGGGCCCAGCGGCATGGCCATTGACGGGAGCAAGCTCGCCGTCTATTGCCTGACGGGCCTGAGCCTTGCTATTCGTCTCCCGCTTCCTTATGCTCGACGACATGGGCTGACGGCGAGGACGAGGTTGAGGATGAGGTTGATGAACAAGTAGTGCAGCAACCCTAGGAGGAGCGACCTTCGGAAGCAGCAACTCATGGGCGGCGGCTGCCACGCATTTCTTTCGCGGCCTTGACTGAGCGCCCCAGCCACATGGCAGCGCACGGGCCTCGCGACTCTTGTGTTGCTCCGATTGATCGGCTTTTGGCGGGGGCAGCTCCACCTCAGCAGCTGACCTCGAGGGACGATCACAATCTTCTTGTGCTCCTAACCATCACACAAATCTTCGTGAGTAGCGGGCGCAACGACACGTGACTATATGCTACTTGCGCTCACTCGAAGCGGCGTATCCAGGATAGCCAATTACACCACTCGATCAATCGCAATCATGCCCGCTCTTCAGCAGAAGGTGAGCTGAGTCGGAAGGCTGGCGTTGAGGATGCTGTGCTCCGATGGCTGATAATGATGATTTCCTCCCTTTTCACAGTCTGCCAACAAGGTGCGTAGATTCAAGTCCTCCCGCATTGGCCTGCCATCGCTCACGCCATCCACTCCCGCACGCAGGTCTTCAACGGCACCCTCACAAAGTACAGCTTCCCCTCCTCCGCCCTCGGAAACCTCGAAGCGAATCTCAACGTCTTCCTGCCTTCGTCGGCCTCCTCCTCATCCCCTGCGCCCGTCCTCTACTATCTCTCCGGCCTCACATGCACAGAGGACAATGCAGCTCAGAAGGGCAACTTCTTCGAGGCTGCCGCAAAGGAGGGTATCGCACTCGTCTTCCCCGACACGAGCCCGAGGGGAGCCAAGATTGAGGGCGAGGATGAGAGCTACGACTTTGGCAGTGGAGCAGGGTTCTATATCGATGCGACGAAGGACCCCTGGAGCAAGCATTACAAGGTGCGTGCGAGCAGTCAAGACGAGCAGTCAAGACGTTGCCGAGCTCACGACGACCCTCTTTTGCCCCTTCCCACGCCCAGATGTACACGCACATCGTGTCCGAGATCCCCGCCGCCCTGCAAGAAGCTAAGCTCCCCATCGACTTCAGCTGTGCCTCCATCACTGGACACAGCATGGGTGGTCACGGCGCCTTGACCCTCTACCTCAAGGAGGGAGACAAGAAGTACAAGTCCGCCTCTGCCTTCTCCCCCATCTGCCACCCGACTGCCTGCCCTTGGGGTGACAAAGCCTTCAAGGGCTACCTCGAGGGCGGCGTCGAGGAGGGCAAGAAGCACGATGCTACGGAGCTGATTGCCGGGACGAAGGGGAAGAAGCTCAACATCCTGTGCGTCCTTCTCCACGCGGATGCACTGAAACCGTACGCGGCGAGCTGACCTTCTCTTCCTACTCCTCACTCGCACACGCACGCACGCAGCATCGACTCCGGCCTCGGCGACAATTTCTACCAGCAGAAGCAGCTCCTCCCCGAGGACTTTGAAGCTGCTGCTCGTAAGGCTGGGCATGGCGAGGACGAAGTACAGGTACGACTGCAGGACGGGTACGACCACTCGTACTTCTTCATCTCAACTTATGCGCCCGAGCATGTGAGGTGGCATGCCAAGTTCCTCAAGAACTGAAGGGGAGCGGGCGGTGAGAAGAAGGCAGTAGGAGGCGGAAGGGCACGTCTCTGATGACGACTCTGTGAGGGGGAAGTGGCTATTGGGGTCGGGGAAAGAGCTAAGCCGCCTGCTCTGGAATAGCTCTACGAGGGTACATTGTACGGAGTCAACAGTTTCACGCAAATGGAAACATGTGGTGACAAAGAAAGGTCATGAGGCAAGGAGACAAGCTGCTTTCCATTTGGATTTGAGGCTTCGATGCTGGTGGCCACTCCTTGCCTTCTGCCGTATGTCGCGAGCCGCGCAAACATGAGCCGTGCTCTTGCCGGCGTGTGATGACGACGACGGCCCTGTACCACTGTCTCCATCCTCATCTGCCTGCCGCCTGCGTGTCGCGCTCCCCGCTTCGAACGTGGTTGGAATAGAGTAGATGCCGTCGTCGTTGCGAGCTCGACGAACCCCTTGACTGATGAGACCCCTGCCTCTCTCGGTCTGTTGGTTCCGCGTGTCGGGCGGCGGGCTGCGTGCGCGCTCCTCCTCGCGTCCAGCGTCGTCGTCCAACTCACGAGCTCGAGAGCTGGAGAGCAGCAGCGAGGGAGCGCCCTTGCGGCCCTGGCAGCGTGGCCCGGGCGAAGCGAGGAGGAGAACGAGGTGCGTGAGCGAGCGCGGGGACGGCGAGTTCGAATTCTGGAGGCTCAGGAGCACACGGCGGACTGAGGGCTCGTGCATCAATGGAAGGGGGCGAAAGCAGCGTTGTTTTCCAACTTCGATCATGGAATTGAGACCGAAGGAGCGGGTAAAGGGCCCAGCTGAGATGCTCTAAGCCAAGCTAGTAGAGGAAGGGGTCCGTGAGTTGCTACGCATGGCGGCCGGGAGAGGAAAGGAAAGCCCGATGGGATCGTCGAGGGGATGAGCGGGAGAGCAAATGGATGTCACTCACTCACTCACTGTGCGCTGACTGCGATCCCGCGAGAAGGGGTTTGCTCTGCTAGGTCCATCGTAGACTGCTCACATCTCACCCCTCCTTCTCACGAGACCATCCTTCTCCCTCTCCAGATTCAGCTTGATTCTACTCAACGATACCCGCGACGACCAGCGTACCTTACAACGCTACGCACGACCAGCCACGCCCACCACGCCCACCACGCCCACCACGCTCACAAAGCATTCGACTTCCCCGTTCTTCTTCGCGCCTCACGAGGCTCGCTCTGCACCCGCTGCTGCCTCGCCTGCACAATTTGGCGCCGCGACCACCCATCGAGGTCCGTCTCCTCTTGTCTCACAATGGCCTCAACGCACGACCTCGAGCCGCTCGCCCTCCCCTCTCGCACCCTCCGACCCTCAGCCAGCTTGCAAAAGCTCTCAACCTCGTGGCGGCGCAACAAGGCCACGACGACCAACAGCAACTCGACTCCCACTGCCTCTCACTCCTTGTCGTCGTCTTGCAACCCTCCGTTCCTTTCCAATCACGCCCACACGGCCGCTTCTTCTTCATCCCCTGCGTATACCCACCAGCATTCAAGCACAAGCACGACGGCCAACCTCGCACCACCTCGGCCCGCCTTCTTCTACGACGGCCAGTCGGCGTCCACGGCGTCGTCGTCCACGACCACTGGCACACCATCCTCCTCCTCCGCCTCGGCATCGCCCAACGCGAGCTCCCTGTCGCTGGACTCGCTCAAGCCAGCAGGTGTGCCCTCGATGCCGAGCATGAGGCGCCTCCTCGGTGGGCGACGAGCAAGCGGCGAGGCCAACGACAGGCGTAGCTCCAGTGAGCAGCAGCCGCGGACGCCGCCAGGGCCAGAGCGGAGTAGGAGCCCTCCCACAAATGCTGCTCCGAGCAATGGTACGTCATTTCGCTCGATCGGACGCCGCCTCTTCTTCAGCAACACCAACAGCAGCAAACCAGACCTGGACCCTTCCTCATACCCCACGGATCGGTCCCATTCCTACTCGTCCGAGTCGACTGCCAACTCCTCGCCCCCGCGCACGCCACCGTCTCCTCAGCATGGCTTTACGTACACGGGTGGCCTCCCTCAGCTGCCCCCGCTGGCCTCCTTCTCTGTGACGTCCAGCACGACTGCGGATGGGCTGAATATCAGCCCCAAGAGCAAGATACCCGCAACGCCGATTGTCATCCCGCCTCGCCGCTCCTCACCGCCGAAAGCACAGATGATGGACCCTTGGGCAAGGCGCGAGCCCTCCACCTCTGCGCCGCTATCCTCGACCGTACCAGCGCCGTCGAGGACCAGCAGCCTCTTTACCATTACGCCCACACCAGCAAAACCTGCCGTGACTTCCTCATCGTCAAATTCTGGCTTTGCAGCATCCTCGTCGCTCTCATCCTCTCTGCCCTCAGCTACAGCAGGCACGTCCGACTTTCTCGGCGACTCCTCCGACTTTCTTGAGGCTGTCCTCTCGCTCAGCACGGACGACGGCGAGACGAGCCAGAGCCTTTTCCGCAACGACGAACAGCAGGCATCGACTTCGAGGTCCGGCCCTGCACCGATGTCCACGCTCTCTTCCAGCTTCACGTCGCCGAGCTTCCCCTCAGCTCGGAGCACGACGTCATTGAGCTCAGGGTCTCGTCGCATGATGACCGAGGCGCAAGCCGCGCAGATCAATGAGGAGCAGCGCAAGAGGAGACCCAAGCTCACGATCCGACCTGGCTTCGCAAACCGTAACAAGCCGTCCCTCTGGGCGCAAGACTCGGAGTCGGATGACGAATACGGTGGAGACGAGGACAGCAACGAGAGTGGTGGATCGAGTAGCAGCAACTCGAAGAGGGCGCGCCCAACATCACAGTCCTTGTTGGCTACGTCGCCGACCACACCGGCAGACCGCAACTCCTTGTTCCCCTCGAGCTTCTCCTTTGGGCGTAGGCGCTCTCCTTCTCCCTCGCCCTCACCCTCGCCCACGTTTGCTACCTTCAAGGACGTCGCAGCAGCAACACCACCGCCAGCGACTCGGACTCCCTCCTCCACCCTTCCCGGCCTCTCTCCACCGGGCCTCTCAACCCCAGCCAAGCGAGCCCTTTACGCCTGCACCCTCCTCAAGGTCCACCCTCAGCTGGACACTCTCCTCCGCCCAGCGAGCAGCACGCCAACTGTGCCCGTCGAGATTTGCTACCCGCGCTCGATCAACAGCTCGGCCAAGCTCGCAGCTGCAGCAAAGAATGGCGGCTCACAGACGGGTGTGGCGGGTGCGCCCCTTACCATGTGTGCCCGCAATCTGGGCATCGCTCTGGCGCAGACGCAGGTGATGCGCAAATTGCGAGGGAGGCTGACGAGGAATGATGAGGTCGAGATTGGCTGGTTCTTGAGGGCATATGCCTCGGAGCTGGTCAGCCCTGAGGCAATTGCCAAGTCGCTGGCTTCACGGCCGCAGGTGTCGCCCGAGGCGCAGGGATTGGCTTCAGCGTCGTCCGACCCTCCTCGCCCTGGTACGCCAGACTCGACTCAGCTGCCCAGCAACCGCGCCACCTCTGCCATGGACGGGATGGCTACGTGGGCATCGCGCGGTACTTTCCTCGAGCGCTGTGTTGTCCACAAGGGAGGCGAGGACAATGCCTTTGAAATTGGGGATGTGGTCGTTGGCGGGGGCGTACGAGCAAAGGGTAAGCCAGCAACCAGGGCAGGCGATCTGGTCTTCTCCCCCCGTGTGCGCATCCTTGCTGGCTGGTCTCCGAAGCCATTGCCGAAGTTGCCTGTCGTCGTCCTTCCTCCGCCGAAGAAGATGGCAGCTCCTCGGGCGCCGCCGCCATGGATCAGGCCTCGTCGCAACCTGCGAGCCGCGCCCATCCCACCAAGTGCAGACGCCAACGTTCAAGCAGCGCACGACAAGCTGACAGCTCGAGCCGGCGAGCCGGCCACGGAGGCCGACCTACCTTCGCCTACGACGGCCCTCACTCCTGCACAATCCATCGCCTTGGAGACCCGACGTCGCCTCTCAGTCACGGACAGCTTCCCGCCTACGCCGGACAGCGTCACTACTTCGCTGCCAGACTCGGACGAACAAGCGTTCGTAAGCGCCGAGAGCGGGATGGAGAGCGAGGACGAGGTGGATCTGGATTTGGGAGGTAACACGACAGACGACGACGACGTGCCCATCGCGACGTTGCACCAGATTCGAAGGCGCTCGACTATCGCTAGCATGTCCATTGCAGAGACATCTACTCTCAAGCCCCCTTCTCCGCCCGGTGAGGCGGAGCAGCGAGAGCATCAGCAGCAACAGCCATCAGCTCGTCCCTGGTCACCGTTCGAGCAAGAGCGCATCTCCCGCCTCGAAAGCGAGCTCGAGCGTCTACGCCGCCGCGATCGTGAGCGTGAGCAGGAATTGCTGCGCATCCATGCAGAGAAGCGGCTCGAGGAGAACAAGCGCCAGCTCCAGGCAGCGAGGGAACGTCGTAAGCTTGGCACTCAGAATGAGCTCAGTGCCGTGCTCCAGGACCCGAGGTACGGTGCTGGGGACGCAATGCTTGCTCACCGGGCTTCGTTGAGGTCGAGCGTCTCGCTGGCAGATGTGCGACAGCAACAGCAGCAGCACCAGCAGCGCTGGCCCACGAGCGGCGATCCTCCCATGAAGATGCCCAGCCCGAAGGCGGCTCGACCAGCCCCTTCACCAAGCATGGCACGCGTGCAACCCTCGCTGCCCACCTCGCCCTCACGCATGTCATGCTCATCGCCGACCCCTCCGATGGACCAGGTAATGCCGTACCAGCACGAGCGGGCATCGACCTCACACGGTGGACCACTCAGTCCCCGCGGAGTCCCTCGACGAGGATCAGCCCTGTTCGCAACGCCTGCCACCCCAACCTTCAACGGCGGTAGTGGCGGCTTCCACCATCACTACCCCTCTGCCGGCCCATACTCGCCGCAGAGCCTCCACCACCAGTCCCTTGCGATGCCCAGTTCGACGAGCATGGTCCAACTGGCTCATGGAGGGGCGCCTCATTCCCAGCTACTGGCAAGCCCGGGAGACTTGCATCAACCTAGGAGGAGGAGCAACGCTATGTTGCCTGGTAATCCACAGCCCTCACCGGCGCACCACTTCCAGCAGTACCCACCGCAGCAGGGGCAAGGGATGATGGCGGCATCGTGGCATCAGCATCAGCAGCTTCAGCAGCTGCAGCAGACGGGGCCCTACCAGCAGTCCTACCACGCTCAACAGCCGTACGGCCAACCACAGCCTCTCGTCATGCTCCAGCGCTCCGATGTGCCGATGAGCGCGAGGAGCAGTCGTATGGGGGCCATGTAGATGTCGAGATGACACTCAAGACCATGCATTCTTACCCTAATACTGCTCATCTCGCTCAAGCTCACTCATCACACGCTCAAGATAAGGTTTCCGTATTCATCATCATGACCGACATTACCGTACCTATCATCGCCTCTTCCCCGACAACAAAGCCTTCGCGGGGACGCGGACCCGAACGCGATGCAAGGCAGCACAGCCTGCCGACTCGACAGGATTCGCAGGACAAGAATGGAAGCGACAGCAGCACAATCAGTGAACCAGCATCGAAGACTAATCATGGATCGCAATTTCCATCCGATTGTGGGGATCGTCGCTTCCCTCGCTCAATCGCTCCACTTGTGCGGGTCGCTTCTATCCTCCCTGCTCTTCATTCTTCTCGACTAGACTACCCCATCACAATCCTTGTCTTGCTCAGATCCCCCAACTTTCGTTCCTGCGCCGCAACGCACGAGGACCAGCAGCATTGTCAGCAACATCACGCACACGTTTCTTGAACGCCTCGCTTTGCTCTCTCGCTCTTGTTTGTTTCACTGCCCTGCCCTACTGTCCGTCCGTTTTCTCCGGCTCGGCCTGGTCTCGTCGTAATGCCAACGTGTGCGCCATGCTGCGCTTTCCTTCGTTCATTACCTCGCTCCTCGCTCCTTGACTTTTGCCTCGCTGAACCGTGCAATAGCTTGGGGCAGAAGAGCAAGTCGTGGCGAGCGAGATTGAGATGCGTGAATTGAGCTCGAGATCGAGGGTCAAGGGAGACCGAGGAGGCCGAGATCAAGGTCAAGCTTAGTCTTCATCTTAGACTCAGGCTCGGCCTGTCACAAATCAAAGCCAAGGCAAGCCAAGCCAATGAGCGAGCTATCAGCTTAAGACTTGGCCCTGATTGTGACTGTGAGCGCTATCATCGATTGTTTGATTGCGATGTGTCGTGACAGGTTGGTCAAGGATTGCCTTTGCGATGGGAAATGACGGAGATTGTCTGGCGACTTTAGCTTCGATTGCGAATCGAGAATCGAGAATGGCGACTCGCCTTACCGCCTGCCTCCCTTCGGTCCCCTCTCGTAAAAGACCATCCCCAGCGACCATCATCTATTTCTCTGGCCGAAGCGATCGGGGGTCGGCGCTAGTCTTGTCCGTCCGTCGCCGGCGTGAGTGAGCGCGAGGCCGATGTTCGGTCTGCTCATGCCATGCGTCCGGCCGTAGCCACGAACCCTTGCCCTGCCTCACCTCGCCCTCCTTTTGGTTTGCTTTTGCTGCTCTTTGCTGCAAGTCAACAAGGTTCAGCTGGATTACTGTGCACCGTGCATCGGCGCCAGGCGCAAAAACGCACTGCGTTTGAACCCCCACCTTGTGTTCTTCTCATCAAGAGCGGATCTCGCTGCTGCTACGCTCACAGCCTGCTTCTTTCTACTGCTTCCAACGGTGGCTGACCATTCTTCGCAGCGTCTCAATCTCATCTCTGCAACTCGCTGGTCCCGAGCTCTTGACGCTGAGCAAATTCAGCATCTCTTGCCTTCTCTTCCCTGTTTCCCCCCCTTGCTGTTCTGTCGCTGCGACCCCTCGCACATCGCCATTTCGCATATCGTGTCCATGCGTCTGCTTCTGCTTGGTGCTCCCACGACCCTTGATCTCCGTCTCCCACGGGACTGCGCTCGACGCGGGCGGCTGCCTCCACGGCCGCTGCTGCTCGGCCACCCCGCGGCGCTTCGGCGCGCACAGAGAGCCAGGGAGAGAGCAAGGGAGCCTGAGCCGGAGAATCCTTGCGTCGAGCAGATCTCGCCAATAACGAGGAGCGTATTGGTCCAGAAGCCTGAGCGACGTGAGTGTACAGTAGAGTCGTCGATCTGAAGCGAGTGCAAGGCAAAGTTGAACCCTACGCAGTCGTGCACCGGCTCGAGTCTGATTAGTCCAAGAAGATGGTCAATTTAGGGACAAGGGAGTACCAAAGGAGAGAGCGCGAGGACGAGCGAGGGAGAAGGAGCAGACTCGGGTGCGTGTTGAAGACGCGGCAGGGGGGTCAAGGAGGAGAGGAAGGGGGAAGGGGGGTTTGAGGAGGCGAGTAGGGCGAGGGAATACCAAGATGCCGATCAGGCGTGTACACCAGACTCCTGGCAAGGGAGAGAGTCGAGCGAGGCGATGCGATGAGACCAGGGCCAAACCTTGCTCCCCTTGCCCTCGCCCTCGCCCTCGCCTTCGCACTTTGAACACCGTCTTGTGGTGCATTAGAGGCCCGCCGTCCGCCCAGCAAAGCTTGGACCCCTCGGGATCCTTGGGATCGATGTCGTCTCGTCTGGCGAGGAGGAGGTGGGAAGATGTGATGAGTGAGAAGTGACAGCAGGGTCAGCATCGCTTGAGCGCAGACGCAGACAGGGAAAGCAGCCGTCCGTCGTCTTGGTCGGTCGATGGACCGTGCGAAACGCATTGAGGACGAGGAGCAGCAGCAGCAGCAGCAGCGGCGCAGTAGCGTGAGCGAGAGTACCACTCTCGTCGTCATCGACATCGCTTTGGAGCCAACTCTCCGATGTGTTTGCCTCTGTCGCCCCGCGAACCCGTGCTTCCCCTTGCGTGGTGGGACCGTTTGACCGGGCCGTGAGAGCAAACAAATCCACTCGTCGCACGGATGCGTCCGTGGGGCGTGGTGTCGTCGTAGTCAGGCCTCGTTGGGACACACGGCAAGGAGCAAGACGATACATCCCGCCCGCTCCCAGCTCAACCATCTCGCCCTCCTGCCCTCTCCATCTCCATCTCACCTCACCACCTCCGCGCATTTCGTTTGCCCTTTGGTCCTATCGCGCATTTTGCTCAGGGAACGCACACACACACACACACACAAGAGCCTAGCGTGAGTGACAGTGCCCTTCCCACACCTCTGGTCCTGGTTTGGGGGGAATGACGGGGGGGCAACTGATCGAAACGAGACGTCCGGAAACCTGACTGGGCGACCTTTTACCCGACTTGTCAATCTCCCACGCAGCCAGCCAGCCAGCAACGAGCGAGAGAGAGCGCCAAGGATATAAGAGCCAAGGAGAAGGAACACACCGACCGGGTCCACACAAAAGATCCCCCGCTTTCTCCCTTTTTGCTATCATCACCATCACTTTATCTGCTTCCCTCGTGCTATCGCTGATCTCATCACCGACAACGCCGAGGATCAGCCACGCCATTGCTACCACCACCTTGCCGTTGCTCGCACCACTCAAGTAGCACGCGCCCTCAGCTGCGCTCGACGTGACCACGACTTGGTCCGCAACGCAATCCTCTCACTCGATAGGCAAGTCTAGTGAACGTGTGAGTCCAACGATGTTATCTCTGGGTTGGCGCATATAATGGCGAGAGAATGGACGCTGATTTCTGCCTTCGCACTCTTCGCCCATACCCCAACGTCCTCCCCTTCTCGATACCATGGCGGCACTCTCTTCTCCTCCCACGCTCGTCCGCACGCCACCCTCGCTGCGACGCCTCGATCCACGCCCTGGCGGCTTGCCCAATACCAGATACAGACGCAACGCTCTGCGCTCACAGACTCCAAAGTCATCGAGTCCACCTACCGACTCCATCTCCATCCTCGACAAGGCCATCGCGGCTGCAGCATCCGGTTCTTTCAGCGACTCGTCGCCTCCTTCTCTTGCTCTCCTTCCGCTACGCGTACGCCGAGCACCAAGCCTCACCGAGCTCCGTGTCCTCAACACAGCCTCCTCCAGCGCACGTCAGAGACGTCGTCGTCGTCGAGCCAACTCGTGGAGCCCCGGTCCAGACTATCAAAACTTTCAGTTTCACTTGGAGGATATCAACAGCTCGCCCCTCAGCAGCTCTCCCTCTCCCTCTCCTCCTCCTCATCAAGACGCTCAACCCTTCCAGGCCAACTTCTTTGTCCATTCAGACAACCTCACACCTAGCACGGCAAGCACGAGTCCAAGCCCACTCGACGATCGTCAGCTTCGCCGTTTATCAAGCATCACCGAGGTGAGCAACAGTAGCGAGGAAGACCAGCAAGGGCCAGTTACCCCAACCCTACTACACCACCCTCTGGCGGCCACCATGCTCTACCGTCGCCCACCATCGGCTTCGGAAGTTGCCCCTTCCCACTCTTCCTCCCACCCTTTCAAGGCCGCTTCCGAGCCGCGCCGTAGCCGCTCGTGCAGCTCGACGTCTTCGCAGGCTACCATCGTCGATGCGACCCCGCAGTCGTCCTATACCAACGCCTTTGCCGCCTCATCCTCGAATTCAGTCGACTCCGCCGCCAGCGCTTCAGCCAGCACCAGCATCGCAACCTCCTCTTTCCCTCAACCACCACCCCGCGCGGAAACCCGTGACGGCAGCCTCTGCTCTAGCGGCGGTGGCGCGGTCATGCAAGGCCTTGGGCTGGGCATCGTACCGGACGACGCCTTGCTCGATGACGATGTCAGCGAACTTAGCCTGGTCACCGACGAGGAAGAGGAAGCGCACACGGACGAAGACGATGAGGACGACGAGTACCGCCCGCCTCAGCCACGATTCCTCGACCGACGATCCCACTCGCTTCCCCTCCCCACACTGGACTCCACCCTGCACCACCGTCGAGCTCGCAAGGCTGAGCCTGGCTTTACCATCTTGCTCGACCAGGGGAGCCGCGATGGCTCAATAGACTCGCTGAATATGCTGCGTCGACCGAGTGCACCTCTCTCTAGCGTACCACTTCCCAACGTCTGCTGCGTCCGCCGTGACAGCGTGGATGGTGGTGCAGCTCGCTACTACGATGCGCCCGTCTCCCCTTCTCTGCACTCCTCGGATGGGGCTTGCTCCGGCTCGGGAATTGGCAGCGGCTCCGGCACTAGCAGCAGCAGCATGTCCACGGACCATTGGGCCAACTTGATCGAGTACGAGTACCGCGGCGACGAGAACAACAGCGAGGAGACGACGCCTGTCGCCGACGTCAGCGCCGGCAGTGGCAGTGCTCTTGGACTCTCCTTTGACGCCGACATCCAAGCGAGGCGCCCAGGCCGCAACCCGGGCTACGACACAAAGCTGCGCGTCACGGGGATCCCATGGCTTGACGACGAGCTGCGAGCAGAGGGAGCGCTGGATGTAGACGAAAGCCCTGCCTTGCCCGAGACACCGCCTGAGCTCCTTTGCGGGCAGGAGAGCTGGCTTGGTGATGACGACGACGAAGACATGCTTGACGCCATGATGGCCAAAGCGTTCAAGCCTCAGGCCAAGCGCGACTCGAGGCGTCTCTCCGCCATGCGCCCTGCCACGGCCAAAACCATTGCCTCAATCGAGTCGACCCGTACCAGTCGCAGCGACAGCATCAACTCGATGGGCACTCGCGCCAGTGCAGCAATCAGCTTCAACAGTGAGCCTACTCACTCTCAAGTGCCTGAGCGCAAGCGCAAGAAGTTGCAAGCCAAGCTGCGTCTTCTCGCCTCCCTGCCTATGGCGCCTCCTCGCACGACCTCGCTCGCACCTACCGGTGCTACGACTTCTGCTACGACGTCGCATACCTCGACCACCTCCTCTCACATGTCGCTCAACTCGGCCATTTTCCCGATTGCCGGGCTGTCCTCCACCCTCCCTGCTCCTATGAACGCCGATCACAAGCAGCGTCGCCTAGCCAGTATGGGCGAGGCGCCAGCCTTCCCCAGCAGCGTAGGGGACGACAATCAGGTGGGGGATGAGCGGCAGATGCTGGCTGCCCTCGCCGGTATCGTACCCACATCGGTGGCTCCGCTCCCGGCTCGCCCTCCTCGTCGCACCCCGTCCACCTCGCTCCAGCGTAACGGCAGTGGGGCTCTGCGCGAGTCTCGATCCACCACGGCTGTAGGTCGCAGGTACAAGGAGCAGAGTGCCGAGGTTGCCCGCCCCTCAATCCTGGTAGGCAAGCCGAGCGACTCCAACTCTCCCCGCAGCGTGAGGAGCACGGAACACATTGGCGCATCCCCCTCGATCCGCTTCCGTCGAGAGGACGACCTCATCAGGCCTACTCTGCGCAGGGCAGCCAGCAACTCGAGTGCCGCCGCTGCATCGTCGTCGAGCAGCTCGTCTTCCTTCAACAACACCTCGCAAGGCAGGCCATCCACCGAGCCCAAGGAGAATTACGGTAGCGGTCGTCGCAGCTTCGGTGACATGCTTCGTCCCTCGATGGACCTATTGCGCCCTCATGCCTTGCAGGCGGGCGGCGGGTCTTCTCGCTCCAATTTCTTCTCCCGCTCTCGACAGTCTCCCTCTCCCTCCCCTGAGTCGACGGGCAGCAACGAGGTCTCGCTCACGTTCAAGGAGCGTACATTGGGTGGACGAGTGGCCAAGAGCGTCGACTTTGGGAGCAGATTGAGCTTCTGGAACAGCGATGAGGCGCGAGAGAGTAGTCACGGTCGAGCGGCTACGCCCGTGAATGGGAGTGGTAGCGGTAGTGGTGGGTGGTTGAAGAAGAGCAGGAGCAGGTTGAGGATGATGGCTGCCTGAGCGGGCCGTGGACCAGACTACTGTCATTTGTATACCAATTTTCTTTCACTCTTTCGTTTTGTCATTGAATAGCAAGTCATCAAATTCGAGCCTTGGTTGAAGATGAGGATGCTGCTGTGGCAAATGGCGCGTAATGATGATCAAGAAGTAGGTGAGAGGAGAGCGGCGGAGGAAGCGGAGCAAAGCAAAGCAAAGATGCACCTCGAGATCGGGCGGTGCAAGCCTTGGTTGGACGTCCGTGCGGGGCTGTGAGAGGGGTCCCGTCGAGATGGGCGGGCGGGATTTGCGGCTCGTTTCTCATTTCCGCCCCTCCTGCCCTTTTGCTCCTGCGATCCTCTTCATCCCACTTCAGTTCCTGGGTTGCCCTTACACAGCCACGCCACGTTCATTGTCAGGCACCGGACGGACAAGGATGTGGCCGTACGGCGCAGGCCCGCCTCCGGCTACGACGTCGTCGTCGTCGTCATCACGGCCGGGCCCTTCATCTCCTACTCCTTCATCTCACTCTTACTCGTCAGCTTCATCCTCGTCACGACCGACCGCGGCGCCTACGTCTCCTCGCTCTGGTTGGCACCCACCGCAGCCATATGGCATGAGACCGGCTGGTCCTTATCATTCTGTATCCACCGTCAGCGCTCCCTCTGCTATGACGTCCACCAGTCCTTCATCCTGGAATCCCGCAGCGGCTACGATGTCGTTTCCCCTGCCGGGCAGGTTGCCCAACCCTTATGACACCCGGCCTCCCAACTCTGCACCACCGTCTTCCTCGCCAGCACTCACGACCGCTTCACCACAGCTCCCTCGCGCCCAGCAGCAGCAGCAGCAGCAAAGCCCTGCTCCTCAGGGCGAAGACCCCGCCTACCTCGCGGCCATCGAAGCCTCCCGCGCCTCTGCAGCTGAAGAAGCCGCTGCCCGCCTACGAGCCCAGGCGGAAGAGGATCAGGCCACCCTTGCCCGCATCTCAGCTCTCTCCCTCGCCTCTGCCCAGTCAGAAGCCGCAGCCGCCTCGGAGCAAGAAGCAGCTCAGCTCCGCAGCGTAATGAACGCCTCTCTCCAGGCAGAGGCTGAGCGTCGTGCTCGTGCTGAGGCTGAAGCGCGCGAAGAGGTGCGAAGGGCTATGGAGGCTAGTCGAGCTGAGGAGGAGAGGAGGAAACGCGAGGAGGAGGAGGTCATGCGTGTGGCGATGATCGAGAGTGCTGAGGAGCATAGGAGGCAGGAGGAGGAGAGGAGACGAAGGATGGAGATGGAAAGGCAGGAGCAGCAGAGGAGGGAGGAGGAGGCTAGACGAGTAGCGCAGGAGCAGTGGAGACCTGAGATGGGGAGATCCGTGTCGCAGAGCAGTAGGAGTAGTAGGGGCAGTGCCAGGCCGCTACCCCCTGTGCCACAGCCGCAGGCGCAGCAGAGCGAGGTGGCAAGCCTTAACGGGGACAGCGTATATGAGGACCCGGTGGGCGAGGAAGCCGAGGAAGGCGACGACGACGACTCAGGCGATGACCCCTTTGCGGACAGTGCCGAAGCTCCGCCGGAGTACAGCAACGTATATGCAGATCGACCGCCCGAGGCCCCCAGCCGCGCTCCTACGGGCATGTGGGACGAGGTGAGGGCAAGGCATATGGCTGCGGAGGCTGCTGCAGCGGTCGGAACGAACGGGCAGCAAAGAGCTCCGACTGACCCGATCGAGGAGAAGAGGAGGATGGAGGCACTGGGGGCAAGGAGGACCGCGAGCCCCGAGGCAGTGGCGTCGACTTCTGCGACGCCAATCAATGGCAATGCAGAGGCGGGCCCATCGACGTCGAGTTCACCTGCTGTCGAGGAGAAGAAGTCGTCCTCCGTTTCCACCGGCCCAAGCGTGCCACTCGGCCTTTCGTGGGGCTGGTCGACCCATCCATTCGCCATCTCTCTCGACCAAGGCGAGCAGGCCTCCAGCTCAAGCTCCAGCTCCGCCTCAAGCTTCCCCAACACCATCTCCCTTCACCTCCCATCCGGCCCCTCCTGCTCAAGCTTCACATTGCGCTCAGGCTCATGGCGTCTCCTGCTGCGCGCCCTCGCCTGGCTAGGGAACACATCGATCACCTCTGCCCACGAAGCAGATACAAGCACACAGCCTCGCCTCTTGGTGGATGTGGAGCTCGTCACCCCCACTCCCGCAACCCAAGCACAGCAGGAGCGCTCTCGTCAGCAAGGTGGTGGTGGTCGTCAAGCCTGGCCCTCAGCAGCTCCCGTAGCATGCGTCGCCGTCTCGCTTCGCCTCTCCACTCAGCCTCCAGCTAGCAGCATAGCTGCTGCTCATTCGGCTTCCCGCGAGTTGGACAGCGAGTACACAAAGCATGGTTCGAGACGCAATGTACTGCCTACCACTGCCGGTGGAACAGGACTAAAGATCCCGTGCACTTTGCTGGACGTCGCACAACATCTCTCTGCCTGTCGGGGAGCTTCGGCTCAATCAGGAGGAGGAGGAAGGAGGGGGGAGAACGGGCCCAGCGCCAATGGGCATGGCCAGTTCTCAGCCGCATCACAGCAGGGCCACCATCACATCGTCCCCGCCCTCGCGCATCGAATTGAGGAGCACGACCTCGCCTTCATCGAACGCGGCCCCGTCCGACGCGGTATCGACCATGCAGTCGCATCGCAAGTTGGTCGTCGTACACTCCTCGACTCTTTCTTCGCAACTACCGTGCCGAGAGGAAGAGAACGCGTCGCTCTGCTCGAGCCACCGGGTATGCTACTGCCCCAGCCGGGGGATGGTGACGACGACGACCGCGACGATGACAAGGTGGAATACGGGGCTCTCGCCCTTGACGGGGAGGGGGGCGGGGAAGGGGAGGACGAGGACGACGCCTCGCCTTCGTCGCGCAGGCAGAGGATGCGGGATAGGATGCGCAGGATCTACCATGGTGATGAGGCGCGAAGAGGCGCAGCGGGAGGGGATGGGGAGCTGGCTAATTGGATCACGCCTTTGGATCTCAGCAGGGTGGGTTGAGCGAGTGATCCCAGCAATCAGGCGACGATGGCGATGGTGATAGAACGTAGATTGTTATGTAGCACGATACGTTGACTTTGACGAGATACCTCGATGAATACATGACCTCACGACGGGCTTGGTCGTGACATCGCCGGCAGGCTACTTGCTCTTTTGCCCCGACTCGCCACTACCATTGCCAACCGCAGCGGGCACATCGGCTCCCACCGGCTCTCCCATGACTCCCACCCCACCCAAAGGGATCACCGTCGCCTGCCCTGTCCTGCCATACCAGCTCATCCAGTTGGCCACCTTGGGTCGCTCCCTCCCTCCTGCGGCGTTCAACACCTCTTGAGCCATTATGCCGCCCAGAACCGCACAGGTGGGCGAAATGTCCGCTGGTGGGTAGCGCGAGGCGTCTGACGCCTCAGTTTCGGACGAGGTGGTGGGAAGGGGGATGGTGGAGCGCAGGTAGGTGGACGCCCATACGAGGGGAGTGGAAGGAGGGGGACAGAGGTCACTCCAGAAGATGGATTGGCGCTGCGTTTCAGTATTGAGTCCGGCGCGTGATGACAGGAGAGAGTTCATTGTGTCCACCAGGAGTTGGGGCGACTTGTCATTTTCCAAGAGGTCTGCGGCTGTTGGTGTGGCGCCTGAGCTGATGAGATGCCAGACGGCTACGTGTGCGTGTATGTGCGAGGGTCGAAGGATCAGTATACGTCGCCCTCAATGCAGCACGCCACGCCCACTCACCAATCGTAGCCCACAACCCTGCACTTCCCCTCACGACCCTTTTACCCTTTGCCGCACTCATCCTCCCACCAGCAGCGATCCACTCGCCCTTGACTTCATCCGCAAGCACCTCCCCCGCCTCAACAAAGCTCTGTACCATCATCTCTGTCCAGCTCTCCTCGACCGTTCCCCCCGTCTTGGGGTCGCGTTTTGTGCTCCTCCTCTCCACGAGGAACTTGTGCTTCTCCCCCAAGTCTTGGAAGAGGACCCCATCCAGTCCCTGGGGGATGACGAGGTGGAAGAAAGTGTTGCCTCCCGTTGGGTGAGGGGGAGAGGAGCGACAGAGGGCGTTGAGTTGGGAGAGGAGGGAGGGGGAAGGGTGAGGGGGACGGAAAGGGTTGGAGGGACAGTAGATGAGGGAGCGGGGAGAGCTGCTCAGGAGGGGCTGGAGGGTTGAGAGGGTCGCAGCTGAGGTCACGGGAGTGATGAGGACGTGCGGGTTGAGAGAGCACAGCCGTGGCAGAGCCGCTTCAACGCGCTGTGATGGGCGTTGGCAAATTGTCAGAACCGGTCAGCCTTCTCTCTCTTCCTCTCGAGCCTTCTCTCTGCTCTTGTCTCTCTCCCACTCACCTTCTTGCCAACATCATCCTCTCTCCAAACAAACCCGGCAGCAGCGAGACTCTCCTCCCCAACAATCCCATCATCCACAAGAATCAACTCTTTGACCCCCGCCAGGACGAGGTTCTTTGCAATCTCAGCTGCCACCCCTCCCTCGAAAGGAGTGATGATTATACGAGCTTGACGGATACGCGACTGGGCTTCTGAGCCCCACAGGCGTAGTTGACGATCATAGAGGGCTGCTTCCTCTGCGCGGGTAGGAAAAGGGAAGGTGAGGTGAGGTGAGGTGATTGAGGATGAGATGTCAGCAGAAGGACGGCGTGAGAGGTGAGGTGAGGTGAGGCGAGGCGAGGTGATTAGCCTACCCACCTTCTGTCATCTGATCACTCCCGCCAGGCTGAGTAGATGCCGAAGCCGAAGCCGAAGCCGAAGCAGACGCTGCAGCCGCAGTAGTCTCTGCTATCTCCTCTTCAGGATTCTGTGTCATGATGGTTGCGGATAGAAGGGAGGACAAGGTAGGGAAGCAGGATTGAAGCCTGTATGCGCCCGCCCGCTTTCTTCTCTTTGTCCGTCCGTCCGTCGCTCAGACAAGGGAGACCAAGTTCAGGGTGCACGGGCCGCGATTCCAAGGAGAAGGGGAGGGGGGCAGGCATGGGGGGTGTCGTCCGACTCTGCAGGCAGGCAGCTACGGTTCATGCCATCTAACACGTGAGTTAAATTATTTGATCGATTCGGTGGTGTGCCTTACAACAAGGTGTGATTACAAAGAAAACAGACTCGGCTCACTGCTAAGCCGCATAATCCTCCAGCATCGCCTCATCCCCTCCCTCGACAACACCGTTGACCTTGGCCTCCTCCGCCTGCTGCTGCTGCTGCTCAAATTCGCTCTGTTGAGCCACCGCAGCGGCCGCTGCAGCAGCAGCGGCGGCGGCAGCAGCGGCAGCAGCCTCTGCCTCGTGGTGATGATGGTGGTGGTGGTGATGATCATGATGCTCCTCGTGGTGGCCCTCGTGATGATGAACCCCATGCTCCTCCATCTGGTGATGCTGCTGCTGCTGCTCATGATGCGCCGCCGCCGCCGCAGCAGCCGCTGCTGCAGCCACATCGCTCGCAGAGGGCAAAGTCTCACCATGCAGCTCTAGGAAAAGTCCCTCAACATCCGCCGCCACATCGTGGCACAGATCATACGCCCGCCCGTACTGCCTGAGCGCGAGGGTGGCCTCTCCTGCCTCGCTCGGCCGGTTGAAGCGCGCTAGCACGTACGCCGACTCCGCGATGGGCATAAGGGCGATCCCCGGGTCCATCTTGAGGTATCCATTCGAAGACAGTACGGAGGAGAGGGAGGCGATGCGCAATGCCGAGTCTAGGGCCTCGGCCGTAATCCTTCGTCCAAGTGTCTGCCCCTCCTCACCCAGACTAGAGCTCGAAAGCCCATACTCGTCCAATCCTTGCCAAAGCACCACCCACAGGACGTGATACAGGATCTCAGAGTTGGTCGCAATAATCGCGTCACTGAAATCCCAAGTAGAGGGCCATTCGGCCGGTACGCCCACTTTTGCCAGCCAGGTGTTCTTCCACTCGTCTATCTGCCCCACCAAGTGGGCGAGGCTCTCCACCTCCACGCCATGCAGCTCTGCTCTAGCCGTGAATACGACGAGGTGCATGAGGCGGCATACCTGATTTGCGGCCTGCGAGGAGGCGAGCCAATTGTCATACTGCTCTCCTGGCCCGAGGGGGGATGTACCGCCCAGCTTGTCGTTGCGAGGGGCTGCGGAGGGGGAGCCGCAAGTCGAGTCCTCAAGGGAGAGGAGGGGCTTACGACGATGGTAGATTGCTTGGTAGGCATCGAGGGATTCGAGAAGGTACCACGCGTAGAGGAGTGAGCGCTTCTCTTCTGTGTCCTCGATGGTGCTGATGCCGGAGGTCGTGTTGTGCCCGAGCGTCATCATGTGGTGCGTGGCGGCGAGACGGGCTGTGCTGTGGCAGCGAAGGTGGGAGCGGGAGAGGAGGGGATGCTGTACACGATCCTTGCCGACGACATCGATGGGGTCCGTCACGGGTCGAGCGGGGAAGGGACGCCGTCTTGTTTCCCAGAGCAATGGCTCAAGCAAGAGCGCTGCCTTGACATTCGTGGTGGTAGCGACCGAGTAGACGCGATTGCGCTCAAATACGTCGAGGCATCGCTGGATGAGGTCTTCAGCTACGCGACTCGTCCCAATGGCATCATTTGCGTTGCCGTTCTGCTCGAGGTCCGACCCCAGCAGGATGGCCTCTGAGCGCTTAGCCTTCTCTGTTGACGAGAGGTACTGCTCCGCCTCTTTTCTGTCCGCAATCAAGATCTGCGCTTCACTGAATCTTGCGCCCCACGCAAGCACAACGGCTACCAGCACGTCCGGGATGGGCTGGCTACCACTTGCTCCACCGCCTGGAGGACAAGCCGCATCTCTCGCCGGACCGGTACACAGATGCTGGCGAAAGGCCACCTGATCGAGAATGGGGTATCTTGGATGGACGACCTTGAAGTAGGTATCGACGAGATCAGAGACGAGGTCTTTGCGAGCCTGGGTGTTCTGGATTCGGGACTCGGCTGCGGTTGGCAGCTTGGGGCGTTCCGCAGGTAACGAGGCGGCGCTCAGCCCTCCCGATGCTGGAGACGGGGCGTCCGTTGCTGTGTAGGGTAATGGGGGCTCACGGAGAAGGAGATGCTTGACCACGGAGGGGAGGCCGTCGTCCTGGAGAGCGGCTGCTGCTGCTACGTGGGGTGACGATGGGTCATGACCTTCGCCATCCACGGCTGTGGCGGCGGCTGACGTCGGAGCGTGGGCATGCGAGTGGGAATGAGGTTGAGGATGTGAGTTTTTCTGCCTCTTTGAAGGTCGTCTCGGTCCAGATGTGACCATCTGAACGTAGAAGGTGGTGCACTCCAAGTTCTTGCGTTTGCACTCGTAGCACTTGGTCTCCCCTAGCTCTCGCACACATTTCACCTTGCGACCACGACAGGCGTCGCAGGATTGATTCTGTTTGCGTGACGCTGGTGGGGAGGCTGCGTGGGCGCGAGAGGATGAAGCGACTGGAGCGGATGAGTCGGTGGTACCGTTGCCGTTGGCGGATGCATCTTCGACTGTATGCTGTGCTTGGTCGTCGTGCGTGGTAGCATGCTGACCATCGACCTGCTCGGCGGGGACATGCTGCTGCTGCTGCTGCTGCTGCTGCTCTGCGGCCTGTTGTGCTGCCTCATCATATGCGCCGTGATGATGATTAGCAGCGGCGGCGGCGATGGCAGCAGCAGCAGCGATGGACTCGAGGTTAGGAGCGGACTCAGCAGCAGCATGGCTGTCGTCCTTGCTGCTGCGCTCTTGATCCGCGCCTTGAATCACTTGTTGAGACGCCTCTTCATCCTTTGCTACGTCGCCCTCATGCTCGTTGCCTGTATGCTGCTGAGCATTATCTGATGATGATTCGATTCCAAAGAAGGCCGCTCCCGCCTCATCATGATGATGGTACGCAGCAGCGGCGGCGGCAGCAGCAGCATGAGCAGCGGCTGCTCCAGCTACTTCAGCTGCCTGCTCATCGCTGACTGCGTGGTGATCATCGGCCTCGTCACCTTGTTCGTGGTGAGAAGCGTCGTTGTAGTCGGTCATGGCCCGCCGATGGGACCTGGTCCCACTTTGAATGTGGGGTGGGGGACGTGGGTGTCGGAGCCGTGAGTCAATCGAATGGTCGGGAGGGAGGTGCGGATCCGGTAACAAGAGGGCGAGCGAGCCAGCCAGCCAGCGGGTCGAGAGCCACAAGGCGGTGGCAGGCAGGGCGTCGAGGCAACTGTGGGAGGGCAGCGTAGGTCTGCTACTACGCTCCTCAACTCCAAATGACGATGAGGGAGACGAGACGATGGCGATGGTAAATGCTCGAGTGCGTCGGGGCGGATGCACACGACCGAGCTACCAGGATGACGAAGACAGAGGAGCGCGGGGCAGAAGCGCCTCAGCCTCGGCCGAGCCACGTGGTTTAGACAGAATGGCTGGCTTCGCAACCACACCACACCACACCACCACTACCGCCAGGCGTCGGGGAACGCCATCTATGGTATCGTGATATTGGACATTTGCCAAGCTACAGAAACAATCATCAATCATCATCAACGTACTCGACCTTGTAATGAGTCTCCAAGCGAGACTGCTGGCGCTGTCGACGTTGCTGCTGCTGCTGCCTCTCAGGCTCACCAGTCCATCGATCGTAAGTCGTAGCGCCACGCAACGACTGTCGTCTACCGGTACCACCGCTACCTTGACCGCCGCTGCCACTGCCGCTGCCACTGCCGCTGCCACTGCCACTACCACTGCGCCAAGCCGCCTCCATCCTCTCCGCTGGGCTCACGATCTGCCCCACCACGAAGCCACCGAATCCATCCGGTTGGCGCTGAGACGGCTGAGCTGGAGGAGGAGGTAAGGAAGTGCGTCTCGAATCAGGCCCCAGATTGGAGCTCGAGGTAGGTCTAGAAGACGAAGAGGTCGACGGCATTGATCGCCTAGCGCTCGGTCGCTGGTTCGACTGAGATTGACGTTGAGCCTGAGGCGGCGCAGTCGTTGTAGCTCCATATGGGTAGCGTGCCGGGCTCAAGGGATCTGGAATTCGGATCTCGATCTTCTTTCCCTTGGGACCCACAGCAGATGAAGTGGGCATCACTGAGCCCTGCCGGCTTACCGCGGTAGGAGGTGCCACGCTACCTGGCGCAGTCGCAAAAGAGGACGCAGAGGTCGATGGTGGCGACGCCCTTGCATGAGCTTGGGAAGCCCGCTCTGATGCATGGGTAGGGCCTGAGAAGCTGATGCGAGAAGGGGTAGACGGCTGATGCGGGCTCGCGGAGACGTCCCTGCTGCTTCTCCTTGGCGGGAGGGCAAAACGGCTCAGTGTAGGCGCATCCTCTCGCAGGACTTGCGGCTCATGCTGCGCCGATGTTGAGTCGATTGTGGCCCTTTGCGGTCCCCACGATTGGTAGAGGCGAGGATTGGATAGAGCCTCGTCCTCTTGACTGCTACCGCTCTGCCCGCTCTGCCCGCTCTGCCCGCTCTGCCCGCTCGAGGTGATGATTCGCGAGAGGGGTGACTCGTCGAGGAGCGGAGAGGCGGGACGATCCCCTTCTCCGTCTACGGCTTGGTCGCGGGCGTCTTCGTAGTGGGAGCCGGAGAGACGTTCCCGTAGGGCTCTCCACCAGGCGTGACGGCGACCAGGTGCGGGCGGCTCGAGGTGGCTAGCTGGCTCTTCGTCGTCGTCATCATCCTGTTCAGCTCCACGGTGCGGACGATGGTACTGCGCCAGCTCCGGATGAGCCACTCCGCGCTTGGCATAGCTCAGCGACTCCCCTTCTTCCTCCTCCTCATCATCCAGCTCTCCCTCAAGTCCCCTCGACATCACCATACTCATCGACTTCTCCTCATCATAGTCCGTCCCAGCCGTTCCCGTACCCTGGCTCCCCGGCGGAGGAGGATCCTTCCAAGGAATCTGCATCCCCTTCTCCCCTCCCTTCTCCGTCGCCAACTCAACCGCCAACGCCTTGCTTCTCTCCCTACCCAACGCCCTAACAAGATGGCGATGCTTCTCTGCGCGAATCTCATCCACCTTCGTAACCATATCGTCTCTACCCCGCGACTTGGCCATGACATATCGCCCACTCTCGCCCATCTGCCTCGCCCAATCCCTAAAGTCCAAGACGTCCAGCAACGCCCTCCATTTACTGGTTTTCCTGCTCCTATCCGCCGGCCGGTAGATCAAGTACGTGAACGCCTTGATGTGCAGTAGCGAGAAGATGACCATCTCGAACGTCTCGAGCAAGGCGTTGATGCCCGCTTGGACGTCGAGGGAGGTCATATGGTCCGTGGCGTGGATGACCTCGAAGTAGGCTAGGATGGAGAGGAAAGTGGCTTGCCAGAAGGTGAGGAAGACGACGGACTTTACGGCGAGGAATTTGAGCACGGGGGAGTAGGGTTCGAGGGGGGTTTGAATGGGGAGGTAGAATTGGATGATGCCTGGCGAGAGGTACGAGGCGTCAAAGGGATGTCAGCTGAGCTAGGGCGGAAACGTGTATCGCTCTCGCAGCACACTTACAGTACATGGCAATGGTCACAGAGATGGAGATGGCCAGACTGATCCATATGTGCCCAAAGTTGGGCATCCAGCTCTCGATGCAGTACAGGTCCAGCGCCTCCAGCACGACGGCGAAGATGGTGCACAGAGGGCGAACAATGGCGTACTGTAGGATGGAGACTAATGCCAAGGCGCCGGAGCATTCAGATGTCAGCTACGCTTCGTATTCGCTCGTAAAGAGGCTTGCCGTGCTCACTCTTCATCAACCACAAGAAGTGAAGCCCATCCGGCCTGTACTTCCACCAACCCATAGGCCAAAACCATTTCTCCAGCTTGACCTGCCTGAAGACTTCGTGCTGCTCAGCGCGGGTATCGCCTACGTATTGGAGGAGGAGGTAGAAGAAGGAGGTGATCACCACCGCTTCATAGCAGTCCCGGATGGTCTCGTAATAGAGCGCCTAGCGCGACGAGGGGGTAGCGTGTGAGCACATACTAGCAGCCCCATTGTCGTCTCTGAATCTCTGTCTCGCTCGCTCACCTGCCTGTAGAATAGGTACCCCGCAAAGCTCACACCGCTATACACGGGCGGCATGAAGAGCATCCGCACAATATGTCGCTGTTGAGGCGGGCACGTGTAATACGTCAAGTGCTTGACGATGAGCCAGATACTGGCGCACCATGTGATCAAGGTGAAGATGCCCGATAGCAGCCATCCGACATCGTGAGTCTTGAAGTTGAGCTGACCATCCACCAAAAAGGGAACGGGGTCCAAGGGTGCCTCGGGCGCGTGAGGACAGGTCGAGTTGAGTCCCATGCTTGTTCGCGCTAGCCGGTGGGCTCACTCGAGGTCTGTGTCGTTGATGAGACGCTGTTCTTCTATTGCCGTGTATTCGTTACCGGGTAGAAACAATGGTGCGACGAGGACGCGAGGGAGGGATGTGCGAGTCGTGATGAGGCGTGAGAGGACGTGAGGACGTGTGAGAGAGAGAGAGAAGTCGTGGAGCCGGGTCGTGAGGTAGGGATGAGGTAGAAGGAAAAAGCGACGCCGAGAAGAGGAGGAGGATCGAGCTAGGAAACAGGAGCCATGCTGATGAAAGAGGAAGGTGGTATAGATGGAGAATAGGAAGTCGACCGTGCTTTGCTTGCTTGCTTGCTTGCCAAGGGGCATTGGACGTTAAACGGGTGGACCTGCCTGCCTGCCCAGCGTCGGCCCCACCGCACCGCGACTCAGGGGCTTGAATCGCATCGCGGCCCTCGCCAACTCGATCGCCTCCTTTCCGTGCCGCCGGTATCTCCATTGATAGCCTCGCTCGAGCGCGGCGGTGACGTGCGCATCATCGTGCCCGACGGCCTTGCCTCATTGATCGAATCATTGCTTGCAGCACGAGGTGGGGTGGCAATCATGCACTGAGCTGTCTGCTGCCAGGTGTCGTACTCGACCTCTACCGTGCACTCCTCTACGCCCCACGACTGGAGAATAGCACGAGCGCGGCGTAGGACGTCGGACGGCATGATGAAGAAGTGGTAGAGGTGAGGGTGCGGCTGCGCATTCGGGTTGGCGCAGACGTTGGGCTTCTCGTCGGGTAGGACAAGGAGTAGTTTGACCGAAGCGATAGAGTGGTGCTCGTTGAGCTGCCAGATGCGCAATTCGTCGATGCGTAGCACGCCGGGAAGGCGCGTGAGCTCCGAGGAGATGCGCTCGATATTGACTGAGCTGGGGGTGCATTGTAGGAGGACCATGCCTGAGCGGAGGGCTGCGAGTGTGTGGGAAGAGGGCAAGCGGTGGTCAGCGTGAGCTGATCGCTATTTGACGATGGATCATTTCTCACTCAGAGGCATCGCCGTGCAAATGATGCTGAAGCCAATGGCCAACGAGAGAGCTGCATCGACATACGAGGTCACCTCGCTCTGATGGAGACACAGGGATATGATGCCGACGATGATGACGCCGATGGTGTTCAGCGCATCGCCGAGAATGTGAATGACAACGCCGGATGCTGCGAGGCTGCGATGGGCAAGAGCATGCTTTTCTTCGTCGGTCAAGTGGTCCGTGGACGAGCGAGGCGACTCGAGGCGAGGAGAGCCGTGAGAGTGGCCATGATGGTGTCCCTCTGTGCGAGCGAGAGCATGCGACGGTGTGGTGAGTAATGATAAGAGGAGGGGCGTGCACGAAGGTGCCACAGTAAACTCACCATGGAAGACGAGAGCCATGATGCCATTGCAGACGAGGGCTGCTGCTCCCATGCCAATGACAACGACGGGGTGATCGATAGCTGGGGCGCGAAGAGGAGGGGTAGAGAATTTGCATCAGTCTGACGCCCCCCTCGACTGTATGCTGCTCGCCACGCACAACCTACCTCGACGATCAACAAAGCGTTCCGTGGCCTGCAGAATGATGCTGAGCCCCACAGCGATCAGAAAGGCTCCATTGAAGAACGCGCCAACGATGTCCGCTCTCTTCCATCCATAGGGCAGTCGAGCAGACAAGACTGCGAAGCGCGAAGGCTTTTCCAAGGGCACCGACAAAGGCGATGCCACACGGGCTGGTACGCGGGTGAGTGGGAGGATGCCTTGTGGCTGCGGCGGCATCGAGTCGGCTTCATCTGCGTGGTGCGTGAGGCTGATGCTGGCGTAGAGGATGAGGTAGCCTACGAGGTCGGAGATCTGTGCGGGGGAGGGCGTGGTGAGCTTGGTGAGCTGACTTGATGGAAGATGCATCTTGCCTGTGCTCACCATGTGGAAGGCGTCTGCAATGATGACGAGCGTCGATGTCAGGCGACCAACTGCATGGCAAGAGGTGGGATCAGATGGTCAGCTACGGCTCAACGCTCAGCTACATCTGTCTCCCACCTCGCGTCACTCACCCAGTACCTCCCCAATACAGATCAAGAAGCAGATGGCCATGACAATTTCAAGCTTGCGCTTGCGCGAGAGGGGCAAAGACGTCTTCATCCTCGTCGATACCGTCTCCACGGTACGGGGTTAAGCGGTCGGTGTTGGTGGTAGTGAAGAGGTAAGGAGAGGTGTGGATGCGTCGTGATTCGGGAGCGTGAGCGTGGGCGTGAGCGTGAGCGTGATGGAGGCTAGAGCTGAGCTGAGCTGAGCTGCACCGCTACCGCTAGCTGAGCGTAGCCGTGGATGGCTTGTCGTGAGGACGAGTCGTCGAGCGTGGTGAGAAAGTATCGTTGACTGGCGGGCGAGTCAGTCGTGTGAGTTGGTCGTGAGTGGAAGGGAGGGAAGCCAGAGGCAGCGAGCCAACTTCAGACTAGAGGAGGCTTGTGTGTGTGTCGCACGTCACCTGCTTCGCCTATCACATTGCGAGCCCAGCCATGTCAGCAACAGAGCGACGTCGCGTGCGTGAGTGACTCGCCTCGCCCCGCCTTTCTTCCCCCTCGCCTCCAGTCTCCCGTCTACTCTACTCTACACGGCGGTGTCTCCGGCGGACACACTCTTCTCCTTGGCCTCTGCACAACAGTTGCAACCAGACAAATGGATTTCACTCGCGCTCACACACTTGCACCTGCTCCCAGGCGCTCGACTCAAGCGCGCCCATCCCCATCCGGCGCCGCTCGCCGAGGCCGGAGCGCGTGGTGCGATGCGGCGGTGCCTGAAGAGAAAGGGAGGAGGCAGGAAGAAGAAGCGCAGAAGGCGGGAGGAAGGGCGAGCGGCGGGACGAGAAGCGCGACGCTCAATTGATCCAATCAACTCGCTCGTCACGAGCGGAAGACTCGCCGAGCCGCCCCGCGGTGTTCCTTAATGAGTTCTCAATCAATCAATCAATCACACAGCCAGACGAATCGACGGGAAGTGCACCGAAGGAGCCCTTTTGCTGCGATTGGTTGGTATTGCTGAACGGATGAGCGAGGAAGAGAACAGCGTAAGGTCAGGTGGGCGGTGGTGGTCGTGGTGTTGAAGGCGTTGACGGAGTCGGTGTCGATGCTCCCCATCCTCTACTACCCAAATACGATCCAAACCTGCCTAACGCTGCCCTCACTTCTGTACCCGCTGCCATCGCAGCTTGCTGTGCGGCCGCAGCGTGAGGGGCGAGGGTCTGACGTGCCGCTTCCAGCCTCTCGCCGGCGCCTGCTCCTTCCACCACCGTAGACGATGACGTGCCATTGGCGTTAGATTGGGCCAGGCCCTGGCGTCGACGATGGTCTGTGATATCGTCTAGGGCAGTCACCGCTCCTCCCGGCGAGGTGGCCGACGACGGAGCTTGCTCCGAGCTGGCTCGTCCCTCATTATCTGCGCCCGCCGCGCCCGCCGCTGCCTGCTGGGCATGCTGCTGTTGCTGATGCTCCACCCACTCACGTCTCCGCTTCGCCATCTCATTCCCAAATCGCTCTGCCATGCTAAAGAGACCGCGCCCCGCCTTCTCCACGTACTCTCTCGTATCCCTCACCTGCTCCTCGAGCCTCAGGTCGTGCAACCCAGCACTGAGCCTCAGCCCAACGTCCTCGAGTGCAGAGACTCGCCCGGCGCACGGGTGACGATAGGGCACCAGATCGAAGAGGACGGGCGAGGTAGACGCTGACCAGACGGCGTGGGCTTTCGTGCGCTTGAAGGCGCTCAGGAAGAGCGGGTTAAAGTCCCTTATCGCCTCCACGGAGTCTGGCGCATCTATGCCTGCCGTTTTGGTGTTGGTGCCCGCAAGGGTGGTAGCAGAGCCCCCGTTTGGTGTTAGAGTGCCTGATGAGGAGGAGGCGTGCGGAGCGGCGGGATGAGAGCCGGGAGTAAAGGCTGCTGCTGCGGCGGCTGGGTCACTCTTGTCGAGGAAGTCTGAATATTTGGTGCAGGAGAGCATGGCGCAGACGTAAGACTGCCAGCGGCGGCGGAGGGGGTGAGGAGGTAGCAAGATTGTCAGCTCGAGAGAAACAGAACGATGTTGTGACACCGCAATCTGAGCGCGGACGTACCTCGAACTTGGCCCGCAGCCAATCCTCACTTCCTTCAAATCGCATCGTAGTAGGTCTTGCCGGGTCCTCCGGATTGTAGCTCTCCGTCACGACGCTGACCAGCTCGTCCATCCACTTGCGATCGGCCGGGGTAAGGGAGACAATCTGCGCCAAGCTAGGTTCAGCATTCGTGGCATGAGGTGCTGTTCCCTGTACGCTCTCGGGTGGCTGATGCGTCGCTGCGAAATCGAGGGTGCAATGTTCCAAGTCCACCACGACGTCAGGCTTATACTCCTTCTGTTGCCTGAAGATGAGATTCGTCGTCCCCACCAGCCAACTGGGTGCCTTGAGCAGGTCGATCTGCTGTAGTGGCAGGTAGGGCTGGAAGAAGGCTCCTTCGCCAAAGAGGCGGAGCGGGCAGCCACAGAATCGGAGGAGGGAGCGACGATCCGAAGTCTTTACGTCTTCTGCGACGGAGAGCTTGTGATTGGCCGTGTAGTCTAGGGAAGGGGAGGAGCAGTCCGAGAGGGAGAGAAGGAGGCCAGGAATGAGGGAGACGAGTGTATACTCGTACACACAGAGGCGTTCGACGGGGTAGCCTGGCGGGGTGCGAGGAGTGTCAGCCTAGCTCTTCGTGACCGTACGGCTGATACGTACCAAAGAACATGATCCTCTTCTGCAGCAACAAGAGCTTGACGAGCATCAGGGTCTTAAACCTGAATTTGAACACGAGCTCCCGCAGCGAGGTGCCCATGTACATGACCCCTTCCCTCAAATCCTCAGCCACAGCCGGTGTGGGAGCCCCTTCCTCCGGCTCACCACCACCTTCCTCTCCCGCTGTGATAGGATCTCTCAGCCCGGCAGCCCTCAGCCCTGCCTCTAGAGTATCGTGAAAATCGACGAGGATACCCGTCTCTGCCAGATCCCCCTGAGCAAAATAGGCGCGAGTGACGATTCCCAACTTATCCCTCAAAGGCGCAAATACCGGCTGCCTAGCCAAGACCACTACTGCCTTCTGCACTGTACTCCTCGTCACATCTTTCCCCTTCTTCAGAAGCTTATCGCTGGCAATCTGTCGATTGCACGAGATGCCGAAAACGGTACTCTGTTCTGAAATGCTGGGACAGAGGAGGTGGAAATGGGCAAAGTCCTCGTCGGAGAGGTGGGAGCCGTCAGGGAGGGCGCAGAAGGGCAATGAGGATGTGAGATCGGCATGGTCTGGTGAAAGAAGTGAAGAGGGATAGGCCCATTCTACGATTGGGCCTTGAAGGTGGTTGAAGTCTACTACTGCTACGCCGAGGATGAGGGAGGAGGAGGAGGAGGATGGCGAGAGAGTGTAGGTGGATGCGATGGCAGATGCCGAAGTAGATGGAGCTGGTTGCGATGGTGGTGAGGAGGATGAAGTGGCCTCTGTCGCTGCTATCACCTCAGCAGGCGCAGCTATTGATGAGGACGACGACGATGTAGCAGCGGCCTCGTCCATATCGAGGATGAGAGAAGAGTGACTTGGAGAGTGTAACAAAGTGTGGCCGGCCGCGCCGCTGCGCCCTGACTTGCTTCGATGCCGTCTTGCCGCCCCCGGCTCAATCGGGCTGGTCTGGCGTCTCAAAGTGGAGCACGTTGTTCCAGAGGAGCGAAAGCACCCAAGATGCCGCCGGTTGAGTGAGTGTTGCTTGCCCCGCACAAGCGCAAGCTCCCTCTCTCGTCTTTACCACGCACCCCTATCTGTCCTGATGATGGCTTCGCAACCACAAGAGCACGAAAAAGAGAGTGTCATCGCCTCGTTGGAGTCTCTGGTAGGGTACGACATCACATCCAGTGATTCGGCCTCATTGAGCGCCCATCCAGTCGAGAATAATGCCATCACCCCAGGCCACAAGGCCGCCTCTTCTTGGTGGAGGCGCTTCTTCCCCAGTGATGACACGATTGATCGGCTGTTCGCGGATGAAAATATGGTGAGTGTGAGCAGAAGAAGAGAAGCGACGTGGTGGCACTGACAGAAACACACTGGCGTTGTTTTCTCACCCTCGCGCAGGGCAATTACGTCGTCATTCGATCTACGGGCCAGGAGATTTTCGAGGCAATGCCGCTTTACGTTCGGGTGAGAAACGGGACAGATGAGCAACCTTGCTGTCCAAAAATACTGAGCTAACAGCATTCTACGTGTTGTCCCCAGGTCGGCATGTGAGCACCAGCCTGCCTCACCTCTTCGCATCCACAATCGCCTCCCTCCCTCCTGACCGACCAATCCACCTCACGCCCCCTCCGTTGCGCAGGCACCTCCTCTTCTACCATTCACGGCAATCCTCCCTCCTCAGGTGGAGCAGTGTATCCCACGCGCTCATATCTCTCTCTCAGCACCAAGGCAAACTCTACGACGACTCCTCTGACCCCGCCGCAGTTCGAGCGCACATCGAGTCATTCGTGCAGACCTACTCCATCCCCCTCGACGAGCTCGCACAACCAGACTTGGCCAAATACCCAACGTTCAACTCCTTCTTCACAAGAGCGCTCAAAGACGGGGCAAGACCTATCGCTCCTCCTCTCGACGACCCGGCCATCATATTATCCGCAGCAGACTGTCGACTTACCGTCTTCCCCACTGTGGACGAAGCGACGCGCTTTTGGATCAAGGGCCAGAAGTTTTCCCTCTCAGCATTACTCGACGACGAGAGCGTGACAGCGCAAAGCCTTTCGGCTGGGGCCAGTCTAGCCATCTTTCGCCTCGCGCCGGCAGACTACCATCGTTTCCACTCGCCCGTGGGGCCATGCACTAGCGGGCCGACGAAGCATGTCAAGGGAGAGTGAGTGCGGGCGTGGCTCGTCGAGGTGTGTGAGACCAAAACATGCTGATGCTTCAACCTCGCCCGTTGTTCCAGACTATTCACCGTCAACCCCCAAGCCGTAAACCAAGACTTCAACGTCTTCACCGCAAATAGGCGGGATATCCTCCACTCCACCTGGCACGTCACACCGACCAGCAAAATCCCGTACGCCTTCGTGGCAATCGGTGCCATGCTCGTAGGATCCATCGGGTGGTCCACCCCCGCCTCCACGCAAGGATCCACGAGTGTCAGGCGCGGAGACGAGCTGGGATACTTTGCCTATGGGGGAAGTACGGTCGTCGTCGTCTTTCCAGCGGGGAGCGTGCAGTGGGATGAGGATTTGAGGAAGAACAGTCAGAGAGGGGTGGAAACGATGGTTAGGGTTGGGGAGAGGATTGGCAACGCCACCGGTAGATGAGCATGCGTGCCGTTGAGGATGATAGGTGATTGATGATTACTCAAGGAGAAGAATTTTGACTTCAAAAGTTGGATGGGCTCGTCGGAACTCGCTCTGGCTCCTCCCTTTTTTCTTGGTCCACTCACTCCTCCATCTCCCTCTCATTACGCTCCCTCCTCATCTCCAATTCGTAGAGGTCCAGCTCCTCACACTTGCGCAAGGCAGGCCCAATCGCAACCCACTTGGCCGCCTCCATCGTCCCGCTTCCCTCCCCACTGCCATAGCTGTCTTGACGATGCTCCGCCGCCTTGATCCATCGCGCGAGCTGAACAAGGACGGAACGCGCGTCCCTTGCCAGGGCCTCCTTGGCTTCGAGACTAGTGGCAGCGCGAAGGGAAGCGATGTCGATGATGGGCGAGTCCCACGAGTCACCGCCATCCCCATGCCCCTCGCCGTGGCTCTGCATCTGAAAACCATCCTCTTGCATCCCGACCTCACTCACGCTCCTCTTCCCACACTGATCCCCCAATGCAGCATCGATCCACTCAGCAAACTCGTCCCTCAACCCCATCTGCGTATCGTAAACCCTCCCGTTCCCTCCACCAGCACCCCGCGGAGCAGGTCGACTCAGTATGACGCCCATGAAGACCTCGCACTCGGTCAAGCTGAAGGTCCTGTGTTCGGGGGAATAACGGTCCGCGAGAATCTGCAGCTTCTGGTAGAAGGAGGCAATCTGTACGCCCTCGTAGCTGAGGTCTGGCGAGTCCCAACCTGTGGGTAGGTGGGAGCGTAATTTTGCCCAGAGCTTGGTTCGGAGGTGAGATTCGGGGAAAGAAGGGGGAGCAGATCGACCCCATTGGTCTATCGAGGCTGTCACCTCTATGCGGCGGAATAGCTGGCCGAGGGCTTTGTTGCTTTGGTAGTAGGTGACTGGGCGCGAGAGGAGGGTGCAAGAGAGTGGATGAGTGTCCTCTGCCGTGGCCTTGGAGTGTTGGTGGGGACTCACACTGCTCACGTTGCCATCTTTTACGACGTTCGCTCGATCCCGGGGTGATCTCGACGCGCGACTCGGACTGCATGTAGTCGGGCTTGGCATCGTCCGGTAGGCGGGGCATACTGAGCACGGGGCAAGGGAGAAATAGGTCAATCAGCCTCCTCAAGCCTTGCTGCCTCTACCTCTCTCTCGCTCACTCACCTCCGAAAGTCAGGCGCCACTCCACTCTTCTGGTAGTCCACCGCAATGCTAGCCATCTCCGCCAGCTGTATGCACTGTGGGTCTTCCACGCCCTTGGGACTACGGTCAGACAGGCACAGATGACGATCGGCAATGGCGCTGATTCTGTCCGTTTGGATGAAGGTGAGGAAGAACTTGACCACATCCTCGATAGTGCAGGGGCGATCCAGCTCGGTGGACTTGGCAGGGTCGTAGCCCGCGGACTGAACCGTACGCTCGGGAAAGAGGGCCGGGTTCTGGATGATGTTGTACAGGTCGCCGTCAAGGTCACCTCCCGCCAGCTGATTCGAGAGGGGACGATGCCCATGCTGCGAGAAGACGATGCAGTTGTACAGGTCGTTGAGCGGGGATCCCTCGGGCGGCTCGCCTTTCAGCTGGGCGAATTGGACATCCCCTGGAGCGAGGTAAGGGCTACGCCCTATGATGCAGCGGCCCGTGAGGAAAGTTGTCTCGATGCCTCCTCCGTCACCGCCGACTCGAAGCTGTGCGTAGACTTCCCCTTCCTTGAGCCAGCCCGTCTCGTCCACCACGCCCATAAGCGTCCAAGCCTTGTCCACCTGAATTCTTCCCCGGTACTTCATGTTCTTGAGCGTGGCCGTCAAGCATGTCATGTTGCAGCGCTTCAAGTAGTCGACTCGCACGGCATCGATGTCGAGGACGCGAGCCAGCGTCTGAAAAAGGTCGGCGGCACGCGGAGCTGACCCGTAGCCTGAGATGCGCAGAAGGCGAATAGCGGCCGCGGTGCTGGTGACCGACTCCCGTACCGTGGCTAGAGCTCGGTCTTGCAGCTTAAGCATGCTCTTCGCCGGTACGCCGAGCGTCTCTAGCAAGGCGATGAGGGGGCGATTGAGGTAGAAAGTGAGGGGTCGATCAGCCGTAGACGCCACTTCGAGAGCGATCTTGCCTCCTTGGGCCGTCTTGACCTTGAATTTGGTCATCGAGTCGCGAATGAAGACCTCAGGTCCGTTCGCAGGCAGACTCGAGTCGTAGGCCAGGACGCCCTTTGCTCCTGCCATTCGAATCTGGAAAACAACGGGAAGCACTCTCTTCTTGCCACCTCGACGCTTGCGGCCGATACGGTTATGGAGGCGCTTCAACGCAACGGCGGAGAGAGTTCCGCACCCGTCGGAGAAGTCGTAGACGCGGTTGCGCCAGGCACGAGCGATATCATCAAGAGCGCCGATCTTGTCGTGGTCAATCTCGACGGCGAGGTTCGTCGTTGTAAATGCCTGCCCCATTCGAGCCGCGTACTTGGCGGGGATGCGAATGCTCTCGAGCTCGCCGATGCCAGCACGAATCGAGGCGGCTGAGACTTGCTCGCCACTGACAGCATTGGTGAAGTCGGTGACGAACCAGGCCGTGTGCTGCTTGAGCGATGAGGTCGAGAAGGCAAGGAATTTGAAGAGGCGACCGCCGATACTAATGCCGTCGGTGAGGAAGTTGTGCCAACGCTCAGAGAAGATCCTCGAGTCTTGGTCGATGACAAAGGAGTCCCAGAGCCTGGAGCCGTCCTCCTCGCCGAAGGTCACACGCATGAAGTTCTCCTCTTGGCCGGGGTAGCGACGGATGATGCGATTGCCCTCGTCTAGGAAAGCGCCGTCCAGTGTGAGACTTGTAGGGGTAATGGTCGACGAGTGGATCTCGATGCCTTGATCGATTTCGCCCATGAGGCCTGGTAGGGAACCGCTGAGGGCACGCTCGAGGGATGTCTCGAGCAGCTCGCTGAAGCGCTCGAAGGAGCAAGGGGCGTCCTCTCCCGGCTGGCGATGGAAGAGGTCGGTGCACGATCCTTCGAAAAGGCGAGCAGCCTGCCACGGCGTGAGGTGCTCGTTGATGCGGCAGATCAGGGGAATGAGATTGATGACTTCGATCGGAAGGAGGTAGCCGGCGTGCATGCGTTTCTGGACCTGGAATGCCAGAGGGAAAGAGATGGTCGGGTAGAAGTCGTCGAGGGTCTTGAGATGGGTCGCCAGAATTGAGTTACGCATGTCTCGGCCCGGCTGAAGGATGATGACCAGGTCCGCGATCTTGCTCTGCCACCTGTAGAGCCAAGCTTCGAGCTCGTCCTCATCTCGGCACCTCACCTTGATGACGTAGCAGAATGGCGTGACTGGAGCGTGATTGGCGTCGAGGTGATCGAGGCGAATGAACTTGATGCGAGGGAAGCCATCGTTCATGGGCATTGCTCCAATCTGGCGACTATGGATGGCGATGTTGCCTGACTCGATGTTCTCGTCGGCGAGGTACATTGGCAGCCTAGGGGAGGGGTGGCAGGCCACCATACAGTAGAATCAGGCTTGAGGAGAGATGAAAGACAGGCGCCCGCCCGGTGAGCACTCACTGGCTACATTCAATGTAGAAGTCGTCTTGATCGACGATGAGGCGCTCGACGCGGGAAAGCGAGATTGAGATGAGCTGTTGGTCGATGCGAAGGATCAGGCGCCCGAGGTCGGCGTCGATGTACAGAGTCGAATGGTGGTCGTTGAAGACGATGCTCTGCCAGGCGGGGGCGAAGCTGGCGAGAAGAGGAGCAAGGTTCAGAGAGTGAGCGATTAAGAATTTGCCGCTCGCAACCACTCACCGTCCTTTGTCATCCCACCTTTAACAGTGAGGGATCAGCAGTGTGTCAGCGCCGCTACATTGATACACGCTCCGCTCACTTACATGCCAAGCTCGCAGTGATGGACGAGAGGCTCAACCTTGACCTCATCTTCTTCCTCGTAGTCGCTAGGCGCATCCTCCAAGGCTCTCTCTGGGCGAAACCTCAGCGACTCGACCTCCTGCCTAGTGAGTCGATGACGAGCAGGGTCAGACTTGCTAAAGGTGAGCCAATTCTTGCCAATCTCGACATTCGAGGGGCGAAAGCGGGGGACGTGCGACGTCACGGCGCGAAAGAATTTGTCCTGCGGGCGCGAAGGGCCGAATATTCAGAGATGGGATTCTCCTGCAATTACACTGCGCTCGCGCTGCTCACCGCCTCTTCTGCGCTAGGGAAAAGCACCAAGCCGCACTCCATCACGCCCCTCCGCAGCTGAAGCCTGGCTTTGAATCGCGGCGGGCTCGTGAAGTGAGTCTTGATGGCGTTGCCGATCTTCTTGCGGAAGTGACGCGAGTCGATGTTGCTGGGCAGGTCGGTGACGGTCAAAAGCGCAGTAGGCGGTGTGGGGTCGAGGTTGTTGACCATCGTTGGCCCTCGTCGAGAGAAGCCTGGATTCTGTACTTTGGGTCCGCGAGGAATGGCGGGTGGAGCTGACGTGCTGACGCTTGGCTGCCAATTGGAAGGCGCTCCTTTCCCCTTGCCACCACGCGGCATTTCGTTGTTGACAATGCGAGTCGACTGAGTGCGCGTGCCGGAGGGGGATCGTGCTGGCGTGGAGCGAGGAATATCACCGTTGATGACAGAGCGTGAGGGCTGAGCGGCGGTGGTCGATGCTGAGCTGCTGGCGTACGAGGGCTGCGGTGGCTGCTGCTGCTGCTGCTGCTGCTGCTGCTGAGCAGGGGTCTCGGTAGGCTGGTAGGTCTTAACTCTGGGTTGAGAGATGGAAAGCGATTGGATAGCTGAAGTGAGATTGACGCCCTCTGGGATGCGTACATCGATGCCGAGCTGAGCATCACGGCGAGTGGCGGCGGCAACTTGTAGGGCTTTGTGAGGCGGTAAAGGGCGAGATGGGTCCGGGCCGCGAATCGTAGGTGCCTGCTCGCCAGCAGCGCCAGCCGCGTGCTGAAGCTCGCCGAGCCCTTCGATGACTGGGCTCTCCATGTTTGCGGCCAGTCGTTGGGTGGGGGAACGAAGTGAAGAAGCAAATGCGGCTGAAGCGAGGCTGGCGGCAAGAGAGATGAGCGGCAACGGGCGAGCGAGTGAGGGAGCCGTCGAGCGGCAGCGGGCCCGTGCAGCGCTCAGCGCGCCCCAATCTACGCGTACTTCGTTGCCGCCAAAAGTTTCTTGCCTTCTTCCGTTGCCCAATGTCCCGCCGCCCATTACCTCGCTCCTGATGAGATTCAGGTCCAGCCAAAGGCCATCGTCAACGCAAAACCGGATGCGGCTCCCGCTCCATCCTCGAAGGGCGTCACACCATCTTCTAGCATCACATTGCCACGGCCGTACCTTCTTGCAGAAAGGCGTAGCAGCCGCACAATGTGATTCGCTGAGTAGGAGAGGTGGGCGAAGCGTGAGCGAGAGCGGGCGAGATTCAGCGTCAACACGCACCCTGCTCTTCTCTTCACCCTCAGCTTCCTCCATCCACCATCGCCATGCCCATTGTCAAGACGGCTGGCCCGTCTCCTGCCTCGGCGACGCGTTCCCATGCTCCGTCTTCTACGCAGCGACGTCGCATCGCTCCTCGCGGCCAGGAGGACGAAAATGTCGACATTGCTTCTCCTACGCCTACGCGTCCTCTTAAGACGCAGACATCTGCCCAAGCTCTCACCGAGCACGTTCTGAACAACAGTCCCGGCCGCACTCCCAAGGCTCGCGGGCCTCCCAAGGCTCCTCGCGTCGATCGCAACGATGGGCTGCGACACATGACCGAGGCTGAAGTGAGTGCGCGCGCTTGTCCAGGCACCATACAGAACGCGACTCACCGCGTGCTAACACATTGCTTGCCTGCTCGCTCGCACCCAGATGGCCGCCTCGTATTACTTTGCGCGCCAGATTGGCTGCGGCAACTGGGCATCTGTCTGGATCGTCCAGCCCAAAGGCTCAGCTCGTGGCCAGGTCAAGGCCATGAAGATTGTTCATCGCGCCAGTCAGAGTGGCGCCTTGCAGCGCTTCAATGCCCTGCTCAATGAGTACAAGGTGCGTGAGCGCGAGCGCAAGTGTCGACGTAGAGGACTGCGCTAACCTCCTACTCGCCTCACCGACGCGTCCAGGTCCTCGCTGGCATGCCTCGCCATCCCAACATCGTCTGCTTCGAAGACCTGGTCCTCAGCCCTTCCTACGCTTGCTTGGTCATGCCATTCTACGACCAGCCCATGACCGTCTGCTTGCCCTTCGCGGCTTGTCGCGTGTACTTTGCTCGGATGGCAGAGGCCGTCGAGTGGCTGCACAAGCACTACATTACGCACAACGACCTCAAGCTCGCCAATACCCTCGTCAACCGCGGCGCTGGAGAGCCATACGGCCAACCTGTCCTCGTCGACTTTGGCTTCGCGCGCAACCATCAGCCCTGCTACGGCACCAACTTCATTTCCAACGAGTCGTGGGGCACGCCAGAGTACCTCAGCCCCGAGCGTTCCGTCGGCGACGCTCACGATGAGCGACTGAGCGATATCTGGGCTCTGGGTGTCTCCTTCTTTGAGATGGCCACAGGTCGCACTCCCTTCGAAAAGAAGAATGAAGTCTTCACAACCCCTGAGGCACGCGAAGAATATTACCGTCGCACCATCCAGGGCAAGTGGTACACCGACTACGATTTACCCTTCGAGATTGAGGACTTGTGCCGCGCCATCGTCAGGGTGGACCCGCAGGCCAGACCGAGGATCCCCGAGATACTTGAGCACGACTTCTTTCAAGACGCGGCGGCTACCGACTCTGCTGGAAGCTCACCTCGCAGCATCGACGCTGCCCTCGACGGCATCGACGTCTTAGACCAGTCTATTCTTGACGAGATCGCGGCCGAATGCTCCCCAGTCGGCTGTCGTCTCACCTACGGCGAGTCGCGAGCGGAGGCAGAGCAAGCCAACAATGACTCGCAGGAGCACGATACCAGCCAGTCGCGCGACGAGTCCTCGGTCCCATTTCCCATATCGCCTTCTCCCGTCACTGGTGCACCTCCTGCTGCTACACCGGCCTCACCGGGCTCGCCTCAGCTCGGAGACCACTCTTTCGAGACTTCCGACCTTATGGACGATGTCGCACCCTGGTCCAAGCCCATCAGCAGCGATGCTACCCGCTCTCTCCTCGAAGCAGTCGAGTCGCCATCTCGCGGGCGAGCTGCAGCCACCACAGAGAGCAAGCACAAGCCCGCCAATGCGAGTGACAGCGGAATTCGCCCTCCTCACACCACCCCTCGTCGCTATGTCGTATTTCGAGGTCCAGCTGTACCTGCTGAGACGCCTACCCAGCCTCGCAAGCCAGTTGAGAGCAGCCGCAGCCTCGTAAGCAAGGCCGGGTCAACCCTACGTCCTGGAGCACCTACCCCCTCCCGCTTCCGCAGCTCTGCCACGGCAAACAGCATCGTTCTCCCTTCGCCAGGCGCGTCGCCCGTTCGCTACGTCGGCTCGCGTGCTCAAGAGACTAATCAGCGATCTTTGCTCCCCATGCCCAAGCGCCTCGCCAGCCCGGAAGTCAGCTCTTCGAGCGCCAGCACCACTAGGTCGGGTGTAGCTCGTGCTACTACCATCGCTTCCCCTGGTCGCCGACCTGGCAAGGACAGGGTGAACTCACCACCTCGTCGCATCAACACGGCTGACTCAGGCGCCGCGCCCCCACGCTACATCAGCAGCGAGGTAAAGGTCAGCGCTGGCGAGCAGCAATCTCAGCAAGTGGCTGGGCAAGGCAGTCGAGCCGCTGTACCTGCACCTGAGCCTGCTGCAGACCAGTCGATCACCACTGAGCCCGACACCCCTGCTCCTCGCAAGACCACAACTGAGGCTGCAACCATGACCGATCTCCACTTCGACATCGCCTCCACTACGCAAGCCCTCGCCACCATCGGCGAAGAGTCCTTGCGTAGCCTTGAGCACGCTCGTCAGGTCGAAGCCTCCAAGCCAGACGACAGCGTTCCTACCCCTTCCACCGCCGTGGTAAAGGTCGTGGTCGCCAAGCTGCAAGACATGAAGCGCCTCGCAGACGAGCTGGCCGACATGTCGTTGCAGGCGCAGAGCCAGCTTCAGCAGATGCAGGAGCAGAGCAGCACCGCCTCGGTCGAGCAGTTGGCTAGCCCAGCCTCAACACCCAGAGCCTCGCACGCAGGTGAAGCGCACCCAGCTCGCAACCTCGATTCGGTGGGCACAGTCGCCACTAGCATCGCCGTTGTCCCCGTCCACCCTTCCATTCGCCCTCATGCCCAGCCAGGAGGAGCAGGAGGAAGAGGCGGAGGGGGAGGCGGAGCCGGGGTTCGCCCAACTTCAATCTCCATCGACTCGCAGCGCTCCCGCGTCCTCATCCCATACCCCTCCGCCTGGACCACTAGCAACAAGAAGCACAAAGGACCCGCCCACCAAACCAGCTACAGCAACATGAGCGTGGACCTAGCTAGCCTGCGCACCACGAACGGGAACTCACCTAGCGCCAGTCAGATGGGCACGCCGAAGAGTGGGCGAAGCCTGAACAAGCTCAAAGGCGGCAGCAGTGGTGGGGGTGGGGAATCCTCCGTCTCCAAGCTCCTACGTCGTGCGATGCAACATCGAAGTGCTCACTATCCCGAGCAGAATGGCGTTACTACTACTACTACTACTGGTCGAGCAGCCCGTAGTCCTGCTCCTCCCAGTCGAATCCTTACACGCATTCGCACACCTCTGAGCTCTACGCCCACTCCAATGGCAAGCCCTGCGACCACGATAGGCTCTGTTACGGCGTACGGTAGCTCCACGCCACGTAGCCGCTCTGTTCAACTCGATGGCGCGAGGGGTATCGGTCAGGCGCCCGTCGCCGAATCCACGTCTATGCCCACTGGGCGACACCGCGCTGGCGCTGGAGCCGGCGCTGGTACTGCGAGGCCGGCCACGCCCAGCAGTGGAGTTGCGCTGGGTGCTGCTGGGATGAGCGGGCTCCCCCTCTGGAAGAAGCTCAGAGGCGCCGTGAGGGACGTGGCGGACCGAACGCTTTGAGTGGTGAGCGATGAGGGGGGATTTGATGAATTGATTTGGTATTGAGGTAGGGAAGAGAAGATGAGTGTGTTTATTTTGGTATCGAGATGTCTGATGTCTATAGTCGTGTCGTGGGTGTCTCTCTCTATTCCTCCCTCCTTTCCCCTCGAAATTCAAAGTTCTGATCCATCCACTTCCCTCTCCTTCATCCTCGTCGACGTCGAGTGATGTAGCGACGAGGTACCGCGTAGCCTTCCTCGGCGTTGCGGAGTGGCGATTTACGCTTTCTGCCTCGTCGTGAGGAGGACGTGGTAGGAGGCAGTAACACCTCGACGTCCTCGGCGTTGCTGTCGTTCGAGTCGGCCTGCGTCTCTGTGGGTGTGCCGGCTGCGATATCTTCGGCGTCCTCCTCCTCCTCCGCGTCCTCCTCCTTTTCCTCGTCTCCCTCCTGCTCGCTCTCACTCTCCTCATCCTTCACCCTCTTCCTCTTTCTCCCACTCCTCCTCTTCCCGCCTCCAACTTTGACCCCACTCCTATCAATCCTCCTCGCGACTCCACCTGCGACCTCTTGCTGTAATTTAGTCCTCCATCGCTCACTGGCCTGCAAAGCTGTCCTCCCTCCAACGAATTTCGCGATTTCCTGCCAACTCCAATGCTTCTTGCCCGGTTGAGCAGCTTGTAAGTCGGATTGGGCTATGGCGGCTTTGAGGCGTTCGTCCTCGTCGAGGGTCCAGCGGACGGATTTACCTCGAGGAGGTGCAGCGGCGGAGGAGGAGGAGGAGGTCGTGGCGGTGGCAGAGGCGGGCTCCCCGTTGGTCTCGGGTTGCTCGCCAGACTTCGTCGCCCATGGTATACGTGCTCCTCTCTTCTTCCACCTCATACGACATTGAGCTGGCGTCCTCTTCCCCACAAGGATGGAGACACGCGTCCAATCCACCTTTTCCAGATCCCCTCCAACTTCTCCAGTCGCTAGCTGCTCTTCAATCCCTTGCCTCAACCTTTGTAATTCCCCCTCGTTCCAGATCCCCCTCGTATGCGTATTCTTCAACGCGCGCCTAAATCTGTCCCAAACAGCGCTACGCCTCTTTCGTGTGCGCTCGGCCAGGATTGCCCACTCGAAACCAAAGACGGATATGAGGCGAAGTAGCTCCTGATCATCTATGGCTGCGTGATTCTCCATCTCCTCATCCTGATCGGGGAGGAGACGAGTGTACGAATAGAGGGCGTCGTGCGCCTCCAAGACGGGTAGAGAGGGATGCGTCGCAACGAGCTGCGATGCGACGTGATGCCAATCGATACGGCTCCCCTGTGCATTGACGAGTTTGCGTAGCTCGGCCTCCTGCTCGGGACTCAATGTCATTTTGCTGGGTGGACCCTTTTGCACGCTCATGATCCAACGGGTGCTACACGCCGCACCGGTGTGCGCAGGCGTGGACCCTTTGGGGGCGATGCGCAGTGCGAGGGAGTGCCAATCGAATCCGGGACCGAGGGCGCAGCGTGCGAGTTGCTCATCGCTGAGCGAAGCTACATAACCTAAGGGGTCCGGATTACGCAACTTGGCCGCTTCGTAGGCGGCTAGACGTTTACATTCTGCCTCGACACAGCGACGCAAGGCTGTGTCGTCTACCTTGTTCCAGGCGGGGCGACAGGTCACTTCTCGTAGGTCGTGGAGCTCCTTGTTTACCTGCGCCACAGCGGGCAGTCGAGCGCCGAGGATTGGAAGGCTGGACGAATGCGTCGAGGTGGAGACGATGGATCTCTCAGCTATATCGGATGTGTGGAGCTCTTCGGCCAGATCGAGGACTGATTCGACTTGAGAGAGCTCGACGAGGGAGCGGGGAAGATCTTCTATGGCGTGGCAGAGGGAGGATTGGAGACGGGTGTTGCTCTCCAGGGCGAGGGAGAGGCGATGCCGCTTTTCTAGGAGCTCACTGAGGGTGGCTCCTCGAGGGAATGACGCCATGGTGAGTGGGTGGGAAGTGAATTAGTGCATTGACGCGACGGAAAGCCAAGTAAGTCTGGCTGGCTAGAGTAGTCCAGTCCGGCTCAGTCGTTGATGCGGAGGTGCCGCCGTCGCAGGGGCCAAGGGTCGACCACTGCTTAGTCAGCCAAGGCCTGCCTGTCCCCCTCGCTCCCTCCCCGCCCTGCCGCACTCCCGCGTTTACCCAACTCGCGCTCACTCTTGCCTTCTGACTCGCGAGCGGCGGCAGCGGCAAGACGAATCGAGTTGAGCGGCAATTTTCTGAATCCGACCATCACTTTTGACACTCACACACTCGACACCACCACACCACACTACCACTTCGCCATGGCGCTGGACGAGGCAGATCCACCGCCGCCGCCGTCGACGAGCAATGGCCATCGCCACACCAAGGGCCTAGTAGCAGAAGAGCACCATTACCCACCTTCGACACCGCACCTCAATCCGCACAATCTCCTCATCCTCTCCCACCAGTCACGAGGAAGGGGCGTATATGCCTCCAAATCGATGAGCGCAGGTACTTTGTTGGAGATCAGCCCCGTCCTCGTCTTTGAGCCAGAGGAGTGGCGCAATTATGGCTGCAAGACTGTACTGGATAGCTATACCTTCAAATGGAGCGGCATGGGAGCGCATGCACTTGCCCTCGGACTTGGTGAGTCACTTGGCTGGTGGTGCTAGATGAGGTTGAGGGATCCCTCCAGCTGACACCATTATATACTATCCCATCCACCTCACTACCCACCAGGCTCCCTCTTCAATCATTCCCCGCACCCCTCAGTCTCCTTCACACTGGACAGACCCTCCCACTCGATCCGCTACACCCTCGTCCGCGACGTTGTAGCAGGTGAAGAGCTCTGCATCTCCTACGGTCCATGGGGCAAGCAGTACGAGTCCACAAATGGCAACGTCGTAGCGGGAGAAAGTGACGCAGCTGCAGACGAGACGGATGAGGAACAGCGTTGTAGCAGGGATCTGGACGATATGCTTCGAATTGGGCAGGAGAGAGGAGCAGAGGGGAGTGGAGCAGAGAGTGAGGCGAGTGGGAGTAGTCCGAGGAGACAGCTACCAAAGAGGAGAACCAGGACGAGGTATACGGGGGCGAGTGGGTCTACTGCGGCTCCAGCTCTGGCCTCAGCCTCAGCATCATCGTCGAGCGCCATCAAGGATCAACAGCAACAATCACCCGCATCTCTCACCCCGCAACCGCCACGCCGCACAACAACGCGCCTCACCACGCCACCCCCATCCATCCAATATGCGGCCAGCTGCGTCTCCTCCCACCCAATTTGGCGTCTCACTTCCCTCCCCGACCCCGCCACCATCCCTCTAACCCTCATCCCCTGCTGGGCCCTTACCATCTCCCCCACATCGTCCAGCTCCGTCCTCCCCTTCCTCCGCAAGCACTCCCGCGTCCTAGGCCGTGGTCCACAGCTAGGAGGCGAAGAAGACCCACTGAGGCACGCAAAGACGCTGAGTAGGAGGCAGGAGGATGGCGGCAAGCTAAGGGCACTCGTATGCCCGCAGGCGGCATTGAGTGAGGAAGAGGTGAGGAGCCTAGCTGAGAGGGGGTTCGCGGCTGAAGCGGAGGTGGTCAAGGTGAATGTGGCTAGTAGTGCTGCCCCGCTCAAGGAGAGGGCAGGGGAATGGTGCGCTTCTTGGCCTGTGGCCTTCCGCAGCGTGCAGGCAACCGCGCCCGTAGTTCCGGCTCCTCCTCCAACTACGGCGGCGGCTGCGACTTCTCCGCCGCAAGCAGGAGCTGCAGCCACGAATGGTAGCCGAACAAACACAGGCACTGGCACTGGTACAGGCACAGGAAGTGGAACAGATTCGCCCACCCCTGCCCCGGTCCCGGCTCCCTCCCCCTCGCCTCAACCTCCCAACCTCTTCGTGGACCGACGAGCAGACTGCGCCTTCTGGTCACCGCCGCGCACAGCATGGGTGATCCGCAAGCTAGCCCGATGCGTCCTGACGGCTATGTCCGCCTCATCTCGCGGCGAACTCCCAATCGCAGTGCACATCTGTCCCTCCATCCTCCCCTCGACCACAATCGGCACCAGCGGCGGCGGCGGTGGAGGTCCGGACGGGTCCGCCCACGCGCCACTGACGCTGAGCGCTGCAGCCACAACGGCGGCCGGGTGGGATGTGGATGGCCTGCCCCTCGAAGGGGGAGAGGCCATCGAGGTGGACGCGGCGGATACTCGGGTGGGGCAGCGCAACCCGATCAAACACGCGGTGGGGAACGCCGTTAGTCGCGTGGCGGAGATTAGGGCAGAGAGGAGGGCAGCGGTGGATACGGCTGGGGCGATAGGGGAAGGATCCACAGCGGCCGCTGAGTATCTGGCCGCAACATCATCGACGGGGACGACAAGGGGCTCCGCCTTTTCCTCCTCCGGATCGGGCTTGGGCTCGGGCTCGGCCTCGGGCTTCGCCTCCCCTTCAGCATCAGCATCCGCATCAGCATCAGCGTCAGGGAGTCGTCCGGACTCCCCCTCCTCAGCATTCCAACCCCCTTTACTCAACGGACAAGACTACCTCCTTACCTCTCTTACCCTCTTCACCACGCACGAGCCATGCATCTACTGCAGCATGTCCCTCGTCCACTCCCGTGTACGGCATGTAGTCCTCCTCACCCCTTCTCCTCGTGGATCAGGAGGATGCTGCGGCAGTCAGCTGCCAGAGAGTAGGAGGTGCGCAGAGGATGGAGGGCCCTACGCTTTGCACGAGCAGAGAGGGCTTAATCATCGCTTCGAGGTTTGGAGGTGGAGAGGGGGATTGGATGTGGTGCAAGAGGAGGTGAGACGCATCAGTGGTGAGAAGGTGGATGTGGCTGATCTGCTCGATTTGGCAAAGTGGGGGAGGGCGGTTGATCCTTGAGAGAGCGGGAAGGGGAAGAGGGAGAGGTAAATCCGGGGAGCATGGAGCTTAGAGCGTGTATGTGAGGCGAAGTGGAATGGAAGAGAAAGCAAAAAAAGTACAGAATTGCAACGCGACGTGACGCGTGTATACCGAGTCGAGTCTGTGATCTGGGTTTGAGTGAATCTACAGAGGAGAGAACAGGGAGGGGGGCATAGAGTAGTCTATCGCGTCAATCCGTGCTTACGATCATGTTCCCACCTTTTCACCTCTCAGCGGTAGGCAATCGACTGAAAGCCACCGAGCTGGTAGGCGTACTGCTTCCCCCATTGCCACCACCTCGAGGAGTCGACGCGCCACCCGGCGGAGGTGAGGGTGCTGAGGCTAGAATGCCTTCGCTGGGCGTATCCTCACGCTCGATGTGCGTCCTAGTTCTCGGACCAGGTTGCGCTCCCTCTTCCATCGAGTTGCGCCGTGATACCACGGGCGAGCTCCCTCCCTCCCTCTCCTTCTCCTTCTCCTTATCTCGCGACGAGAAAGGTTTAAGCAAAGAAGACAACCGCTGCGCCGTTGTTGACGAGCTGCTATTGTTGCCAAGCGTGTTGCCCCGCGCCGAACGGTGGTGTTTGACATCGTCGTCCCGGAGGAAGGAGACGGCTGGTCGACGCGAGGAGTCCTGCGTGTCCGAGCGAGGGAAAAAGCGCTCCGACGTGTCGCTGCGTGGGAAGCGTTCGCGTTCGTCGGTCGTGGTGGTGCGGGGCATTCGGTCGTCGTCATCTTCGTCGTCGTTCCTTGCCTGCTCCTTGGCGGCGCTGTTATGCCTCCTCCCGCCCCTCGAGGTCGACTCGCCTATCCACTTACTGAGCGCCCCACTCCTCACAAGCTCCAATGCCGCGTTCGTTGGTCCCCACTCGTGATGACTCCTGTCGGACATGTGGTCGTCCAGTTCCTCGCGATGCGTAGCCAGCCACGCATGCGCAGCGGAGAAGGATTCCTCTTCTCCATCTCCCTCGCCCTGCTTCTCAGCAATGTCCTCCGCCTCCTCTTCAGAGAGACACACGACGTGCACCTCGGGCTCGGCGAGGCGAGACTCCATGTACTCGATGAGAAGCTTGGAGCCTTCCAGCCACGAGCGTGCTTTCGGGTAGTGTTGCTCCTTGGCTGTGACTTGCTCGGCGTGGTCCTTCTCCTGCTCGTCGCGAGAGTCACACCCGTAGGAACGAAGCCGATGACGCTCTTCTTCACGGACGTCGTCATCCTCCTCCTCAGGCCGGATTTGACCGGCAGCGAGCTCGCGATCCATGCCCGCTTCACCCAAATCCCCACCTCCAGCCCGCAGACGTGCCTCACGCTCCCTCTCCTCCTCGCGGGCACGACGAGCTTCAGCCTTTTTAGCCTTGTACGCTTTAGCCTCTGCGGTATTGTCCCCGCCCCACTCGCACGCAGGGTCCTCAGCTTCGTCCGCAGCCCAGTCGTCGATCCCGTCAATCCCGTCGTCCTCTCCCTCTGCAGCCTCGAGGTCGCGCTCCGTGCGCGTATTGAGGATACCGTAGCGAGAGCGACGAGAGCCGGACGAGGAGTCGCCGCCGCCCCCCGCATTGTCGTCGTCATTGCCGCTCGAGCCGGAACCAGACCCACTGGCTTCTCCCTCCCCCTCGCGTAGCTCTTTCTCCGCCTCACCACCAATGGCCCCCCTTCCAATAACGCCCAGCTGCGCATCGAGAACTCGGCGAATCTCACTCATCCCTCCGCCCTCCACCTCCTTATTGGAAGCCATCGTGTCTCCCGTCCTGAACCTGCGCATCCGGTTGAGCCAACCGGGCTCCCCGCCCGCATCAGGCCCGAAGGAGGGGTTGCGCGACCAAGTCCTCGTGATGGTCGTGGCGCGCTTGGAGAAGGCGAAGAAGGGGATGGTAAGTCCGTGTACGGTAATACTGCACAGGACGAAGAAGAAGACGATGGGCTGAATAGTCAAGGCGAGTACATCGTTTGTCGTCTGTGGTGGATCATTAACCACCTCAGGCAGCTCCGTCCTGCCCAGCGTGGCAATGAAGATGGCCCCTACACCGATGGGACCAAAGTGACCACTGAACATGGCTTCGCGGAACGTCTTGATGTCGGGAATCCAGCGCCAGAGGGCTAGGATGATCGGGATGCGCTTTGTGGCTAGGACACAGATTGCTAGGACGAAGCAGCGCCACACGTTGAGGGAGTCGGCGGCGTGGGCGAACTCGTACCACGGCATGAGGGCGCCGATGTAGATGAAGGTAGCGCAATTGAAGAGGAGGTCGACTATATTGGAGAAGTTGGAGTCCTGAGCGGGCGCGAGGAGTAGTGAGGTCAGTCCAGTGCTGAGCAAGGGATCAAAGGAAGGAGAGGCGCACTCACCTCCGTCTGTTTCGTGAACCACCCATCCCACGCAAAAGCCGTCCCGCAGGCGAAAGCCGCAAGGAGATCATCACTGCCCAGCAGCACATTGACGCCCATGCTAGCAATAGCCAGACTGACATATTGAGCCACAAAGGACTCTCTGTCAACGAACTTCTTCCTCTCCGCAAATCGCATGGCCTTGCGTGCCGCCCACCCAATGAGGGCTCCGAGGAGGGTTCCGAAGATGATTTGGTATGCAAGGGCATCGTAGAACCATTCGGCTATTGCCTTTCCCGTGTTATCGCGATGCACGGTGAGGAAGAGGGCGAGGTACAAGAAGGGGAATGCGGCTCCGTCGTTACATCCTGACTCGCACTGGAGCATATAGCGCAAGTGGGCAGGTACGTGTTTTTCTGCCCAAGGTCCACCAACGACGGCCTGCGCCAGGATGGGGTCGGTAGGGGTAACGCAGGCTGCGATGACTAGGCAGTTTAAGAAGTCCAAACCGGGGACAAGGGCGCGAATGAAGGCAGCAGTGACTATCCATCCCCAGAGCATGACGGGCCCCAGTAAAAGGAGAATGGAGCGCCAGTGCCTTAGCAAGTACTTCTTTGGCAGCTCCACCCCAACGGCAAAGACGGACAATGCAATGGTAACTCGCATGATCTCCAGCGTGATCTCATCCGTAATATGCCCTCCAGGTGCGCGAGTTTCGTTTCCAGCCCAACTACTCGGATTGAACAGGTTCAACGCAGCAGGCCCTACAATGATGCCGAAAAGGGCTGCAATGGGTGCTTCACCGAGGTAGAGCTTCTCCTTGATGAAGAGGGATAGCATGCCGAAGATGACGATGAAGAATCCCAAGCCTACGTAGATGAGATGCGGGGCATTGACTTCAAAGGGCTTGAAGCTGCCTGGCTCGACGGATTCCATGCCTTCCGACTCCATGCCGGGCGCCGGAGCCATGGCGGCGCAGTATGAGAGGAGGGGGAGGAGGAGGAGGAGGAGGAGGAGGAGGTGTGGTGGTGTAGTAACGACTACGGGTGGGGTGGAGGAGTTTTAAGGCGACCAAGTGACGCTGTTGGTCCCGAGCATGAGCGTGATATGCTGGGAGGGATGGATGGAAAACAGTAGCGTAGCGTGGCGTGACGTGATGGTGATGGAGGTGAAGGCAAAATAATGCAGGCACGTCGAGCCAACTCGATGACGCCCTTGTGCCCCCTTGCCCGTCCCGCCGCCTAGTCCGAAATTCACATCGACGACGACGACGACGACTGCGAGACCGGCGGGCGGGCAGGCACGGGAAGGGGTCCAAGTCTCCCAGTCGAGCAGCAAGCAGCCGAGCGAGCCAACGGAGGCTTGGCGCTGCGAGTCGAGTCGAAAAGCTGCGAGGGAGGGCAGGGGGGGACGGAGAGAGAGAAAAAGAGCATCGTGAGTGACGAGGCAGGCTAGGTCAGAGATGTGGTGTGGGAGTGGGATGGGATGCTAGCTAGCGGAGCAAGGATAGTGCGATAAGAGTTCAAGGACAGCAGAGTGTCCCACGATCCCATCAGTCGTGGGACAGGGCCGCTCTGAGAGGGACAGGACAGGATGGATGGATAGTATAGCCGGCATCGAGGCTGTGCCATGCTAATCCAACTAAAAGCACGGGGTAGCGAGCCAAGCATTCGCCATCTTAGATATACGCAGACATTGCCAAAGATAGACCATCCAAGGCTCGTATGGTGAGCCTGTCTGCCCTCATGCTGTGCTGGCTTGCTCTGAGATTTGCACGACACATGTGCGGGGATGAGACAATATTGAGGATGGTATTTCGATGACTACGTGAATGAAATCGACGGCTGCTCGGGCACGCCGAAAAAGATGAGAAATGACGATGACGCTGCCGAGTGGCGAAGCTTGCTAATGGTGATGAGCGGCCCGAGCCAGACTGCCACAGCCTCTCTGCCTCCTACCTCGATAGCAGCTAGGCCTTTTCCTTGCCTTTACCCTTGTCGCCATTACCATTACTGTTCTCCCCGTCCTTCTTCTTGCCTTTCCCCTTCTCATCCTCGTCCTCATTCTTGGCCTCTTCACCTCCCCACCCCTTCCCCCTCATCAACCCTTTCAGACCCTTCATGCCCTCCCTCTCCTTCTCCTCCGTCCACTTGACAATCTTGGTCGCCAAAGCCCTGATCGCCGGGTCTGTAGGCGACTTTTCCATGGCGACATCGATTGCCTGAGCCGCTTCAGTGACGCGACGAAGCTCGAAGAGGGCAGAGGCTCGACGGAACTGAGCCTTGACGTTTTGCGGGTCGATGGCGATTACTTTCGAAGTAGAGTAGAGGACCTGTGTGTGTGGAGAGGGGAGGGGAGAGGGAGATACGGGGTGAGTGAGTGGGTTGGATAGCTGAGGGAGGGACGGAAAGGAAAGGAAAGGGGAAAAGGGGCCCGGGACGTACCTTGTCGTAGTTCTTCTCGGCGAGGTAGCAGCCTGCGCGACGAGGAGAGGGATACCAGTCCAATCAGCTCGTGTCCCCACCCTCCCTCGCAGCATCTTGATGCTCGCCCACTCACTGCTCAAGTTATTCATCACAGCAGCCGTGATCTCTCCTGCCCTCTTCTTCGTCTCCTCATCATCCTTTCCTTCTTCCCCCAACCCCAACTGCTGGCGCATACTCGTTACCCCACTCGAGTTGAGATTTGCATGATGCCAGCAGCGTTTAGCCCCGGGTATGTCGCCCTTGGCGTACAGGGCGTTGCCCTCTTCCTTGAGGCGGAGAGCCGTGGCCAATTGGCTGTCGATGCGAGAGGGCTGAGCTGCCTTGGTGGTCGAGTCGGCATCGTTGGAGGAAGAGGCAGGCGCAGGCGGAGGCGGTGCGGAGGCAGCAGCAGCAGCATCAGCAGCCGCAGCGGCCACGCTTGCAGCAACTTCCTTGTCGACGGTCATCGCGATGGCGATGGGGCGATGTGCGGGAGGGAGGCTGCAGCGAGGGCGTTGTTGTGATTGCGTCTTTGTGTGATTGGGAGGCGGATGGAGGGAGAGGAACAAAGGGAAAAGGCTGAGCGCTTGGGCCAGGGGAATTAAAAAGTCGGGCGACCAAAGGAGGAGGAGGACGGACCAGGGGACGCGACTCGACTTGCCTCGAGTCGACCCTCGGGCCGCCAGACCAGTCGATGCACCTCTGGCTCCCTCTCCGCCCTGAGACTGAGCGCGAGGGCCATTCGCGCCTTTTGGACTCTCTCTCTCTTCCGTCCCTCGATCCTTCCTCCAATCCACATCATCCTCACGACCACGATGGCCGCCCCACTACCTCTCGCACCATTGGTGCAGGGCGGCGAGTCACAGGCAGACTCAATATCTCTACCTGCCCTCTCGCGCACCTTCTTGCGCACCTCGTCCCCGCTCCCACTCGAATCGGCTGACCTTCTTTCCATCTCGAATCGATTCGGCCTCTTGGCCTTTGCGACTGGCACCGACTCCTTTGCCATCCACCAGGTCGATGAGATCAAGAAACTGATGCGTAGTGGGGCACCAGAGCTGGGGCAGCCGTGGAAGAGAATCACTACGAATGCACCCTTGCGCAGCCTCGCATTCGCGCAGGAGGGAAGGAGTATCGTCGCCTCTCTCGCCGATGGGACAATTGCGGCATACAGAACGCGAGAGGGGAGCGCGCCTTACTACACCGCCAGCATAGCGAACACCAGCTCGATCTGCGCGAATCCATCCGCCTTCCCCAATCTCATCGCCGTCCTCTCTGATGCTGTCTACCTCGTGGACCTCGAGGCGCACACAGCTCGCCCCCTCCCCCTTTCCTCCCTCGACTCACAACCAAGAAGCGCATGCTGGTCAGTCAAGGGAAAGCAACTAGCAATAGGCCTGGTAGACGGTCGCATAGCCCAAGTCACTCCAGAAGGGGAAGTGAAAGCCCTCCTCCCCGCACCTCAATCCGACGAACTCCCAACAGACGCGGCAGTGATTGACCTGCGCTGGGTCGAGAATGACGTATTCGTGGCCACATATCACGCTGCTGGCGATGACTCTGAGCCGCCACTTGTCTTCATCGCCACCCGCTCCTCCGGCACCATCACCTACACCAGCCTCTCCGACCCCTCCCCAGCCTTCGGCCTCCCCGACCTCCCACATCGCCGGTATGCTGCCCCTCTCAAATCATGGCCGCCCCTCTCCAATGCCATCTTCACAGCCAGCATGCCAAGCACCGATATCGGTCTACTCGGACGTTGTGCCGCAGAAGAAGGGTGGGAGGTTCTCGAGCTCCCCGAAACATCTCGCCCCACCCTCCCCTTCTCCTCCATCGACAAGAGTTCCGAAACCGCCCCACTCGGCGTGGTGCTCGATTTGACCCTTCCGCGGGACCCTTCCATGGACGAGGAGGAGAGACCAAGAGACCCGCGCGCGGCGGCGAGGGGAGAAGATGAGAAGACGAAGCTGGGTTGGATCCCTCCGACACTTTGGGTGCTGGATTCCGATGGGAGCTTAGGGGCGTGGAATGTGCTCAACCTCGATGCAAGCGAGGGTTATTCGGAGATGATTAGACCTGTGGAGTTGGGGGAGGAGGCCGAGGCAGGCGTAGGAGCAACCGAAAGGCAAGCGCCAGCGCCAATGCCAACGCCTGCGCAGCCAGGCGCTCCGTCTACCGCGCCACCGACCTCGAACGCGAGTGGTGGATTTGGGTCTGGGTTCGGCCAGCCTAGTGCCTTTGGCCAGGCCTCGACCTCCTCTTCAACCTCAGGTTTTGGACAATCAAGCGCCTTTGGCCAGCCGAGCGCTTTCGGCACACCTAAGGCTGCCTCCTCATCACCATCAACATCGTTCAGTCAGCCTAATGCCTTCTCCTCAAAGCCAACCGCAGCCCCCTCTACAGGAACAGGAGCAGGCGGATTTGGCTCGCCGTCAGCTTTTGGGTCCAAGCCTGCCAGCAGCGGTAGCGGCAGCGGCAGCGCTTTTGGTTCTCCCTCGGCGTTTGGCACTGCGAAGCCAGTAAGTGGGTTCGGCTCACCTTCAGCCTTCGGCACCCCAAAGCCAGCGGGTGGCAATGCCTTTGGCACCCCCTCCACCTTTGGCGGCACCTCTTCATCGAGCGGCGGCGCTTTTGGGTCAGTTTCGACTCTCGGTGGAAAGTCCTCAACCCCTTCAACGGGAAGCGGTACGAGTGGCGGATTTGGCGCTTTTGGTTCTTCCTCGTCCAACAGTAGCGCAGGAGGGTTTGGCGGATTCACCTCTAAACCCAGCGGGTTCGGCTTTGGTACAGCGAACAACCAGGCTTCATCCTCCTCAAACGGGAGTTCGTCCATCTTCGGGACAGGTGGGGCCCTCTCTTCCTCCTCTTCCTCCTCGTCCACTACCCCAGCTTTCGGTGCAGCGGTCAAGCAGGCGCCGGCCGTGCAGGTCAATCCGGCGGAGAAGGAGCCGGACCACGAGGCCGGGGCAGGGGCCGGATCCTTTGGGTTTGGAGGTATGGGCAGCATGTTGGGGGATAAGAAGGAGGGGGGTGACAAAAAGGAAGCAGCTCAGGGGACGTCCTTCTCCTTCGGCTCTACGCCCACAGCGAGCAAGCCGCAGTCGCAGCAGCAACAGCAGGAGGAGAAGAGTGCTTTTGGGTTCGCAGGGCCAGGCGAGAAGAGGAGCGCATTTAGCTTTGCACCTCAAGGCGAGCAGAACAAGTCAGCCTTCGGATTCGCGTCCTCGAGCACGCCATCAGCCTCAGGGCCAGCCTTCGGTGGATTTGCAGGGAAGAAAACGGACGAAGCGTCATCTTCCAGCTTGTCTACCCCCACGTCGTCGGGCGCGCCTGCAGCGCTGCCTTCTAGTTCGTCCCCTGCCGCGTCAACATTCGGCTTCGCGCCAAGGAAGGATGGAATGGAGGAGGAGAAGGAGAAAGACAAGGAGAGTCCGAAGCCCACATTCAGCTTTGCGTCAAAGAAGGGTGATGAGCAGGGACAGAGTACCACCGCTACTCCGGCTGCAGGGTTTGGTTTTTCAACGAACAAGGACGATGTTAAGGCTGCACCACCGACGCCCGCATTCAGCTTCGCGCCCAAGAAGGACGATGGATCCAAGGCTGCGGATCCTGCTTCTGCAGCCGGCCCCGCGGAGAAACAGGACAACGAGACCAAAGAAGAGGAGAGCAAAGTAGAGCCTGCCTTCAGCTTTGCACCCAAGCCCAAGGAGGACAAGCCCGAGGAGCTGAAGGAGCAGGAGGAGAAGTTCGCTCTGCCATCTGGCCCCTCATCGTCAACATCAAGCGAGCCAGCCAAGCCGTCTGCCTTCAGCTTCGCGCCCCAGAAGGCGGGAGAGACGAGCTCTACTTCAGCGACAGCAGAGCCGGGCAAGCCTGCTCCGTTCAGCTTTGCATCCAAACCAGCGGATGCTCCTGCCTCTGGCCCCTCCTCGGCAGCAGCAGCAGCACCTGCGTTCAGCTTCGCCCCGAAGAAGGGTGAAGAGCGCAAGCCCGCAACAACAGAGCCAGCTAAGCCGTCTTCCGCGTTCAGCTTCGCACCCAAGAAGACAGACGATGCGTCGGCTGCTCCCACGCCATCAGCCTTCAGCTTTGCGCCGAAGAAGAGCGAGGCCCCACCTTCTTCCTCCTCACCGGCTTCTCCCCTGCCTGAGGCTAGCAAGCCCGCGCCATTTAGCTTTGCGCCGAAGAAGAACGACTCGGAAGTGGCAGCAAAAGCTGCTTCACCTTCCTTTGGCTTCGGGGCCAAAAAGGCAGAAGAGCCAAGCGTAGCGCCGCCACCGAAAGATGCACCCTTCAGCTTTGCGTCGAAGAAGGATGAGCAACCTGCAGCCACGTCGTCATCGTCGCCTGCTGCTGCCTCGCCTTCCGCTTTCAGCTTTGCGCCGAAGAAAGATCAGGAGTCCAAGCCTGCGGGTCCACCTTCTTTCAGCTTTGCGCCAAAGCATGACGACAAGGCGCAGCAATCCCCTTTCTCCGCTGGATCATCAGCGGCTGCACCTGTCGAGCCCGCAAAGAACTCGTTCTTCTCTTTCGCACCGAAGCCGCAAGAGTCGAAGCCTGCGCCCGCTCCTACACCCTCATTCGGCTTCGCACCCAAGAACGCAGACGGGGCCAAGCCGGCAGCCCCGGCGTCGTTCAGCTTCAACTCCAAGAAGGAAGAGCCCGCTCCACCTTCTCAGCCGCCAGCTAGCCCCACACCATCTCCCGCGCCCGGCCCCTTCTCCTTTGGTGGTACGTCGGACAAGTCTGCTCCTCCCGCCCAAAGCTCAAGTGCCTTTGCGGGGAATCGCACTCGCTTTCCCTCTTCGACCACACCGGGCCGTAGCTCGCCACTGGCGGGTAAGCCGATTCTTCCCCCTTCACCAGACAAGTCTCGCGCTCAGCAACCCGCGCCGGCCTCGCCCTCCCTCCCACCACCTGTGGCACCCGCACCATCTCTCGTGGCCCGGACCAGAGGCGAGTCGCCTTTTTCTACCCAGCCACCGTCACTCAATATCGCCAGTCCGGCGCCACAGCCCAGCCAATCACAGTCCCAGGAGGATGCGCTGCGATCCGAGTTCCTCAAGACGTACCTCGTAATGGACGAGGAGCTCAACGTGCTCCGCAGCAACATCCAGCAATGTGCCGCCTTCCAATCCGAGATCCGCGAAGCGCGCGGCGCGTCCACCCTGAGCGACCTAGATCGCGTGGACGACTGGTCGTTTGGGGACCTCTCGACGCTTCGCAAGCTCGAAGACGAGCTCTCTGTGCAGCTGGATCGCCTCAATGCGGACGTTGTAGCACGACAGCGCAGCGTGCAGGAGCTGGAGGCGTCGCTGCTCAAAGCCGATGCCAAGCGCGAGGAGGCCGCCAGGCTGTTGCGAGCTCATACTGACCCGGAGTTTGCGAAGCTGGTCCGTGTTCGCCAGCTGGGGCCAGAGCATGCGGCTAACCAAAAGAAGCTGAGGGCATTGGAGGCGACGATCAGTGCGAGGGCGGGGGAGTTGGAGACGTATCTATCTGACGTAAAGACGCGGGTCCGCGAAGCAAAGATGGGAAGCGCAGCAGGGCGCAAGAGTGCGGCGCCTAGCCTCGACTCGATTCAGCGGACCGTAAGGAACATCTCGGTGACGGCGACGACGAAGAGCTTGGAGCTCGACGATCTAGCCACTGAGTTGGAGATGCTTCGTGGACGAGGCAGCGAGGAGTGGGGGAGCAGGAGCAGGAGTCGCGGACCAACTTCGACTCCGACACCGACTCCTGGCCGGTTTACCTTTGATGACGACAACGACGAGAGCGATACGGAAAGGCCCGTCGTGACACCTCGGCGCTCCACGCCGCGGGTAGACCCCTTTGGCACCAGGACACTCAACGACGCCCTTCCACGGGGGAGCACGCCGTCCGCTTGGGCGAGTGCGGGCGGGCCCAACACCGCAAACGCCTCCGCCTCTACCTCTCAGCAGCCTCGCAGCGTCTCTGCAGCGATGAGGAAGACGATCCTCACCGCTCGCCGTGAGCCTGTTCTGACATCGTGTAAGACACCGGGACAGGAGAGGGACTTCCAGGCTAGCGATCTACAGATGGCGTTCGCGAGGGGACCGGTCAAGGTTCGGGCGGAGAGGAAGGTGGATACGCACAAGCCCGCGTCAGGGTCCCAGTCGGCTCTTCAGCCACCTTCGCACGCAGCCGCTCAGCAGCCAGAAGCTGCAGCCTTGCCTCCCTCTGCTCCCTCTCCAGCCGCACCACCCTCCTCTTCCTCCTTTTCCCCATCATCCCCGCTCCCATCAGCCGCGCCCCCAAGCAAGGCTCAGGCGAGCCCCTTCTTTGGCTTCAACTCCACTTCCAACTCCAAGTTCAAACCCTCCCCCTCGACGACGACCTTCTCCATGCCCCCCTCCTTCGGTGTCAATCTAGGCGACTCGTCCACCTCCAAGCCCTTCACCCCGGGAGGACAGCTCGCCTCGCGTAAATCTGAAGCGGCAGCCACCGCGCAGACGCAGGGTGGCGGTGGCGGGCATCACAAAAGCTTCGCAGTTCCCTTCGCCGGGAAGCCCAACGTGGCTGGTGCCAGCGATTTCTTTGCCAGGCCAGCAGCTGCAACTACGCCTGCGGCTCCGGCTGCGGCTGCGGCTGCGCTTGCTGTTCCAACAGAGAAGGAGGAGAAGGAGCAGGAGCAAAAGGCCCCCGTCAAGCTTAAGAGCCCAACGACGTTCAGCTTTGGTGCTCCGAGGGCCACTCCTGCCGCGGGTGGGTTCAGCTTCGGAGCCCTTTCAGCTGGCACGGGAGCGGGAGCGGCGGGGCAGGGGGCGAAGGGAAGCACCACCACGCCGCCGGGCTCGCCGTTCAAGCTTCCGCCACCCGCTGCGCCTGCTACTACAGCCTTTCCGGCTGCGGCGGCGAAGGAGGGGCAGGATACGCCCAAGTCGTCAGCTGGGGGCGGAGGGTGGATTGGTGCTGGTGATGGGGTGGAGGAGGAGGAGGAGCAGGGAGATGCGCACGATGATCAGGAGGGAGAAGAGGAGGAGTGGGATGAGCATGAAGAGGAGGAGGAAGAGGAAGAAGAACGAAGAGACGAGGATGGGCTGAGCGCTGTTGATGAGGAGGAGGAGGAGGAGGAGGAGGAGGAGGAGGAGGAGGAAGAGGGCGAGGAAGATGAGGAAGAGGGCGAGGAGGATGATCAGGAAGACGGTGAGGAGGAGGATGGGGAGGGGCAAGAAGAGGGAGATGAGTGGGGCAATGACGAGTCGAATGGCGATGATGAGGACTACGAGCAGGGCCAAGGCGAGGAGGAAGATGAGCCGGAGGAGGAGTATGATGAAGGGAACGAAGACGAAGAAGAAGGGGAAGCTCAGGCCTCGTCATGACGCCTTCTCTGTGCTCTCCTTCCTCTCACTCAACTCCAAGTCCCCACCATCCCGAACCGTCATTGTCAGAGCTATGCCCGCATCTATTACTTGGCGTCCCAAATGACATTATCACGTCCCCACGGGCCCGTTGTTTCTCGTCTCTGTCACCCGTGCTCATCTATCTATCTTCTCCTCCCCTCCCCCCTGCCCACCTTCTCCACCTACTGCGCTCGCCGCCTTTTCTTCCATGGCCAGTATATCCTCCAACTCCCCCTTCTCCCCGGCAAGCCTCGTCTGCTGCAAAGCTCTCCTCAACTCGAGTCTAGCCTGCTCATCCAGCCCCAACCCACTCTGCAATCGTTCGATGCCCTGCTCCGTCAGCAGGATTTGCGCTCCTCCCCCTGCGGCGTCAATCCCCTCCATCCCCTCCCCACCCAACAGCATCGCCCTCTCAACCTCCTGACTCGCCCTTCCTTCCACTCTGCCCTGCTCCAAAAGCCCACGCAGATATTCAGCCCCCTTCCACGCCCTCCAATGACTGTACGCCCTCCACACCAGGTAGAAGAAGGGGAGATTAGGCACCACGGGTACCAATGCGAAGGGGATGGTCAAGGGCATCCCTACAAGGCAGTACAGCAGGCGCGTACGGTGGTACGGGGTGCGTTGCGTTGTTAGGCGGGTGAGGCTGAGTAGGAGGGAAGAAGGGTGCAGGAGCGTCGGGGGATAGAGGAGTGGAAGCGTCGCGCTTGTGGCTATTCCTGTTCCTGACCCTGAGGCTGCTCCCGCGTCGGACTCAGACGAGGAGGAGGGAGAGTGGGAGGGGGATGGGTTGAGCACCAACGCCGGCCCAGCCTTAGGGTCAATGCCTTTGAGTGCCCACTCCTGATGCTCGATTCTATCCATCAATTTCTCCCCTGCATTGTAGGTCCGTCTCTTCCAATCGAAGAGGGCCAGCTTCTTCCCAGGGGTGGTACCGTCCTTCCCCAGTGCGATCCAGAAGTCTGAGGCTTTGTGTAGGAGACGGGTTGAGAGGGGTGGTTTGGCTGAAGAGGAGGAGGAGGGTGAGGAGGATGAGGAGGGGCTCGAGGTGGAGGTGAGGGGGGAACGTTGAATTATGAGCGTGTAGATTGGTTGTGGGGGCGTGGAGGAGGAGGCAGGGAGGGTGGAGCGCACAGAACGGGCGAGGGGGACGGCAATTAGGCGCATCTTGGCGATGCTGATCGTGAGGCTCTAGTCGTCTCTATCTCTTGGTATCATTCGCGGATGGAGGTGGCGGGCGAGGCGATGAGGAGGGCGTGATAGTTGTCCAGTGTTGAGTTGGGAAGTAGTGAGAAATAGAAATGCGAGAGAGCGAATCGGGCGCTTAGTGCGTGCGATGCGAGCCACTCGACTCACACGCCGCCACGCCTCGACTCAACTGCTGGTCCGCTCTCGTCTCTCTCCGCGCTCGGCGTCAGACCAATTTCGTCTCGTCGTCTGAGGCAGCGAAATCGAGTGGAGCTGAGACACGCCCAGGTGCGCACGGCCTCGAGGATGCCGTTTTGACTCGCGGCGACTTTGACTTTAGTCCTTTCTTCCCTCCTTCCTTTCTTCCTTCCTCCCTGTCCCTCCCACATCACAACAACAAAGACGAAGATGTCCGCCCCGACTTCAGGGAAACTGCGCATAGGCTACATCCCGGAGCACTTTGCCTCACCTCTTCTCCTCCTCGCACGCTCCCCCTGGGGTCAGGACCACATAACCCTCGTTCCCTGCCCCTCGGGAACAGGGCAGATCCTCACCTCTTTCCGCGACGGAAGCATAGATGTAGCCATTGCGCTCACTGAGGCCCTTGTAGCGGGTATCGCGAAGCGTGCCGCGGGGGAGGAGGTGGACCTGAAATTGGTGGGGAGCTATGTGAGGAGCAGTCTAGTCTGGGCGGTCATCACGGGCAAGGAGACGAAGGCGTACGGCTCGATTGAGGATTTGGCGGGTACGACGCTGGGCATCTCCCGTGCTGGATCCGGCAGTCAGATTATGGGGAGCGTCATGGCCTTGCAGCGCGGTTGGACCGCCGGAAATGGCAAGGCGCCTAGCTTCTCGATCCAGGACTCCTTCCAGGGTCTGAGGGACTCGGTCAATGCTGGTAGCACATCGGCCTTCATGTGGGAGACGTTCACTACGAAGCCCTACTTCGATTCAGGCGAGGTGAGGAAGATAGGCGAGGTGCCTACTCCTTGGCCTAGCTGGAGTATCGCAGCTACAAGGCGGGATGCTGCATTGGATTCATTCCTCGAGAAGTTGGAAGGGTCCATCCACGATTTCACTTCCGCCTCTTCATTCGCTGCGGGTACGCCTCGCTCTTTTATTGTTCAGGAGCTAGGGTATCAGCCCGAGGACGTGGATGCGTGGCTGGACAAGGTGAGGTGGGCTGGGGATCAACGCCCGAATCACGCTTCGAACACGGTGATTGTGGGACAAGAGACGAGCACGCGTACTGTCAGTCGACAGGCGCTTGTGGAGACGGTCAAGGTGTTGAGGGAGGCGGGGGTTTTGGGGGAGGAGGAGGAGAAGAGGGCCAAAGATCCGAGTGAGATTGTGGATCCGTGGGGGAATGGGAGGGAGGGGAGGCTGGTGGAGTGATGGCGAGATGAAAATGAGATGGGTATTTGTACAGATGTATGTGTGTGACAGAGAGAGGAAGAGACACGATGTGACTACGCTACACTACGCCTCTCTACATCCTGCGCCTTGCGGGACCTTCGATCAGTCGGCGGCTGTGAGGGGGATGGACGGATGAGCTTGTGTACAATGCAACTCCCCATGTTTGCCTCACACACTCACAACCACTGCGGCGTCCCCAGTAGCTCCCTGCCACCAGACCCCACCTCCTTTGGCCACACATCCGCGAAGAAGTAATCTGTGCGCGAACGAGATACACTGGTCAGCATCGTCCCCTCGCGCCTCTCTCTCTCTCTCTGCGCGCGAGCTACGCACAGACATGTCCCACTCCAACGCCCAACAGATCCCCCTTAACCGCCGTGGCACTTCCTGTCAACACCCAACTGAACCCACACAGCGCTACGGGTAGATACGGCGCTGTGATGACCAGCACGCCGAACAGGCTCAACCTCACGTGCTTGTTTCGGCGACTCCACAGATACACCAAGCAGAAGGCCAATGCCCCTCCCAAGAAGGGCACCCCAGCCACCACAACTGGCGCAACGAGGAGCAACCCGATCGCGCACACTAGGACCAACCAGGCGAAATCTGCCGGATGTCCCGCGTAGTGGTTCTCCTCCAACATGCGGGCGTAGCGAACGAAGAAGAAGAGGTGGAAGAAGAAGTCTATGCCTAGCGGTCCGAAGTAGAGGAAGGTAGTTATAGCTCGGTAGGGTTGGGGGTTGGGGGGAAGGAAGGCTAGGCTGGGTGAGTAGAAGAGGGAGAAGCGGGAGAGGAGACCGATGTGTTCGCTCAGGGAAAGAGCAATGCTTGAGTAAGCCCATAGGCGGGTGATGGGGGGTAGTGAGCCCGTTAGGTCCATCAAGGGCTGAGGCCGAGGAGGAGATGCGGAGGGGATGCGGAGGGGGATGGATTGTGGGGTCTTCTTGGTGGTGGTGGTTCGGAGACAAAAAAGTGTGCGACTTTGCTCATTCCAATTCCACGTCGATGTGAGCCAATTGGCGCACACGCCTCCACCCGCGCCCGCTCTCCGCTCTCCGCTCTCCGTGTCCGTGGGGTGTGTGTGTGTGTGCCTTGTGCCTGAATCAAAGCGGGCGTCACAAGTCCACTCTGCCTCCCTCTCCTTCCTTCCTGCCAACCAGCACGTCCCCACCCACTCCTCAACAAGATGGCGAACCCGCGCTCGTGAGTCCCCGCCTCCTCTTGCTCGTCTACACGAAGAGCAGCGCATCTTCCCCTCGAGCTGACCCCATCTCTTCCCTTTTTCCTACTCACTGCAAGCGCCACGCACCTGTACAAGATCCTCACCCCATCAGATTATGCTGCCCTCCCTACCACGCCCTCCTCCTCGTGGACCGGAGCAAGCATAGACCTGAGCGATGGGTTCATCCACCTGTCCACCTCTCGCCAGCTCGCAGGCACGTTGAGTCGCTTCTTCTCCACCGAACCGGAGGTGTGGATCTGCGGTGTGGAGAGGCAACGATTGGGGCCTGAAGATGGGGAGTCACCGAGGTTGAGGTGGGAGGAAGCGGCGGGGACTGTCTTTGCGCATGTTTATGGGACTTTGAGCCCGGCGGAGGACTTTACGATCAGACACAAGGTGGAGAGAGGTAGGGATGGGGAGTGGGTACTGCCTGAGTTGACCTTCTAGCGATGACGTGAACCAAAGCATGGGGGAATGAGTGGTGACGTGACCTGTAATTGGAACGTAATGCTACAACATATCACTTTGAGCGCCATCCTGACCTGAAGCGGCCTAGCGGCAAGAGCGCCAGACGTACCTGCAACCCCTCATCAGCTCGGTGCCCTTTTCTCTCCACCTTCTCCCCCCATCGACCTGCCCTGTCCCTTCTGTGGCACTCCAGCCCCACTCCTCCTTTCCTCCTCCTCCTCCTCCTCCACCAGCCCCACTTTGGGCAGCCTTCTCCTGTGATGAGCGCAAGCACCACCCAATGCCTGCAGCGACAGCTACCCAAAAGACCTTGGCGAAGAGCATGCGACGATGATGAGCGAGAAGACGCTGCTGATGACGATGACGATGGCGAAGGCGTTTGGCGCGCTCCTTGTCCTTGGTGCGTGTCATTTCGAGGGAGGTGGAAGCGTTGCGTCTTCGTCTTCGCGTGCTTGCGCCTGCAACCCCAGAGCCTGATGATGACGGCGCTCCCTCCTGCTGCTGCTGCTCAAAGTCACTTTGTCCGCCGACCACGCCCTCGCCCTCGGCCTCGCCCTCACCCTCGCCCTCGGCCTCGCTCTCACTGTCGAGATCAAGCCCGAGCCCAATTCCACTCATCAGCATGCGCCGATGCATTGCCTCGTGCTCGACGAGGGCCGCCAGCCAGCGGCTGCGTTGCTCGCGATGCCACTTGGCCAGGCGGTGGAAGATCGACGCGAAAGGTGACCATGACGATGATGATGACGATGACGACGACGACGCTGAGGATCTGTCGTAGGGGTACAGAGAGGAGGGAGAGGAGGCGGGAGAGCGTACTGCCACTCCTTGTTCCACGGATGCTGACGTCTCGTCGTCGTCGGAAGAAGAAGAAAGGGACGCCTCGCTCTGTCGTCTTTGCAGGGCGATCCATGCCCTTCTGGTAGAATCGGATCGACCAGCCTGGCTCTCAGTACCAGCTCCTTCCCTCACCACACTCTCATAAGAAGGAGGAGCAGAAGCCGCGTCGTGCGCTTGCACGTACTCGTAGCTAGGTGCCCCGCCTTCGGGAGGACGGGTCTTGCGGTCGATGGCCATTCCTGGCGTGTCTTTCCCTGTCTGCCGAGCAGGTTTTCCAAAGAGGAGAGTTGTAAGTGGTGCGGAAAGCTATTTGCGAAGGAAGGTGCGATGTCGATCGCGATATTGCGGTCTGGATGCAAAGCAAAGGCAACGTCGTCGTGGAGATCCGACGTCCCCGTCCCTCTCACGCCACGAGTGAGTGCCTGAGGGCACGGGCCTCTTCCACCGCAAGGCACGGCGAGTCAGCGCAAGCAAGTGCAAGCAAGTGCAAGGCTGGATGGATCACTCATCGCATCTCGGCGCGGGGTTGTGGAGAATGCCATCCTGATTGCGCGCAGCGCTACAATGACAGAAACAGAGAGATAAAAGAAAGAGTGTATGATGATGATGATCGAGATCGAAGACGAGAGCAGGTAGGTGAGCGAGAAGAAGCGAAGTGGGTAGCGTAGCATGTGGAAGCGTAGGGTGTGGCGTGCATGGGCTTGGTACAGATGAGCCAGACTTGACATTGAGAATGGTGTTGAGGTCTTGCTCATTGGGGGCAGCGAAGCGTCACAGACGCCTCAAGCTGCGTGTGTCGAGCCATTCGAGGTGAGCGTCGCTCGTGCTCGCGCTCGCGCTTAGAGAAGCACAACAGCACCAGCGGCAACGGCTCCCATACCGGCGATAGCAGCGAGGTTGACCTGTCCGCTGAATCCGGCACCGCTCGTTGAGCTACCCGACTTGCTCGCTGAGGCAGCGCTCGAGGTAGGGCTAGCTGCGGCCCCCAGGGCCGAGGTGGAAAACCCGCTCGCACCCGTAGCAGCCCCCGTGGAAGACGCGCCAGCAGCAGCAGAGGACGAAGCTGCACCGGGTGCGGCCCCCTCCTTGCCCTGCGCGGCGGCCATGACGGTGCTGTTGAACTGGCCGGTTACGTTGTCCAGCTCGAAGCGTGCAGAGAAAGCCATAAAGTCCGCCGTACCGTTTGCTGCTTGCTTGGTCGACTCCATGCGGATGAAGCTGCGGCGCGAGCCAGAGGGTGGTTAGCGTCAGCTCCTTGTTCCCCCTCTTCTCTCTCCGCTCACGCTGACGCTCGCGCCCCCCTAACTCACTAGTACTTGCCCTTAGGCCCAATATCCTTCGGCACCTTGTAAGTGATCTTCTCCTTGTCGGTATCCAAGTTAGAAGCAACCTGGTCCAACTTGAATTGTGCACTCTCACTCCCAGCAGCGAGCCAGATATTGTATCCTCCCCACGCCTTGTTCTTGGGTGACTTGCCGTTGTCCTGCCATTGGATCGAGAGGCGTTTACCCCCGTCTGCGCTCGTGGTTGCGACGGGTGAGGTGATGTAGACTGTGGACAGGGCGGGGGAGGCCAGGCCGAGGAGGGCGAGACAGACGGTGGAGAGCTTCATTGTTGCGGGGTGTGATGGGGGGTGCGGAGTGCAGAGGAGAGAGTGATGTAGTGTAGTGAAAGAGTGTGGTGCGAGTCAAAGAGAGAGGAAAAGAGTGAACGAATCGAGTCGAGTGGATTGGAGGGGTAAAAGGATTGGAGGGGGTAATGGTAAGGAGAGGATGATGATGATAGGATCGAAAAGGACGCTCCCTTAGCTGTGTGCTGTTTGGCGCCTTCTTCCGCGGCGACTCGACTTGACCCGCTCACCGCTCTTCGCTCATCGATGGCTGTTGAGAGGGGTCGAGCGAGGGGTCGAGGAGTCTGAGGGGCCGACGGGCGAAGCTAGCTGTCTGTCTGTCTGTCTGTCTGTCTGGGCGCGCGAGTGTGCATATTATGCCTTCTTGTGCGCGACTTCACACTCCTCTGGTGCCTGGCGAGGAGCAGGTGTTTGTTGCCTGCAGGCCCGGCGCGGCGCGAGCCAAGCCTGCCGCCGAGCCTATAGTGAGTGTGAGCGTGTGAGCGTGTGAGCGTGAGCCACTCCAACGCCCACGCACGCCAGAGCGAGTCCAACTCTCTCGCGCGCACACGCAGACGTCGACGCGGCCTCCTCCTTCGTTCTGTGCAGCCCTCGCTCACTCGACGAGCAGCGCAGCGTTCCTCGGCATCCGCGTCTGCCGCGGCGGCGGCGGCGGCGGCGGCAGCAGCACGCCAAGCCACCCCCTCTCTCCCTCTCTCTCTCATTCAAATCGAAGAAGCGCAAGCGCAAGCGCAACGGCGCATCAGACCTCTTTCCCTTCTTCTCTCTTACCCAAGATGGCATGTCGATCAGCGAGAGGGCAAGCATGCCACGGCCAATTGCGATCATGATTTTTTTCAAGTTCAGCAAGACGATGCGTGAATGAGTGAGTGACGTGACGATGGACGGGCGGGCGGGCGGCAAGACGCCGTGCTTGGAGAAGGAGCAGAGGCAGAGGGCCGTGCGGCGTGCGTCTTGCGAGCTGGCGAGGGTGGGGTGCCGCTGACCGCACACGCCTGAAAGTCCACTCATTACAGCTGATGGTAAGGATGGCCAAAGCTTACTGCGGATGATCGTCCTTCATCTCTATCAGTCACCTTGCTTTCTTGTCATGGACCAGTCACAGCGAGAGATGAATACGCGATATGAGGCTAGCCTCGTGGCCGGCTGAATGAGCCCCCGCCCTCGTCGTCTCAGGGTGCTTCGCCTTCGCAGGTTCGCTTCGCGCTAAGTAGTCTAATCTCAACCCGGCTGAGACCACCAGGGTCACGCTCAGTCGCTTTACCCTCCCTACGAGCCTCCCACGCTCGCGCTCAGCACCATCCCATCAAGTCAAGCGTTCACCTGCTGCGCACTTCGCACTCAATACCCAGCTGAATCGCGCCCCCGCAACGACTGACGGACCTCTGCTGCGCATCCAATCCAACCTGACCTTGCTCGCCCACGCTGAGCAAGCCATCTTTGCCTCCCACGCCCGCCCACACGCACGCACGCATACACGCACATCTAACGTAGGCCCGATCACTTTACGGCAGCAAATGGCAATAGACCAGAAGCCCCGTCGGTCGACAGAGAGGGAGCAGGAGGAGGGTGAGGGTCGCGAGTCCCTCCGGGAGTACAGCCAGCGCTACGATCCTTTAGGAGCTCCACCTCCTTACCATTACCACTCCACCTCCTCGTCCTCGTCCTCGCCACCCGAAGGAATGCACGAGACACAGCCTCACAGCGAATCCACCCCGCTCCTCTCTGGCCAGGAGTCCCAGCGATCACACGACGTACGAGCGGCGCCCTGGGCTCCAGCTTGGCAGCGCAAGCCCCTCTCTGCCCGTCGCAAGCGCGTAGTCAACGTCTGCCTAGTCTTGGTCCTCTTGACGCTCATCATAGTCTCAATGCGCGAGTGGGCCACCCACTCTAGCTCTGAACAACCCGACTCAGGCTCAGCCCCAGGCTCAGGATCGGGTGACTACCCCTTACCTCCCTCCCCGGCCCCGAACGATGGGAATCCCAAGTCCCGAGCCTCCTGGTCTTCACCGGTGGAGCGACCAGACTACCTCGGTCATGGCGGGCCTTGGTACTCTAGCGTGGCTAACTTCACACTCAAGTACACGCCCGACTGGGAGGCCGTTTGGCTGCACGCACTCGGCGTCTCGTATCGAGGCCACATCACCGTCGTAGGGGACAGTGCAGTCAAGGAGGGGGAGGGGGAGGCTGGAGTGGAGGCCTTCTTCCGTAGTGTACGGGAGAGGGAGCATGCAGTTTGGGTTGGGGAGATGAAGCGAGGCGAGAAGGATGAGGGATTGGGCGTTTATGTGAGTAAATGTAGAGGCAGAGGGATGTGCCGTGTCCACCTGAGTTCGGCTCAGCTCAGCTCAGCTCAGCTCACGCTAATCTTCTTCATTTCCTCTCCTTCCTCTCCATCCGCCGACATAGGGCCATCGCCACCGAGCCGACCATTCGCAGGTGGCAGTGGAGGTGCGAATCCACCTCGCCCTGCCACCATCGAGCGTGGCTCCGCTCCTCCCTCCTCTAGAAGTGGTGGCGGACACGCTTGACACCAGCTGGGAGGTAGATGCGTCGGATCCTGTCGTTTCGCGCAGCCTGGACATACAGTTGGGGGCGGGCGGGTTGCGTGTTGGGGTAAGTATGCGAGAGGAGCAGGGGAAGGCCAGACGAGAGTCGACGCTGACCCTGATTGCCCCCGCTCCTTCCCGCTACGCACGACATCAGGCAATCCAAACGCAGCAGCACACGAACATCGCCTTGCATGCCGGCTCCGTCAAGCCCACATCCACGTCCGCCTCCTCCCCGCACCTATCAGGCAGCATCAGGTGCGCCAACCTCGCTATCCGTCTCGACTCGGGCTCCCTCCGTCTCGCCTCCATCGAAGCGCGCAACCAGGCAGCCATCAGGAGCCACGCAGGATCTGTCCGGCTCGGCAACCTCGTCAGCCCCGAGGTGAAAGTGGTGAGCAACGCAGGGAGTGTAGAGGGGACGTTCGAAGTCGGGGAAAGACTGGACGTGCAGTCCGACGCGGGACATGTGGCTCTGGACGTCAAGCTTCCCGCCAGGACTGACAATCATACAGTGCAGGCTCGAGCTCACAGTAATGCCGGTTCGGTGAGGGTGACTTACGTTGAGCAGGGGAAGGGTGTCACGCTAGACTCGAGCGTGACCTCGGGAACGGGTAGAGTGGAGGTGAAGCATCACCCGAGCTTTGAGGGGAGTTTCGACCTGCTGACCCGTGTGGGGAGGCTGGACGTTAGCCCGCCACGGGGTAGCGGTGCGGGTGGTGGGGATGAGAGGGAGTGGGTTGTCAGGGAGGACAGGAAGGGGTGGACGGGGAGGCATGTTGTTGGGCGAGTGGGGAGGGAGGGGATGGAGGGGAGAACGATAGTCAAGTCAGAGGCGGGGGCTATGCAGGTCGTCTTCTAGTCGCGTGGTGTAAGGACGTGGTATTGTGTGTGTGTTGTTTCGTATCTGTGTACTCTCTCTCTCTTATCGCGCCGCAAATATCGAGTCACCTCACCTTCTGACCCACGCTCCTTTCTATCGCTCACTCCTCCCCTTCCTCCGCCACAACAAACACCTTTGTGACCCCTCTCCCATCCCTTCCCCTCCCTCGCGCCAAAGTCTCAAACGCCTCACCCGCCTCCTCCAGCGTGTACCTATGCGAAATGACCTTCTCGATCCCCTTCAACTCGCCACGCTGCAACATCTCCATGGCGAGCGGGTAGGTATTCGCGTAGCGAAACACGCCCAATATGTCCACCTCCCTCAGCGCGGCCGCACCTATGGGTAGAGTCTGGATGGGGCTCCCCATACCTATGAGGACTACGCGTCCTCCAGGACGAGTGGAGAAGATCGCCAATTGCACGCACGAGGGGACGCCCGAGCATTCAAATACTACGTCGAATGCACCGGCGCTTGAGTCGAGGGAGAGTGCCTCGCCCATCTCCTTTGCAACCCTCTGTGCCTTCCCCATCGTGACTGCCGGCTCCTCGCCCTGAACAGGGGGCGCACTCTTCGCCAGCGTGTACGTCTGGTCCGCCCAGCTGTTGCGCTTCGCAAAGTCTAGCCTCCCCTCATCGATATCCACCGCAACAACGTAGCTCGCCCCGGCTCCTTTCGCCGCAGCGCACGCCAAGAGGCCGACCGCCCCCGCCCCGGTGACGAGGACCCGCTCCCCATTGGCGAGGGCGCAACGCCGTATCCCCTGGAGAACGACGCTGAGCGGCTCGATTAGTGCTCCGACCTCGTACGAGACCGAGGTGGGGAGGAGGTGGACGCCCCAAGCCGGCCATGTAAGGGTGGACTGTAGTGTCCCATCGAGGTGTGGGTACGTCTTTGCCGAGCTGGCAAAGCGCATAGAGGGGCAGAGGTTATACCTCCCCTCCTGACAGCGCTCACACTCCCTGCAGTACAAGCCAGCCTCGATCGCCACGCGCTTACCCACACTGAGTTGAGCAGGGCATTCCGGACCAACAGCGCTGATGATCCCGGCGCTCTCGTGGCCCAGAGCCATGGGATGGCGCAAAGCGAAGTCCCCGTTACGGCCGTGGAGGTAGTAGTGCAGGTCGGACCCGCAGAGTCCTGTGGCGAGGACGGTGACGTGGACGTGCCCTGCTGGTGGTGTGGTGGGGAGGGAGCGTGTCTCCTGCGAGGGAAGAGGGAACAGGATGAGTGTCGTACGAGTGAATGGAGGCGAGCAGGAAAAGTACTCACGATTCGCAAGTCCTTGGGACCGTGCAGGACGGCAGCCTTGTTGGTATTGACGTGACTGGTCATGCTGCCTTAGTGTTTGAAGGGTCCGGGGGGAAAGTGAAGAATCATCTATCAATCTCCTCGAGCATTGCTCTTATACCTCTCTCTCCTTTCGTTGTGTCCTTCTCGAGGTCAGGTCACGCCCGTGCGCAACGGCAATAAAGTAAAAAGTGCTCCGCCTCTCCGCTTCTCCGTGTCTTGAGGGGCCAGTGGGAGGAAAAGAGAGAGAGCACAGCGCCCAGCCAGGCTGTGTGGGTGTGGGGCGCGGCGCGGAGACGAGTCAAGTCGGACGAGGGGCGACGACAAGAGACGGACCAAGGATTCTTGCCAATGTTGATCGCAATCATCTCCCATCACAACTCATCTCATCTCTGCCCGCCCGCGTCCGCCCTCGTGCCGCTCTCGCCCGAACCGGCTCTCATCCCACCTCTTGCCCGCCTCTCCAATCAGAGCAGCAGCAGCTCATTCAATCTCGTCTTGAGAGAACGAGGCTGTAGCAGCAGCGGAGAAGAATGACTCGAGTAGAGCGCACACGGAGCAGGGTAGCAGCCTGTCGCTGCCTCAACGTGCGGGTGCGATATCTAAGCCCCACCAGCACCAGCGGCGGGAGCAAATCTTCCTCCTCATCCCCCTCCCCCTCCGCGCAAGGCCAAGAGGCTCGCACCACCCGCGTACAGCTCGACGACTCGTCCTCCCCTTCATCTACATCGGTATCCGTCTCCCTGCCCCTCCTCGTAGGCCGTGAACTCGTCTCCCTCGGTGGACCTTTCACGGTTCCAGCGCTGCGTTGCCTGCATTGCGGTACGACGGTATATGCGGTGGAGAAGGCCGCCTCACTTGGGCCGAGTAGGGCTGTTGGGTTTCAAGCGAACGCCAATGCCAATGGGGCCAAACAGCAACAGCAGCAGCAGCGCGAGGCTTCCCCGTCCCCCGCTCAGAGGAGCGCGAGTAGAGATGGATTGATCAAACCACACGATGGGCATGTCTTTCTGCTGCCTGGGCTGGTGTACGATGACGAGATTCAAGAAGTCGAGGGCAAAGAGAATTTCTCGTCCATCTATGGGGTGTCCATCACGTCTGGCTCGCCTCGTTCTTTGGATCAGGCTCAGCCATCGACTCAGTCTCAATCACAGTCGCAGCGTCCCGCCTTGACGACGCAACGAAGCGCCACGAGCCACTATGGTCTGCAAGGTCTCCCCGCGCACCTCGTCACCACACCGCCCACCTCGCCATCCCCTTCTTCCTCCTCCGCCAACATCCAACTACCCTCCGTCGCAAGCTCAAACCCGCTAGCCTCAGCCCTAGACGCTACGGGTCTCGCAAAGCTCAGAGCATGGAGAGTGACGGCCGAGCAGGAGGTCATGGATCTGGTGCGGCAGAAGAGGAGGGAGCTGGATGGAATGCTGGCAAGAGCGCAGAGGGAGGCAGAAGCTGTGCTCGAGCAGGCACGCACCGTTCCCCCACCGAGCACAACGATGATGCTGCGAGGAGCAGAGGGCAGCAGCAACGAACTGCGGGACGAGCACGACCACGATCTCGAGCATGAGCACGGCAACGTAACCACCTCCTCCGCCGCCGCCGCCGCCAACGCCCCCTCGATCCTCCCCGCCTCGGCCTTCACGCGTCGTCCCCCCTCCTCGCCAAATGCAAATCTATCCGCCTCGCTCTCAGCACTCAGCGCCAGCTTCGCCATGCGAGGCAAGGGGTCCGACTCGACGATGAGCCAGGCAGAAGACTGGGCGCAGCGTCGTCGACTCAAGGAACGCTACCCCGAGGGGGACCACAGCGTTATGACCTCCGCGGCTACTAGTGCGGCCACGTCCGTCGAGAATTCAGATAGTGAGACCGTCAGGCGTGCGCGTACCTCCGTTGCCGAAGAAGAAGAAGAAGAAGCGGGAGAGGATAGGGGAAGAGGCCGACAACGTGTGGCGCGGGTACGCACCCCGAGTGGGGATGAGCAAGTCCCCGCACGCAGCAGTGCCAATGCCAGTGCCAACGCCAACGCGAACACGGGCACGCCCCGCTCCCCTCCCGGCACCAAGACACGCCCCACAATGGCCCCCTCCTCCCTGAGTCACAGCGCAGGCAGCAAATCGCTCCCCTCTCACCCTTCGCTCGACCTGGGCGCCCAGTCAGGGGAGGGGGACGCGGCCACCCCACGTCCGGGCGGGCGAGTAGGAAAGGCCCCGCCCTCCCCCTCGGCCAACGTGCAGCTACGCCCACGCAATCCGCCGCCAAGCGGAGCCGAGCCCCTCAAGCCGGCTACGCGACAACGACTGGGCGAGTCGGCTTCGGCTTCAGCTTCGAGCTCGACTCCTGACGTCCCCGGCGCGAAGCGCAAGGTCGCATTCGCCGAGACGCCGGACCATGCGCCGACCGTGAGCCTTACGCCGCCGGAAGACCAGATGAATGGGGTGGATGGGGAGGGTGAAGATGGAGCGGGGAGGGAGCCAGTAAATGAAGGTGAGGCGGCCGTTTTCGATATCGATGAGGAGTTGAGCGTCGATGGTCACGTTGATGCTGGAGAGGGCGAGGAGAGGAGGGAGGCGCTACAAGGTGGGCAGGAGAAGCTCGTATCGCAGGAAGAGGATCTGGGCGGTACACTAGACGATGCAGACGCGGACGACGACGATTCTTCTGCGGTGGGGACAAAGGGGGAGGAGAAGCGCGATCCATTAGGCGGCGTCCCCGCAAGTGTCGGCGCCCACCATGCCGGCTCCCTCTCTGCCCTCGTGGCCGCCAGCGAAGGTCTGGACGCGCATGCTCGTCGAGCCTCGTTGGTGGATAATTTCGATCCCGCCTCGCTCAGGAGGGACGGCCGCATCGCACCCGCCAAGAAGGGCAGCCCGCCCGCCAATGCTACTCGCGGCACCGAGCCATCCCGAGCAGACGGAGGAGGAGAGGACAGTCCACGTCGCACCGCCATTGGGTATCGCCGTAGCCACGCTCAAGGCAACGCCGACGCGGAATTGAGGCTCAGCGGCCTGCTCGCCCCGCATGCCCCCTCGCACCGTTCGTTGTGGAGGAGGACGGCCAAGAAGTATAGTATTGCGGAGGAGGATGAGGAGGAGGGCGAGGATGGGAAAAAGGGCGAGCAGGAGGACGAGGGAGACGACAGACAGTGGAGTGCATGGCAGGAACGTGCCCGACAGTTGGAAGAGGCCAAAGTGAAGCGCGATAAGGAGGAGAAGGAGAGGGTGCTCGCCCAATCCCTTCCGATGCAGGAACGACGCACTGTGGGCAGTACGGCGCGAGGCATCCCAACAGGAGCAGTCTTGTCCAGCGTAGGCAGGGAGAGGGAGACGAGCGGCTTCGATCGCGAGCCCAAGACGAGTTTACCCTACCAGGAACGACAGATGGTTCCCAGCTTGAGGAGGGCGACGCGCCGAGCGCTCCTCGCAACGGGGACGGGGGACCGCAAGGCGTCTCTTCCTACGATCAAGGACACGGATGTTGAGGGAGACGATGTCCCGCGTATTGCAACGCGAGGTTTCGCCGTTACAGCTCCAGGCTCAGGGTCCGTCCTTACTCCTCCAGCTACATCCGCTCTCTCCTCCCCAAGCCTCTCGACAGGCGGACGTCGCTCCCCTCGCCCGCCGTACGTGCCCCCGCCACCACCCACCTCCACTACAACAGTCCTCCAACCCAACCCCTTGCATCGTCCCTCCCCCCTCACCCTCTTCCGTGGCCCCGCCGACGCCCGTTTCGCCAGCTGCGAGCCCGGCGAAGAAGAGGAAAGCGACTATCCCTCAGTGCTACGCTTCATGCATCGCCTCGAGCAGCTGAAGCGGAACAAGCGCACCGGATGGCTCCATCATCGTGTCCCTGCTCCGGAGAGCATTGCAGACCACATGTACCGGATGGCCCTCCTCGCCATGCTCTGCCCCAATGTCGGGCTAGACATAGGAAAAGCGGTCATGCTTGCCCTGGTGCACGACTTGGCCGAAGCAGAGGTGGGGGATCTGACTCCTCTGGACGGGGTGAGCAAGGAAGAGAAGCTTCGCCGCGAAGGAGAGGCACTACAGTTCCTCGTGCACGATCTCTTGGGATCGAGTCCCGCAGCATTGAGGATCGAGGCCCTCTGGGAGGAGTATGAGGCGAGGGAGTCGCTCGAGTCCGTGTTGGTCAAGGACCTCGATCGCTTCGAGCTTATACTGCAGGCCGTCGAGTATGAGAGCCGATATGGGGTGGAGGACTTGCAGCCCTTCTTTGGGGCTAGTGCGGATATTGGTCATCCGAGGGTTAGGAGATGGGCGGTTGAGCTTGCGAGGGAACGGGCGGATATGTGGGGGAAGAGGGGCGAGGAGTGGGGATATGTGCAGCCTGAGCCTGTGGAGGGGGCAAAGAGGGAGGGAGGGGAAGTGTGAGGAAGAGGAGGGCAGGGAGTGAGTCGCAGTCGTAGCATGGTCGGACGCCCTTGCATTACACATCAGAACGACAATCATGACTCAGTCGACGAGAAGTGAGCAGACGATGCCGCGGCGTGGCGTGGCGTGGCGTGGCGTGGCGTGGCGTGGCGTGGCGTGGCGTGGCGTGGCGTGGCGTTGCGTGGTATCCGACGTCTGACGATCTCGTCGCGTCGCATCGCATCGCATCGCTCGGCCCGATGGATGCGTAGACTATCTCGCTGTTCGGTCTGCTTGATCTGATCGATGCGCATGGGCCAGCCAGCCAGCCAGCCAGCCAAATCCAGCAACGTGGAGGTCTGGCGTCTGGCGTCTGTCTGTTGTCTCGTGTTTCTGCCGCCCCGCGCCTGGTCCCGATCACAAGAAGGCGGCGCAGCAGCAGTTGAGGCTTCGTTCCTCTTTCTCTCTCTCTTTCACACCAACACTCCATTCCCCATCCAACCCGCCGCGACAGCAGCAATACCATGGCCCCCAAGACCACTCCCTCTCGAGTGGGCGGTGTGGGCTCAGTGCCTCCGAGTGGGAATCCGAATAACAAAGCGCCAGGAGTCGTTGCGACACCTTCTGTAATTCGTTTTGATGATGTGAGTGCGAGAGTGAGCGAGACGTGGAGATGGTAGCATTGCGCAACTCACGATGTGGATATATGCTGCGCCTTTCGCCCTTAGGATGATACCAAGGCCAAGCGAGGAACAGTAGCCGCAAAGTCCAGCAAATCGAAACAACAACGCAAACAAGGACGCTCAGGCGGCTTCTCCTCCTACCTCTTCTCCCTCGCTCTGCGCCTCTCGGCCCTCTATATGCTAGTAGGCGCACTCTGGACCTGTCCATCCCAACCGCTCCGTTTCGACTACAACCCGCGCGACTCACGCTCCCACTGCCGCGCCCTCGCTCAGGGTAAAGTGCAGCTCCAACCCATCGTAGCGCCCTACATTGCCTCGGCTCAGGCGCGCGTCCAGCCCCACGTCCAGCCGTACGTCGACGTCGCTACTCCCTACGCCAAGGCGGCGTGGAAGACCAGCAAGCCTTACTATAGGTATGCAGCCAAGCAGGGCCGCTGGGCGTACAATAAGCATGTAGAGCCCCGCAGGAAAGTGGCGGACAAGAAGGTGCGCAACTGGGTGCAACCTAGGTGGGCTGCAACGAGGCAGGTCGTCGATGAGTGGACTCAGCCAGCTTACAAGCAGGCGGTCCCACTTATGAGGATATAGTGAGTCCGCAGCGCCATCGCGGGAAAACAGCTGAGTCCTGAGCCGTCGCTGACCTTTCGCTCTTCCCGGTGCTCGCAGCCGACACGACGTCCACCCGCACCTGGAGCGCGGCTATGCCCAGTCCCTCGCCCTTGGTTCAGCAACGTACGGCGCCTACGTAACGCATGGTCACCCTCTCGTTGTCTCGTCCGCGCGCCACTCCCACTCTTTCTACGTGAACCACGTCGACCCAGCCGTCCGCCGCGCGTACGCCCTCTACATCCGCCCGCAAATGGACAAGCTTCTCGCAAAGGCTTTTGGTCACAGGGCAAGCAAGGCAGGCAGTGAGGCCGTCAAGGCGGCAAAGGGGGAGGCGAAGCAAGTGCGCCAGGAGGCAAAGCAGGTAGAGAGGGAGAAGAAGGAGCAGGCGGTGCGTGTCGTGTTCGCGGGTCCTCTGTCGCTCGCCTGCTGACCCAGCGTACTGACCCACCCTCACGCCCGCCACTCCCTCGCCCCGCTTCCTCCCAGAAGGCTTCGGCTATCCGTGCGCAAGAAGACCCCTCACTGGCGGACCGCATCAACAAGGTCGCCGACCACGTAACCGGCGGACCCCTCGCTGCCCCCGACCCGGCCGCATCAGCCGCGTCCGACGCCTCGCGCGCCGTTGAGGCCCAATCGACCAAAGAACAGCTCGAGGCGTGGGAGGCCGGGCTCGCCCAGCTCATTGAAAAGGAGTACACTCTGGTAACGGCAAGGTTTGGAGAGCTGCGCACACGCTTTGCTGAAGGGCTGCCGGAGCGCTTTGAGGTTTTGACCGAGGATGTTGAGCTCGAGGTGGAGGGTATCTTCGCCCGATTGACAAAGGCGCTGAATAAAGTCAAGGGCGGGGGCCACGAGGAGGCAGGGCGCGCCGCTTTGGAGAAACAGAGGAACAAGCTGCAGCGTAGCAGGGGTAAGGCGCTCAAGGAATTGGACGGCTTCTACTCGCAGCTGCAGACTGAGCAGTGGGAGGCACAGCGCGCCTCGGTCGAGCAGGTGGAGCGCTACATCGCCGAAGCGCAGCGCGCCTACCTCGGTTTGTTGAAGGGCGCCAAGTTCGACCAGACGAGGCAGGATTGGAGCGAGTGGGACGACGGCCTCTCTGTGCGGTCAAAGCTCTTCGACGAGGAGTTGAGCAAAGTCAGGAAGGGAAGCACAAAGCTCGGCGCGGGCATCTTGGGCATCGACGCCGGACAGGAGGGGGACGTACAGCGCGAGGTGGTCAGGTTGCGCAAGCAGGTTGGATCACTCTATGATACCGCTTCTGCCGAGCTGGACCAATTCGCCAAGGAGCAGCTCGCGGCTATCAAGGGCGAAGAACCAGTAGGCGCCAATCCGGTGTCAATTATCTCCTCCAAGGCAAGCACGGCCGCAGCCAGCTGGTCCTCCGTCGCCTCAGCCGCAACGGACGATGCGCCTAGCTCTGCCTCCTCTCTCCTTTCCTCCTCCTCCTCCTCGCCGGACATTGCAGACCAAGCGGCCGGGTTCACAGAAGCGGTCAAGACGGGTCTGAACGATTTCGCCTCTGCTGCCTCGTCGACGGGCTCCTCCCTCGCTCGCGAAGCATCCAAGAGCGCCGGGCTCAAGCCCACACCGGAGTCTGCCGCCGAGTACATGGAAGCCGCCGCCGGACTGGTCGGAGAGGCCATGCCCGCCGTCGCCTTCGTGGGCGCAGAAGAAGCCGCCTCGTCAGCCAGCTCGGCCCTTCGCCACGCCACGCGCTCAGCCGCCTCGCTTGCTGGGGCGGAGGTGACGGCAGAGAGGGTGGAGGACTATGTAGCGTCGGCGCAGAGTGTGCTCGATAAGGTTGGGAAGGGGGTCGGGGAGGGGGCACAAAGCGTCTACGAGGCGATGGGAGGGGAAAGTCTTGCAGAGCAGGTCCACGCTGCAACCCGCTCCGCTTCTTCGCTTGCTGGCGGCAAACCTACACCGGAGAGTGCGGGAGAATACGTGGAGGCGGCGGGCGACTATCTCAACTCTGCAGCTTCCTCCGGCTCATCCGTTGCATCACAAGTCTACGAAGCTATGGGAGCAGACAACTTGGGAGACCAGCTCCACCACGCAACCCGTTCAGCCGCTTCGGTCCTCGGGGCCAAGCCTACGCCGGAGACGGCCAGCGAGTACGTGGAAGCGGCAGGTGACGTCCTCGAGTCCGCGGGGTCAAGCGCATCCTCTGTTGCGTCTCAAGTCTACGAAGCCGCAGGGGCGGAGAGTCTGGGAGAGCAGTTGCACCACGCAACCAGGTCGGCCGCGTCTCTTGCGGGGGCCAAGCCTACGCCAGAGACCCTCGCCGAGTACGCGGAGGCGGCCGCTGATCTCGTGTCGGAGGGCACGGCTTCCTTTGGCAGTGTGGCATCTTTGGTCGTTGAGGAGGCTTCCTCCGTTGCGCACCAGGCTTCCCGTAGTGTGGTGAGCGCGGCAGGGGGTACGCCTGAGGCGGAAGGATTCGTAGAGAGTGTGGAGAGCGTGGTGAACAAAGCCGCTGGGGGGCGCGTGGAGCTTTAGTAGATGCGTGTCGTGGCGAGATGCGATCGAGCTGAGGGCTAGAGGACTCCGGAGTTTCGCGGTCTCGAATCAACAAAAGGAATGAAAGTTGCACGACTTACGGAATGATTGATTGTACAGCGAGTCGCTCCGTCTGATCAAGCAAGTGCAACCTCGTCAGGCGCCACGCCCCTCGCTGCAGCTACACTGTCCCCCACCTGCCCCACGATATCTGCCTCGCCACGCTTCCCCCACGGATCTTGACAAGGATTCCCGCACTAATCGGACCAACGAGCGTGTTCAGGATCAAGGCCCAGACTGCTACCATGTAAGCGTCTTGTGATGATGATGAGGACGACGATGTGGGGGATCCGACGAGACCAGAGTCCTGTGCCAGGCCTAGGATGAGGAACCCGATCTCGCCTCGGGCCACGAGGGAGACTCCGAGAAGGAGGGAGGCGGACCATGTTGAGCTTTTGAGGCTCGGGGCGACGGGTGGAGCAGAATCCTCGATGGCAAGTGGGGTAAGCGGAGGCGGCATCGTCGGCAACCCTGAAGAAGTGTCCGGCAGCCTTGAGCCTTCGTCGTCCTGCTCGCCCGCTCCTCGCCCTCTCTGCTGTACTTGAGCCGCCGCCTTAGCGTCGCTCCTTCTCTCCACCCAATCGAAGAAGAGCAACCACGACCCCGCCGCAGCCTTGGCGACTGCCATGATCCCCGCGTAGACGAAGCCCTTCCAGACGATCATACCGCGAAAGAGGCGGGTGAGCGGGATGGCGAATCCGATGGAGGCGAAGAAGAAGGGGAGGAGCAGGCGTGATTGCACGGAGGACCAGTACTGAGTCACGCAAGAGGGGGAGATGGTGGTGAGGGGCTGGCGGCCCCGCGATGGCCTGGCCGTGTCATCATGGGCGGAGAGGCGCAGCTGCTCTGACTCGATGACGGCCTCGTAGATGCGCTGCATGGATGCACCGGCGCAGAAGGCGCCGACTAGTGGGGAGGAGCCGATATAATGCGCTATGGTGACGAAGAGGGGTATGATGCCGATGAGTGCCGTTGTTGCGAGGCCGATGGGGGAGATCCATGGTGCGGAGGATCGAGCGGGCCTGGGGTGCTCTGAGGTAGTCGTTGTGGTTGCTGATACTTGTGGTCCCGAATCGCCCATACGGAATGATTGACTAGAAGATCGTAAGCGTCTCCGCATTATCGGCCGCGAAAAGAGGAATCTGACCGTAGGCCCCAGTATCCAGCGAGAGCACAGCGCAGCTGTCACGCCCAGGAGTAGCAACGAGCTGAGAATTGGGCGCACGATGGTCCATGCTTCCAAGGGTCCCGCAGAGGGAGATAGGACCTGCACGACCTTGGACAGGACGAGGGCAACGATGTCGTCCAGTAAAGCTGCCCCAACAAGGACGGTTGCCACGCGAGTGTCGAGCAAACCCCCTTGCTCGCCCCCATTGTTCTCACGTCCTAGTTCGTCGACAGGTCCGCCTCTTGATTCGCCTCTGTCATCCCTCCTCTTCCCATCACCTCGTTTGTGATCGCTCACATTCGCAAGTAAAGTTAGAATGGTACCCAACGACGTCGAGCTAAGCGCTGCCCCACACGCGAAGCTCTCGAGGAGCGTGAACCCAAAGCCCACTGGCAGGAGCAGCAAGGAGAGCCCGATGGGAAGCAAGATGCCCGTCGTCCCCACAAGGACGGCCAAGGCCAACATCTTTCCCTGAGAGATGACATCGACGCGCATCTCGATTCCCGCCGTCGCCACGAGGGCGAGCAGCGCCAGGTAGCCAAGGAGATGTACGCATTCCTCTACGGCTGGGCGCGGTTGAAGCCATTGGGCGAGGGGCGTACCCCAGAGTGCGCCTACGATGATTTGAGCCACGAGACCGGAGGAGCAGAGACGGTCGACCAGATGTCCGGAAACGTTCAGGGCAAGGATGAAGCCGGTGGTGGAGGCGAGCATGCCCAGCGTGGGCTCTTGGTAGGGGAGCGACGTGGGCGAGGACATGATGATGATGAAGAAGGGCCACGAGCTCAATTTGGCGCAGCAGGACAAGATCTATCAAGCGCGAGCGAGGAGGCCGGGCCGGCCAAAGCCATGAGCGACTGCTACGCTGATTGGCTCGGTGATCCGCTGTCGATCCAGCCCCGATGACGATGATGAGATTGACAGGACGAGGTGCGAAAGGAAAGAAAGAAAAAATCACCCCGCGCCGCCCCGCCCTGCAAGACGCACGGAAGGGCGCCAAGAGTCCGGCACTTGATTGACCCCGCACGGGCCCCGCCCGCCTCCACTCACTCTGTTCCTGAACAAGCGGCTCAATCCTTCCTTCGCCGCGGCGTTGAATGCCAGATTTGAGG